CCAGCGGGAATCTCACTGAGAAGGCAGAATTTGCCTTACCAGTGCATTTCTAGTCGCACTTGCTCCGTGCCGGCCGGATTTGTGGCGCGCGTGGCACACATCTGCGCTGCGCAGCGCAAATTTGTGCTTTGGAGGAAGCAAGCCGCCAAGAGCGCAAAATTGCAGCTCAAGCCCCACAGCGGAGCTTGAGCTGCAATTTTGCGCACTCTCGTGCGCCGGACGGCCAGTTTTTATTTTTTTCCCCGAATATTTTCAAAAAAAATAAAAACCGTCCCAGTTATCCGCTTCAGTTACCCGCTTCACCCTGCGACTTTGGCCAGCTACTGTGTCAGAAAGCGCAACTTTGACGGGCTATCACGTCTGAAAATACAATTTGGAGATGCCAACATCCGAGAAAATGCGACTTTTGCGGGCAACCACGCGAGAAAATACAATTTTGGCGGGCCATTTTCCGAGAAAATGCGATTTTGGCGGCCCAGCACGCAAGAAAATGTGACTTTGGGAGGCCCAGACGTGAAAAAATGCCACCTTGCCCGGTCACTCTGTCCAAAAGTGCGATTTTGACCAGCCTCCACATAAGAAAATGCAATTTTGGCCGGCCTTGGCGTGAGAGAGCGTGACTTTGGCCAGCCATTGCATGAGAAGATGTGATGTTGGCCTTCGCCTGTGCCTGGCCCGGTCAGGTCCGGCCTGCGCCTGGTCCGGTCCGGCCTGTGCCCTCCCCGGTTCGGCCGGCTCCCTGCCCTGTCCGGGTCTTCGAGTTTCGCGCGGACATCAAATACAGCCCGCGCGCGGGCGCTATGGGCTGCGGTGCGGGGGAGCAGTCCCGCAGCCCAAGGCCTTAGTCCAGCGCGGCGCGTATTGCGGCAGGGGTAATGTGGTTTATGCGGGCGCGCAGCGTGTCTCTCCGCAGAACGTACTCTGAGAACTAGTCCAAATACTAGCGCGTGTCTGGAAGCATTGAATCGCAGTAGTGACTCGGTCTTTTTTTGTCGCCCGGAATTATAGCAGCATTGCAATTACTTAGCGGCCGTCGCTGAGGAATAACCCAGAGTACCGCTTCGATCTTACCGAATCTTTTTTCTCCACCTATCACCGACAGATCCCATCAATGCTATGTCGCGAGAATCCGAATCCCCAGTCCGATACCCGCATGTAAAGATTCAGAAGCACCATCTCCTAGCCACTGGTACCACTCAAATTCTATGTATACTCAATGCTACAAATTACTTAGACCACCAATTACCCCCACTCATTTTTAACTAATACTAATTACTTCCCCTAACGTTTCTCATGAGGCCGCAGTTTGTTTTGTTGCAGGAGCGCTACCCGCCGCTCTGGTCCGCGGCAAGTCCCGGGCCGGAGAACATCAACCCCCATTCCCCCCCGAGCGACACGTTCCAGTTTCCTGTGGATCACGAGCGGCAACTCCGCCGCGTGCAAAGTCTGGTGTTCGAACCGCAGGGCAGTCCCGACGCGGTTCGTGCCGCGCTCACCATCTTGGCAAGCCACTGGTGGACGCCGGAAAATGTTCCGCGCCGGAGCCAGGAGGAGGGAACCTTGTCGTCGTTCGAGAAAGAGGACCATCCGACCGCGCATCTCTGGACCGACGAGCGGATTGCGGCGGGCTGCCGCCCGCGGATCTTCCCCGGCGCCGTGAACAGCTTCGACCCGCTAGGCCACATTGTCGGATTGCCGGATGGAGTTTCGTTGTTACCGGGTGACGCGCGATTGGATCAGGACATCAAGAACGACGGCAGCGAGGACCTCTCTGCGGGTTCTTGTCCCGATCAGGCAGTCGGAGGTTTTTTGCAAAATGAACATGCGAGGATTTTTGCAAGCAAACTACCCGACAAAGACGCTAGTCCCGCGAGCACAGCGGCGAGTCTGAGCGAGGTAGATATAGATTCTGCCGGAGATCATGAGCAGGAAAGGTCGCACGCAGACGACCACGGAGGAAAAAATGGAAATAAGCGCGTCACGCCGCCGCCGCCGCACCACCAGCTGCAAGAGTTGTTGAAGAGTTGCAGTTCCAACAAAAGCTTTTTCCCGACCCCCCGGTTCGTGCAGCTCGTCGATTGCGAGACCGGGCTTGAGGTGCAGGCGAGTGTGGATCCGGAAAGCTATTTGGACAGCCGCAGAGAACGGTTACGACAAAAGATTTTGGCCGCCAGAAGGCAGTTCTCACGCAACTGCGAGGTGGCGCTGGAACTTCAGAAGCTTGTGGAGAAGAAAGTTCGAAAGTGGATTGCGCTCTTTGAGGACTTACCGCTGCAGGAAAAGATCGACCCGAATACCGAACAGATCGACAAACTCTCGGACGCGGTGTTGCAGGCGGGAGACGAGGACCAACATGCGTCATCTCGCTTGCTGGCTGCGGCCGTAACGCCCCTCCAGTGGCGGTCCGCCTCGGAACTGGATGCGGAAGAGGATGCCTTGGAAATTTCCGACGCTGCCGCGCTGGAGGCGCTTCTCCACGCACAAACGGGTTTAGGCGGCAGCCGGTTTGAGCGGTTGAGCGCCGCGGAGCGACAGGCCTACCTCCAGCAGGGGCCAAGCTTGGTCCGCAAGAGTCGGGTGGACTGGAGCGAAGCTCTCCGAGTCGTGGAGAGCGTGCTAGAAAGGGAAATGAAAATTATGGGAATGAACAGTGCCTCCGGAGGAGATGATCGGGTTGCTAGTACAACAGCCGTGGAAGATTATCATCACAAAAACATGCGGTTCTGCAGCACTGTAACCGACGACGCAGATTTGCAGAGGTTCACGCCGCAGCAAATCATCTTCAAGGCACGGCTCCGGCCCGTGGAACCGGTCGTGTTTGCGGATTTGGAGGCAGAAACAACAGATATCTACTTTTCGGCCGCGTCCTCGCCTCCAAGAACCCTCCAGACCTGGCCACAAGCCGTCCGCACGAGCGTACGGGATGCGACATTTTCCTTTCTCAATATCGAGCTGGGTTCGGACACGAGCTTCGTTCTAGGTACGGACAAAGTGGCTGCGACTTCGGCGCGGACGCGGGTGCTGGTGCAAGAAAGTTTGGAGCAGGTAGAAGAGCACGGAAGCGGGAACGCGACAAGGCCAGAAGTGGTGACGAATGCAGCTGCGGGTCTGATGGACGGCTGCACGACCAGCACTTCTGAAAAGGTTACTACTGATCCACAACTCGCACCACCTGACGGCTCCGAGGCCGCCAACTGTCCCATGCTGGCCGCGAACAGCAATCTGTTATTCTGGGAACCGGGCGAGCAGTTTTACGTCGTGGCCAGCCTGCTGCTGTGGTCTCACTTGTGCAAAAACTATGTCCGTGATGTACAACCGACAGCACGTCAGCTCCCCCTCCGCGACATCCGCGACGCGACCGGGAAGAACTGTTTGGATTTCGCCGTTCACGGGGGTCTGCGCGATTTGGTGGAAAAGTTGCTGCAGTGGCCGGCGGATGGGGAGGGGGAAGCGGAAAAGACTTCAGCTTTCACCGTCGAAAAGCACCACGTTGCCATGGCGGTCAGCGACCGTATCCTGGGCTGCGAAAAGGACGGGGCGCTGCTTATGCTGCAACTGTTCCTGAAAATGGCAGCGGGGGACGAGAAAAGCGAAAGCGAAGAAGTTGTTGATCATCTTCCCGAAGGCAATAGAAAAGAACGCGGATTGGATGAGGAGGGGGCGATTTCAAAAAAGGCGGACGAATCGGAAATCGAAGTAGGCCAGAAAACAAAAACTCCGGCTTCGATCAAGAAGAAAAGTGAGCCGACAACTGTTTCGGCAAAGCAGGCTCAGATTGTGCAGTGGTTGCAAGAGTTGGAGCTGGAAGGAATACAGGAACAGCAGTGAATGAATGTTCTTGTTGTAAAAAACTGTTGTACATAATTCAGATGTTTGCGGCACTACGTATTCGAAGATGGTGCAGCGACCCTTTTTTGCTGCTTGTATGATCCGAATAGTAGTGACGAGCACTGATGTAAAAGAAAAAAACTGTTTGCCGTCTACACAAGAAAGGAATTATGTGTAGCCATACTGCAGAATTGGTGAACCGGTGAAGACCGCATAAGTTTCATATATATACAAGCGACGAAAAGAGGACCGGTTTCATCTACTCGGTCAAAATCAAAATTAACTTTATTCCTTTGCTCGTCGAAAAGACTAGCCGATAGAAAGCGAAAAAAGCAGAGACAAGAACTGGAGAAGATTTGGGATTTCTTGCAGCGCCCTTTGTCCGCAGATTGTTCCGGCGGAGTTTTGTTGTGCTTCCAATTCGTTCAAATTATGCGATGAATGCGCGCGTTCTTGTCTTCTTCGTCTTCCTCGTGGCAAAAGCGTACTTGTCGTACTTAACCTAAACCCGAATCTTAACACTGTCGCAGTATACTGCAAGCTTGTTGTATCCATGCGTCGTATGATGGTTGCAGCAACTCGTCTTCCGAGCCTGACGTACATCTGGTGCAATCTTTCGTGCAACGCTTCGTGCACTGGTGATCCGAAGTCCTGTCGTCGCTGCGCTCTGTACTCCTACGTTCTTGCTCTGGAGTCAAAGTTGGAATTCGTTGGTTCTGCTTCGTTTAAATCGATAAAAATCATTCTCCCAACGCACAACCAGGTAGAAAGCGACTACAATCGGATTGCTTTACACGCGAGTCCACCTAGATTGCATCGTAGTTTGTTGATTGGAATAGAAACTCTGTTGCGTGACCGCGCATTTGAGTATTAATTTACATCTAGCCAGACGTCGACCCACCTAGCTTTAGCAATCATGGAAAACGTTAGATCAAAAAGCCCGCCATCGCATCGCTCAGCGCGCGCTTTCCCTGCGCGCAGGAAAAGTCAGCCAGGTGGCGTGAGCAATGTAGTACTACAGTGTCATCATTTTAAGAATAAACATTTGCTATTCGTATCTTCAAAAGTCAGATTCGCGCGCTGTAGTTACTTGTTTTTCGCTAGTTGCTTTCCCCTCTACAATGCGGCCGCAGGATCCTCTTACTTGAGAAGAGGAGCAGAATTACATGCCAATACTGGAACATCAGGAGGGATGAACTCAAGCTATACACAAGAGGAACAACGAGAAGAAAATGGAAGTGCGAAGATCATCGCGGCTCAGCCACCTGTCATTGCTCCACCACCCGAAGTAGAGAGCAGCACTGCGCTGCTTGATGATGCTGCCACTCGGACGAAGGAGCAGGCCTACTTGCGCAGAACTACAGAAGCAAGGATGATAAAAGCAACGAGTACATCAACAACCGCTAAAGAGAATAGGAAACGCCACGACCGTCGCCGTTCGTTCCTGCAGCAGACCGCTAAGCAGAAGCGCGAGAAGAAGGAGACTTGCAGCGGAAACAATGCGGTTTACTACGGCGGAGATGGTAGAAGTACTACAACGTCCGGACAGTTGTCTGCTAGCGCCGTCGGCGGGGGTTCAAGTACTAGTAACTCCGGTCGTGGCGCGGCGGAATTTAGTATGAGTGGGCGTGGCAATAATGCCTCGCCTCCTGCGAACCGTGGTAGCAGCAGCAGCAGCAGCTTTGGGAGTGGTGGAACTTCTGTAACGGGCATGATGACCTCAGGAGCCAACTACATCGATGGCAGAGCCTCTCCGGACGCGCAGCAAGGGGGACGAGTTGGTGTTCAGCAACAGAGTACGATTCTCCCCCTGCAGGACGAGGAGTTGAGCTACAGACCGCCCGGCTGCGACCAGACGAAAAAAAACAAGCGGGTCCCGAACCAGAACAACATCAAAGGCGTGTTTCTGCACCTGGCCGACTGGGGATTTTCCGTTGACCACAGGCACCCCGGCTCGGCGCAGTGCCAGATGGACATCGGGAGGCTGGCGCTGCAGTACCTCCAGGAGAACGACCTGCTTCCTATTGCAATGAAAAATGCCACCACCCCAAAATTTGCAAAAGTTTCTGATGCAAAACTTTCCAAGTGAAAACTTTTTGTCTTGCATGAAAGGACTCCGAGTCTTTCTGATGCAGAATCTAGGCGAGTAAGGCACCTTTTACATGACAGGCCCGGCTGCTGCTGGGCTCTTGCGCAACACAAATTTAAGCCATGCAGCATGGCAAATTTGTGATGCTGATATATGCAAGACGCGCAATGTTTCTACTGGAAAGGCTTGCAATACAAATGCTGCTAAGTTCAGGGGTGGGGCATTTTTCACTGTAATACTTCCGTACTTGAAATTTGTCGTGTCCACCGGTGACAACGTGTACGACGGGGTCCGGCAGTCCAGCGGCCGCACCCTGCAGTCGGTTTGGAAGGACCGCTACCCGGCGGAACTGACCTGCGTCCCCTGGTACGCCGTCTTGGGGAACCACGACTACGGGCACTGGAATTACGCCACCTGCTACCCCTACGCCAGCTCGGACAACTGCGGCCAGGTGAACGGCAGTGAGGAGGTATGCGGAGCACATAAGATGTGGTCTTCTGGGTCGTAGGGAAAAGAAGTAGTCGTGCAAGGCGACTTCCTTGCTGTGAGATGTAACTGCGAAACGACCAACCGGCTTCTGCGCGAGCAGGATGGCCGCCATGTTGATATTGCTTTTGTAAGTAAAATCAACTTGCTACATATTGGTTTGCTAGTTACCAGCGAGTCGGCGGTGGTGCATAATTGGAGATTTTTTTATATAGTTTTGCAATTTCCACCGGTCGAGAGTTGGTGTTCGCTATCTACAAGGCATATGTACTATGAAGGAAAATTTGTCCAATATGCATGTTGCTGCAACAAGAACGAGAGACCAAATCAAGCATTTCATCACCCTGCTTTTTTCCCCGATCGTCCCCGAGGCACCATTTTTGCGCTCCATAAAAGTACGTTCTATCGGAGAAATCCTGCACGAAAAGTGGCACCAGCAACGGCGCGCCCGTGCCCGACTGCTGGGCGCTGCCGAGGCCCAACTACCGCGTGACGGCCTGGGAAGAGGAGCTCGGCATCCGCATCCTGGCTACCGACGGCTCGCACCGGTGGCGGGAGCGGTACCCGTTCGAGAGCGGGAAGTTTTACGACCGGGAACGGCATCTGGGGAAGTTACTGGACGAGGGAATCGATCTGATTCGCAACGAAGACGTGGACGCAGCGCGGAACCCGAATTTGCAAACGCTGTTGGTTTTGAACCACTGGACGTATAACAACCCCGACGAGGGCATCGCAAAAGAGGTGTACGCGGACCCGTTGAGAAGTCTGCAGGACCAGAACGAAAGCTTGAACATCGTCTATCTCCATGGACACTACCACGACACGGAGGACCCCCGGTCCATCACCAGTTTCGCGGACGGCGGCCCGATCAAGCATTATGGGGCCGGCGGGAGCGGGGGCTACTGCAACGACGAGTGCCAGAACGGGAAGGTGGGCGTGATTTTTGGCTTGGTGAAAACGGACAACACGATCGAATTCGTGCGCGTGCCCGACGTGGGCACGCGGGTGGACTCGTGCAACGGAAAGCAGGGGTAGCTGCTCACTACGAGACGGAAAAAGTACTTATATGTTGTGCGTGTTGAAAAAAAGTAGTAGACTGCCCGGGACCTCCTGCTCGACGACCGACCGGGACGTCGTCTCCGCTGCAAAAGCGACTCGTTTCGGCGGATTTTTTCGAAAACAAACCGGGAAGGTACTAGTCGAGGGATTCTGGTAAGAAGTGCAACGACATGATCTAGGGCTAGTCTTGTCCTTTTCATCAGCGCCTATTCCGTAGGTGTACAACATCGCATACCATAGTGATAGTACGCAAGTTATTTCAAGACGGGCGTGAAGATATCTTGTCGGCGCAGTGCGATGATTGTGCGAAGACGGCAAAGGATCTTTTGCCCATTTGTCCGGAGTCAAGAAATGGAGTGCGTAAGAAAGTAGTTCCTCCCCTACCTCTGCTACGGTGAAGAGAAAAAAAAGTGCGAGGTTTATTGTTGCTGAACATTTTTTTTTTGCGGTTGTATCTCGTGTTCTAGACGAAGTCGAAGATGTACAGTTTGGTGGTGGAGAGTGATGAGTCGTCGAGAGAAATCAGAAGCAATGGATAGAATTCTTGCGAAGCAGTTGAAATGATCACTTTTTGTTAATAGGTTCCCAAATTTTTTATTTATCACCGCAAATGGAAAGCGTATTCCTTTCATCCACCTGGCTGCGTTCCGAAGCAGGTTGGAACCACTGGAAAAGAGCACGAGCTACGCGGAGAAGTGGGTCGACGGCTGCTCAAATATGTAAAAACTTTCTTGAGAAGCAAAAACTTCCGTCTAGCTTGCTTTGCAACGGTTAACTACAAACAGGACCTCCTGCTTTCTTGAGTTTTAGGTCGCCTCGATCTATCGTGCAGTTAGTTTTTTTCTTTATAATATCAAAACATAAACAAATTTGAATTCGTCACAGGCTGAGTAGTATTTCGTTTTTAGTAGTGAACACTTTATTATCAATGCCAATGTCAACATCTAGAAAGATTCAGTTGATACCGCGGAAATTAAGTAAATCATCACGAAGATGGTTTTTGGTCTAGTTCTCTCGTAGCATACAAAATAACTTCAGCTTCATTGCAACTTGGCAATCCTGTATTGCACCTTTACCATCACCATCAAGCTGCGGCGCCAGGTCACTATTAGACAAAAAGATACTCAGTACAACAGCGCGTCATCAGCGCCGAAGCCAAGTATGTCGGTAGAGAGCGACGACTACTACGAAATTCTCGGCGTGCCGAGGAATTGCGATGTGGCCGAAATCAAGAAAGCCTACCGGGTATGGGGCGAATTAGAGCAGCTCATCACCCTCTCAGGGTCGCTTTCTGGCATGGCTCAAAAACGATAGATCCTTTGCGTGTATCGTAGTTATGCTAGCCCGATCAAATTTTTCGTTTTTAGTGCCTTCGGGAAGTCGAAGTTCACCTGCTCTTTGCATGAACTGAAATCGTAAAAACTTCTGAATGGGAGAACAAGCCTAACGAAGGCACAACCTTGACGAGGTAGTACCTTTTTCGTTGCATACACCAAGCTCGCCCTCAAGTACCATCCCGACAAGAATCCAGGTATTTAAGGACATTAGTTGTGACTTTTTGTTGTCGTGCAGAAGGTTCTACACTTAGTTCTTTTTGTCATGATGCGGAAGGGCGACGCAATAGCGATAGTCGTCGTCGTCGTCCACCGTTTCATTAATGGAAAAATATATCCCCACTCACAGGCGACAAAGCCGCAGAAGAGGCATTCAAGAAGGTTTCCGAGGCGTACGAATGCCTCTCGAACCAGGAAAAACGAGCTATGCATCGCAAAAGTGCTATCCGTCTTTTTTGCATGATGATGAGTATGATTTTTTTCAAAACAAAACACTCCATGCTTTGTAAAAATTCGCTTTGGTTCAAGTAAGAACATCATACAACTAAAATACGACGATGATACACTTTTGCGCTGGATACGAGCCCACTACGACCGGTTTGGCAAGACAGATGGTATGCCGAGTAACGGCGGCGGTATGGGCGGAACCGGTTTCGGGGGCGGGTTCGGACCCGGACAAGACATGTTCGGTGGCCAGGACCCCTTTGCCTCGATGTTCTTCGGCGGGCCCCGGCGGTCGGGCGCTGTATGCATTGGAAATATGTTTGGAGGGTCTGGATGAGTGCAAGGTATAGATCCATAGCCATGCACGTTTTGCATGACCCATCGCCACCATGTCTGTGATGTATGCTCTACTAGCATCACAGATTTTTTGAGGGCCTCTTGCTGCCTATCCTACAGGAGAGATGCCCTCTCCACGTAGCAAGAACTGGACTCCTCTTCGTTGCTTATGCAAAAATACAGTTTTCTTTAGAATCCAGAGGCAGCATCACAAGGTGCAGCACTTTTGCAGACCCAGATATTGTTGCAATGCATACGCCGCCACGGGGCATGAGTTTGGGATGGGCGACGCATTTTCCGTATCGTGTGTAAAAACGTATCCGCCCTACATTTGTCATGCAAATCAGGATGTGTCTTTCTTTCTCTCATGCGCAGGAGCAAGGAGAGAAGCCGAAAAATACTACATTTTCTATTCGTTGTGTTGGGATTTTTTGTCATGCTTGTTCCATCGAGATGACGAGATGTGCAGGCCTAAAGTTTTCATGCGCAACGTTCAAAACTCCGCGATTCGTCTTGCGGAACTCCTAAGCTTGACTTTATTGTTGTAGGTTCGTTTTTGCACATGATAGTCCGTGTTCCGGGAATTTTTCGGGGACGAAGATCCCTTCGCCGATTTTTTCGCCGACCACGCGCAATTTCGCGGCTTTGGCGGCCCTCCGATGGGGGGCAACGAGCGTCGACAGTCCCAGCGGCAGAGCCAGCGACAGAGCCGCAGACAAGATCCGTTCGCGGACCCGTTTTTCGGTGGTGGGGACCCGTTCGGTATAGAAGCTTTGACAAGAACATCGCGATATGTTGTAAGAGAATCCTTCCGATGAATCCGAAGTGTACTATTAACATGAAGTCAGCATGAGAAAGTGGAATTGATTTTTTGGGCTTTTTTCTTTTAATCTCGGTCGGGGGGCAAGGGTTTCAGGGTAGTGTTAAGGGTTTTGGGGAGGCAACTCATAACTCCGTGTTTTCCTGTGTTTCCCGGTGGCGTTTGCGTGCCGTCACTAGAGCCCAGGCTCAGATAAGTAGGCAGGAAGGGCAAGAAGAGGAGTCTTGCTTAGGACCTGCCATTTCTATGGCGCCTGTTCTGACGCAAGGAAGGGCAAGCAGAGGCGGCTTGTTTTGGACCTTGCGGTTGTGCGGAGGTTGATTGGTGCAGTACGGATGAGGAGGTAGTATTGCGCCTTTCTGAAGCCAGGGCTGATTGAAGGCTTCGGCTTTCCTTCTCTCAGGCAACTCCCCGAGCTCGTCGGTTCACAGCTAAGAAGGGTTTTGTTTCATCGAGCTCCGATGGTGATAAGTTGAAACACTATTCACCAGCCATTTGCAAGCAGGAACATAGATAGTACGTTTAAACAGTTACTCGCTCGCCTAAAGAAGCGAGCACCCGATTGATTTTCTGGGACTGAAATTCACGTTTTCAATTCTATTTTCCAGGTGGCATGATGGGCGGTGGCATGATGGGCGGTGGCATGATGGGCGGCGGGTCATCAATATGGAAAGAAACGAACAGCTTTGACTGGATTTTACTTCAGCTCTTGCATGATCACACATAGCGTTTTCATCTTGCCATTACATCACTGCTCTTGTACAGCGCTGCATCAACTTCTACGTTCAAAACGGTCCGCTCGACCATTTTTGATGGCATGATGAGGGTGCAGGTGCGCGAGGTCATAAGAAGTCACGATTTTCATGCGGTTCATCACGGATCAAACAGTAGTCCAAAGAAGTTCTCTCTTATCGAGTTGCATACCACTCGATGTCCTTTTCCAGCAGCTTTGGTGGTGGCGGTATCGCGCGAGAAAAACGTTTGTAGACATGGTCACTTCTTGCGACGCATCGTGTCTAATCTCTAGAGCTTGATGTCATGGTAGAAACAAAGATGGTGTAGTGCGTTCTAGTTTGCATTGATTTCATTTCAATTCTTGGCGGAGTGATCATACTTGTTGTCCTGGGTCGTTCATCAGTGCGACGAGAAAGTAGTCATGCTTTGTCTGATTGCAGGCCTGTCCAGGGTCCCAATCGCAAAGCACGGCGAGCAAGTTGTGTCTCATCGAAACTGCAGGCCTTTTTCTCGCACCATACCCTGCGGATTTTCCGGAACCTCCCAGTCGCAGTCTCAGTCCATGCGAACCGTGAATGGCGTCACTGTGCGTACGACGACAAAATCGGTGCAGCACGCCGATGGAAGGCGGGAGGAAAGCGTGACGGAGGAGCAGCAACAGCCGGACGGCAGCTGGGTGGTGACCAACCAAAGCAACAGTGTATGCAGGTTGCAAAATATAATAAGTACTACATTTCAAAACTTTGTGCCTTGAAACCCGCTCGCGCTGTGTTCGTAAAGAGATCACGACTTGCAGTCTGTTGTATGAATGTGCAAATGCAGCTACCACGACGATGATGGGCGGACTTGTTATTGTTTTCAAGCATAGGTAAGCACCTGAGCATAGTGATAGTACTTTTTGCAAAGTGCATACACTGCCGGGCAGAGCCAAATCGGCGGTGGTCAGACTCAAAACGCTCCACGACTTGGCTTTTGAAGGCCGACGAGAAACCAGCGCGACACTGGAACGTGTCAGAGGCAGGTACAGCCGTAGTTCATCGGCAGGGTGGCGAAACATCAGGCGGCGTGCTTACCTACCCATGACGAAGGAAGAAAATAATGACGCACCAACGGCATCGGGACGACCACGACCACGACGAAAGGGAGAATGACGCTCCATCCAACGTGGCGGCGGCGAACAACGGGCAGCTTTCTTGGACGAAAATAATTGCAACCCTCTTTCTGCTTTTTGCAGATGGTTTGAAATGGATGCGGCAAACAAATAATGAATCAAATCGTCCACATATGGATGCTACGACCGTTGAAAGGTGCCGTATGAAGAGAAAAGGTTTATTTCCAAAAACCATTATTTCGGCAAGAACGACGCGCGGTGTTTTTCTCCTTCGTGCGCAAGAAAAACCTCTCCTAGCGACACAAAATGTACAAAAAGTTTAAATTTGTTTGAACGAGCAGATAGAAACACTCGCTGCATCGCCGCCGGTGCGATACTAAGAAAGTACGACCTTCTTGTCTTCGTGTTTTCGATCATTTTTCCCTGTGCGTACTAACTTGTACTTTGGTCCACCCGGAGGGCGTTTTCGGTCCAGCAGCTGCGGTGTGACGACGCACTTTCAGAGTCTGATTTGATCATTACCTTCAGGCTGCAAGAATTGTATTTCTTCGTCGTTCATCACCGGGCAGTCGTGAGTTATTTTCGGCTCTCGTGAAGAGTAGAGGAGAGTCCTGCCGGGGTTTGTTTTCAATCGAGATCTTCGTGGGGACTGTTGTGCGGGATGGGACTTCTACTGCAATCACCTACCGGCTTGATACCAACTCTCGGGGGACGACGAGGAGGGAACTTGCCGATTTCGGTTGATTTACTGAATACGTATCCTATGCCTGATAGATATTTGATTTCTACCAAAGTCAAATTCTTCTCCCGTTGTGCCTCTTCTGCGTCGTATAGGAAGAACAGTAGCCATTCTTCGTTCTGCGTGCTACTTTTTAGAGGGTCGATGAACACGTGCAGGAAATGAACTGCGAGGTCATGGAGATCTTGACAAAAACAAGTTGAATACCACACCCCACCTTCCGGGCCGCATCTTCCCATCACCTCGTCCCGCGGCAGCAGGACAAATCCTCGAGCAGCAGCTCCAGTAGCCGTCCTTCGTGCGTCGGAACGCGCGCCGTCAAGGTGCTGTCTGTCGCAGCGAGCGGTGCAAGTTTGGCTTTCGCGGCCGCGGGCGTGCACGCCCGCGGCGCCCGTAGAGGAGGACGCGAATGAGATAAATAAATATAATCCTGTTATTTGAAGAAAGCGCCCCCACTCCCTAGTCAGGATGGAGGATACGATAAACACTTATTCTGTCATGCGAACGGACAACGTCACTCTTTATTCGGTTCCGCAATGGCAGGGCGCCGCATCAGAGACTTTTTTTCGTGGTGACTAGCCCTTTACATAGCGATTTTCTTGCATGGGCAGACGCATCTTCACGGAGGGATGTAGACCCTGATCCTGCACGTGCATAGCAGCATCATACATTTGGAGTGGGGGCGGGTTTAACAAGTATAAAAGCCTACGCACCACCGCATGAAGCCTTCGTTAGCCGCGCGGAAAGCGATCGTCGTGTGGCGGGAAGCGATACCGTCCAGCGGGATGGAAAGAGGACGGCCGCAATAAATGCCGGTGGCGGGGGCGAGTTCTCGGACGAGGAGGCCCATCAGGATGCGTTTTTGCAGGAGGAAGCCCGGGCCGCCGCACGGCGAATGTGGAGAGGCATGCGGGGTGGAAACCGGGTACTTAGATTTTGTTAACAGACGTACTAAAAAATGTAGTACGCTTGAGGTGCTCGTTCCCACTGAGGAGGTCTATTTTTTTCAGACCCTTTATTTCCGAGGACACCCTGCAGTTATCCATGCCGAGGATTTCCCCATGAGGGAGACCCTTCAGTGACTTCAGTTATCCATGTTTTTGGTGCACGATGGAGATCAGAGAAAGAGAATTGCAATGAGTTGGTTTCTGGTTGCACTTGATGGCCTTTCTATTCACGAAGAAAAGTAAAATACTTGATGACGTTGCATAGGTAGCACCAGTACCGGAAAACAGGGGCACGAGCGGCGCCTCTCCTGAAGATGTGATCTTCGCGGACATTGCTTCTGGGCGGCTTGTCGATCGTGTTGAGCTGGAAAGAAGAGCGTCGGAAGCGAGTTTGAGTCCCGAACGTACAAATTATCTCCGGCAAAACCTCGAGTTTTACACGATCAAGAACCGCATCCTGTCGGGCCACGTGCAAACCATCAACGAGGTATAGGTGTAAACTTTTTGACGCTAGACGAATCGCACACGCGGACTAGCACGCATACGCAGGCTATGCCCTCCAGGATGCTGCTCTATTCCTACTCATGCCTAATCTACGACACGAACTCGTTCTCTTGTTGGAGCGTTGTAGCTCAAGAGCCCTGCTAATATTTAATTATGATTTATTCATCATACGCACACAGTCATAGATAGGTACTCCGTCTCATCTGGGTCATTTCTACGATGTAGATTGCTACATACTCAGAGTCAGATGATTAACCATACCAGGTGCACGAAGAAGCCGATGCGGCAAGCCTGCCAGGGAACATGCGTGCAAAGCTGTTGCGCTATATGAGGGAGGTGAATCCGGACGAAGCAACGACCGCTGGTGGTGGCTCATCACAACCCAGTTCTGCCGAAAGCAACGAGAGCAACATCTGGGGACTCTAGGTGTTCCTAGCATGTCGTGCTCTTTTACCCTGATTTTGACATGCGAACTTGTTCGCAAACACGAGACAAGACCCCACGTATTGTGCGGGCTACTCCCAGGGCCGCTCGGTGATGATGATTCTAATCTTTGATCAAAAACTGCAGAGATTTCTTGCACCGTCGCCGACGTTGCATGCGTCAATTTTCATCTTGCCTTGATCAGTTCGGTCTGGCTTTGCGGCTTTGCTCGCACAACTCGCTTTGGTTGTCAGCTGACGTTTCTCGTCCCAGGAATTATCGTTCTTCCTGCTCGCTCTTCCAGTAAGTCGTCCACAGTACTACAACAACGAACCCCAAGCGTCGGTTGCCTGAGAGCACATAGCAGCTCTCAAGAAATACAAAGACTGTCGTCCTAGTACAACATTCCCGCTCGTGTGCACGACCTGTGTGAAGACGAGAGAATGCTGCCGCCGGCAGGCGAGAATGCATCGGTCCGCTTTCGTCTCGAGAGAATGCATACGAAAGTGCAGGATTTTTATGTTTCAGCCTAGAACTGATGCTGATTGAGCAAGCATCTGGAGCTTTTTTCTTGTGGTAAAGGCGACAAACGATTCTCCGGCTCTAGCTTGCCGGACAGAAGTCGTTGTTCCGAAGCAATCAATCTAATTGCTAGCGCTTTCATCTCTTCGGCTGAATTTCGTGTCCCTTTGGGAGAAATAATGGGAAACCAGGTCGACCGCGAGGGAGGGAAACGCCAACGAGGGGAGTCTTCAGATGCTTGGGAGGAAATTATCTTCTAAAAACGAACCAAAAGAATGAATAAAGAGAGCAAAAATTTTGATTACAAGAAAGTGATCTGGCGCCACTGTTCCTTTTTGTGAGTTTTAAGGGTTTTTTACGTACACAAGTTCACCCGGCAAGATGGCGGACAAAAAGCCGACGAAGTCGTCCCTGAAGGACTCCGCGGCGCAGGCGTCGAAGATGACGCGGAAGCTGAAGGGGCTCCCGGAGGAGGTATCGACGGCAAGAAACGCGGCGGGGTCGTTGGGAACGAGCATGCCAGGCAAACTTTTGATTTTCAACATTGGTAAATTTTTGAAGACCACCTACTTGAAGTTTTGCATAAAGAAAGTTACGTCGTCCACTTGTTGTTAGTTGTATTAGACTCAAGAAGGGCTCCTGCAGCACAGATGTTTGTCTGGTGTTAGACCCTAGACTTGTTGTAAAAACAAGCATCATTTTACTGTCACCCAACGGCCCAGACACGTTTTGAATCCATAGCCGGACGAAGATGACAACAGCGACCCGCCGACGCCGCGAAAGGAGGAGCTCAAGACCAGCTCTCTTTCCGGCAATCTGGGTACGGTAGAAAAGAGTGCTAGCGTAGCGTGAATTTGTCGTGCAAATGAAGCGTTCGTAAATGATTCTGTCATGCTGGACGTAGAGCTCGAGTAGAAAATGAAAAACACTACATGTATAACTATGCGACATTTTATCATTTCTGCATGACAAATTACCTGCCGTGCGAGCAAGTTTTCGTAGGACACCCCAGCAACTCATGGAGTCGGATGGCGAGGACATTTCGCCCGAGGAAGAGCATATCACAAGGAAAAAAACCCTCGTATCATGGAATGTGAATGCAAAAACAATAGCGCAAAACTAGTTAATGTTTGTCACCGCCGAGCCCAATGTAAGGACACCCTGACCCTCCGGCTCAGAAGACAGGCAAGACAAATGTAGCTGTGTTTTGAATATTCGCATTTTACATAGATTTTTGCTTTTTTCCGTGTGATAACGCAGCGGCGGCAGGAGGAGGAGGCACGGCAGCAGGAGATCCGTGACCGGGCCGAGGCCGGGAAAATCAGCAAGCGGTTCCAGCTATCAAATGCAAAAATGTCTGGGTCTGGAAGAATGCAAGTTTGTCATGCTTGTCTGGCATGACTCGAGAATCTGTGTTGCATAGGCACGAAAAGGCCCTCTTACCTGTCATGCAAAAGCGCAGTTTGCCATGTGGAATACGTAAGACATGGCAGCCAAAAAAATTTGTCATGCATAGCTGCGTATTGCAGTGCGTCCATCATTCACTTTTAGCATTACAAAATTCCAGACCCAGACATATTTGCAATCTATACCAACAGAAACTGCGGTCGCAGGTGAAAGGCCTGAAGTCCCGGGTGATGCGGCAGCGGCTGCGGTCGCTGAAAATTCGGGAGGGGTTGCACCTGCAGATACCGCGGTGCGGGATCAAGCTGCTGCTGGTGCAGGAAAAGATGGGCCACTTTACCGAGTACTTCGTGCTATCAACTGCAAATATGTCTGGGCCTGGAAAGATGGAGCTTGTGATGCTGCTTTTGCATTCCAAACAAATCAGTATTGCCTGAGCAGCAAGAGAAGTCTAGCTTTTGTCACGCGGACCACGACGCATTTCTCATGCGGGATACACAGGCATCGAGATGCACTCAGAAAATCTGTTATGCCAGGGAATACATCACAGACGTCACGGGTCATGTAAAATCTGCGTGGCGAGTTGCAACCTTCCAGACCCAGACATATTTGCAATGCATACGTGCGTGCGGGCTACGACGTTGTGGACATGTACAAGAAGTACACCGACGTTGAGATCGACTTTATCCTGAACACGGTGGAAAAGCTCAACGAGATCACCTTCGAGCCCGATGATCGCGCTATCCCGTAGAAAAAAACTGGCGGAGACGGTGACTTTGTGATGCATACACATACGGTAACTAGCGAGGAAAAAGAACTTGTGACGCGCACCATCATGCTGGTGGGCTTGAGTACCAATCCCCCCCTCATGCGAAAAGACTTCTGCCCGTGGGTTGTTCAACATTTCCAGGACCTGAAATGTTACAAAAATATGCTGCTAGTGCCACCTTTTTTTCTCTTCGATTCCGGTCACACTGTACAAGCTGTTTCGGTACCGCTACTTTCTGGCGCCCGGGATTAGCAAGCCGCTCCGGAAACTGGACGCGATTCCGCGGATCGCACTGAACAAGCACTCCGCCCTATTGAGAGGAAAAATCCCCCCTCCCCATATCAAAAAGAAGTTTCTGATGCTGGATTTCAGTACACAAATCATATTTGTATTGCAGTAGAGGACTGCAGGCATATGCCACGCCTGAGCTGCGATGTTTTGGCGTAGGTTCCTAGCATGAAAAACGTCGATGGTGTAGGCCCAATAGCATCACAAACCGCCTGCATAATGCGGCGGATTCTTTGGATTGGCCTGCATGCATGACAGACAGGATTTGTGGTCACAAATCCGCATCACAGATTTTTAGGAGGAGGAGCTTTCAATATGGGGAGGGGGGATTTTTCCTCGCAATACGCCCGAGCCCCCGACGACGCCGACATCGACATGAAATTCCTGCTATCAAATGCAACTAGGTCTGGGTCTGGGAAGTTGTCAGGCTAACATTGGCATATGCAAGACTGATTGCAGTCGGCAGTCAATCAGGACAGAGTTGCATGAGCTGCCCTGTGTTGCATAACAAGTCATATGTAAAACCGCGCTTGTTTTGTATGACAAAGTAGAAACAGCGCTATTCGTATTTAGCGACATGCATGATACAGAGCATGGGACGAGTTCGGCAGTACAGAGTCAAAGGAAACAATCTTCCAGACCGAAGCATGTGTGCAGTTGATACCTGGAATCCGACAGAAAACGACAGGTGAAGCGCGTGCCCATGTTCGACGAACAGGCAGGGATGCGGATGGTTCAGCTAGAGAGATACGATCGCGAACTCGATCTGGTTTACGAAATCAAGGACATCCAGTAGGGAAGTGAAAAATTGCAGTTCTTTCGCCCGAAAACAGGTAGCACTTTTTTTGCATCGACCAGCAAGACAAATTTATTCTAATGCAGAGTGTCGGAGTTGATTGTGAATGTGATGTGACCGTAGTGCTGGAAGCGCAAGACAGAGTTTATAGAAAATAAGCCTCTTACTTTATTGCTTGCCATCGCGCTTGCGTTGAGTACCTCCACCTCTTCGGGGCAAGGAACGGCGTTTTTGTACGATTCCATATTTGAGTTTGCGCCTTGGAGTTCGAGCACTACGATCCGAAGTCCCTGTTGAAACGCGACCCGCGAGAGGAGGTCCTTCTGCGCCGCATGCATCGGGCGGACCGGAACGTGCTGCGGCGGCTGGACTTCGTCGCTACCCGCGACGACCGGCGGAAGAAAGTGCTGGAGAATATCCCAGAAAGAAAAGCTAGCAGGGCGCACTTGTACTGCAAAGATGAATAGGCAGAAGAGTGGTCTGTGGGCATGAACAGGCCCATAGTTTGTGCCTTCGGCCATGCGAGACAGAACTTTTCATGTATCTATTTTGGCATTACACAGGAGCTTCTTGCTTTTTTTTTGTGTGATAGAGAATCTACGGTACGGACGGATCATCTACTTCTACATGTTCCTCATGATTCTCTTCATGTCCCTCATCGCCAACATCAACACGTTGGGCATCGCGGGCGCGTTCACCGCCATGATAGAAACAACGTCTTTCGTCTCGGCGCTCGCTATGTACCTCGGCTTTCTGTTCATCTACCGCATCCTATGACGTGAAATAGCACGGCTCTCTTACTCTTTCTCGCGCATCTGTCCGGAGTTGCGGGTCAAAGATTATCCTACTCTGCATGACAAGCTGTGGCATCAGAGATAACATTGCAGGATGAATGTTCTATGCATAGATAACGACTACTTGATGTCATGCAGCTATGCTTTCTACTGCAGCTTGCAAACTCCCCTCTTGTTGACACGCCGATGGCTCGAGGAGAAAATCGCGCCCTCTCATAGACCGCCTTCTACTTTAAAGAGGGTCTTGACACGTACAAGTTGCGGAAAATGCTCTTTGTCGTGAAGCGGTTCCGGTCGCGATTGCTCAAATTCCGGGACAAAACCGAAAAGGAGCGGCTGGAGCGGTTTGACAACGTGCTGGCTTCCATCGACGAGTTTTTTCTGCAGCGCGGGCGCGAGCAGGCCGAGGCCGAGCAGCGCGCGCGCGACGAGGCGCTGCTGCAGAAGACGCTGTCCGAGGTATCAAAATGAAAAATCCCCCCTCCCCATACCGAAAGGGAGATTTGTGTAGCATGATTTGTGACCACAAATCACGTTGTCATGCTAGTCGGGAAGAGATGCGGATTGTAGTGCTGGCTGGCGTAGGAAAGCCTTGCGCCTTTAGCATGACAGAAAGCAACTGGAAACGGAAAACAGCATGACAAATTGCCTGCGAACGAGGGAGCAGCTGCGTCTCTTGGCCTTCTAGCAATACAAATCGATTTGTGTACTCAAATACAGCAACACAAATTTCGTTTTGGATATGGGGAGGGGGGATTTTTCCTCACAATACGAGGGATTGACCTTCGACTCCTGGTTTGAGCAGAAGTCCAAGATGCTCCTCCTGGGCGGTTATCAATTGCAAAAGTGTCTGGGTCGGGAAGAGTACAAACTTGTGATGCGCATTTCAGAACACAGAAAAATCTCCCATGCATAGGCAGCAAAAGCTGTCTACTTTCTGTCACCAAATTGGGGGATTTGTGATGCGGATTCGGCATTGCGGAAGCTTCTGGAAACCTGTGATGCTAGAGCTTCCATGCCAGACCTTCTGCGTCATGCAAAAACAGCATGACCCCTCCAGATCCAGACATTTTTGCAGTTGATAGGGGTCTGCGCTACGTGGCCGCGTCCAACAAAGAGTCCGAAAAGGTGATGCCCCCGCCCGCTAACTACCGCCCGGATTTCCCGGACGGCGATCGCGACGCGAAAATCATGGCCAAGGAGCAGTTCTACCAGAATGTTACCAGGGGCCGCCTCATGCCGATTCAGACCATTGGTACAACTGAATTGTTCATGTGAAATAAACGTGATATGATTGAATTTTCGGCGCTAAAATGGGTTTAGTTCTTTACTACATGGGACTATATGAGAAGATGCCTGACCCTTCGGAAGTACTTTTGCCGTGCCGTTGTACCAAGGAGTTTGAGAAGAAAGGCAGTACAACAACATTGTCAGTTTGCAAGTGCAGCAATACACAAGTGAAAGTGTTGATCATACATAAGACTCATTTATTCCCACAGACAATTACCCCGGCGGCAGTCTTCGCGCTATCCAAGATACCAGTCGCAGTCCAAAGCGAAGAATACAGGACCAGGACGAAGATTCTAACGAGCGCTCGCTACGCACTGCAAATAATCCTCGGCGAAGCTGTTACCACTGTAGCGACGTGTTGTACAACTAGATTCATTCTTGATGCGCGACAAGAAAGATCTTCCCATTCGAACTGGGAAATGAGCAAGCGATATTTGTTGATGAATAGTACGACCATGTCGACGTTGAAGAAAAATTCCTCTTTATGCAAGTTGCTATACCGCGTTGTAAATAAGTTCCGTACTACAACTTCAACTTGGACATTTTGCAGTGTATAGTTGCAGCTTCTCGACCAGTCTTCCAGCTCCCTCGGGGCCAGCTCGCAGCTCTCCCGGTCCCAGTTATCGCAGTCCGGAGCCCTGGGCCAGTCGGCCACGTCGTCGCAGGCGCGGACCGGGAGTCGCACGGCGGCGGGGTCGAGATCCTCGAAAACGCAGGGTCCCGTGCAGATCTCGCAGGCCCCGGAGGCGCCGTTCGGGCAGGGAAGCACGGCACACGTGGTGAACGTGAACGATCTATCAAAATGAAAAATCCCCCCTCCCCATATCAAAACCGAGATCTGTGATGGGGGATGTGTGTACACAAATCCAATCTGTCTAGCACTAGAGGACTGCAGGCGGATGCAGCGCCTGAGTAGGGGCGTTTTGCTGTAGGCACCTAGCAAGGCAGGCGTATCCTCTGTAAGCGATACAGCGTTACAAAGTGCCTGCGAAACGCGGCTGATTCTCTGGCTTTGCCCTCTTGCAATACAGGAACGATTTGTGGTCACAAATCAGCACCGCAAATTTTCAGTAGTGCCCCTTTTTGGTATGGGGAGGGGGGATTTCTCCTTACGATACGATCCGCAGCGGATGCGCGGGCTGCTCGGCGAGGCCGAAACGCTGGAGCAGGAGGTTTTGAGCAATTTTCCGCCCCGCGCACCCTTGCTATCAAATGCAAAAATGTCTGGGTCTGGAATGTTGCCGGGTTTGTCATGCGTAGTTTGCTTGATCCAGGATGTCTGTAATGCACGACCTAGCATCACAGATTTTTAGAGGGCTTCCTGCTGCCTACTCCGCATGACAAATGCCCTCCCCGCGTAGCACAAAATAGACTCCTCTTGCTGGTCATGCAATACAGATGTTTTTAGAGTCCAGAGCTAGCATCACAAGTTCCAACCTTCCAGACCCAGACATTTTTGCATTTGATACTTGCAGGGACCCAACAATACGGAGTTCACCCTGACCAGCAGCCAGCCGATGAGCTCGGGCGCGGGGGGCGCGGCGTCTTCCTCCAGCGGCAACAATGACGTGACGGGCGGTGGTCTTTCCGCGGCCTCCAATACCAACCAGCAGAGCGCGAGTGTGATCGACATGACCGGGGTCGTCCCCCCGCCCACGACGATAGGGAACGTGGAAAGTAGTGGTGGGGCGGCGGGGTCCGGGAGCGAGAGCGCCGCGAACCGACGGTCGACATCGAACACAGGCGGGCCACCGGGGAACGACCCGGACGACGTTTGAGGGTGGAGGTGAGAGAACTACTGCCACCAGCTCCTGCAAAGACGGAAATACAGTAAGAACCTCGTTCTTGGAGATGTGATGCTCCGAACCAAACCGAACAGATTCAGTTTAGGCCATAATACAGCAGGTGCTGAAACAAAGCGATAAGACTTCGAGCCTTTTTGACTACGTGAAGAGGCAGCTGGAGTGTCAAATTCACACTGAGGGTGAATAGCGATAATCAAAAATGTTCCTGATCCCGCCTGACGGTCCGTTATCGTCCGTTTCATATCGATTGCATTGAAAATTCTATGTCGTGCCTTCGTTTCGTCGTACGTTTACGTCGTCCCAAAGTATCGGTTATGTCGTCGTCGTGCCATGACGTTGTAGTTGTGTCCGGAGGAAGCCGTCGCTTTGCACGTATCGTTCTTCTTTCACCTCCTTTGTTGCTCTTTTGATCGGTCGTTTTACCACTGATCGCGCGCGTTCACGTTCATATATCATCGTCCACATCTATCGTGCAAGTTAGTTGTTGGTAAAGTGACTTTTAGTCAAGTAGAAAAAAAAATCGGTCACTACTTCGTACGCCCGCCAGCAGACAGTCTCGTTCGACGTGCGACTCACGTGCACATTTGTGTATATTAACCGTAGGAAAATAAATTCTGCCTCCTATCCTCCTTTCGAAATGAAATTAGAATTTCCCGACCAAAAACAGGACCACATGTAGAGTTAAGTACTTACCACCATTGTCCCCACATGAGCATGAAAAACATTTTTTGTTAGAATCGTACCCCGACGACCCCGTGCTTTTGCGATTTTTTATCAACATCGCACGATTGAGGGAGAGCTACACCAAATTTTTCATTGACCCTTCGTGTATGTTTCCCCATGCTCTTCGAAAGAAGTATAACCAGAACTAAAGTTTCCAGTAGGACTACAGAAGTTGTTGTATCATGGCGGCCCCTATCAAATGAAAAAATGTCTGGGTCTGGGAGATTGCGAGATTTGTCATGCTTGCCTGGCATGACTCTGAACTCTGTGTTGCATGGCCGCGAAGAGCTCCGCCTCCCTGTCATGCAAAAACGCAGTTTCTCATGCGGAGTACGCAACTCAGAACCATGGAAAAAACTTGTCATGCTTGGCAGCGCATTATAGTGAGTTCACTATTCCCTTTCTCGCATCACAAGTTTCCAGACCCAGACACTTTTGCATTTGATAGCCCCGAAGGACATAATCTTTGGTCGTTTGAACGCGGAGTTGCACCACCGAGCGCCCGCCGTTGCCCAAAGCGTGGTTGAACGCGCACCGACGGAAGCACTTGCTCCACCGGTATTAAACCCCCGAGATTTGGTAGCCGCAGTGGAAGAGAACGTCGTAGTTCCGCCGGTCGCAAGCGCAGCAACAGCAGCAGCAGCAGAAGCACAAGAAAAGGCTAACAGTCTGGTAGAAAACAACTACACAGCCGCGTCCGCTGCTGTTAAGGAAGACCCAGTGCTGACTACCAGTGCAGCATTCGTGCCGGCGAGACCTACTATCGAAGCGGAGGGTGAAGCTGCTGGGGCTGACGACGTAGTGGAGGAAGAGGTTGTGGAAGAGGTGGACAGTGCAGTACCCGTGGTTGTACCAGAACTACCTACTCGCGTTACTACCGACGCCGCTGCAGAAGTCGCAGCTTCTACTGGAAACACAACTGTAACAACACCCGCAAATCCACATACAGTTCCTGCTGTCAGCCTAACCGGAACAACCACGATGGCTACCTCGACGACGAAGAACCCGTCAGGCAGTTCTCCTGGAGCGGGAGCTGCGCCGCAAGCTTCCATCCCGAAGAAGAAGCCGACGCCGGCGAGCCGCGCGAAGGACACGTCGCAGGCCAGCGCGGACCCCGAGGCGGTCCCGATTCTGATCACGTTCGTGGACGTGCACCACTTTGAAACGGAACGCTATTTCTTCGCGGAGATCTCCAACGCCGCGTTCCAGCGGCGGGTGATCGGGAGAAGCCAAACGCTATCCGTCGACGTGACGTTCGAAACAGAGTTGACGATCCGGGTGTACGAGTCCCGGGAGCAGGCGTATTCCGACCCTTCGCTGGTGAAGGCGGTGGGGAAGTTGCGCATTCCCATGGCGAAAGTCGCGAAGATGCGGGGGTTGTACCGGCAGTGGTTCAATCTGGACCTCCCGGACGCGCCCTTCGGGTCCTCGGCAAACTTGGCCTTCGAGAAAAACTACTTGCACGTCGCGGAAGAGGTGTTCGTACCCAAAATCTGCCTCAGCATCACCCCCGGCGCCGGCGTGGGGAAAGGAAGGGTAATATGGAATTCTTAGTCATAGTTGTAGAGGAAGCGTGTATGGTCGTAGACTTCTTTGCTGTTTTCGTTTGGTGCATAAGTTGTAGCCGGCCAGTGCTCGAGAAGATTCATAATATGGCACACGACAAGAGCGTCGAAATATGAATCCTGAGTTTTTATTAGGAGAACAAACTGAAAAACAGCCCGGCGACGGCCTCCCCGACGTGGCTGCGGTCCTCGCGTCGCAGCGGCAGCTGGAAGCCTACGTCGATACGCTGCACAATGAGTTGATGTACCACAAGAAGCAGAACCCGTATTCCCTGCCGCAGAAGGATAGCCTGAACATGCAGGAGAAGATGCGGTTGCACAATTTCTACGAGAAGGAGGGCCCGGTCTCCGCCTTCCAGTCAATCAACGGCAACACGGTGGAGGCCCAGCGGCTAATGGACCAGGGGCTCAATGTATCAAAGTGAAAAGTGGTGCCCCCCCGACCCCTAAATGTGGAACTGTTTGTATTGCAAAATTTCCCAAGGGGAACATTTGCCGCCTTGCATGTATCAGCATGACACATGTTCAAGCCAGAGAAGTCGAAGTCTGTGCTGCGCAGCGCAACAGTATAAGCGATAGAGCTGGGCTGTTGAAAACTTGCGCAACTGGCTTAGATATTCTGAAACAAAATGCGTATAGAGCGTTATCTTTTCATGCAAGAGGTCAAAAGTAAGAGTTTCTCATGTGAAAATTTTTTTTGTAAATAGATACAAACTGCGCGGTCCACCGTTGTTGGTGGGGCACCATGTTTCATCTTGACACAACGCGCCAAAATCGCTGTTGATCGGTCCGAAGTCTCCGCCGGTGATTTCGATCGACAAGTACAAGAATTTGAACAATCTGAAGCAGTCGGGTGTCTACGACCCGAAGGTCGCCCCGCTGTACGAAGCCAAGGACAAGGGCGGGACGCTGGGTAAAATCGTGCAGTCGCCCGAGTACGGCTACGCCCACCTCGACGATCCGTTCATCGACGAGCACCCGGGCGGCGCCGAGGTGAAACCGGGCGTGCCGGACCTGTACGCCGCGAAGGACAGCCGGCCGATGACGGATCCGCACCGGAAGTCCTCGAAGGGCCAGTTTTTCACGGAGAGCACGTCGCAGGCGCTGGACCTGCGGGCGGAGAAACAGAAAGTGGAAAAGAAGGACGTGTGGGATATTAAAATGAAAAATGCCCCCACCCCCGAACTTGAAAGCATTTGTATTGCAAACCTTTCCAAATGAAACATTCGCCCTCTTGCATGTATCAGCATCACAGATTTCCGATCGTGAATAGCAAGAATTTGTATTGCAAAAGATCCCAGTAAGAGCGGTGCTTTTCATGCAAGCGATGCGAAACACGACTACGATCTGCATCAGAAAGATTCATACTCCTTTCATGCATGACAAAAAGTTTCCATTTGGAAACTTCGCATCACAAATTTTTGCAACTTTGGGGGTGGGGGGCGCTTTTCATTGTAATATGGGAAAAGATGAGCGCGAACGCGTTATCGTATTTAAAAACGTCCCCACACCATAGTCAAGATGGGAAATCTGCAACACAAATCTCCAACTTTTGGGAGTTCTGCATGACAAGCTTCCAACTGCAGTGTAGTGCAGGGTAGCAAGGAAAGCCACATGAGAAAGCCATTTGCTCATGCTGTTTGCAGCATTACAAATTGGAAAACACGACTGGAAATGCCTCTCAAGGAGATGCGCATTACAAATGTTCCTGTCATTGCACATTTGCATGACAACTCTGGTGTGGGGACGTTTTTACATAGGATACGCGCTAGCCGCGCCGACGGGCGTGAAAACCGACACGAAAATTTTGCCCGTCGGGCTGCCCGGGCAGCTGGAGGCGCTGTCCGAGGAGCAGCAGCTGCGGGAGGAGATTGAGCACCGCCTGCGCATGGAGAAGGAGGAAAAGCTGTGGCAGGAGAAGAAGAAACAGCAGCAGCAGGCGAAGGAGGGCGGCGCGAAGGGCGCGGGCCCCAGCTTTTACGACACGGCGACCAAGGGGAAAAAACCCGGGGTCGACGTGAAGAAGGACGAGGTCCGGATAAACGCGATCTCCATGAACAAAGAGGAGGAAAGCAACTATCTGGAAGAGATCGACGCGTTGAAAAACGCGCCCGGGAACAAGAAAAAGCTGTTCGTCACGCTGGAGGACGGCACGCAGGTGGAGTTGGCGCATGTCGTATCTTCGAAGTCGAGCAAAGGAACTTCTTCTGCCCGCTACACCAGCCTCGTGACGGCGCCGGCGTTCGAGCTTGATCCGAAAGTGGCCGCGGACGAGCGGATCAAGCGCCGGGAGAGCCTGTCGCGGGGGAAGCGCATGAGCGACCAGGTGAACGAGCCCTTGACCTTGAACCAAGCGATCGAACTCGGACCGCTGTCCGAGCTGGCGGGCCACTCGGCCAGCATCGGCCTGTCCCCCGTCCCAGACTTGCCGGCCGTGGACATGGGCCCCTTGACGAAGGTACAGAGCGAGAAGTTCACGGCCGTGCAGCCGAACCTGCAGATGCTGTCCCACCAGCTGCAGCAGCAGCTCGCCAAATTCCCGCCGCAGGGACTGAAGCTGGAGCAGCCGCCCATGCCGCTTTTGAAGACGAACCTGGACGGCGAACTGAAGTTTGCCCAGTTCCCCCCGCGAACCGCGGGGTTGGCGTACCGCGGGTCGGTCTCGTCCGTGGCGGGCGGGGCGGCGGGGAGCAGCGAGAAGCAGCAGCTACTCGACATGACCCCGGTGTACCGCGCGATGCAGGACGATCCGAACTCGGTCTTCAAAGTGCCGGAAAACGTGGTGCTGCCGAAGGAAACGGAACGGGAAATCAACCAGTCCGCCCTCGTATGGATTGTAAAAATGTCTGGGTCTGGAAGGATGCAACCTGTGATGCTACCTTTGGACTCTACATAAAATCTGTATTGCATGAACAGCAAAAAAGGTCCAGTTTTTTGCTACGCGAAAAGGGTATTTCTCATGCGGTATGGGCATCAGAAAGTCCTCGGCCTCGCAGAGTCTGTGATGCTACGGCTTGCATCACAGCCATCATGAGTCATGCAAAATCTGCATGACAAACTCCTGCATTCTTCCAGACCCAGACATGTTTGCATTTGATACCTCGTCGGCGCGCAGTTGGTCGGAAACAGCACGGAAGATAGCATCATGACAAAGCCGGAGCAGGCTTTATCGAACCAGAGAAACGCCGGCGCCGCGGATGTAGTGTCGGATAAAAACAACAAAAACACGGTAAACAAAATGGCGAAGGACCTGCAGAACGCAAACAACACAGGAGCTATGTCCAGCGGGAACCTAGGCTCCGGTCGCGGAGACCAGAAGAACCAACCTGTGGCCATGTTTTTCCCCGAGAGCTCGCGAAGTGAAAGAGACAGCTCGGAGGAAGAGTTTCTGAAGCAGAATGTCAGCTTTCTTGACATGGAAGTTCACCTGGACAGGAGTAGCTCTATCGCTGGTGGTGCTACTGAGCAAGAGCAATCAGGGATTTTGGATCAACATACTGAGACCACGGCAAGAGCAGCAGCATCTCTAGTACTGTCGGACGAGAAACAGACTGCAGGTGTACAAGCTGGGACCACCGCGAATAAAAAGAAGAAAACACGAAGTAGATCCAGTTCAATATCCGGCAAGAGGAACTACGCGGAGCAGAACACAACATTTCTCTTCTCCACCACAGAGGCGGGACCGGCTGGTGATATAGAAGGTTTTAGGAATGACACTGGAGCTGCTCCTGCTGTACCAGCAGCGTCCAGTCCAGATTTTGTTTGGCCGCTCTCGATCCGGTCCGCTTCCAGCACCGCGAGCCGCACGTTCGCCAAGCGACGCGGCTGGAGCAGCAGTACGAGTAACAGCAATGTTTTTGGTGCCACGACGTCCATCGAACCAAAACTGCTGGGCAGCAAGAAGACCTCTAATTCTGTCGCAAAGAAGAGCAGGGCCTCGGGTGCAGCAGCAAGTTCGTCGAAAAGGTCTTCCAAAGGTGCGGGAGCTGCAGTTGCTTCATCCCTGCAAGAAAATATTAAATCCACATTAGAACAACTCGCTGGAATAACAACGACAACAAACACCTACCTGTTCGTTGCAGAAGGCGAGCAGGCCCCGGAGGACATTCCTCCTCCCGCAGACGCCGCTGCTCCGCCGCCACCAACGGCTGTTAGTGCCAAGCCCGGTCCGCCGTCCTCCGTCGCCTCGTCGGGTGGTTCTCGCTCCTTCGCGAAGAAGCGCGGGTTCCAGCCGAAGCCGCGGGGGGAGGCGGAGGGCGAGAACGCCGGCAACATGATCGAGGTGACGTCCAACGCGAGCGGGCTCGCCGGGCAGCTGGACGCCGAGGTGAACCAGGCGGCCAAGGTGCGGGGCATCAGCGACACGGAAAGCTTCGCGACGCCGGCCGACAAGAACCTGCGGCAAATGACCAACAAGGGCGAGTACGTGTCCGCCGGGGCGCCGAAAAAGATCAACGAGGAGAACTCGTCCGGACCCGGGGAGAGTGGGTCGGAGGAGGAATCGGACGACGTCGGGCTGTCCAGCGACGACCAGTCCCGATCGGAGCCCGGGAAGCCGCGGCTCCCCCCCGGCGCGACGGCCATGCAGATGAACGCGGCCATCCCCGCGGCGGCCGACAAGGCGCAGCCGTTCGAGTCCTACGCGCACATCGGCGCCGTGCACACCGCCATGAACGACGTGATGCAGCACCTCGCGGTCCGGCACACGCGGATCCACAAGGAGCTCCAGGGGCTGGACAAGCACGCGCATTTGCACCACCGCCAGCCGCTCCACAGCCGGCAGCACGGGTCGCGGAAGAACCGGCACTTCGCGCACAAGATCGACTTTGTGAACGCCAACCCGATCGACTTGGTGAACTACGGGAACGCGCCGATGCCCTCCGACGTGGAGCTGTCGGACAGCGGGGACAGCACCTTCGAACACGTGCCCTTCACGTCACCCGACGTGATGCGCTTGATCGAGAAGCACTCCATGAAGATCCGGCCGAAGAATCTGGAGAACACGAGATACAACAACTGGGGCGGGCAGGAACCCATCGACACGAGTTTGTCCCCCGAGGGGTCTTTAGAGCCCGGCAAGAACTTCCGGCGGAAGGTGGACTGGCGGGACACGCACGGAAACAAAGACCACGTGAAGAAGCACCAGGAGAACCCCGTCCCGAAGTACTCCACCATCCCGGGCCACGAGGTGTACGACCACCGGAAACGGCAGTCGAAGACGAACGTGATGAACCACCTGCGCAACCAGGTGCTGGACTCCGTGGAGAAGGGGCATCTGTTCCAGCCGCCGGAGCAGTTGCACCAGGAGACGGAGACGTCGATGCCCCCGCTGCCCCCGGAGGAGAACCCGCAGCTGTTTTACGGCCGGGAAAGAACCACCGCCCCGCAGGAGCTGCGGTCTAGTGCGAAGCCGAAGGAAAAACTCGACCTGCTGAAGGACTACTTCAGCTACCGCCTGAAACTGGACCGCGCGGTGAAGAAGGCGGGCGTGGTGGCGAAGTTGAACCCGCGGGCGAAGGAACCCACGGCGGGCACGGCGGCGAGCCACATGCTGTGGTCCCGGATCCGGGACAACCTCGGGCGCACGAAACTGCAGCTGAACATGCAGGCGAAGGTGACCGGGCAGGACGTGACGCAGAACCTGAAGCACTGCGAGGACGTCGTGAACGACGCGTTAGAACACGTCCACGAGAAGAACGAGCACCTCGCGCAGAACAAGCACAACGCGCACATGGCCTGGTCCAAGCTGCGGGGGGCCTTCTCGGTGAAGTCGTTCATGGCCAAGACCATGCGGTCCTCCGTCGAAACCCCGACGGACGAGCTGTTGAAGGACCTCTGCGCGGACATGATGCACGCAGTGGGCGAGGAGTCGAACCGGGTGGCGGATCCCATCGTGTTCGACGCGCTGCACGACCTGGAGCTCGTGAAGGAAGCGGTGCGGGAGATCGTCGCGGACGACCTGTACGAGGGGGAGGGGGACGTGATCCGGAAGCAGTTCGAGCAACAGGGCTTGTCCCTTCACACGCACGAAAACGAGCACAGCGAAAGAAAAACCGAGGAGGATAGAAGTAATGAACAGCCAGGCCCTGCTGATTTCCAACTCCCGGCCACCACGTCCCAAATCGCGAACAACTTGCTGTCCCAGCCGCGCCACTACGTGGACGTGCGGCAGCCGACCGGCGGCGCGGGCAGCGACGAGTTCCAGCACGCCGCGATGAAAACACAGCTTTTGCTCGAGCAACTCCAAAACGCCACCACCACGCAGAATGTGCAAGGCGGTAGTATCGCGCCGCTCGGCTACCCCACAACGGGGGCTGGAGGTGGTTCCACCGCGCCCTCCGCCGTCGGGCCGCCGCAGTCCATCGTCGGTCCGCAGCAGTCCACGGCTGCGTCGGGCTCCGCGATGGCCGGCGTGGCCAACGCCACGGTGGCCGGGGCGTTCAACTTCGGGATGTCGATGCAGGGCATGAGGGTCTTGCAGGAGGAGCAGCAGTCGTCCGCCCTGTCTACTTCCGGGTTCAGTCCGCAGTTCGTGCCCGGGATAGGGACCTCGCTCGCAGCGCCCCTGCAGACCGCGGGCAGCGTTCTGAACCAGCAGAACAATAATTCCCCGTCCACGAGGCAAACCACGATGAACACGACGCTCGCGATGCAATCCGCGTCCCCGGAGTGGAACCGGGCGAAAACGTTGGCCAACATGATCGCGGAGGAGATCGACGAGGACATCGCTTCGAACGGAACGGTCGATAGCAACAAGGTGAACGGGAAAATCCGGAGGGCGCAGGCCGAGACCCTGGCGAACTTGTTCCACTCGCAGGCGAACTTGTTGCTCGGAAACAACGTGCAGTTGACCGATGAAGAGGCGATTTCGCTGAAAGACAAGGCGGTCGGGCTGTCCAGGCAGCTGGCCATGGTGGCCAACGCCGGGGACCAGAAGAAACTGGAGGAAAGCCGCGCGGAAGCGAAAAAAATCACGGAGTCGCTCATCAAGGAAATCCAGAACTTGCAACGAAAAGCGATCTACATGTGACCAAGTGCCAGTTCATCTTCGGTGGTTGTGACAGTGTTTGTGCTTGTTTAGAAGTACTTTGAGAGGCATTTAGTTTGAAAAGATACAATTTCGTTGCGCAAATTTTTTGATATTTTTTTCTTGAGTACAGTAAGCAGTTTTTGTTTTTCAGATTCGAAAAGGAAATTAATCGCAGTAGGCATGGCAACAATGGAAATCGACGTTTTGTAGAAAAAGCCCCTGAAGCAGATTTTGAGACATAATTTACAACTTTTCACATATAACAACTTCATTTGATTAAGCATAATGTCATAAGTTTTTCGCAAAAAATTAGAAATCAACATAACGCAAATTAGGCAGTACACATAAAACGCCGCTTGTTAGGTACTTGATATTCATCCACCTTTCTAATTCTACCCCTGTTTGTTCCTGTATTCCCATACCACTGACCCCCTCCTAGTCCTAGCAGTAGTTCCGTAACGACTGGAAGGCATGCAACTGCGCGGTAATTATGCATTCGACAAGTTGATGCTTGTCATGCATAATGGAGCACCAGCGTACAAGACTAAGACACACGACGCCGTGACGCGATTCGAGCGACAGCACCCCACGACCACGACCACGACCATGAATGGCACGTACCCCGTGCAAAAAGTGCGGTGACTGGTTTTGCTACAACTGGCTTCTCGTTCTTCATATATCATAATCAAAATCATGTAGAGCAATTGATGTAGTGCAAGAAACACAAATACTAGTACGAGCAGAACCAACATCCTTCTGTGGCTCATCGAATCACGTGAACAAGTAGGAAGAATGCCAAGTGCATTGCGGTGCGACGCGACGCGACACGCAACGCCATGAAAGATCAACAATAAAGCTCCACTAGTTACAAGAACCTGCTAGATTGATGTCATAGCCTGACTTCTCATTTTACGCATGATTCTCTCCGACGCAAAAGATAGCAATTGAAACGAGCGCCGTCGGCGAGCTCGCCGTGCTTTCAGACAGTTGAGTTCATACTCAGGAAGATGCTGTTCTACACAACCTTACAGAACAAGTAAGTGTCTGCTTGCTGATGAAGCATGGAACTCTGCAACTCCTAGAAATATGCTATGATCCGTCTGGTTCTTTTGAAGAAAGAGCAAACTGACATGAGATCTGGTGTGAAGAACAAGAAGCCCGGTGAAATACAGAAACGAAAACTGTCGGAAGTAGAAGATGGGTTCCAAGTGTCTCTTTGTGCTTGTTGTGTCGTTATGATGAAGCTCGGGGCTTAGTAATTCTTTGAGATCGAGAATTACGACTCGTTGATGCTGCTGGAAGATCTTTCCCTGGAGACACATGACGTGGTGTTGTTGTCAGAGCACTGAACTCGTCTTCCCGCCGGAGATCGCCCTCATATCATAGGCGGATCCTCGTCATCTATTCTTTTGATCGGAACATCTCATCGTGTAATCGGATAAGCGCAACGAGACCTCTTAGTTTTTTCTTGACCTTCACTCACGCTTTGACACCTAAGTACTTACTCAATTTCCTTCATCCAGCAACTTGCTACAACTAGTGATTGACGATTATATAACATTCGAAAATCAACAAACTGCATAAGTTCGAGTATGGTCTGTGTGGACCTCCCCACATCGTGTGTATTCTTCTCTTGCTCGATGGGCAAGAGGGAAATACATCCGCAGAAATGCGTTTTCCAAAATGCAAAAGGCGAGGACGGCTCCCATAAGCGAAAGAAAAAAGTAAAAAGAAAAATGAAGAACAGTGCGCAGCAAGTGAAGACGAGAGCGAAGAAAGGGCATAAAGCGAAGAAAATTAAGAGAACGAAGAAAATTAAGGAAACGAAGAAACTTACGAAAAAAACGAAGAAGATTAAGAAAAAATCGAAGAAAAGGCGTGTGCAGACCTCTTCTGATCCTGCCCCGGAATTGCCCACGACAGTCTCGCCGCCGATTCGGGAGCAGGCAAGAAAAGAACAAGAACTAATGCCAAAAATGCCAGCAGCAGGAGCAGCACGAGCAGGCAGCGCGACGCCCACCACGAAGACGACTCCGGAAGAGGAAGCGAACAGAGCGCGACACCAATCGCTCACGGAGCAAATGGCCGAGATTGTTGTGGACTTCATCCTGTCGGGGGTGATGCAATCGCCGAGCGAAGTTGTTTCCTTCGTCCTTGTCTGCCTGATGAGGTTTCCGATTTCACAGCAGCAGAAGCCAGGGAGTACTTCTACACCCCCAGTTGGGGGAGCTGCAAATCCAAATACCACTTCGATAATTGACACTTCCGGCGACCCGAAGCTATTAAGCTTCTGTCCGAAGCGGGTCCGGGCTTTGATAGCGCGGGCAACGTCGGAGTCGAACAGGCGAATGCTAGAACTGGTAGCGAAAATCCTACCCCTGGATCAGAAGCGATCCTTGTGTCGCTTTTTCGGGAACGAGATGGAGCACCAGCATGCTTCTCCGGGTTTTGGCCTGAGCCGAGACCGGGACTTTTGGCTAGCCGTGGCGAGTGCGCTGCGCCGTGCCGCCAGCCGGGTGACCGGCGTGGTCCGGCAGGGCCTGCTGGAAGCGCAGCAACGGGCGAAGGAGGGCGAGGTCCTGAGGCTGCTGCGGGAGGCCACCGCCGGCAGCTACGCCCGGCCCGGGGCGTTCGAGAGAATCGAGGCGGCCTGGGGCCAGCGGTGCGACGAGGCGCCGGCGGGGTTCCTGAACGTCGGTATGCAGTGCAAAAATGTCTGGGTCGGCAAGGTTGGAACTTGTCATGCTAGATCTGAATCATGGAGAAATCTCTGTTGCATGATTACCAAATGCTGTCCACTTTTGATCAAGTTGAGAGGCACTTTCTCATGCAGGGTAGGCATGGTAGTGATCTCACGGAATCTGTCATGCTAGGTCCTCCATTACAACAGATCACATGGGTCATGGAAAACCTGCATCACAAGTCTAGCAAAGTCCCAGACCCAGACATAGTTGCAATTCATAGTCGGCCCGCGCGTGCGGATTTCGCAGGAGCACGCGGGCGATCTGGAAGACTGCCAAACGCTTGGCGGCGTTCGTGTCAAGCGCCAGCTATGGTGCCCGGGAAAAGCATTGCGTTTGGGTCGACGGTACAGGAGGCGCTTACAGCTCGTGCGTTTTTGTGAATGGTACCGTTACGTGATGAGAAAGAAATTTATCGCGCAGAAACAATTTTTGCATACTTGACCAAACAAAGAGAAAGACGCGGCTTTGGTTTGCATTGCAAGTAGCCTTTGTGGCGGCCCATATGATTTTTCAACAGTACACAGCGGTATGACCACGCATTCCGCACTGCTAGTACCGACGTAGACGCAATTGACGCAGTTTGCCTTTGATGCCCACTTGCGTGGTGGTTTGACGTGGGTCCGGCGGACATTTTGGAAAGAATCGCGCGCCCCTTCGTTGGTGGCGCGCTGAGTATGGAAGAACAAGCCGAGGACAGAACAAGGCCCATCATCGCCGGTCTCGCTTCGGGCGTGTCCACCGCAGACCAGGAGGGCGCGCTGCTCGTGATCGAACCCCCGGCCATTCCCGCGCCCGAGCGCGTGTTCCGAAAGAACGCGATGAAGGAGCAGCGGACGAAGGAGCAGACGGCCGAGCGCGCCCGCCTCGCGATGCAGCGGCTCGTAACGGTCGCGCTGGATGCGAACGGAAATAGGGGCACGTGGCGACGCGCCGTTTGCGGGGCGGCGAAAGTGTTTGTGCTCTACGACGCCCTCGTGCACAACTTCAGCCGGTACCTGGGGGAGGTGGAGTTTACCACGGGCTGCGAGAGATGTGTTCGCGCGGCCAGCCGAGTGCACAAGCAAGTCACCGAGGTGAGACACAAGTTGGTAAACTGGATCGGCAAGCACGCCGGCCGGGTCGCCGTCTGTCTGACCGCGAAGGCAATCGACCAGGGGCCCCACGCGGCGGTGTTGCGCACGGGGCTGGAAAAAGGCGGGCACCCAGACGGGAAGGAGTTTTGTCTGTACTGCGTCGCGTTTGACAGCGACTTTGCGAGGCACGTTGGCGGCGCGGAGATTCACTTTCAGATGGAAAAGGACCAGAAACAGGTGTCTTCCACTTTGTTGGCTGGAAACGCGAACTAGACGCACTATAACAAATGAAAATGACGAAGTGGTGGCGCTGTGAAATTGCTGTGCTGATTTCTCTTCTACTAATCTGTACCAGCAGATGAACTGTAGTTGCCACATTGCACGTATATGCACGATCTTTGATCCTTTTTCGGAGCCTGTTCTGTGGTGGCATTTCTGGTGATTTTTCTAGGAGAGACAGAGTGGTGAAAACTGTGAGGGAGCCGCTATGTTTCTACAAAGCGATTCTAGTATGGGTTTTTGCTCGCAGGCTATGAAAATGGTGAACCAGATCCGTGATTGAAAAAATCAAGTTTTCCATCGGTCTCATCTACCCTGCAGTCCTTGTCGTGGTTTCACTTTCGTGCTTTTTCTACTGAATCAACTACGCATGGCACAGCATGCACAACGAACTCGTGATCTCCAAAAGAACAGCTACCAGAAAGGTCAACGTCTCGGTCCAAATCTAGCAGACCGCCGTCCAATTTCTCTTTAAATGATGTGAGATTCGCCAAGGTTCCTCGCGACACACGCTCGCGGCCGCGTCCCGGTCGCAAGACCGCACCTGCTGCGCGTAGCAGCACTTGTGCAGAAAGTCGTACAAGTTCTTCTTGTGCGCACGAGCTAAGTGCTTAGCATTCTGCCGGATACGAGGACCCAAGATGTGGCTTTCCGTTTTACGATTCTCCTCCCTTCGCTGCCCATTGGCAGCAAGGGTAGTTCTTGCAGCGATCTTTTCGACGGCTACTATACTGCTGGACTTCAATGCTGTAATAGTGCCGGCAACCGCTGTCCTGGTAGTGGAGAAAAGGCAAGGGCGCATGGAAGCTGCGGAACATAAACTGCAACTGCATCAACTTCTAAATGCAGACGAATCTTCCCGCAGCAGCAGTTCGACGACCGCTGTTCGGCAGCGGCAGCAGCAGCAGCAGCAGCAGCACGGAGGTGGTCTTGTTGTGCTCCAGAAGAACGCCATGGTCCAGAAGGTGATCGAGATTCTGGACGGCATCGGGAAAAAAGCCGCCGCGGACCTCACCGAACGGACCACATTTCACCGGCAGGAGCAGCAGACCCTGGGGACGTCGTTGTCGGAACAGAACCAGATTTACACGGACGCGGAAACCACTTTGGTGACTGCCTCGGCAGAGAAGGCGACCGCGGAGAACGATCTGGAGAAGTTGGCGGAAGAGGACAGCCTGCTGCAAACGGAGCTGCGGGAGAGCAAGAAGATCCACGCGGAGAACGAAGCGGAGCGGAAGAAGGAGCACGGTGAATACCGCGAGGTGCTCACAAAAAACGAGGAGTTTTCGAAGGCGGTGAGGACCGCGTTGGACCAATTTGACGTGTTAGCGATGAAATTGCAGGAAAGCGGGACGGCGATGAGCAGCAATGCGGTGTCCTTTTTGCAGACAGACACGAGGACTTATACTTCCAGCACAGAAGAAGCCAAGCAGCACAGCGCAGCGGTGGAGATGATTTTGGAAACAACAACATCAACTCGCGGAGGTCTATCCGAGAAGAAATCCTCCAAAAAATCGCTAACGAAAGCCAGCAGTGTCGAGGATTTGAAGCAAATGATCGAGGAGCTGGAAACGCAGGCCATGCAGGAACTCGAGGAGCTCAATACCGAGGAGAAGACCGCGGTTACGACCTACGACGAGAAACAATCACTGCTCCAGTCCGAGATTGACCGGTGTGACACGCTATCAAATGCAAAAATGTCTGGGTCTGGAAGATTCCGGGATTTGTCATGCTAGTCCGGCATGACTTTGAGCTCTGAATTGCATGGCCGCAAAGGGCTTCTCTTGCCTGTCATGCGAAAACGCAGTTTCTCATGCAGAGTATTCAACTCTGAACCACGGAAAAACTTGTCATGCTTGGCAGTGCATTACAGTATGCGCATTTTTCCCTGACTTGCATCACAAGTTTCCAGACCCAGACATTTTTGCAGTTGATACACGCGGCTGACGAAGATAGACGAGGAGAAATCGGAAAAGGCGGCGATTGTCACCGAGAAAACGGACGCGATCAAGACGGCACAAGAGTACTCCGACTCGTCCGGGTCGCTTATCGTTTCTCTGGGGAATGAGATTGACGCGAAGAAGAAGGAATTCCTGGAGCTGGAAAAGGACTTGAAAATGCAGATTTCCGCCTGTGCGTCCGCGGTGAACGTGCTGAAAAGCAGTGCGATGGCAACAGCTGCGATGATGTTCTTGTATCAACGGCAAAAGCTCATCTTGAGGTCTATCGTGTAGAACTCGTTGTGATTAAGTATCTGAATCAGCGGTGCAGATTGCTTCAGAATTTTTATCTTTTTCACAACAAATGATTTAGATTTGTACGTGGTCCAAGTGCGTCGATGCTTTTGCAATGCATAGTTTGCAAGAAGGAGCAGAACACGGCGATTCCTTGAAACGGGTTTTGGAGCACGCGCAAACGCAGGCGATGCGGTTGGCGACGGCGTCGATATCTGGGGAACATCAAATGACCACCGATGCGCAAAGTAGTTCTAGCGCAGCCGCTTCCACGACCCAGAGGATGAACATCAAGTCGACTACGTTTATGATTTCTGAGCAACTACGGGAAGCGAGGAAGCAGCTGTTTAGAAGCAGCAGATCATCTTCTACGGCTTCGACAGAACAATTGAAGCAGAATCCTGATCAGGACAGCACGAGCTCCTACGTTTCCACTTCCATGCTGAAAGTCGTGAACTTGGTGAAAAACCTCATCTTGAAACTGAAACAGGAGAACATCGAGGACATGAAGGCACAGCAGATGTGCGACCAGATGCTGAAATCCGACGCGCAAACGCTGCACTCCGCCGCGGGCATTCTGAAGTGGTACCAGACCACGAACCAGAAGTTGCACGGAGAGGTGGCGGAGATGTGGCAGGACATCGAGGACGAGAAAGTGGATTTGGCGAAGGTCCAGGCCAGCATGGACAAGCACAACCAAACTTTCGTAGAGTCCAACATTTTGAACGAGAAGCAGTTGGCGGAGGCGCAGGAGGCGATCCCGATTCTGGAGTCCGCGCTTTTGGAACTGGACCGCCCGGAACTGGCGCAAAATTCCGCCATCCAGAACGCGATCGCCATGCTGGAAGTGGTGGAAACCGACATGAGCAACACGGTGACCAACACGGAAAACCAGCTGCAACTGGACTTGAAAAACTACGGGGAACTGCACGCGAACGAGCTGGCGACCAAGACGGCGATGCAGCAGGAGATTATTTTGAAGAACGAAACCATGTGGGCGAGCGGAACTTTGCTGAAGATCAACGAAGACCACCACGAGCCGTGGGCGGCGCAGAAGGTCACGGCCGCGGAAAACAAGTTGACCAACAGCACGCGTATGTGCAACGTGGCGGAGTCCTACGAGGCACGGAAGTTGAAGCGGGATCAGTTGCTGGAATCCTTGAAGAGCGCGTTGCAACTGGCCAGCTCCCAGGCGGCGACGATGGGCAGCAATAGTGCTACAGCAGCGACGTTGGTGCAGACGGGAAATAGTAATTCGAAGAACGGCCGCTTGTCGAACAGGTTGCAACATGCGGAAATAAAGGAACAAACCAGCGAAACAAGCAAAGACCAGAGAGCTATTACAACTTCTAGCGATTTCCACGACGACGACCTCGCGGACGAGTTTGAACGGGAGCGGAAACGGCAAATTCAAGTCGTGACGGAGAAGGTCAAAAGTGGCAAGGAATTCATTTCTACTTCATCCTCTACCAGCCGTGCTCGGGGACTCGCTCCGAAGATGAAAAGGAAGGTAAAAAAATCTCTGTTCCAACAAGGTACTACGTCCCTTGCGGAACAGGAAGTCTTCTTGCGGCAGCTGCAAAAGAGGAACCAATTTTTCGTTTACCAGAAGAAAACGGAAGGAACCGCGAGTCAAGTCGCAGTCCAAGACCCGCCGGCCGAGCCGATCGCGAAGGTCATCACGTTACTGGAGAAAGTCAGGCAGGAGGTGGAGCAAGACGTGGATAACGACGCTGACTGGTTCGCGAAATTCCAGAACTACTGCGAAACGGAGAAGAACGAAGCCAAGTTTCAGATCGAGAATTCCGACAAGGAGAAATTGTTAGAGGAAAAAGCTGGGCTCACCGGGACCATCGCGGCTTTGGAAATGGACATCGAAAATTTGACCGCGGATTCGGCGGAGATGCAAGCCTCCTTGAAGCAATTGGTGGAGGTTTTCGAGATATGCATTGCAAAAGTATCGTACTCGTATAAATGCATTATAAATTTCCCCAGCATGAGAAATCGAATTTGTAACGCAGGTTTGCCTTGGAAACAAGATTTGTAATGCAAGACTTGCATTTGTACGAGTGCGATACTTTTGCACAGGATGCGAGAAGGAACTGGCGGAAAAGCAGGAGCTGGAGCAGGACTATGCATTGCAAACATGTCCGGATCTGGAAGATTGCCAGGTTTTTCATGCACATTTTGCATAACCCATGATGCCTGAAATGCATGTCCTAGCATCACAGATTTTTGAAGGTCCTTCTGATGCGTATTCCGCATGAGAAATTATGCACACTCCGCGTAGCACAAACTGAACTCCTCTTGTTGGTCATGCAATACAGATTTTTTTTACCTTCCAAAGACAGCATCGCAAGTTGATGCAACCTCGCAGACCCAGACATATTTGCATTCGATAAGGACCTCGTCGAGTCGATCGGCGCGCTAAATGGCGCTTTGGTGATTCTGGGAAAGCACAGTTATGGATTGCAAAAATGTCTGGGTCTGGAAGGATGCAAGGTTTGTCATGCTTGTCTAGCATGACTGAAAAGTCTGTAATGCGTGTCCAAGAAGAGACCCCTTTGCTTGTCATGCAAAAACGCAGTTTGTTATGCGAAAAGCGCAACACTGTAGCCCCGCAAATATTTCTCATGCTTGGTTGTGCACTACAGAGCACTTACTACTCACATCTCAGCATTACAAGTTTCCAGACCCAGACAGTTTTACATTTGATAACAGTGGGAGTGCAACAACTTCTTCTTTCATCGACGAGGGGGTGGTTTTACCGGCGAGTGACGTGCGCAGTCTGACCTTGTCGAGGGTGTTCGACGTTCTGCAGCAGTTTCTGTTTGGAACTTCTCCGACTTCATCTGTAAGAACGATTCCAGCAGGCGTTATTTCCGACACGAAAATTACAAACACGCTTGTTCCACAAGGTAAAGACAAAGAGCAGATCATGCAAAATCAAGCCGGTCCTCCAACATCGTTATCAATGAAGCCGCAACTGCTGCAGATTTTGAAGGACCACCAGATCCCCGCGCCGCCGACATCCCGCACGGAATTCCAATCTGCCGGAACCCAGAAGGTGTTCGGGATCCTGTCCTCCATGCAGGAGACTTTTACCAAAGACTTGGAAAAAACCAGGGCCGATTTGACGCACAAGAAAACGGAATTTTCGTCGTTGAAGGAGAAGAAAACGGAAGAAATCTCCGCCACCGACGACTCTATTTCCCAGAAGAAGCAGGAACTGTCGACCAACAGTTTGCAGCTGTTGCAGGTGGAAAATCAGCTGGGAAAGTCCGGCGATGTGTTGGAAGAGGCGAAGAAGACGTTGCACGAGCTAGAGGTGACCTGTCAACTCCAGAGCGAAGAGTACGACACGCGGGTCACGGCACGGGAGCAGGAAGTTGCGGCGTTGGACGCCACTTTGGAACGGTTAATGGGCGGGAGCAGCGGGACCAACACTACAACCGTTGTACCAACAGGAAGTAGCAGCGCGTTCACGCTGTTTGCGTCGAAGCACGACGGGTCCGCGACCTCGACAAGAGCGTCGCAGATGACCAAAGCTTCTGCAGCTCGTCGTGCTGGAGAATCGTTGTTCAAACGGCGAAAAACATCAAGCCAGCTTGTGGATAAAAAGCGGAAAATTTTTCAAAGAACAACCGGTGCTAGTACTTCCGTTCCCGTTCCGGTTGAAGAGGATGCAGCTGGTCGTGGACGAGCACGGGCTGCGGCGAAGGCGGGTAGTGGAACAGTAGAGGAAGCGGGCGCGGCTGGTTTAGCGACAACGAAAGGCGGGCGAGCGGCGTCTCCTATTAGTGGATCTACTAGTACTTCAAGAACAGAAGCATCCGCCAAGAAGTCGTCCCTAGCTTCTCCGATTTTGAAGTTGAAAAGTTTGAAATTTTCGGACGACGAAGACGCGAATTCGTTGGACGCTATCAAATGCAAATATGTCTGGGTCTGGAAGAGTGCAGAAGTTTGTCATGCAGATTTTCCATGACCCATGAGGTCTGTGATGCATGCCCTAGCATCAGAGACTCTGCGAGGGCTTCACGATGCTCATACCGCATGAGAAAAGCCCTCTCCGCGTAGCACAAATTGCCTCTCTTATGCTTTTCATGCAATACAGATTTTATGTAGAGTCCAAAGGTTCCGGGTTCCAAAGGTAGCATCACAAGTATCAAACGGAAAAATCCCCCCTCCCCATATCGAAATGGAAATCTGTGATGCAGAATTTGAGGCACCAAATCGACTTGCCATACTAGAAGGCCAAGAGCCGCAGTCGTGGTCTCGTTTGCAGGCAATTTGTCATGCTGTTTCCCACTCTCAGCTGCCTCCTATCATGCTGAAGATGCAAGGCTCCCCCACGCCACCCAGCACTACAGTCCGCATCTTTTCCCGTGTAGCATGACAAAGCTGATTTGTGACAACAAATCTGCATCACAGATTTCCGTTTTGATATGCGGAGGGGGGATTTTTCCTTGCAATAACAAGTTCCAACTTTCCAGACCCAGACACTTTTGCAATACATAGACGCCATGATGGAGCAAGAGAAGATGAAAAACAGGAAGCAGAAGGAGAAGAACGCTGGAAGGAGTTTTCGCCCGACGGTTCCTCAGCATAACCGCCGAGAGAACAACAATTTTAAACTGGAGCTGCTCACGTCCCCGAAATCCGTCCTGAACAAAGTGATCCGGCGAAAAGTCAACACGATGAATATCAAATGCAAAAATGTCTGGGTCTGGATGAATGCAAGCGTTGTCCTTGTCATGCAGGTTTTCCATGACCCATGAGGTCTGCCATGTAGGACATAGCATGACAGATGCTGTGAGAGTTCTATCATGCCTATTCTGCATGAGACACTGCCTCTCGATTAGTGGACAGCTTTTGGTAATGACGCAACACAGATTTTTACATGATTCAGATTTAGCATGACAAGTTCCAATCTTCCAGACCCAGACACTTTCACATTTGATAATGAAGGCAATGGTCCAATTGAAGCAACTGATCACGTCAAAACAGTCGCCGGAGCTTGCCGCCGCAACCAGTCTCATTTTGGACAAAATCGACGGAAGGATCGCGGAGATGAAAAAGGAAAAACAGGAGGAAGTGGAACAGAAAGACGAGTGCCTGAAGGAGCAGCAGGAGGCCAGTTTGCAACTGACCGAGAAGAGTCATGAGTACGACACCGTCCAGGGCGAATTGGACTTGCAATCCGGTGTCGCGATCACCTTCCCCGAGAAAATCCTGAACGCAGACGTCGAGTTGCACGAGCTGGAGGTCTATCAACTGCAAACATATTTTTCAGTCTGGGTCGTGTGGAAGATGAATATTTCGCATGGACGAGCCAAAATCTGTGATGCATGAAGTGCGTCAGGAGTGCCGTATGTTGGCTTAGTAGTGTCATGCAAGACAAGGGGGGCGATTCCTACTTCTCAAAACTGTTTACGCATGATGCAGTACCCGCCTTCAAAAACATTGTCGTGCTTGGGTATTAAGTTGTGCTACTGAAGTTCGTTTCAAGAGACGAACATTACACCTCCATGATGCGCAGACTACTACATGTTTGGCATTGATATATTTGAATTTGCGAACTTGGAGCAGGCGAAGGTCGAGGAGATCGAAACGGTGAAGGCGAAAATCAAAGACGACCAAGAGTCGAGCAAGTTTATCCAATCTATCACCTGCAAATTTGTCTCGGTCTTCTGGAATAATGCAAGCTTGTATTGCGGACTTCGAAAAGCGAAAGTGCACCCTTCACAAAAGATTAAGATTTGTCATGCCTGGAGGGGTATTGAAATTGAAATTGAAGTGCGTAGTATCTCATGGGGAAGCGTGCATTTCAATTTTTGCAGGTTTCCAGACGGAAACAACTGCATTTACAGGTGATTCAGTCCGCCATCGACCAACTGCAGCGGTTCTACGGGATGAGCGTTCCGGTGCTGTTCTTACAAAAATCCCTTTCCTCCTTGTCGGCGAGGAACGAAACGTACCCTAGTGGGTTGCCGAAGGTGGAGCGACCCGAGAAGGCAAATCCGTACGAGAAGCACGAGTCCGGGGGCAGCATTGTGGTCTTGCTGCAGACCATGCTGTCCGAAGTGGAAGCGAGCGTGTCGGACGGATTAGACAGGCTGAACGACGTGAAAACGAACTACCGGAAGGAGAAGGAGCAACTGTCGAACCAGAAATTTGCGATCGAGAAGCAGAAAGTATCGCTCGTGACCGAGTCCAACGCAATCAACGCGACGGTGTTGGAGTTGACAAACACGCGAGACGAGGCCATGACTGCCGAGGAAACGGCGCTCCAGTACAAAAAATCCACGAACGAGCGATGTGCGCCACTGGTGGCCGCGTTTGACCAGAACCAAGTGCTGAAACAGCACGAGATTGACTTCTTGTTTCAGGTGAAACACTCGCTGCAGGGCCAGGGCAGCTGAATTGTACTAATTTTGGTATAATAAATATGCTTGTTCCACCACGACCTCTCGGTCGTTTGAAGGGCGTCCACGGGAGAAGGACTGTAACAGCGGAACTAGGAAAAAACCATGTGACTTTGACTTTTTTCCCGCGCCAATTTGTTGCCACTGTCAACATCTCCGGACATGTTCATATAATGAGAGCACTAGTACAGTAACTACGCTACAAGACAGTAAGTTTTCTTTTCCGAGGATGAAAATCAGAATGTACGAAAGATTTACACGTTCCACCCGTCGTCGTTCCTGCTCATCTCCTAGGTCCGAACCAGGCCTAGAGATCGATTGCACAATGCTATTCTCCTGTGTTGCGAAAAAGTTGTTCCGATTCAACAACAGTGTGAGCGAGATTATAGAGCGACGCAGCTGCTCGAAGATGACGTGGAGACAGTTGATATCAAAGGAAGTTGTGTGTGTTGATGTCAAAGGAAGGAACTCGAAAACCTGCAGACAGGAATTGAGTGGCAATATGAAACTTGAGTGAAAATTAGTACAACTATACTTCGCAAGAAGTTTGTATTCACACGACTTCGACCACGCAGTGGCTCATTAGTGCAGAGTTTCGCTAACTGGTTTTGTTATACTGAGTAGATAAATAGTGGTCCTCGACGCATAAATTTTACTGGTGAATATGAATTAGAAACAAGAACGCAAGTAGTTGCGCGCGTCCTGTTCGTCATGGTTGCGATGCTTTCGCGATTATGAAACTTGTGTGTACTAAAAACCATAGTCGCAGCACGCCCTCAACTTTTGCTTCAGGGTATAATTTGTGCCAAAAGCGAAAAACTCTACTCTAAAGCACGAACATGTTGTACTTTTTTTCCTTAGAAATGAAATCGATATCCTGGTGAACAAGATGCATCGTTACGAGCACGTCGGTCACATCAGCGAGGGCCGGTTCGGCTCGGTGTCGAAGGCGGTTACGAAGGACACGCAGGATTACGTGGCCATCAAGGAAGTGTACTACCGGGATTGCGCGCGGCGCGTGTGTATCAAATGCAAAAAAATGATCTCAGTCTGGATGAAAGGTCGATTGCAACAATCAGACCAGCAAGACTTGCTGGTCTGATTGTTGCACAATGCTAGTAGTAGAGCGTTATTTATTGTACGGCCTAGAACTAAGTAGCAGCATGGGAGGGCTTATTTGTGTGCAGTTGCAGGTTCATCTCCATTCGTACTGATTGATGAAAAGGTCGCATTTTTTGACTTGAGCACGACAAAAAAGCTGGTGGCAAAAATGCATCTTCACAGTAGATCTGGCTCTACACCTACTACAAGTTTCGCATGAACGAGACGAGACCGAGATCATTTTTTGCCATTCATACTCTGCCCAGTGACGGGTCGAATTGTGCTGGAAGCCACGGACGCCTGGACGAAATCGATTCTCCGTGAGCTAGAGTTCTACGACCCCGCAGCGGTGAAATCGCAAACAAACGCGGACGAGTTGCTATTCGGGGTCGTGGGATCATCTTCGGGCGTGACGGGTGACAGTTCGACAGCTTCGAGCACCACCGCAAACGGTATCCACTGCAAATCTGTTGCCGTACACGACCATGCACAACTACAAATGCATATGCAATCGCTGCACGACAAAAAGAAACTTCTCGCAGCCATATCGAATTATTTAGGTTGACGGAGTTTGTTACTTGTAAACGCGTTGGAGGCTTGTCTATTTTGTGTACGGCAAATTTGTATTGCACAAGCGGTAGCCAGCGGAACTCGAGCTCCTCCAGTAGTACAACTGAGAGTCTTCATTCTGGTGACCACAGAGATCAGCATAAAAATCCGTCGGGCGAAAAAAACAGCAGCCCATCTTCCTCGCGAAACAATGGCAGCGGGTCTTACAGAAATAGTACTTCTGGTGCCAAGAACTACAACCCGGAGTTGTCGTCATCTTCATCCAGAAGAAGCCAGCTCGCCGTCGCGGACAACGAGCAGCGGCAGTTTTTCTGCGGCGCCAGCGCCGACGCGAGTTTCTTCAACGCCAGAACGCAGCAGGTCGTGTATGAAGGCGCACGGATGGAGTTGGAAAATCTGAATCTGACACTGGAAGAGTACCTGGGCGCCGGCGCTATCATGGTACCGCAGTGCAGCCCCTTGGGTGGGGGTGGTGCAACTGGTCGTGGGAACAATGAGTATCCTGTGTAAAAAAACGTCCCCACCCCATAGTCAAGATGGGCAATCTGCTAGACAAATCCACAGGGCTTGGCTGTTGCGCATGAGAGATTTGGTCTCGTAGTGTAATCGTATTTAGCTACTTTACGAGCATCACAGATCCAGCACATCATGCTGATTGGAGCATGACAAATTCCGAAACACAGCTAGAAAATGCTTCGCATGGAACTCCGCATGAGAAACATCTTCAGCATGCAGAATTGCATTACAACTACGGGGTGGGGACGTTTTTGCAAATGATAACGAGGAGGATATGTTCATCCACAACGTGTTGGATTGCACGAGCCAGATCTTTATCAAGTGTAAAAATGTCTGGGTCTGGAAGAATGCGCGATTTGTCATGCAGCTTTTCCATGACCCATGAGGTCTGGAATACGAGACCCAGCATGACAGATTCTTTGAGGTCTCTATCATGCCTTTCCTGCGTGAGAAACTCCCTCTCAACTTGGTCAAAAGGGTACAGCTTTTGGCACTCATGCAACACAGATTTCCGCATGATTCGGATTTAGCATGACAAGTTGCAATCTTCCAGACCCAGACATTTTTACAATCCATAATCTTCGGCAGCAACTTGAATCCCATGCTGAAACACGTGGAAGGAGAGATGAATCAGCACCCCAATATCGTGAAAATGTTGTCGCATTTCCGCAGTCCGCAGCAGCCGTGCTACTACCTCGTGTACGAATTCTGCGAAATGGATCTCTACCAGGTCCTGAACGCGCCGGGGGAAATCTTCAGCAACTTGGGGAGTTGTAGTATCCTGTGCAAATAAAGTGTCGTTGTACTACCCCTACTGAGTACTTGAATTCATCTTGCAGTTATGCATGGCAAAATTGTGATCTTAGCCTTAGGTCGTAAGTCAGCATTTTTGCAAATTCTATTGTTTCTTCTGAGATGAGCTTCTTTTGTGATGCGATTGATACTACTACTGCGATACTTTTGCAATGCATAACTTGTACATCACCACCAATGCACCCGACAAGGACCCCGGAAGGTGTCAAACTGTCCGAATCCCAAGTGAAACGCTTGACGTTCCAACTGTTGAATGGACTGCAAGAGCTGCACGTGAATCGGAAGGTGATGCACAGGGATTTGAAGCCCTCAAATTTACTGCTACACAAGGACGGCCTGCTAAAAATCGCGGATTTCGGGTCCGCGTGCCTGATTCCGGAGAAACCAATTCGCGCGGTGTCGAAAAAGGAACCAGCTGCAGTCGATACCAAGCCACTTGCTGCCACGTGTGGAGCGAGAGCCAGTTCCTCCAGTGCAGGGGCGAGAAGTACCACGACTGCTGCTAGTTGCGGCGCGACGGTCAACTCTAGAAGTACTCAGGCGACGAGTGAACAAGGAAATCCGACTGAAGAAGCCAATGTCCCCAGCGACCAGGACCGGAACCTTCTCCCAAACACTGCTGATGTTGCTGGTGCTATAAATTCGAAAATCAATAAAGATGGAGCAAAAAGAACCTCCACAATTGCGAGCTCTACATCAGATCTCCCCGACCCTCGTTCTCCTGGCGTAGAGAACCGCTCGGAAAATAATAGCAGTTCCTCGCCGACGAGAGCCACCAAGCGCCCGCACCCATTACTGGGAACCGCACCGGATGCGCTCGAGAACCTGCTGGGAGCTGCAGCAGGTGCAGCATCTGCAGCTAGTACCAACAAGGAAGGACATGTCGTCGCAGCTACTGCCGCTCCGGATTCCTCGAAAATGGTGAATCGACCAGGAATGAAGCAAAACCAAAACCACAAGTCCTCGATAGTGTCTACTGGCGCAGCGGTATGCAAAGAAAAAAGTGCTGTTGCAGTGATACATTATGGCACAGTAGAGCAAGCAAGACAGAGAAGGTCTGTCATGCCGGATAAATTTAGTACTCAGGAGGAGGTTAGTATCATACGTGTTTTAATGTTCCCTTGTGAAGTAGATCTCTGCATAAAAGTTTGAAGCTAAGCTTCCTCTGTCATCATGCAGGACCACATCCAGTTTGTGTTGCTGATTAGCCGCCAACAAATGTGTTACTGTGAATAAACACTTTTTTCCTTGCATAAGCAGCCAACGCTTTGACGCGGGAGATCTGCACGCGGTGGTACAAGTCGCCAGAGCTGCTCTACGGGTCCTACACCTACGACGAGAAAATCGACATTTGGGCGGTGGGGTGCATCATCTACGAACTGATGCAACATTTGAAGACCAATAGTTCTCCTCACTCGACGAGCGAAGATCATGCCGTTCCTACTCCCACTGCCCGAAGTCCAAGCCAAGCACCGGGAGCAGGAACAACTACCTCCCACGGCGAACAGAACGCACCACCGCAACAGCCAAGCAGCGGACCACAACCACCGACCGACGAGATGAAGCCGGTTCTACTTGCGCCCACGATTTCCAATCCCGCAACGACGGCTTTGATGTTCGATTTCGACGGCGATGAACGAGAAGACTTTATTGCATCGGCCCGAGAAGCTGTACAAACGAATAAGGTCCTATTCGACGGCGACTGCGATATTCAGCAGCTCGGGAAAATCTTCCACTGCCTGGGCACGGTGAAGCACGCCGACTGGCCTGAGGTGAGAGCGCTTCCGGACTACGGGAAAATCCAGTTTATCGATATTATCGAAAGGAAAAATCCCCCCTCCCCATATCAAAACGGAATTTCTGATGCTGGATTTGTATACACAAAGCAGCTTTGTATTGCAGAGAGGCACTGCGGCCAGATCCCCAGGCAAGGTAGGGGCGTATGGGTCTAGTTGTTCAGCATGGCAAACGGCTCCTCTTTAGGCCCAACAGCATGGCAAGCCGCTTCCATAATGGGGCGGAAGCTTCTGCCCTTGTCTTCTTGCAAGACAAATGCGATCCGTGGCCTCAAATCAGCAACGCAAATCTTCGGAAACATACCTTTTCAATATGGGGAGGGGGGATTTTTCCTTACGATAGATATCCCCGCGCCGCCGAACCAGTACCTGGAAAAGAAGCCCTTCGACGACGACTCTCTGGTCGCGGCCTGCATAAAGTTGAACCCCAAACACCGGGCGGAAGTCGGAGATTTGTTGATGAGCAGTTGGTTTGCGGGCGTGGTGAACAACGACATGCGACACGACATCGTGGCGGTCATAGAAAGGACGAAAGCGCTGCAGAATTACACCGCCACCGATGTTCTTGACGAGAGTCCTGGTGAGCGAAGGAGGAACAGTGGCAGGAGAATTCTTGCCACTTCTTCTTCTCCAGCGGGGAATGCAAGCGCAGAAGTGCTGCTGGCAAATGGAACTAGGGGTCCGAACGGCGACGTCAATGTGCTGGTTCTGGACCAAGATCTTCAGGGCCTCAACACCATGGACAGTCCGAGGACGAACATCGACCCCTCTTCCGAAGACTGTCCGGAGCAGGTACATCGAGAAACTGCCACGAGGCGAGGGCGAGGAGGGGTCGTGGCAGGAAGTAGAAGACCAAGCGCAAGAACTGAGAACAATTCTAGTACAGCCGGCAATTATGCAACATCATTTCCAAGAATATCAAATCCGGTCTCGTCGTCCGGTGGACATCACCACGATCTCCCCGCCCGCTCCGATTCCTCCTCGACCGCGACGCAACACACCGACACCGAGCAAATAAACGAGGAGGACTTTACCGCGTTGCCCTTTCAAGGTCTGTACAACTTGACGCAGCTGCAAAAGTCCCCGACCGCAGGAGGTGCAGCTGGCGACGGTGTAAGAACAACAAGTCCAGGAGCATCTGGCACTACTAGTTGTACCCAGGAACAACAGCCGCGCGGAACAAACAAACAAAGTTCCACCTCCCGGAGATCATTCGAGCACACCAGCCCACAAGCGAACTCCCGAGGACCGTTGCAGGTGAACAGTAGCAAGAATAAGAAGGTGGAGGCAGCGGTGAACAATCCAACTTCTCCGCCGATCCGACCTTTGCAGTTGCCGACGCGGGTTGGTACGACCACGGGGACGGCAAATTATAACGGATCATCTTCAACATCAACATCTGGGGGTGTGATTGCGGGCCGCACGCCGGGGAATGCGCGGATACTGCGAAATCGCGATTTCCATGACCGCGGAAGCAGGGGGAGAATGGGAAGGGGTGGCGGAGGGAAGGTGGGCTCGAACTTGGCTATTTCGAGCGACGATGACGAACAGGACCCGGATGAGTTTCTGTAGATGAAATAACGCTTGAAAATAAGTTGTATCCACTTGTGACATGTTATCCCCTGATGTAATGTAGCAGTAGCTATCTTCCCTATCCCGTCGAGACTCGGATCAAATGCAAGAAATGCTTGATGAGGCTGCGTATGGTCGCCTGGCTGATGTGCATTCCGAAGTAAAATGCTCTGGCGCAAAATTCTCCCGCCTTCCGAATGCACCCACGTGGTTCGCTCTCCGTTTTCACTGGAATTGTGTCGGGGCGAATTATCAATCGTGCCTCTAAGTAGAGAGACACTCACTGATTGCTGCCACGACTTATTTGGCTAATCGTCACTTGTAAAATCGATGATAACGAATAATCGTCGAGTCACAACACTGGTAGTTTTGGTACGAGGGATCGTGAGAATTGGTATCGAACTTTGATGATATCGTGCTTCTAAGTACGAAAGTCAAAAATCGGTTGACGAGCAAGCGATTGGAGTATGATTCGAGATGAAAGGAGGATGGCTTGTTATGGTTTCGAATCTTCTTTGTCCGTGGTTTCGTATCAGTAAACTTAAATCCAGCCGCCTGTGTGGTCGGGGACTTCTGATTTGATATTCGCAAAACCAAGAACCATGCCCGGTATCGTCCATCTACTCGAGCTCCTGCACGAGGGACTGCTGCTGCTTACTTGATCGCTGACTCGACGTTATCTGCTAAGTACTTACCCGATATAATGAACTTCGATCTGTGCAGAAGCAGCAGGAGCTGCTGCTAACCACGTTCGGAGGCGGGCGCGGGACGTTGTTTCTTACTGGCACTACAACTAGTACCCCGGAGGTGTGGCAAGAATACGAGGACCATGCAGAAGTCCCCAGCATCAATGCCGGTCGTTCCGGCCCTGAACCTGAAGGAAGCGGCGGCGACCAGCACGACGGGGCCAGTCACTACAGGAACACCAGCGAGCTACAGGGCAACGGCGATGTCTGTAGCGAAGAGGACGACGCCGCGCACCCCGAGTTCCAGCTCCTCCTCTAGCAAATTTGTTCCTCCCCCGAGTGATGCAAGTACAAATTCAGGAGCAGGAGGAGGACAAGCTCAAGCACCTTCTAGTTCATCCACAGCTGTATCTTCCTTTTCAACATCATCTGTTATGAAAGTCGACCACCACGACCAGGATTACCTGGATGAAACGTCAGAACCTCCGGTAGTAGCCGTGGAAAAGGACCATAAGAACCCCTTCTCCGACAACCACCCGGGTTTTTACTTCGCCGAATCCCAGCTGGTGTGGAGCACCGTGGCGCAGTCGCTTCTGCCCGTGGAGCTGTTTGAGTTGAAGGTGAAGCTGAATCACTTGTACGGGTTCGGGGAGAAAATTTCCTGGCGGAACAAGCAATTGCTACGCGAGCTCCACTGCTTACGGGAAATCCTGCACGATTTCCGGGCGCAGAACGACGATCTGCTGGAGAAAAGGGAAAACGAAGCGCGGGAGAGAGAGACACTGCTGCAGACGCCGCAACGGGACCTACTGATTCAGAAGTATTGATGCTACGGAATTGGGTTTCTTTTTGTTTTTGAAGTTTCTCTGCAGGAGTCTTCGTTGCTGATGTTCCATACTAACTTCGACGTGTTGTGCAGTGTAAAAATATGTCGCATCCTCGCGATTGCAACATCAAAAAGAGCATCTTCTGGCAGTGCAGCCCTCGTGAAGTAGACAACGGCGCTTTTACAATTTCCAAAATGTTTTAAGGTGTCTCTCGCTGATCGAGTCCCTGCGCGAGATTTCCCGGAAACACAGCGTTCCCCTGCAAACGGTGTTACCGCAAACGGATTCCGCGGTGCTGACTTTTTTGCTCAACTATTCGGACTTCGACAAGACCAGCTCCCGGCCGTCCACGGCCCGCGCGAGCAGTAGCTGCTCCGCGCGACCCAGCAGCCGGCTTGCGGGGAGTACCAGTTTATTCGGCGGGAATGTTGACGAGGAGGGTGTGGAAGTGCAACCTGCGGGGGCCGACGACGGAGAAACTTCTGGCAGGTTATTGAACGTCGGAACGCCACTGTCCACAGCCCGGTCTGCCGGGTCGACCCGACCGAGTACGGGAAAAAACCCGATCGAGATGATGCAACATCATCACACAACTGGCTCGTCGTGTAGTACTGTTGTGCACAAAAATCTTCGTCCTCCAGCCGGAGTCGCGGAGAATAAATCGACATTCCAGACAAGAACAGGCGGTGGCAGTTCAGCATCATCTAGCGCTAGTTGCAGTTCCACGTCAGGAGCGTCTTGCAGTACGGCCGAAGGGGGGCAGAGTTCCGGCACGGAGAGCAACGCGAATTCAGCGACCTCGTCCTCCTCCAGTTCCCCAACGACGGAAGCGGAGATGTTGAACCTTGCCGATAGTAGTTCCGCGTCTCCTGCGAGAGAAATTTCTCACAAGGACGAAGATAAATCTACTGCTTCCAGAACACCAGCGGGGACCACGGCGACTACACAAGGGGGGAATAAAATGCAAACCGAGGATCATGTCGATGGCGGAACAACTACACCCACAGCAGTAGAGTCCTCCAGCAACACAAAAACTTCTGAGCAGGAACAACCCGCCCAGGCTCAGAAGTTCAACAAAAAGCAGCTTTTGCAGCTGGCCACGAGTGTGAAAGAGGCACTGACGGAAGAGTACAAGCACTTGATGAAGGCGATTGAGCGCACGCAAGCCGACTTGGACGATGAGTTGCTGTATCGGGATGACTATCAAATGTAAAAATGTCTGGGTCCTCTGGAAGGTTGGAACTTGTGATGCTAACTTTGTACTCTAAAAACATCTGTATTGCATGACCAGCAAGAGGAATCTAGTTTGTGCTACGCGGGGAGGGCATTTGTGATACGGAGTAGGCATCAGGAAGCCCTCTAAAAATCTGTGATGTTACTAGGTCGTGCATCACACACAATCCTGGGTCGTGCAAAATATGCATGACAAACCCTGCAACATTCCAGACCCAGACATTTTTGCATTTGATAATGACACGGTTAAACGTCTCCGTGCACACGACAGCGTCACGCTGGTCAGCTCGCAACGGTTGCAGGTACTACGGAATGCGTTGGTCTTGTTCTACTTACTTGGTGCGATATGGATGCATTTTGAAGGCATGTGCTTTCTGTTTTATTTACAAAAACCATTTCTTAAAATACTACAACATAAATATCAGGAATTTTCCCTCTCCCTTACCGAAGCGGTGCGGCTCGGAAAGTTGGAAAAGCCCGTGTTTCGAGAGAACAAGCAATCGTCTTCCCAACGGCTGCGCTCTCTCGTTTCCCTCTGTCGCAGCGGCGGAGCGGCGGTTGGTGGTGGGGCAGATAATCTTCATACTGACGGTAACAACTTGCGCAGTACTGAAGATGTTTCCGCCCGTGTAGGTCGTTCGCCGAAGATGGAATTCTCAGGCCAACCACGACCATCTTCCGGCGCCGAACTGGCAGCGAGAGAGGAGCAGAAGCCATGTAGAAGTTCCGCCATGGTCGCAGTAGAAGAGAGCAGCAGTAGAACTACAGTGGCAACAGCGCAGAAGGACACGACCGCGCTAGCCTTGGCGAAGTCAGCGGGAGTGGACGCAACCATGGCAGATCTGTTCTTCTCGTGACGTAGATGCTGTGCGAAAAGTAATCTTGCACCTGGTGCCGGCATCGAAAAAATCCGTACCAACGTATACGATTTCGCTCCACAGGTTATCCTTGCAATGCTTCAAACGTTGTTTACATTACAAAAAAGAAAAAAATTCGAATTGATTTTCAGTACAAGTGATGTGCTATGCCTCCTCAGGTGGTTCTGCGCAAGGTGGTTGTAAATTAGACATAGCGTGTTCATCGCCCCAAGTCCTCACGATCCTCGAGAATGATGACAGAGGCGTTGCGATCTAACGGGCTTTCATGATCTTGGCCTTTTCTTCTTGTCAGATCTGCACGTCTTGTCCTGTAGCCCGCGATGATCTTGTCAAGCTCCAGTTTTCAAAAGTCCTACCGAAAGAGATGACTTTTTAGCCTTAAATCAGAAGTAGCTACACAAACCAACTTATGTTTGGAAATTTGACCGTACTATTAAGCTCACAAACACGGGGAGCTTTTCTTTGATGTTTGTGTTTCGTAATTTCCCCCGGGCAGTGAGAAAGTCGCTTTATCCCTGAAGATCAAGTCATTATTTGGTGAGACCTACTAAGACGAACGCTCTACCCCACGGAGCAACACGCAGCAATCACGCACCCCCCTTGTAAGTAGATGTAAGTGTTGTATTGTTATCCCCCGTCGGCACGGCCGCAGTAGGAAAAAAACACATACACGAAGTATCAACAGATTAAGATTAACTTTATTTATGACCCCGCAGGCCGCTCGCGGTGGCGTGCGCACGGAAGAACCTCTCACAACAACCTTTCATCCAAGATGAAACAAGTCGCGAGTTTTGTGGTAAAGAGGCAGCCTAAATCAGCGAACAATCTTGAACCCGCCCGCGAGGACCTCCCCGGAAGATCAACACCATTGTAGTCCGCCCGCCCCCGAGCCCGAGATCGTTATCATGATCCGGCGTCGGCCCAGTCAGGAGCGCGCAAAGCGGTCCCGGGACCGCGACCGGGAGAAAGAGCAGAAAGACAACCAGAAAGAGAAAGACCGCAGTCGCCGCAAAGACAAAGACAAAGATGAGAAACGTGCGACTTCCGGTTCGGGGAGACATGCCGACAAACACATCAAAACTAGCGTCTTGACATCGGAAAATATTGAACATCATGAAGTAGACTCTGACCACTCCAGAGCAGAGCCGCGAGAAGATCATGGTAGTGGTAAGGACCACCGCAGGGTCGTTGAGAGGGACCAGCACAGGAGCAGAGGCTCGAGGCCGGAGATGAGCGAAATGAATGCTGGCACTACAACCAAGGTCAGCACGCGGAAGAAGTCCATCGAGCTAAAACCCGCCAAGCGGACGGCTTCGAGGGAACACAGCAGCGAAGATCTTCCTGGTACTAGGAATGTCGAGAGGGAAAAATCCTCCAAGCCGCACGCGCTTTCCTCCCAAGACGGCTCGGTGAATGTAGTCTCCCATAATCACGGTGCAGCGACGTCTTCCCGTGGCGAGGCGTCGCGGGACGACAGCAGCAATTACTACGGGGCGGCGGTTTCCTCGAAGCATTCCTCGAAGGAATCCTCGGCGGTATCGGCGAAGGAGCATTTTCTCGGGGACAGCAGCGGCAGGCGAAGAGACCGGGAGAAGGAACAAACACGAGGAGAAGGACATCGGGAGAGACACAGGGGAGAAGTGAAGGTGAAAGAGCGAGGAAGAGACAGAGAAAGAGAGAAGGATAGCAGCGATGCTCCGGAAAATTTTGCCGAAGGGAAAGATGCAAAACCGCAGAAAAAAAAACGGGACGGAGACCATGTGAGCAAAATGTTGAAACGCGACCAAAATGGCGGGGACCTCCGAGGAGGGGAGAGGAATAAAGGTACTGCGATATTAGCACTGCTAGTATTTCCTTTCCGAACTACACTGAGCCTCCTGGTGTTGAAAATCAAAGTTCTATCCACTTGCAAACTACGTTTCTTGCTATCTTTTGTGCGAGGTAACGCGGGAAACTCGTGGTACACTGATCGCGGAAGTCCCCATTTGGTGGTTCACTTTGTTCGTGTGATCCTCCAAAGTTGACGTTCCAACAGTAGAAATCTTCTAATTGAACATTGGCTGAGAACAACAACAGCAGTGAGCTCGTTTTTCTTTGTATGCAGAGCAAATTCTTGATCAACACCGGCTCTACTGTCGGTCTTTCAGAAGTCTGCTTCATTCTCATTCTCCTATATTGCATCATCATGTTCCGTACGCACAAAGACACATACTGAAAATACAACAGAGCGTGGCGATCACCGGCAGCGGTCGGAGCGGAGGAACAATGCTGACCGAGACAAGCATGCCAGCCACCGTAAAGAAAAAAGTAAGACCTACCCATCCAAATCGCAAACCCACCCGGGGGCAGATGTTTCGTCGAGTCGGCAGCACAAAAATAGGAACCTCCAATACAGCTCCCCAAACCTCATTCTGCCCCCGTCCGGAGAAAACGCCGGCTCGTCCCCACCGCTTGTTTTCGGCGCGGGGGGTCCGCCTGGCCCCGCTGGTTCTACGCTGCAACCCGAGGGTGCTGTAGTGGGGTTCGCGCACCACCAGCCTAGCACTGCGACGTCGACCTTTCCGGTTTTGCTTCCACATAACACTACTAACGGTACTAGTGCCACGACAGCTTCCGCAAATACAACGGCGCAGCCAGGTGGTGGTGCTGGTCAAGCGAATCCGCCACCGCAGACCTACATGAACCCCGGTGCACCTCCTGTTGGACAACAACAGCAACTGCCCCCGCAGTCCAACCCGCCCCCGCTCCAGTCCCCAAAAATCGACCCGGGAAACGTCACCGAGGAGGTTCTGCGGAACGACTACTGCCAAGTCTTCGTGGACACGGGGTTGCGACCCCAGAATTTCATTCACGACATGGATCTCTCTTCCCGGTACGAGGACTACCGGAAGCTGGAAAGGGTGGTCAAGTTGAAGGACCAGATCATCAAGTACCGCGCGACGCCCGCCATGGCCCTCAAGTGTGATTTGAAGGAGTTTTCCTTGAAGTCCCTGGACGTGAAGTTCGACACGGTTATCATCGATCCGCCGTTATGATGCGTTGCAAATGTAATGTCTGGGTCTGGGAAGAATAAGAATGGAACTGGATGTGACGCTAAATTTCCATCAAACAAAAGTAAACCTGTATTTTTGCATGAATAGCCGCGTCAAGAATTTGAATTTCAAGCCCATTTCGCGAAAGAACCTCGTTGACGCTACAGCATGCGTCAATGACATCGCGGGTCAACATGTACTAAGATTATCTGCAAGACAAAAATAAACTCTGCCAATCATGACTACAACTTCCAGACCCAGATCGATATTTGCAGGCAATAACCGTGGTCCGAGTACAACTATCGCACCGGGGGTTTGGACGTGTTTGGCGAGGACCTCACGCCCTGGACCTTTTCGGAGATCGCGAGCCTGAAACTCGACGAAGTGCTGTCCGACCGGTCGTTTGTGTTTCTCTGGGTCGGCGAAACGCACCTCGAGGAGGGGCGGGCGCTGTTCAACAAGTGGGGGCTGCGCCGGATCGAGGATCTGTGTTGGATCAAAACCAACCGCACCTGGCGGGACATGAACCCCGAGGAGTACGTGGACAGGCGGAACACGAACTTCTTGGACAACGATATCCAAGAAAAAAACGTTGTTAGTGTAAATTTGTGATGTGCAACATGCAAGATGATTGCGTCTGTCATGCTTGGCATGCATCGTAGGGCCCATTAAAGGGCGTTTTCATGTACTATCTGCGCATGACAGGTTTTTGCTGTCATGCCAGACAAATTTGTAATGCTGTTCCTCCAAAATCAAAAAAGTTACACCTACAATGTTTTTTTCTTGGATAAACGACAGTTACCTGTTCCGCACGAAGGAACACTGTTTGATGGGAATCAAAGGTATAGCAGCCTACAGATTTTGATGGTTCAGATATGGTTATTTTGATCCAGAGCGAAGCGCCGCCCCATTGGTCGGTGGTGTCGTGACGCGCAAGTTACTTACGTGTACGACAGAATAACGTTTTTGTAGGTACCGTCCGGCGTTCGGTGGACACGAATTTTATCCATGCGAACATTGACACGGACGTGATTATTGCGGAAGAGCCGGAGCTGTTTGGGAGTACTGAGAAGCCGCACGAACTGTACGAAATCATTGAGCACTTTTGCCTTGGGAGGAGAAGACTGGAGCTCTTCGGCACCGACAACAACCTCCGGGACGGGTGGGTCACCCTCGGCAACGCGATCACCACGTCCACGTGGGCACCGAAAACGTACGCGAGCTACTTCGAGGGCAATGACCGGGAAGACGTTTGGCCGAAACGGAGGAATTTTCGGTATGGAGAACAAATTTTTTTTGATGTACATGTTTGGTTCCAAGTACTAGATTGAAGATTCACCAGCAGTTTGACATCCATTATAGTGTGCGACAAGTAAAGGCCATGCTTAGAGCCTGTGTCTTGATCTCTTTTTCTCAAGAAGCCCCCATGACAGATAGTATTCATGAACAACTCCCCATCTACTTCAAATAAACCTGATCAGTGGCGGCAAGCTACTTGGGTCCGACCCGGTGATCGAGATTCTGCGGCCGAAGTCCGTCGAGCGCGAGCGCGAGATATCAATTGCAAAAGTGTCTGCCTGTCATGCCCCTTTTGCATGAGCCATGACGTTTGTGATGCATGCCCTAGCGTCACAGATTTTTTGAGTGCTTCTTGATGCCTATTCCGCATGACAAATGCCCTCTCTGCGTAGCAAAAATTGCACTCCCTTCGCTGCTGCTGCAATACAGATTTTTTTGGAATCCAAATGCAGCATCACAAGTTGCATCCTTCCAGTCCCAGACACTTTTGCATTTGATACGAGATGCAGCGGGTTCTGCGGGAAGAGGAGCGGAAAGACGAGTTTGGAAACCAGCAGACAAACCGGGCGGACGAGGACATGGAGGAGCGTATGCTTCCCGAGGACGCGGGCGAGCAGGGGGACCAATTTATCGACAAGAACGATACCGACCAGAATCTGCCGGACAATCTGGAAGAAATGATTCTGAAGCAGGAAAAGCTCCTCTTGGACCACGAGGGAACAGGAACTTCTGCTGGTACCTCCGACGGACTCCTTCTACCCGCGGGGGCCGGTGGTGCTGCTGCTTTGTTGAGCGGCAATCTCGTCGTGGCGGACAGTGCTGGAAGTAGCACGATGGACCACTACACAAAACCTCCACCTCCGGTTGGAGCTGCAGCGACGATTGGACAAGCGCTGGGGATGGCCTCGAGCAGCGCGCCGGCGGCGGCGGCGGGGGTAAGCACAAGACCAACTACCGGCGGAGGTCAACATCCAGAGGGAGTTGCGGACGGTGGCGCGACGAGAGTTGCTGATCAGGCCAGTAATGTAGTCCTCGCCAGTTCAACGTCCGCACCTGCAGGGGAGGTACTAGCTGCAAGCTCTTCCAGTTTTCCCGGGATGAACAGCCACGCGACTGAGACGCAGCACAAGCCCGTACCGGCAAAGGCGGGAACTGTACAGCCAGGAGCGGGACTTACACCTGCTGCAGCAACAAATGCCGCAGGAGCTGCAGCTCCTGCCACGGGAGACGAAGCAGCTGCTAGTGCTGCTGCTGATGGTCCTTCTCGTCCATCGCAACATCCACCCGGAGATGGTCCAGCTAAACCGACATCCTCTACCACCTCCGTCGAGGAGGAGAAGAAAAAGAAAAAACCGATGCCGGCAGTGTCGAAGGCGGGAAGCTTTTTCAACATGGGGGAAGCGGATTCCGATGAAGAGGAGTACAGCGCGATGCGGGAGCGCGCCCACCGCGAACAGCAGCAGCAGATGAAGGGCGAAAAGGGTCAACCTTATCCGCATGGCGAATACTATGGGAAGGATCCTGGCGGGGGAAAGTATCACGACCAGTACGGGGCTGCGCATCACAAAGGCGGTGCTTCTGGTCCGTATCAGGAGATGAAGGGAAAGTACGGATACGGTGGCTATAAGGGCGGGTATGGGAAGAAGCACGGTTTTGATCCATTTCAAAAAGAAAACTTCGGCAAAGACAAAGCGGGTATGAAAGACTTTGGAAAGTTTTTCGGAAAGAAGGACGGCAAGGAGCATTTCCATCACGGAAAAGACTTTTATCCCGGAAAACCATCAACCGCGCCACCTACAGGCGATAAGGAGAACAATTTCCTCGCGGGCCCGAAAGGTGGTGGTGCAACTGCGCAGCTGCAAAGCGACCAGCCACCGAAAAACGCTGGAAGTGCAGCGGGCGCTGCTGCTGCTTCTTCCCCGAGCCAGCCGGTGGAGCAGGTCCTCGCGGCTGGGAACAACCAGGCGAATGCGGCTTTTTTGAAGCGGGAGCAGGAACAGGCGAAGGCGAAAGCCGCGATGTTGTCGTCGAGCGGCGCCACGTCGACTCCTTTCCCTGCCGGATCGAACATCACGACCATTACCGCGGGAGGCAGTGTGAAGACGACAGCCGGTGCAACCGCTTCCCAGCCCGGTGTTGGAGTCCCAGTGCAATCTACTTCCCAACTCGGCAGCAGTGGAGCTGGTGCGACGTCGTCGACGCTGCCAACCGCCGTTCCGAAGCCCGGCATGCCTTCTTCGACCACGTCAACGTCTACTTTCCCATCCTTTCCTTCCTCCGGCGCATCAGCAGGAGGTGGAATTGTGAATGCGGGGGCACCTTCAACATCCTCCTCAAGTGTAGCAGCTGCAGGTGGTGTAGTAGTATCAGCACCCCCTGTATCGACATCAGCACCGGTCGCTGCCGCTCCGTTGCAACCAAAGGCTCCACCAGCAGGGGTAGGAGGAGCCTCTACGACAACTTCCGCGCCACTAACTGCCCCTGGTCCATCTGTCACCGCCGCTGCTGCGACCAATAAAGAGCAGGCGAGTACTAGTACGAAGCCCAGTGCACCAGCGGCTCCCTCGTTCGACTCCGCGCCGTGGGCCGCACTGAAGCGGGAGAATTCCCAAACCGCGTCGTCCGGTTCCAGTCCGGAGTTGGAGACGAACAAGAAAACAGCAGCAGCTGTGTCCGGAATTCCACCAAAGAAGAGCGAGCAACCACCTGCTGCTCCGGATGTTGAACCTCCCTCCACGGCGCCGAAGCGGCTCTGGGGCGCGCCCAAGCCGCTGGAGAAAAAGATGCCGCCGGCCGCTATGCCGCCCCCCGTGATGCCCCCGGCCGGGCCGCCCATGGGCATGGCCGGTCCACCCCCGCCGATGGGAGCGGGAAGCAGTTCTTCATCCGGCGCGATGATGGGTGCTACGGGTGGCGGCCCTGGTGGACCACCGCCGCCTCCGATGAACATGAACCGAAACAACCGTTTTTCCGGTGGCGGCGGTGGTCCTTCTGCCTCTTCTCACAAGGGGGACCACCACCATCGTGGTGGCGACCACCACCAGGGAACCTATGGCGGTGGCAGAGGAGAATTTCTGATGAACCAGAGCAACTACGGCGAGGGGCGAAACAGCTACAATTCAAGAGGACCACCGTCTTCACATGCAGAAAGAAACAACTACGCTGGTAATATGGGAGGATCCGGACCATCGTCCTCCCGAGGTGGCGGTGGACTACCTCCAACAGACGATAGGTTTGTGGCGCCGCCCTCCGATTGGGATGCGAGCTTGCGGCAGGACAGGATGAATATGCACGGAGGTGGTGGTCCTCCTCCTCCCCGGGGCGGAGGACACAATCGCAACTACGACCGGGGTCCCGGCGGGAATGGCGGGCATCAAAACAATTACCCAAGGAACAAAAACAACAATCACCGTGGGAACAACTTCAAAGGAGGAGGCTACGGCGGGCACAAGGGTGGTGGTGGGGGGAATCGCTATGGGAACAGAGGTGGCGGTGGAACGAACTATGGCCATAGAACATTTGATGGCAATTAAGCAGACAGTTGTGAAGATCGGTCGATCCTCATGATTACCATCAAAATTCAGTTACGAACTTCATCAGACACAGCGACAAACATCAATCTGAACGAATCTAGAAAGTGCCGATGAGCTGCACGCGTTTCGACTGCCACAACTAGCCAGTGTTTTTCGCAACCAGCGGCCAGGCCCTAGTGCATCCTTCTTGTGCAGGCATGGTAGCGTCGTTCTATTTTCGATTGTGGTGGGTCCAATTCCATTTTCGGAAGATCCAATTCCATTTTCGGATTTTGGTGGATCCAATTCCAAGTGCAAGTCGTGGCACCCTTTTCGGAAGATTCAGTCCCGTGTATAGTAGACAAACGGAAGTTTGTTTGATGCCGTGCGGCATTGATTTACACATCCGTCCTTCCAAGGTCAAGGTGGGCCCTATGCTTGCTACATTGAATAAGATTTCTTTTGTGCGTCGCTCTTCACTTTTGTTGTATTTGTTGCTTTTGCTTTTTCTGTCGGATTTCGATGTTGCCCGTCCCATCTTCTCTGTTGAAAAAGCTGACTGTGCCTTTTGTGTATAACTACTAGTAGACGAGACTGGTTTAGTTGTGTGTCACGGAAAACATACTTACTTTAGTTTATGCTATTGGTGCGTATGCACGACGTCTTTTTTTCGTTTTGCTTTTAACAGTCCAACAGTCATTATGTTCGCGCAACCTCCTCGCTACTCACTGTTGCTATTCGCAATAGCGGAATTACTTTTTTATGATTTTTCCAGCGTTTTTTTGTCTGACACGAATTTCTTTTCTTCTTCTTTGTGTGTTTCAGAAACCACAGAAACAGCATTTGGATTAGGATGCCGTAAGAGAACAGCAGCCACGGTTTTTTGGCATTCTTCCCTGCTCTTGAAGACCCAGGAGCTGCTCGTGGAGCGGAAACCGAATGTTCCTAACCTGGACATCAATTTCTACCCGACCTCCGATGGTCGACACTCTGGAGGGGTTACTCGAGCCACCGTGTGCAGCAACACAAGACGACCTGCCGTGCGCCAACAGGTCTTGCCGTGGGGTTGGACGAAGTATAACACCAGAGATCGACGTGTTTTTGCAACTTCCGCGGCTACTGGCGCTACACCACTGCCAGAGAGTTCCTGTACTACCACTGCTGCGCCGCGAGCACATGTTGATGAACTACGTCGCGAGATGGTGGTGGAACTACCAGATGATGGCCAAGCTGCTCCGCCACCAGCACTCGCGAAGAGGGAGCAGACGCAAACTACCTGCACGACGCGACACGAACTTCCGAAAGAAGGGGAACAATTACAGAGCGTGGTCGTGCCAAAACCTCCAAGTAGTAGAACTACTACAGCAAAGCCGCGCACCAGAAAGAGGAACCTCCTGTTTGCGTCCGCGCAGGCGACGTACCCCTCGGAATTCAAACTGGAGTACTTATCAAATGTAAAAATGTCTGGGTCTGGAAGATTCTGACACTTGTCATGCACGTTTTGGATGAGCCCTGATGTCTGTGATGCATGCCCGAGCAGCACAGATTTTTTGAGAGCTTCTTGATGCCTGTTCTGCGTGACAAATGCCCTCTCCGCGTAGCAAGAATTCTATTCCCTTTGGTACTCATGCAATACAGATTTTTTTGGAATCCAAATGCAGCATCACAATTTGGATTCTTCCATACCCAGACATTTTTACACTTGATAGTACTGCACACCGGACAACGTTTGCCACACCAACTATGGAACTGTCAGGTTTGAAATCGTCAAAGTTGAGATAGTTTGTCATGCATAAAATGCAACGCAGAAAGTGTCTGTCTTGCAGAGTAGGCAAAAGGGGCAGATTGTAAGCCTGTTTCGGGGTAGAAATAGAGCTGCTAGAGTAGCATGACAAAAGGCGTCTTCCTTACCCAAACAGCATGACACACTGGATTTCGGCTCTACCCGAATTTGTGATGCGCCACTTGGCAACTGGGTTGCAACTTTCATCCATTTTCTGCATGACAATTCATTTCAACTTTGTCGATTTCAAACCTGACGCTTCCATACCAACCTCTTTTCCTGCCCGCATTTCCAGCTGCGCGCCTGGAGCTTCTACCGCCAGAAGACCGCGCGGCCGCCCTTGAAGCAGGCCTGGTTTTTGCTCGGTCTCCCCGCGGAGTACCGGGACGAGCTGATTTTCAGCTGCCCGGGGGGGATGGTGGTCGCGGCGTTTCTGATCGCGACCACGAGCCTGTACACCAACCCCGACCGGGCAAGCATGTACTTCACGGTGGCTCTGGACATGCTGTCCAACAAACTGACCGACGTCCACCAGCAGGTCGCCCTGGACAGCTGGCCCGTTCACGAGGCGCACGATTACTTCATCAGCGTTCGGGACCAATTTGACGCGGTCACAAGGAAACCGGCAGTGGAAGAAAATGTCTTAGACGAGCACACGTCTCGTCCTCCTTCTTCCACCATCGCCCAATCCGCTGATTTTGTTATCGTGCACTGCCGCGAGTTCGATCTTTCGTGGCTGCCAAAGAAGGTTTCCTGGCCACTGAACGTACTGCGGAAAACGCGCCTGTTCATCTACGAAAAGTGCGGCGCCAACGCGGATGCGGTGGGGAGTTTTTACAACGGAAATAAGAAGCTGTTGCAAGAACTCAACGGTGATGAACTTCAACTACCTCATGATGAAACACCGTTGGCCGGATCATCAGGTCCCGGCCCTAGTGGCGAAAGACGGGATGTGAGTGGAGGTGTTAAAGGGGAGGCGGGAGAAGCTGCAGTGGTCGAAGGAGAAATAAGGACGCACATGTTCACGAAGACCGGAACTTCTGGCACGAGATTAGACATAAAACAAATCCTCGCCAAGCACTACAACATCACAGACACGGCAATAGGTCGTGCTGTTCCTTTGTCAACATCTCATCTGCAAGGAGTTGCGACAACGGCTGCAACGACGGTGGAAGGGCATGTCGTGCAGGGAGAAACGACAGTGCAGGGTGTGCCGCAGGAGGAAGATAAAGCGACGGGGGAACAACAGGAGCTAAACGCGGAAGCCGCCATGGTGAACTTCTTTACGGAGAACCTGCAAGAACTGCACGTGATCAACATCGCAGACGAAGACTTATGAAAGTGCACGACCCGTCGCCATTCCCCGCATAATGAATGTATTTGTAGCGACGTTCTCTCTAGCAGCTCTGCAACAGCAGCACCTTGAGCCGCGCCAGCCACTACAATGCAGGTTTTGCAAATACATCTCTTCCTGGAATGTACGCAGTACCGCTTAGGTCGTGATTTTCAAAAAGAGTGTGACACGCAATGTGAAGATGTGGTAGGAGAAGGCAAGGAGCGGATTATGCTTTTTTCCATGATATGAAATGGTAATGGAGCGGGAGGTGGGAGGTGGGCACTCCCATAAGCCGACCAAGTGATCCAAAAGCAGACCCGGAGAGACGAATGTTCGGCGTACACGGCACATGTGCTGGGCGTGCGGAGGCTGTCCGGGGTGAAAACATATCAAATGCAAAAATGTCTGGGTCTGGAAGATTCTAAACTAGTGATGCTGTCTCTGGATTCCAGAAATATTTGTATTGCGTGACCAGTAAGAGGAGTAGATTTTGTGTTCCGCGGAGATGGCATTTGTCATGCGGAATAGGCATGAGGAAGCGCTCTAAGAATCTGTTATGCTACGGCATGCATCACAGACATCACGGGTCATGGAAAATATGCATGACAAATCTAGAAATCTTCCAGACCCAGACATTTTTGCATTTGATAAAACAACCGAGAAAACCAGTGCCTACGAACGGCAGAAATACCTCTGGGAGAATAAGCACCTGCTCCACGAGGACATTTACGCAAAGTGCAAATAATGTCGGACTGCTATACTCGCTCTAGTTGCAGCATAAAAATGAGTATAGGCATCTTTGTAGATCACTACCCGTCTCCATACCGTAACCACGAGCGCTAGAGATGTTTTGTCGTACTGCGGAGACAGATGAATTGCAATTTTCAATGTTACTGCAACTGCTATGCAGCTACGACACTACTTTTGCACTGCATAAGACTCTCCGGTTCGCACAGCAACAAAATTTGGAGGAACTGGGCATCACAGATAAACAGTCGATCGATCGGTTTATCGAAACGAACGGACAATCGGCTGGGCCGGACGTTGCGAACGCCGTCGCTGCAGCAGCCGCCAGGAGCGCGAGTGATGGAACTCCCACCTCCTTGGAAGGAGTCGCGAATTATACCGGGTCTGACCGACGTGGTTCTGGCGGAAGCAATAGCGGCGGTGCTTCTTCTGCTACTGAAGCGCCAGCAGGAGCACCGGATGCTGCAACTACAGGACCCATCGGTGACTTCACGTTTTTTTTGCACGCCGACCCGATCTCCCACTGGGGGCAGTTCCAGTACCATTACTTAAACTTAATCCTGGCCAGCATGGAGTCCGGGCGGCTGGGGGAAAACATAAACAACGAGGAAGTCATATCCTGGGGAAAAAACGTTCCCTGTCCAGAGCTAAGTCGGGCACCTGGCAACACAAAGAACCTAGTTTTGGGAGTCGCCGCGCGTGACAAGTTGCAGTGCGTAGTGTAAGTGGTGCAGGTAATTAGCTAGGGCAGCCACAGCACAAATCCATCTGCTTATCCTGTTTACCGCATTATCGATACAAATGCCAAAACACGATGAGAAACGACTTTCATGGGCATGCGCATTACACATGTGCCGGTAGACAGCGAAACCTGCATAAGAAGTCTGAGGTGGGGACGTTTTTACTCAGCATAAGTCAACTTCCTGCATCTCTCCACCCCCCGTCTGGTCGCGGTGTTATCACCCGGGAAAAAGCAGGCGGGGCAATTTGTTATGCAAAAATGAGTACGCAAACGCAAAAAAAGAATATCCCAAAGAGCATGCTATATGAGCTCGCCCATGGCAGATTTTTCTCCGTAAACTTATTTTTGCATTACATGCATTACAAATCTGCCCTGCCTGCGTTTTTTTCTGGGATAGGTGTCCACACCATGCCAGGACCAGGTTTTCAACTATATCATGGGCGAGTCTCTTACCGTCGAGAAAACGAGACGGCAACTGCTCGAGACCTACTGCTGTGCGCAGTTTATGATCAGTAAGAAGCATATGGAGTGCAACTGCAAACATGTCGGGGTCGGGAAACCTGTCGTAGTACTGTTCAGTTGTCAAAACGATTGAGTGCGCCTTCAAGTTGTCTAGGGACGCATGGCAAATTTCTTTTCAAACGCTTTCGCATGCGTAGTGTGCGTCACTACAAAGAAAGTGCGACTTTGCATGGCGAAGGGGTGGCGCTTTATTTGTTTCTTATGCAATACAGATTTGTCAGAAATGCGAGACGCGGAATTATACAGGCGGAACCTTTTCAGACCCAAACACATTTGCAATGCATAAGGAAACTGATTCACAACATTCCGCAAGCTCGGATGGAGCGGCTGCAGCAGATCGTTGACGGTTCGATCCCAGACCTCTGCCAGCGGATTGGTCCCACCTACGAGAAGTACAAGGGGCAGAGGCTGAGCTACTGCTACTCGTTGGAGTTTATCCGGTGGAAAAATGTCGTCCTCATCCCAGGGCTGTCATGCAAATTCGCATGCCGAAATGTTTCGCTTTTGCATGCGCAGTCACATGACGAGTAGAGTATGTCCAATGCTGCTTGGGAGGCTGTCATGCTAAAGTCTGGATATTTAAGTGGATGGAGGACGATTTCTGATGCGGCTGCGCTAGCTACGCAGGATTACAACACAAACTTGTCATGCGCGACACAGAAGACAAAGCTAAGCTTGTTGATTGGTGTAGCCACATCAACCCCATCTTGCCTGCTCTGGGGTCGTGGGGACGTTTTTTCACAGAACAGAGTTTATGTGGCACGTGGTGTTGGGAGACAAGAAGATCGAGGAACCGCTGCGGAGTGACGACTTCTCGCTGCCACTTTTTTTGCTATCAACTGTAAAAATGTCTGGGTCTGGAAGATTCTGAGACTTGTCATGCATGTTTTGCCTGGGCCATGATGTCTGTGATGCATGCCCTAGCATCACAGATTTTTTGAGGGCCTCGCGATGCCTATTCCGCATGACAAATGCCCCCCGCGTAGCAAAAATTACACTCCCTTTGCTGCTCATGCAATACAGATTTTTTTGGAATCCAAATTCAGCATCACAAGTTGCATTCTTCCAGACCCAGACATTTTTACATTTGATATCTGCGGTGGAAGGACAATGAGGAGGTGTACCCGATATGGCGAGAACAGCACAGCTATTATATTACAATGAAAAATGCCCCCACCCCCGAACTTGAAAGCATTTGTATTGCAATCCTTTCCAAATGAAACATTCGCCCTCTTGCATGTACCAGCATCACAGATTTCCGATCGTGAATAGCAAAAATTTGTATTGCAAAAGATCCCAGTAAGAGCGGTGCTTGTCATACAAGCGATGCGAAACAACACTAGAATCTGCATCAGAAAGATTCATATTCCTTTCATGCATGACAAAAAGGTTTTATTTGGAAACTTCGCATCACAAAATTTTGCAACTTTGGGGGTGGGGGGCACTTTTCACTGTAATATATTACGTAATGAAGAGCGAGTATTTGTCTTTGGCGCACAAACAAGGGCCAGCGAAATAGTAGTAGAACAAAGTGCCTCTGCCTCAGCCTCTGCCTTGAAATGGGAAGTACAACAGATGCAACAGAAGTTATCGGTCAGTGGGGTGTAGCACCCTCTGGCCACCGCTCTCAGTACGGAACCTCCCCTCTCGCTTTTCACTCTTGTGACCATGATACTGTCGTATGAAACAGAATCAGAAAGAAACACAGCAGGAGGAGCTCGAGAAGAGGTCGTGAGAGGTATGATCGTACCACGGCGACTCCGCCACTTCTGCTGAGGGCATTCACATGCGTTCTTCGCCTACCTCGTCACTCGTGTCGGTAAGAAAAAATCACGACCAAAACGTGTAGCTCGAGCAACGTTCGTCGCAGGTGCTTAGTAGTGCAAAAAGAGTACCGTCAAGGGTCGGGATCGATCGGATGAAGAAGAGTTTACTGCACTTTACTGAAGAATACTTGTACAATAGTGAGGGGACAGTTGAACAAAGTCGATAAAAAAAGGCTTGTGTAAAATCGTATCGGCACGCAATTGCGGGAAAGCGAAAAGAGTCGCGAGCACAACACAAAACACTTCTGTCCGCGGGCTCTGTTTCTCTCGTCTCGGTTCGTGGAATTCCTCTACCATCGAGTTTCTACCACTGTATAGACTAAGTACAGCTTTAGGCCATGTCACATTTTTTACTCTTGTAGTTGACCACAAGCTGTTCATCTGACGTACAGGATCCCTCCTGTGGCACAAATACTATCCTTCCACTTGAGGAATTTGATTTTTGTTACTTCTGTATTTCAGAGCAGTAGATCTAATTCCTTTGTCGTCAACCATTTCCAGGCAACAGTAGATCTTTTTTTCACGGCGCTCTAGAGAAAAACGGAGCCGGGATACTTAACAGACTTTTGGGACTTTGATCTTTGAGGTAGTTGCTTATTGTGGGGGAGCAGAGATCTCGTGCCAGAAAATACAAGTCGTATCTACTTAAGGTTAAAAAAGCTCTGCTGCGGTTGAAATAAAAATGGCGCAGCCAAATCTCAAGCAGGAGCTGACAGTCGATCAGGTTTTCGAGGCAGCAGTGCCAGTTGAGGTATAGCGTTAGAAGGCTTGTGGCTCAACAATCGCAGCATTACGTTATTTTCACAGCGGTTAATATTTCGATTTGTATATGCAGCGCTCCACTTGCCGCCTTTCTGCATGTCGAAAATTTTCGCACTGTTTCTCACTCAGGTGAAAAAAACGGCGGCGGAGGAAGCGGAGAAAGATATGAACAGGAAAAAGGATCCCCCAGCCCAGAAACAAACGAGTGAAGTGGTTATGCAGTGGTCTTCAGGTTTCAAAAGAGATAAAAGCGTGTAGTAGTCGACCGCTGCAGTGCTGAGCAGCGAGAGTAGGCTCAGCGTGATTCGACAGATGAAAAAGGCACGTCGTCTACTAATTTTGTAAAAACAAGACCATAAAATGAATTTTTAGCGATCATCATCCAGTAAGGTTCGTGAGCGCTCGTCCTGCTGGAGAGCTTTCTGTCTTGCAAGGTACTTAACTTGAGAAGGGGAGGAGCTTTTTCCGCTTTACAAAGAAGGCTTATGCACTCGAGCGGAAGTATCCACCTGAGTAAAAACGTTCCCACCTCATAGTCATAGCAAACTTGCGACCTCTGCAATGCGAATCAATCCAGCAGGTTTGCTGGGAGTCACGCATGACAGGTTTTCTGCGGTAGTGCTGTGCAGGCTAGCAACGGCAGTCGCATCAGAAAGGCATCTGCTTGTCGTCCTGTTGGTTCAAAGCATAATTGCAAAGGCCAAAACAAGACTGAGTAGAATGCCTCTCACGATGGGGATCGATTCGGATTCCAAATGTCCCCTCTGTAGATGGAAGTCCGCATGACCGCCTCATGATGGAGACGTTTTTACTCAGCATAGAAAGCGATCCGGCCTGCCGCCGCTTAAGGTGGACGCGCCGACTGCGGGACCGGAGTACTCTGCGTGCTTCGTATGCCTTGGAAATATGTCTGGGTCTTGAAGATAGTTGCACGACTTATCATGCCGGTCTGAAGACATGAGTCTAGAGTCTGCGATGCGTGTGTTCACGAAGAGACATCTTTCCCTTTCTTCTGAGGCAAGCACGCAGTCTGTCATGCGGAGCGCGTAACTACACGCGGCCCCGCAAATATTTGTCGTGCATGGCTGTGCAGAACAGGAGAGTGTTCGTTATTCACAACCTAGATTGAAGATTTTTTCAACTCTGCAGACCCAGAAATATTTACAATCCATATCTCTACAAGCGAAGCAACAGCAAATATGGGAGCAAGGCCCCGGAAGTGTTGCAGGGGGGGAGACACGGACTGAGTAACCGGTTTTCGCAGAACCTCGGCGCGGCGGGGATGTGGAGGAATCACGGGCTGAATACGTACTTACGAATACTAGATACGGTTCTTACTAACTTGTGGGCGGTACGAAACATACAATAGCAGTGTGCAGCTTGTCATGCAAACGGCTGGTCGTGCTCGTGTCTGGTTCACACATGATTGATGCGGGATTAGATGTTCTTAAGGTGCTTACGAAATTACAAAAAACGAAACAGAAACGTCGACCACGCGCGGTTCATGGACAACACAACCGACTGGATGCTGCGGCTGGACTAGTAACGCGCGGATCAACAAGAAGAAAAAAAAGAACTACACTAGTAATCCCTACCCCCTTGTTCCCTAGTACACTATCTACCCGTCTCCCCTGCTACGCCCGAACCCCGCAGCCGCCTCAGAATTTCGACACCGCTCGCCCTGCTGGTGCACCCACCTGCTTCACGACCCCGAAGACGAGGACCAGAGAACAAGAGGAGGCTTGAGGAGCATCGGATAAAAGAGTTTTTTCTGACAACGTGAACTCCGTCGTTTCTGACAACCTGAACTACTTGCACAAGAACGTCCGGAACCACACGTCGAACAACAGCTCCGCCAGAACTTTCTCTGAAAGCCAGAACTTCTCCTTTCGTTTACAAGTACAAGGCTTCATTTCACCGTGCTGCCTCTTCGTTCCGGCCGCGCGACTGCACAGTGGTAGTGGAAACAAGTACCGGAAAACGGAAGAGGAGGAAAAGAGTGTCACACCACAAACGACAGTCACGACACAAACGGACAGGCATTTGCTGTCAGCAGACAAAGAAGATGAGCTATGGGATCTGTGGGCAGCAGAGCCGTATAGGAATTAGAACTGAAGTGCATCGCTGTCCTCCCCTTTCTATCTGGTTCAATTCCCGCGTTCTGAATTTCAATTTCAGTTCCCTGCTTTGCTAAGTAGCCCCACTAGTATTCAATTTCAATTTATTACAAGTGCCGCCCCTCCGTACTGACGTTTGAGAACGCGTTTAGTAGACGAGGAGGCACTGATTCTGATCAGCCTGAGCCATTGCACTGGTTGCAGCCTCGACCGGCGTAGTGATGCAACAATCCTGCGGTCGGCGAGAATACTTCGCCTCTGCATCTCATGCCTACAATCTAAACCTTCAAAGATAAAGAACTTCAACCAGAGAGGGCACTAGAAGTACTGGAGCTGACAAAAGATAGTTTGTCAAGCATGTATTATGATTGGAAACAAACTCGGGATCAACGAGCTTTGCAAAAAGGTGCGGTTTGGCACGTGGCAATGGGGACGAGTCTCTGAGTAGAAGTGTTCGGACGCTCGGAGTAGGCTAGTTCTGAGTGGTCTGTGCGGACGATCTGAGTGGTCTGTGCGGCTGAAAAGTTTGCACATCAAAACGAGATTTTCATTTTTCCTTTCACTCGACATAATTTTGGCGTCTGACACTGTGAATGAAGTTAAGAGCAACTCTATCGCCAAGCTTTTTTCCACGTACGGTAGGAACTCGTGGCGTTTCGCGCTGCGGGTAGAGCCAAATTATGTGGTAGAACTAAAACAAACAGACAAAAGATGCGGCGTCCTATTTCTGCTTTCTTGCGCCTAGGCGGTGCCGGCAGCACTGTGCTTCTTGTTGCTGCTGATGAGGCGACAATGGCGGATGTAAATACGGCCGACTTCGTATCCGGATTGAAAACTTCCCCACCACGGATTCGCCTTGTGCGTCTGCATGTCCAGACTGCTTCTTATGCGCAGCCCCATGAGGTGCGGTTTCTAATGGTTTTCTGGAACTCGTTTTATGCTTAGACTATCGTCAGGCTGGTAAGTAAGCAGGATAAAGCGATTGAATTGGGATGACGTGGCTGCACTTGTTAACCATTAAGTACTGCGCTGCTGCTCGAAATGCGCAACAGCCGAACCTTGATGATTTTTATTTATAGCAAAGTTCGTTGCTTGGCTATTTTGGATGGGGACGTGGTTCCACAGCATACTCTGAGTTTGAGGGCGAGGCGCCAAAGGTGCCCCCCGCCACACCGTTGTCCTTTGTGGACGTCCCCAAGCAAGAGAGCACGGACACCGCGGCGAACATCGCCGTGGACACCGCGACGAATACCGCGACGGACACGGTCACGGACACCGCCACGGACACCGCGACGGACACGGTCACCACGACAAAGGGCCCGTGTGCCGGCGGAGCGCCTAGCTGGCTGCGCGTTATCCTGTGCGAAAATACTTCGTAAGTACATATCCACCAGGAGATGTTGGCTTTGCATGCGCTCGAGGTGTTTGTCTGACGTCTCGCCCCTGCTTCGCTGAAGCCATTTTAAGCCATTGCTGGAAAAGTGTCACGCCCGAGCCGGGAAGCGCATGGGGGTTTAAGTCATTTAAAGCCAAGCTTTGGACCGAAAATGGCTCGCACTCGAGCATTCTGATCTGCGTGATAGATTTTCCGTTGTAGTGATGGACCGACGACGGTTTTGCACAGAATAGGAGCCGCGTACAAGTCTCCAACAGTGCAGGCGTTTTCGGACATGCTGGACAAATTGGTCATCAAGACGCAAGAGGTACTTCCCTACTTTCCTGCTTTGGCCCTACTTAGCGTAATCCATCTTTTTGCTTCGACACTTTCGTGCTTAGTGCTGTGGTCCATCTTCGTTAGATAGGTGGCAAGACAAATGATTATAAATGATGATGATGATAAATTGCCGGCAGATTGGCAGCATCGATTCAAATTATATACTTATTCCAGGAAGCTTGTGCCATGGAGTGCATACTCAAGAAACACCAACTGCGTCTGTTGGGAGACGAAGATGCGAAAAAGTTCTGCGACGCCACCAAGACGTCCTCTCCGGCGGCCTCGTCTTTCATCGCTACACGGCCCCCACGTATGAGGGAAGGGCCCATACTTTTATTACGTATCCGTTTCGCACAGCTTGAACTTTGAGATAGATACCTCACTCTAATAAAAGCTTGATAAGTGATCAAGCTTTTTGGAACAGAAATCTCTTTAAAGTTTCGATAAGCGAGCAACAAGTTTTGGCAAAAGTTTTGATAAGTGATCAAAGCTATCTGCTCTCTACTCTTATAATGCTTTTTGGGAAGTTTATCCCAAAAGCTTGATAGCTAATCCCAAAGCTACGTGCGGGAGATGGGTACTTAACAAAAGTCATGGGCGTTCCTCCATACCTGAGCCTGGAGGTGGTTCGGACGATCCCGTCTCGATAGAAGGGGACGCATACGAGCCGGGAAGTCTTTTCTCGTGCTCGTCGTGCAACCTGTGCTCTCCATCGCACTCTGAAACGGTCGTCAACGATCTGGTCGCCGCGGACAAAGAGCACTTGCGAGGAAACTTCGCTAGCGGGTACCCGGCTTGGCGGGAGAAGTACACCTCAGTTACTCGGCAGCAGCACCTCTGGTGGATCCGCACCGGTCAGATTGGCGCGACGGAGGCGAAAGGTGCGTGGGAGAGGTACACGAAGTGGTGCGACGGCGAGGACCGGTGGATGAGTAGGGCTACGTCAATGTTGAGGTGTACGGATGGGTACTAGGGTAAACCTTTCTGATTTTTTTCCGGAAGTGCTTTGCCAACGCCGCAGTCAGTCAGGTGATCCGGATTGGAGCCCGGATCATTAGTGGACAGTGAGGACACACGAAAAAGAAAAATGATCGAGATCCAGCTTTTGCTGCACAAAGCAGGCTTAGCTCTCGGGTATGTTCCCAGGATAGAGTTCGAAGTATCTTCTGTAGCTTGAAGCGCGTTTGGTTTCATCCGTCTTGTACATCGCGATTATGCGAACGTTGGAAATCTATTACATTTTTACGGAAATTTAAATGCACTGCTAGCTCTGCTCTCTGCGGAGGGAAATATGTGATACAACCTGTCTATACGGAGCGCATGTAACACGTCAAGAGGTCTTGGAGGAGAGCGAGGGTTTTTTGCCGCGTCCAATACGGGTTACGGAAGTGGGAATACGCTGTGAGTTCTAGCGAAGGATACTAGTACGTGAGTAAGATTACTTCTGCCGCTTCCCCGTGTCCAGTCCTTCTAGAAAGCTGACATCACTCGTCCATGTCGTCGGTCCCTTCACGCGACCCTCTTCTTACTGGCTAAATCAGAACCCGAACATACTGGTTAGAGACTTCCGCTCGCATGCAGCTGCCAGATGAATCATGCCACAACTTTGTCAGTAGCTTTGGAATACTTCATCCTAACGCACAAATCAAATTAAAAACATCTTTGGTTTAGCTTTTTCCTGAGAGGAACAAAAATCTGAGAAAGATTCAAGATCCGAGCGAGAGGGTCTGCAGGTTTCAGCGCATTGCACCCTGCTGCATTACCGAGAACACCTCGTATTGCAATTTTTTGCATTACAAACAAGCATTTACCCAAAAATGAAGTCGATACTGGTCGCCTCCACCCTGTTATCCGACGAGAAATACAAAAGCGGCTTCACTTCCACGAAGATTTCTTGCAGCGGACAAGAATCCTGTGTGTTGCATGTTGATCAAGCAGTCGTGTATGTTGCATGATCTTCTACTGCGCTGTGTAAGTAAAGCAGTTTTTTCTCCCGATACCGACTCTCCTCGATCGAGGCCTTCAAAATCCAGAACCAGCGGGTCAGCGGAATCGAAGGTATACTGATGAAATTTGTATTGTTACCTCATTTTAAGTCACAGGAACTTTTTCATTTAGCTTTCCTGCTTGATGATCAAGCATCTTCTTGGTTCCGCAATGTGAATCAATTACTAGCTGTACTAAAATTTTCTTTACCAGGTTCCGGTCCGCTGCAGTCTGTGCAGCTGTCGTTGCACGTGAACGCCCGCAAATCACCCACCGGCGACATCAAAAAGTACTTACTTCTTTCAATTTCTGTTGTGAATCTGAAGCAGAACCTTGCACGCCCCACCTAGACGAGTGATATGAAGATCTTTTGTTTATTGTAGGCAAAAATGGAGATCTACCTGTGCGAAATGTGATTTGAATACACGAGCATATGTTATGATTGTAACCGGAGGCGAGGATAGTGAATCAGAACTGAAAATGAATGATTTTCAGGGCGATTGCGTTGCTGCAGCGAGATGACAAGAAGTTCAAGGTGGATCACAAGGACGCAGAAAAGGATATCGTATTTAAGAATGTCCCCACCTTATAGTTGTAATGCAAATCAGCATGCTGAAAATGTTTCTCATACGGCGCCGCACGAGAAGCATTTTCTAGTCGTGTTTTGGAATTTGTCATGCTCCAAATAGCATGACTTACTAGATCTGTGATGCTGCTGAACTACCTCAAACAGCACTACACTACGAGTCCAAATTTGTCATGCCAAACAGCCAAGGCTTGTGCGTGGATTTGTGTAGCCGATTCCTCATCGTGACTATCGGATTGGGACGTTTTTACATACAATAAAGGACGAGGAGGCAGCGTCCGACGAGGACACCGAGGCCGCGCTGTTGCAGGAAGACGCCGAGACCGACTTGTCCGCGTTTCAAGATCCCAACAGCACGGCTGCCGGTAATTCTACGGGCACGACTGCCGGTAACACGACTGCAGCAGCCGGCGATGATTCCAGCAGTCTCCAGACCTTGATCAACGTATTTGTTTTTTTTGTCAATTTGGGTCTTTTAGACAATTACCTTGATTTCGGGCACGAATATCTGCAACATATCAATAAACCAGCTAGTTAGGAGCCAATCTTTCGTTGTGGTGCAGAAGCAACTGCAACGGGCACTCCGTAGAAATAGCCGGGAACACGACGAACTGCCGTTCTGTTTATCTGTCGGGGCGGTTCGTGCTTGGGTACAAGCGCAGCTGCGAGCACGGTGAATGATATTTATCATCCAGTGGTGATGCATAGTGGGCCACTGCCCTGCTCGTACCGCAAATGCGGGCCCGCTAAAAGATTGCATGAGACGCGTCTACTGCTTGGAAGACAACGGCAGGCGCGTCTTTTGTATTCAAGCCGACGCAGGGCGGCTCTTGTTATGTAGGCGCCCAATAGTTCCTTGCACTTTACACTGCACCCAAAAGAAAATGCTGCTGATTGTTCTGCGAATCGGAAAGTGGGCGTTTTTGGGTTTCAGAAGCGCCCTTCCATGTTACGCGTTTGCCGGACGCGATTGGCACGCGTGCGAAGCGGTCTTGAAAATCTGGCCAAAGAGGAAAGGCGACTGCTCCAAAGACAGCAGCTCCAAACGAGCGGCCTCCAGTGCCTCGGTAGCACCGACTAATGCAAGGTTGGAGGTTGTTGCTGCGTGCTACAACGTCCTCGAGGAGGGAACAGCTGAAGCAAGGGGAAAAGGCTGGCTTTGGAGTCAGGTGCCGTCAGCGGCAGTGTACAACTACACTCTTGACAAATTTAGAATGCAGTCCTTTCTTTATCAATTGCCTGCGCGGAGTATTGTACTTGCAGCGCATATTATTAAGAACAAGATCTGCGGTGCGATTCATTTTGTGTTTTTCGGATGCTTTCCAACTACTCTTACCACAGGATGTGATCACGAAGACCTTCGGCGACCACTTTGGGCCCAACGGGGTGACGATCGACGTCGTGTGTGACCCGATGACGGGCGACCAACAGGGCTACCAGTGTATGCCAGGGGAAAAAGCCGGCTTGTCATCTTTACATCCTTGCAGAGGGTTAGCAACAGTAAACAAAATCAAAATTTGTGCGTCCCATAAAGAAAATCACGTCCCAAAACCTCTAGCGATCCTCCCCTATGCTAGCAAGATGATGATGATGATGGTGCGTGCGCTGAATTTCTTGTGAGAAACTCGCGACATGAGATTTTGCTTGCATCACGTGCCACGGTGTATAAGCCAATGTGCAACACGCGATGTTAGTTTTCGATTTTGTAGTGCGGTTTTATTAAAGGGACGGATCGAGTTTCTACAGGGCGAAAGCGTGCGTAGTTATCAAAGTTCTGTTTAGCGTGAGATATGAAAGCATCTAAATTAAAAGAAGGGATATGTTTTGTACTACGGGGACGTGTGTCGAGGTACACCTGTACTTCACCGACGTAGCAAGATGGCAGGCTAGCTCTTTTCCGTGGTATAACACGCACGGTGCAAGTGACCGGTTTCGGCATCGACGCGAGCAAGTACATGCTTCGTTCTTCTAGATGATGTGAGATCTGTAATGCATCACTACGAATGATTGGCAATTCCAATTTCTTTGTCGGAAGATTGGAAGCCAGTTTGTGATGCGTTTGGGCTTTTGCGAATGAGCCTTTTGGTACGAAGAAAAACAAGCATTAACAAATGAAGGTTCTCCGATGCCTCCATGGCCACCCTCCGCGACCTACCCGACGGAAGAAAGCCTTGCCGCTCCCAGAGTTGCAGCAGAAAGAAACCTTTGGGGATCTGCGATGTCGAAATGCAAATGTGATTTTTTTTTTCATGCGGAAATGAAGCATGTGCATGCTTTCGCTTCGAAAATCGCGCAGGTCGCAAAACTAATCTGTGTTGAGTGTACTATCCAAAAGTACGTGAAAACAGTTGCATGAAAGAGACAGACAGCAGCTCTGGGAGAGCAGGGCCGCTTTGCTGCTGGATACGACAACTTGGAGAAAGCCTTGCATATCCAGGAGAACTAAAAAAACTTCGTCACTGTAACTTTTGGTATGGTCATGGAATTTTGATTTTGAAAAAACAGCATGTGTTGTATCTTCTTGCCTGGCATTACAAGCTGTACCTGCGTTAAAGGAGATGGTGTATGCCCGAATACAAAAAGTTACAAGATGGCGGGGAGTTATTTTCTCAGCATACCACAGTCGAACTCCGCACTGGCGTCCACCAACGTGTCGCCCATTGTGGTCGCGAGCAGCGGTATAAAGGATTTTGTTTCACATGTAGAACGATGCGTCTAGTAGTGCTGCTTTTGTACTACTTCATCAGACCGGTTTCTAGCAGAAATTTTGTGTACAACTGTCTACGGCGCGACGGCTTTCATGTAAGTAAAGGGTGCCAACATCATCCATGGCACAACTTAAAAAAGGTGATGAAGCCACGACGGCGGCGCCAGCTGCTGCTGCTGATGCAAACGCCACTACAGCTGCCCCGGACGCAGGGAACGCAACTGCCACTACGCTTGGTGAAAAGTGCTGCGTCGTAGTTTTTAGGACAACTGAGAAATGCATAGTATTTCCGAAATAAATCAAGCGCCGCTGGTACTCGCGTGTAGGGTAGACCCCTTGCAAAGTCGTGCTGCTTCAGTAAGTATGCTGCGTGCTATGCTTCAGTAAGTATGATGCTGATGTGTCAGGAGTGCAACAATTTCGTTTGGGGTAAGTACCACCAATCGTCCTCAGCTGTAGTGCTATTAAAAATGCCGAGACATGGGACACTTCTCACCTGCATAAAGTCCGGCAACGGAACCATGCTGTTGCAGGAGGAGGGCGAGGAAGACGAGGGAGAGATGGCCTACTACTAGATTTCCAAGACCAGGATCGCGGACGAGCAGAACACGAGAACAACGATGTCAACAAGAAAAGCCAGTCGTTCGGCCCACGATTTGACAACAACTCTGTCACGCTGCTGAAAAGAGAACACTGGTGCGATCCTGTGAGAAAAGAAACATCACGGCAAGGCGTATCCCGCGTAAAATGTGCCTCCAGTTGTAGTTCTGACTTGTCATGCAGCATTCAAATTAGCGGCAGTTCTAGTCGTATACCGTCGTGCTTGTCATTCGCAATGCTGACGGCTCTGCGTTCCACAGGTCGCCGTGCATTATCACTTCTAGCCTTGTGTTGCAGACGAGTTGCTAACTTGACTGAGGTCGAAAATGTTTGCAAGTGTAGACTACAGGATGGGAAGCTTTTTGCGCTGCATTCACGGAGAAGTTTCACAGTGTCGAGGCGCGAACAGAAGGTACACGCCTTTTGACATTTTTTATGCATTGTAAAGAAAATTATCGAGATCTGGGACCTGGTCTTCTGGAAAATAAGGCTTGCATGTGACTATTTGCATGGAATTTTTTTGTTCGCAAAAACAGTAAGAATTAATTCGTCATGCAAAGAGAAAGACGGAAACCGAGATACTTTGCAACAAGACGCGTCTCTACCAACCAACCTTTTCCTAAACACCACACTCAAGCTCTGGCAGAAATTCCAGCTTCCCAGCATGCCCAGATGGTTTGTTTTCGATCCATAAAAGCGAGCAGAATGTGAAGCAGCTGCGTCAGTTTTGAAGACACGATAAAGTTTGCTACAACAATACAATTTTCAACTTATCACAACATTCTTGCAACACAAATCTAGTAGGTAGTTTCAACAAGCGGTAGTGGGTGCAGTGGTACTCGTTTTATTGCCTGGATTTGCTGTATCCAATTCCCACACTTGCCGTCGTCTTTCGCAGTAGAGCACTTCTTCGAAAAAATGAATCTTTACAAGAATTAGAATTTCTAGTGTTGGGCCGCCTTCTTCGTGCAGCAGGCGAGAATTGCTGCTCGGAGAGGTGGTTCTCAGCACAAAAACTTTGACTTTTTTGTCGCCGGTACAGGCTTCAGATTCGATTTCAAAGATTGTCACTCCTTCTACTGTAAAATGTTTCCGAAAGAATAAGCACTGTGAAGAAGCGAAGTTGCCTGCGGGAGACTACCTTATTATATGCACAGTAACAATTTCAATCAAGTCAGTTTACGTTACTTTTGCGAAATACAGCAACAGATTCTCGTTTAGTTTTTATCACAACAAATTTAACTATTATCTAGAAATAATCACTTTTTACCACACCAGAAATTTTACGGATTCGAAGAATTCGCATAGCAACTTCTAATGCCTGTTACAATACGAACACATGCACAATCTGATCATCCGAAGCAGAAACACTTCATACCAAGTATGAAACCCATAATGCACGCGGACAAGAAGACAAAACTTTTGCGGTTGGTGACCGCGTGTTATTTTCGTACCACCCCGCACGTAGGATTACGGCTCATTGCCTTGCTGTGTCGCATACTTCTGATTGTCGCCATTCCCAGCGTCAGCCAAAGTCGGTATCACAGTCGGTGTGATAAAATGTGAATCGTTAGTTGGCTCTGTCGTGCATCCATATCGTTTGTAGATCAGAGCGCTGCCTCGAACAACAGTGATCTGATCTAAAAGTATTTATGATTGGCAGCACGATTTGTCCGTACACTTCGGGTCTGGTGTCGTTGGTATCTTCACCATCTCAAGCACGTCGTTGTGGTTGTATCACGGCCAAGGTTGCAAACATCTCCTCGGCGTCGGTTCAGAAGTGTAGAAAATAGCAGGAAACATGTGTACATGCCTGAAGTTTCCCCACGTGAGCGATTGGTGCCTCAGTTTCGGTCTACCATACTAGCGTTTCTTTCACCTTCAGTGCAGTTTCACTTGCTCTACTTTGAACAACAACACGTGAGAATTTGGAGCTGTGCGTGGTGGTTACCTCTTGAAGGTTTCGCGTGGTTGTTTCACTCGAGCTGCTGTTTCTCCCCTCATTGGCTGTCACACCGCCGTGTGTTGTGCGACCAAGGAAGGTAGTATCCGAGCCGTATGATGTGTAACCACAGCAAAGACCACAAGGAACTGCGTTACATCAGGAGAGTTACAAATTGCTATTGCGCACTAGTACTGGAGCTCCCCCATTCTTAAAAATGGAACGTTGTGGAGTCGATGCACGTGTGTAAGTACGAGTTGGTGCAAATAAAACTAGTGGAATCAATAAGTAGAAGTAAGTATGATGACGTTGAAGCCTTCGCCGGGTACATTCCGTCGTACTATACAGCCACGGCGTAAGCAATTGCAATATCAACACATGACGGACCACCGTTTCCCGCGATCCACCTTTGGTAGCGCGGGACAGCGAGCTAAGGCCGCCTCTTTCGCCGAATAATCCATCTCGCCATTGTTATCTTCGACGCTGTACTGTAACAGGGATGGTGCGTCTTTCACCGTGCGAGGTCCTCCTACAAGGGCGCGGAGCGACCACAAGCACTGGACGCACGAGGCTCCGCGGCCGGACAGCAGCAGGATGGTGCGTTTTACCGAGTCTTGTGAGCGGGATCCAACTACTAACTTCGGAGACCAGCACAGGCCTTACGCTCTCGGAGGATGCGGGTGGTCAAGAGGACTCGTCCAGTGACAGGCAATATCAAATGTAAAAATGTCTGGGTCTGGAAGATTAGAACTTGCCTTGCTAAATCTGAATGATGCAAAAATCTGTGTTGCGTGAGTGCCAGAAGCTGTCCGCTTTTGATCAAGTTGAGAGGGAGTTTCTCATGCAGGAAAGGCATGATAGAGACCTCAAAGAATCTGTCATGCTGGATCTCGCATTCGAGACCTCATGGGTCATGGAAAACCTGCATGACAAGTCTGGCATTTTTCCAGACCCAGACATTTTTGCACTTGACAGGCAACGGTTCGAGTTTATGGTATCTGCGACGGAGCTTTTGCAAAAGCAACCGGCGGCCACACCAGCGGCAGGAGGGAGCACTAGTGGTGCTGCTGTTCCGACGGGCGCTTCTTCAGCCGGCTCTTCCACTCCCGGGTATGAAATGCAAGAAATGTGCCGTCTTAGTTTGCAAGGATGGAAAAGGATATCAGTACTTCCGGTGTTTATAAGTAGTTTTCAGAGCATGAAGATCCTCGCGACAGAGCCAACTCTATTCCGCACGGCAAAGTGTCTGTATGCAGCTGGATAAATACAGCGCGACCCACCTCGGTCTCGCGATACAGATCCTTCTTGGTGTTCCATGAACTTCGCAGGACGTCGGCACACTTGCAAGGCATACTGGGAGCGCCGCACCAGCTGCAGCGGCCGCCGCCGCTACCCCGACCTCGACGGCAGAAAATGTGATCACAGCTCGCGTGGAAGAAGTTTTTCGGGAGGAGCTGGTAAAAGTCAGCCCCAAGCAAGCGAAACCGCCGGTCGTCAAGGCGGAGGTAACCAAGAGACCCTACGACTATCAACTGCAAACGTACATGTCCGGGTCTGGAAGAATACAAGTCTTGCCATACGTTCACATCGAGGACTACGCGCATGTTCAGGAATAGACAAAGAAGCATCACAGATTCTGCGAAACTTTCCCAATGCCTATCCCGCAGGACATGCGGAAGCTTATTTGGGGTTCATGCTACACAGATGTTATACCCGTTGCATAGTAGCCCGTGCAGGCTTGGTGATACTGAACGGAATTATCGCATGACAAGCTGCATCCTGGTAGACCCAGACATATTCGTAATGGATAACGATGAAGGGTACGCAATTTCCGTCTCCGTGGGTGGGAAGAACGCACTGGTAAACGGATCCTCCATATCATTTTGAAAAGTGTCTCCACCCGCCCAGAGTGTGGAAGTTGTTGTGTTGCATTCGTTCTCAGTGAAAGCGTTTGGCACCTCGCACGTATCAGCACGACAAATCTTCAAGCCAGGGAAGCGAAGGTCTACGTTACGCGCCGCCGCAGTATAGGCGACGTCTGTCATGTTGGCGCTGCATAACCCAGCCTGCTTGGATTCGGAATAAAAACGCGGCGCATGATTCGTTTCTTGCAACACAAAAGATTTTCTGTGATGTGGGAGGGCGTATGCAATCTCAACCGTTTGGTCTTCTGCTGGTGGGGCGCTTTTCATTATGATCTTTTGCACGATTTCAAGCGCCGGAGTTCGCTCGGAAGATTACGGCGGCACTACATGGTATTTTTCGTATATCGATCAGGTTATTTTGATTTTCAAACGAGGAGATTTATGAAATTTTTACACATAAGTTTTCTATGTCAATGCTACCACAACCTAGACACGATGCACTAAAATCAAGAATGCAACTTCACATACCTACGTCTCCAGCCCTGAATGTTGTTCCCGGCGACATGGTGACTTCGCCTGTGCAAGTTTCCGACAAAACGTTTGTCATTCCGGCGAAAGCCAAGGCCGCAGCGACGGCGCAGAAGTCCTACGTAAAAAGTATCACCCGCGGCCCAGGTGTTCGTACTTACAATCTCAAGCGCTTCAACTCTGGATTTTCTGTCTTGCATGATCAGCATGAGAGACACACAGAGCGTTTCATTGTTTCCAATAATAAGTAGTCGAGAAATTGTCATGCGTGTTCCTATGAGAGTAAGCCAGATTCTGCACTTTTTGCATCACAGGGCTCCGCTTGCTTCCATTGTGACGTTTGAAATTCCTGTAAAAGAACCTGAGCGGGCTATAAAAACCTGCGGCGCGGACTTTAGCAAGCAGTGTCCAGAGTTCTCGCAAGAGCTGGACGGAAAGACGAAGTGTCTCGGAACGAGCAAGTGCACCGAACAGCATATCCGGAATAAAAAACATGCCCACGACCCCAAAGTCAAGATGGGAATCCTGCAAGAGAAGTCCAGAAATTTCGGAACCCACGCACGAAAATATTGGCTTTGCAGCGTACAGTCGCGGCCAGCTAGTCCGGACGCACCATCTTCACAAAATCTGGTCTATTATCCGAGCTAGCGCGTGATAAGATTCCCAAACTTAGCTAGAAAATGCCTTTCACTGAGAGCCGCATGAGAATAAACATCCTGATACTGCTAAGCATGGAGATTCTCATGACAAGTCTGGCTCTGGGGAGGGCACGTTTTTCCTCAGGACACGGCAGTGCTGCTCGAAGCCGAAAAGGTTGACGAACGACTGGTGCTACCAGATGCAAATGTGTATGGGATTTGTGTTGCTGAGTATTCTTGCATGACGCAGTGGTCGTATCTTCGGACGGCAGTACGGTGTGGCAAGTTCATTTCCTAGGTTTCTTGCACATTCGTTCGTATACTAGTTAGTATAATCGCATGAAGAAAGGAAACTGCCTTCCACCACGGCCGCAAAAGCGCCTGGCCAGTCCTCTTCATGCAATACAGGTCTCGTTCGCACACATTTCCATTTCTCTGGCATCACGGACCCAGACGTATTTGCAATGCATAGGTGCAGTCAGGCGAAGGTTTTGAAGCTGTGGGGCAACTTATTACAATGAAAAATGCCCCCACCCACGAACTTGGGAGCACTTGTATATGCAAACCTTTCCAAATGAAACATTCGCTCTCTTGCATCTATCAGCATCACAGGTTTCCAATCGTGAATAGCAAAAATTTGCATTGCAAAAGACCCCAGTAAGAGCGTCGCTTGTCATGCAAGCGATGCGATGCACGCCTAGACTCTGCATCAGAAAGATTCAACATACTCCTTTCATGCATGACAAAAAGTTTTCATTTGGAAACCTCGCATCACAAATTTTTGCAACGTTGGTGGTGGGGGCATTTTTCACTGTAATACAACTACACCATCATGGGTGCGTCTGACATGTCCGTGAGCGAGAAATTGGGCCTGTGCGAGAGCGGGAAAGTTGAAAAGTTGCTGAATTCTGCAGCCATGAAACTGCTGGCAACAATATCAAAGTGAAAAATTCCTTCTCCCCATATTCAAATGGAAATCTGTGATGGGAGATTTGTGTGCACAAGTCAGGTTTGTCTTGCAGCAGGGGACGGCATGCAGATTCTAAGCCTGGGCAGGGATGTTGTGGTGTAGGCACTTAGCATGCCAGAGGTCGGCTGCCCCGTAGGCCTTACAGCATTACCAATCGCCTGGGTGACGCGGCGCACTCTCTGGCTTTGCCTTCTTGCAATGGGGACGTAACTCGTGCGCGCATATCTGCGTCGCGCGGATCCGGATCGATACATTTTCAATTATGTGGAGGGGAAATTTTCCCTTACAATAAGCGACGAGCGTGGGAAAGCGGATCGACATCGATCTTGGCGTCGGTACTTACTTACACGTGATGAGCAAGTTCATTTTCCTCGTTTAGTTGTCGAGTACAAAAAATGTGAATGTTAATAACTAACCACGGTCGCTGTGTTGCTTCAAAGAAAGCGCTGCCAGGTCCAGGTGACTGGAGAGATAGGGCGCTCTGCATGCCCACCTCCCCCAGTGTAGGGTACATGATGTATGAAGATGGTCGACCATTTAGTTTTTATCACATGCCGAATACTTGCGCAAAGATTAAGATTCTACTTATTGATTTGTCAGGCCCAAACTTCTGCGACGGAGAGTTTATATCTGTGCCAGTTTATGCCGGAAAAAAAGTGCCTTAGTGTAACCCTCTTTGAGAAACAGCATCACAAATATATCTGCGCTTCGCAGATGGATCATGAGTGAAAACACACTCGCATCCTTATGATGCATGTCGAGCATGATTTGCAGTGTCTGCAACACAAAGTTACTTACACTGAGACGGCATTTTTCTTGCATACAGTTTTTTTCGGCGGTCTTGATTCTGATTCCCAGTACCGTTATCAAATGCAATAAATCATTTGTCTGGAAAATCCTGGAATAACGCTAAGTGAACTGAAGGCATTTGAAACTTTTCCAAGTGCATCAGCTGAGCATGAGAAGTTTTCAGGTTGTTTTCCTGTACACACAGTGCTCATGACCACACGACAAGGAGTATTTGTTAAAGCTACGCTTTTGCTAGTGATGCAGGAGGGACGGTGCAGGAATGCACGACAAGCATCTACCTCACAAGTAGTTCATCCACCCTTCCCTCCAGACTCTGATGTGGTTGCGATGCATAGCCGTGAGCTCGAGGCAATTCTCACTCCCGAGTCTTTACTGCAGCAGGTGATGACGCTGCAACTGCAGGAAGAGAAACCTCTATCCCGGGAAAAAAACTGTCTCAAACTCAAGCGTACTCTGCAGACTCAGCTACACAAATGATTCTCGAAGCAGGATAGAGAAAACTCTCTGTATAAGGAAGTGGATGGTCCAAGCAGGAGCAAAAAGAGAAAACACATAGTCCTTTTTACAGATAATGATTACAGGCCCCTTTTTGATGTTCTTGCATGTCGAGCATGACACCAGAGATACCGCGACAGTTTTTTCTCGCGATAGCGCCTGGAACTAAAGGCGTCGTCCGTTACTGGTCTCGTTCGACAGCGCACGGTATGCAGAAAGAAACTGGTGTGTTACTATCTGTAGGTCTGTGATGCGAAGTATGCAAGACAGTTGCGTCTATCATGCTGGTAGGCTGGCGACGTACGTCGGGGGATGAGCGATCGGCTGCCTGACGAGGCTCGTCGAGGGACGTTGCTACATAATTCATTCATGCTGATCAGGTATTGGTTGCAGGGTCCGTTGCCGCTCCGGCGCGTTTATTTCGCTTTCCTGCCAAACAGTGTTGTAATGCTGTGCGCCGAGTATGAATCAAAACTGGAAAGATACACGATGAAGACACACTCTTTATTCTCCTTCCATGCGCGTCTTATTCCTTCTACAACGCGAAACAGCTCCAGAACGGGCCGCAGGTGAATGTTTTCGAAGACTGGTATCTCCCCTTGACGCACAACTGCACGGGCGGGTGCCCGGTTTCGGGCTTCGGCCAGGACGCGGGGGAGTCGACGTTACCTTCGTTGCCGGTTTCGTTGTGGGCGTCGCAGTATCCACTGCAAATATAATAATCCCGAGACGTGGTCTGGAAACCTCCTGTGACGCCGACTTGCGGACCATAATTGAGTAGATAAGTAAGTATTTCTCATTGCAGCCGTGCACGACAATTTTTTTCCCCATTTATTTTCCCGACCATGCGCAAGACAAGCATTGCAAGTGCAACGACCTTTGTTCCAGACACAGACATGATATTTGCAGTGGATACGCGGGGCGTCCTAGGAGCTACCGGCGGTGGGGGTGCGGCACTCGGTTCGGTGGTGGGGACGTGGTTTATTCAGACTTGTTACGCCTTGTAGAACTATGTCCGGGTCTGGAAGTAGAGTTCCAACTTGCGATGCGAAATCTCGACCGAACAATGAAAAATCTGTATTGCATGAGTGCAGAGTGCTGCCTGCTTTTCGCTACACAAATTGCGAATTTTTCTGTATGCGGGGTCGGCATTAAGAGGCCTTCGGCTTCGCAAAACCTGTAATGCTTTGCTTGTGTTCCAGACCTCTTATATGGGCATGACTTGTGACGCTAAACTTGCACCATACTGCAGTGCAATTTTGCGTCGCATGTCTCGGAATAGCACTGCTCCACCTTTATGCAGCCTCATGCGCCTTAACGCACGACAGAACTGCACAAAAATTCGTCATCCATGGATCATTAGCATGGCAATCAATTCTTGTTTGCCAGACCCAGACGTATCTGCAATGCATACCTGTTACCAGTACACTGATGTGACGTGCGGCAACGAGGAGCGGCTAGCCTACTACTTGAAGAAAAACCTGGAGCAATCGTTGCTCTGCCAGCTGGGGTACAACGTGCGGATAGAGACCGGAATCGCAGGGGCCTACAACGAAAACGCGACGCCCCAGATGAAAATGAACGGCTGTGCCAGGGTGCCAGACGCCGCCACGCAGACGCAGAGGTGCTGTTATGGTTTAAAACTACCAGGATTTTTGCATACGATATGGCCATCGTATGATAACGCGCATGAGAAAAAAAACCTATTACTCACGCTGGATTCATTTATTATTTGCAACGAGTAAGTGTGTCCAAGTACTTATCCGAAATGAAAATGAAGGTACATCGACATGCGAATAACGCAATACAAGCCCTCGGACGAATATCCAGAAGAAAAAACTGCGTTAGGGTGAATTCGAATTCCTTGGACTGACAGCATCGCAAATTCAGCCGGTCTTGACAGAAAAAACCTAAATTTGTCTTGCGGAGCTGCTAGTGCAGGAAGCAGTTTCATCTGACGATGAGGCGAAGCTACTATCAAGGTTGTCCACTAGGACTAGCATGACAAATGCAACATGCGGGTTGCTTATTTGTCCCGCATCACAAACACAAACCAAAGTCACACAAGCGCAGTTTTTTTCTTGCTATAGCGCAGGACTCATCCTGGACAAGTTGAAGGACGAAGGTACGGGCTTAAAAGAGAGTTTGTCATGCAGAGCTCGCACGATGCAGGTTCTCCTTCTCCACCGTGCTAGCTCTGCATGACAAATACTTTTTCCAACCGCATACCATAGTTCAAGTACCAGGTGTCTGACGACGTCTTTTCCGTCTACAACTGCCAAAATAACTGCATATGCAAACATATCTGGGTTTGGGTGTGTGATGCAAGACTCGCGTCGTGATAACCAGATCTACTGTGTGCGTGGATAGGGTCGTGCGGGAAGGCGCAACTTTGTCATGCTACTTATTCAGGAATGAATGCGCCAGAAGCTGCTGAGGAAAACTTCTCATGCCGTTATGCCGTACGTGCGATCAGTTTGCAACGGAAGTACAGCAATACAAATTTCCAAACCCAGCCGGATTTGCGATCGATACTGCACTACCCAAGGCAAAAGTAGCGTACTACGTCAATGGCCGGACAACAGGCGAGTTCTTTTGCATGGGAAGATGGCTGGATAGAAAGACTTGCGATGCAGCTAGGAAGTGTCTTCTAGAGTAAAAATCATAGGTTAATACGACTTCAAGTTCAAGGTAGGACCGCACAGGTACAAGCAAGCTCGCTTGCTCTGTACGGATAATGAATAAGCGCTACAGTAGCATTTCCACCGCTGCTTTTGCGATCGATAGGCCTGAATGCGGCTGGGCTCGCGGGTCCAGACGGCAAGTGCCACCAGAACGCGTACTATTGGGCGCCCAACGGAGGGTAGGAGAGTGCTTATAGCTCCCCCTCTCCCTCATTTGTGATGTCAAATGCCAAAGCCTCACCTATCTAAGAGAGCCTGCAGGCTGTGCTTGCGTGACAAGTTCAGGAGGCCCAAACTGCACCACAGTCCGGGCCTGGATTTGTCATGCCGAAACCGCTGTGATTTTCCTCACAGCCTGGAAAAATGTGCGTGACGCTAGAAACAAATGCCCTTCATCTGAGGGAGGGGGGAGAGTTGTGTACTTTCATAGATGGGAACCGCGGACGCAGATTTGGAATCCGCCCTAAAAGTTCGACGGGTTGACGCTATTGCAAACGGAGGACGAGAAGATCGGAAACTTTTCGCAGGGCATCTTACTACGGTGGAACATGTGTATTTTTCAAATGGACGTCGAGCAACCAGTTACAACTTTAGTAGGGACATCGTTCAGTTAAAATGCCTTGTAGAATAAAACATGAAGAAAATGCACTTTTTTTGTACAAAGCGGCCACTAACGTAGTTGTTCTGAAATGTTTCCGAGGAATGATGTTGCCTAGTGTGGTCGGCGTGGGACAATATACGATAGAACCAGCAGATGGTCGCACACCAGCGCAGCATCCTTGAAAACGACCTCAACGCGGCTGTTGTAACCAGATTCGGACGAGAATACAGTTTTAAAGTTTAGCACAAGGCGTGTTTTTACTGTTTCCACATTGATTATTTCACACAAACACAAAGTCACCGAAGAAAATTCACCGAGATGAAAGCGATTTTAGAATTGGAATACGAGAGCCGTAAGTATTACGGAAAGATGAAGATGAAAATGATCGTTCCAAGAAGCAGACGCAAAAAGAACAGCCTGCTCGTTTTTTTGGAAAGGAAAAAGAACAACTGGATACACTGACGACAGTGAGTTACAACAACCGCGCACTGGAGGAGGAGCGCAAGGTGGTCCTGCCTCGTTTTCTGTGTAAGTACGTTGCTTGCCAAAAAGTTTCCAGCGGTCGGGACTCAATGTACAGCGCGTTCTTTTGGGAGGCGGTCGCGACGATCCGATCCCTCCTCCACCAACATCCCTGTACACCTAAAAGCAGCCGGGGAAAGGCAGACTCCCGGATCGATCTTTTCAACGCTTCTTGCGGATGGGGTGTTGGTCATAAGTAGACACAGAGGACGAGCACTATAATCGGTTAATGGCACAAGATCCTAAAGCAGGGAGAAGTGGAGGATCTGCGCGGCCAAACAAGAAGCACTTTAAAGAATTGGACAGAACCCGTAAAGTTGCACTTCAAAGTGGGTAAGTACAACGAAAAAGTGAAAATGCACGCTCGAGTGATGTCCACTTCTGTTTCTTCGTCTTGCACTACTCGGTGTTCGCTGTGTGGGCCCAGCACGTCCACGAAGGCCGCGGGTATTGTTCCAGGTGGAAACAACGTCACAGGAATTATACCAGCAATATGGACACCGACACCAGCTTTGCCGACGGTCGCCCCGCCCATTCCCCCGCTCCGGCCGCACCACCGGCAGCTGCGCGGGCCCTGGAAAAACCATAGCGCAGGAGCAACGACCCAAGAGGCGACTGTTGTTGTCATTAGGAGCGATAAGCCTTTTCTTTTTTCCTCCGACGTCGATGCAGCGGGTGTTGCTGCAGTTTTCTTGGGCGTGTTTGCCACAGGACCTCCTCCTGCTCGTTTCACATCGAAGGATCGCCTTTCTCACGCGCAGCAGCGGCAAAGCCGAAAGTTTTGTTCTTCCGCCTCATCGAGTGGCGTTGTTTGCAGTGCGGTTGCCAGTACCTCGTCTGCGTCTACTGCGGACACACGAAGAACGCATCCGAATCCCGTCTTTCCGACGTTCGGTGACCACTACTACGCACCAGCACTGCTCTCCGAGCAGAAGCAGCTGGAGCGGTATTTGCAAACCTCGGAGAGGCAGATGTACCCCAAGGAACTGAACATTCCCTTGCCCGAGCTAATCCTCGAGCTGTGCCAGGAGAGGCGGGTGGTCGACATCGCTGCGAACCTCATCTACCACTGTTTGGACGTCTTCGATGGGGGCACGGGTTACGACAGGTTTGGGATCATGTACCGGTTGCACGGATTCGCCTACTTGAACCACCCCAACGAGGAAAAATTGCAGAAGTTCAACTCCGATATTTACCAGCTGTGCAGCTCCTTGTTCGCCGTCCACGCTAAGAAACCGAACTGCGAGTACTTTTTTGCCTGCCTCAACCCCGTGATCCTGGATCGGTCGTGCGCCAAGTTGCGCAAGGTTCGCCGCGAAAAGGTCCGGGAGATGCTGTTTTTCGCGATCGCTCGGTACTTCTGGTTAAACAACAGTTCTTTCACCACCGGCCTCTCGGCGCTTTCTTCCAGCCCAGAAGTGGAGGAGCCCTGCAAGAAGAACTCAATTGACCGGGACCTGGTGTGGAAGGTGACGGGTACGAAAACCTTTCTGGAAATCGTGGAGCGCTTTCCGGTACGGGATTTTGCAAAAGTAATAGCCATGGTACTAGGTGGTGGTGAAAATTGATAAATGTACTATCTACCTCACAAGTTTTTGATCATCAAGTTCTTGGAAAGTGAAATTTGTCGACAAACTGAGAGTCAGGTACGGCAAAAGAAAGTTGTCATGTCGCATGAGAGTAGCCACTACTAGTACCATTGCGCTACAACTTTTGCACAGTAAACCCGGGGCTGTTCCAAGAACAAGAGCGCACACAAGAACTTCATGCGGCAAGATTTTCTGCGGCCCGCAGATCATCTGCTAGTTGTATCAAAACGGAGACAGTCGACGCCATTTTGTATCAGCTCCTGTACTATGCGTTACAAATATGATGTCTGGGTCCTCGTCCGGAAACTTGTGATGTTGAGCCTTGGAGGATGGAACCGCGTCCAAGTTATTCTGTCAAGCGTCACTAGTTTTTTTATCGAGTGTAGTATTTTTCGTACATAGCATGGTACGTATTACAACACAAGAGTCGCGTGTGCTGCTGATGCAGTACAGATTTTGCAGAAAAAATGGAAATCAAGCGTAAGAAGTTCCTCCGTTCCAGACCCACACACATTGCGAAATCCATATGCACGAAAAGCCGACGAATTTGGCCCAGGCGATGCAGTTTGCGTTCAAAGTGAGTTCTTTGTCCTGGCACTGTACTACCACGATTCCCGCGCCGCGGCCGTCAAACAACGTGGCACACGACGAGAGCAGCCTTTCGCCGTCCTCGCAAAATCTTCACCTCTCCAGTCCTTTGTTGCCCCGGAGTCGGTTCGCCTTGCGCACGTTTCTGGAGCGGATTCTAGAGTTGAAATCCGAGTTTTTGCTCAAGGACTTCCTCTTGCAGGTGACGCGACTGGACGTGGCGTTTCATGACATCACGGCAGTTTCTTTCGATGGAAAAGCTTCGACTGAGGATTTTCTTCACGAGCACGATCACAGCGCAAAAATGGCTGCTCTGGCAGATGCACAAAGAACTTCTATACCCTCGTTGTACTCCACCTCTCCGTTGCTGGCCGAGGCACTGCAAATGTGCGGCTGCGCGGACACAGAAGCGTCTGAGCCCTCGCCGCTCGTCACGCGGAGGTGCCCTGTCACGGGCTACCCCACTGCAGGGGGCGTTGCCGGAAGCGTTGTGCACGTGGCCTGGGCAAAAGCGACGATTGGAAAGATCATTGGCGCGGGCGAGCAGGGAGCACATAAACCGTGGGGGCACGACCATTTTGACGCGCCTGGTACAAGGGGACTTAACCCGGTGGAGTACCATGGTACAAAGTCGCGCTTGGCTGACGACGAACCTTTGCAGGAACAGGCGACTTTTGGTTCTCTCTTCGAAAATCAGACAATACACGGTGTCGACAGGACAACGTCAACGACGGCGACCAAGACGACCACAGGCGGAACCAACGAGGACACGGTCAGAGCACGAGCAGTGCGTCACGAGATGACTAGTGGTGTCGGTCTCTCCCCACCAGCACGAGGACCTATGCATTGCAAACATGATTGGGTCTGGCTCTGGAATAGAGTTGTGGTGCTGCCGCGTGCAGCTGCTCGCATCGAAGAGGTGGAGCTGCTTGCGTGGTATCTAAACAGCATCACAAGTTTCTCGAACTTTTTTATAAGCAGATTCATTCGTAATCGTAATCGTAAAACGTACGAAAGGCTGGCTTCCAGCACGACAAAAAATTGGCGGCTCGTGTTCGAGCATCACAGTAGATCTTCTTGTCCTTCAACTTTCGCATCACAGATCCAGACCCAAACATGTTTCCGATGCATACGACCCGAACAATCGTTGTTCCAGCTGCCCTCTTGGCCGTCCACGCACGTCCGCGAGGATTCTTCGGCCGGAGACATGAGGCAGATGGAGCCTACTAGGTCGTCGTGCACATCAGGGGGAAGAAGAACTGCGCCTGCAAGCAGCCACTCCGAAGATTATATTCAACCGTCCTCCTCCTGGTCGTGCCCTCCAGCGTCTGCGCCACAGCATGCTGACGAAGATGTAATTGACACGAGCGGGTTCGGGTTGTCGGCGAGCAGTAGCAATGATTGCGGTAGGAAAGGACGGTGGACAACGCCGGGAAGAAGTAGTGGGGGAGCCGCGCCGACATTCATTTCCCACGAGTGCGAACGGGAGCGACGGCAGCTAGAAGCGTACGATCGGAAGCGTCAAGTTTCGCTCCGCCTACTCGACGGCGCCGACGGCGAAATCAAGATCCCCTACGGGTTTTCGACCGCTGTGGACGTAGGTGTGACCACGGGCCAGCAGTTGCACGACCAGCCGGGAACGACTGAGGCGGGGTTTCTTGATTCACCCGATGGAAAACGTAGTAATACCCCGCCGGCGCTCTTATGGGGTTTACGACCGTGGGAAAACGCCGCGCCCTTTTTGTGTTCGCAGAGTCGTTCTAAGCCAGCACCAGCACAAACAACCTATGCGACATCTACTTCCACCTTGTGCAGCAGCGAGACTGCGGAGAAAACGCGTCCTGGGGAAGCGGCCGAGAAGACGGCTTCAAGCAGCACAAGCACCTCGTTTCTTTCCGACGACCGGATCTATTGGATCGATTCCGCGCGCTATCCGAGTGCACAACTTGTCCCCCTGCTTCCCCTGCTCAAACAGTTCTTGGCAGTCGATATTCTAAAATATCCAGTTGCAGCTGCCCTTTGGCGTAGTTGTAGATAGTGTTCTTGACAATTCATCTCGTCCGGTGGAAGTAGGCCAAACAGTAGGTGGACACACGGAGGCGTAAAAGTATTAACTTGATTTCGTGCCGAGCCAGGCACAGGCTCCTTGTCCTTAATATTCACTGGGGTTTCTATCGCTGTTGATCATGCCCTTCCAATTGTGTATACGGTTGACGGGGAGTACTAGTTGTGCCATCTCATACGCGCCAGCTGGCCGAGGTGCGGCGGATCTTGCAGACCGACATCGAGGAGGAGCTTCGGGAAAGGGACAGGCTGAAGCACGCGCAGGTTCTTGCGGATAGGAGAAGAACAGTAGAACGACACGATGGTGAAGATCGAGAGCTGCAAGGCGCCGCATCTTCTGAACACCTCCCCATCGTGGCGTTCGGCTACCAAGCATCGTTTGATTCCCCGATGTCGGTGCTGACCGTGGCCACGCCGCGGCACTGCTTCCTGTTCGACATGCTGAACCACCAGGAGTCGCAACTCTACGCCGATCTGGTGGTGCACGTTTTCGAAAAAGACGTGATGCAGGGGGCGATTTTGTCCAAAACAGGAGCGGCTGCTACTGCCGTAGCCACGAGGACGACCGGAGCAACTGATAACATTCGTAAGTTGCCCAAGGTGTGCTTCGGGTTCGGGAACTTCTTGCTGCGCTGGAACTTTTTCCGGCACAGCAGTCGTGGAAACAGCTACACCTCGTCGTTTCCGGACCTGCACCAAGACGGTGGAGGTGAGTCCTCCACTGCGTCGCGATTTGCAACTGCGCGCAACAAGTTCTCGAGTGTGATTGACTTGCAGGGCCAACGGATCCAGCGAATCTTTGTTCCGGAAGGGGATCTGCGCACAAGCTCCGAAGAGGCAGATCTGGTCGCGGCAAAGGCACTGCAAGCGACGCAGGAAGGCTTGCTTTCTGTGAAGGGGGAAGCAAGTAGAGGCCCTAGGACATCTGCTCAGCGTCCTGCTACCGCGGTTGTGGCCGATCATCAAACTAATATCGCATCTACTGGGCCCATGCATTGCAAATATGTCTGGGTCTGGAGAGTCGTCATGCCAATGCGTGCATGACAAAGAGAAAGAGTAGCTTCAGGAGCTTGCTAAGGATGAGACACTCTTGGACGATCGTGTGGTTCGTAAAGCGCAAGAGAAGCCGGTACGTTTTTTCATGAGGAAGGACCAGTGGCATTGCGTGACATGCTATATTTACAGAGTTGTCTGGGACGAGCTGTAAGGAACTTTTGTATTACAAATCGCTTCTAGACCTAGACATGTTTGCGTTCGATAGTGCCGTGCACAACCCAGTCCCTGCTGATCAACGCAGCTCCGATATCCTGAGTAAAAACGTTCCCTCCTCCCCAGAATGGTCATGCAAGAAATCTGCATGTTTTTAGATGTTACTCAGACGCAGTCCCATGAGAAGCAGTTTCTAGTGATAGTTTAGAATGTGGCATGCTAGAACCGCAACATCCTCCTTTTCGATTTCTCATGTGTCTCTCACACCAGCGAAGCTCGACAACAAATCGAGCCCAAAGTCTTCATGCGCAACACGCAGAACTTGTTGGTTTGTGTGGCGCATGAAAACAGAACGGTACGCGCTATCTTGGCTCTCGGGCCCCGTCCTCGTGGCTTTTGGTTTTACTCAGGATACCCGAGCGTGAAGATGTTGCAGAAAAGGTTTGGGCTAGATGGAATAAGCGATACCTACGCGGGGCGCACGGGCGGCTATTCGGCGCCGGACGAGCAAGACTTCAGCAATTCAAACTGGAACTACCGGCCCCTGCACCAGGAGCAGGTCCGGTTTGCCGCGAAGCAGACGCATCAGCTGCTCCGGTTGGAGAAGAAGTTGCGGCAGAAAAATTGCTTCCCGTGCAAACAATTCTCGCTGGAGAGATAGAAACATGGTTTCTTTTTTGTGTTGGAGCTACGGACGATGCGAAGTACTGCTTTGTTTAGCATTTAGTTGTTGTTCAAGCTGCAAAAGCTGCAGCTGCTCTCCCCCGCGCCGGAGCTCGCAGAGGTAACATTCAGAAAAACATGATTTTTTCAGTTGTCCCTCGACTACAACGCATGTCCTTTTCCCCTCGACCAGCAATGAGATTTGAAGGCATGATGGCAGTGACAACTTTTTGTTTTTGCTGCATATGGTTTGCCTCTGCAGGTTGTCTGCTGTTCAATAAATATCTTGTCCGCCTCGTCATCTACTGGCGGGGCAGCTGCCGTGAAAGTTGCTTTTAGTTTTGCGTCTTTTTCTAGACATCTTACTTCATCACCCGGTGCAGCTGCAGACGTGTGGTACATAGTAGTGCCGATGGTTGTCGTTTCTTTGGTTTTTTTTGTCTCGTCTTCCCTTTTCTTGAGTGAAACAAAGTCCGTCGCATCGACGCTCAAGAAAGACGTGGTTTTTCTTGGCACGACGCTCACCTGTCGTGTGCAGCTAGAATCCGTATCTATTAAACGTGGTCACTGCGACAGAGGAAAATCTCGTCCCGAGCGGCCTCTTGCCGGACTCATAAGTGGTAGTTTTACAACCTCCAGGGTGGCTGCAGTTGTGTGGACAGCGAACTCATTCAGTCACCTGGAACTACTGCTTAATTGACTCTCATCCTGTCGCACTGTTTGGAACTACGTACAAAAAGATGCTTCAGCCTCTGTCGGCTACGGCCTCCCGGTGTTTGCAGCAGGGCCGCATGCTGGCGCCGCGGTTTTCTCCCACGAAAAGTTGTGCCGCAACGACGCTGAAAAGAAATGCGAGCAGTTTGTCCTCAATCGGTTCTTCCCTCGTGTCCACCAACCAGAACGCGACGACCAGCTTCCTGCACCGGCAGACGCGGCTGCTGCAGCACTTCGTTTCCTCGCGAACGAATGCTCGGTGCTTCTCGACCAAGAACCTCTCGACCACGAAAGTCTCTGGCGGGGAGGAAAGTGGCCGGGCAACGAACTTTCAACAAAACAGCATCCAAGCTTTGGCCGCGCCGGCGGGGAGCAGCAGTAGAGCTGTGAATACGGAAACTGGTATAGTTGCAGCAGACCCACACGCTGGAACAAATAACCGCAATAAAGTAGTCGAGGAAAGCTGCAAATCCAGCTTACTCCAGACGATTGGTGAAAAGGGGCTGATTTTTGAGTTCTCGATGCTGTGGGTGCTGACCGCGTGGAAGGAAATTGCCGTGGGCGTCATCCTATCAAATGCAAAAATGTCTGGATCTGGAAGAAGACAAACTTGTGATGCGCATTTCAAAACACAGAAAAATCTCTCATGCATAGGTAGCAAAAGCTGCCCACTTTCTGTCCCCAAAATGGGGGATCTGTCATGCGGATTAGGCATTGCGGAAGCTTCGCGAAACCTGTGATGCTAGAGCTTCCATGCCAGACCTGCTGTGTCATGCAAAAACAGCATGACTCTTCCAGACCCAGACATTTTTGCATTTGATACATCCGCAACACCGCTTACACCTTCCGTCCCGTAGCGCTGTTCTTCGTGGTACATAACTACATGTGGTTTTACTATTTCGGAACATTTTTCTTTACTTGGTGATTTTGCTGCGCACGACAAAGATTTATGATCAATTGCACACGATGAAAAACGTCGAAAACAAAAATTATGAACTCAGATGGGCTACGTGGTGAAGTTTCTCTTCTTCCTGTATGAGGGGAAAACAGGCTTGCGTAGCTCCCGTTCGTGTAGTTCTAGTGCGCCAACGAGCATGTTGTGCACCATCTGCAGCTAGTACTTTGCTTAATGTTATTTGGTTGCAAGAAGCGCCCAGATTCTTTTTCTTGTGGATCGCTTTCCCGATTTCCTGTATGAAAAAATGAGACACGCAGGAGCGAGGTGACAGGCAGTGCTTGCTGTTTTCTCTACTTTCATAACCTCATGGGCGCGCCGATGCTGGTCTCGTTTTACTCGGTCTGGTTGTTCGAGGTGGGCTACGGACTGGCGCAGTGCTTCCTGAGCGTGATTTATCCGGTTGAAGGAAATTTGGGAGTCGTGGTCGGGCGATTTTGGAGTTTGCCTGGTATGTTGAAGCATGATAGATCATCTCGGTGGTGCATTTTTCCCGTGCATTGCATTGTGCTACAAAAAATTCAAGGATGCGTTGAGAACGAGAGATACGATGATCTCAGACTGCACTGCTCAGATTCCAGGTAGTCAAGGTAAAGGAGTTTGTATTTTAGTTGAAGTCGCTGACGAATTTGAAACGCAGCAAAATCGAAATACTTACTACTAAATTATGAAGATGCCAAGAAGTAGCAGTTGGCCTGACTCCACCAAAAAGATTTGTTCCCTTCATACCGCTTTCCTGACCCAATTGACGTACATGGACCTGAGCTTTCGGGGGACGGTCCGGCCCATGCTGCGGCTGTACGGGAAGCGTTTGGTGGATCTGGGCAGGCGGCTCGTGCTGCGGAAGTAGGTTTTTGTTGCGGCGAGGGTACTAAAAAGATACGGAGATTATAGGGCGTGATGAACTGCCTTCGGATAATATCCGAAGAGCAGTTCGATTTGAAGCCGAGTTATTTACAGATTGATACAACTGCATTTATGTTAAGTAGCTTGAAGTGATGTAGTTCCTGTAGACAAAAAACAAGATAGCTGCAACGACTTCGAAAACTGAGACCGGTGAAAGGACAACGGGGACACGCTGCAGGTTGTTGTACAGATCGATGGTAAACCGATTGGGAGAAGCAGAAGACCACGACCCGCACATTGTCGCGCAAAACTTCTCTACTGCGTGTTGGTGTTCCTTTAGTATCGCCAGCCAGTTTTTTTTTCTGCCGCGAGGATAAACGGAACCTCTTCTGTCTGGACGGGTTTTCATCTTTCAAGCCTGTTGTGTCGTTCTGGAAGACGAGAACAGAAGTGGCATTACTTATCCGTGCGTGATGCTTCGTCTGCTGTAACTTCTCTATTGACAAACATAAATAAGGCAGCTAGAAGTTCGGTATCAGTTCAGGGCCACGTTCACATGCAAGAAAAGACAAACTTCAAGAAACTACTGAATACAATGAATTTTTAATGTGACAGAACAAAGAGAGAGATTGCTCATGGTGCCTGGCGCAGTCGTCTTCATTGTCAGACAACCATGGGAAGGATTGATCCTGCGGACTAGAGCACTTTATCGCGCTTGCATTTTTTGTGGTGCTGTCCCTGTCCATTTGTAGATTCAGAATCCAAATTCGGCCGTGTGGATAGGCAGCTTTGTCGAATGGATTGTCCCTCCTAGATTTTCTTAAACATACCCGTCGTGGCTGATGATTATGGCCTCGGCTGCGAGCTGTGCGACGTTCTAATTACACGACTTTACTTAGAAACAAGTACTTTTACACACAAACAGCCGATATTAAAACGCTGACTGAACTCAATTTCACGAAGGCCCGTCCCGTAGCCGTTCCTGTTGTCGGTGCTGCACTTACACTGCACTTTCCACTTGCTCCAACGGACATTGAAAAAATTGGCTGGATCAAGTCATCTGCTTCGGATTCTCCCCGGTCGCTCGTGAGTGTGCATTACGGAACACCGTTCATTTTTTCTCGGAGCCCCGCTGCGCAGATCAGTACTTTTCCATCCTGCAGACGACGTCGGTGTAGTTCTTAGTTTGCTCCTACTCACCGCCTGCGCGACCACAGATTGCGTCCCTGACAGCGGCCACAGATCGGCATCGAGAAGAAGAACACGGAGCAACGGGGGCTGCCCCATTTTTTGTTCGAAACCTGTGGCTTCCTCGTCTGTTCAAGTCGTCGACAGCGGTGGGTGATACCTATTTCAAGTGCACATCAAGCTGTAGAGGAGCACCCACCGGATCCGGAACAAAGCCAACCACGCGTTTCCTGTTTAGGAAGTCCAACCGAACATAGGACACCACTTCATCAAGCACCTTTTAACAAGGTCAAAGCGGGACTACACGAGATACAGAAGAAAGTAAACCTTCTCGACGTCGTCCCTGAAAGAACCGCAAGAAAAATAACAAGATGGCGTCGCTGAAAGCGATTTCGATGCGGATGAAGTCCGTAGCGAACATTTATCCCGATGGAAAGAGAAATGCGAGACATTCGGCTGGAGTTTGTGATGCAGCAATAGAGATCACGACATAGTGGATAAGTATTATAAATGCGATTTCCCAAAATTGTAATTGACCGGCGCGCGAAGCGCTACACTCGTAGTGGAGGTGCTACAAACACCAGATGATGCGACTAAGTACCTGATCATTTCTTGTGGCACTTCAGAACAAGCAGCCCCCCCCCCGCGGGCGGTCCGATTGTTGTCATTTTAACTGTTGCATACCCTCGGGAAGATTACGAGTGCGATGAAGATGGTCTCCACTGCAAAATTTAAGCACGACGATATCAAAATGAAAAGTAGCCTCACCACCACAAGAGTCCGGACTATTGCACAAGTTTTCCAGCACGTGAGAAACTCTTTTGTCTTGCAAGAAGCGAACACGACGCGTTTTTTGTCAGAATCGACAAAGCCAGTTATGCAAAGCTTCGACATGATGACAGACACATATATCGCTTCTACTGTGGCGCTGCGCAGCAGCACAGACATCCGCTGGTCTGGCCTGAAAATTTGTCACGCTGACACATTCAAGGTGGCAAGTGTTTCCTTCCATTGGGAACTTTTGCAAACACGTCCACCGCACTCTGGGGTCGTGGGGGCGCTTTTCAATATGATTGACGAGAGGAGATACAATGCGGGCAAGCCCTTCAGTGACCCAGTACTTTTTTGTTTTTATCATGTGACTTGTTTTTCTTTCGCGTCTTATTTGTCGTGCTTTGTATGTGTTGGAAATGGAATTGGATGCAAATTTTAGGTAGTACTGAAAGGTAAATTTTATGTAGTACTGAAAGTGAAAGTCTATTTCTCAGGTAGTAAAATTCTACGAGAAGCTTCCGCCGATGGACTCGTCAAGCTTGGTATGGAATGAGACTGCTCTAGACTTTGGATAATGCATCAACGCTAACACAAACATTGGCAATGGGAGACTTCGACAGCCATATAGATTCGGAATAGATTCCAAATAGATTTGAAGTAGATGGTTTCTGTTTTCCGAGAAAGCGTCTGCAGTTCTGCAGCACGCGATCGAACGGAGAATAAAAACAGTCACCGAAGTCGCGAGCTGGGCGAAAAATGAGAACAATTCTGACCAAAATTCCCGGGCCGATGAGAAGTGGCCACAAGGTGCCTGCCATAGCCCGAGAAAGTGGCCAGGTGAAGGGGGTAATCTTGCAGCGCAAGCGCCGCGCTATGCTTTTAGTTGGGCCTAGACTCTCGGACCAAGTAAGAGCATACCCTGGCGCCTGGGAAAAAGATTGCTCTGGCCCGCAAAAGCTGGCACAGGCGCCACGGCATTCTTTTGCCGGGGCTGCCAGGTTTTAAGGCCAGGCACTGTCACAGCGGTGCGCTTGTGATGCGAAATTCTCCTGGCAGGCCCGAGAAAGTGGCCAGACCGATGATGGGGGAGCGTGGTGTTTCTGATGCGAAAATGTTCTGGCCCGAGAAAGTGGCCAGATAAGGGGGGGTGGTCTTGAAGTACAAGCAGCACGCTGTGCTCTTACCTGGGCCTCTCGACTTTGAGGCCAGGTAAGAGCATAGCATGGTGCTTGGAAGGAAAAAAGGCCGCATCAGCCGAAAAAAAGTTGGCCAAAACACCACGGCACTCTCTTACCTGGCCTGGCAAATTTTTGGGCCAGGTAAGAGGGCAGCGTGGTGTTTGGGATGCGAAAATGTCCTGGCCTGAGGAGGTGGCCAGGAGAAAGAGACACTTTTTTTAGCACAATCGCCCTGCTGTGCTCTTACCTGGGCCTCCAGACTTTGAGGCCAGATAAGAGCATAGCATTGCGATTGGAAGGAAAAAAGACCGCATCGGCCCAAAAAGCTTGGTATGGAATGAGACTGCTCTAGACTTTGGATAATGCATCGACGCTAACACGAAGACGAACACCACCAGAAGACCACATTTCTTGAGCTGCGTTCTTTGACTTTCATCATCTGGCTTTGTAGTAACAGTACGCTCGTCATCTTGATGATGAAGCCTGCCTGTAGAAGGCCTTTGCATGTTCCACGAAGTTCTCTCGCAGCGAAACAAGACCATTTGAATGGTGCAAGGAGCCCAGGCGGGTGCAGGAACTTGTACTTTGCGGCGTTGTTGAATTTGTTGTCGCACTCTTGTTTCCCTTTCATGCCTTCCCGCCCTGAAAATGGTCGTGTTGTCCAGCGACAAGGGGATGTGTGGCGGCATAAACTCGGGGCTCGCGAAGTCCGTGCGGGTGAAGGCAATAGAAGAAGAGCAGGCCGGCACGGCAGTGGAGCTGATGTGTTGCGGCAGCAAGGCACAAGCCGCGCTGAAAAGAAACTTGGGGAACAGGTATTTTTAGAGTAGAAGTTGTACTACATCTTCTCAGTGACTTTATGGACAAAGTCGTATTTAGAATTACACTGCTTCGTAGTTTCTTGCTGCGTTGTGGATGGTCGTAGAGCTGCTGCCCAGCACGTCTGAAACGAAGCATGATGAGGTCGGTGAAGTCTGTCCCATACATTGACGATAAACTACGCAAATCGAAAAAGGACTTCGTAGACACACTGGCACTGCATGGAAAACGTTTTTGTCCCAAACTACACTCAACATGACGAAAATGTGTGTTGCATTTTGTACCCGTATTGCGACCTTGGATTGCTAGTATTGCATATACAATTTTTCAATAGACAGGTTTAGCAGCAGCTCGTTCGAAGAGATTCAAGCGGTGCCGTAATATCGTAAGAAAAAACTAGTTCACTGTAAACTTTTGTTGCAGATGAAAATGCATGATCGCAGAAGTATTGGTCTTCCAGTAGACATGCAAGACCATGGGCTTCTAGGCGCATTTTTCCTTAGAAAGCTCGCATGGCAAAGTGCGATATAGAGCAAACTTGTGATCATGCAAAACTTGCAAAATCGTTAGAGTGAAACACTTTTTTCTTACGATACGGAAGAAAGCCAAAATCAAGTAGAGAGGACGACGCCAACGCGCCAATCATGCAAACAGGGAAGACATTTTCACTTGTCCACCTGCTTTGGGGGATGCAACGCTGCTACAAAGCTAGGAGACGGGCAGGCCACAAACATCGTGTAAGATTAGTTCTTGAGTATGCATGTAAAATAAGTTGTATTCGGCATTATACAGCATCAGCATCACAAAGAAATGAAGTCCTCTCGCTTTTGTCCTAACGTAGTTGATACCACGTTCAACTTCACAACGGCGTCCATGCTTGCGGAGAGCGCGATGGCGGGCGAGCCGGCGCGGATCATATCAAACGCAAATATGGTTGGGTCCTCTGGATGAGTGCAGGAGTTTTTCATGCATCTTTTTGATCACGCAACTGGTCTTTAAAATAAAGGATTGAGGCCTCTTCGGCATGAGAAGTTTATTTCTTGCGTACGCAAGAAATGGGCAGATTTTGTCGCTCCTGCAAAACAAATTTCTGGTCATTTTTCCAGAATCCGCATCACAAGTTGCAACCTTCCAGATCGAGACATATTTGCAGCGGATAGATCAACGTGGTGCACAATCACTTTCAGAGCATGATCGCCTACGAACCCTTGAATGTACCAGTTTACATATGAGAGCGCAAAACGCCTTCATCTTCTCATTTGGAGCGCGTTTTTTCATCCAGCAATTGAACCCCCCCCACCTTAGAATGCTGTCTTTGTATGAGAAATCCACGCGGTCCGGAATGCACTGCAGATTGGGCGTCAAGAATTTTTTTTCATGCGAGCACAGCCAAGATGGAGTTCCAGTTGCAAACGAGGGGGAGGAGGAGTTGTGCACTTTCATATCACACGAAAAAGGCGGTGAAAAACGTGGCACCACCGGAGTGGAGTAAGGCCGTGGATCAGTATAGTTTCAATTTTTTTGTTTTCCCACCAAATTATCGGGTGTGAAACTGAACGTCGTGTGAAACTGAACGTGGTGGTGAGGAAACTTGCATTCTTGCATTCACGGCTATTGTCGTCCGAGCCCCAGGTCGTGGTACTCATTTGCGTTCGCAAAAATCAGGATAGATATGCTTCGTATTGATCGTTTCTAGATTATGATGTTCTAACATCCAGCCTGCAGCCTCAAAGTGACCTTTTCCGTATCAAACCACGACTTCAAGGTACAATTTCGAGCCGCCAACCTGGGAAGTGTGGGACGACCTGCAAGAGTTCTACACCGCATGCGCAATCTATGACGCAGAAATTGTAATTGACACAGTTGTAGTTCGGAAGTTGGATTAGGCTTTGTAGTAAGGAACTATGCGAACAACTAGCCGGCTGAGGTTGCGGCAACCATCTTTTTGTTACTTCATGGATGCCTGATGTCATGGAAAAAAAATCGCACGCGACAGCAAAAAAGTCACATCCTCCCCTGCGTCGTCGGTTTTGATTCTTATTCCGACGAGAATGAAGAGGTGATGAATAATTTTGTCGAGGCTCCACATGAACAGCAGCCATATGTATTTCCCTAACATTGTTCCTCTCGTCCGGACGACATCATACGTTTTACTCTTGTCCGTGCATACAACCTACGGAAAGTACCTGGACGGCATCATTTCGGAGCAGAGCGCCCGCATGGCGGCCATGGACAATGCGTCCAAAAACAGTGACGTATCGCAAGGAAAAATCCCCCCTCCCCATATTGAAGAGGTAGGTTTTCGAAAATTTGTGTTGCTGATTTGAGGTCACAAATCACGTTTGTGTTGCAAGAAGACAAGGGCAACAGCTTCCGTCCCATTATGGAGGGTGTTTGTCATGCTGTTGAGCCAACATCACGGACGCTGTTCATGCTAAGCGCCTAAGTCAAAGCCTCTCTGCCCAGGCTTGATATGGGTCTGCAGTCCTCTCCAGCAAGACAGATGTGATTTGTGTACTCAAATACAGCAACACTAATTCCGTCTTCGATATGGGGAGGGGGGATTTTTCCTCACAATATGACGAGATCGTCGACAAGCTTACCCTGCAGTACAACCGCGGGAGGCAGGCACGGATCACGACGGAGCTCTGCGAGATCATCGCCGGCGCGAGTGCGCAGTAGAGCTGGGAGGGCAGATTATAGCCAAATTCCTTACACAGTGACACTACACTTTTTTCGTACGATATCGGGGACAAATCAATGGCACGAGAATCGTTCCTGCGGAAGCCGTAGTCTGACGAAATCCAGTTGTGCTTCCAGTACCTAGATAGTTCTTTGCGCAATCGCCTTGCTGTGTTGTGGTGGTGAAATCAATCACACAGTGTCCTTATCCTTTGGGGCTGCTGTTTAGCGGCGCAATCTAGCTGGAGTTTGTCATTGCGGAGCGGAATATCACTTCGTTGGTGCCACAAAAAACAACCAGAACATCGCCCGATATCACTGGTGGGTGCAAATGCATTCCTCGTGCAAAAATTTTCCTTCATTTAATTATTTCAGGAGGTTTTCTATCTTGTTCGTCTTCGTGTTCCATTATTCTTCTTGCATGCGCACCAGATATCAAATTAGATGGCGCCTTTCCATTTTCCTGCAATCCAACATCCCGGTGGCGGTACTCGGTACTAGTTCGTTGGAATTTTTAATTTCCGCTACTCGACGAGCTCGTGTTTGAGCTTCACTCTAAGAGAAGTACAACCGATCTATCCACCTCGTCCCCCCGGGTGAGCTCCGCGTCGATTTCGTTTTGCGTAGGTATATCGGTGCATAAAAGCGGCCACCAAACCAGGAGATTTCGTAGCACCTCCTCCGCTCTCTCGGTTCCCTGGCAGCAGGGAAGAATATTATTAAAATCATTTTCTTGCTGGAATAGAATCAGTCGAATCGGTCTCCTGTGTGTAGCGCTCCTGGTCAACAAGGAACCTCCCCCACATCATGCGCAGCACGACCGCCGCGCGCGGGCTGACGGCCTTGGCTGTCGTGGCCACCAGTGGTTTGCGGCTCGCTGATGCCGTCAGCGTAACCACGGCGAAAACCGGCTCGCAGCGGGTGCTGAAGAAGGAGTATGAGACCCTTGTGGACCGTGCCATCGAGGCTGCGCACGAGGCCACCAAAATGGTGCAGGCGAAAGAACAGACGCAGGAGGAGGTGTACACGATATCCCACAGAGAGCATCAGCATCTAACTTCTTGATATTGCCATCGTGCGATGCAAGAAGAATTGTCGTGCAAAAAGTAGATCTGTCTTGTTGTATGGCTCTAAGTAAAAATCGGATCTATGTTCTGATGGGACTTCTGGGGGTAGTTCATTTTAGTTCCAGTTTCTCGGCTCGCATTATTGCACGACAAATAAATATTGATTCCACGCCGTTCTGGGTAGTAGTGTTCTTCTGTGTCATATACGAAGCAGCAAATCAAGGCCGCCATCGACCGCGCGCGGCAGCTGAAGAAGCAGGCCGAGGCGGCGTTTGCGCAGATCGGCGAAATGGAGTCCTCCAAGGAGGTTGCCGCTCTGCAGGTGGAGACCGGAGAGGACGCGCGCCCGGAAGTCGATGCGCAAGCGGCAAGCAAACATGTCCCGGCCGCCGCGAAAAAGACCTTGGCCTCCAGGACCGAGCAAGGCAGCAGCACGGGCAAGAAGATCCAGAATACCCTCGCGGCTATGAAACATGCGCTGAAAGGTAGCAGCTCCGAGGGCAAAACGAAACCGACGACGGCGAAAATGGGTAGCAACGCCGCGCGTGAAAAGGTAGTTGAACCAGTCTAGGTGAGGAGTCAATATTTAAGAATGTTAGATTGCTCCGAGCAGCTCGGACGCGAATGAAATAACGGCGAACTGTTATCTTTTTTTCAACGGAAAGTAGAAGCACTAGGTTTGATATGCGGGAATGCAGATTTATTCGATGCTTTAGGAAATAAGCTTGATTGAACTGGAATACAATTTATGTTTTTTCACATTGATTTCCCGACCCCCTGCTCCAAAAAGAGTGAGATCGCCTGGTTTTCAAACTTTATCGTACAACCTAGACCTACTTTATCACAGGTGCCCGTGGTGGTTATGTCGAAGACTTCCCTCGCGCCGGGCGGCAGCAGGTCATCTAACTCCGCGGAAGTTGGCGGCAAAATGTCTACTGTCGCGGCCCCCAACCGCAGGGACAACTTGTTCAATCTGAAACACCAGAACGAAAAGCGCGCAACTGCGGCTGTGCCTGTTCTTGGAAAAACCGCTGCAACCTTATCTCCTACCTCGGGGGTCGTGAATACGAGAATTATTGAGTGCACAATTTCCCCTTGCTCCCCTCGACGTTTGTCATAGTACAAAACAAAGGAGTTGTCCAAACAGCAATTAGAATCTCATGTGAGTAATATGCTATGCTGAAGCTGCTTTCCATCCTCGCCAAGGCTTCTGTTGCTGTGGATGCCAACATCCAAATTATGGGGGGGGAGTAGGGGGAGTTGTGCAAGGTCATAGTGAACAAGTATCCGTCCGCCTCCCGCGGCTCGGCCCTGTGGGAGTTTTTCTTCGGCAGTAAAAGTGACCACAAGAGGACTGCTGGCCCTGACAACGCCGAAACGGTTGCAAACGCGGAGGTCAATAACTACACTAGGGCTCCTAGCTATGGGAGTGTCAGGATCGAAATCGACAAAATCGAACTAATTTGTGATGCATAAAATCGATACCACTTGGAGCCTCAGCTTCCAAGCGGCGCATGACAAATTTCGGGAGCACCAAAATCCAGTCTGTCATGCTGTTCGGGCAAAGATAGAAGACTGCTCCTGTCGTGCTACTCTGGCAGCAAATCGCCTTCCCCTAAACAGGCTTGCAATCGGTCTCACTTGCCTGCTCCCCAACACAGGCCATACGTGCCCTGGATTCTATGCATTACAAATTTTTCGACTTTGTCGATTTCGATCCTGACACTTCCATACTACCGCTACCAGCAAGCCGACGAACCTGAACCTCGCTGACGTGCTATCAAGTGGAAATAGGTCGTCTGGGTCACTGGAAGACTGCAGAAGTTCGTCATGCATTTTTGGATCACGCAGATGTTTTGTAATGCACAGGAGCGCACCCGCACTTAAAGCATCTGAAAGTTTTGCTCGCGACGAGGTCTTTTGCTTCCTGCACCGCATGAGAAATGCGCTACTTGCGCAGCAAGAAGTGCGCAACTGCTGGCGCTCATGCAACACAATTTTGTCGTGTGTGGGGCCGGAGACTTTACATTTCCCAAACTTGTACTTTGTAAACATTTCAAGACCCCCTCCCAGAGAACCTATTTGCACGGCATACGTGTTGGCGCAGGACAACGTCCCGGGGAAGCAGGTGCTGGCCGTGAGCTACTCCCCCGGCTTGCTCAATGTGATCGCGGACCGCGTCTACACGGCGTTCTTCAACGAAAACAAATCGGCGAGTGGAAACAACGCGAAGAGCCACTACCGTGGGGTATCACAATGAAAAACGCCCCCACCCCCGATCTTGGGAGCATTTGTATTGCAAACCTTTCCAACAGAAACACTCGCCCTCTTGCATCTAGCAGCATCACAGATTTCCAATCGTGAATAGCGAAGATTTGTATTGCAACAGATCCCAGCAAGAGCGGCGCTCGTCATGCAAGCAATGCTATTATATACGCCTAGACTCTACTGCATCACACACAAGAAAGATTCATATTCCTTTCATGCATGACAAAAAGTTTTCATTTGGAAACTTCGCATCGCAAATTATTGCAACTTTCTTTGGGGGTGGGGGCATTTTTCACGGTAATAGGGGGGAGCAGCTGCTGGTGCAACTGCCAACGGTAATATGCTGAACAAGGAGGTGAAAATTTTGCACCAACAGGACACGGAGGGCACGAAGCGCGCGGTGGAGATCGAGCAGAAGCACAAGATTGACATCTCCATATCCAATAAAAAAACATTGTCCTTGATCTTGTTGTAACTTTGTGAAGATGCGCAAGAACCACGTGCAAGATGATGGATTGCTTCTGTCATGCTGGTCATGCACTGTGGGGTCCATGACCATATCCATTCTTCCAGCGCGTTTTCATCAGTTTCACGTAATTATATCTGCGCATGCCACGACGTCTCTGCTGTCATGCCTGACAGATGTGTCATTGTGCTGTTCCGCGAAAAAAAGTATTACACCATTACGAATGTTTTTTTTCTATGGATACTCCAATCGCTTTATCGACTACGAAACCTCGGACGCCGCGGATTTTTCTTCCCTGAAAGCGCGCCAGCACGTATGGATTGTAAAAATGTCTGGGTCTGGAAGCTTGGAACTTGTCATGCTAAGTCTGGATAGTACAGAAATTTGTGTTGCATGATTACTAAAAGGCGTCCACGTTTGAACAAGTGTAGCGGCAGTTTGTCATGCGGGATAGACATGATAGAGACTTCACAGAACCTGTCATGCTAAGTCCTGCATTGCAGACCTCTTGGGGCATGCAAAATATGCATGACAAATTCGCATTCTTCCAGACCCAGACATTTTTACATTCGATAGCACGCGCTGGATCGCAAGAGCGTGCAGTACCCGGACGACTTCGAATTTGACCAAACGCAAGACTTATCAATCGCAAATATATAAAATATGTTCAATCGGGATCATCTGGGAGCTTCTTGCAACATTTGATGGCATGCTTGAGCCGCGCAGAGCTTCCCCATGCTTGACTGTGAATTATCTGTAACAGAGCGTTCATCATTCACAACCTAGCACATAAATACAAATTTCCAGACCCAGATCGATAATTTGCAATGCATAGGACCGCGCGGTGCACCTGGCGAAGGCCTTCGAGTTTCTGGAAATATCAAATGCAAAAGTGTCTGGGTCTGGAAGATTCTGAGATTTGTCATGCAGTTTTTCCAAGCTCAGCCAAGTCTCGAATGCAGGGCCTAGTATCACAGGTTCTGCAGCCCCTTGGTGATGCCTATTCTGCACGAGAAATGCCCCGTCGTCATGGCTAGAAATGGGGACCATTTGCAAGTCATGCAACACAGATTTTTGTATGATCCGCAACACGCATCACATTCTTCACAAGTTCGCATCCTTCCAGACCCAGACATTTTTACATTTGATAGGAAACCCTGGACAACGAAATCGACGGGAAGCTGAGCAGCGAGGAGGTGATATGTCTTTCGAAAACAGCATAATGTTTTGCGCTGGATTTTTAACATCACAGGTGTGCCACTTGCTGCATAGTCTTTCCATACTTCTGGTTATGATACGCGAGATGCAGCAGGCCCAGGTCCGAGGAAATGCTGCTCTTGGTACGACCTAAGTAGTATGCATGTTTTTATCGGATCGGAAATTCATTTTTGGGCCGGTTTTATTGGGTAAAAGAATTTGCATGCATGCTCGCTAGAGTTGTAATTCTAGTACCAAGTTGTAGAGTGAAAAAATGTTAAGTGCGGTAGAAGCTGCTGCACCAGCAACGCAAAACACCATTTTCCGCTTCCACACCCCGGGTATCAAATGTAAAAATGTCTGGGTCTGGAAGGATCCAAGGTTTGTCATGCACATTTTGCATGACTCCTGATGTCTGTGATGCATGCCCCAGCATCACAGATTTTGTGAGGGCTTTCAGATGCCTATACCGCATGACAAATGCCCTTTCCGTGTAGCAAAAGTTTGACTGTCTTTGCTGCTCATGCAATACAGATTTTTTAGAATCCAAATGCAGCATCACAAGTTCCAACTTTCCAGACTCAGACATTTTTGCAATCCATACCGGGCCCCAGGAATACAATGAGCTGCGGAATCTGCAGGACCACTCTATGAACTTGCTGTTCCAGCAACACAAGTAGTTGGCCGGCAGGTGGACCACTCTATGAACTTGTTGTTTTAACAGCAACACAAGTAAGCCGGACAAAAAAAAGGAAGTGTTAAGTAGCATGTTTTTCTTTTTTTCCGACGAATATTTCGTATCTGAATCTGTGGTACGTCGAGAACCTATCTCAAACACTTCTTTTCCAAAGATTGTGGATCTTGAGCAAGATGATGAAGAGCAAACAAGTGTTGATAGTTGTGAAAAACAGGCTATGTGTTTTCACCGTTGTTTCGGCGAAGAACGCGTCATCTTGATGCACGAAGATATTCTGTACTAGCGCAGTTTACAGGACGAGTTCACGGCACGACCGAAGGCCGCTCGGGGCGATTTTGTTCCGACTTCACTCGTGGAAAGTATGCTAAGATTCTTGCCGCGGCTGCAGTCATATCATCTCTTCCGACGTAAGTGAATCTGGCTCATCATAGTGATCGTTTTCAATAAATTCGCTGACTTGTAGTTTTACATCATCCTCGTCCTCAGCTGCGACAGCTGTCGTGCGGAACATGGTGCTATCGATACATTTGATCCCGGCGACAAGTTGAAGCGCTGCTCGAAACAAAGTCCTTCGGGGTCAAGTTATGCTCCGCCGCGAACCTGTGACTGCGCTATTTTGCAGGCATTCATCGCAATGAATTCCAGAGACATGATAGTACGGTCGAAACGCAAAGTTGTAGATGCACAAGATGGAATTGGAATCTGAATCGATCGCGTCATCAAAACTTCGGACAAAAAAGAGTGGAAGTGTGACGAGTAGTAATCCAACATTGGAGCAGTAGGTCAACATCGTATTCGTAATCAGGCTCGTTGATCGCTCGTCTTCGTTTCGATCGCAATCGTCGTAGAATGAAATCGTCTGTATCATTTCGTCGTCGAATGTAGCAAGAAGAGTCAAATATTAACAAAATCTAAATCTCCCTCGTCGTCGCGAAACAGAGCGGTCCTCGCTGATAAATCAAAAAAACGTGAATGTTTCTATGTTTGCAAATAAGTAAGTAAAATCTTGGTCTCTTTATCGTTTGTGTCAGAATTGATCAATGTTTTGATGTCCGGTGGAACCTATAGTTTTCTGAAGGACCTAGTCGGCTTTTGGTGCCACGTATGATCAGTTCCTGTAGCTGGTTCGAACTTCATATGTTTCGTCAAAACTCGATCTTCTGATACTAAATTTAAAAACTCTTCATTCGACACTTCACCGACATTAAAATGCGGCGCAAGACTGCAAGTGCCGATGTTGCCGAATCGGTCGGCGGCGTCTGCCAACCGGGTTTTTATCCGCAAATACGCTAGAAGTAGTACTCTCCGCGACTACTAGCTGCAGATACTTAATTAGTCCTCGCGGCTACGACGGACTACTTCTAGCAGCACGTTGTTCACAACAACTCCTCCTGGCCATCCATCCTTTGGTGAAACATCATCAACCTCGCGGTGGATCGAGGATTTTGGACTAGAAACGAGCCCGACATTGTTTGCTTGCTTCCAGTTCCACCAATGAGGATGCTGGAAAGAAGTGGTGGCCTCGAAGACCAAGGAAGCAGTGGGAGCTCTTCTTGTTCGTCTTCTACGACATTTTGGCGTTGTGATAAAAGTATTACTAGGCTGCACGGAACATCAACGGAAACGGAAAGAAGCTGCGGCGCTACAAAAACGCTAGTACCGCCACACAAGATGATGCGAAGATCACCACGAGGCCGCTCCTCACGAGCCGGACCAGTGGTGCCGAAGATGCTACTGCAACATCTTGACTGGAGGTTCTTTATGCAACGTCGACGTTTTTCTTTTTCCACCACCTCTTGCAGTACCAGGGAAAAGATGAGAAATCAGACCCGGAAGGAAGATACAACAACAACTTCCAAAGAACAATCCCGTGGCTCTACTAGTACCACTTTGATAATTGCGGAACGACGAGGAGGTGAAGCTCCTCCGGCGCGCCAGCAGCATCATCTGCTGCAAAAAGTTTGCTCTAGAGGACCACTTATTTTATTTCGTGCCGTGATTGGAGGACTGGTGGTCGTTTCGATTGGGTTGTCTTTGTTGCGAGACCTCCTCCTGGTCGATACTAGTCACGACCGGCATGATTCTTTTCGTCGTGATGTTGTACTACAAGAACTCGATCCACCCGGCGCTGCTCCACTGCCTGTGGACGATCATCTTCACGACGTCGACCCCGCCGGGTGGTTCTTGGTGGGCAACACGCAAGAAGGACACAGCACGCGCACCAGTGGAGCAGCAGGTTGCAACCTGATCTACTTCGCCCTGGCCGAGGAGGTGAGTGTTGTGGAGAGAAGGACCTCCGAAGCACGAGAGAAGAAAGTCGGGCGAGAACAACTACAGCAAAGGATGACTCGAGTTTCCGAACGCCAAAAGAAGAATACCAGGGTGCTGGAGGAAAAAACTTCTGCTTTAAAAGTTTCTCAAGAACTACAAAAAAGCAAACAAAAACAACTGGAAAGCGCAAGGCAGAAGCGACGCGAGCGGAGGAGAAGAAGACGGCAGGAGGCGAGGCGGAGCAAGCGGGAGCTGCGCCAGATGAAGTTGCAGAAGCAAAGCGAAAGGCAAGAAAGGGTTGCTTTGGAACAGAAGAAGGTACAGCGAGAAGCAAAAAAGAAGCGACGAATGCTGCGGAACAAGAAACTCGGCAGGCAGCTGGCGCGGGCGCACGTGGAAAACAAAATCTTGCAGGGCGTCGGCACGGAGGAGGCGCAGCGGGTCCTCCGTCGGAGGTTTATTTCTCTGGAACTGGCGGACGATGAGGCGAATATGTTTCTGAAAAATGCGGTCACCGAGATCGAAGACCACCCCGCGGATATGCGTGCCGCCGCGACAATGTTCGCTGCGGAGGGCTTGGCCGTCGAGTCCATGGAGGAAATGGGCGTCGAGGAGGAGGTGGCCGTCGAGCACCACTATGATTGGGGATCGGGATTCCCTCTCCATCATCACAATTTGCGGGAGTACGCGTCTCACTACGACTACGGCGAGGCAGGTGCCGAGGAGAAGGAGTACCTGGAGCGCGCGCACGAGTTGGTGCATGAAACGGACAATTACTTTGACCACTGCCGCGACAAGTGCACCATGGAAGGGTATCAAGACCATATGCAGCACTACCTCACGGAGCACAAAGAATACGGTTTGGACGGGAAGTACTCGAAACCGCATTCGATGCAGGTAGAATACGAGAATTATTGGACAGCGCATGCCCCCGAGTGGGCGGGTGACCAGGATGAAGTGGGGGACGGCACCAAAGTGCTCGAGGAGGTCGACGCAGACAATTCCCACACCGTAACGAAAGAGGAATGGATGCAGGGCGGCGGGCCCGACCGTGTGTTCGACCAGTTCGACACAGGAGAGGAGGTCAACGGCAAGAAGCAGCACGATGGGGTGCTCAAGGGCGGGGAGCTCGAGGCGGTCTGGAAGGTGGTCAGGGACCAGCATGAAGACAATGCAAGGGAAACTGCAGGACAAGAACATCAGCTTGAGCGCCTGCATGAGCCCGACAATTTGCAGGAAGGTGCTGGTCCCACGCTGGAAGAGAAGCGGGAGGATTTGGATGAAGCGCTGAGCAGCAAGACGAACGAAATTAAAACGTTGAAGAACACGGGCGACGTCGACGAGAAAATGGAAGAAGTGATCGGAAAGACAGAAGGGGACATGATCGCCCACTACGATAACACCAACAACGACGGAATCGGGGACGATGCCGACGACCGCGACGCGCTGCGAGCGCAACAAGAGACCGCCCAGGCCGCGGCGCACCCGGCGGGGGATGCTGCGGAGCGGACGGGCGCCGCGGTCGCGCGGCAAACGGAGGAAGCAACTCCTGCGGAAAGTACGGGTCTGTTCGGGGTCAACGTCGAGCAAGAAGTGGTATCTTGAGTAAAAACGTCCGCACCCCAGATTTGTCAATTGTTTGGTCTTTTAGATACACAGCCGGGCTTGTCATGCATATTTTCATGCCCAGGATGGGCGCCCTCAACATGAGGTGCATCCGCTAATGGTGTCTTGAAATTAGTCATGCTCTTCTTGGCAGGATGACAGGGGAGCAGTTTTTTTGCTAAGCACGACTACGCAGCTGCGTGTTCTAATTTTTCATGCGGATGAGTGCACAAGCCTTCTCGATTTATTTGTCTAGCAGATGAGATCCCCATCTTCGTGACTATGGGGTGTGGGCCCCGTTTTACTCAGGATACCTCGACGAGGCAAAGCAGGTCTATGAGAAAGACATAGCACAGTCCTTTGAAGACCACCCTACGGAGGTGATAGGTGCTTTCGCGGGTGGTGGGGGTGGCGCGGCGCTCTTGTTAGGCGCACAGAAGGCCAAGAAGGAGAGGGCGGAGAAGCGACGGAAAAGAGAAGAGGAGCTGGCGAGCGATAGCTCGAGCGACCCGGATCTAGACTACGCCATGCTGAAGAGCGCGAAGGGGAAGAAACTGCCCAACAAAACACATCGCCCCCAGATTTCCTCTCCTCCGGCCGCACCGGGTGGACCAAAGGACGAATTCGCGGCCATGGACCATGATGGCGACGGAGTAGACATCGGCAATTACCTATGAACTGCAAAAATGTCTGGTTCTGGAAGATTGCCAGGTTCTTTGTCATGCATATTGTCCATGACCCATGATGTCTGTGATGCATGCCTTAGCATCACAGGCCTTCTGATGCATGCCTTAGCATCACAGATGCATGCCTTAGCGAGGGCTTTCTGATGCTCATACAGCATGAGAAGTGCCCTCTCTGCGTAGCAAAAACTGGACCTATTTTGCTCTTCACGCAATAGTACAGATTTTATGAAGAGTCCAGACGTAGCATTTTTACAAGTTGTATCCTTCCAGACCCAGACATAGTTGCAAGGCATATTGTCCGGACTTGGTCGAAATGTGCAAAGTGAAGAAAGTCGACGACAAGAACGGCGACAGCAAGCTCAGCGTCGAGGAGTTACGCGAGATTTGCAAGTCCGTGTGCGTGCCGCATTCCGAGGCGTCAAGGGCCCTGAGCAGGCAGGACGTGATGGAGATTTGCTACTGCTGTCCGCCAACGGTACAGAAGACCTTTTTCACCTGGTTCAACGCTTCATCTCCGGACGAGGCAGAAGCCAACCCGAAGGCGCCGGAGGAGCAGATGATGAAAACGGAAACAAATGATCAGGAGGAGCCGTCGGAGCGGGAAGAACAAAACACCACTCCTCCGCGGCCCGTGGAAGCAGGAGAGCCGGCGGACGAGGCTGCAGAGTCGGCCACGACGGACGAGGTTGCACTTGCAGCGCCGCGGACGGACGAGGCGGTCGCAGCACCGCGTAGTACGGAGGGGCCTGCGGCGCCGCGAAAGAACGAAGTACAGCCCCGCGGGGACAAGAGCAAGGTATCCGCGGGACCAGCGCAGCAGGAGAAGGCGCCGGACGAGGTGCTTGGCCCTACGGAGTCTGGTGCCGGCTTTTTCGAACATCCCAGCGAGCAGAAGAAGGCCGCTGCCTCAGCAGCGGAGATGGACACCATGCTTCAATTTTCACCGGACAGGGTGGAATGGCTAGATCGGATCGGAAAGAAACTCCGCCTGGGACCCCACGCAAATAAAGGTGCGGCAGTCCCGGATGCTGAGCATGCAAGCAACTCGTTTTTGCAGCAGCGGAACAAGCGAAAAGTCTCGCACACGAGGAAACAGGGCAGAACTGCGAAGAAGGTAGTTCTGAGCACGACCAGGAGAAAAAAGGGAAAAAAAACCTCGAAGGCGAAGTTTAGTGACGACGTGTTGGATATGGTGAAGGCATGGGGCGAACATGTCATGGATGAGCACATGACGAACATTTCTCATGAGCACACGGAGCAACTCGCAAAACTGATCAACGACTGCACAGAAGAGTCGCACTGTACACCAGAAAAGGTTACAGACCACTTCGCCGCTGAAGCAACCAAGATGGAGCACCCTATTCCTGCCGACGATTCGTACACCCACTACTTCATCGAGCATTTTTACTACGACAACCCAGGAGACGACCCGATAGGGAACCTCTGGGATGAGATGAAACCCGAGGTATGCGTCGCAAATATGTCCGGGTCTCCTGGAACACTGAAACTTGTCATGCGAAGTGTGGAAGGGCGCGCAAATATGTGTGTTGCATATGCATGGCTACCAATGAATAAAAGTTGTCCACTCTTGACCTGATCGAGAGGGAGTTTCTCATTCAGCATGGGCAGAGAGAGATCTCGCAGCGTCTGTCATGCTAGGTCCTCCTGCGTTCCAGACCTCTTAGGTAATGAAAGAGCTGCGTCACAAATCTTGCACACTTCCAGACCCAGACATATTTCCACTCCATACGAGGGGAGCGATGACAATTTCATCACGAAAGAAGAGTGGCAGCAGCAAGGTGGGCTCGCCGCCGACTTCAACAAGTATGCAGGGGAGGATGGGGACGGAATGTCCCGGGCCGAACTTACCTCGCTGGTGGCGGACGTCGTGACCCCTGAGACGGAGCATGCGCGAGACTACGGTGAGGACATAGCGCAAACCCTGCAGGAGAAGCTGGACAACATGGACGATGGCGACAAGAGGAAAGAAGCTTACCAACAAGCTTTGGACCAGGTCAAGCAAGCAGTCGAAGACTGTTACTCCCCCGATTGCCGCACCGACGACCTGGTGGACGATATTACGAAGGCCCTGCGCGATATGGGAGTGTCAGGATCGAGATCAACAAAGTTGAATCGGATAATAATTTGTGATGCATAAAATCGATACCAGTTCGACCCACAGTTTATATATAGGTCGCACGACAAATTTTCCTGGCGTCGAAAGCAAATCTGTCATGCTGGGCATAGGAGCTCTCTTCTGTCATGCTAGCCAGCAGCCCAACTCTTGCCCTTTAACAGGGCTACAATCTGCCTCCCTTGCGTCCTCTGCAATAGAGTCCCTTCCTGCGTCGCATTTTATGCATGACAAATCGTTTCATTTTCAAATTCAACTTTGTCGAGTTCGATCCTGACGCTTCCATACCCATAGACGAGCAAGACATCGACGTTGAGGAGGAACTCAACCAGGAACCGTACGGACGCTGGTGGCTTTTATCAAGTGTAAAAATGTCTGGGTCTGGAAGATTGCGAGGTTTGTCATGCATATTTTGCATAACCCATGATGCCTGTAATGCATGGCGGAGCATCACAGATTTTTAAAGGGCCTTCTGATGCGTATTCCGCATGAGAAACGCGCACTCCGCGTAGCACAAACTGAACCCTTCTTGCTGGTCATGGTTGAGGGGTAAAAAAGGTCATGCAATACAGATTTTTTATTTTTTTACCTTCCAAAGACAGCATCACATTCCCGACCCAGACATTTTTACATTTGATAGCTTTTCGATTCCTTTGAAGACACCACCCCGGAGGACCAAGCAACGGCCCCGGGCGACGGTGCCGTCAAGCAGGTCTGGGCGGACATCAATACGGAGGAGGGTCGTGACAACGCCATCAGCAAGGCGGAATGGCTCCACGCGGGTATATGCGTTGCAAATATGTCCTCTGGGTCTGGAAGATTCTTAAACTTTTAGGATAAGTAGCACAAAGACCTCGCCACAGAAGATGATTCTGTCATGCTAGGTCCTGCATTCCAGGCCTCGCGGTGTATGGAACAAAACCTGCGTGAGAAATTCAGCAGTCGGCCAGACCCGGACATGTTTGCATTTGACAGCGCGGCCTGGCGAGCGAGTTTGACCGGTACAGCGGACAAGACGATCAACTGTCCATGATATCCTGTGCAAAAGTATCGTATTCGTATAAATGCAAATCTTGCATTACAAATATTTTTCTTAAGGTAAATCAGCATGACAAATTTTATTTCTCATGCTGAGAAAATTTGTAATGCATTGATACGAGTACGATACTTTTGCAGTTCATACGAGAAGGAGTTTGACAAGGTGAGTATCCCCGGTGTAACAACGTCACTTCTGGCGATACTTGCATGTATGCGATTTTTTTTTTGCATGGACGATTTTGATTTGAATTTGTATTTGATGTGCACCTGCTTCAGAAAACTCTCTGAAGATCCGGTTCAGCGTCGGTGCTCTCTGTGCATTAGTAAGTTGAGAAGTTTTATGATTTGCAACACCCCGCGGTCGCGCCTGCCGGTCGATGTTGATCTACTCAACAGGCAGCACAAGAGAGTTTGTTGTTGCCCTGCCTGCTACTTCGTGTAAAACGTAAAATGAGATTCTAGCTAAGCACGACGCGAGACTAGCATCAAATACTGGGAAATATTCCAGCAAAATTTTTCGTATCTAGTTGTACAAGAACTCGCGAATAAGGCTCTCAGAAATAGTAATAGTAATGTCAAGTAGTACCCTTGCCTGCAGGGACGTCGTTTCTTCACAGGATACGGATCGGAGACGTGTACCTAGGTGAACCGGCGCCGCAGCAAGAGGACGAAACGGCCAGCAAAGAGGAAATGGCAAAGCAAATCGAAGAGCTGCAGGCGCAACTCCAGGACAAGAAAGACGACGTTGCAGAGCTGCAGAACCAAGTCGAAAACGAAAAGGACAAAGCCGAAGAGCTCGAGAAGAAACTTCAACACGAAGTTATTCGTTCCAAAAACGTTCCCACCTCAGGAAGAGTTGTAGTCGGAAAAATCTGGTGGTGCATGAGCTGCATGTCGTCGAGGCGCGTAAACGTATCTTCTGTAGCGCTTTTCCATCGTCGGAGATGTCCTGACCTAACGGTTTTTCATGAAGATTTCTGACGTGATCAAGGGGTTCGACGCGAGCTGGCGGTCATACTTGCATGCTTACATACGAGATGATGAAAAATTTGCCATGCGCGCATCAACTCGCTATAAGTTCTTCTCTTGTATGTTGTTCGCACGGCACGGGAGGTGGGAACATTCATGCAAAGGATAACGCAACTTGAGGACAAGCTCGCTCAGGAGAACGATGGCCCCGAGGACGGCGACCGCCAACTGAGAAAGGTTGATGTTAAGGGGAAGGATTTCATCAATTTTGGGCAAGAACAACCAGAAGGAGCTGAAGAACCAGATGGTGCTGACGTCGAAGAAGAGGCCCAGGAGGGGGAGAAGGTCGACGAAGGCCGCCCCAAGACAGCCGGTGCTGACGTCGAAGAAAAGGTCCCGGGGGCGGAGACGGGCGAAGAAGGCCGCTCCAAGACAGCCGGTGCTGACGTCGAAGAAAAGGTCCCGGGGGCGGAGACGGGCGAAGAAGGCCGCTCCAAGACAGCCGGTGCTGACGTCGAAGAAAAGGTCCCGGGGGCGGAGACGGGCGAAGAAGGCCGCTCCAAGACAGCCGGTGCTGACGTCGAAGAAAAGGTCCCGGGGGCGGAGACGGGCGAAGAAGGCCGCTCCAAGACAGCCGGTGCTGACGTCGAAGAAAAGGTCCCGGGGGCGGAGACGGGCGAAGAAGGCCGCTCCAAGACAGCCGGTGCTGACGTCGAAGAAAAGGTCCCGGGGGCGGAGACGGGCGAAGAAGGCCGCTCCAAGACAGCCGGTGCTGACGTCGAAGAAAAGGTCCCGGGGGCGGAGACGGGCGAAGAAGGCCGCTCCAAGACAGCCGGTGCTGACGTCGAAGAAAAGGTCCCGGGGGCGGAGACGGGCGAAGAAGGCCGCTCCAAGACAGCCGGTGCTGACGTCGAAGAAAAGGTCCCGGGGGCGGAGACGGGCGAAGAAGGCCGCTCCAAGACAGCCGGTGCTGACGTCGAAGAAAAGGTCCCGGGGGCGGAGACGGGCGAAGAAGGCCGCTCCAAGACAGCCGGTGCTGACGTCGAAGAAAAGGTCCCGGGGGCGGAGACGGGCGAAGAAGGCCGCTCCAAGACAGCCGGTGCTGACGTCGAAGAAAAGGTCCCGGGGGCGGAGACGGGCGAAGAAGGCCGCTCCAAGACAGCCGGTGCTGACGTCGAAGAAAAGGCCCCGGGGGCGGAGACGCGCGAAGAAGGCCGCTCCAAGACAGCCGGTGCTGACGTCGAAGAAAAGGCCCCGGGGGCGGAGACGGTCCCTCCCTCGACGAGTGCGCCGCGTGGTACTTTTTTGGTTTTCTGAACTTGGCAGCTATGTTTTTCTGCTGCTGCTTTTTCCCTTTTGTTTTCCCACTCTGAGTTGTTGTTGTAGGTCGGCTGGCAAGTAGAATGTGTTGGCTTCCCGTGCGGCACAGCGCGTGATGAACATGCTGTAGCTGGTGCCGCGCAGCACGGCAGCAAGCTGCCCGAATGACGGCGCACGTCGACGTTGAACGCAAATTCCGCCGTCCTCGAGTCCGGACAGGAATCAATTACATATAAGTGACCGACTTCTACTCGAAAAACAAAAAAGTCGTACATGAAACAAAAACCACTACCACAACACAGTCGTTGCCCCTCCCGAGGATTCGGACCTGCTGAAGGATTTGATCCATAAGAGCCCCTTGAAGGACACGCCCATGGAGGATGCGGCCGCCCTATCAAATGTAAAAATGTCTGGGTCTGGAAACTTGTGATGCTAAGCGGCGTCTCATGATGAGGCCACAAGTACTGGCTCAGCATGACAAGTTTCTGAGCTTCTAGGTGTTGCCTATTCTGCATGACAAACTGCGTTTCTGCAAGGGGGGCGAAGCGGAAACACCGGACGAAAGAGAGGAGGGAGGTAATGGGAAGGGGAAAAGAAGAAAGGAGACGGTAGTCTTTGGGCTAGATGCGTCCAACTATTTCAACAATATAGGGCTACCGAGGGCAGTAGCAGCATACAGAGCTGCAAAACTACACCCGTGTTTCATAAAGTTGATAATAGTAACAGCGTGGACAAAGGATTTATGGATCAGAAACGGGGATTGTTACGGACATGTACTAAGACACCGCGAACTCATTCAGGGCGCAGTAGAAACGATGTTAGCGGGGACCCTGATTTTCCTCCCAGGGGTAGAAATAATCGCGGAATTCCTCGAAGAAATCTTTAATGAAGACGGTAGGGCTGAAGAGGAAAGGCTAAAAATAGCAGAAGCAAAGATGAGAACGAGGATTAAAAGGCTTTACAAAGGGGGCGACATCGATACAACTTTCCCCGATTACAATGTCAGAGAAGAAGTCGACGAGATCTACCTCAAAGAAGCCCAGCCAGTAGTCACGGGATACAGAAAGGGAGAGAAGGTAACGACAGAGCAGGGAAAAAGAAAGGTGAATGAGAAAAGAAAAAGGGTGGAGACTCGATACTACTCAGGAACACTCCCCGGAGACGGGAAAAGAAGATGGACCCTATGCGTGCAATACGTGGACGACGGCACAGTTGTAATAAAGTTCTTTATCGAAGATATACAAATAGTAGCGCGCGCGCTCAGAGCAGCATGCTGGGCATATGAGGAAATATACGCAACCGAAGGACAATTCTTGGCACCACAGAAGTGCGAAGTTGCAACGTCGATAGAAGACCCGCTGAAGGTAAACGTGATCAGACAGGCCTTCCAGCCTTTCGGGATTTTGTTCGAGGAAAAGATATTTCTGAAGATTCTGGGGATCAAAATAGTGCCAAAAGACAAAACGGAGCAAGCCAAGGCCCTGCGGGGGCAGGTAAGACAAAGTATAGGGATAGGACAACACTTGGCGTTCCAAGTAATGGCGAAAAGGGGAAGGCTCAACGGCGAAGAACTCACGTGGGTAGTGCAGGTCTTCTTCGTGTCGGCAATGATATACTTCCTGCCAGTGATGCATTTATATTTCGACCTAGGAGACTGGGCGGAATTGATGGGCGAAATGGCGCTGACAATAGCCGAAACATTGGGAATGACAACGGAGGCAGTGGAAGAGCTGATGGCCCGAACAGAAACAACGGCGGAGACATTCTATAGGGTAGTGTTCGGGATGAATTTACTCGGACTAGCTGACCCGTACACGATGGGACTGAAAACGTTGCGGGCAACGGCGCAGGCAAACTACCTAACAGACCCGGCCTTGTTCGCACCATTAGCAACGACGCCAGTGAAGGTAGTAGGCGAAGCAAAGGCGGGCATCCCGAAAACAGAAGAACGAAAAATGCTGAAAAGAAAAGAAGCCGACATAGCACTGCTGCGGGCGCTGAAGGACGGCGCGACAGTCAGGCTATCGCCGGGGAGTGACCTGCGTGCAGTGGGGATCGTGAAGGAGAGAAGCGCGCGGGCCCCCCTAAGGGTAGAGGATCAGTATACACACAGGGGGAACGCGGGTTTGGTAGTCAGCAGGAACAGAAAAGGAGGCCTCGGGAAGAAAGGTCAGAGCAATAGGATGCAAAAAATATGGGTGAAGCATGCCGGAAACGAAAGAAGTACAACCGTCACAGTACAGGAGGCAAGTGAAAGGACGGAGACACACCTGAGGACGATAGAGACAAAAGTGGAGCACCTAAAGACTGAAATAAGAACAGAGGAAAGGACTTTCGTGGCATATTGCAACAACGCAATGAGGGCCATAGAAATAGTCACAGAGAAGAGGAAGAAAGAAGGCGGAGCGGTGCAGATTATACTGCTAGACTACAACGAGTTAAGGGAGAAGACCAGAGGGATACTACGCAAAGGGCACGGAATAGGCTTGGAGCTACAGGAGACAATAGAAAAAGCCGAAAGTGAGGACCCGGGCCTAAATATAGTAACGAGAAGGGAAAAAGGAAATGCAAGCAGAGCAGAAACGATAAGAAATATAGACGGAGGGACAAAAGAAGAGATACCGCTCAGGGTGGCCAATGTGTTAAATCACGACAATGAGTATACGGACTGGGTGCGGTTCGACTTTGGGACGAAGCGGATTCCACTGAAACCGGTGTGGGAATGGCCGGAAATGTCAAAAATAGAAAGGCAGGTATACATACATAGGAAAATGAAGGATGAGGAGACAGAAGGGGACAAAAAGAAAGAAAAGGCAGAAGCTGGGGATGGCGAGGAAATGAAGCAAGGCTTAGGAGAGAAAGACAGCGCGAAATCACAAAAGAGGAAAGAAACGAAAAAGAACACCAACACAGAGAGGGTAGGAAAGGGGAGTGGCGCTGCAAGTAGTCAAAGCAGAAATAGCCGGGAATATGTAGAAAGAAAACAAGAAGAAAAAGGGGAAGAAAGAAGGGAAGGAGAGACACTCTCTGAAACTATACTGCGACTAATCGAGAAAGAGAAGAAGAAAGCAGAGGAAACTGGTGACGAGATGGCGCAGGGGGCATTCAGAATAATCCAGAAAGCGACGAAACTGTTGCAGGAGGTAGAGGAGGCGAATAAAGAAGATGATGGTAGAAAGTTAAACGAAAAAGAAAGGGGGCGGGAGGAAGGAGACCAAGAAGAAAGGATCAGCGAAAACGGAGAAGAAGAAGAAAAAAAAAGCTTCTACGAGGCGCAAGAATATGAAGGCACTCGGAGAGGATACGTGTTTAAAAGAGGGGCGATGGGACAGGGATACTATATAGATCAGGGTCCAGAAGAGGCAACGCGAACATTTTTTCGGAATCTGGTGGCGTGGGGGGAAGAGGAGAAAAGGGACGCGATTAATAAGGAGCGGGCGGAGGAAGGTCAAGACGAAAAAGGGGTGGACCAAGAGCAGCAAAAACGGAGAAAAGTGGAGAAACAAGACAAGGAAGCGAGCCAAAACGGTGGTAGCGAGGACGAAAAAAAGAAGCGAACGACGGAGGCCTCCAATTTCCCCACAGTCGAGAAATTAATGGCAGATGACCCCATGACATTGATGCAGAAAGAGAATGTACAAAGGGAGAAGGAGAAGAGGATACAAGAGGAGAAGAGGAGGAGGAGGCAAAGGAAGTACGAAACTCCTATGCAGCGAGAACTAGCCCAAATGTATAGAGCCCTAGAAAAAGAAAATAGTGATGGAAAGTGAATGAAGAAAGAGAAAAAAGTGACTGCAATACGTTTATTTCTTTTGGATGAGATTGATGAATGGATAGCAAAGTAGAGGCAATGTGAGGCCTTATACATGAATGAAATAAAGGAGCAAAGAAGACACAGACCGGGGCTCAAAGCGAAAAAGAAAATGCGGGGTGTTCTGGCGGGTGCAGAGGGAAGAGCGTAGACAAAAAATGTAACAGAAAAGAGCGAAAAAAAATGAGGCGACTGCGTATGGTTCTTCTTTCGACACGTTCCACGCCAGCCCGGAGGGGTGCGGCGATGCTAATCATTTCGTTCCCGCCAGCCGTAAAGGCACGGCGCTGCCTATCCTCCCCTCGTACCGCCGAACCGCATGCGCTGACGCATTAGGAAACGAAAAGAAAAAGAAAGAGAAGAAAGAAAAACTATATAAAAGAAGTGGTGCCAGGGTTGCTATTTTAAAAGACTGCGCTAAGGCAGCACCCCCCTTCCCCAAGGGGTCCCCCCGGGGCGGGCGCGATGGCGGCTCTGCGAATGCGGAGCTCCGCGGGCCGTTTCTATGGAAACGCATATAAAAGGGCGCGGGAAGAAGATCGGCAAAACGTGTCTGAAAGGGACACGCCGTTGGGTTGCCCGCCATCGTGATAGGATCACCGTGTCTGATCATTAGACCCCCAGTATACTTTTTAGCGCGCAACCGGCCACGCACGTAGTCCTTCGAGCAAGTTTGTAAGACTAACCCATCAAGGCAAAACTGGAACTCCACCTTGCTCGCGGGCTTGGATGGTAAGGCAGGTCAGCCACACATAGCGCCCACTGGTTGTAGTCATGCGTAAGCAATCGATAGCGGTTTGGCAGGTGCAGCCGGGTGGTAGTTAGGAAGTGGACCGTGTCTCCACCTAGGGGTATTGGCAGAGGCTAAATCTGTTCTAACGCCCAGGTATTGGCAGAGGCTAAATCTGTTCTAACGCCGACCCGCCAGGAGTTAAATGGTACTACTACTACTACTGCATCACAGACAAGTGGGGCTCTTGGGTAACGTGCATGAAAGATTTAAGAGTCATGCCAGACAAGCATGACAAACATGCATTCTTCCAGACCCAGACATATTTACATTTGATACGTCCCGGCTTTGGGATTGGCAGCCACGGGCGCGCTCGGAGTCGGGTCTTTTGCGGCCGGGAAGAAAGGGATGGATGCGATTTACCGCCATCTGGACGAAAAGGACGAGAAGGAGTACCAAGAAAAGAAGAAGGCTATCCTTTGTGAAATAAACGTACTTTACTTACCCACACAACCAGGGTTGTCCTCACGCAATAAATCTTGCAAAATGATATGCAGTGGAGGAAGGAGCAAGTCGGTGATAGATTATGCGGCCGTGTGACAGACCACCGTGGCTCAGCACGTGTGTGTTGAAGTAAGAATGGCGTTTTTACCAGACGGAAAAAAGAACTTGTCAATCCGTGATTGTCAGAACTGCGTCTCGATTTGCATAGCGGCACGATCGTCAGCTCCGCTAAGTAGAGTGTGGGTAGTATTTACGTTCTTTTTGCCCAGGATAAAGGCTAAAGCGGCGCGCAAAAAGGCACGGGCGGAGAAGCGAGCGCAGATTCAGGCGATGTTGGCCGAACAGGAGGAAAAGCACGAGGGAGCAGGAGCCGACGCAGCGGCTACCACACGTCCAGAGACCTACCCACCCGCCGGGGAAGAAGTTGCAACCCCGGTAGATGAGCAGCAGGCCGAGGTTGGCGGAGGTAGTAGCAGAGCGATCAACAGCACGCGTATCACACAGAGAACTGATGACTCTTGCACGAAATAATCGGGCGTGTTGCCATGCGTCATTTTTGAAGATACATTGATTTATTTTGGCAAAAAAGAATTTTCCTGTACGTGTTTGTAAAAAACCCTTCAAATTATAAGCGTACGAGTCGTGATTTGCTATTGAAGAGGGATGCAGGTGGTAGTGGAAGCCACATCTTTCCCTAGCACCGGATCACGAAAATTTTACAAAAGTCATACATAAAACACGGGATGAAAAAAACCCACTGTGCATGAGAGTTGTCCAATGCGTTCTGCATAAGCACGGCTCGCCTTCCCGCGACGGAAAACGAGGAACAAGCCGTGGGCCGTGGTGCGGAGGGAGCGGGGACGAGGGCATCGGTGTCCGACACAGGGGACGCTGGTCTTGCTGCTACTACTCGGGAACTGCAATCGGAAGTCGGCAGTAGTACCACTGCAGGCGCACCACCGCAGGAGGCGGAAAGAACCGCAGCAGGCGGAAATGCAGGAGTGGCAGTTACTTCGGAGGGGAGTGCTGGTCGGAAGCAGGACAGTGCAGGTGCGGAAGCCGAAGCCGAAGAAGACATCGCCGCTGGTGAAGCTGCAGAAGAAGTCGCACAACCGCTTGCAGATGAGCCGACGCCAACAGGAGGTCCTGAGACCACTGCTTCCGGACGCGCGCTTGCAGATGAAACTGGCACAGAAGCAGAAGAACCTTCCACGACCGACCGTGGTCTGTCGGGTGGAGAAGACGAACAAGCAGGCCAGCAGGAGGAAGATCTTACATCCTCTTCTCGTGCAGCAGAAGACCAAGAAGGACCCAGCACGGTTGCTGCCGCAGCTACTGCTCCTGGCCGCGGCGAACCAAGCGACACACTGCCACCTCTTTTCCCGAGCAGCACCACGCAAAGCGCAGGCGCAAACGGAGGCGCGGAAGAGGCAGAACCAGCAAACACTGGCGTGGACATCACAAGTGCGAGGCCGGAAGAAGAACGCGGTGGCTTGTCGCGTGAGCAAGGACATGGGAGGAGTTCGGAACAACAACAAGAAGGAGTGTCGGGTCCTCCGTCGCAAGTACAGCCGGAAACTGTAGCTGCGGATGCGCAAGCTCCGCTGCAGCCACAATTGCCCGTGGAGGGTACCACTACCATGGCGGGGGACGATACGACCTCAGGTTCAGCTGGTAGTGCCCCCTCAACATTTCCCAGCAGCACCGATGCATCTTCAGTGCCACCGGGGGGTCCTGGCACTATCAGTAGTGACGCTCTCATTGCCAGCTCCCCGTACCGCGTGGGAGTGATGGACAAACACGGGCGCGTGATGGAGCTGGGCCCGTACAAGCCACCCTATGAAGGAGGCTCAAGTGGCCAAAACCGGGGAGATACTGCGAGTGGTACTGTTGTTCCACCAGCAACAGCAGCACCTTCCGGCAGTGCGACAGCAGCTCCTCCAAATGCGGAACAACCAGAACCCGAGGACGACCCGGCTGTCGAGCCGACCTCTGCCTTTCTGCAGCGCGGCAACACCAAGACGATAGACGAAGGGGGTCCGTCGAGTAAAGTGGGGAACCGGGCGGAGCACTCTTCTAGTCAACAAGAAATTGATGTTTCAGTAGAAAAGACCACGAGGACAGCAGGAGGTGGAGTGGAGCCGCGTTTCACACTGCATGAAGAACATGACAACTCTGCAAGAACTACAGGAGCAAATGGAATGAAACCAGAAACAACAACAATACCACCTGTAGTTCCCTTCAAGAAAACGAACCTGCGACGCCGTAAAAATCATTCTTCGCAGATGCACGGTTCTCCTCTCCAAATGGTCATGCAGATTTCGTCCAGTGCTGAGGAGGTCGAGAGTGAGCAACCTGCGGTACCTCCAGTGGGGGAAGAAGATGAACTTCTGCCCGAGATGCAGCACGGGGAAACACTGCGGAAAACTGCGACGTCCGGCGTGGAGCAGCAAACTGTTCTTGCGGTCAAGAAAACGCCGCACTTCCGCGCGCACCGAAAAAAGCATTTGCAGAAGACGGGAGGTGAAGAAGGGGTGATACAATCAACTGCTGTAGTTGCGGCTGTGGACGAGAACATTAATCCAGGACAACAAATCGGCGGAGCATTTGAAACGGCGAATGAATTTTCAACAACTACTACCGGCACGTCGTTACCCGGAGGTAATATACAAACCGCTACATCTACTTCCGATGCTGGTCGCAGTGCGTCCGGGCTACGAGGAAATGAAAGCAGGACGAGTACCACTGACCACGGAGAATTCTCACATCAAAATGAAGGCAAAGCCAGCACGAAAATGAATTACCAACCTTCACCCTCTTTCCGCAGTGGTTCTACTTCATCTTTCCTGAGCGGCGCAACGTACTTCTACGGACTCTGCGGCGCGGTGTTTTTCGTGCTTCTGGTGGGGATGGCGGTGTACTTTTTGCCCTGCTTGCGGTCGTGGTCGCGCGGCAAGAGCAAGATCTTGGGGCAGAAACATGTTCATCCGCATGCAGGAACGAACAACAAGGACGCAAGAACCCATGGAGCTGCGGGGGGTGGGGGACTCATGCACGCGTGACGAAGTGATGATTTAGATTTTCATTTTGTGAGTCACAACGAACTGGAGGTGGGATAAGAGATGAAAGTTAATGGTCGTAGATCAGAAACAAAGACATGCGAAGACGCAGCTAAGACTTACTTTGCATTACAACTTTGCTTTGAATATTTTTAACAGTTCGATGCATCGAGAATAACAGCGTACAATATCTACATAACGAGAGCACGGAAATTAAGGCTTGAAAACAATAAAAACAATGTATTAATGGCAGCACTCAAAAAGAAAAATGAAAATTACAATCGTCTCTCGATTTTGCTTCTTTAACACTTTACAACGATTTCAGTTTACCTATTCTATCCTCTACCTAGCGTTTCATTTTGTACCAAAGGGGAAAAGAAATAACAAAACAATAACAGACTTAGACCTCGCTCGCCGAAAAGAAAGAAAAACCACCTTTTCCAAAATTAAATTCAGACACAACAGACTCCCTAGCGTATGATACAGAAGATTTATCGAAATTAAATTCAGACGCAGCACAGCTAATCCAGCTCCACCTAAGAGACAGGCTCCCGAATCGTTTCACACGCACACCTGAGTATGATAATATCAGTATTTCGAAGCTGCTGCTTCGTGAGCTGCCGTTCCAAATTCGTAAAAGTTAACCTTTAATTACCCCCCTATCTAACAACAGGGACGGACGGAAGAAAACCGCGGGTAAAATACTCAAAATTGAAATCAGTAAAAACAACGAAAAATTAATAAGTGCATGGTCTAGAGGTGCCCAGAACTACCGAACGGAAGATGTAGCACCGTACGCAACTCATCGCTGGCAGCCAGAACTGCAGCAAGGAAGTCCTCTACACTGGAACGCAATATTCAAAGAAGTACGTTGTTTATCTTCTATCAGAAACTATCAAAAACAAAAACCTACTGCGTTTTATCGTTTTACATTGGCTTATTTGTCACGTGCTAACAGATTCGACTTTCCAACCGTATGCGGTCGGGATAACACTTTCAAAATGAACACCAATGAGATAGACTCTTGAAACAAAATTGAATTCGCAAATGTATAGTTTCAAAAAAAATTAAAGAAGTATCGAATACGAAGCGTAAATAAACTGTACAATTTGAAGCAAGCTACTTAAGTTCTTGAGGTTGGCTGTTTCGCTACAACTGTTGCCGCTATCGAACTAGAACAAATCACCACGTCAACACTGCCTGGAGGACAACGTCTTGTGCTGGATATCACACTAAAATTGAATGCAGTGGTGATGTTTTGATGTGCCGGGACCACGAGTTGCAACCAACAAAAGACCACGACGGGGTGAGTCGCTCGCAAGCAAGAAGTAGCTCCTCTCGAGCCTGATGAAGATAAACTAGAGTCAAATTTTTCGTCCACAACAACAAAGAAAAAAACTGTACACAATTGAGACGAGAAATGAAGAGGCCGTGGAAAGAAAAACTCTGCGAGTGTGGTGATTAATTTGATCACACACATATTGTGGTACATGCTGTCAGCAAGAAGTTTCAGTGTTGCAGTGTTTCGAGCTTCTTGCCGCGTTGTCAGACACTGCATTTTAAAATTGTTTTCAATTATGGGCACGTCTGTAGTTTTTTTGTTTGCTTGCTGTAGTTTTTGAGAAAGATTTCAGGAGCGTTTTCTTACGTGTGTGAGGAACAAGAGGTGGGACGACGAGACCGGTGCATTGACAAATTTATTACGACCAAAGCATCGGCATCTGAAAAGTCTCTTTGCGGAATTCTTTTATTGCACGCAAACTCGGTGGCGCCCGCCATGCCGGTTTTACTAGTACAGGAATAAGCTTTATAAACTACCTCTGCTGACGAGATGCAAACTTAGAATATTTCTACGCAAGAATTTCAGAACAAAATAAAAATAGCTTCAATTTTATTCAGATCCAACATGATGGGTCCCATGGAGATGATGTTTACGGCGGTGTTCGCCATGCTCGTGCACGAGACCGTTTTGTACGGCACCGGGGAGTATCGAATGTAAAAAGGTCTGGGTCTGGAAGAGTCTGAGTCATGCTGTTTGTGCATGACACAGAAGGTCTGGCATGGAAGCTCTAGCATCACAGGTTTCGAGAAGCTTCCGCAATGCCGAATCCGCATGACAAATCCCCCATTTTGGTGACAGAATGTGAGCAGCTTTTGCTGCCTATGCGTCAGAGATTTTTGTGTGTTCTGAAATGCGCATCACAAGTTACATCCTTCCAGACCCAGATATTTTTACATTTGATAGGGAGCTGGTCAAGCTTCTCATTTCCTTCGAGCTCCTGCCGGACCTCAACGGTACTACTTCTACGGAGTCAGGTTTTGCGGGCGGGTTGTTCGGTGGTACGAGTGCCTCCGCTGGTAGTTCGTCTGGGGACGAGGTGAAACTGTACGTGTATTACGGCCGGCACGCCCTGGCGGTCCTGGTCGCCATCTACTTCACACTGGTGGCGAAACCGGCGAAAAAAATTCCGCGCCGCGCGCCGTCTATCAAGCCCGAGGAGTGCGTTGAGTACGGGGATTTGGCCAGGCAGAAATCATCTCCGGGTAATGCAGCAAACAACTTGCTGTGGACGTGTGACGCGGAAGCCTGTTTACCCACCCGGTTTGCGAAAACCGGACCGGCGTCGGAGGCGTGGAACCCGGCCATGACGTTATCAAAAGGAAAAATCCATCCTCCCCACATCAAAACGAAACTTCTGATGCTGGATTTGCGTAGACAAATCAGATTTGTCTTGCAGTGGAGGACTGCAGGCCCGTATCATGCCAATGTAGAGGGGTTTCGGCCTAGGCGCTTAGCATGAGGAACGTCTATGCTGTAGACCCAACAGCATTACAAGCCGCCTGCATAATGGGGCGGAGCCTATGCGCTGGCTTTCTTGCAAGACAGACGCGATTTGTGGTCACAAATAAGCATCGCAAATTCTCTGAGGCGTGCCGTTTCGATATGGGGAGGGGCGATTTTTCCTTACGATAGACGTATCCTGTGTGCAGAATGATGTGGAACGACGAAGAACTAATCGAGGGTCTTTGATCCTCAGGATCTTGAGCACCATTGCGAGTTTATTTTGAGCAGTTTGTCATGCGAACCGTGTATAGAGGAAGTGAACGTGAAGTTCTTGTAGTTGTGCATCTGCTTCTACTGCACCCCGGGAAGCTTTCGGCTCATTTATTTCGTTGACATGAAAGAGTTGCTTCGAAGCGGTTTTGCATAGGATAATTCCGTGCCGAAATATATGGCGATGGCCGCGCAGCAGTACCCAGATGCCATCGCGTTGCGAGTGGAAAGACCCGTGCCAGCGAAGCTAGGGGAGAAAAAAGCGCCGAGTTTACCACTGGACGAATGGACCTCGTATAATTGTTTGGATTTCTACCGAAGATGTTCGTTTTTTGTCACGATGATTTGCAATATGCTCCTGGGCAGCGGCAGCTCTCGTTCTTTTCCTTGGGTATTAGCTTGAATTAGTTCTTCGTATGTCTCCTGCTTCCGAAAAAATGAGCTGCAAGATGAAACGACTGGCCCACTTCATTCTACCAGGTGGACCTATTCGCAATTTCACGACGAAGTGAATCACGCTGCGGCTGCGATGGCGACGGATTTTGACGTGAAGATGTTCGGCTCAGTGGCCGTGTGGGGCTTCAACGCCCCCGAGTGGCACATGTCCTTTGCCGCCGCCGCGGCCATCGGGGCCAAGGTCGCGGGCATTTACCCGACCGACTCCCTGGACCACATGTGCTACAAGGTGAAGCAGTCCAACGCGAGTGTGGCGGTGGTGGAGGGGAAAAAACAGTGCGAAACCCTGCTGCAAGCCCCGAAAAACCTGCTCGGGACGAAGCTGAAGGCGGTGGTTATCCTGAGCAAAAACATCCCCATCCCAGAGTCAACCTGGGGATTTTCGAACACAAACCGAGAAATGTTTGGAGTCAAGCATGACAACTTGCAGTCCGTAGCGTAGTGCAGATTAGAAAGGGCAGCGGCATTACAAGTCCAGGTTCTTATCCTGTTTACAGCATTGCAAATTCCAAAACACGATGGGAAATGCCTATCATGGGGATGCGCATCACAAATGTTCTTCTCCTTGCAATTCTGCATGACAACTGGGGAGTGGGGACGTTTTTACACGGGTTAGTGGTAGTGTATTCCGTGGAGGATTTCGAGTACGTGAAGAGCATCGCGGACTCGGCCGTGTGCAAGACGGCTTATCCCACGAAAAAAGTGTTACAGTTACACATTTGTAGTCAATTTAGCAACACAAATTTCTCTGCGTGAGTGAGAAAACTTTGTAATGCAGAAATCCTACGGGAAAACACCTATGAAACGAGGCCTGTATGCATATCCGGCATGAGAGAGCTTGCCTGTCCTTGGCCTGCAAGACAATGTGTAACTGTAGCACCTTTTTCTTGCGATACGGCTGGCCTGAAGGTGATCACCTGGCCCCAACTAGTGGCGATCGGCCAGGGGAAAGGTGCTGCGGTGCTGCAGGAACGACAGGCGTATCGAGTGGAAATATGTCATCTCGGTCCATTTCCACGGGAGTAAACTTGTGTATACAGCTGAACAAATGTGGATGAGTGGAGAAGGGGTCTGAGACGACTTTCAAGTAGTGCACCCAAGCATGACAAGATCTTTCCTCATTGTCTCTTGCTAAGCCTGCATATAGAAACTGCGTTTTTGCAACATGACAAAAAAAAAGTTGTGCTTTTTTCATTTCGGTCATGCAGCACAGTTTCTTGAGGAATGCCAGACACGCAATACAAATTTCCAGACTGAGAGGACATATTTGCAATGCATAAAGCGAAACTCAAGCCCGGGCACTGCTGCGTGCTGATCTACACAAGCGGGACCACCGGGATGCCCAAGGGGGTCGTATGCATTGCAAATTGGTATGTCTCCTGGGTCTCTGGAGTGAACTTGTGTTGCTGACACTTGTATTGCAGAGTGTAGCTACTCGTGCGGCACAACAGCATCAGAAATTTCGCGAGGCTCATTGCAGATTCAGGCGCAATCAAAGAAACGCATGACTTACTGGGTTTCAGCACGACAAAAATGTTGGCGACTTGTATTCATGCATCACAGATCTTGCTGTCCTTGAAGTCTGCGCATGACAAATCCGGACCCAGATCGATAGTTGCAATGCATAAGCCATGCTCTCCCACGACAACCTTTGCTCGACCGCCTGTGTTATGCTGTGAAAAAGTCGTAGGTTGATGTGAGATTGCAGCCACGCATGACAAATTTCAGTCCTGAGCAGAATGAGAATCAGCATACTTGATACGAATTCCATTTTTCCTTCTGAAAGAAGTTGGATATGCAATTTGTACCAAACACGGCAGTTTTTCAATGCATATGTCTAGGGCTGTACGAACATGTCTACGACTCGAAGAAGGAGTTCGGCCTGAAGCATATCCTGATTAGAAACGTCTCCGCCCGATAGTCAACAAGTTTGGATTTTGCAAGACAAATCCAGAAGTTTTAGGAGTTAAGCATGACAATTTTCTCGCTGTATTTTTGTAGTGCAGGTTACGTTAGAAAGGACAGCCACTTCACAAAGCCATCTCCTTATCCCGTTGGCAGCATCACAAATTCCAAAACGTGACAACGTCTCCTGTAATTACCACTCCGCATGACAAGTGTGCCGCAATTCTGTTTAGCATGACAACTCTGCGGCGGGGACGTTTCTACACAGGATAAAACACACCACGGGAACACTGAAGGGCCCGCAGCGTCTCATTTCCTACTTGCCACTCTCGCACATTGCCGGGCTCATGCTGGACGTCGTTTTTCCGATTGTTGCTACCGCAAAATTCTCGACACCGGCCACGGTATGTACTGCTATTGGGACTACTGTGCCGTAAGGTCTTGAGATCGTAGTTTTTGCGTCACACTTCTTTCTCGCTTCATGTTCAAGTTCGAGTTTCCACTGCATCACAAGTTGTTAATTACTGAAGTACTTCCAGAAAAAAATGTAGTGTCTTCCATTATCAATATCAGGTGTATTTTGCACGCAAGTACGATCTTTCGGAGGCCACCATTGTGCAGCGGATGGAGTTATCCATTGCAAAAGTGATATCTTCGTACTCGTGGTATTGGCAATCATAAGTGACAAATCGCCGAACTTAGGGACGAGATCAGCATTACAAATTCTATTTTAGTAACGTTTGAAGTAAAAATGCAATCCAGTTAAATACCAGTACAAGTGTACGATGCTTTAACTTTTGCAACGCATAATCGTCCATCCGACCCACGATTTTCCTCGGGGTGCCCCGCGTCTGGGAAAAGCTTGCGGAAGGGATGAAAGCCGTCGGGGCGAAAGTGAAACCCCCCATGAAGTGGCTGAGTCAATGGGCGAAGATGAAATGCCTGATCCACTCCAAAAACTGCCTCCTCGGGGGGAACGGACAATACCCGCTGAAGTGGGGTATTGATCAATTTGCCAAAAGATTTTTGCCATTTTTTGTCATGCGGATAATCTACGATTTTGCAACACTACTCTACAAAGAGTTCTTTGTGATCAATCTGCTGCGCAGGGTATTCGCATCGATATGATGCGATTCTCCCACCAAAGCCAAAGCTAAACATACAAAATTCGCCAGGTCTTGCCAACACGGTGACGGGTCTGGTCCGCAAGAAGATCGGGCTAGACAAGCTCCAGTTTGCTGTCACCGGTGCGGCGCCCATGAACCCGGAAACCTACGAGTACTGGGGGTCGCTGGGGGTCACTATTTTCGAAGTTTTCGCGATGTCGGAATCCACCGGTCTCGCCACCACATCGAGCCTGCGCGGTATGGAACTGTCAGGATCGAAATCACCAAAATCGAAATAATTTGTGATGCATAAAATTGATGCCCGTTGCGTTGGAGCCTCAGTTTCCAAGTGGCGCATGGCAAATTTCGGGAGCACCAAACTCCAGTCTGTCATGCTGTTTGGGAAAAGAAGACCGCTCTTGTCATGCTACTCTGGCAGCACATCGCCCCCCCCTACACACCAGGCTTGCAATCGGTCTCATTTGCCTGCTCCCCAACACAGGCATTGCGTGCCCTACATTTTATGCATTGCAAATTTTTCGATCTTGTCGCTTTCGATCCTGACACTCCCATACGCGGGACGTTGTGGGCAACCGTGGGGTTTTCCGCCCCGGGCTTCGAAATAAAGGTCTTCGACACGATGTCTGACGCAACGAAGAAATTCCAGACGCCACCCGCCATCAACGTGTTCCAGCCCACGGAGAAAGAGCAGGGCGAACTGTGCTACCGCGGCAGAAACGTGATGATGGGGTATTTGGCAAACCCCGGGTTTGGCGCCCAGCACGTTATGCACGGCGGAAGTCTTTCTTCTGTTTTTCTCCTTCGGAGCACCGTCGGGACGTTGTAGTCTGCATAGTTAGTAAAGATTTTTGCATTTCTCAAAGCGGCTTGAAGGACAACAACCTCCGAAGATGGCAAGAATAATGCTTGGAATGCTTGAGCTCAACATTCGTTCTCGTTTTCATCCGAGGTTGTAGTGCACTTTGCATTGATGTGTACTACGTCAACCCTATTGAGGACCGACGGTCTCTACAATTTTTCCACATCACACATCTAGCGGAGCTGCAAAAGAAAACCGCGGAGGCAATCGACGACGAGGGCTGGGTCAGGAGTGGTGATAAGGTACTAACTTACTTTATCCTGAGTAAAAACGTACCCACACCAGAGTTGTAATGCTGATTTGCAAAGACAGGAAGACTTGTAATGCGCATCCCCATGAGAGCCATTTCCAGTCGTGTTTTGGAATTTGTGATGCTGTAAACAGGATGAGCAGATGAATCTGTGATGCGGCTGCACTTGCTAACCTGCACTACACTGCATAGCGCAACTTGTCATGCGTGACTCACAAAGCTCCTAGGTTTGTGCTGCAAAATCCCCATCCTGACTCTGGTGTGGGTACGTTTTTACTCAGGATATACTTAGCTGCAAAGTAATAATCCAAACCGATGAAACCCAAACGACTAGTGCTTTTACATCTGAAACATGTTTGAACATTTTCCAGCGCTGCGGTGCGCACAAGGGTGACTAAGTACATACTGGCTCCTCCTCCTGCATACGCACGGAAGTAGAGAACACAGTCTTGGACTAGGTTCAATGGTTGTTGTCTGCGAGTAAATATTGTGTCACAAAAATTGTTTTACTATCAGGCTTGCGTCTCCGCGTCGAACATGCTTCGTATCACCGGGCGGTATAAGGAGCTAATCATCACGGCGTATCCAGCGTGGTAAAAACGTCCCGACGTCGTGGCAACAAGCTGTCAACGCTATTACTATACACAGATGACGGAGTGTCACGTTTGTTCGTTGTGCATGAGAAGAGTAAATGATCCTGGTAGAGCTTAGTAGGTTGTATGCTTGCATCTGTCGATACGGAGCCTCTATCCTAAGAAAGTAACTAAGTAGCTGATCAGAGCCAGGGGCAGCGGTGTAAGTGTATTTAAGTTGCAAGAGCATTTGCATTTCTGGACCAGGCCGCTTACACATTCGAGCTTTACATCGCAAAAATTATTTCGCGTGAAGGACGTTCTTTTTTCCGCACGATACACGCGGGGGGGAGAACATCGCGCCCGTGCCGATCGAGAACTGGCTTCAGACGAATTTTCTATCCTGTGCAAAAGTATCGCACTCGTAGTAATTGCAGTCATGCATTACAAATCTCTTTCTCACGGCAACACCGCTCGCATTACAAATTTTATTTCTCATGCTGAGTTAATTTGTAATGCATTTATACGAGTGCGATGCTTTTGCAATGCATATTTTCCCGCGATCAGCAATGTAATGATGGTCGGCGACAAGAAGAAATACAACACGTGCCTGATCAGCCTGAAAGCGGTCGGCGCAACAGGCCTGGAGCTATGCATGGCAAATATGCTGATATTTCTGGGTCTGGATTTGTAATGCGAAATTTGAAGTTTTACAGTTCACTAAGGTATCTTTTTTTGTTGTGGTGGACGATGGGAGTTCTTTGTCATGAATTTGCAAAAAGCCTCGCTAAACTTCTAACGCTGTTTCTATGCCATGCGAGGGGTCCCTCCGCAATGCAAGTATCGGATTTATTATCGGTATCAGCTCCTGCAACACAGATTTGCATTTGAATTTCTAGACCCCGACGTATTTTCAATTCATAACAGCCTGGTACGGACCAACTCACCCCGGATTGCGTAAACCTGCTGAATTCGAGCGCGAAAACGATCTCCGGGGCGCAGAAAGATCCGGCCGTGCAGAAGTACCTGGAATCGGCCCTGAAGGCGGTGAACCAGGAAAGCTCCGTCGTGCCGTTATGCATGAGAATTGGTTCGTCTGGGACTGGGTCGGGAAGGGTTGTGACGCTTCTTCCAAGCTACCCGTGGTCGTGGAAGATGAATTTATCATGTCCACGTCCTTCGCGCGTACTATTCCGCAGGAGGAGCTCCTGCAGTCGCATTGTTGCATACTAGGCTTACATCAAAGGAGTCGTGACTATTACGAATTGCCGTTGGTTCACACCATGCACTACTGCAGCGTTGCTGGACAAGCATCACAAACCAAAAACTTTGCATGATTGAACGACCAGACCCAGAGACCTGGTTGCGATGCATACCCGTCCAACGCGTGCAAAATCCAGAAGTTCAAAATCCTACCCTGCGACTTTTCCGTTGCCGGCGAAGAGTTGACACCGACAATGAAATACGCAGTGCGAAAGTAGTGTGAGAGAGGTCATGTACCAGGCAGTTTAACGAATACTGACACCATCGATCAGGGGGAGCAAGTATGCATGACAAGTTGAAGGAGCTTTAGTTTGCTGGTACGAGTGTTGAAAGGGAGCTTTGTTTGTCTTCATGACGAAGATTGGGTACTTTGATTTTGCGACACTACTTTTGCACGGGATAGGAGGCTGAAGCGGTCGTTTGTGATGGACAAGTACTATCACACAGAAAAAAGCAGGCAGGTCACATTTGTAATGCAAAAATAAACACACAAAAAAATGAGCAGATCCTAGAAAACGGCATGCTATGGGGCCGTCCATGACAGGTTTTTCTGTGTATTTGTTTTTGCATTACGAATATGCCCTGTCTGCTTTTTTCTCTAGGACAACTACCGCAAGCTGATCGACGAAATGTACGGGGAGTAGGAAGGAATATCTGTGATGCGGACACAGCATGAGACTCAGCTTGTGTCAGACTTGGAATTTTTCGCCACTCTAGAATAAAAATCTAAATCACTCGACTCGACGTCGGTTAGAAGCGGAGCCAGTTTAATATTCCAAAATGAAAAGCTAAAGCTATACACTCACTTCTGAGTAAGAGTAAACGACACCGTCGTCCATACAAGAACCCGATTTGTACTAGCATGGGGATGAGGACCAACAGCACGGCGGTGCTAGGGTACCTACTTACTCCTCAAATTCGAGAATCTGAAGCATGATCAACATCTCACCACGGTTGTATTTCAAGTCGCAATTAAATCCATTGAGATTTGACGTCACGAGGAAAATGCCGAAGAAGTAGCGAAAGTGTGGTCGAATGAAAGAGCAGAAACACGAACATCCTTTGCGCTTGTTGATTTAGAAATTTCTCATGTACCAAAAGAAAAAGAGACGAAGAAAAATCTACAACATAACCCTGTATGTATTTGTATCCTATTAGAAGTTTCATTTGCTCCGGGCTGGGCACCCATTTTGCCCTCCCTGCGCTTGCTTGACGAGCCACAACATGGGGCAGAAAAGTGACTGACAGGCAGCCACCGCTTCCGTTCGTTGATCCGAAGCGGTTTGTCGCATTTTATCTTCTTTGTTTTCGCTTCGTCGGCCTCGGCGGTTCTATCTCGGCATCGTCATCTCGAAGAATTTTTGCAATATCGAAGTACAACGCAGCCTACCGTGAGAGACTACGGAGTAGAATTCTTATCGTGACACTGTGTACATAGATACCATGGGATGAGAGAGTTCATGGGGTGAGAGAGCTCGCCGCAGGGCTTGTACTAGAGACAGACACAAGTTGTAGACATTTTACAACTACGTTCGTGCAGAATTTTTTCGGACGAAAAAGTTTTCTCGCTGGACTAGTTTCGACCGATCTTCGAACACGGTTTTACTTTGTCGCTATCTTTTGGTTGCGGAAACGGCCGGTATACGACACCTACAGCACGGTCGTGGAGCTGCAAGAATATTTATTTCTCGCATCTTCTTGTCGTTTCGGTTTCACGAAACCAACACTGATTTGTACGCGTACTAGCTACGGGACGAGACAACGATAAGTATGTTTAGGTCTGATTCTGAAGAGAACCGATAGCACCACTGTACAACAACCGAGAAAGAAATAAACGCAAATAAAATGTCGGAGGAGCCGGACTTTGAGGGTACCCGGATCCTTCCGACGTCAAAGTCCAGGCCGCCAGAGGATTGGATATGAAAGTGCACAACTCCCCCTCCCCCTCATTTGTCATGCAAAATGCCTAATTTACGCCGTGGCTCTTGGCAATGTTTGCATGACAAGTTCTAGCAGCCCAAATAGCACTACAATCCTGCCCAAATTTGTCATGCAAAACCGGTAATCTTGCTGATGCTTGTATTGCTGTTCATGCAATACAACAAATGAGGGGGAGGGGGAGTTGTGCACTTTCATATTGGAAGGAGCTTTTTCAAGAAGATCTCGACGGGTTTGACCAGGGAGTTGAAGTATGCATTGCAAAAGTTCCTGTATGTAGTACTTCTTCTGTACTATAATCGCACAACCATGCGTCGATGTATGAGAAAGTCCAAATGTAGTAAAAAAAGTGCGATAACGATCGAAGAAAGTTGACGGCTTCGCCATGCTGAAACCCTTGTGGGAACAACAAGTGTACTTGAGTCATACAGAAATGTGTACGTTGTAGAGATACAACAATGGCACTACAACAACTTTTGAACTACAACTGGATACTTGCTCCGTGCTAGTGCGACCTTGCCGTCCGGGCGGACGCTTCCAAGGCTCCGCGAACAAACAACTATCAAAAGGAAAAATCCCCCTCCCCATATCGAAAACGTATCCGTCTGAAAATTTGTGATGCGCATTTGTGACCTCAAATCCTGTCTGTCATGCAAGAAGGCAAGTCCAGAAAGCGTTCCGCATTTTTCAGGCGGTTTGTGATGCTGTTTGGCTCAGAGCATGCGCGTTTGTCATGCTAGGCGCCTACGTCAAAACCTCGCGGCTGAGGCTTGGCATATGCCTGCATTCCTCTACTGCAAGACAAATCTGATTTGTGTATGGAAATCCAGCATCAGAAACTTCTTTTCGATATGGGGAGGGGGCATTTTTCCTCATGATAACAACCGATGCGTTCACACACTGGGAAAAGACAGCGCCGTGGCGCTACAAGAAGCAATACAAGGGACGTATACATATTTCTGTTGCTGACTTGTTGCATCTGCATCAGAAATTGCAATAACTCTGATGTCATCTTGCTTCCCATAACTTTGTTTCTGTTTCCGCATGATTTTGATCACAAATCCGAAATTCTGACAGAATCGAAATCGGAGAAGAACCTGAAGAGTTTCAGCAGAAGATCATGGGATAGGAAAGTGATAAATCAACGTCATATTGCATACCTGTAAGCGCATGTTGCGCATGACAAACTTTTGTTTCTGCATGGCATAATCACGGCCTCGCGCATGAGCGATGTGCGCTGAGCATGATATATAGCAAAGATCTGTCCTGCGCCAAAACCTACTGCAACATGATGGCCGCTTCTCGGTTCTTCCATACACCAAGCCGCAACGCTGGTCCAAGGAGCACTGGAGAATGGAAAACCAGAAAACGTGTTTCAAGGTAAGAAAGTATGAGATAAGTTTTCATGCATCATGGCGAGGAAAATTTAGATTTTATCTTTGATGGTTGGAAACGGATCCACTTTGTCTTTGTCATGCTGCTTCGCCCAAATACTTAGGTTCTTTCTGCGACCAGCATCCCAGCAACGTGGCATGGTGGTGGGCAATGCACGGATGCGAAAAGTGTAAACTCACCCAGGAAGCAAAAATGCTGTTTTTCAGCTCTAGGGTATAATTAGGCGCGGCTTGTTTTTGTTTTGTTTTGTCTAAGTACTACCTCGAGTCCACTTCTTCGTTTTTTCAGTTGCAGAGGAGGTTCAATCACCGATCAAAATATATGCGTGGCCGTGCTCTCGTGGATCTTGACCGAGGGCCCTCAAAATCAAAAATCCAGGCACGAACGGCGATGGATTTGTGCGAGTTTTTATACACAAATGAAATGTAGGTAACTCACAAGGAGAGACAGCGATTTCCCGGGTTTGCCCTGCAGAATCCAAGTCTACAGAACACCGCAAAGGAAATGAAAGAAGAATTTCCGGAACTGCCGTTCGCTTCCGAACCAGCGCTGGCACATCCCCTTCTGAGGCCAGCCAGTCCCTTTGCGGAGGAGCCAGGTAGGTTGGTTAAGTTGCATTTTCTACCATCTACTGCGCTCACTCTCATGTCTTTGAGCTTTTGTTCATCCCCAGTGTGATGCGATGTTGATTATCGCGAAACAAACGATATAATAAATCGCACCCTGTGAATTATTCATGATCCACCTGGGAAAAAATGCAAATCCTTCAGGTCGGAAGCGCACTGAGGCCGAGAAGCGGAATCGCGACAAGCGACACAGCTACATTGTGCAGAAGTACCCCTACAGGCAGTCGAAGCTGGGCACAGACAGCAACCCGAAGCATTTTACCTACCAGTGGCTGAAGACCGCCCCGGACCGGCGGGATCTGGCGCGCAAACACACCCGGCCACCCGTGCCGTGGCACTAAATTTTTCACCCAGAGGTGTGGTTTCCCTACTTTCTCTGAGTTCCAACTCATGATAGTTGTACGTCTCACGTTTGAATTATCCGTGTCAAAATGAATATATGCAAAACTGCAGTGCAGTGCCACGGGGGCCACCAGAACGAGGCAACGAACTGCATAGGTGGAGCACATCCAGTAGATGTTGTGCCTTCGCGATCTTTTATACCACCAATGTGCAAGAAGAAGAACATCTTGAACTTTCCTTGTGAGGGGTGAAACCTTGTTTTCAGAAAAAATGAACCAATGGGCTACTAACTTCCACTTATCTTATACCAAATGTGCAATAAAGAAGGCCACTTCATCTACTCCGCTAGAATGAAGCCTTTAAGATATTCACGTGTTACAAATTTTATCCACTTGTGCTTACTGTTACGTTATCCGTTATCGCAGACGAAATGAACTGTAGTCCTGTTTAGGAAAATGCTGGAAAATGCAAGAATCGTTGGCACGGAGCGCGAGAACCCGGGGTGTTTCCATATTAAGTACGTCCTCCGGCGATGGGGCGAGATGCTGAGATCGTCTCTGTGTCAACGATATTTTTAACCTGTATCAAAACCTTTTTGGAGAGGAAAGATAGAAGAATTTGGGTGGTCGTGCTAAAGGCGATGCGGCAGACGGAAAGCGTCGTGCTCGGTAGCTTCGTGTTTTTCCGTTCGGGTTTGTGTTCATCAGCAGCACTCGGCTTCTACCGTGAGCGTCGCTCTTGCTCGTTCTGCCGGTAGTTTTTCTACGTCTAATGTGCTATAATTGTACAACCAGTACCTCCAGAGTGACTGACAGGACCACTTTCCCATCATGCTCAATTTCTCTTCTATCATTTCGTGAAGTACAATCCGTCGTCGAGCTTCGTTCTGATTTTCGTATGTGTTTTTGCAAATCAGATCCGTAGAAGTCGTAAGCGTGAAGCCGACGTCCTTCGTGCAGTTAGTTGGATTTGGGTGATGGCCTTCGTCCTCGTGCATACTCAAGTCGTCAACTAGGCACAACGAGAAGTAGTTCGTCGTGTAGTGTAGTGCGAAAGAAATCAGGTCGTCCATCGCGGGTCGTTGTCGTCATCGTCGTACTAGCGGTTTTATCTTTAGCTTTATTCCGTGGCACATGGTCGACATAAAATACTTGAGTACGTCGTAATACTCCTAATCCTATGAAAAAGGTGCGTGCAAATGCGATAGAAGAAGGGCATCCCCGGCTTTTCGTGCGTGTCACGACAGCACTTGATCTCCGTAGTTTTTCGTCGAAGCTGGAATTCAGAGGGGATCATCACCCTGTCGTACGTCAATGCAAAAAAATCTATACATAGTAGTCGTCCATAATTCTACTTTATTTTCACCTGTATTCTAGCTCTGCTCCCCCTCATCTTCGCCGTTGCGGGTTAGTTCTTATGCAGCGGAGAGAGACTAAGACTAACACTAACAGTAGCAGGTGGAACATGTACACGAAGTGAAGGTGGATGCTCGATCGATCTTGCTATAATAAACAAGTCTTGCAATTGTAGTCCAGTTCCCGCGTCTTTTTTTTCACCCGAGGTGAGAAAAGGAAAAACGTTTTTAGCTGTTTCGCAACGGCGGAAAAACAAAGTTACTTAAAACTTGTTAACGAAGTAGTTTCGTGTGTTGAGACAAATCCAACATCCGCGTGGAAAATGATGAAAAAAGTCACCCTCGTCGCCGCTGTGCATCCCCTGGGGGGGGGCGTCTACGCGGCGCAGGAGAAACAACGCCGGACGACGCATTTTTGGCAAGGAAGCGAATACGCCCCCTCGGGGTTCATGCAGCATGAGCGCGTCGTCGCTGGTGGGAAGAAGCACAAGAAAGAGAAGATGAAGTACAAGGACCTGGATGATTTAGACAAGCACATCAATGAGCTCCAAAGCCTGCGCAAAGAAATTGCCAATGGCCCGGGCGCGAAGAAAATGGAAAAGCGTGTTGCCAGCGATTGCGGAGGCATCTCTCTGTCGGATCACTGTCACGAAAACGAAAGAAAATTTGATGTGATGGTTAGTTGCGGTTGTGGATCGGATGAACTCAACATTAATTGCGGGTCCTATGAGCACTGCGCGTTGTAGTAAACCTTATACGTTTTTTGCAATGATCCTAGTGTGGGTGCTCCAGCTTCCTTCAATTTCTATTTGACTAATAGCAGTATGAGTATCACCACTAAAAGACAGAGTTGCGCAAGTCAGGAGTTGTTTCTTTCTGTATGCAATATTTGTAAATGTATCTCTGTCTTCTACATGTTCCGCAGGATTTTAATTCGCTTGTGCTTATTTTACATAAAAGTTTTTCGGTGGTTACACTTAGATGTTCTCCGCGTAAGAGAATATCTCGATTGCCTAGAAGACGTCGCTTACCCTCAACAAGTCTCAAACGATACTAAATAATTTCTCCTCGGACGATACATCACCACGCGCACACCGCTCCTTACCAAGTATCGCGCCACTCTTTACCAAGTACATAGCCTGTAGCTTCTCACGAAGAAGAGCCAGCACGTGGCGAATTGCATATCCCGTTGGTGCAGAACCTCGGGAGAAACCGCCTGATGGATGAGTGTCTGTCTCTCGACGAGTAGGTTCCGAATCCGCGGGATAGGTTTTGAAGGAGTAATGTGCCCCTCTATCCTTAGCATTTTTTAGTTTTTTCTCTTTAATTCCATTTCACAATCAAAAGTAGCCCTTTATTTTTGTTTTCGCCCAAAGTCAAACTAGTATCATCATACATGGTTCCTGTTTCAGTTGAGCAAACGGCTTTTTTTGTTTCTGAAGAACAAGCCAAAACCCTAACTATTCGATATTACTTACTATACTACCTATTTTCTCAGTCGCAAGGCAAGGCCAAGGTAGGACTTTTACTTCTTGAGAAGTGTGGTCGAAGAGGACCTCTACGGAAGAAGCCTGGCCCGTCGCGACCAATTTGAAGTAAGTACGTAATATTCGACCAACTACATGAATCTAGTGGTGTCGGATGCCATCGTGCAGATTGTCTTCTTTAGCACAAATTGCAAATTTCGGTGGCAAGTCAGGCTCCGGGGAACGCGAGCTTAGGTTTGACGGTGAAGCATTTTATTTTTCACTAGCCAGCACGAACAGCGCGGGAGTCAGGGCATCCCTGGCGGCGACGCTGAGCGAAGAAGTGGTGTTCCTAGGTCGTGTGGTTTCGTTGGCTCGCGATCATGTGCATTTATTTCCTTCAGCCGAGTGAGAGAGCAACAAGGCATAGGCAACACGATCCCTTGGCTATGGCAATCGCAAGGGCGAGTGTTCCTTTGAGAGTGTTTCGGATCCACATTCATTAGGAATGGGTCATATCTGAGTATTTCAGTGGATGCCTCGTCTGCTTGTAGTAGTTCTTCTGGTCCCCGTCCTGTGCCCTCTTTACGAGACACGCCGAGTAATTCCTTGTAGAAGATCCGGGGGTTATTTGTTTGTCTTTGATTTCAACGTTTTATTGATGAGTATGTCGTGAACGTGATGAGCAGAATACCCGATCCTTTTCTGATGCCTGCACGCAGAGACGAAAACGGGAACAACTTCTACATTTCCATAGAGCTTCACATTGTTCATGGATCGAAATACTGAATTGCTTTAAATCTTGATTCGCCCCCCCCACCCAGAGAGGCAAGGAGCAAGCATAGCAGTTTCGCAAGTCAATTCACATCCTACCTAGAGGAAGCCAAATAGCCGAATGAGTGACCACGCCTATGTACTTGCTTGCTAGTTCACGATGCTCAAAAATATAGTTTCATGGTAAGAACCCAGTTTCTAACAACCCAACAACTTTCAATGAAACAACTCCGGACCCCCAGTCGTCAGTCGTAACCAGATTTTTATTTTTATCTAGGCACGACTGGGTTTCCATTTCCTAGAAATATAAATTTCTCGAGCTTCAAACATTGGGCGTTTGTCATCTGGAGCGCTTTTTTCCTTGAAATAGCGTCGTCCACCGCTTTGAACGTTTTCCAAAATAAATACAAAACTTTAGGCCGTGTTGTTGGACGAAGAGAGCGTGGTGTGTCAGTCTAGTCATTCAGATCAGCAGCTGCGTTTAGGGGCAAAAAAGTAAAACACCAAAAAAATGTCGGCGGACAGAAAAGCAGTAATCAAGAATGCCGACATGGCAGAGGATATGCAGCAGGACGCCATCGACTGCGCCATGCAGGCTTTGGAGAAGTACAACATCGAGAAGGACATCGCGGCCTTCATCAAGAAGGAGTTCGACAAAAAATACAACCCGGTACAACTATCAATCAAGGATACTGCTGGCCGCTTTGGTTTTCGATGAGGATATGATAAGATATGTTGATTTTATTTTTACTGGGGTCTACTGTTTGTGTGTAGGTGTACTTCTACTTTTTGTAGTGCATTTCCGCTATGGAATCATTTTTATGTCAAAAACAAAAACACAAAACAGACTTGGCACTGCGTCGTCGGCCGCAACTTCGGCAGTTATGTGACCCACGAGACCAAGCACTTCATCTACTTCTACCTGGGACAGGTATTTGGAATTCAGTTTGCAATGCATGGTAACTATGCATGAACAGGATTTAATCAAAGCATGTTGTTGAAAGAGTTTCATGAAACTAAATGTTGATGTTCAAAATAACAGGTGGCCGTGCTGCTCTTCAAGAGCGGATAAGTGGCGAGCGCTTCTCTTCATCACTACAGTATCGAAATTAGCGACAAGCGGGTGCGCTTTCTGGGGTCGGAAAAAAATGGCCGATTCCGGGGTTCGTTCGCCGCGCGGGGTTGCGGAGGAGAGGTGAAATGACAATCCCGCAATGGAAGCTGGCCCTTCTTGTTTTTATACGAAAATACTAGCACCACTCACAGCTAAAAGGAACAAGTTTACTTTTATCAACAAAACAAATTAGTAGAATTATGGCGACACAACCGAGTACGACTTTGTAATGAGCGACATCAAAACGACAAGGACAATTCCACAGTATTGAGATGTGATGAGCCTGTTGCTTAACCAAATCGAAAGCGACATGAATATTCTCTTTGTACAAAAATGAATAAGAATTTCTCGACGAGGGTGCAGGACGTCGGACTCGGAGGGACTCTGTCCGCGTTCCTTGGAAGCCCGAGTGGGGCTGGCGTCGTCCCTTGAAAACCACGTGCGGCTTTGCGGCTGCACAACTTGCAATGTTCTCGTGTCCGCGAAAAAGGAGTCTACTTTTGAATTTAATTTATCAGTGTTTGCTTTGGTATTTTTTTTGGCGCCGTTGGTCTGGATCGAAATGATTGGAATAGATGCAGAGGTCCATTTGGCTGGTGTAGTACGCTACATTTTTGGTCGTCCCCGTATATATTACGAGGACCACGCCGAAGGAAGACGGATCCTGAACCGAAGGATCATTCAGATTTTTTCGTCTTTGGCACTGCTTACTGCAAATGGATTTGTGATTTCGATTTTCATTCTCTTTGATTCTCATTTTCTTCATCGTGCCTACTTTCTCAGCGAGATTCGAGTTTTTCCAAAGTATTTATGATTTTGAGTCCAATTATTGCAACATGTAAGTCAACCAGTTCGTTTCCTATTCCCCATGTACGAAATTACAAGGCTGCTTTTTATCTTCATAGCACAACCACGGAAGTAGACGAAGAGCTTGTTTGCAAGCAACAGCAGCAAAAGCACTCTAGATGCGGGCAAGATCATCTTCATTCACCCGCCTCTCAACAAATTCAAGCCCGCAAGAAATATTCATGACCAGCTGTAGTACAACCAGATCGTAGGAGCGACCACCCCGAGCATAATTAATCTACGACGCATCAGCTACAAAATGACGAAAACCCTGGAGGATTGGGTGCAGCACTTTGACAATGTGGCCCAGCTGATTGCGCAGCAACAGACCAGCGGCAACCACGGGCAGGCGCTCCCGGAGCCACTGTACCTGGATGGGAACATTCGCGACATCAAAGAGGGCCCCAAGGGCCCCTTTGCCTTCATCCTGCCCTCAACGGAACAGGTGCAGCAGGGCCAGAACGTGTTTGCCGCGGCCTGCAGCCTGCCCGACGAGTTTTTGAACAACCTGGACGGATCCAAACACGTGCTGTACAACAGCCACGCCGAGGGAAAAAACCAGCTGTTCCGCGACTATTTCCAGGAGCACTTTACTCTGATGCAGCAGCAGCAAGTGGCCGCCGGGCCGATCCCGGTGCGCTTTCGATTGGAGCGGAACCCCTTGGACCCCACGCGCATCCAGGCGAGCTGCCTCTTCCGCGTCACTATGCTTTGCAAAAGTAAGTATTGCTAGCGTACTTCGAATATAGGAAGAACGGATTATTCCGTTTTTTGTTTAGTTTCCTCAAGATAAAAATGAAGTTTGTGATGCGATTGGAAATTTAAGTAAAAAAAGAAGAAAAACTGCAAGAACTACAGATATCGATGCGAGACTGTGCAATTCAATATGCGCCAGTGCGATGATACTTTTGGCTTCGGGATAGTCCATCTCTCTGTCGCGCCTCCCATGAACGTCGTTTACCCCGTGCACTTGCGGCCCGGCAACGGCATAAACGGCGACACGTCGAACAAAAACGCGCCCACCAACGCCATCCAGCAGGGGGCCACGAAGAAGCCGCTCCCGTCCGCGGGCGGTGTGGCGCTGAAGGGGCCCTTGCAGAACACGTTTAACCCCGTGGCCACGGCGCCGCTGAAAGAAATGCTCGGGTTCCGCGACCGCAGTCCGCGACGGACAAACAGCAACAACTCGGGAGGAGGGGGAGGAGGAACAGGTGGTGCTGGTGGCACCCCTGCTGCGACCACGGTACAGCAACATCAACAAATGTTGACCAAGCCCAAGGCTACTTCTAGCGCAGGAGCAGGGACTACAACTTCTTCTGCGGCGCAGCTTGGCGGCCTTCATCTAGGCGGCAGCAACAACAACATCAACAACATCCCGCCACCGCAACCGCATTTGTTGCACAATGGTGCAGGAGCTCCACCTCCCGGGCTGCAACTACCTTCCCTCCCTGGGACAGCGACCTCCGCGTTGCAACATGGGTCTTTATTATCCCAACAGCACCACCAGCTTCTTGGTCCAACGCCCGGGGGATCTTTGGCACCTCTTAATACCGTGCCCCCGGCGAATTATCCCCAGCAACAGGCACTGCAGCTGCAGCAATCCATTCAGCACCTGCAGCAGCAACTGTTGGCGCAGCAACAGCAGTTGGACCACCAGTCATTCGGTGCTGGTGGTGGTGGACCGCAAGCACTCTACAACAACGGATTGAACCTTCAGCTGGACAGCCTGCTTCATCCAGGAACAGGCTCAACCAATCTTCTACCCGGACAGCACAACCAACTGGTGCAGCCACTCCCGCCCCCCGCCGCGCCTCCCGGGAGTGCCGCAGCAGGCGGAGGCGGTCCAGCGCAGCGGAAAAACACGCTCAGTTCTACTTGCAGCGGCGCTGCAGCTACTGGTAGTACAACAACTCAGGCTCCAGGTGTGCAGCTGCCTCATGTGGATCAGCAGACCGCGGGATTGATGTTGTCTCAACTACAGCAGCCCTTGTTATACCCAGGAAGTACCACGACCGCCTTCGGCGTCGGTGCCACTACAACAGGAGGCGGGTCTGCAAGATTATTAAACCCGGCCGCAGCTTCAACCACTACAACCTCGTCCAGCGGCCGCTACAAGTCGGAGCAGCAGCTGTTGGCGCAGCAGCTAATCCCACCACCGGCGGGCACGAAAGGCTCTGCAGCAAGCAAATCATCCGCGGGCGGTGGAGCTGTTCTGACCGCGGACACCATCCCTGCGCTCACGAACGGGGAGAGCAGTAGGTATCGCACAGAACAAAAAGCTGTTTCAGTTGTAAACTTGTGATGCGGAGTTGTAGAACACGCAGGGCAGGGCATTCTTGAACGTGGTTTTCCCGTTGGGGAGAAGGCGTGGCAGATTTTCTTCCTTCTGTTATGTGTGACGAAGTAAGTAGTAAAAGGTGTCAACATCGACACACAACTCCTGCAAAATCTATCATTCAAGATCAAAACTATCGCAGTGAAGCAGCTTTTTCGTGCGATAGCAGTACCGTCAGAAAGTACAATAACCTCGGAGGCGCTGGTGACGGAAAAGACGACGACGAGATGAACAGTAATGACGCGGATGAGGACCGTAGGAAGGGGACGCGCAGGGCTGGACGAGGTCTAAACGCCGCATCTGGCCCCGTGTTTTCAGAAAACACTATGGAATACGAGTACGACATGAATATCACAACGTTCTGGGAACTGTATGTGGAGAAGAAGCAGCAGCTGCAAAACTTCAAGGAGAAGAAAAACCAGCGCAAGCACCGGAAGGAGCAACTGCAGAACGAGCTCATTCCGAAAGTGGAAGACGAATTGCAGGCATTGCAGCGGGAGCTGCACGAGTTGGAACAAACCGAGCTGGACAGTAAGGTAGAGGAGTCGGAGGAGGAAAAGTTTCTCATGGACGAACTGCGGAATATGCATTGCAAAAGTAATATCGTATCGGTCAAAAGTTGCATAATAAAACAAATTTTTCCGTGGGAAGAAAAATAATAGAATACTTGTGATGGCGCTTAGGCCCCTTACGTATATGTTCCGCGAGACTAGAATTTGTCATGCACGACGGCAATTACGAATGCGATACTTTTGCACGTGATACGGAACATGCAGGAGCAATTCATCGGTGGCGGCGGGAACGACCAGCAGTACGATGACGACGGGAACAATACTCATTTTGCCGGGAAGACTTCAGCGAGTCACGAGTTATACAGCTGATCGAGAAAAAAGTAAGATAGAACGCGACCGCGAGCCTTGGAGATGGTAGGTAGGGGCGGAATCACGTTTCCCTTGCGTGGGGAGCAACCACTACGTAAGTACTTTACAACTTTCATTTCTTGGAGCGAGAGGTAGTTCTAACATGTATTCGCGCAAGAAAGTTAAAAGTATGCGCGACGTCCTCGAGGACGACCGAAGAAGGCAACGCCAGATTGGAAGCCAGTCAGGAAAAAAATGACACGAATTATAGAAGCGGAGCCGTCTAGTACTTTTATACCGGCAGAAGTACAACAACTCGTAGAGGATCGCGGAAAGAAACGAGGATCACAATGAATATAGCGACGAGTTTTTTGAACTGATTTGAATTTTTCAGGTCGATCTGCATGTCGTCTGCGGCTTCCTTTTCCTACTGTAAGGACCCTGTTGTTCAGCATCCAGTATTTTATTTTTAAATATGCCAGAAGTAGCAGTAGGCCACGATGTGACTGCTCCTGCCGGTGGTCGAGGCTGCGACGAGAGCATGGGTTGCGTACTTACAAGATGAATTATAAGTGTAGGCATTGCGCTTTTCTGGGCAGCACCCGCTCCATTTAATCTGAATGAAATCATTTGGATTGATCCTCAGCTACCTTCAATTATGATATCCGGTGGTCAACATAAGTAAACAAAAACAAGCCTAATTACATGATGATCACATGCCCACGAAATCGTTACGTTGAAAAATCTGAAGATCAGCAAGGTTTTTTTTGCAGCATCACAGCAGAAGATCGCGTACTTCGCACAAAACAAAATTCGGATCATCATGGCCTCATCAACATCAAAGAGCGTCACAAAGTTTCAAATTCCTGCGCAGTTCATCATTTTCGGTAAATAAAAGTCGGTGCTTTGGTCAGTGCATTGGCAAATCAAAAAGTTCTCAGTCTGCTTAGTGCAAAATTTCGACGTGCTCTTGATAGTTACTACAAAGGACGAGCATCATGAAGCCCAATTTGATAAATGAAAATCGGCGTTTTCCCCAACATCAAAATTTGGGAGCAGGTTTATTCTCAACAGTGGCCGCCACTCGTGCTGGTCTTACTCCTATCATCCTCAGAAGACGTGAGAAGAAACGACAAATTATCTACAAACTAACTGAAACAAGGACAATCAAAGACAAACGTCAAGGAACTTCTTGAGTAGCTACTAAACTACGGAGGACAACGTAAACATTGTATAATTTTTTCTGCTAGGCCTGAAGAATAAAGTAGCACTAGCTCGAAGAACGAGGATAAGGAGCAATTGACATCAGAGGAGCAGACCGAAAATAGTAAGTCTGGTAATTGGTCTACTACTTCTTGATCAGAATTCTTAGTGCATACAGTTCCACTCCACTACCTTCGAATATAGTAAAAATAGAACTCCAAATTACAACAAGAGTGCATGCGCACCTCATTTATTCAAGGAGTAAAGTTGCAAAATCGTGTTAACCGAAGAAGCAAGAAGAACGACCCACGAAAAGTTAAAATCAGTTTTTTTTTTTGATATCGATTTAAGTGTACTAAACTTCATTTATTCTGCTACAAAAAAGAAAAATGGAGCAGCGCCAGCAGTGCTTGACGTTGGCCGATTCCAGCCGGACGACGGGTCGGCGTCTTCCGGTGGAAAAAAACCCCAGCTCCCTCGGAAGGAAAGCGATGAGCTGTTTTTCCCGCCTCGTGCTTCTTTACCACGTTGCTCCAGGGGCGTCACTGCTGTCTGGAGTTTCTGCCTTTGCTCTGAACGGCAAAGCGCACAAGAAGAGCCAGGCTGGGGCTGCGTCATCGCAACGTAGTGCAGCTGCTCAACGGGGGCAAGAGATAGAAGCTGCGCGGTTGCGAGAAGAACAGCACAAGAGCAAGTGCATTCGGCATGCCGAGGCGAAAAAATTAGAGTGTCACGCCGATGCACACGGGTCTTTCGACAGCGTAGTTGAACGTACAACTGGGGAACAAGTATCGAGCGTGTCGTCCGTGAACGAGAAGGTCAAAGAAATCTCGAACGCCGTGAAAGCAATCACGCAACTTCTTGTCGTGGGAGATGATCGAGATGACGCAGGAAAAATCGGAGCAGGTGCGCGGCCCCGTGGAGGTGATGAAGGCGCGCCGGCTGCTGCGGTTCTTTGGGGGCAAGAGCAGTTCTTACCGGCCATGAAAGCCGCTGTGGTTTATCAAGATGAAGATGAAAGTGAAAGCGAGCTGCAGCGGCCTAGGTTCAACTACCTGGAACTTTGGAAGCAATTGGGCGCCACATCACTCGTCCGGCCGGGACTTGGCGAAGCGGTGCGCCTCGTGAAAGCAGCCAGGCGCTGCGTGCTCCCGCGGAAGAGGTTTGTGGAGGAGGGTTGTACAGCGCACGTGACGAACGCAACGAAGGAACACGGGTACGCGGACAGAGAATTCGTCGCCACGTGGCAGGCCTTGGAGGAGGCGCACGCCGTTATCAACGTCATGGAAGGTCTCTACATCCGCAACGCGGTGCTCCCGGCGCAGCAAGACTACCTGCGAAGAAAGGTCGAAGCAGCAGCGTATGAGGAAAAAAAGAGGCAACAGGAGGAGCTTGCACAGCTAAACGAAGAACGGGCCACGAAGGAGTTGGAGCAGGCTGCCGCGGCGGAGGAGCAAGAAGAAATCAGGGCGGTGCGGACGAAGGTTATGCAAAGAAAAAAGCGTTTGTGTTTCAGCAACACATTGTGTTGCAGGCCAAGCAAGACCGACAAGTTCTGCCATGCCCGATAATAAGAAAGTATGCAGAGGAACGACCTAGTTTCATAGATACGTGTCTGCCCTCACGATCTCTGCATTGCAAGTTTTGCCTGTAGTACTAGTCATGCAGAGCTCCAAGTTTATTCGTGTCGCAGTCGAAAAGGCCGCTGAAGTCGTTAAGTACAAGAATGAAATGTGTAGCTGGAGTAACACTTTTTTCTTGGGATAAGGGTGGTGCAGAAACTTAGCAAGGACGAGAAAGAAGTGGTCCACTGGGAGGCCCTCATTCAGGAAATCGAGCAGGAGCGCGAGACGGCCCGGGACCGCGAGAGAGAAGAGTGGGCGCAACGCCTGCTGGAGATACAGGAGAAAGCGGTCCGGGGCGAGCCGATCTGTATGCGGGACCTCGCCCCCGTGTCCGGCGTTCCCGACCCGGTGGAAAGAGCGCAGCAAAGAACGCAACAGGCCCAGCGAAGTGCCGACCAGCAGCGAAGGCTTCGTATGACCCGAGAAACTGGAATGAAGTCCGGACAGTTGGAACGTTTCGAACAGAGTGCAGAATTTCAGTCCTTAAACCAGAAACTAGAGGGAAATGTTATTAAGTGGGACCTCGGCGCGTGGCTTTCGAAGGGGGCATTGGAGGCCTTTAAAAGCACGCTCTTCAACGGAGAGATCGACGATCTCGAGGGCAGGTTGAATCAAGCTTGCCGGGCAGGAGGCCCGTTTGCGCAGAACCTTTTAACGGGCGAAACTGCGGGCGTAGAAACCATCTTGCGAGATACTCCGTTTGGCAGACGCGTTAAGTCAGGGTTATACACAATTGCAGCAGAAAACCAACATCAGATCGTGTGCAAGGCCGCGGTGAAATGGGCAGTCATCCTGTACGACCGGCTGGCGATTGACATCTACAAGGCGAACGTGCATTTTGCCAAGAAAGGGTTTGCAGGGGAGCAGGTCACCGCGGAACAGGCAGTCTCGTATGGCGTCTACCCGGCGTGGGAGATGAGGGCGTCGCTGCGGGCGCGTCGGAGTCCATCTCCACGAGATGAGATGACGGCCAAGGAAGAGGAAGCGCTCGAGAGAGCGGACCGAGTGCAGGAGACGTTGCGACGGAAAGCACAGCTAGACCTGACGGAGGAGCAAAGACAAGTCCTTAAAACCGAACAAATTTTTACATTTCATGACACAAGTATCAAGAAGCAACGGGGCAAGACGAGAGGAGCTGCTGCAAATCAAGTGAGCAAGAAGGATATCAGCAAGCGTTTTGACGAGGCGGAGAGGGTGGTGGCTGAGGCGGAGAGGAGGCTAAAAATACGTGAAGCGACGTACCAGAAGAGCTGGGAAATATGGCAGCGTCAGCGAGAGAGGAGCCTGTCGAAGATGAGCATGAGCTCCGAGGCGCTCAAGACCGAGGCCGAGGCGCTGAAGACCGAGGCCGAACAGCGCGGGACCGCCCTGGCGGCTGCACGGTACGAGATGAGGCAAATCAAGGAACGTGCAAGGTTTGAAGATGCAGGCGCCCCCATGGAGACTCTTCTTGAAAGGTACGTCGCGGGCTTTCGGGACGTCCTGCATGTGCAAGGAGCAATAAAGCCGCAGGTGGGACAAGAAAAACGGGACGGCAAAGAAAACACCACGCAGCCGTTCGCCGGACTTCTTTCCCAGTGGAGTTTACCAGCAGCGGAAGGGGGGCCGAGCCTGCGGGTCGACAAGATTGAGGCTGGCGCGCTGCTGAAGAGCCTGCAGCTTAAACTTCCCAAAGGGGTAGAGTTAAAGGATCTGAGTGTCCTGTATCCTTAGCAAAAACGTGGCCACCTTCCCAGAGTTTGAATTGTCATGCAGACATCACAACGGCATCGGCAACGGCATACAGGAACGCTTGTCCTGCCCATCCCCATGAGAGGGATTTTCAGGCGAATTTTGACATCTGTAAGGCTGAAAACAGCATAAGGCGATGGCTTTATGATCCGGCTGCCGTTGCTAACCTGCACTACAATACAGAGAAAGACTTGCCATGTGTTAATATTCGCAAAACCTCTCCTGCTGGATCTGTCTTTGTGTTGCAGAGTTCCCAACTTGACTATGGGATGGGATCGTTTTTACTCAGGATATGCTCAAACAGTTCAACGAGTTGGTGTCGGTACAAGCGAACGTTATCCCACAGAAAAGCACACCCATGCCAGAACAAACTTGAAGTTATGTTGCGGTTTTTCATTTGACACCTTTTAGGTCTTTCAGCATGACAACCTTTGTTGGTCACTCTATAAAAGATTGATTATAATCGCTCCTGAAACGCACTACAAACTCTATTCTCAATGACGGAGATGAATTGCTTTTCTTGCGGTCTCCGCAGTACACAGAGGCTCTGGCGAGGCGAAAATTATAGCAACAGAAGTTTAATATCTTTTTCCTGGTACATGGTCTGTGCTTTTCTGTAGGATAAAGGAGAGGACCAAGAAAGTAGAAAAAGTTTCCGTGTACCGGATTCCGCCTGGAATCCACTTTCCTTTTTTGGCAAGTCTCTGTCTTCTCAAGCACTCCAAGTACTTCGGGGTGCTGCAGGTCTCGAAGCAGCTAGTGCTCCAGGTGCTCAGTGAAGAAGAGCGGAGATTTCAGATTCGCGGTCTGCTAACGGACCCTAATAAAAACGGCAAGCTGGAAGTGCTCCAAACTTTAACAGAAGAGATTTTGGAAGGCGGGCTTGTGCCCATGCTGCTGCTGACCACGGTGGTTCCGGTGCCGAAACTACGGGGCGAAGCCGCGAATCCCTCAATTACTTCTAGCCGCTGCCCCTTGAGACGCTCCAGGAGCACGTCGCCGAGCCGTCGCAGGAGAAGCACGTCGCCGCCCCGTTCTCGTCCTGGCGCCTGCTGCAGGAGGCAGAGGCCATCAAATAGTGATCGGGAAACTGCTGACCCTGAGGGTCAGAAAAACAACTCTAACTGTCCAGTGCAATAACAATAAGTAGTTGCTGAAGTTGTGGATAAGTAGTAGACGAGGCTTGCTTGTCATCTACTACAACACCACATACCCCATGCCAACGTCGTCCTGCGTGGCTCGTCTCCCCAAAAATAAGTACCTCTTCCGGACTTGTCTTCTATGCTGAAGAATTTGTCCCATCTTGACTATTGGATGGAATGTGGCTACCTTTGGATTTTGCTCAGGGTAGATCTCGATTTGTAGTTGTACTCGCAGAAGTTCCGTCTGTCCTCATTTTTTCCGAAGGTTGAGGGACGAGAAGAACGCTGCTGCACTGAGTCAAGACATAGTTACAGTTAGTTTAAAAATGTTTTTCAATTAATTTCCAAATGGGAAATAAATCTAAATCAGTATCGTTTGACAGGGGGTTCAAGTTCTGTTGACGATGTGAATGTTCATTAACACAAGTGTAACCTTCACTACACCCACAGGCAGCTTTTCCAACATCGGACGCGGTCGTGGGGAGTGGTTGTCAGTTTTAGCCACAGGCTATTTTGTGGCTTCTTACGTAGTTGTAGTAAAGTTTAAAGATAAAAGAAAAAGAAGTATTTCCCATGCTGGTATAGAAAGATGATCTCGAACTTTTTTGAAAGGGTATTGAGACGTCGGAAGATCCTGTCTTCCATGAAGAATTACTGGCTCGCGATGAAGTAGTCGTGTATAATTTACTAGGTTGTACTAAGTAGTTCAGTGGTAGAAAAGAACGAAGCACAAGCGTTGCTCTGCTAGACTTGTGGGTCAAAGACCAAAGAGCAGCTACATACTGCCGATGATCCTCGGACACTGCAAAGAGATAAGGGTTTTCTGCAGGGGCCTGTGGTCCCCGCTTGTGTGTGGCGCAATTAATTTCAATAGAAACCACGCGTGCTCTGGTGCATTTCAATATATGCAGAGAAGCTATTGGTGTTCTACCCTACGGACGTAGTAGACATGAGAGATGCAGATGATCTTCATGCAAACAAAATAGGTCTCCTTGTAACATGTCCACGCACGACATGATCCTGTTTCTTCGGTGGACGATTGAAAAGTGCCCGCAATATGTATGATCTCGAGGGAATAATTGATAACTAGAGGGGGCAAGACGGGGTCCACTGAATTCTGGATTTACGGGAGTGGAGAGACCACGGAGAAGCTATGTATTATGGAACAAATTTGTTTACCGTTTAGTATTTAAACTTGAAGCAGAAGTGAAGAATAGCATGAGCTGCGGCAAATGTTTGTGGTAAGAAATCGCTTTAATTGTCTACAACTTCCTGGAAGCACGCCACCGGAGGTCCTCGTACGCTCGCCGTGAAAGGGGCTATATGTTCTGAAGAAAAAAACGATGGGAGTCGTTTCCTCGTCGGCAGCGTGCTGTAAACCCAGTTTTGCCGGGGCGAAGAAGCTGGGCGTTCCGATCGACCCGCGACTATGGACCGACGACGACAGGATGCGGGCGGCGCAGGCGCTGTTCTACAGGTTATCAAATCTAAAAGTGTCTGGGTCTGGAAGAGTCATGCTGTTTTTGCATGACGCAGAAGGTCTGGCATGGAAGCTGTAGCATTACAGGTTTCGAGAAGCTTCCGCAATGCCGAATCCGCATGACAAATCCCCCACTTTGGTGACAGAAAGTGGGCAGCTTTTGCTACCCATGCATGAGAGATTTTTCTGTGTTCTGAAATGTGCATCACAAGTTTGTATTCGTCCAGACCCAGACACTTTTGCAATCCATACAGGTTCGACTTTGACGATAGCGGCACCGTGGATGCGTACGAGCTGGGCGAGCTGTTCCGGGAGTGCGAGTCAAACCTAGCAGACTTCGGGACGCTATCCTGTGTAAAAACGTCCCCACCTCCCCATAGCCAAGATGGGAAATCTGCTACACAAATCAGCCAGCTTTGGCTGTTGCGCATGACAAGTTTGGCCGCGCAGTGTAATCCTGTTCAGCTAGTTCGGTAGCATCACAGATCTAGCATACTATGCTGATTGGAGCATCACAAGTTCCAAAACATGACTAGAAAATGCTTCTCATGGGGCTCCGCATGAGAAACATTTTGAGCATGCAGATATGCATATACAACTCTGGGAAGATGGGGACGTTTTTACACAGGATAGACGCAAACGGACCAGAGCACCCTGCAAGAGATGGTTTTCGATTTGGTAAAGAAACGGTACAACCGCGACCTCAAGGACAGCCCATATGCATTGCAAATATGTCTGGGTCTGGAAACTTGTGATGCAAGTCCGCGAACAATAAGTGCTCTGTAATTATGCGCCGCCAAGTATGACAAGTTTTTGGGTGCTTCTGTGATGCGTATTTCGCATGAGAAACTGCGCTTTTGCATGACCGGCAAGAGGACCTCTTGGTGGCCGCGCAATACAGAGCGCAGAGTCATGCCAGACTAGCATGACAATCTTCCAGACCCAGACATGTTTGCATTTGATAGCCCACCGGACATGACGTTTCAGCTCGATCTGGAGGACTTCATCCCGGTTTTCAACGAAATGTTTTCTCTGCTCGCGAGCAAAGGCTTCGAAAAAAGGCACCAGGTAAATTCATACTTTTCATATTCATCACGCACGGACTCTCAGTCTTACAACGACACTGCATATGTTTTAAATGGTTTGTTGATCACATAAAATTTTCACTGTTGAAAGGAGAAGGACGAAGGAAATACAGATGAAACATAGATAGAGATACCAATCAAACAATACAAGACACACATCATCAAACAGCTCCTCGGGCTGGTTGCGCAGGACGCGCTGACCGTTCCGGCCGGCACCATTTTGGACGACGGCTCCATCGCGCAGGGCGGCGTCAATACGCACATGCTGATCGTGTCCCTGGACTACAAATACAACAAGGCTCTGGAACTGACCGGCGTTGCGGACGGAAAAAAGATGGAGCGGCTCTATGACCTGCTCAAACGTTACAATCTCAAACGTTACAATAGAATTTGGAAATCTGTGATGCAGGAAGTGCATGATCTAGCCAAGTCTCATAGGGCTGCGCAAGACAAGTTCCGGAGTCCCAAGCCGCACTACAATCTGCCGAAATTTGTGTTGCAGAAAGTGGAATGGTCTGCGAGTCTGTCATGCTCAGTATGCAAGACACATCCCAGATTCATATTGTAACGTCTGAGATTGTAACGTTTGAGCAGGTCATAGGCTCGCTTTCGGCTGCAAGAACGTCTCCTATCAAATGTAAAAATGTCTGGGTCTGGAAGAATGCGCCATTTGTCATGCAGCTTTTCCATGACCCATGAAGCCTGGAATGCAGGACCTAGCATGGCAGATTCTGCGCGATCTCTCTCATGCCTATTCTGCATGAGAAACTCCCTCCCGACTTGGTCAAAACCGGACGATTTTGGTAATCATGCAACACAGATTTATGCATGCTTCAGATTTAGCATGACAAGTCGCATTCTTCCAGACCCAGACATTTTTACATTTGATATCTCCGACGTGGTGACAATGTTCGATTCCGAGAACGTATCCAAGAAAAAAACGTTGTTAGTGTAAATTTGTGATGCGCAACATGCAAAATGATTGCGTCTGTCATGCTTGGCATGCATCGTGGGGTCCATTTAAGGGCGTTTTCGCGTACTATCTGCGCATGACAGGTTTTTGCTGTCATGCCAGACAAATTTGCAATGCTGTTCCTCCAAAAAAGTTACAATGTTTTGTTCTTGGATAGAACGAGCTGAACAGTAACATGTTTCCCCACGCACGGAACATCGCACGGGAAATCAAGCAAATGGGCAAAAGGATGAAACCTGGGGATTTATTCCTGTTTTTCTACTCCGGCCACGGCTTGAACGTACCAGACAAGGACGGGGACGAGGCGGACGGGGAGGACGAGGCCTTCGCGACGCCAGATTTCGAGTACGAAAATGCACAATTGCTCTCCCATAAAGTCCGCCTCACTTGTTGTTACCATAGTGCAAACTTTTCCACATCCACCCAAGTTGTCCGCTCCCTGGCGACGTTTGGCACCGATGGCATGGCAAGCTTCATCGAGCGGACGTCGTTCTAGTTAATAGTACTACACGACTTCACGCGTTGTAGAAGACTTTTTCATTTACCGAAGCTGCAGCATATTGCTGTCGCAACTTCTGTTGATGCTGGAGATAGTGAGGACCAACATGTCATTAAATGAGGTGAGGTAGGGGGAAGAGTTGTTGTGCGCTCTTATATCGAGGGGGATCTGGTCGAAGACGAAGTGCTGGTATGCAGGAATCAGCTGGAGGGGTGTGTTGCTTGGTGCAACTACAGTGTTCGTAGGTGCAGCAGCAGCAGCAGTGGTTTGTAAAATTATGTCCTGTGACTCCGCAGGAAGACAGAGGTCAAAAGTGTTGTCTTGCATCTTCATGACGACAACCGCGGTCTGTATTGGTTCCGCGTTCTATGCAAGGTTCGAGTTCTACTTTCAACATCAACACCCCTAGAATTCCCCTCTATACCTGGTGGATGACGATTTCGCACGGTTTCTACACCAGTACATACCAAAAAAATGCAGAATAGTGGTATAGTATAAAGCTATGACGATTCCTTTTTGCTTTATCGTACCGACCGTGCTTGGGGTTGGGCCTCTCTTGCAGCCACAGCAGGTGCCTGCGCGGGTCCATTTTCGCACCTGGGTTGTACTTGTTTACAAATGGCAAATGAACTATCACGCATACTTAGCAAGCTAATAACATTGGGGTGTGTAGTCTACTTCAAACGTATCTTCACATGATAAAATCAGGTGATCACTGATTGTTGCCACTCCGGGAGTATCCAGTGCAAAAGAAGTATCGTACTCGTACTGTAGTTGCAGTACTATTGCATGAGAAGTTTACTTTTGCAATAGTACACACGGTGATGCTTTTGCAAAGCATAATGACACGAAGAGTGCGATACATTTCTTGCAATGCATAAGGAGCATTTGCGACGTGGACTCCTTCGCGTTTCAGCACGAGATCATCGCGATCGCAGCGAGTCAGGACAGCGAAACCAGCATCGACATGAGTTCCCTGGGGCAGTCCGGCGGGATTCTCACCACGGCTTTGCTAGAAGCGATCGACGAACTCCACCAAACACTGCGAGAGCAGGAACACCAAGAAATGCTGAACCGCCCGAATACTTTCGGCATGAACCTGCACGAAAACTTTGACCTGGAGGGGACCGGGGGGCCCAACAGTTACAAAAAGCGCCCGCCGAAGATTCTGTCCATTCAGGCACTGTACAACCTGTGCGTGGCGAAAACGGGGGCGATTGCCAGCAAACTGCAACACCAACAATCCATGAACATTCAGTACGCAAACTGCACACCGGAGGCCTTCCCCTGGCCCTTGCTGCCGTACCAATGAGCCGGCTGAGGGGGGGGAGGAGAATATTGTTAAAAGCAGCAGCACGGAGATTCGGCCTTCTGGGAGGCCACGGAGGAGATCGATACCGATGAACATGCCGTTGGAGGAGAATCATGTGAATTGATTTCCCTTCAGAACCTAATTCTATTGTACAATTCGAATTGCAGATGCCATGAGGACATCAGACGCAAAGAACTCGAACTCCCCATGATATATGTACTAAAGAAAAAAAGAAGAATCAGAACGAACTTCTGCTCCTGTAAGTGTAAAATTGTTTCAAGAAAAAGGAATGTTTGGAAACAGGGCGGTAGTCCCGTCTGTGAAGTCGATATAATTGGCCTCAATCCTCTGCTGGCTCAAAAACCCTGCAGCATTTTGTGGTGTTGATTTTCTTTTTCACGATGTTCTTGTGATAGTGAATGCAAATATAGCAAACTACCCGCAGGTCGTCGTGGTCGTTGGTTTGTCGGCACACGAGCACAACGAACTCGAAAGTGTTGCCAGCGCAACGATGATCTCTAGCATCGCAAACAGGCTGTGTGATTGCTTATTTGACGACAACACATCTTCACACAAGGTGATGAGCCTGCTATGCTTTCAGGTATTAGATGAATATTGCGGGACCATTAGCCTTAGTGGCAGACCACGCCGTGTAAGATCTGATAGAGGAAATTATAATCTCATATTCCAAGCTGCAAAGAAACGCGGATCATCGTGTGTGCAGCTGCCGACAAAATTAGTTACATACAGAGCCACTCCATAAACCGGCCGCCAAGTAGTTCTGGCAAAAGGGTCGCGCACCATAGTCGCAGGGACGAAGTATAGTTGATTTTTCACGACGTACAAAAGTAAGAAAAAAAAATGTAGTGGGGTCGTGCCTCTTACTAAATCGACTCCAGAAGTAGAGCAAGTGTCGGTAGTACGGATTTGAGGTATTTCTCGCAACTATTAATGATTTGTACTTTACCACGTGTACGTGGAAGGAAAAGGATCAACACAAGAAATGCACACGGAAGTTGTAGAATCAACTCGTCGGCTGTCATTTTTGGGTACTAGAAAAGATCTTCGAAGAGCTCGCTTTGTTCTCGGCATTTGTATGTTGGCTAGTTTGCAAATGAACTTCAACTTCGCACGACCTACATAGTCTCGTCACAGCGACATTTCAACATTGTAATGCCGTTTTCACACAATTTTCCTTTCTTATTTAGAACTAAAAATAGAATGAGGCGACACAGCAGCAGTAGTAAGTTTTTTTTTGAAATTTCAAAGATCTACGAGGACCGCATTGAATGATCTGGCCGAAAGGTGAAACGAATGAAAAATATTCTAGAACTCATTTTGCGCCCTTACGAACGTTTTTATTCACATGCCCGCGATAACACGGCCTTTTCTTTTGTCCGTGCTACCGTGTGAAGTTTTTTTTAGCACGTCGAGTTTTATAATTCCATTTGAAAACCAAAAGTTTTGTTGATTCCAACCCTTCTCCATGCCTCGTGCGGTTGATACGTAGATTTTTTAGATTTTCTGTCAAAGACCGACACTATTACACTCGGTCAGTGAAGTTAACTACTCTATCATCCTTGGTTCCTCGACGCAGAGTCTGCGTCCTCTATAAATAATTCGGAAATTACAGCAATAAGTGCGTTCAGAAAAAATGGAACGAGCAACCTCGTCGCGCATGCATTTTGCGCGCATGCAGGGGCGAGATGAACAAGTATCGGAGCTTGAGGAAGATGCGTTCCCGACTTCCACGCAGCGACCAAATTATAAAACACCAGCCTACCCCAGCAGCCCAAGGGAGTCGCAACGAAGTACGACGGCAGCTGCGGAGGAGGAATGCTGCATCACCAGTAGAGGGGAAGAGCAAAGTCTGGGCGAATTTGGATTGCTACACGACGAGGCAGAACCGCTGCCGCACGTAGACGTCCCCCGGGCGAGAGGGATGTTGAGATCTTCATCAACTACCGGGAGGTCCTCGCCAAAAATATCGTCTTTTTCCCGAAAAATAAGCAGACGTACGACTTCCCTCTTCTCCACCGCTGCACTGTTTTTTTCCACCATGACGACTCAGCATAGTACTTCTTCTATGATGGGGGGCTCCTCCAGCTCCTTCATGGCGACCACCTTTGTTTCTGCCCAATCCCCTATTCCCGACCTGTCCCTACCCTTCCCTGTGTCTCACCACCTGCTCGACGACTCCTGGCACCTGAAGGGCACGGCGCACCCGCAGGGCGACGACAAGTGTATCATTCTCGGCGTGGGCGTGCCGGGCAGAGCGGGCTACCTGTGGTCCAAGAACCCGAGCCCGAGCAACGACGTAGAAATCTCGTTCAAGTTCTCCGTCACCACGGATCCCCAAACCACCAACATCCCGCACAAGCAGGGGTTTGCGTTCTGGTACCTGCTAATTTTTGGTTATGTGAAGAAGTATAGTGGACGCATGACGCATTTCGTTTATTTTTGTTGGGCTTCTGATTCTGTGCATGAAAATGAATGTGAGACAGATGGAATTATAATTTTGTGAAAAATTTGACAGGTTTGTCGAAGATCCCGATGCGACGGGCAAACATATCACGGATATCCTAGGCGACCCAGTGTACATGCGCACCCAGACTCTCGGCCTTACGCTGAATAAGGTAAATAATTTATTAGAGCAGCTTTTATTGTGTGTGATGTTCATATTCCAGCACCTAGTACAACACCCTGGTAGTGGCATCATGACAGTGCTTCGTCTTTCGCGTGTGCTGGTCCCTGATAAATAAGTATAGTTGTCTGTGCAAAGAAAATGATTTTGATCTTAGATAGCATATAGTACTATGCCTCATACAGCATAAGAATAAAAAACGCATCAGGTTTCGCGCGACGTGATGGCCTACCGATCGAAGTGGAACGGTTTGGGGGTTCTTTTTACCCCTCGCACGGTGGAGTACCAAACCGGTTCCACGCCCATTTCCAAATCCGAGCAGGCCATTATGAAAATGAAAAATCCCCCCTCCCCATATCAAAGTGAAAATCTGTGATGCGGGATTTGTGTACACAAATCGGGTTTGTCTTGCAGTAGAGGACTGCAGACAGATACAAAGCCGGAGCAGGGGCGTTTTGGTGTAGGCGCCTAGCAAGGCAGGCGGGTCCTCTGTAGGCCACACAGCATTACAAATTGCCTGCAAAACCTGGCGGAGTCTCTGGATTTGCCTTCCAGCAATACAGGGACGATTCGTGGCCACAAATCAGCATCACAAATTTTCGGGAGTATCCTTTTTTGGTATGAGGAGGGGGGATTTTTCCTCTCAATAGCCATCGTCGCTGCCGTGAACGACGGGACGAAGTCTCTGTACACCAACGGCGACATTCCCTCCGCACTGGCGAAGAAGGTGAACTTCCGAAACATGCCGGGCCACATGCACGTGAAGATTCGCGTGACCCCGAATAACGTAAAGGTGGAGATTGGGGAGGCGGGGAAAAACCAGTACACGGTGCTGCTGGACGAAAACAAGTCCCTGCCAAAAAACGCGGTCCTGGGGTTCACAACTTTTACCGACGACGAGGCGGTGGATTACACCGGGGGCCACCGGGACTTCGATACAACGCGACTGTATTTTCGCGATTTCATTTTTGCTTATCAAAAAAAGACATGAGTTGCATAAAATTGCAATTGGAGGGACGAGGTGTATTTCGCCGGAGCCTTCATTTATGATGCAGCGCGTTTTTTATTAATTTTTGTAGTGTCGTGCATCGACGCGGCGCAATGACAATGTGTATGTGCATATGCATATGCATGACGATCGATCGACATCGACTTCGACACTCCTTGAGGGAGAACGAAGAAAAACTTCAAAAATTGAAAAATATTACCACAGATGGGAGCTTGAAGTGAAGAATTTCGACCAGAGTGTGAAAGTGCAGGAAAGAAAAGTCCAAAGCGACAAACCTGGGGAGGACATGCACGGGGACTTTCTATACGAGCACGGCGCGCTCAAGGAGCACCGGGAAGAGAGCGCCGCGATTCACCAACTCACGAACATGGTATGAGTAAGTAGCTAGGAATGCACGACAACCAACACTAGCCTATAGATCGTTGTGCTGTGTTGTAGATGTACTTATACAAGTATCAGTATAATTATTTGCAGTGGACAAATAAACTTGTTACAAGTGACGCGGCGATCAAAGAGCCGTAACAGAGGGGTCATGTCAGGAAGAAATTCCGCAGATTTTCCTCGGAAATCCAAGCCAAAACTGCATTCTTTCAGGTGATGAAACTGATCGCGGAGACGGAGCCCGTCCGGCGAGAGATGGAGCGGACCGTGTTGTCCCTGTCCCAGCGGGTTATCAGTTTGGAGAAAATTTTCGGCGAGTTGAAGCAGGAAATCAACCAGAAAACGGGGCTATGAATTGCAAATGTGTCTGGGTCTGGAAGGTGGTAACTTGTCATGGTAAATCTGAAGCATACGAAAATCTGTGTTGCATGAGTGTCAAATAAAGCTGTCCACTTTCGACCAAGTTGGGAGGGAGTTTCTCATGCAGGACAGGCATGGCAGAGACCTCGCAGAGTCTGCCATGCTAAGTGCCGCATTCCAGACCTCATGGGTCATGGAAAATCTGCATGACAAGTTTACACTCTTCCAGACCCAGACATTTTTGCACTTGATAGGGCCACGATCTAGACAAAGAATTCGACGACATCAAGGCGGAACTCGTGCAGCTGAGTCAGGTACGTAGTATCTATAGTACGTGTACAAATCTTTTTTCTTTATCGATCTGGATGATTATGATTTTTGGTGCGGAATCTGAATAACACGATCATCATCTTTCTGTGATCATGCGCCGTGACGAAGATTCAGATTCAGAAGAGGAATTGTAGTGTGGCCGCAGTACTTAGAAAAAAGACCCCCTTGTCTCCCACTAAATCCACAGACTGCCAACTCGGAGACCGAGCGACGAAAGGAGAAGATGCAAGCCCTGCTATCCTGAGCAAAAACGTCCCTCTCCAGAGTCAAGATGGGAAATCTGCTAGACAAATCTCCAAGTTTTGGGAGTTGCGCATGACAAGTTTGCCTTCGCAGTGTAGTTCCGGTTAGCAAGGGAAGCCGCATGAGAAAGCCGCTTTCTCATCCTGTTTACAGCATTGCTAATTCCAAAACACGATTGAAAATGCCTCTCATGGAGCTGCGCATTACAAATGTTCCTGCCATTGCGCATTTGCATGACAACTCTGGGGTGGGGACGTTTTTACACAGGATACCTGCACGACGATCTGGAGCAGATGCGTGGCAGCACCATGGGCGGCGCCTTGGAAAAACTGACGGAGGTACTTTCATCTTGCATTTTTGTTTCCCTGTCGGAATTTTATGTTTTGCCTTTGAATTATACAAGATGGGGGTCGGCCGTTTGGCCGACCCTATCTTGATGGACAGGGTCAGGGAGCAGCCGTAAGCATCAACACTATTCAAGACAGGCCCAACGTAAACCCTGGGGGCCCGCCAAATGCGCCCGAAGGCTGGCCCCCCGAAGGGGCGGGCGGGAAGTGCTGCAAAGGCAGCAGCCTGCTCAAAGTTTGCAATGTCCGAGGCCCCCGCCAAGGGGCATCGAAGACCCCCCCCGCGGGGTACCGAAGGCCCCCCAAGGGAGGTAGCGCGAGATGCGGCGCCGCCTGAAGCTGTCCGCGCGAGATTCGCCGAAGGCTGGCCCCCCGAAGGAATTGGCGCGCGGTCGGTCGGTCGGAAAGTGTGCAAAGGCAGAAACCTGCGTCAGGCTTGCAATGCCCGAGGCCCCCTCCAAGGGGTGGCCCGGCAGACCACCCCGAGGGCCGAAGCGGGAGGAAGGGAGCACCATCCGAAGCCGCCCGTGCCCCGCGAGGGGCGCCGTGCGAAGGTGTGCGGCTTGCTTCCTTGCTTGTTTGAAGTCGCCCGAAGGCCCGCCACGGGGTCTGGCGTAATGAAAGCCCGCAAAAGCAGTTGGCTCGCGAAGCCCGAGGCCTCGCTCAAGGGGCGTCGAAGACCTCCCAAGGGGGTCGCGCCAGGTGGTGCGGCGCTTGACGGCCTCCGCCCGGCGGGGGCTTCCCGCAACAAAGCCGGCCCCGCCCCCCCGGGCGGGGGGTACGGCGGGAGATTCGCAAAAGCGGCCGCCTGCTGCCGCCTTGTGATGCCCGGGGGCCCTTCCCGGGGTACCGAGGGCCACGCCTTGGGGGCACCACCGAAGGCCCCGGCCCCCAGGGGGCCAGCCCAAGGTCAGGCAGGCGCCGCCTGGAGGCATCCGCCCGTGGCCCCCCGGCGCACGCTGCCCACCGCCAAGGGCCAAGCGTAGCGGAAACCTACTAAGCAGAAATTTCCCGGAAGCCGGAAAACTGAAAAAAGTCCCTCCCTTTCGCAGAAGTCCCATGGTGGAAACAGCCCTGCTGGTCGCCTTCTGGTGTGGCTCCGAGTGGGCGCTGGAAAATGCTTAGGCGGCCGAGCTTGCCACGGGCACCCACAGAGAGAAGGAGCGAACGCCCGTGCCGCTTGCGCGCAAGTCCAGCCGCCTGGCTGCATTTCATTCGGTCGCCCAAGCGCCTCCTCCTGGTGTGGCTCAGAGCGTTGCAGCCTCGGCGACTGGCTTGGCCAAGGACACGCGCAGAGCACACGCCCGCGCAACTTGCGCGCAAATCCAGCCGCCGGCAGTCCAGCGCCCTGGGCCCTTACATACTTTCTTGCATTTTTGTTTCCTTGTCGGAATTTTGTTTTGCCTTTGAATTTCATTTTGTGCGCATTTGCGCAGCGTACTCATTTCTATTCCAGAAAATGACTGGGTCATGCCACTGCCACCTTCTTTGTACGTGGTGTAATTGTTCACGATGCGCCTGGTGATCCTCATCCTCCAACATGATGAAATTCCACAGACCAACAACGCGGTTCTGGAGTCCCTGAGCAGCGGGCACCAGTGGAGTTTGTTCATCTCGCTGTGCGCCGTCGGAATCATTCTGCTCGCTGGTCTCGCTCTGTACCAGCGCTTCCGGAACTGGGAGAAGAAGCACATCCTGTAGAAGGATCCGGAAAAGATCTGTCTAGTTCACTAGTGCCAGCAGTTATTCTACTACTACTTGAAGACGACGAGATTTTTTGAAAATAAAGAATTTTTTCAGATCCAAGATCTCTTTCCCTTCTAGTTTTTCTTTTGTACTGACTTTTCTACTACTACTCCCCATGAACCCACCGACGCCCACGTGTTGTTAGTTTGTACACTCGAAAAATAAAATCAAGACATCTATTCGTCAAGGACACCGGCGGCCGCGGCGGTCCTAGTAGTCGCTTCCTCTAGAAGAATTGGAAAAGCGCAAAGTAGAAACCTTTCCATCGAGAAGATCGGGGATGGAGGTCTCTTCATGAGGTGACTGATCATTGCTGAAGAAAAATACGAAATCCAGCAAAACGCCATACGAGGATCCTGATGTAGAAGGCAGTTAACAAGGCGGTTGATTATGAGAATACAAACAACATGTACATGAGGTCATCGTCATTCGAGTTTATTTTGTCATGTACAAAAATAAATAAAAGCGACACTTTTTTGTTTATCTGTGACGAACTTCTGCGAACAACTAGTCTGAGTTTTCTCATCATCGCGCGAAAGAGTTTAAAGCGAAAGGCATAAAGAAAATCATGATAAATTATCACACCCTGATTGTATCAAGCTTCCTTTTCGTCCCAATCACCACAACACAATGACGGCACGACGGACTGAAATGAGGGCTGCAAAATAATATCTGGCGGCCGTGCACGATGTTCTCGTTCTGCTCGAATGAAAATTGGTCCGTGCAGCTGTCGTGAAAGTGAGGGATCATGGTTCGTTGTAGTTCATGATAGACATAATAAATTAGTCTTCTTCGCAGCTGCACTGTACGTGGTCTTTTAGTGGCCATAGAACAAGTCTTTCGTTCTCGAATCGAAATAGTCAAAGCAGATGTTGAAGTCTTCTTGCATGAAATAGTACTACTTCCTTTCAAGATCTTTGAATTCTAGAATGCCCACGTCTATTCGCCCGCAGATGACGTCCCAGCTGGGCGAGCAAAAACGAAGTGGAGTTTCAATTTTTGCATCTGAAGATAGTTCCAGCTGGCATTCTATTTGATAGTGAATTCATTGTGAAAAAAGAATCACCGATCTGCATGCTCGTGTGCGGCATACCAGGACTTCTCTGCTACTTTGATCTGGCACCGATCCTCTTCCCTTTATGACACAGCGAACCTCCCACATGAACCTATTCACAACATTGATTGACGAAATAGATCACTCTTTAGAAAAGAAATACTTAGATCATAATTGTTCTTCTTCTTATGGGTGTACGCATCGTGGTTCTGGTGCTTCAAACAGAACAATTGTAGCATGGCCCCCCTTTTTAAAAGTAACATTTTTCTTCGACGCGAGATCATGTTGACGCAAGAAGTACACTCCCTTTTCTAGAAGAATTTCCTCAAAATCCGAAATTTCGGCATCATGAGTAAGAAAAATCCTCAGCAAACGCGGCTTTTCGGTGGGGCCTTTTCCGCGGCGCTTGTCCCCCAGGCCCTGGACAAAGGGATAGGCAGCAAGCAAGGCGGCGCGCAAGGCAGCACTACGAACGCGGGGAACAATGGAGCTGCGAACAGGCTGCCGAAGAAACCGAAACAAAGCACGGAAGAGCTGGTGTGGGACCCGGTGGCGAAGGCCCTGGTCGCCAAACGAGCGGTCGATATCGCGAACGAGGAGCTTTTAAAAGACATCGCAGACTTGGAAAAAGAGTCCAGCTCAGAAGAATCCAGTGAAGAAGCAGATGAGGAAAAAAATAACGCTGCCAAAACGACTACAGCCGGACTGCAGGAGGCGAACGGTCAACAAACAGGCGCCACGCTGGGGAACGCTGTTGTGCAACAGCAGCAAGCTGGTGCGGTCGTTGGGGTGGCCGTTCCGATGGGCACGACTGTGGGGCAAGCCGTTGTTCCGGTGGCTGCTGTGGGGCAAGCCGTCCCAGTAGCTGTAGGGCAAGCCGTGCCTACAGCCACACCAGCAGCGAATGGCACAGCGACCTCAAGTAGTACGACCACCGCTGAGGGCCAACAACAACATCAAGCGAGTAAGAAATCGAAGCGGGAGAAGAAGGAACAAGAAGGCGACAAAAATAATTCTGAACAAGATTCATCAGATTCTGACGACGAAGCCAGCGACGAATCCTTGCCCGTGTCCACGCCAAATCTGATCGGCGAAGCGCTGCAGGAGGGGGAGGTATTAAAACGAAAAATGCTCCCACCCCAGAACTTGGCAGGATTTGTGTTGCAAATCTTTCCAACAGAAACATTCCCCGTCTTGCATATAGCAGCATCACAAACTTTCCATGCTGAATGGGTAAAATTTGCAGTGCAAAGAGCCCAGAACCAGCCGGATCTCTTATGCAAAAGATTCCTTGCGCGTCTATATTCTGCATCAGAAAGACTCGTAGTCCTTCCATGCAAGACAAAACGTTTGCATTTGGAGACTTTGCATCAGAAATTTTTTCAAATTCTGGGGTAGGGGCATTTTTCATTGTAATAGGAGGAGTCGATGGTCTACAATATGGGATCGTTTCAACGATTAAAATAAAAAAAATTATTTTTTTGCAATTCAAGGGGTTATATAAAATGAAAATCATCAGAAGGTGATGCGGGAACTGCCGCCGTCGCGGGCCTCCCAGGTGAACATCTCCGGCTTGTGTTTTGTTCATGGTAATGAAATAACTAGACACGTCCCAACTTAAGCTAGTTGAAATGATATGGAAGCTGGAGTCTGTCATCGCGGCAGTAGCAGTTCTAATACCAAGCGCCTTGGTATGGAGAACGTCGCCAGGGCGATCCGGGCCCTCCTCCGCGCCCCCTCCGGACGCCGGAAATACATGGGGGGGATCCACGCGCGCAGAGAAGAGCTGCTGGCCGATATCTTGGGCCCGGAGAAGGCGACGCCAACCGACACGGAGCCCAGTGAGGCCCTGCAGGAGTATCGCGAGCAGAACGGTGGAGGAGGCGACGCTGCGGATATGTTGGGCAAAAGCATCCTAAAGAGTAGCTTTTTCGTAAGGAAAAGCGTCAACTTTTGACGCGCCTCATTTTGATGCCAAAAATGAGCTTGCGGGACGTCTCCCAGAGACGTCCCCAGGGACGTCATTAACTTTGGCTATTCCCACTTAGTCAATCCATTTCCATATCGCGGAAAATAGACGTCTTCTTGGACGTCTCTGGGCGTCTAATTAATCGCGATCCTCCAGCTCTAAAAGGAACTCAGGAACTCCCACTCTGAAACTGATGACCAAAACCACGAAAGTTGCTCCGTCCGTTGAGGTGCGAGATCTCAATACTACAACGCCACACATTTTCAGGCTTTGCCGCACCAGCTTCCTCTTGGGATGTATTCGAAAGCCATCACATTGCCCCATAAACTCCACCGGTCGAAACCAGCATAGCGTCGCTGCTACGTGACGGGGCCCCAGACGAGCCGGAGAGCGAGGGACCACGCAGACGCCCAGCTTGTGGGCCGCAAAGACGGAGCCAAGCTTCCTGCTTCCTTTGCATTCTTAAACCTTGTTCAACTACATACCATTTTAACTAGCTGAAGTTGGGACGTGTCTAGCTATTTCATTACCATAAACAAAACACAATCCGGAGACGTTCACCTCGGAGGCCCGCGACGACGGCAGTTTCCACGTCGCACTCTGATGATTTTCATTTTGTATGACCTCTTGAATAAATAAAAATTAATTTTTTTAATTTTAATCGTTGAAGCGATCCCATATACAAGTGCTCCGTTGATAAGTGGATCCGAGACGACAAAATGGCGAATCTGTTCTTTTACTACCACGTGGCGGACTATGGAAGCGTCAGGTTTGAAATCGTCAAAGTTGAAATAATCTGTAATGCATAAAATGCATGGCCCGAGGTACGTGTGTTGCAGAGCAGGCAAGTGAGGCCGATTGTAAGCCTGTTGGGGGTTACAGCTCGAGCTGCTAAAGTAGCATGAGAAAATCACTCTTCTTTGCCTAAACAGCACGACAAACAGGATTTAGGGGCCACCGAGATTTGTCATGCGCCACTTGGAAACTGGGTTCCAACTGGCATCCATTTTATGCATGACAAATTCTTTCAACTTTGTCGATTTCAACTCTGACACATCCATACGGACAAAAAGCTATACTGTTGGAACTCCGACGACTGGGCCATGTACCGGTGGCGGTCCAATTTCTCCGATATGGAATTCCTACACCACGCACAAATCGACACGACAAATCGAGGGAACGTCGTGTGGAACCCAAATTTAGCGAAACAAAACGCCACCGGCCCGAAACAGGCCACGGGTACTTACATTATAACTGTGTTTTTGATCGGAATCGGTTTTTGCCTGCTACCTAGTACTACTTTAATACTAGTCATCAATACAAATCATTCTGGGTTAGTGGAGATCGATCGCTTTCATCTTTTTTCCGTACGTTGTGCTAGTATAAAAATCGCAAATAAAATGAAATTCGGTACTGAATCTGAATATTTGAAATTCTATATCGCAGGCGGCCCCGACCTGTGGATTACGGTGATTCCGCCGGAAGTGACGACCACGATTTCGCGGCAGACCCGGGTGTATGAGATTCCGGAGAAACTCTTCAACAGGGTTTTTCACTCGGACGATGTGATCGAGCAGATGCGAAAGCAGTCCAACTGCGGGTCCGCGACCTTCGGAGAGAAAAGCGGCAAGTACGGACGACAAGTCGAGGTGGCGGGCACGCCCCGACAAATCACGGAGTTTGGCAACGCCCTGGAGCAGGGCCTGGTGGCGGCCGGGGGGAAGGGCTTCGATACGAAAAAATGGCGGAAACAGCAGCAGGAAACGCACATGGAGAGGTACTAATACTGAAGAAATGTTGAAACTACTTCTTCTGACAGGGTGCATGTTGTGCGATGAAACATACAGACAAGGCTTCGCAGTCAAACTTTATTTCAAGATTGATAGAAGCATGCGATTGCGATTCTGATTCTGCAAGTGTTGTACAATGTAAAAGGAGAATTGACGAGATGAAACAAGATGAGACTCGAATTCCGCGTTACAACTACAGATTGAAGGCGTCCGGCGGCACGGAGCTGGACGAGCCGATTCGGCCGACTTTGTCGAGCAAAGACGAGGAGGAATTTATCCCCGACGAGTACGACGACACGGCGATTGAGAAGATGCAGAACATGGACGAGCTGCAGCAGAACAACAACGAGGACATCGACGAGAACATCGCAGAACTGGCGCACCAGGTCGCCCTGTTCACGAAGAAGCACAAACTTCCGCTGGAATCCACCCGGCGGCTGCTGAAGATGGACGCGCAGCTGCAGCGCTACGTGGTTGAGAAGTTCAAGCTTCCCGCGGCGAATTCCAAGGCGGATAAGGTGTTCCCGAAATTCGTCTCGCGGTTGTCCGCCTACCCGCAGAAATGGCGGTTGGAAGCCTGTATTAGCAACGGCGACATGGACGACGTGTGCGAGACCCGGGTGCTGCGCCAGGGGATCGATAACGAACTCGAAGTCGGCGCGGCAAGCGGGATCTTGCGGAGGCAGGAGGAGAAACAGGCGGAGAGGAGAAGACGGAAAGAGATGGACAAAGCGGACACTAATAAAGACGGGACCGATGAGAACAATAAGCCAACCGGTGCAGAGCATCAATCCCCTGCACCAGATTCCCCCTCGCCCGCAGAGGATGACGATGACGAGGCAAACCAAGAGCCGCGCATGCTGGCGATTCCGGACGCGAATAGCAGCGACAGCGGGAACACGGGAAATCGACTATCCTGAGTAAAAACGTACCCACACCAGAGTCAGGATGGGGATTTTGCAACACAAAGCTAGGAGTTTTGTGAGTCACGCATGACAAGTTGCACTCTGCAGCGTAGTGCAGGTTAGCAAGTGCAGCCGTATCACAGATTCATCTGCTCATCCTGTTCACAGCATCACAAATTCCAAAACACGATTGGAAATGGCTCTCATGGGGATGCGCATTACAAGTCTTCCTGTCTTTGCAAATCTGCATTACAACTCTGGTGTGGGTACGTTTTTACTCAGGATATCGCCAGTTGTACGGTGACGTGCAGGATTTCCACTGCCGGATCCACGACATGTTTGGGTACTGGCACGTGACGAGTTGTGAAGACCGCATCGGTATGCATTGCAAATATGTCTGGGTCTGGAAGGGTGCGAGGCTTGTCATGCATATTTTGCATGGCCCATGATGCCTGTAATGCATCGCCTAGCATCACAGATTTTGAGAGGGCATTCTGATGCCCATGCCGCATGAGAAATGCCTTTCCCGGGGAGCACAAACTGGACTCCTCTTACTGGTCACGCAATACGGATTTTTTATAGAATCCACAGACAGCATCACAAGTTGCAAGCTTCCAGACCCAGACATATTTGCAATGCATAATCGGCATCCTGGTCGACGGGGAGAAAGTGCGCGCCAGCTATATGGCCTGCTCAAACGTTACAATCTCAAACGTTACAATAGAATAGGGAAAGCTGTGATGCAAGACCGCATCACCTAGCCAATTCTTATAGGATTGCGCATGACAAGTTCCGGAGCTCCAAACCGCACTACAATCTGGCGAAATTTGTATTGCAAAAAGTGGAACGCTCTGCGAGTCTGTCATGCTCATCATGCAACACAAATCTCAGATTCTATTGTAACGTTTGAGATTGTAACACCTGAGCGGGTTATAAGCTACGACGGCCCCATGCCACTGCGGGACGGGAGCGTGATCGTCGTAGGAAAAACGCTGTTGTTGTGCGAAATCGGAGACTCAACCTGGTTGACGGAGCGGAGAAATAAATACTACGACAAACTGATGAATCTCGATGGAGACAGAGATAATGCTCCCGAGGACATCAAGGAGGAGCCGAGCAATCAGGCCGCACCTACCGGCAGTGCTAGTATCAACGCAGACGAAGACGCCGAACGCGATGTTGAACCGAGCGCAAAGCGGCAAAAGGTGGACCAACAAGCTGGCGCAGCCGAGACGCTGTTGCCACCGGAATGAGGGAGCGAGGCAAATCGCATTGTATCAGCGTCAGCCCCAGCAAATGCAAAGAACATGGTTTGCAGGAATCTTGCTGGCGTCGAACATAAAAAAGAAGAGGAAGACTGGAAGTCGACTGTTGTAAACGAAAACGGATACTTACATACAATAACTACTCCTGACCAGGAGGGGGCCTATAAAATAAATCCGACCGTGAAAGTAGAATCACTACAGGAGCAGAACGCTTCTTCGATGAGCCGGTGTTGATGTCCATAACACCTTTTCGTTGTGTTCATCTTTGAAAAACAAGCGCAAGACAGTCGATCCGGTCCTTCTGAAAATGCAAATTCTACTAGGTACAAACGAAGTCGAAGGTAAACGAAATCGCAATGTGAAGATCCTGGCTCCTCTTAGAATTGATACAGACAGCAAGAAGTAGACACAACGAATTAATGTTCAGATTTGAGCCCCACCCGTCTTGGTTTTGGCTTTGTCCTTCTGACTCTCAAGGTATAGTTTTCAATCTGCAGGGTGTGGTGCTGCTTTCGCTTTCGCGTATTTTTTTTTCTTCGCAGCTTGGTAGACTGAAATTCTCAGACGTTAAAGTCAAAAATAGATACTCCCTTACTACTGTTGTACAGCCCTTTTATTTAACGGCACATATTGCCGGAAGAAAAAGAAATTGAGATGGTAGAAGATGAGTAGTGCTAATGATGCCATTCTCGGTAATATACTGAGAATGTTTTGCTTTCCTGGATGAAGTCGGGAAGGTCCACGTCACATCTAGTGACGCCCTCATATCATGTTGGTTCTTGCGCATGTATGACAACTACGTGATAAAAAAACTAGAGCAAGACGCGGACGGTTGCATGACGACGTCGTGAAGCAGCACGACAGTTGTATTGCTTCCCTTCGAACTGCTCCAGTTGTAATAAATTCAGCATCTTTTCTTGTACACGAAACACAAAATGGACCGTTCCGTGCTCAACAAAGCGACGCTTCCGGACCCGGACCAGCCGGTCACGGGCGTGGAATTGACCGATCTGGCGAAGTATCAAGTGCAAATCTGTCCGGGGCTGGAAACTTGTGATGCAAGGAAGGGAATAGCGAGCGCACTGTAAAAATGCGCTGCCAAGCATGACAAGTTTTCTCGTGGTTCTGAGTTGCGCACTCAGCATGAGAAACTGCGTTTGTGCATGCAAGGCAAGAGGCCGCGCAGCACAGAGTTCAGAGTCATGCCAGTGTTCACTGTCATGCCAGACGAGCATGACAATCTCCCAGACGACCGAGACATGTTTGCAATGCATACAAGGATGACCTTCGTCAGCTTCGACTGCAGTGAGCAGATGGGGGAGTACTTGCTGTCCAAGCTGAAAAAGGACAATCCCTTCATCAAGCAAAAGTGTCTGAAGATCATTCGACACGTGTCTGAAAACGGGAAGCCGGATTTCCGCCGACACATGCAGAGGCACAGCCGCGACGTGAAAGAGTGCCTGCAATATCGAGGTATAGTGCCTGCAATATCGAGTAGGAGCACTAGTTGTAGGGTTGTGGGGGTAACAGTTGGTGTGAGGAGGTTATTGTACTACTTAGTTTTGTGATCATGCATCCTACCCAACAGCAATTCTCGTTACGTTGTACGGCACAACTGATGTGTGTGATAAATGCAATGCAGTTTGAACTACAGTGATTTTCTCCCTGCAGGTAAGCCCGACGCTTTGCGCGGCGACGCCCCGAACAAGGCGGTCAGAGACGAAGCGGAATTAGCTGTAAAAGCAATATTCAGCGAAGCGGGAACCAACGCGTAATGCATAAACTAGTGATCTTCATAATTTAGATTTTGATTTCTCTTGAGCAGACGGATCGCTGTTGTAGCACCTTGTGCAAGTTGTGTCGGATTTTCATGCGTGGAAGATGCCTTCAGGGTAAAGCAAACCGCGATATTATCTTTTATGCCAGCTGCAATGAGGTGCGTGATGGATTCGTCAGGCTTCTACCAATAAGAGGAAAAGAATGATGTTTGAAAAAACAGCTTTGGCCAGCTGCAGCCGACCCCGAACGCGCCCAAGATGCAGGGATTTGGTTCGGAAAGCGCTTACTCTCCGAACATGCCCCACCAGCCGCCGTCCCCCGGGAGCGCCAGTGCTGGGTCCTTTCAACCCCCACCCCCGCCCGCGTACGGAAACCACCCGCCGCCGGCGTATGGAGGCGGTGCAGGACCACTTCCCAACGGGGGCACTACTAGCCACAGCAACGCCGGGCCGACCTACGGCGGTCCGGGTCCGAAGAAAATGGAGGGCTTCGGCAATCCGGCCTTCGAGAACCGAGCGAGCAGCAGTAGTAGCGGTATGATGGCCGGGGTCGGGGAGACGGGCAACCCGACGATAGACAAGGTACCTAGTGGTCAACATCTAGAAGGTTGTCTTTGTGCTAAACATCTAGCTTAGCAACTGGAGGCTGCTTGCATGTAGTTATATGACCTAGCTCCTTTCAAGCCATTGGTTTTACTGCTGTTCCTGTTGATTTCAGGGTTAGACTCTGAACCAGCACCTCATTTCGATCCACCGTGCATTGATTTTTTGTCGCGAAAAACACCACCAGGCAAACGAAGTGATAAAGCGCGGGGTCGAGACGGGTGTCGAGTATTTGAAATTTGGTGCGCTCAAGGCCTCTGAGTATCTGCCCGACAGGGTCAAAGAAAATCTCCCCGCGGGCGTTCTGAAAAAAATGGGTATAGCTGTACTAACTTAATGCCTGGGTTTATTTGGATCTTTCGTGCCGCACCCGCACCATGATCATTGGAATTGGAAGTACATCTTCGCGTAAAATTTGCTGCTGCCTTGAGGTTTTTACCTTCACGTCACTCGGATTCTGTTTCACAGGCCCATCCTCCGGCGGCTTCACCCACCAAGATAACAGCGGCTACCAGCCCGGCGGCGGCTACCAGCCCGGCGGCGGGTACCTACAGGAAACCAGTTCTGGCGGCTACCACGCTCCAAACACAAACCCGACCAGCACTTTCCAGGGCACCACCGCAGCGATGAGCTCGGCGGCGCCGTGGGGCAGCAGCAGTGCTGCTACGTCAAGCTCTTCTACCGCGGGAGGACCGCCGGGGGCTTTTGGAACTGGCGCTCTGAACACCGCTTACCAATCCCCGCTGCAGCCAGGATCACAACAACACGCGGCGTCCTCCAGCAGCACTTCGAGCACGGGCGTCTACGAGAAGCAACTGATCGACCATCTCTGCGCGCCGGGCGGCGCGCGCGTCGCCCCCGCGCCGGAAGTGTTGGACGACTTCCTGCAGAAGTGCGAGAGTCTGAACTATCAAAAGGAAAAATCCCCCCTCCCAATGTCGAAAAGGTACGTCTCAGAAAATTTCTAATGCTGATTTGTGACCACAAATCGTCGCTGTCTTGCAAGAACGCAACTCCACAGGCTCCGCCGCATTCTGCAGGCGGTTTGTGATGCTGTTGGACCCACAGACTAGACGTCTGACATGCTCAGCGCCTAGCGCAAAACCTCCCGACTCAGCCTCCCTACTCAGGCTTAGTGTAGGCCCGCAGTCCTCTCCAGCAAGACAAATCTGATTTGTGTGCGCAAATCCAGCATCAGAAACTTCGCGTTGATATGGGGGGGGATTTTTCATTTTGATATGAACAGCTCGAAGCTGGCGGAAAACTTGGCGTTGATCCTGCAAACCGGATCGTGGCAGCAGAAGGCGAAGGTGCTGTACGCGATCGAGGCGCTGTGTGACAAGCAACTGGACGCCATCACGGGCGACTTAGTGGAGCAGGGCTGCAGCCAGTGGGTGCAGAGCTGTCTGGACATACCGCAGTGCAGGGGGAAGGCGGGGAAGGTATAATAGTACGTACAACTCGGGCAGGAGGATTTTTGAGTTGCTGTACCACGGTCGGCAGATGTTGACGGTTAAAGATCAAAACCAAATTTCATACATGTTCAATCATGTTAGAGTTTTTACATGGAAAAATATCGATGCTATGATCTTAACCCGATTGAAAAATACAGCTACAATCCCGCCAAATACAGGTCCTGTCCGCACTCGGGCTCGGTAATGCTTCTGCGAGCACCACTACCGGCGACAAATCTTCGCCGGCCTCGACGGGACCACCCCCGGAAATTGACTTACTCGACATGGGCGGTGGAGGTGGTCCTCGTCCTCCAAACAACTCAATAGCTGCGCCAGCGTCTGGAGGTGGAACTACTCACAGTGCCGGTCCCGCATCTTCCAGCGTAGATCTTTTGTTCGACGCGACAAGCGCGACCACAGGTTCGACACCTCCAACGCAGCTACTTCCAAACTACAATAGTACCACTTCAGCATCCCCGATAGCGAACGGCGGCGGCGGCGGCGACCTTCTTGGGGGCGACTTGCTAGGCCTGGATGTTGTAGCGCCGAAAACTACAAGCGGTGGTCCCACCAACTACACAGGAGCACCTTCTTCAGCAGATTCTTCCACCACTGCTGGTGCACCACCGAAAAAATCGCTGTTCGGGAATCTGAATGTGAAAGCCGCGACATCTTCTTCTACGTCCAGCACAGCGAACGGCGGAGGGGGGCCAGCACTTTTTAACATGTCTTCATCCACCGGCGCCGCGCCCGCGAGACCCAGTGCCGCGGACGATCTGCTGTCCTTAGGACCGGTGTTGGAACAACAGAACGCCGTGGGTTCATCAACTTACGCAACCCCCGCAGTGCCCAGTTATGGAGGTGGCACAACCGGTGGAGGATCTTCAACATTCCCCGCGGGGCCGGCTGGTGGTGCGAGCGCGTTCGGTTTCTTGAACTCCGGTAGTGCAGTTGTTAACACGACGCCTTCGACGGGTGCAGCGGCACCAGTTAAGGCCGCTCCCATGGCGGTACCGGCGAAGAAGGAACAGGATGCCTTTGGCACGCTGTTGGCGGACACACTGGCGGATTTGTAGCTTTGTTCTAGCGCAGTTTTTTATGTGCCTACGATCATGGTATTAATACTTCACGACTTACTTTGGCATTGAATCAAAATCTTCTTCTTTCCTTTTCCAACAAATGTACTTGGTACTCAAGGACTTTTCACATAGATTTATCTGATGGGATCCGAGATACGACGTTTTTTGCGCAGCACCACCGCGGCTGCATGAAGGGAGTAGGACGAAAATCACAACAGTATCCTCCTCGCAGGAATAGTAAAGTGTTATCCATCTGTATCTACTTAAAAACAAACCTTCGTGTGGTTGGAACTCTGACTCTGGGGCAGCGCGGGGCGCAGTGCTTCGTAAGGGCTACGTAGCGGAGGTTTACAGAAGATTGATTAGACGACCAGCGACAGCACTAGACGTAAACGCTGCACTTGACGTGGTCATTTACTTTACGGCATGCGGCTCTACCGCCAGCCTCGAGAGTCAGAAATGAGTCCTTTGCGATCTGGTAAATGATTATGATGAAGCGACTTTCCATGGTCATGCACATGTTCGTGCCATAGACACCTCAAAAGCGACTACGACAATCTATCCGAAAACGAATCTAAAGGAAAATCAAAATTTCTAATGCTGGCATGGCATTAAAAATTTACGCTTAATTATAATTTCAATTCAAGTAGAATCAGACTCAAAAACAACTTCGCGCGTATTTTGAAGCGCGTCTGTGATAGTAAGATGGACTTGCTTTTGGTGTTCGTGGCCACAATTCCCGTGCGCGTACTAGCTAGCAGCTGCACGACCTGCTGAAAGCGTAGCTCCTGTCAGATCTTCTACCTGTTCTGACGCGTGCGTTGGGTGTAAGTGTAACAAGTAGTTGGCTTGGGCAAGAAATCATGGAAAGTTTTCAACATGCATCAACATCCGGGTGGGTGGTCATCATGCTGGATATATGAATGTAGCTCTTTTCTTCCGTTAATTGTCGACAAACTACCATTTTTAATTTTCTACGTGTACCTGGACTCTCCCTCTGGAATTGGATCTGGTCAACGATTGTGGTCCAATCTGTTCATCTTCCACTTCATGCTGCGAAAAATAAACTTGTGCATTTCCACTGGTGCTGCAACTGATCATGTAAAGGTAGTTTCGCATATACTAGGTAGTCGAGATTTTTCGAGTTGCATAGCCACTGAGCCGTGTTTTACGACTCTTTTGCATTGAGATTACAAGAAGTTCGAAGAGGCCGCTACCTCATCTGCCAAGAAGCACCGTACGGGTAAAGGTATTTTTAACTAGTTACAGTCCATTCCACATAAGAAAGTGTTGTACCACGACAGCATCAACTATGTCGGGTGCAGGTTCCAGTTCCACCAAACCTTCGCTGGTTTCCTCGTCCGTGGGAATCAACTACTACGAGATTCTGGGCGTGACCCCGACCGCCAAACTGGAGGAGATTCGGGATGCGTACAAGCGTATGGATTGCAAAAATGTCTGGGTCTGGAAGATTGCAACTTGTCATGCTGTCTTTGGATTCCAAAAAAATCTGTATTGCATGACCAGCAACAGGAGCTCAGTTTGTGTTACGCGGAGAGGGCATTTCTCATGCGGAATAGGCATCAGGAAGCCCTGTAAAAATCTGTGATGCTAGATCATGCATTACATGCGTCATGGATCATACAAAATATGCATCACAAATCCCGGAATCTTCCAGACCCAGACACTTTTGCATTTGATAAAGCGGCTGGCGTTGCGGATGCACCCCGACTATGGAGAGAAAAAAGTTTGTCACAGTCACTATCTTGGAGGTTTTGCATTACAAATTTTTTGAACATCACAACTTTTCCTTGTATTGCAGAACCACTAAGGGAAATCCCGTATGAAGTTTGGCTGTGATGCATTTTTACGCATGCCAGGCATTTTTTGTATTGCAAAAATGCCCCTGAGTGATCGTGACGAACTTTTTCCTTCTTATACCGACCGGGCGTTGATCAACAAAGACTTGGAGCTGAAAGCGCGTCAGGAGAAAAAAACGAGAAGATCGTCCGCTTCTGGAGCGGGCGGTGCTGGCAGCACGACCAGCAGCTCATCTTCTTCTACTTCATCAAGCGCTGGCGCGGCTGCTGGATCATCTGCAGAAGCGCCCCCGGCGAGCAGTTCTACGGATGTTGACGTTCTTGCAGGAAACCGAGAGAAGAAGAATCACGCGAAGGAGGACCACCACACTGGTTGTACTGCCAATGACCACCGCAGCTCGAAGACCACAACAGCGCCGCCGTCGGAGAGCGAGGCGGAACAGGTCGTGGCTCCACCTACTATCACTGGCTCGGAGCAAAAGGGCGGGAGTTGCAGTTCCACGAGCCGGATTGCGAATAAACAGAAGCCACCAGCAGCAGGGGGAGAAAAAGAAATGGTCGACAGCGGGGAGACAATGACAAGCCAAAAGAACAACGTCGGAAGAAGTATTGGTCAAGTAGATCATGATCCTACAGTAGGAGCGCCTGCAACCTCTAGTGCGGCAGGAACAGAAACCAAGAACGCGAGCAAAGGGTCAGTTGTATCGTCTTTCGACGCGGAAAATGAGGATGATGACCAGTCGTTTTCATGCGACGTGAGCTATCCCACAGAAAAAAGCTGGCAGGGCATATTTGTAATGCAAAAATAAATAGACAAGAAAAGCAAAAGTTGCATTGCGTATCCTACATAGCCTGCTATGACTATGAGGCCTCCCATGACAGATTTTTCTGTGTATTTATTTTTGCATTACAAACATGCCCTGCCAGCTTTTTTCTGTGGGATATGACCGGAAATCGCGGCTCGGGCAGGACCAAGCGTGGGGGCGTATCAAATGCAAATATGGCTGGGTCTCGGTCTGGATCTGGAAATAACTTGTGTTGCTGATACTTGCAACATTGCGGATTGTACGGCATATAAACAGCATCAGCATGAGAAGTTTTCCACCTCAGGAGCGTCGTGCGGATTCATTCGCGTTTAGCATTACAAATCCAGACCCAGACACACACGTTTGCATTGCATAGGGCAAGGTGAACATCGAATTTTACCAAGTCCAGGACGCCTGGAAGACGTTGAGCAACCCAAGCAGAAGGTACCTAGTATGACAGGAAGATGAATTTTGTCTATGCAAAACAGAGTGTTCCTCTTACAGCTCATTCGGCAGTGCAGTACATAAAGCAGGTTCTTTCATCTCTACTCGTGATGCAGCATGACAAGGATGAAATGCTAGGCGTATCTAAAAATAAAGATAATGCTATCCCAGGTTTCTGTACGATATGCGGAACTTCGGGAGCAGCTCCGAGTTTCCCGAATGCGACGAAAGCTACCTGCTAGACTTGGAGCGCGCCCAGGCGGAGAAGGATTTGCACCAGATGAGCAGCTATCTGACGAAGGTGGTCACGCGGGAAACCCGGGCGAAGGGCGTCATCATCATGGACGCATGGTATGTACAAGTACTGTTTTTGTGGTCGATTGATAATTGATTTATGATGTCGCCCATTTCGCATGCGGCATCCTAGACTTATTGTCTGTAGATTTTTCTCCCATCACAAATTTCTTCCTTCTCTCCTCTACAGGTACGGCGACATGTCAATTCTCAGCAAATTCTACCTCGCTTTCAACGAAAGATCTTCTCCGAACAGGGTCGGCGAAGACGGGCTCTATGTGGACGTGCGAGTAAGTCTAAACTATTGGCTTTCTAGGAATTTCTGCATGACAAAATCCATAAATTGTTTTTTTGGGTAAACATTTCTGCATCCACAAAAAAAAAAAACAATCATCTCCAACTTTGTTATCAGGTAGCGACCCAGTGCCAAGTGGACTACAAAAGTCATCGGCTGATCATGAGTGGCGGGGATTCCACCAGTCGGTCGGATTTGCCCGGTATCAAATGCAAAAATGTCTGGGTCTGGAAGAATGCAACTTGTCGTGCTAAATCTGAATCGTGCAAAAATCTGTGTTGCATGATTGCCACAAGTCGTCCAGTTTTGACCAAGTCGGGAGGGAGTTTCTCACGCAGGATAGGCACGATAGAGATTGCGCAGTAGAATCTGTCACGCTAGGGCCTGCATTCCAGAGTTCGTGGGTCATGGAAAAGCTGCATGACAAACTTGCATTCTTCCAGACCCAGACATATTTGCAATTCATACCCGGGTTCTACAATCCGATCCCACTGAGCCTCCGAAATTCCGTGGAGCTGGGGCTGTTTATCAGGTATACGTCTGCTAGAAATTCTTTGCCTATGATGAACTTGTGTGCCAGACGAGAGCGGATGACAAATGTCGTCAGCATGAGAGATGGAATTTCGCATGCTGATCTACCTTGGGAACGGGATTTGTCTCGCATGGCTGCGACTCTGCTGTGATTTTGTTTATATCCGACCTGACCTAGGTACCAGTTTAATGACGAGGTGCACGAGGTTCTGGCCAACGACTCTGAGCCCATTTACATTCCGAAAAAGTCCCACACCATTTCTTCGATTGCTAAGCGCATCCGGCAGGACCGGGAACACCAAAAAGACATTGATGCGGCGAATCGGGGAAAGAAAATCAACTTCCTGCTACCGAAAAAGGTTTTCAAGTCCGAGAAAACCACCATGGCGGCGCATCTCGGGCTTTGCGCGGTGTTCGCGGGCTTGTACTTGTGGAAGGAGCGGTATCAGGGTGTACAACTCGCTCCCTTCCCCCTCAAATTTGTATGGCATCAACAGCAATAGGAGCACCAGCACAGGTGGAGCCTGTGCATGGCAAGTTCATGCACCCAGTGTAGTATTGCTTTTGTCTGAGCTTCCACCGGAATCTGTCATGCAAAGAAACAGTTCGACGGGGCAGCTCGCACTTGGATTTGGGATTTTGCATGGCAAATAAGTAATGAGGGGGAAGGGGAGTAGTTGTGCACTCTCATAAGCGGGACTTGCTGCAGAAAATAGTGCAGGAAACCTACGCCGGCTTGACGGAGTCCGCAGCGCTGGCTTCGTCCGTCGGAGGCGCGGCGAAGATTCGCCAGGGGGAACATACTGGGGGGCTCAAAGTGACGTTTTGACGACATGCATTTGTCAACACGTTTTTGTAGCAGGGCGTGCAATTCTACGTACTATGCCAATTATATTACTCATTGTGTAGTTCATGCTGAAGCCGAGCTACTTTCCGGTCGTGACTCTGTGCATATATGGAACCAAACACTAACAAAGTAGCAATACAAGAGACGTCGGCTTTGTAACTTCTGGTTTTACTATTTGACTTCGACTCTTTTTGTTCACGATGAAAGCCGCAGTGAAAAAATTCGCTTCTCGATCGCTTGTACTACAGAAATACCCTGGTATACGGTGTTGTATCTGTGTATACCATTGCCACCAGGTACAGGTTCATGTACATGGTCATGATTGTACAAAAACGAAAAGCATATTAATGCCGCACAACACACACCAGGCTGCTTTTCTTCTCGGCCGCAGAGTCTGCTCCAGGAAACCGAGCACAGCAAGTTTCCGCTCGTTCTTGTCAGTTGTCTGTGGGATCTCGTTGCGAGTTATGATAACGCACAAAATTAATCATAACAAGAACAACGCGTAGTTCCTAATTTGGGTCGTACTCGTCGTAGCAAAACTACTGAGTGCGTATGGGAAAAAAGAAAAACGCATAAATTCGTGATTTATTTACACCTTCCTCGGTCGGAGACCCCGCGGTTGAACATGAGAGAAACACCACAATTCGTACATCTCTCGTAGAAAAAATAGTGTGGTTGCAGCTCGATGGCCGCGATAGAATCGTCCGTGACATCTGAATTCATGTGTTGTGGGTGCCGTCATCGCATGCGTCACTGTTCCTGAGAGAAGTTGAAGTGGTGTGTTGCGAATGATACAAGGGGCTCGACGGGGTCGTAGTACCGGTACCGTATCGGGAATCATCAACTTCAACAGTACAAGACGAGGATTCCTAATCCTAGTAATTGCTACTTAAAAACTCCGTTCGTGTACTCTATGATCATGTTCGTGTTGTATCACTCCTCACTATTGCTTCTGCTATATCTGCGCCTGAGCCGAAAATAAAGAGCCGTCTCCGACTCAACATCATAGATCAAAAGAGTACCTCTACGTTGTAACAAGTACAAAGAATTTACAAAAATAACGGGCTCCTGAACAGCTTCGAGTGAGGCTTGGATCTCTGTGACCACACTTTTTCCGGCTAGGCGACCAAGACGAAGAAAATGCCGAAAAACGTCAAGACTGTCCTGTCGAAGGTGTCCTTTGCGATCGCGGGGGGGGTACTACAATATTTATCTATATATAAAAAGTACAATTTTTTTATGTTGATGTACATCCATCAGTATAGTTTGAAGAATGGCCCCCGAGTATGCATGTGCTTAAATCGTCATACTGAAAAGTCTTAAAAAATTTGTACAGCAGCGCGTGCGCTGGCGATGGACACAGACGCGAAGAAGGGCTCGATCGTATCACATGAAAACACGAATATCTTGCCCTTCCCACACCCAACAAAGTGTATCTGTATGCGTGTTGTTTTGTTTGTGGAACGGAGGTTAAAAAAGGTCAATTTGTTTAGTGAGGAGGGGGTCGAGGAAGATTCCAAGCTTGTCTAGGTATAGACATAGGTCGGTCATGCGTGTCATGGAAGATCGGCCTCTGTACAAGCGCACTGTTTACTAGCACTACAGACTCACCTACAAGAGAATGTAGTGCGGAGCCTCAGGTTCTTCTTTTCCTTGCCGCAAGACAAGCTCCCCTTTTTACATACGACAAGCAACTACAAAAACTTCGTTTCGCAAGGCCGGGGAGTGGGATGGGATATTTTTCCCCAGGATAAATCACTTCCGAGGGAAATTACGAAGCTGAAACCGACATCGCCGAGGACGGCGAAGCGGTTGGAGAAGCAACTGCGGGAGTTTTTCAAGAAGTGGGCGGTACTTATGAGGGAGTTTTTCAACATTCTTTTTCAACATTGACATTGAGCTGCTTTATGATTCACGCACTTCATTGCGGCAGTACTTAGAAGCCACTTTTTTGCATTGCCTTTGTCTCGCGAAATTTTTCGAGTTTGCTCTGTTTTTGCATATATACAGTTTCAACGAGCTGGGGGTGCACGTTCGACCACGGTGCCCCGGGAAGCAACCCGTGCAAGTACTCTGGGCTCACGGCACTGGCGGGTAAACCGGCGCACAAGAACTGCTGCTACGCGGAAACTCTACACAGCAAGAACAAGGATGGAGGGGTTGTCGGGACGGCGTGCCACAAGTGGACAGCTGAGGCCGTGCTGGCGAGGTTCAAAGAATACGACACCCAAGACCTAGCCGACAAGCACTTCGCAAAGATGAAGTTCGACTACTGTCCCAAGTAGAACAAGAACGAGGAGCGGTAGGTACCGCTCATCGGTTACGGCAAACGGTTGTGGTTTGTAAGAAACGAAGAAACCTCCAAAAGTAAATAGTCGAATCGATATGATATGTTATTTTCGGTTTCGCTAACGCTTTACATTTTTGTAGATTCACAAATAAATAAAGAAAGTGATCAGCTTTTAGAAGAAAGTGATCAGCTTTTAGAAGAAAATAGTCGCAACAATTCCTGCTCCTTCCCCTTCGGTCGAAGTCGAACAAAAGACGGAACTTTTTATGTGACCTCCTGTACGATGATCTCAGCCCCACCGTGTTCTTGTAGAAAAAAAAACACTGCAAACTGATCGCAGTGGAAGCCAAATTAATATAAGTATGTCGTAAGCGAAAACCTAATCGCCGCCGCTGGCAGCTGAATGCTGCGCATTGACATTTGTCATACTCACAGCTCTCAGGTGTGATGTTTTCACGAATGCAAAATAAAGCAGCATCATGCGTGGAAAAACGATTGTATTGGGTATACTAACTAACGCCTCTGCACGTCAGCTCGGGAAGAGGAAAACGCTGTTGATAGTGTTGGGAGACGGATTTTCATCTGAATCACAAGTGCGACAGATAAAGATATAGGGAACCAGCCGCAAATAAAACAATGTGGCCGCAGGATGCCCATCGTTGACCCGCAAAAGTCTGTTCCGCCAGGAAGAGCACAGCAATTTGCAGCAGCTCGTTCTGCCCGGTCTCAAGCAGTGCATCATTTATTTAGCTTTCCACACAAAAGGGCTCGAAATCGAATCAACATTCAGTACTAGCGCTAGCTCGGTTGTTGAGGAAAAACCCATAAAAGCACAACAAAATCGTAATCACTTTGCACCATCGGTGGAACTTACGACTACACATGAAATTGAGAGGGCAGCAGAGCACATCGAAATTCGTACGTCTGTCGTGAGAGATGCAATTTGGATTCTGTGTCTAAGTAGAAGTTAATCAATTCGAGCAAGAACAAGAAGTTGTAGATGTAGTGTGCGAGGTAGCAGCTAGGTGGGTTCTCGTGAGAAATCATTGGGTTCTCGTGTGGCAGCCTGGTGTTCGATGATCCAGGCGGAATCAGTAGCGAGGACCAACTCGAATTCGTGTATTTGGTATTTCGCGAGAGACAACAGCAAAGGCATCGTGTTGTAAGTATACTTACGTACGAGTTTGCCCAGCATTGCTGCCCATAATCTTCTCTCATGAAAAAACATACTATCACAACGACTTTCTAGTGCTTTTTTTTCTCGCCGTAGTTTTCTACCGAGAAAAGTCCAAAAATTATGGCGGACGAAGAAGCTCCACCACCACCGAATGTGGTGGCCAGTGCGAGTTCCACCATCCGAGCCCCGCAGGCAGTCGTGTGGACGCTCATCAAGGACTAGTATAAAAGGATTTTATTTGCTTCGTTTGGTTTTTGTTTTTGATATGAAATTGGTGTGGTGTGCTACCTTTTAATAATCATGATGCGATGGTTGGTTACAATATAACGCCGGCTGCTCCACACTTGTTGATCTCAGTCAACATCTCACATGGTGTTCCTGCTCTCGGAAGCTCTTGTCCGGTTACATCCTAATGAGGGCGATAAAATCTTCGTCTTGGTCTTCTCCGGCGTTGTCTTTTGCCTATCGCTTCCGAATCCGATCCATAAACACAACTAGATGCTTCTTCTAGGACAATAAACGCAAAGGAAAACCTTGGTAGTTATCCTCGCGAAAGTAAGAAGAAAAAGACCAACTTCTAGCTCGATCGCGCTGTCATCTACTTACGTTAGTACGCAAAGAACAGCGGCTGCGCGAATTTCTGTGCGGATGTCAACGCAAAAAAAAGAAGAAGATTTCTCCCCCCGCCATTGGAGCAGCCCCGCCCAAAGCGACGGAGGTGTGGTACACCATCCTAGTACGTCGACTGCACCGAATAGTACTAGTTCTAGTGCAGAAACCTCCGCGGCACAACTGCCCTCCGGAACCTCTTTCCGCGTGACCGCCGCTTCCGAGCGAAACTACGCCCCTACGGAGGGCGTCCCCCCGAAGCCGCGGTTTTTCCGCTTGTTTCTGTGGAAGGGGAAAAATGCGACGACTTCTGCGAGGACCGGCGATGGTACTAGTAGTTCCTGTGGTAGTCCAGAGCAAGAGCGGGAAAATCTTTACAACAATTCCGGGGAAATAGTAGACCATGCAAAAAATACTTCAATACCGTCGATCTCCGAGGAAGCTGGGCAGAACTCCCTGGAGCGAGAGCTGCTGCACAGAAATTCCTTTGCCACAGAAGATCAAGAAGAAGGCAAGAAAAGTGGCAATCGTACTACTGGAAGAGTTCTTTCGGATGCAACTACAAGAAGTGCAGCTGCAACACCACCGCCTCGCGCCGGTTCAGTGGTGGTCCACGCTGGTCCTACAAGTCCCTTGCTTTCCTCCTGTATGGGGGTGTCAGAATCGAAATCCTCAAAGTTGAAATAGTTTGTCATGCATAAAATGCAGCTCCCAGTATGCCTGTCTTGCAGAGTAGGCAAGTGAGGCAGATTGAAAGCCTGCTGAGGGGTAGAAACTGAGCTGCTAAAGTAGCATGACAAAAGGCGTCTTCCCTACCCAAACTGCATGACAAACTGGATTTCGGTTCTACCCAAATTTGTCATGCGCCACTTGGGAATTGGGTTACAACTTTCATCCATTTTATGCATTCCAAGTTGTTTCAACTTTGTCGATTTCAACCCTGACACATCCATATCCTGCTGCAACCTGGTCATCCACTGGGCGTTGATGCTGCTCTATCCCACGAAAAAAGTGGTACAGTTACACATTTGTAGTCAACTCAGCAACACAAATTTCTCTGCATGAGAGAGAAAACTTGTAATGCAGAAATCCTACGGGAAAAAATGAAACGAGGCTCCTAAGCATATCCGACATGACAGAGCTTGTCTGCCTTGCTTGGCCTGCAACACAATGCGTAAGTGTAACACTTTTTTCTTGCGATATGCTCATCGCGGGGCTGAGTTCGCTGGTTGTGTATCGGAAGGTGGTGTATTGCTTTCTTGTGCTGTTGAACAGGAATACCAGCAAGGACGGTGACAGCAAGGTGGCACTTGATGACGCCGACTTGTTTTTCTCCTCCTTCCCGTCAATTCCGCATCTCCAGTACGAGGTGGTGATTCTCATCGTTCCGGCGATGGTGGTGTGTGCGTATTGGAACTGGTTCTCCAAAGAACTGGTGCGGTACCAGTAGGCCGCTCGATGTTTGTTGTTTTCCAGTACAGTCACTGGGTTGTTGCTTTCCAGGGACAAGGACAGTCACTCGGCCGGCGCGCTGGGGGACGCACACGGGCGGGCTAGTACCTGCAGTGACAATCATGCTAATCTCCCGCAATCTATCTATCACCCTCGCCACATCTTCTTGTGCCTCTGCACCTTGGACTGCGGAACAACTTTGTCGAAACTGAAGGCAGGATGAACAGCAATGAAAAAATGTGGAAACTGCAGTCCTCTGTCTTCTGCTCAACAAGGACAATGGGATAAGGATTGGCTATACATCAACTTCTTAGTTACTAGGAGTCGCGTATTAAAAATATACGCGGCTTCTAGATGAAAGAACAAGTCGGTCCAAGTCGTCCCCTTCTATTAGGCAACAGCTACTGCATCATGAAAATCAACAGCGCGTCTAATCCGAAGTTGTACGACACTGGCTGCTCCCACGACGCGAGTCTGGAGCGCGATATCAAGTGCAAAAATCTCTGGGTCTGGAAGAGTGTAAACTTGTCATGCATATTTTCCATGACCCAGGAGGTCTGGAATGCAGGACGTAGCATGACAGCCTCTCCTGCGAGGTCTCTGCCATGCCTAATCTTGCATATAGAAAGTCCCTCCAAACTTGGTCGAAAGTGGGCAGCTTTTGGCACTCATGCAACACAGATTTTTGCATGCTTCAGATTTACCATGACAAGTCACCACCTTCCAGACCCAGACATATTTGCAAGTCATACGCGACCGGGTGACGCGAAAACCGGTGAAGAAGCAGGTGAAGATGAGCAAACCCGCCTGCGTTTTCGAGCACACGTTTGAGTACGACGACAGAATCGAGGAGGACGTACCGCCACCACCAGCGCCACCACTAGAAGAAGGAGCGGACGAAAGGTAGGATATAGTGTGTACTGGATGAAAATGAAGTTCTTTTTCTATCAGTATGATCCTCGATAGTCATCTCTTCTTCCATCGAATGATTCTTCTCTCGGAATTGCTGTCCCCTTCCTCTTCACCCACTCGTCTGACAAATGATATGGTTTTTATGTCCGGACGTGCGCAGGCGTGAGAAACAGATCGTTTCAAGAACATGATGCTGCTCTTCCTACGCATGAAAGAGATCATTCACTAGAATAAAAACGAATCTATCAGTGCCGAGCCAGTGGTCCCGGAACCAACAGGCGAGAGGTGGTGCCGTTGTGAAGCGCGATTTGTGGTATCAAAAATGGGGCCGACAGTAGCGGAGCTTGCGGATTGCAATGGTTTGGGTTTTTTTTTTTGTTTTTTGGACAACGGGAACTTTTGCGCTGTGTAATTGCAAGGACAATCAACGGAATGGATAGACGAGGGATGAAGATAGAATGAATTCTTGGAAAATAAATGAAAATCACATTTGCAGGTACAATAACTGTGCGAGTAACGGAGAAAACGGATGCCCTAGAGTGCGAATTGACAACGGAAGTGGCGGTCTATTCGGAAACCTTGGCAGATAGCCCACCAGACTTCTCGGTCTGGGCCGACGCATTGGCCAAGAACATGAAGGTATGACTTTTTGTTTTGCTAGTTTTGACGTCTACTCATGTTGCTCTTCTTGGGCAGGCAGAAGGAAGAGGAACACGAGAAACCTAGATCGAGTTTAAGCTTCCCGAAACCAAATAAAACTCAGGATTACAGCGAGAAAATGTGCTACCTTGCGCCCAAAGTCGCGAAAATGAAAAGCCCGGCGTTTACGCACACAATGCTGACCAAAGTGAAGTCCTTCAAATTTCTGTCCCTGAAACTCTCCCGGTCACCGAGCGCGCTCGACCTGCTGAAGAGGTAAATTTCAATTTGGGTCGCCTCGTATTACAATTTGTTTTTGAAGCGTAGAGGTGGATGCAACAACTTGCATCATCAACATCAGTCATTGTCAAGAACACGTGAAGGTACAACGAACTTCATCGTGCAGAAAGTGGAAGGAAGTCCTAGCACACCGTTCTCGAAAAAAAAATATATCAGTTCCGAGATCGGGGGCAGTTTGGGCTTTTACAAGGACCGCCAGACCTCATCGCCGATCCCCATCGGGCTGTCGACCCGCCCGCACTCGGTTGCTGCGTGAGGGCTGCGCGACTGGATGCTATTGGGTCGCAACCTCCACAGTCGATCCAAGTGTTTGAGAGGAACTCTTTGTTAATTACAACCAACCTCTTCTAGATGAAAACTTTGACTATCACTATCAGACTTGAACCTTCAGAGTTCCATTTCCAGCAGATTAGACGCAAAATTCAGAAACGTGAGTTAGTCCAGTTACCCAGAGAAAAAAGGTACCAGAACAGTTACCAGAGTAGAATAGTTACAGCAGAAAAGATTCTCTCGTTACCATCGCGCAGAGACAACAGGATGTCAACGCAAAAGGACCTGTCTTGTGTCCTCGGGATAAAAGATGATGCCTGATTTACAGGTCGTTGTATCACCGGAAGATAGATCTCAACTTGGATGCAAAATTGTGCTACAGAACAAGAAAGCTCGACCTGTACCAAAAAATAAGTTCGGCGAAAAAAGAAAAACACCTTCGCTATTGCTGCTGCAGCAAAAGCTCTCTGTCTCATATGGCGGCCGCTTTATTTTGTTCCCTCGTGGTGTTCTACCTTAATCTTCCACGCGCGCTGCTGCGATTTTTGCACCAGCGCAGTGCAACGAGAGAGGACTACATCAGTAGCAACATCATCTTATGGTTTTTTGCCGCGGAGTCGAATGAGCAGTGCCAGAAAACGAAAATTTCAATCTATAAGTGTGTCATTAACTTGATTTCACATGTAACAGGACCTGGTACATCAACTCGGTATAATTATCCGTCACTTGCTCTTGCCCCCGCGCCCGCCCCCCTCGCTATTTCTTTTTCGGCCAAGACGAGACACCCATGATTAGGATATGGAGGATCTGCTCCTGGAGAGAAGACTGAGATCATCATCTTTACTTGTGATCTCTATTTCTTTTTTTCGTCGTTTTCCCGTGCTATAGTACTCCTGGCTATAATGTCTGATGTCTTTATTAAACCGTTCAGACGGTTGCAGTTCTAGTTCTTTGTGGCGAAAGAAAAAGTGAATTTACAAGTTTACGATCTTCTTGTTAGCAGCGGGACAACTAGAGCTGCAGAACACCAAGTGCAAACAATAGTCCTCCTTTACGGGACGACAAGAGGGTCGTGGACCGGACAATTTTTCTTCTGCCCCTTCTTCAGCCAGGACGATGTCTGACCCTCGTGAGGAGCTGTTCGAGAAGCTGCCCATCTTCCCGAACAGCCCGGTTGGGGAATTGGGTATTTTCCACTATGTTTCCCAGGCCGGGCAAACGTGCAACGCCACGCCCTACTCCACCGGGCCGTGGATTGATTGCGCGTACACCGTTTCCGCCATGTTGTTTATCATGTCGCTGAAGGGACTGTCCACACAGGCAACCGCAAACTGGGGCTGTTACTACGGCATCATCGGCATGACGATCGCGGTGTTGGCCGCTTTCTTCAGCGCGTACGTGTGCGACAACGGCGTGTGGCTTACCTGGGTTGGTGCGGGACCAGGGATCATCATCGGGCTCCTGATGGCCTGGAAGGTCACCATGATCCAAATGCCACAGCTCGTCGGCCTCTTGAATGCCTTCGGGGGACTCGCATCCGCAATCGAGGCCATTGGCATGTTCGCAGACGAACAGGCAAAGTACAAGCTCTACGTCGAAGCAGAAAGGGGTATGGAACGGGAAAAGTTTTTGTTTTAACTTCCGGCTGTAGCACTATCAGGGTCACAAGTTCTTGCATTTGAATTGAAATTGGGTGCTGCACTCTAAATTTTTTGTTTGATTATGTGCAGGAGGGAATGTTGACTCTGAAATTGAGAACAGAGACATCCGAACATTAACTCCGAAGATGAGCCGACCACGAGGCAGCTGCTGACTACAGTGTCGTACCTAACTGTGCAGCGCATCAGAATGCAGCATGGGAAAGAGTTTGTCTGCGTTGCCAATACAGTGATGTCCCTGATCTTGTTCAGACGGAGGTGCTGTATTTCCTTGGGATACGATAAGACGTCCCGGAGGTGGCAGTCGATGATATGATCAAAGCGAATCCGCGCTTGGAAAACGGAACCTGGGGCAGGGGAAAGAAGTACCTCGTCATCCAGAGCGCGTCGATGTACCTGGCACTTATCATAGGTAAGTACGTCTGAAATTATGCCGCATTTTAGTTTGTGCAAGAGCAGCACTGGTTTATATATTGAATATGAATTCATTTCATGTTTTATTTCTTTATTGTGGACCGGAGCGCGTAGGCACGGGCACGGCGGAGCTGCGATAGAAAAAGAAAGAAAAGCTTCGTCGCTCGGGGCCACTCAGGGACACTCTAAACGGAAACTATAGATACTACACCCAAGCATAGAAAAGGTCGTACCTACTAGGTATTCGCAAACTATCACCATCGAACTTTAGGTTCCATTACCTACTTCGGATCCATTATTGCCTGCCTGAAGCTGATGGGCAAAATCCGGAAAGACTACAGTCCACCAGCGAAAAACTTCGTTTCGCTGTTTCTCATCGCGGCGAGCATTGCCTGTTGTGTGCTCGCGGAAGAAATTGAGGATTGGGGCTACGGAAGCACCGAGGGGCTCATCATGGTGCTCGCGGCCTTTGTAGCAACTGCAAATATGGCTGGGCCTGGGAAGTTGCAATGCTAGGGTGTGATGAACAATGAACGGTCTGTAAGGCACAACCATTGGTGCCTAAAAATTACAGACTGAGCCCGAAAAAGCTTCGGAAATTGAAATATTTGAGTGGCTACTGTTGCGCATTTAGCATGACAAAGTGCGTGTGTGCATGGCAAGAAAGGTCACGGCCTTTTCGTGGACAGCACGCGTCGCAGAATCTGCAGTCATGCCTTCAGACACGCGTGACAAAAAACCTTTCGACCTCCTAAGAAGCCCAGCCATAATTTCCATTTGATACTTTTTCCTAAGCGCGGTGTGGGGAATCCTCTTCGTCATGGCCATTGGTGGTGCGGATATGCCGGTATAGAAGTAGTTGGACCGTTGTCGTTGAGGATTACTGCAGCAATCTGCACCTGCAGCTATAATCGCTATGCACACAATTGCAATTCGAATTCTCACAACAGACTACACCTCCTTCGTCTTTTCTACATGTTGTGCTTAATTCCCCAAGAAGTTCTTCGTGCGTGATTCACTCTAGGTCGTCATCTGTATCCTGAACACGGGCTCGGGCGCAGCGGGTGTGTTCGCTGGTTTTATGCTTGGGAACAAGCTTCTGGTCATCACGGGCACCTTCGTCGCGTCCTCGGGAGCTATCCTGTCCGCGCTGATGTGCATCGCGATGAACCGAAACCTGTTCGCGGTCTTGGCCGGGGGCTTCGGCACGGGGAGCAGTTCGAGCGGCGGCGCGCAGCAGGTATGAACTGCAAAAGTATCGTACTCGTATAAATGCATTACAAATTTCCTCAGCATGAGAAATAATATTTGTAATGCAGATTTGCCTTGGGGGCAAGATTTGTAATGCAGGACTTGCATTTATACGATACTTTTGCACAGGATAGCAGGCTATCGAGGGCGAAATGGTGGAAACCAACACCGCGGAGGTGTATCCTGAGGAAAAACTGTCTCAGTCTCAACTTGTAATGCGCAACTTCCTTGAGACAGTTTTTCGCCATGCTCGACCTGCAAGAGCAAGAATAAAGTCGTCTTTCACATGTATTTTCCCTGGTGTATGACGCATCACAGGTTTCCTGTGTCATGCTGAGCAAATTTGTATTGCAGCTGGTGGTCCGCAAAGGTTTGGGACTGAGACAGTTTTTTCTCGCGATAAGGTGGCACAGCTCTTCAACACCGCGAAAAGCATCATCATCGTGCCGGGCTACGGTATGGCCGCCGGGAAAGCACAGCACAAAGTGGCCGAGGTAAGTCCTTGCTTACTACTTCAGATTGGTTTATACAACATACAAAATGCAGCTCACGGACCGATTCAAGTACTTGTTTGGAATGCAGAAGAGGAACAATCTTTAAATGAAAAAGAATCGAGACTCGGTGGTTTTACTGTTAAACTCACATGATCAAATATCGTCTTCATGTTCATTATCAACATCATCAGCTCACGACGCTCCTGCGGTCCCGTGGCGTGAATGTGAGGTTCGCGATTCACCCCGTTGCCGGCAGGTTACCGGGCCACATGAACGTGCTGCTCGCCGAGGCGCGCGTACCCTACGACATCGTGCTATCCATGGACGAGATTAACATGGACTTTCCCTCCACCGATGCGGTATTGGTTCTGGGCGCCAACGACATCGTCAACCCGGCTGCGTTATGCATAAATAGCGACATTTTGGCATCAAGCTCGTACTTATACCCATGATCGGGATGCCTGGAATACCAACCGGTTATTTTTTGCAGCCTAAACCAGCATCAGAAACTTGCTCTTTTTCGTATGAACAAACGGGTCAAAATTGTCATGCAAGTATTACTAGTACAAGTACGACTATGATGTTCAAAGCTTTTGCAATGCATACACGCAGGACGACCCGACCTGTTCCATAGCTGGCATGCCGGTGCTGGAGGTGTGGAAAGCAAAGCGCACGATTGTCGTGAAGCGCGGGAAGGGTTCAGGGTACTCTGGCGTGGAGAACCCGCTGTTTTTCAAGGAAAACAATCACATGTACTACGGGAACGCCATGAAATATCCTACAGAATGGAAGTGTAGTTCTTTCACTGTATTGGTTTTGCAAGATAAGCAGGAGCACAGCTTGTTGTAGTACATGACGAAGAAAATTTGCCATGCATGTGTGGTTCTCACCACGGGAAATTGCATTTTCTCTAGAGCAAATCCAAATTTACTGGCTATTGCTTTGCATCCATGTGTAACATCAGCAGGCCAAAGACTGCTGCACTGTATCTTCTGCACATGATACATCACAAGTTAGGTACAGTGAAATGAACAGTTTTTTCATGCGATATGAGACAGATGGCGACACTGTGCGAGGAAATCTCCAAGATGGACCCGGTGGGCGGCGCGGGCAAGACCGACGCTGTCAAGGTCGCCGTGGACGAAGTGAAGGTGGAAGAGGAGGTAACGCTCTCCCCGCCAACGGAGCCCGGTCTCACGGTCGGCCTAGTCGCGGAGGACAGCGAGGCTTGGGAAAAGCGCGTGGCGCTGGTGCCAAGCGTGGTGTCCAAATTGACCAAAGCAAACGTCAAGGTTGTCATGCAGCCGGGAGCTGGTATAAAAAGTGGCTATTTTTTATTTTTAGTCGTATGCGCGTTGAATGTGAATCCTGCCTTGAACAATCCAAAAATTCCGCGGCTTTTGTTTGCAATGAATTGCTGGAATAAAGGCCGTTGCGTCGAGAATATTTGACGCACCTATCATTCTGCAAGGCACTTCTCATGATCACGGCTTTACGTTAGGAGTCTTCTTCACAGCGTGGTAACCTCTCAGCCAAAATTGCCCTTCTTGCGTCCAAGGCCTAGTCGGTACATAATTGAGGATGAAAGTTAGAATAAAAATCCAGGCGCCAAAGCGGGGTACCAGGACCTGGAGTATGCGAAATGCGGCGCAGTCGTCTGCGAGTCCCGGGACGCGGCGATTGCGCATATGCATTGCAAATATGTCTGGGTCTGGAAGGATGCAATTTGTCATGCTAAATCCGAATAATGCGAAAATCTGTGTTGCATGAGGGCCAAAAGCTGTCCACTTTCGACCAAGTTGGGAGAAAGTTTCTCATGCAGGATCGGCATAGCAGAGATCTCACAGACTCTGTCATGCTAGGTCCCGCATTCCGGACCTCATGGGTCACGGAGAATTTGCATCACAAGTTTAACTCTCTTCCAGACCCAGACATATTTGCAATCTATAGCACAGTGCTCCATGCTATTTACCGTCACCCCGGTGTCGGAGTTGAAAGCGTGCGAGGAAAAGTTGAAAGGCAAGTGGGTGGTTTCCTGGATCGGAAAGTTGCTACCCGACGGGAAAGAGGTCGTGGCCAACGCGGCAGCGGCGGGAATCAATTTGATCGACGTCACAGCGGTTCCGCGCATAACCATTGCGCAGAAGCTGGACGTTCTCTCTTCACAGGCGAAGATTGCCGGGAACAGAGCGGTAAGTATGGTGTAAGTACTGCTGATGCTTGTTCTGTTTTGTGTACCAACAGCTTGGGGTACGAACGTGAAGTACGAACATTGATAGTACATGTTTGCGTTGCGTATGCGTTGCATCTTCTTGCGGGTTTTTGTGCAAGATAATGAGTGTAGTTGTACCAGTTTGCAAGAACATCCAGTTGATCATTCTTCAATATTCTAATTGTAGGTGATCGAGGGCGCGATCCTGTATGGGAAATTCATGGCCCCGGAAATCACGGCCGCGGGCAAGTATCCGCCCGCCAAGGTGCTGGTTCTCGGCGCCGGCGTCGCGGGCCTCGCTGCGATCGGAACCGCGGTGGCGTTGGGGGCGGAGTGCCGCGCCTGGGACGTCCGGGATGTTTCGGACCAGGTGGAGTCCATGGGCGGCACCTGGATCACCGTGGACTTTAAGGAGGAGGGCGCGGGCGCGGGCGGCTACGCGAAAGAATCGTCCGAGGCCTTCCAAGAGGCGCAGAAGCAAACCTTCGCGAAGCAGTGCGAGCAGTGCGACATTGTGATCACCACCGCGGCAATCCCCGGGCGGCCGAGCCCCAAGCTGATTGAGAAGTGGATGCTGGACAAGATGAAGCCGGGGTCGGTCATCATCGACCTGGCGGCGCTCGGGGGCGGCAACTGCACCGAAACGCAGAAGGGCAAGACCTACGTGACGGAAAATGCGGTGACGATCTGCGGCGAACTCGATTTCCCGTCCAAGATGGCGCGGCAGGCGAGTGAAATGTACGCCAACAACATGTACAACCTGCTGGACCACGTCATGAAAGCGAAGGACGCCACGACAGGCACCGCCGCGGACGTGCTGCCAAACCTGGTGGCGAACCAGACACTCAAACTATTCTCGGCAGAACATCCCCACCCCAGAGTTGTCATGCAGATTTGCAATTGTAGGTAGATTTGTAATGCGCATCCCCATGAGAGGCATTTCCAGTCGCGCTTTGGAACTTCTGATGCTGTAAACATGATAAGTAGATGGCTTTGTGATGCGGCTGCACTTGCTAGACTGCACTACAATGCAGAGAGGAACTTGTCATGCGTGAGTCCCAAAGCTTCTGGATTTGTGTTGCGAGATCCCCATCTTGACTCTGGGGTGCGGACGTTTTTGCACAGAATACAAACCGGCCGCGGCGGAGGAGGGCGCCGAGCCTGCGGCCCCAAAACCGGAGCTCGACGAGGTGGTGTGCACACAGGTGATTTGCGCGTACGAGGGGAAGGTGATCACCAGCCCGCCGCCACCCATGCCGTCCGCGCCGCCCAAGCCGCCTACCGCAAAGAGCGGGGACAAGAAGGTGGAAATCGCGAAGGCCTCGCTGATCGGCAACTCGGTCTTGCTGTCCACGCAGTTCATGATGTTCCTCTTCGCACTGCTCATGCTGGGCGTCGCGTTCCTGGACAACGAGATTCTGATCGAACTCATGATGGTCTTCATGCTCGCGGCCTGGGTGGGCTACATGCTCGTCTACGGCGTGCACCCGGCACTGCACACACCGCTCATGAGTGTCAGTAACGCGATCAGTGGACAGGTTGGTGGCGTTTTTTTGAACAAGAACAAGCCTAAAAATTGGTAAAAATGCTGCGAGTAGAGTCCTCCGAGTCGCAACTTTAGGGGGTCAGTTGCAGTTAAGTACAGTTGAACAAATGTTGGGGTAGCATGCATGTACAACGAACAGAATGAAAATAAAATTTCCGCATCACCCACCACAGGTCATCTTGGGCGGGATTTTCATGGTGTCCTCCGAAAACAACGACGGGAACATAAACGGCACGGCGATTTTGGGCGCGTTTGCCGTTTTCATTGCAGCCATGAACGTAGCGGGGGGTTTTGCGGTCACGTTCAAAATGCTGAAGATGTTCGTGGCGGAAAAGAAATAGAGGCTGCCGACGACAACTCTCTTCGCGAGGACATTGTGCTCATGAGCCACAAGTGTAACCAAAGTCTCTACAACTACAGAATGTTGATGTAAGTAGCCGACGAGCGCCGTCTCCCTTTACCTATCTGAAGTATTTTGCAAAAAGCAAAGTAGAAATCCTGGTGCAAAAAAATGCATCACCGGCACCGGCATAGAAGCTGGTGCCAGCAATGAATACCTACCTAATTATACTTTGTCAAAATGAACAAATGTATTCAGTTTTTTGATGTGTCATAGCCATTCCATCATTGTATCCAATGCCCCTGCCCACCACCACCACCACGCTTGCGACGAAAGGAGTTGTCGTATGAATCGGAGTGGTTCATCTTGAGATTACGAAGCACGGGGCATTCGGGATATCAAATGAAATTGCATTCCGTGCTGTTGAATAGATGCGACGATGTAGTTATGTACAGTATATGCTCGATGTCAAAGAATTTTTCAACATTTTCTAGATCTCAGCTGCAAGGACGAGATTTACGTACGTATTTGCTTGCATTGAACTTACCTGAACATGATTCAAGGGAACCGAACTGAAGATGGATGAAGCAGCTACAGTAAGGACAGAGGTATCTACAGTGAAAAAGTTTCCCAAAACCCATTAGTTACCAGGGGGGAGTTGCACTCATTTGATCTTCGGATGTTGGGAGTGGATTTGCGTTTGCTATAGCATATTAGCATATGTGTTCGAATTGGAAGTCGTGCGGGTGTGATGCAGATGTCCCTGGTATTTTTGTCTTTTTTTTGTTCCGGTTGCGGTTCATGTGCTCGCCTGACTTACAACGCCAACGCAACGCACCACGGGAATTCTAGTTCTCGTGAGATCTACTTCAGCTGAAGAGTAATCGACATGGAGATCCTTTTTCAGAAACTGCTTGGTGCTGCTTGCGACGAAGAAGTTGAGCAGCTTTTTGAAGATCGGGATCCTAGTCGTCCATTGAAAGATCGAGCGATGAAGTACCCAATAACACTGCTACTTCTATTAGACTGGTCCGTTTCTATTGATGCGAAAATCGAAATAGTTGATATTCTCCGCTGTATGTATCGAGTATGCTTTCGTGATGTCGCCACGGTCGAAACGGAAACTGGCACAAAGTACAGCTCTACGACAGATCTTCCCTACAGCACGACAGTAGTTAGTTAAGTTTTTTATTGGGCCCTTCACCCGTTCCCGTAAGTTTTCAATTTCACTTCACCAAAGCAGAGCGATCGTTGCAAGAGTTGTTGAAATAGCCTTAGCCTCGATGTAGTTTCTCCAGCCCCGTACCTCCTAAGATATCCTCAAAGAACAAATGACGAATAATTCATCACCAAGCGTGACGGCGCGTTTGATTACGCAGGTTTTCGCGACACAAGAGCAGGATGCTCCAATTTCGGCCCCGCTGACAAAGAAGAGGCGGATAAGTGCAGCTCCCGTGGCTGATGTTCATGAAGGGACAAGCGACGTGGTACCCGTACGTAAGTCATCACCAAATATCAAACCGTCGCAAGAAGTAAAAGAGCCGGCCGCTGAGACAAGGAAGCAAGACGCTTTCGTCTTCCTTACGGAAGAAGAGGTCAGAGAACTCGAGCAAGACATTCACTATCAATCCTACGACATCTCCTGTGCGGGCCATGCCTTGTCCTCCTTCCACACGGAGGCGCAAAGGGCGCGCCTCTTGCAAGCCCTGCTGGAGGAAGGACATCAAAAGGCGGGTTCGAGCCATGCGGTTGCGCCATCTTCAAGCAGCACCGCACCTACCCCACATCAACCCGCCGGCGCGAAGAAGCTCGCGGACATCAAGGGCCTTCTCAACAAAGAAAAGACGAAGATCAACCGATATCAGCTGAATATGACGAAGGACGAAAGGTTGGCGACCTTTTTACTACATAGTGATAGTACCGGCAAAACATCAAATGAAGACAGAAACAGGGAGCTGGTGCTAAATCCGAAGACGAAAGAGATCGACTTTTTGCTGGTGTTGAAAAACTGGGACAAGATCTTTTTCGCGAAAAGAACCACTGAAGACCTTTCGCAACTGAAGGAAAGGGTGACCATGGACGTGTTTTACGCAAAACTGACCGACGCGGTCTACTTGATGCACTTCAAAAAGCAGCTGGTGAACGAGCTGAATCTGAAGCGGTTTTCAAACGCGGCGTTGAAATTGACCGAGGTGCTGGTGAAGGAGGACCTCATCGTTGCCAGTTCTGGTCGTGCAGCAGCAGCTGCCACGAGCCTCCAAGCGGACGTAGATCATGCCGAACCACCTTGCAAGAGCACTAGTTCATCTTTCCGCCACTTCGCGAACGCAGAACTGCCGGGGAGCTTTCTCTGTGCCGTCAACTGCCGGCTCAGGTTGCTCAACAGTTTTTGTGCAAATCAGAATGATGTTGGGAAGAAAGATGGGCAAGTCACCCACCATTACGACCACTACTCCTGGGTGGGGAACAGCCTCTTACTATCGTAAGGAAAAATGCCCCCTCCCCATATTGAAAAGGTATGTTTCCGAAAATTTGTGTTGCTGATTTAGGGTCACAGATCACATTTATCTTGCAAGCAGCCAAGGGCAGAAGCTTCCGCCCCATTCTGGAAGCGATTTGTCATGCTGTTGGGCCCAAAGGGGAGCCGTTTGCCATGCTGAGCAACTAGACCCATACGCCCCGACCTCGCCTGGGGATCTGGCCGCCATGCCTCTCTGCAATACAGAGCTGATCTGTGTACGCAAATCAGCATCAGAAGTTTTCACTTTGATATGGGGAGGGGGGATTTTTCATTTTGATACTTACCGGGCGACATGGGACCGAACTCGCCCGGGTTGCCGGACTACTGGGGCTACTACGAGCGGTTCCCGGACAAGTGGCTCATGCGGGAGTCCTTTTTCAAGCAGTGCGAGCGGCTGCTGCAGCAAACCAGGCTGGTGGTGGAGGTCAATCTGATAAATGCAACCAGTACAACTACTTCAACGGGGAAAGAAGGAAGAAGTGCAGCAGATTCTCCACCCGCGCCAGGCGTCGTGCCTGTTGTACCACCTGCAGCAAAAACGAAGGAACAAGATTACACAAGAAAGGTGTTCCGGCTGCGCGACGAGAAGGGCCTGAGACAGGTGATAGAGCAGCAGAAATCGTTGGTAAACACGGTCAACGAGAAGGAATTATACCCGGAGTTCGCGACACACGTGGAAACGGTCACGCTGGCTGCAGCTGGCAGTCGTGGCCCGACCTATAATACAACTGAAGACGCATCTTCAACCACTCATTCCACCGCCGTGCAGCTGCGACTGGTGGTGAGAAAAACAGCAGCACACCAGAGATTCGTGTTCCTGCACGCGGAGATTAAGGACATGTTTGCGAACGTGGGTGTGGTTGCGGGATTCGAGGAACAGGAAGGAGACAGCGTCAACCAGCTCGAGGAGCAAGATCCAGTGTCTGAACCCCAGGCAGCTGAAGACAAGACCACAAGAAGAACTGAGCTGGTCGTGACTTTGGTCCCCCTGCTACAAGAACCCACATCGCAGAACCAGAAGGCGGAGAGCGGTACAACTTCTACGGGAGCTACGAGAAGAACCGAAAAACACGGAGATGTTGGCTTCGACATTGTAGTCCCGCAGGAACATCAACAAGACATGAACGGCGACATTTGCGACAGACAAAACTTGCGATTCATCGAAGACTTTTTCCGGTCGAACAAACAGCACTTGTACACGAGCGACGCGGGGATCGGCCTCGATGTGGACGAGTACGCCGAACAGGAGTGTGTGGAGATGAAACTGAAGCTCGCCGAAGTCGTGTGCGGTCTGCTCTCCCTCGCGCCCGGCGGACACTTATGCATTGCAACTATGTCTGGGTCTGGAAGGATGCGAACTTGTGATGCGCATTTCGCAACACGCACAAAGCTCTCATGCAGAGGCAGCAAAAGCTGCCCATTTCCTGTCACCAAAGTAAGGGATTTGTCATGCGGATTAGGCAATGCGAAAGATTCTCGAAATCTATCGTGCCAAGGCTTCCATGCCAGACCTTCTGTGTCATGCAAAAACAGCATGACCTCTTCCAGACCCAGACATATTTGCATTTGATAACACTTCTGCATCAAGATGTACACGTTTTTCGAGCCCTTCACGCTGCAGGTTTTGCTCCTCCTCGGTTTGTTCTTCGAGGAGCTGAAAATCACGAAACCCATGGCCTCAAAGCCCACCAACTCGGAGGTTTACTTGGTCGGAAGGGGATTCAAGGGCGAAAGAGAAGTAGACGCAAAGAACGGCATAATTACAACTGATTCGAAGTTGCGGCAAAAGGTGTTAGAGCTCTTTCTCGCACGCATGGACGAAGTTGCTTCCGATGGGACGCCGAGTCATGGCAAAAAAGACGTCTTTGACGACTCGGATTTTTTTCCCCACGACCTAATAGAGGAAAAGGACCTGGATTTCGTCGCGGGCATTGCGGACAAAATCTACCTGCGGCAAGCACTGTGGATCAATCGGAATCTGTTCTACATGCAGAAACACTACAAGATGAACCCGGCAGGAAGCAACATGAACAAAAAGCCTATGACCCTGCAGGATATTCACAAGACAACCAGACGGGTGCAGGAACGGCTCAAACCGACGGTGAGTGGTTATTTCAAGCGCTTCGTCGCCGAGTATGAGTTTCACCGAAAACTGACAGACGAAGAGAATGAGGTGGTGTTTTAGTGATGTGGATCGCGAGCTTTCTATCACTGACTGTTATATGACCCACGGACATCATTATCAGCGACCACGTTTTAGTTGTTACCCGCGCAAGTAGGTCGGCCCCATCGTCATTTTCGCACCCATTGAAAACGCGAAAGCGATAGCGAATGAAGATAGCAACAGCGGTGCTTGCCATGAGCAGCAAATCAGTACTTCCTTTGTACCGAGCCCTTGTTGTGCGTTGATTAGGCACAACGAAGAAAGTCAAAGCTGCTAATCTCGTGATTGGGCGACGGAGATGGCCTCGTGCATGGTGTTCGCCGTTTCTGAGTTTTATTGTGCTAGGATGTGGATGCTCTTATTTTGCAGGACAAATTTAAAGAATTTCAATCTACTACTACTAGCTACCAGGGGACCTTTAAGTTCTCACATCTGGTGCTCCAGAAAAACGAACAAACCTCAAAACGAGCCGAAGTTGTCGGTAGGAACGAACTACATTGTCGTTTTATTAGAAGCTGCAGAGCTGCTTCACTTCTTGGGGCAGAGGTAGAGACCAACAGCATCAACTGTGAGAGCGAAGGAACATGAAGGCAAATTGTCCCCTCTGGTTTTGTTTCCACGGGGGCACATCAAACAGAGCAAGATTCAAATGAGGCACAAGATGCTAAATTTTTCACAAATTCAGAATGTATGTATCCAGTCGGGAAATAATGGCCCGCATTGCGTAGCAGTAGCACCGGCCGCATGTACGGGGGGAAGAATTATAGCAACATCGTGGTGCGTAGCTAGTATTTGCGTTTCTTCGCGTTTCGGGTGAGAGCAAAAAATGCGTTCGTAAAAAAGTAGATTGCGACTTCTCGCGGCTAGTACCCTCACCACGCGGCTGAAGTGTACTTACAAGATCTCGCCAGCCGCCTTGAGGCAGCTGCTTTTGTGCACTGCTTTCTTCATTTATTATTGCGGTTTCGGTTGCGGTTCTCGTAAGAACTCTTGGCCATTGTGGTGGTTCACGCGGACGACTACAGGTGCTCTCTCATTAACGGTGGAGAGGTAGCACCTACGCCAAGCAAAACGGAACCAGGTTGGTGAGGGTCAACGCGACGTCAAGGAGGGCCCGGCTTGGAAGCGGAACCTGTACAACTAGCTTTCCCGCGTCATAGGGTCGTGTTCACATTCCAACTTTACCAACGCCCAAGGCTCGGCCATGAATTTGCACGTTCAAGGTGGAGTATCATCAAGCGCAAGCGGCAGAATGGCACCGGCACAGGGAGCACGATCGTCCGGAGCCGGACCTGTTCCGGCAGCAGCTGCTCTGACTGACGCGTTCTCCGCCGGCTTGCTCGTGGCTGGTAGTGGTGCTGCGTCGACCGACAAACTGGTGGAAATGCAGCAGACCATTTCGCAGCTGACCTCGGAGAAGAAGATGTAGGACTTTTTGGTGGTAGGAGTGTGAATCACCTTTTAGATGATGTAGGACTTTTTGTTCCTTTTTGGTTCATTAGGTCCGTGAGTATCTGAGTTGAAAAATTTGACGTTTCAATGCTTTCGCCTTCACTCGTAAATAGTTCCTAGAACCAACAATGTCAAAATCAGGTACATGGATATGGCCCACGCTTTGAAGGGAAACATCCGTGTCTTTATGGAATTTCGCAAACATCACAAAGGTTTAAAAATGCATTTCTGTCGTACAAGTTGCAATTGTAGTACTATACGCCACGAAGAAGGCATCTGCTGTTTTTGCTGTTATCTTTTCGTTCGACGGCGCTGTCTCACTCTGCGGCGCGGGGTCTTCCCCGTCAAAAGCATGCGTAGGAGAAGTAGTGGGCATTTCGTGAAGAAGAATTAGGAATAAAGTTATCTCAAAAAGTTGTACTTGTAGATACACACAAGAACAACTGTGCGCATATTAATATACCTAAACCTTTTGCCCCAACTCCATTCCCTTCTGTCGGATTCGGCCGAACGAAGAGGGCACCTCCTCCAACCTCAAACCCCTTTCGGAAACGCAACTGGAAGTGCACTCAAGTAGTGCAGCAGCTTCCTCATCATCTTCGGGCACGACATCTTCGGAGGTGCAGTCTGGGCTCCACAACGGCGTGGCCGGCACCACGGCTGGTGGCAGCAGTAGCAGTAGCTCTAGTTCATCTTCCTCGGGTAGCAAGAAGCGGCTGGACCACCTCCGTCGCACGAACACCTACACCGCAGCGGAGATGCGCAAGTTCGACGCGTCGGCGCTCAGCCCGCGGAACAGCAGCATGCTCGGCGGCGCGGGAAACAAAAACAATATCAACACCTCGAAGTCCGTGGGAAGAATCCGGCACTCGAGCACGACGTTGCACGGTGCTAGTAGTGGAGGGGGAACTACGTCGATCGGGCAGCAGAGTGGCGGTGGAGGCACTACAAATTCCAGCGACCCGAAGATCTTTTTTTTCGACAAGCTGTTTCCCGAGCAGACCACCGACGATTTCATCTACGAAAACTCGATCAAGGAGGAGGTAAACTCCTTTTTAAACGTATTCTGAGTAAAAACGTCCCCACCCCAGAGTTGTCATGTAAATCTGCATGCCAAAAAAGTTTGCCATGCGGAGCGCCATGAGAGGCATTTTCTAGTCGTGTTTTGGAATTTGTGATGCTACAATCAGCATGATATGCTAGATCTGTGATGCTGCTGAACTACCTAAACAGGATGACACGTACGAGGACAGACTTGTCATGCCAAACGACCAAAGCTGGCTGATTTGTCTAGCAGATTTCCCATCTTGGCTCTGGTGTGGGGACGTTTTTACATAGGATAAAACGGCTTCAATGTCGCGCTGATCGCGTACGGGGCCACGGGCTCCGGCAAAACGCACACCATTTCCCACATTTTTCGCAACCTCTGCGACCACCTGGGCGAAACCATGGCCACAGGGCCTGGCTGCGCCAGCAGCGCTACAAGAACCACTTGCGCTACGACCGTCGTCCCGGGAAGATCAGCATCATCATCATCCACTTTGGGTGGACGTCCTAGGTCGCTGAAAATCCAGCTGCTGGAGATCTACAATGAGCAGATTCGCGATCTCCTCGTCGAAAGCAAAAACCGGACTTCCTCCAACGTGTCGGAGAAAAACTTGCTCAAAATCACCACGACTGACGGGACAGACAACTCCACCGCAGGAGCTCAACATGGCGCGAACAATAGTACAGCCATCAAAACGGTCGTGCAGAACGCCACCACGATCGAGCTGGACCTGACAAAAAATTCCACCCAAAGTTGTACTTCTATGCAGGACTCGCTGACGCAGATTTTCGAGTTTGGCAAGCAAAACCGGGCCACCAGCGTGACCAACGTGCACGACCGGAGCAGCCGAAGCCACTTGATCATTTCTCTGGAGCTGATTGTCCACGACGAAAACAAGAACTGCGCAAGGACTGCTTCCAAGCTGACCCTGGTTGACTTAGCGGGGTCGGAGCGGCTGAAGAAGTCCGAAGCGACCGGGGACCGGCTGAAAGAAGCGCAGTACATCAACAAATCGCTGTCCGCGCTGCAGGACGTCATTTGGGCCCTGGAGCGGAAAATCTCGCACATTCCGTACCGAAATTCCAAACTGACCCACCTGCTGCAGGACTCGCTCTGCAACAAGGAGCAGCAGGGTCGCACGGTGATTTTCGTGACCGTCGACCCGAGAGTGGCGAACACGCAGGAAAGTTTGCAGTCCTTGCAGTTTGTATCGCAAGAAAAAACTGTTTCACTGTAAATTTGTGATGCATAAAGTGGAACACAGAAGTATTTGTCTTGCTACACATGCAAGAAAGAGGATTTCGATTTTTAGCTGTGTTTCCCCTTAGGAGGCTTGCATGGTAAATTTTCTCTGTCATCCTGTAGAACGAACTTGTGATGCAAAACTTGCAAAATCCTTACCGTGAAACACTTTTGTCGTACGATAGTTTGGGTCCCGGTTGAATTCGGTGTCCTTCAATTCCATGCTGTACAAAGCGGAAAACCTCTTCTCCTCCGTCGATCTGCTGGAACAGAACCGGTTGCAGGCAAAGCTCAACGTCGAGGAGAAAAAGTGTCAGGAGCTGAATATGACCTGCTCAGCTGTTACAATCTCAAACGTTACAATAGAATCTGAGATTTGTCTTGCATGATCAGCATGACAGACTCGCAGAGCGTTCTACTTTCTGCAATACAAATTTCGCCAGTTTGTAGTGGGGTTTGGGGCTCCGGAACTTGTCATGCGCAATCCTATGAGAGTTGGCTAGCTCATGCACTCTTGCATCACAGATTTCACTATTCTATTGTAACGTTTGAGATTGTAACACCTGAGCGGGTTATACTGAAACAGGAAAATGAGAAACTGCACGCCGAGCTGAAGCAAAAGGACGAGAAGGTGCAGGAGTTGCGGCTGGAAATGCGAGATATCCGCGTCAAGCTGCAGCAATTCATGCAGACTGCGAACCGCGGCGGGACCGCGGAGAGTGCGAGCAGTGCCGCACCCCTACCGGAACCACAGCGGAACCACAGCGCGTCGACTTTGGAGCACAAATTCATGCAGAGTGAAGAGGAGAGACACAGGCAGGGGGCGGAAATAAAGAGTATCCTCTGCAAAAATATATTCGTTGGCTTCGTATGATTTAGGAGGTTGTCGCAACATGGCGGGACGTCAAGTATCCCATTTTGTCGAACGCGTTTGTCTTCCTTGCTCTTGCATCGACAAGCTCGGAAAAAAAATTTCTTTGATCATATAGTTAGATATGCCTCGGAACTACATCATATGGAGGCACCAGAAACAATTTTGCAGACCGTTGCATAGAGAGGCTTCGAGAGCAACTAGCCGCGGCGTCGACCTCGATGAAAACCAATTCTACGGCCTCGACATCGTCGACTGCAGGCGCCGTCGGCGGGGGAGCTATAACAGCCGGCGAACAACAGCCGCACGAGAAAACATATCCGCACAACAGCAACTACACGACCGGTGCAACTAGCAAGCCTTCGGCTGCCGGGTCGGCTTCCTTCCGACCGCCGAAAAGGGTCGTGGGGGCGGGAAGGGAATCTACAAACCCAACCGCTCAACAGCAGCACCAACCGCATACAGGAACGACGCCAGGTCTAAAATATTGATGACATTTTTTGCTATCTCCGTCGAAGTGGAAGATGCCACTGCATACACGGAGCGTTACTGTTGAAACCTCAGGGGTTGGATAAATCTTTCAATTCCCTTCATCCATGCGTGCTAGTCTACAAAAATTTTTCTTCGTATAATGTCAACAACAGGGTTCCGCTCCCCTCGCAGCAGTCGTGGACCAGCGACCTACAATTCTGGGTCGCCCCGCGGTACCCGGGCCGCCAGCATGACGCAGCCCGCACCATCGTCATCGAATGCAGGAGCTGTGTACAGCGCGATGTCACCCCGAGAGCGCGTCATGGCAAATAAAGGCGGGACGGCAATGAGTCAGCACTTGACGAGTCGCGGTAAAAGATTTTCTTTATACTTGCAATTTTCATTTGTTATTGTTTGCGTGTATAAGCTCATTGTGATCGAAGGAACATCAAGAGAGCCGCTGCTTTAGCAGGAACAAGAGAGCGGCGACGCGTAAGTGCGTTGTGCGAGGGAATTGCGAACATAAAGAAGAATACCGCGTTTATTTTTATCATGGCACCGACCCATCAAATTCAAAGGTTCCCCCCGCGGACCCCCACATCATCCTGCCTCTGCCTCAGTCGGCCATCGTGTGAGCGCGCGGGGCTCGGTTTCTTCGCATCATGCCCCCTCGCAAACCGGGCCGAGAATCGGTTCCTCTAGCACGACTGTGGGCAGCGGCACCAGGGGATCTTTGCAGCAAGAGGTCGTGCACCAGCGCGACCAAGCCGAAGAACAACATCGACCCCCGCCGCACATCAAAAAGCTATACAACCAGCAGTCGCTTTCCGCAAACGACGCACAGCTTGCAGAAAGTGCGAGCTCGTCCTATGCAAGAACGGCAATCAACACAAGGTCTTCGTTGCAACAGCATCAACAGCCGCAGCAGCTTACGACCTCACAAATCGTCGCAACGTCCTCGGCTTCGACTGCGAGTATTCTGAAACCGACGTCGCTGCTGTTCCCAAGTTGTTCTGGTGGAAGCGCAGAACAGCAGCACCAGCAACATCATGCTCAACATCGTGCTGGCGTCCCTACGGCGACCACCACAACCACGATTCAGGTCGGACCGGCGGCGACGCGGGGCCCCGTCACGACGCAGTTTGAAAGTGGCACTCTGAGTAGTGGTGGCTCGTCGGGGTCATCTTCAGGTCATCATCGGCATAGCGGAGCAGTAGGTTCTAGTACCAACAGCCGGGGCCTCGGTGGCAATCAGCAGTCAACTACGTCTCGCAATAACGGTGCACCAACTTCTCGGTCCGTCGGCCCTCCTCCGGTTCTTGCCGCGAAGAACACGACCTCTGCTGCGGGGGGGAGCTACAGCAGCCATTTGACGACACATCAGAGGGCGCCTGGTCCTCAGCATAGACAGCAGCACAGCATTTTGACCACTCCCCAAAGATATTTCATACAACCGGTGACAAGCAGCGAGGCGAAGGATTTTTGCAAGCAGTACACGCATCTGCAGGACGTGGATACGGACAACGCCGAGTGCATCATCCTGGGCGCGACCGTTCTGAGCAGTCAAACCGGGCGGCACTTCAGCAACTCATTTCACGTTCCAGGGGGAGGTGGTCAGCATGTTGTCACTGGTGGAGCAGGGACGTCGGCATCTTCACCTCCTAGTGGTTACAACCATTTACTCCGGGGCGGCGGCTCTGTCGGCAGCAAGGACTCCTCTGGCGGTGGCGCGGGTAGTTTCGTGCTAGGCGGAGCAGGAACCCTGCAGCGTGTGGACTCTCAGGTGTCCGTTTCGAGCACGGGCAGTGAGATCAAGTACCGCCTGCAGAAAAGTTTGATGATGTCCCGCAGGGGCGCGAGTGGTGGAAGTGGTTCGGGGCCGAGTGGCGGGCTGGCCGCAACTCCGAACGCGAGCCGAACCGTGAGAACGGGGACGCGGCGGTGAATGTAGCGGGACGAGGGACTTTGTTATGCATGAAGCATTCTAGATCTAGTACCCTTACTAGGTTTCACCTAAGATGAACCAAGAAAACTTTTTAAGAAACGAACCGGACTTCTCTTTTAACGATAACGAAGTCCGTGCCAGTTGTCGGCCGATTTAAGAAGCCTTTCTACTGCCATAGGATAGTAGTACCCATACCGATTTATCATCATCATGCTCGTGGATTGCCTTCGCCACAACTTCGTTATGCAGGAGCACACATGAAGAATCGACATCGAAGCCGAGAGCAGGTGGAAACTCGAAAAAATCTAAAGGCACTTGAGTTCCATCAGCAGACCTTTCACTCGATTATAAAAATATTAAGATGAGAATACAGCTGAGCAAAGGAAAAGAAGTTTAGAATCTCCTGTTAGCACTCTGCAGGGGCGACCCGGGTCGTGGTCGCCGTTGAGAGTCGGAGTTGAGCAATGTTTTTGAATGTGGTGGAAAAAATAGATTAGCACCTAGATGAATAACGAGAAGGTGCAAACTAACGGAATGAAAATGAAAGTCAAAGTTCGGATAATGATCGACTCTAGGACAGCACACAATTAAGCAGAAATCAATAGACGTGCGAAATCAACACATGAGAAGGCTTAATATTACGGCAGATTTGTTTATCAAGTAGTTCGAGACATCATAGCCGTGTGTCGCCAGGAGCCAGCATGGGCGATCCTACCTCCAACCAAGATCGAAAGCTGTTCGTATGTATTTTTCGCAAAAAGGAAAATGTTGTGACTCCATATTTCTGCTTGTCGATAGACAACAAGCATGGCAAAGTCCTTCGGTCTTCAAATTACCTGCCTGTTTCGGTACGAGGAAGAATCCCGTCGCTGAACAAGTACGGAATCAATGAGCAGAACGGAGCAGTCCTAATTTTCTCTGCTTTTCCTCTTTCGTTATTTGTGAGGATGTGGTTCGGGTTTCTCTTTCTGTTAACTCGCTCCTTTTGTGCGTCCCTTCCGAATTTTGCACAGGGCGAAGATATTTTTTCGTTTCAGACTAACTTAAAAATGAAAACGCGAGAGAATATTTTGCTACGTATTTCTGGCCTTGTGTCCCTCTCATTCGCTGCCTTTAATTAGAACATACCTGACTTTCTCCGTGTGATATTCTAGTTCATCAGTCGTGGAGGTCTCCCCCATTATAGTTTCACTCAGTTAATATTTCCATGCTCTCTCAATTATTTTGATTTTTATTACACGTACAACGACCACATCTTCATCCCATCGTCATCCTTTACCTCCTCTTTCTCAGTCGCAAAGACTCCAAACATCAAATCAATGCACGTTCTTTCTGGTGGTGACTACACACGACTCGCGGAAAAATTTCCGACCTGCCACCCGACGATCCCCTTGTCCCATCAGGCACAGTAAACGCCCTACTACAACAAGAAGCACACGCAGTTTTTACGAGTTGGGTTTAATACTCACATAGCACAAGAACTTCATCTACTTACTTAGAAGCCAATCGAATGATCGATCCCGACACGAACCGCAAGTACCTGGCGTCCCTGGACCCGGAGGAGTTGGCGCAGAGCTACGCCTTCTTCCAGGGCGTCTCGGACCGGGAGATTAAGTTCGAGGAAATCTCGGCGCGCGAGGTTCTCCGCGAGTACAATGACTCGGGCGAGCAGTTTGGCACCGTGGGCTTCTGGAAGAGGTTACTGCGGCGGAAGCTGCAAGTGCCTCTGCACGTGGTACAGATTGTCGTGGAGCAAACTACGAAAACGAAAAATACGGAAGACGGGGAGGAAGAAGGCGGCGGCACACCGCGAAAATTGTCCATCGTGAACTGCAATGTTAACGGCGGGGAAGATGACTGCGACGAGGGGAGCAGCGACAGTGATGCAGAAGGTAATAAAAATGCTGGTGCTGATGTTGTCCTTAGGGAAGTAGATCTTCAACTTCATGCTGCTGGTGGAGAAGAAGTGCCACCAGCACCTGCGCGGAGAACTACAAACGTAGCTGCTGCTACCGTGGAGGTCGGCCTGCGAGAAGACCAAGTTGTAGAAGGAACGACAGCAGCAAGAGCTGCAATATCAAATGTAAAAATGTCTGGGGCTGGAAGCTTGCCAGGTTTGTGATGCATATTTTGGAAGACTCATGATGTCTGTGATGCATGCTCTAGCGTGACAGATTTTTCGAGGCCTTTGTGATGCCTCTACCGCATGAGAAATGCCCTCTCCACGTAGCACAAACTGGAGTCCTTTTGCTGGTCGTACAATACAAATTTTTTTAGAATCCAGAGACAACACTACAAGTTTAGAATCTTCCAGACCCAGACATTTTTACATTTGATATGCAACTACACCGGGCAATACTATCAAGGGCGACGAAGACGAGGAGGATTCCGACGAGGAAGATGAAAATCCAGCGTGGGAGTTACCAAAATGAAAAATCACCCCTGCCCATATCAAAATGGAAATCTGTGATGCGGCATGTTTGTACACAAATCGGATTTGTCTTGCAGTACAGGACTGCGGGCAGATGCCAAGCCTAGGCAGGGGCCTTTTGGTGCAGTCGCCTAGCATGGCAGAAGTCTGCTTTGTAGGCCTTACAGCATTACAGATCGCCTGCATAGCGCGGCGGTCTCTCTGCCCCTGCCTTCTTGCATGACAGACCGGATTTGTGGCCACGAATCTGCATCGCAAATCTTTAGAGGGACGCGCTTTCAATATATATGGGGAGGGGGGATCTTTCCTCGTAATAGGAGTCCAGTTGCGGCCGCGTGCTGGCCCCGGGGGATGATATCAAGTTGCTATTCGATAACATCAGACAGTTACAGATGCTGAAGGAAAGCAAAAACGTCTCGGGGGGAAGTGGTGGTACCACAGCGCGGCAAGTAGTAGCTGTACCTGGTAGCAGAACACGAACAGAAGGCGTGCAATGTGCAGAGGATGAACATCAAGACGAGCATGACGATCAGATGATCATCACGACGGAGTACCGCGTCGTTTGCAACATGAACAAGATGCGTCTCGAAAAGGAACGCAACGACCTGCATCGGTTGAAGTGGTCAAAACTGAACTCCCTCGGCCACGACCTCGTATCGGAGTTTTTTTACCTGGAAAAGTGGCGCGAGCACGTGGACTTCAAGTCAGCCGTCCGGAGCGGCTGGAAGCTGTTGCTGCCGCCCAAAAGCTATCAGCTGCAAATACGTCCAGGTCTGGAACGTTGTCGGGCTCGTATAATACAGGAAGGCGAAGGCTAGACTTAGACTCAACGTATGAGAACTTTTTGAACGATTCACCTGTGATGCGCAAGTTGTATGAGAAGCCGCGCATGACGAAGAAGCAGTGCGATAGCCAGTTGTATTCCGCAACGTGCAACATTAACATTACACAGAAATAATCGGCGGTTGTATGGGAGATCAGCATTTGAAGTCTTCATCTTCTTTCAGACCTGGACACGACATTTGCAGTTGATAGAAGCCGCAAGCGGGCGGAACAGAGCAATGCGGAAAACAAAGACGAGCTCATTGGCCACAAAAACATCTTACGAGAGTGCACATTCTCCAAGTTCTCTCATTCGTCATGCAAGATACCAAATCCGCACGGGCACTCCTGTGTACTTACTATTTTCTCACTACTCGCATGACAAATCTCTGCACAGGGGGAGGCAAAGTGTGTCGCACTTCTGTTTAGCATGACAAATCTCTCCACCCCAGGAAGCAGCACTACAGTAATCCGGGCCTCGATTCATTTGTGATGCGGAAGCCGCACTACGGCCTTTGCTTGTGTTGCTGATTTATATGCCAGTGAAATCATTTGATTTCAGTTTCACTGAACAGGGAGAGATGTTGTGCACTCTGATATAGCGAGCGGGCCTTCTACGACTACCCGAGCAAAATCGACGGAAAGCTGTACGACATTCTGCTGCACAAATACCCTTACGAACGCGCTTGCTACAACAAGGCGGAGTTCTACCGGCTCTGCCACGATATCCTGTGGAAAAACGTCCCCACCCCCTAGTTGTCGTGCAAATCTGCATGCTAAAAATGTTTCTCATGCGGAGCCCCATGAGAAGCACTTTCTAGCCGTGTTTATTCGGAATCTGTCATGCTCCAATGACCATGATATGCTAGATCTGTGATGCTGCTGAACTAGCTCAACAGGATTACACTTCTACGAGGCCAAACTTGTCATGCGCAACAGCCAAAGCTGGTGAATTTGTCTAGCAGATTACCCATCTTGACTCAGGTGTGGGGACGTTTTTCCTCACAATACACGAGTCACCGTATCTAGCCGCCGCCATGGTGGAGCACCCGGACGTGGACATCCCCGACAATGTTCTCAACGTGATCGATATCCAAGAAAAAAACGCTGTTAGAGTAAATTTGTGATGCGGAACATGCAAGATGATTGCGTCTGTCATGCTTGGCATGCATTGTAGGGTCCACTACAGGGCGTTTTCGCATACTATCTGCGCATGACAGGTTTTTGCTGTCATGCCAGACAGATTTGTAATGCTGTTCCTCCAAAAAAGTTACGCCTACAATGTTTTTTTCTTGGATAATCGACCCCACCGGCGTGACGATGTTCAACAACAAAGCAACGGGAACGGAGGAGCTGGGGCTCTCGATCTTGGACAAGTACGGGGAGCGGCTGCACGCGAAGATGCTGAATGCCATCGTGGAAGTATACCACACTTCCTGTCTGTATTCGAAAGAAAAATCACCCGCACAGCCATGTTTTCAGCTGCGCGTTTCGGCAATTATAGATACAAAGAGTTCTGCATCTGAGGAAAGTTGCATGGCAGCGTCAGTCATCAAACCGCATACGTGGAGTAAGTAGCTAGTTTCGTCATGATTCTGGAACACAAGAACAAGTTTTCACTCCGGACAGTCTTATCCTGTTGCAAGACTATGCAAACTTGTGAGTTTGAGCTGCTGTAGTTTTTTCCTTCCATAGTCTGACCCGCGCTATTGTCGCAGGCTACGAGCAACTGGCGTTGCGGTTTTGCGAGTTGCGAGATGGGAGGACTCGGAAGCCCATGCTGACCCTGAAAACGTTAACGGAGGACTGCAAGCAGGGCTACGCGATTTACCACCGGCACTTCGGTCGCCAATTCACCAAGCTGCAGGAATTCCAGGCGCAGCATGGCAGGTACCCGAAGCCGTACGACATGGCGCTCATTTTGGGGATGTGGGGGGTGGCGGAAAAAATTGAGGCCCTGATCCAAGAGTGGAGAGGATAAAGACATGAAGACGAAGATCGATCTGCAAGGTAGTGGAAACGACTAGTAGGTGATGTTCACGAAGGCTCTTCTTCTTTTTCTTGTGCTGCCTACCATGTAAAAATCCCTACTCAAGATGAGAATCGATTTTTCTTCAAACTACATCGCTGAGTGTCGTGTGACCGAACGATAAGTCGTAGACCGGGCGAAAAAGAAAAATCAACTGAAGCGAAAGAAAATGTTTCTATACGTGAACTGGCCTACTTGTTGACGCAAATGTGTAGAGTTGTTCTTTTCCTGGGCTGCTTTGGCCGCGTCGCGGCCGCCGAAAACATTCTGAAAAAAAGTGCTCCTTTCATCCTTGCGAACGTCTTTAGATAGAAACATGGATCTTTTCACCGCAGCAGGGCGAACAAGGGGGAGACAACATACATGGGCACGAATACCGTGTCGATGAAAAGTTGTTTGCTAAAGCTAACACTAGATCCAGATGCGTTGGGTTCGTCCGCGTGCTATGATAATGGTCCAGCAGCAAGAAGAACAAGAAGTAGTTCGCATACTGCTTCTTGCCCAAAATGTAAGTTAGTAATTATCCGTGTCTTGTTGGTCCATCTCCACGATCTCGTCCGCTGGAAGGCAAAACTGGTTTTCTTTAAGATCAAAAACAAGAAGATCAAGATCTTTCTGCCCGGGTCTAATACTACGCTTTCTACGTGCTCAACAACGATAGCTGCAACTCTGTGTTTTAAGGTGCATCGTGCGCGCTCATATTTAGGAGCATTTTCACTCCCGTCGACATGATTTTGATTAAGTATTGATCTCCATCTGGATCCCTGCCCAGGAAGGATCTTCTCCTTTTACCAAGAACGTTGGTTCTATTGAAGAAATCAGTATTTTTTGCATACTTATCTCGAACGAGTGCGTCAGGACCGCTACTGGTACTGGTTGGATGTTTGCTGTACGTTGAATAAAAGTTTTTCGAATTTTTCATCACCACATCTGGAGCTGCGTCATCATCATCCTGCTTTTCTTCTTGTGTTATAAACGCCTGTCCAAGTGATAGTGAATTGAGTATTTTCGTCGTGGTCTGGAGGTCGAGGTGGTGACTTCGTGTCTACAGCATCTGATTGTACTACTTCTGGTGCAGCGAGAAACAGACAAACAGAAAGTCAACGAAACAACTACTACTACACTTCTAAAAGGATTCATCAATATGGCCGCCTCCTACCGCTCCCTCCAGAAAATTCTGGAGCACACCGGATGGGCGTGCGATCGCATCACCGGGTCTCACCACATCTTCACGAAGGACGGCCACGGGTGCATTCCCGTTTCGATTCACTCGAAGCACGCCGTCTCGCGGGCGGTCTTTATGGGCACGCTGAAGTGCATCGAGGAACGACACGCTGAATTCGAGCAGCGGAGGACGAGAGAAGTAGATACAGCGTCAATCAATCGTGGTCGAAATTATGCTGGTAAAAAGCCTCCTGCACCGGAGGTCCTCACGAACAACAGAAAAACCTCAACTCTATCCGCACGGAATGAAGACTCTTGCACAAGCAGTTCAGCATCATCTCCGCCGCAATCACCCGGGAGCAGCAGCGGTGCGGCTTCTACCGCAGCACCGTCGCCGGAGGACGACAGTCCGCCGTCAACAACTTCTAAGGTCGACGTGAAAAATCACGGTAGAAGTTGTATCCTAAGCAAAATCGTCCCCGACCCCATAGTCAATCTGCTACAGAAATGATCCACAAGTTTTGGTTGTCGAGCATGACAAGTTTGGTCTCGTAGAGTAAAAATCCTGTTTAGCTAGTGCAGTTGCATCACAAACTGACTACCTCATCCTGATTCTACCATGACAAGTCTGCAGATAGCATTAGAAAATGGCTCTCATGGGGTTGCGCATGTGGGACATTTTAAGCTTGCTGCTTTGCATGACAACTCTGGGCGGTTGGGGACGTTTTTGCTCTGGATAAGAAGTTCTTGGACACTGCCCGTGATTCTCGTGGAGGAACTGGCGGGCGAGCCGGCTTTGCTCGCGGAGCTGACTGCGGAGGCCGAGAAGCTCACGGCGGCGCAAAAGGACCACGCGGAAGGGGCCGTGGAGGCGGTGCTGGAGGAAGTTTTCGTGCTGCTAAGTCAGGAAGCGTTTGAGCAGGCCGAGCGGAAGCTGAAGATGTTCTTCTACGAGCACAAGCTGTTTTCGCCCGGCAAAGTGCTCAAGGAGATGAAGAACCGCGAACCCCCGGGGCTGATTCCGGACCAGGATTATGCTTTTTGTGGTCATGATGCGGTTGCGGTTGCGGACGAAGGGGAGGGCAAAATAAACAAAGTGAAAGATGTTGACGTTGATGGATTGGCCGTAGCGTTAGCAGGACTGGGCTTGGAACCCGCCCAGGGGGCTGGCGATGTTGATCAACGTGCCGGTATTAAAACCACTTCTGCGACTGCTAGTGCGACCGCTAGTAGTACGACAAGCACCTGTACCGAACAAACTACAACGAAGGAGTACAGCAAAAAGAATTTGACAGACCTCTTGTCGTCCGAAACTTTGGAAGAGCTGGACTTTGTGCTGCTGGCCACCATCCGGGCCCGCGTGTTTCGGGTGATCGACACCGGATTCGTGTCCTTCGTGGAGACCGACGGCCTGTGGCAGATCCTGGCCCTGATCGACGACATGCACGCGAAGTTTTGGCGCAAAAGCGCGCTCGTATCCGACAAGCGGGAGGACATGCTGCGGAACCTGGCGACCCGCTTCAACGCGCGGCTCGCGACGGAGGTGGAGAAAGTGTCCTGTGCGGACGACTACGACGGCGACGGCACGAAGAAGGAGGAACGGCTACGCGAAAAAGGCAACAAGTGGTACAACCGCAAGAGGAAGGAACAACAAGCAGATGATACTAATAGCGTGGTCCACGACCAGCACGAGGGGCAGAACCTGGAGAAGCAGTATGGGAATGTGATACTCTTTTACGCGTCCGTGACCGAAGCGTTCGACTTCATCGCAGCCACGGTGGAGAAAGGCTACCTGAAGCGACACTACGTCGTGGAGCACTTCGGCCACGCATTCGCGCTCTCCGTCGCCTTCCTGTTGGAGGACCTGCGCAAGCGGTTTTTCCACTATCGCCAATTCGCGGAGATCGAGACCATTTTGCAGCGTCTGCTGAAGGTGTTTGGCGTCCCCACTTCGGAAATTTCGCCGAAGTGCTGGTACCAATTGACCGCGCCGGGTACTTCGGACAACGAGGTGGGCATTGTGCCTGGCACGCTGGAGCTAAGTGCCAACGCCTCGGCGATGCGGAAACTGTTTTTGACGGGCTTGGCGGACGATGTTAGATTGCAAGAGCAAAAGGACCAGAAGCAAAAGACCACACGCGGCACGAAAAACAGTTCGTGTCTGGCTTCGGCAGAGGCGAAGCGGATCCTGTCCAGGCAAGTGCGCGAGCGGCAGCTCGCGGACCAGAAGCAGTTGAACAAGGACTACATTCTGTACACACCGGAACACGCGGCCGTAAATTTGGGGCTCAACATTGCGGACGACGGGGAGTTGTTAAACTTGAAGATTTTTTTTCACCTTACCCTGCAGGGGCTGAAAGACCAGGACCGACAGGCCGAGGTAGAGTTAACATCGCCTAAAGCGGTGAAAAAGAAGAAGCAGTTGCTGTTTGGGCTCTACAACATCCTGTGTGGCGCGTGCGAGCACACGTGCCGGTCCGCCGACCCCGAGACCCTGGCTCTGTTCGGGGGCTGGTTCTCGAGTGCACAGATCCGGCGGCAGCTGGAGCAAGAGTGGGGTATGGACCCGCTGGAGGGCGCGCCGGAGAAACTAAAGGCAGAGGAAATGGAGGACGACGACGGCGAGGCAAGCGATGTAGAAGACGATGAGAATGTTGGCCAAAAAGAAGATGAAAAAAATGCGAAAAGTGGTAAAAAGACCGCAAAGGTAAAGGACGAGGACGGCGTTTTCACCTCCGCGGACCTCCGCCGCTACTTCGCGGAGATGGCGGACGATGCCGACGAGCGGGAGGAAATCAATGCGGCGAAGGAGCAGGACCAAGACTACAAAATCGATGTGAAACAGGTCGATGGGTATGTGAAGCTTGGCGACGAGCTGAAAGGCAGTCGGCGCGGTGGCTCTTCAGAGCGGTCGGGACAGGCACAGCAAGAACAATGTAGAAGTTGTACTGGAGGATCGGTTCTTGACGTCGCAACTACCATTCGCGCAACCGATCCCGCGACCGCAGTGGCGATGCTGCAGCAGGTATCAAATGCAAAAATGTCTGGGTCTGGAAGATTCTGAGACTTGTCGTGCATGGTTTGCATGCGCCATGATGTCTGTGATGCATGCCCTAGCATCACAGGTTTTTTGAGGCATTCTTGATACCTATTCCGCATGACAAATGCCCTCTCCGCGTAGCAAAAATTAGAATCCTTTTGCTGCTCATGCAAGACAAATTTTTTAGACATCCAAATGCAGCATCACAAGTTCCAATCTTCCAGACCCAGACATTTTTACACTTGATAGCAGGTGGAGCTGTTCTCCGCCTGTGCCACGTACCTGATCTGGCTCGCGCCGATTTATCAGCAGATGGGAAAATACGGGCTGGTACCTTTTAACCACGGCCAGCAGGCGTTTTTCTCGAAAAAGAAGGCGACCAGCAGGAATAAAATTGATACCGCAGTGGTCTCATCTGCTTCAGCTTGTTCGCAACACCTGCCCGATGTTGAACACGCCCAGTTTGATATCGTCCCCGGGAACAATAAAACGAAAGACAAGAAGGAGTTTATCTTTTGCGTGGGAGACCGGGTGAATCTGAAGAACTTAAAGAGCAAGCCGGAGTTGAATGGGCAGCGGGCCGAAGTTGTCGAATGCATTTCCGCGCAGCAAGGGCATCAAACGCGGTATGCCGTGCGACTGTTGCACGAAAACATCAGGCAAACAAGTCCGGACCACGAAAACTATCCGAAAAACAACAACAGCAGCAAGAAGGTCCTCCTCAGCCTGAAACCGGACTCGCTCGCCCTCGTGCGGGCCGACTACGGGAGCCTGTTGCAGAACCGGGAGGCCGGCGAGCAGATTGGGTTTGTGGCGCCGCGGATTCCCACCGCTTTCACGGAACGGGAGGAGAAATTCCTGCCAAAGGGCAGCAAGGAGCGGCAGGCCGCGTTTCGGACACAGTACGAACAACAATCCGACGTGTTCCGCGGCGTTCCGGACTACGAGCTGGATCAAGTCCCTGAGGTTCCGCACGACAAGGCGCTCCGGGATCTGATGACCGAGTATTTTGCGAAAACGGAGGACTTCGCAAAGTTGGTCTTCGGCCAGGACGGCAGAAGCACCAGCTCGCTTCCCGAGGTGCGAGCAGAACAAAGACACGGGTTGGGTCGTCAGAGGAATGAGGATTTACAACAACTTCAAGGTGTTGTGGAGGACTATGAGGAAGATCAAGATATCCTGTTTCCCGCAGCGAAAACGCGGGACAACGGCGAGCTCGACGTGGACCTGGATCCGGTGGCCGCGCTGATGCTCGGCATCCTGGCCCAGGACGTGCTGCAGGGCATGGCTGACATTCTCCTGATGCTGCACCACGAGTGGTCTGGTACGATCTGCCCCCACCCGGTTTGCCAGCAGGTGTTCCAGCTGCTCGAGAAGCACGGAGCTCACGCGTCGGAACACGAAGTTTTTGGGAAGTACTGGACCGAGCCGGCGTGGCGAGACTTCCACCTGAACACCATGACGGACTTGCAGCAGTGGAGCTCCAACCTGGTGCAGGTGTTGCTGAACTTCCAGCTGGCCTTTGAACTGGAAACCGAAAACGAGAACCGAGCGAACATTGCCTGGGCGTTTCTCGGGAGTGTCAGAACGAACACAAGAAATAACTCTAGTACGAGTCGTGAAACAAGTTGTACTTCTACTGCGGCGAAATCGAAAGCGAAAAGTTCTTCGTGTTTAACCAGCGGCCCGACTGGTGCGGACGAAGCGGCTGCAGCTTCTGTTTCGGCAAGTAGAACTACGGAGCAGGAGGAACAGCAACACGGTGTTGACCATGGGGCTGTGGTGGTGGACCACTACGTTGTCGACCAAGAACAGGAGGACAAAAATGATTCCGCCTCGTCGTCCACCCAGTTGGAGGCGCTGGTTTCGCTGGTCTACCGGGGCGAGCCCGCGTACGCCCGGCAGCAGCGCGAGCAGTCGCAGCGGGAGCTCGGAATTACAGCCCCGGGTAGCAACAACGTGTGCAAGTATGCGCAGGACTACCGCGCCATTCGGTGGGTGTACCTGCCCGCGCTGATGGAGCGGATTGGCATCCTGCGGCACCGTATTAAATGCAAAAATGTCTGGGTCTGGAAGTTGGTAACTTGTGATGCTGTTTTTGGATTCCAAAAAAATCTGTATTGCATGACTAGCAAGAGGAGTTCAGTTTGTGCCACGCGGGGAGGGCGTTATCAGGCAGCCCATGCGGAATAGGCATCAGGAAGCCCTCTAAAAATCTGTGATGCTAGGGCATGCATTACAGGCGTCGTGGGTCATGCAAAATAATGCATGACTTCCAGACCCAGACACTTTTGCATTTGATACACCGCACCGGCCCCAAGGAGGTGCCCACCAAGATGGTGGCGCTGCTGGGCCTGTGCAACGAGTGGTTCGAGAAGGCGGTTCTGCTCTATGAATTGGCCACGACGTGTCTGTATCCTGTGCAAAAGTATCGTACTCGTATTGCAATCATGCATTGCAAATCCTTTACCTAAGGCCAATCCGCATTTACAAATTTTCTTTCTCATGTTGAGAAAATTTGTAATGCATCTATACGAGTACGATACTTTTGCAGTTCATAGTCTGCCCGCGCAGCCGACGCTCCCCGGGGCCACGGCGCAGGACCTGAAGCACCCCATTTGCCAGTGGCTGGAGTTGCCGGGGGCGGGCGGGTTGTTCGGGGTGTTCGGCCGGGACAAGGATCTGGCTCAAGTACGGAAGAAAATAAGCGGGGCTGCAGGAGGTGGAACCGCCTCGACCTGTTCATCATCTTCACGAGGTAGTCTCGCCTGGGCCTACAACAATGCGACGAAAACGAGTGGTCAACAGGAGACATGTGCCACTAATGCTGCAACACTGCAGCAGGAGCCGCGTAGTTCAAAATCCAAGCAGGCAAAAAAAGATCATACGCAAGAGCGTGCTTCTGCTTCACCACTACAGCAGCTGCATACCGGGGCCGGGCCGTCGATGCGATTTTTCCACATGGGCATCTTCAAGAAGGACACCCCGCGAAGCATGCAAGAACTCGTCGGTAGTGGGCTGAAAGGGACTGATACGAAGATGGCGGACAACATGATCTCTCCCTTTTCCTCATAATTTGCAGGGCATTTGTATGTTTGTTGTATGTAGCATCAACATCAGAAATAACTACAACCGGAAGCAGGATCCAGCTGTCGCATGGCAAGACCATGCCAGGAGTTGCGCAGCTTGTTGGGCTTCCGGGCCCTGTTATGCAAACACAGCCAGAGCAGGGCCCAGGGCCAGATACGGGTTATTGCCATTGGGGGCATATGAATTTTGCATGACGACGGAATGGGAGGGGGAGTTGTCATCCACTAGCATAGCACACATCGAGACGTTCTTCGCCACCGTGTACCGTATTCGAGCGACCTTTGAGTTGCAGTTCTACACTTGCTTGCACTTGGAAGAGTTCTTTCTGCAGGAGATGAAAGTTTCTGAACTTGCTGGCGCAGCGTCGCTGCATCGGGAACAGCTCCACATCGGCTCCCTCGTGAGAATCAAGGACCTAAAATCGGTCTCGGGGCAGGCGTATCAAGTGCAAATCCGGCTGGATCTGGAACGAAGATAGCAGACCTTCTTGTAATGCTGTTTTTGCATCCGAAAGAACAAGAAGGCCTGGAATACTCACAGCGCATGGCAAATTCTTCGGAGGCTCCGTGCCTATAGGCCGCATGAGAAGTCGCGTCTTTTAGGGACAAAACGAAAAGCGCGCATCTTCTGCTAGATCATGCAACACAAGGCTTTGTGGTGTGTGCTAGCAATAGCATCCGCAGCACAAGTTCATCGCATCTACTTTCCAGACCCAGGCGCATTTGCACTCCATTAGGCACTGAACGGCAAGTACGGCTGTGTGGAGGGGAAAATTGCGGCCACCGGTCGCTGGTCGGTCGCGGTCGCGGGGAAAAAGGGAAAGAAGGCCTTGCAGAAAGAAAACCTGGAATTGTGCCCGCGAAACGGCGGTGGACGTGGTGGGCATCACCCAGCTACGGGAGCGCCACAAACTACGTCCTCTTTGAACAAACTACGGGGTGGCCCGCCCCGAGGAGAGGAGCTGCACGGGGATGAACAAGCTGGGAAGATCACTCTCTCGATGAAGAACTGCATTCCGTCACACTGCGCCGCTTGGACCGGCTACCAAACCGCGGCTGTTTTCGAGTCTGTGCTGCTTGGGAAAAAGGAGGAGCAGGGATCGTTCTCGGGTCAGCCCGTAGTGGTGGAAGCCTTGACCTGGGCGTATGCATTGCAAAAGTAACGTACTAGTATAAATTGCATTACAAATTTTGGCAAGAAGAAAAGTGGAATCTGTATATGCTGTTTTACCTTAGGAGGGAGATTTGTCATGCATATTTGCAATTAGTACGAGTGCGATACTTTTGCACAGCATAGGGCGTTGCTGAAACTGATTCTCGTCGACGGGGCCGCGGCCGCGGTTGCAACGACTGCGAACAAAGGAACTACTGCTGCTCCTTGTGGTCCATCTATTGTGGCGGACGACAGCAGCACGTCGAGCCCTGTCGTGAAGAATAACAGCAACAGTAGACCGCTGTTAAAAACAAGTCCACTTTTGATCATGTCCTCGGGAAAAAAAAGTTTGATCAGTTCCAAAACGCGGGAAAAGTTCATCGAGCCGCTGCAGGCGAGAAGGAAATCGCTCCTGCCGCTGCTGCAGCAACGGTCGCGCGCGGTGAAGCGGCTCCGCCTGTTTCGCAACACCTGCCTGCTGGGGTTCCGGGAAATCCCCAAAAACAGCAGATTCTGGGACTTCAAATCGATCACCGACTGCCTCTATGCATTTCTGCAAATTTTCATATCGCCGTGGGTCTGAAAGCATTGCTTGCCATGGTGCTTGTCTGACATGGTGACTCTGATGAGCTTTGTGATGCCTATAGGCATGCAAAAATCTTCACAACAGGAGCGGAAAAACTTTTCATGCTTGGCAGCGCACTATCGCAGTGCTCCTATGATTCACGACCTTTTGCATCGTGACAACTTTCCAGACCCAGCGGCCATATTTGCATTTGATAGCCCGGTCACGGGAGGCGTGGCAGGGTTGAAGCCGCTATCGGAGTTTACGGAGACGCATATACTCCACATGCCGGACACACGGGAACGAGAAGTCTGCGACCTGTTGTCCGACCTGCAAAGCGTAAGAATCTGCTCGGAGAAGCTCAAGGCGGAGTTACAGACGGTGGTTGGAGGCGATTTTCTGCAAAAGTATTGTGTCGCTTTTGTCCAATAGAAACATAAAACAATGAGATGAATGACCCATCAACAATGATGAAGAAGAAGTCGGAACAAGATGATGTGGTCAAAGTAAATGTAGTGTTTTTCTTTTTACTGTGTGATGTAATGTTGTACCGACTTGTAGCGCATCTCGTCAAAATAAGAATAACTCGAATCAACAACATTTTTGTCCGATCGATGACCGCAGGTTTAAGTCTTCGGAGTTGCGCATGGCGTTACTGGAGATCGGGAAGGCGCTCAATGGAGGTCAGCAGCAGTGCGAGCAGTCTAAGGGAACAAAAAACCGAAACGACAACCTGAACATCAATGCGAGCAGCAGCTCGACGGGCGGTAGCTCCTCGTTCGCGCCGGCAGCACGTGCTGTTGGTGGCGGGGAGGTGGTAGAGGAAGTGCAAAAGAACGCCGTGGAAGATCCCTTGGTGTTTGCTTACTTGGTATCAAATGCAAAAATGTCTGGGTCTGGAACATTCTGAGACTTGTCATGCACGGTTTGCATGAGCCATGCTGTCTGTGATGCATGCCCTAGCATCACAGGTTTTTCGAGGGATTCGTGATGACTATTAGCATGACAAATGCCCTCTCCGCTAAGCAAAAATTAGATCTTTTTGCTGCTCATGCAACACAAATTTTTTAGACATCCAAATGCAGCATCACAAGTTGCATTCTTCCAGACCCAGACATTTTTGCATTTGATACTTGGATCTGAAAAACGACGAGCCAGCGTTGACGAACAAGGAGATGGCGGAGAAGTTGGGGATTTCCAAGGAAAAACTGAAGCGCATCGCTCGGGAGGCGGCCAAATACTTCTTCTAGAAGTAGGCGAGGTTTGTAATTGTATCCTCGTCCGAGAGAGCAGCCCGGCTCTCGCCTTCAATTAGACGACTAGCGAGACAGCTTTAGCAAAAGAAGTGTTGCTTTAGACAGAACTGCAGTGGTGGAGTAACAAGACCGACGCCAGTTATGTCTTTCCGAATCTTTTCATCTTTGTCACACCGATAGGATCGGATCTGCTAATGCCATCCGTCCTGAATTTGATCAACCGCGGTCTTTGTTCATTCACTCTCGTTCAAGAGCGTGATCCTGTTTCCCGATCGATTTTTTTCTGTGAGTTCCAGCGATCCTCTCTCGCGTGATAGAAAGTTTACGCCCACTTCCAAAGGGGTAAAGTATTTCGCTGAAACATTTTTCTACAGAGAAAGCACGACTTTCGCTTTCGCGTCAAGGAAATCGCATAAGGCACTATTGTCCAGAACGTAAACGAAAGAAACCACTTATCGCAGCACGCGCCGCATGTTTGTTATTGCACGCAACCCACGAATTGCACAATCTGTCATTGCAAACAGTTATTTCCACAAAACGAAACAATCGATCTACTCCAACGCACGTGACTCCTCGAATTGAACAAACTTTTGTGTACCACAACAGTCAGCCAATACTCTGGCACTTTACTAGTTCAGCTTCAGCACAAGTCGCAGCGTGCCGAGTTTTGAAACTGCGAAGAAGCAAAAAATGTTGCGGGTGTATTATTCCGCCTTTTTCGGAGCCGAGATCGCGAGAGGCGCCAACTCTCCGTTTCCCAACGGATTTTTCGCTCCTCCGGGACTGAATCTCACCCCTTCATCCCCGGGACTGCACAACATCCCGCAACACTATCAAACATACCACACGGAAGGAGTCCAAGATCCTCTCCCGCACGACCAGCATGCTCTGACTCAGGAGCATGATGATCCGGCAAGTAGAACGTGGACAACATCCTCTCCCAATAACTCCCGTGCTACTGCTCAACCGACTCGGAGGCAATTTCGAAACCCACATCGAGCGTCTCCTTCTGGTGCGAAAGCGGACGCAAAAGGCTATGCCATGAACGCAGCTGGTGTCGCAATGCCACTTACACCGGGTTTGCAGGAGCGGGAGCACTCCACGAGTCCGCCACGAAGATGTTTCTCTCTTTTCGGGGGCACGTTGGCGGCGGGTGGTCCATCTTCGTGGCAGGAGTCGCAGCAGAGGTCGTGTGGTGCTGGTTATAATTCGTCGTGGCTGCACCATGATGTTGAAACCGGTCCGCTTCCCCCGCGGTCGGAAGATATTTTGTTGCAACAAGCTCCTTACGTGAGGGAACGCGACCGCGAACACGATGACATGTTCAGTGCTCGTCCGTCCGTGATGCCGTCTAGGATTGGCGACGAAAGGCCCCAAGACGAGGCGTCGCGTTTTGAAGGTTACGGACCGGGCTATCCATCTTCGCAGGTGCATGTTTCTGAACCTTCGGCTAGTAGAGAAGCTGCGGGTCCGCCTGGCCTGCAGCTTCACCCGGACGACAGCTTCACCGCGGGGAATGATCAACAACAGCCGATGCCAGCTGGATGGGCACCAAGTAGCGCCATGGCGCCTGCTCCGCAGCCGCAGCAACAAGCACGGAAGCCGCGGGGGCGACGGCGGGTGGTGTATCAACAAGAAGAACAACCGACGGCGCCGGCTGCAGAGGCGCAAAGGCTCGCGGCTTCGTCTGCGCAGCCGCAGCAAGAGCCACCAAAGCAAAGAACAAAGCTTGTCAAGAATATTCCTCTAACAGCCGCTCCGGAGTTGCACCAGGCTTTCAAGGACGAAGAAGCTGCTTCAAGGTATAATCCATCTTCATCTTGTATTTATTTTCGCGTTTTGGTGTTTCCTTTCGGTCCTCTTGTGAGCGTTTTTGTGAGTTTTTTTCTCTTTCGCTAAATAATAGTACTTGTCACAGAGGAAAGAATGGAAACGAGTACGAACTTGAATTTCACACTTCAGACTTTCCATGCCGACCTGGACCTTAAGAGGGTTAGCGAAGTCGGATCCTCTCCACCACACTCTGCCGGCGAGTGGCTGGGACATTACGCATGATGCTCTGGGGACCGAACCCTATGCCGCGTTGATGGAACGAACCGTGCGCAAGAATGCTGAAGAGCCGCAAGAAAAACCGGCGGATGACGGTACTTTTCTACTTATTTACTTTTTCAAGATAACTGTTTTTATTTTAAACACGACATAAGTAAAAAGCAGGAGAAGCAGATTGATTGGTAAACAATGAATCATTGAACACTTAATGTTTTATTCCACCTTGCGAACTATATCAACAAGGTTCGAACGAGCTCGACAACGACCCGCGTTTTTGGCCTGGACCGCCGGTGCTGGATCGCGAGCACCGGGTCTTGCCGGAGGCTCCTGCCAACGGTTCTGCTGATAAAGAACTTGCTCCGGTGGCACACCACATCACCTTTCCGGAGCTTTACAACAACCCGATTGTCCTCATGTTTTTGCTGAACCGCCAGAATAGACGCACTAGCACAACTACCGAAGGGAACCACGCCGAGAGTGGAAATCGAGATGTACGCGACGCCTCTGCACCTCCTGTTACAGCCAGATACTTTCTGGGCTACCCGTTGGAAGATGATCGGCGGCCGGCGGAAGATGCATGGTGGTGCTGACTCCAGAAGCACAAGTCATTCGACTAGTCGGTACGAAGAGTTCTGTCAAGATTTTGGCTGCCTGTTTCGCCCGGAAATCATGGACCTTGAGATGCTCGAGTTCGTGGTCGGGGGGGCGTTTCGGGCGGGGGTGAATGAAAAGTGGTGGGCTGGTCTGAAACTGTCTTCCCCGGCATTCACGGAGACGGTCGGGAAGCTTTACTTCCCCGAAGCTGCTGCTGCTGCTGCATCGTCGTGTAACGTTCCAGTAACAGAATCGGAAGAAGGACCTCTACTTACGTCGGAGACTGCTGCCGCCACATCGGCCGAAAGTGGAGCGGGAGATTATATTACTGAAGACTCCTCTATTTCTGCTGACCATACAACGCACACTGAAGAAGAAATAAAACAGCTTCCAAGAACCGATGTTGATGATAACAAGATGAATAACGAGCCCCCGCTGGTGCTACACAACAACGAATATTCGAATGATGTGCGGTTGCCTTCTGCGGAGGAATTGTTGTGGGTTTCTGCGACAGGCCGCGTTGTTAAGTTTGCTGACCCCTACGTTTTCTACGGCTTCTTGCAGGAAGAAGTGGACAGATATCTCGAAAAGGATGCCCAGCTTGCGCGGGCGGGTGGGACGAACATTCGCGACGCAACTTTCATCGCTTCGTCCGGTTTGCAGGGGAAAACGTCGGACGTTGTCCAGGAGACCACGGATGGGACCACGGATGAGACGACAGACGGCCGGGCGTCGGGAACGAGGACCTTGTTCGTTGCGCCCGGAACGCCAAGCTACCTACCGGCCTCCGCCGTTCTGGTGCTCGAGGCGGTGAAAACGGCGTGCGAGAAGTTGTGGCGGAAACTGGAAGTTGTAGCCGGGTCGAAGCAGGAGTTGTCACAAGCCGAAGGTACTAACCATGATTCGTTCGCCGGAAGATCCAGCCTCGAAACTGCATTTCAATTTCTCTCCCCGCCCAACACCACCTCCTCGTGGTCCTCCTCCACCGCGCACGCAACCTGCCACCGCCAGTCGTCTGCTTTGTCCGAGGAAATCCACCGCAGGAAGGAGCAATTGCAAATCGCGCAGGCAGAGCGGCTGTGTCGCGTTTTGCAGCTGGTTTTTCGCCAGCCTTTGTTACGGACAGTGTTCGGCGAAATCGGCAAAGCGGAAAAAGAAAGTCCATCCACCGCATTCCGCAAGTTGCTCTGGGAGAACAAAATCCCCGTCGGCGTGCAGTTCGCTTACGCACTCGCTTTTCACCCAAAGAACGGGGGAAAAAAAATTTACCAAGACCAGAAAACCGAGGTGGCGGACCCGGACAGGATCAACTGGGATCAGTGCTACAACTGGCTGTTTTTGGAGAACAAAACGAACAAAAAGCACGAAAACTTCTTTGCAGGGGATGACGAAGTTCTTGTCGCTGAGCAAGATTATGACGATAAATCCGGTTTGGTCTTTCCGTCTGGACGAGGGAGAAGTTCTGCAGCCAAAATGTTAGACGCGGTGACGCTGCGAGAGCGGCGAATGTGGGTGGAGGGCCAACATGCAAAAACCGCAGAGCCAGAATTTTTGGGCTCCTTCAACGTGGTCCGCGGAGTGGCGGCCGAAGAAGAGCTGGACATGGGACGAGAAGAGTGACCCGTAGTGCCAGCGGTGATGCAGCTGCATGCTCAGCGAGCCGCAGCGGCTCAGCGTGTAAGAAAACGATAGCCAACGACCATACCTGTTAGCGCAGTTCAGATGTTTTAGGCTTGTGAACAAAGCGATCACGTACCAGAAATAAGAATGGATAGCAGGCACAATAACAAACAGAAAGGCCTTCCAGCATAGTGCCCAGGAGGTGGCCGCGAATGCAAACGATGCAGACAATAAGTAGAAGTACCGACCAAATGATCGAAACGTCAAAGGGCTCTGCACGCAGCGGAAGATTCTACTGAGGCGCTATGGTTCTAATTAACCGTGAAAGAACCTCAACGCGGTTGAGTTTAAAACTGACCTTAGTCATCCTACGGCTTCTTGTGGCAACAGGGCCATACAAATGATCGGAAAGACACTATCACGACTTGCAGACGCTTTTTTTACTAAAGTATAAGTATGTTTACTACGTTGAAGTTTTGATAATCCGGCAAAGGTAACCACCTCGCGCGGTGCTGTTCGTTGTGACGAGCTCTCATCGTCTACATGAGGCTCCGTTTTTTGGACCCTTTTTCAAATAGAATTCTGATTCTCTGCACGAAATACGCCGCTTATTTATACCTTTCCAAGGCGAAAAGGAAATGGAAAACGTCGAGCAGAATAAATTCATCAGTTACACCACCTTTCCAAATCCAAACTTGTACAAAAGCAGCAGAGGTGTTTTTTTGCCTGATCTTGTTCGTTGTTTGGCGTCTCACCACCAGGAGTTTTTTCTTCGCCCAGACTTTGCCATAAGGTTGAGGCATGATGCCAAGGCTTCCTTCCATGGTGCAACTTCAATTTGGAGGTGATGTCCAAGTCCATCACACGAAATCTTCGAGACGAAATAAATAGAATGAGCAAACAGATAAACCAGAACCGTGTCGTTGTCGTGTTCACGACAGTGAGTATCTACGATGCCTTCACTGTGACTGATGCGATGTAAGACGCGGAGCAGTGTTTATGTAGCTCATGATATTATGGAGGTGTAGTTCTTGTTCAACCAGACCCAGACGGGCGCAGGAAAGAGCGAGCTTGTGTATCCCTCCGTGTACTATCTTCTTCTTCCTTTTTTTCTTGTGGTCCACATCCTCCTTGAGATTGAATACTACGTTGAGGGATTCTGTTCGTCTGAAGAACTGTGATTCTGTGGAGCTCATCAAGAAGGCGAGTGTCGTAACATGTCCTGGTGAAAAATACCTGAGTGGAGTTGGAAGTTGTATGGAACTATTTCAGAGGGTGCTCAGTCACGACGTTGCTTGTGGTCCTCCTGTCGCAAGACCTAGTACTACATGATCTTACTATAATCAATCTTCACTTTCTCACTGCGCGAGCTAGTTAATCAGATTAACCATGGATTTGAACGTAAAATTTTCTGCGGTCGCGAGCACGAGCAGCTCCTCGCGCGGGTCATTCGCAGCTGTGCACCCAGGTACACGAACCAGCACTTCTTCTTTTTCGCCGGGAAAAACGCCGGGCGGTACTGGTGGCGGTGGTGTAATATCTTTCGCGGCAAATAATCTTTACAAAGAGGAGTCAGATTCTGGCAAGGTAAGAATGAGCACGACCTCGGCGACTTCTGGAACGCTAGTTAATGATGCGCCGACAGGAGGGGATGTTGCTCCTAGCACATCAGTTACTGCGTCGATATCTTCTGTACCACCAGCCGCAGCCGGACCCAGAAGTGCTGACCAAGGAGGGGCTTCTACTGGTGCTTCTAAAGCCAGTACTACTACACCTACGTCAAACGCCCCGTCTGCTTCGTCGCGGAAAAACAGCACGACAAGCACGACATCCTCGAACACGATCGGCAACCCGTCGCTGCTGAAAAATGCGGCGGAGCTTGCCATCCAGAAGGCGATCCAGAAGCGGGAGGAGCAAAAGCTGAAGAAGACGAAGAGGAAGCTGAAGCTGCAGTGGGCGATGCACAAGGCGCGGAAGAGCGTGTTCGAGTCCATCCAATCGGAGCAGGAGGTCGGGGAGGCGCCGCCGAAGATTCCGAAGACCACTGAAAACATGCAGAAAGCCGACGAAAAGATCAAACAACTGGCCCAGGAAGCCGAAGAGGTGGTGGTGGTTCTCTCCCGGGCGACGACACCTCCGGAAGGTGTTGAACAAGCAGCACAGGAAGAGACCACAAGGACTAACCAGCAGGGTCGCGACGGAGACAAGATGGTCGTGGGCAGCTCGGGTTCATCTTTGAATAAAAAATCCGGGCCGGCGACCTCCTCGTCTTCGACGCGCTCTGGTATAGTTGTTCCCGCTTTAGTAACAACTCCCGCATCCTCCACATCAACCGCAACTCGGCAACAGCTACGCAGTAGACCTCGGACCGGCTCGGCGTCGTCAACTGCATCCGGCGGGGCAGCTAAAAATCTTGCCGCTCAAAGTAGTTATAACAACCACCCGCTCGGGATCGGGTCGACTACCGGAAGTGCTGACCACAGGGAGCACCAAGAAAGGACAGGAACTTCTACAACCGGAGAAGCAGCCGCGTGGTCCAGCAGTGCCGCAAGCGACGCAGCTGCGTCTTCTACCACTTCGAAAGCCTCGTCCTTTGCGACTGCGCACTCGAGAGCGTCGTCGTCGTCCAGTATGGTGGTCCAGGGGAAATCAACATCGCCAAGAGCGCCATCAGGATCTTGTTCTACTTCAAGTTCTTCTACTTCTACGCGCGCCAATGCTGCGACGAGCACGGCGGGGCTATCTGAAGAACAAACGGGCACCACGTTGCCGACCTACCCGCACCTCCACGCACCTCCAGCTGCACCCACCACACCAACCGCTGCAGCTGCGCACGGCTCAACCACGACGACGACCCCGTCAGGCAGCAGGGTGATGAACGAGCGCAGAGGTGGACCACCTTTCGTGCCGTCCTCTTCGCGCGCCATGAGCAGCACTTCTGGCGGCGGCGAGGCTACACTTTCATCATCTACTTCGGGTTGTAGTACTTCTAAGGTGGACGGTCACAAAACGCCGACGCGAATGCCTTCCCTGTCGCCCAAGGTGGGGACGGCGACGAGAACGGGGGCCGACAAAGGATCGTCATCTTCCTCCACTGCTCGGGCGGCCAAAAAAAATGGCACGAAGTGGTCTTCGCCTGCGAGGTACAGTAAGCACCAGGCGCAAACTTCCTTACCACTACCCCAACCAGGAGGGGGTACAAGTTGTACCGGGACCACTAGCACTTCCGACAATAAAACGCCCACGTCGAACAAAACTCCCACTTCTTTTCGCCGCAAATCCTTCCGGGACCCGACCAACGAGACCAAGGCCGAGCACTTTGTCCACTCCGTCCTCAGCCCAAAGATGCAGAAGTCGCTCGGGATCGGCGGCTTACTCTCGCCGGGCCGCAAAACGAACCGCGACAATTATTCCCAGTCCGGCTCGCTATCGCCCTCGAAGAACCGTTATCCCCTGCATAAAAAATGAGCGCACTCGTAGGTACTGGTAATTGCAAGCATGCATAAGTAGAAACACCTTATGTTTTTAGCTGATTTAGCATTGACAGTGACAGATCGCACATTCCTGTTCTGATTGAAAAAATTCGTATATGCGAAGATTTCTATCTACAACCGTCGATGCGACTGCGATATAACTGCTTTTACAATGCATCACCGCATGACGTCGCTGTGGCAGAAGAACGTCGGAAAGATCTGCACGTCCATGCGGGACTGGCGGAAGCGCAACCACTGCGATCAGGAGGCCAAGGGCGTTTTCATCGTGATTGGTGGGTACCCGGACTTTCGGCAGGCCATGCTGGCGCGGAACTGGGTGGAAAACACGGACCCGCAGAGCCGGTTCTTCGACCTGATCTTCACGCTGAAGGCCTGCGACATTGAGTACGACAAATTGGACCCGCACCAGATTGTGAACCACTACCAGCGCAACCGCGAAATCACGACGAAGCTCGGGCTGACGCTAAATCTGCGGAACTCCTCGTGGCTGCCGCCCGTGGGAAACATGGTGTTCCGCCGGAAGAAGTTGAGGACAATGGAGGAAAGTCGGCTGGCCGAGCTCGGAATCGGGACGACGACTACAGTAACGGCGGTTGGTGGTACGGATGAACATCAAACCACGGTGGGGGAGCTGCATGAATCTCAATCCAAAGACGATCAGGAAAAATCGGAGTGCTTGCAACGACCTGGCGAAAATCAATCGAAAAGAACTACTGCAGTAGACTCGGATCATCAGAGCGACGGTTGTTTGAAAACAAGCAGTGGCGCAGGAGCAGGAACGGTGACAACTACTACCTTCTACGCGACGACGCCCACCCCGCAGACGCCCACGTCCTCCTTCAATCGAACGGGAAACACGCTTTCTAGGTCAGGGTCGGGGTCATCCAGCTCGGCGACGTCTAAGCACCCTCGGGCAGACGAGTTTCTCCAGACCCAGTCGAACTTTGTGGGCAACAGTAGTTCTACTAACGGAATCAAAATCATGTCGAGCAGTGGCACTTCTACAGCGGGGGCAGCAGCAGGAACTACACCTACACATCAAGCTGGGACCCCTGCAGTTGCTGGGGGTAATAACAGCAGTAACCTGATTCAGGTGCAGTCGCTGTCGAAGCAACTCCGATCCACTTCGGAGCAGGAACCGCAAGTCACGCTTACGAACATGATCCTGCAATCGGACGACATCCAGATGCCGGACGTGAAAGACCATTTGCTCGACCGGGAAAGGGACGACGCAAACGCGGAATTATCATCTGCGGCGGAATCGGAGTTTCTCGCGCAGGAAAGCAGCAGCTTCTACCCGCTGTGCTTCGACCTGAGCCGCGAAAAGGCGGATTTCTGCACCGCCTTCCAAATCAGCAAGTGCCAAAGCATTCTGTGTGCCTTCCTGGAGGCCTATCAGAATAAGTACACAACTCCCCCTCGTTCTCATTTGTCATGCAAAATACCAAATGCGCGCTTTCCCTCCTGTCACTATTATGCATGACAAGTTCTGGAAGCCCAAATAGCACTACAATTCTATGGAAATTTGTCATGCAAAACCTGCATTGTTGCTGACGCTTTTATTGCCAGTTATGCAATACAAATGAGGGGGACGCGGGGGAGTTGTGCACTCTGATAAGGCCTACGACCAGTGCAGCTTCGTGGAGCGCAAGGACAGCTTCAACAGCCGCAAGGATATTACAATGAAAAATGTCCCCACCCCCGAACTTGGGAGCATTTGTATTGGAAACCTTTCCAAATGAAACATTCGCCCTCTTGCATCTATCAGCATCACAGATTTCCGATCGTGAATAGGAAAAATCTGTATTGCAAAAGATCCCAGCAAGAGCGGCGCTTGTCTCGCAAGCGATGCGAGACACGCCTAGACTCTGCATCAGAAAGGTTCATACTCATTTCATGCATGACAAAAAGTTTTCACTTGGAAACTTTGCATACACAAACTTTTGCAACTTGGGGGTGGGGGCATTTTTCCTCGCGATAAAGGAAGTCGCGGCTTTATTGGAAGAAAAATCTGCCCTGAGCGCAAAACCGCGGAAGGAATCCGATGCGGAGAAGGCGGCGGTGGCGGCCGCCAGCATGTGGAAAAAGAAGGTGTTTGGCAGGAAAAAAAAGGCGAACAGTTCTGGTGGGACGAATGAGGATCAGGACAAGATGAAGAGCAGCAATAAATTCGCAGCGAATTCTAAAGGTGGTTCCTCTAGTTGTACTTCCCCTAACGAAAAACAACCACAAACTCGGTCCCGGTCCAACAGTTCCTCTAGTTTGTTCGAAAATCTGATCCCGCCGGCCCACATCATCGAGAAGCAGAAGCAGATCCCGCCGTTTTTCACCCACAGTGAGGACGTGGTGCGGATCGCGCTGAAGGTCTGCAAGCGGATTTTGCTGGAGGCGGACGACGCGATCGACGACAAGGACACGGCGGAGAAGAAAAATCTGGTCACGTACGACGAGTGGAAGTACATTCAGCGCGTGAATCTGGACGATCCGTTGTCCGTGCTGGACAAGCTCCAGCGGCCGCAGCCCAAATTTCGCCAGCCGCTCATCGTGTACGATCCGCTGGACGTGAAGACGAAGGAGTTGAAAAGACTGGAGAAATTGAAGAAGAAACGGGACGAGAAAGACGCCGCCGACGACATCACCTACTACGTGCGGATGCCGGACTTCGCGCAGCGCCCGGTCTGCAAATTTCTCGCGTACGAGTGCAATTTGGTCCTTCACGAGTTCAACAACAGCAGCGAAAGCCGGTGTTTGATCGGGCCGAAGAACACGTGGATCATCAAGCCCGCGGGCAAGTCGCGGGGCCGCGGCATCGAGATGTGCCGGGAGCTGGAGGAGATTCTCCAGAAGACCAGCAGCGGCCCGCTGCCGAGCTACCTCTACTCCAGAACCCCGGACGACGATGAGAACTTGCAACAGGTTGGCAAGTACATCGAGCAGTGGATCGTGCAGAAATACATCGAGCGGCCGTTGACCATCAAAGGCTACAAATTTGACATTCGCCAGTGGGTGCTGGTCACGGACTGGAACCCTTTGACAGTGTATATGGCGTTCTCAAATGCTACATTCTCAATTGTTACATGAATTTGTGAAGCAAGAATTGCAAAAGTGAAAGGAAGGACCTTGCGCGTCTTGCGTGACAGGTTTGGCGCAGATTTTCACCCTGTTTGGCCGTCTGAGAATCTGTCACGCGAAGCAGCTTGATGGGGCCGATAGTCAAGGCTGATGAAGGCAAATTTGCGTGACAAATCATGTAACAGCTGAGAATGGAACAGTTAAAAGCGCCATAGTGTACCTCTGGAAGCAGCCCTACCTCCGGTTCGCGAGCAAAAAGTTTTCCACCACGGACCACTCCGCCTACGTCCACTTGGTAAACAATTCCATCGTGTACACGGACAAGGAGAATTTTGGCGAATGGAACGACGAGCTCGACTCCGCGCACTACATGTGGTTCTACCAAAAGTTTCAAAAGATATCCAGGAAAAAAACTGTGTAAGTGTATACTATGTAGGAAGAGAAGCATCACAAATTCGCTTTGCATTAGAAGGTAAACCTGTCATGCGCAGCTAGTACGTGGAAACACCAACACGTATGAAAGTAGCCTATGACGCAGATACAGCATGACAAGTGTGACAGTTTTGCACTTTCTGCATCACAGACTTACACTTACACAGCTTTTTTCTTGCATAAAAGTGGCTCCACGACGAATACTGTCCGCATTGCTCGATCGCGAAAAATATCCTGTGCAAAAGTATCGCATTCGTATTGCAGTCATGCATTACAAATCTTTAGCTTAAGGTAAATCCGCATTACAAATTTTAATTTTATCTGTCATGCGGAGGAAATTTGTAATGCATTTATACGAGTGCGATACTTTTGCAGTTCATAAAAAAGTTTGGCCACGCGCCCGCGAAACCGGATTTTCTCCACGAGCCCCCCTACACCTGCGAAACGTTTTATCCTTGATGGAAAATTATGAAGTCTGGCATCTACTAGCTACTTGTACGTCTATGCAACCATAATTCGAAATAAAATGATAGCGCGACTTTCTTTAACAGTAGAACTGAAGCTTTTCCCTTTGCTTTGCAGCTCCTCTGCAGCAGCATGTTGCGATGGCCGCTGAGTGGCCATGACAGAGGAAGAGGAGTTTTTCTATATGGCTTTTGCATGTAAAACAAGTATTAAGTAACTGGAAGTACAACTGCAAATGCAGTAGAGGTTGTCAGATGTGAAGTGTTTTCTGTGTGAGACCTTTGGCGTATCGTGGGAGGATATCGAATGCAAAAATGTCTGGGTCTGGAAGAGTGTAGACTTGTCATGCAGATTTTCCATGACCCATGAGGTCTGGAATGCGGGACTTAGCATGACAGACTATGCGAGGCCTCTCCCATGCCTATTCTGCATGAGAAACCCCGCTCAAACTTGGTCAAAAGTGGACAGCTTTTGGCACTCATGCAACACAGATTTTTGCATGCTTCAGATTTACCATGACAGGTTGCAATCTTCCAGACCCAGACATTTTTGCAATTCATAGAGGAAGTCCGGTTTGTGCAGGAGGAGTGCGACGAGGAGGATTACGAGGATAACAATGCACCAAACGGCGCACCGCCGCCCGCAATAGAACTACACCAAGGTGGTCAGCAGCAGCAGCAGGTTGCTTGTTTGGCCGAGACCGCAACTACTAAAGATTTCACCGCCGCTACGACGGATCATGCCAGCAGATCCTCCTCCTCGTCAAGCAGCTGCACCACGACTTCGAGTTCTTCGAGCCAGCACGTCAATTCTGGTGCAGCAGAGAACATCAAATCGTCCAACGTCAAACTATCGCCGATAAAGCCACAACAGCCCGGTGACGGCTTCGCTGCTGGCACGTCGTTTCCAGTGAGCGGCAGTGAGCAAATTTCGACGACCGCGTCGGAAACCGAGACTCAGCTTTTGAAATTGCCCAAGTTGGTAGACACAGCGGAGGTGAAGGTGGAAGTGCTTGGGGAAGCAGATAGCGGTCAACATGAACACCACCAAAAGTCTTGGATGACCAGCTGCACGGGAACTACGATAAACGGGGCTGACCGCAGAACTGGCACTTCTGGGTCAACAACACCTTCACTTTTAGGACCTGCTAGTGCGCCGCCGGACACCAGTTGTTCATCATCTACGGATAATAATACTCATGCTAGGGCTCCTGCTGCAACAACTTCTACGACTTCCTCCGCTGCACCCCCGCCCGACAGCTCGGACGACGACTCGCCTGCAAGATATGGGATTGCTCTCAAACTACGTTACTTTGTCATGCAAGACGCGCAAGCTTTTCCTTTTTCCTTTCACTTATGCTATTATTGCAACTTCACATCGCCATCACGCAGCAGCGACCAATGTAAGAACGTTTGAGAGCAGCGCCTCCATACACGCCAGAGGCGCAGCACGCCCCCGCCGGACCCACGGTTTTGTGTGGATGTGTGGAGCAGGAAAATTCTTCCGGATATCATCCAAATCGTGAAGCTCTCACTACTGTCCGTGCAAGATGGGATTGAGGTAAGTATATACGGTCATATTTGTTAAGCACGGGCTGTTTTATTTTGTCCTTCTCCGCTTGATAAAATTGTACCCGGTACTAGTTCTCCACTTTGACTTCGCGATGGATCATCCTTGTTTGAAAATCAAATGCACTTCCACAGCACCGGAAAAATTCCATGGAGCTCTTCGGCTACGATTTCATGCTGGACGAAGATCTGAAAACCTGGTTGATCGAGGTGAACTCCTCGCCCGCAATGGACTACTCGACGCCGGTGACCACGCCGCTCGTCAAGCAGGTCATGGAAGATTTGGCAAAGGTGGTGGTCGATACCAAGCTGGAAATGAACAACAAGATCGAGAACAAGCAACCCGTGGACAAGTACGCGGAGCCGCCGGACACGGGGGAGTGGGAGCTGATTTACCAGGGCAGTTGCTGTTTGAAAAAGCCGACGTTCTTGGGAAAATTAGACGTCCAGGGCAAAGCCATTCCGGTCATGCCGCCTGGTACCGGTGGTGCAGGCTCAGCTTTTGCCGGGGCGAACACGGTGGGGGCGGGAAAGAAGCGGGGATGATTTGATGAGGTGACAGAAATATTAAAGTCACATCATGCCGTAAAAAAACAGAATTTATCGCACTATTAAGCTTTATTCCGCTTGTTTTTACAACAGTTTCGAATTGATGACAGGATAGATTGCACTTTTGAATAGGTAGGCAGCAGATGCCACATGAACCTGGTTTCTCTTTTATTCTATAGACCGCTCGATGCAAATTATGATTTTACAGATGCAAAAAAAAACATGTAGTTGTTTCGACCGCTGAGACGAATGGAACACATCAGAATTAATGAACGCTTTCGAATTTCTTATAGAAAAGAATACCAATAGCATGGAGCTGGAGTTTAACTTCGAAATTAGATGCCATATCATGTACAACAGCAAATGTTGAATACACGTAAAATGAACTCGAGCCGCGCTACAAGACTGCAGGTGGTTGGTGCAGAAACACAACCATGGGAGCGACACGACACGGGTAGTACTACAGGAGCCTCCAGAGTATGTAGAATCGTGCTCATAATTCTTAACCTTAATAACCTTATCAAGCGAGATGAAGAACCATGCTGGGCTACTTTATCTACGGACATCAATTTTATCTTTTGTCTTTGTTTTACATGATGGAACAAAAATCAAGGCAATTTACAACAATTTTTAAAGCAAGGAGAAAATGTAGTTCGGAAAATTCGTGTACAGAAACCGGCGCCGGCCAAGGAGGTGTGCATAAGGGCCTGATATCTTGCGACTCAGCACACGGGACCGGTTTACCTACTCGCGGTGTTCGCTTACTTCAGCACACGCCATGATCATCTGAATTACAACCCGCGTAGTTGCAACGCGCCCGCAGCCTCAGCTGCACGGACGACCATGGGATCTATCAAGTGTATTTCTCCGGACGAGTCTTATTTCAGTCTAGTAAGTACCGACACACAGAATTGCTCCTGCATGCCCATGCGATAATTTCAATTTTTTGTGAAGCACTGGACATCAACTTTTCGTAAAAATTATCGGTCTTTTCGAAACTGATCTTCATGCAGATAGACATCGAAAGCATCAGCTTGACTCGACCATTGTTGTACAGATAATTTTCGAAGTGTTTCTAAAAAATTCCATCCCTCGACAATCTTCATGTCCTCCTTGACACAATCTATGTCTATCATGTTCCCATAAAATCAAACAATGCCCCCTTTCTGCTCGTTGAGGCCCGGTGAGTAGAGGTCGACGCTCTACTAGTGTTGCCTCCTCTCATCAATTGCAACGAGAAGTGGCTGTCGCAATGGCCGCCGCAGTTGCCGCTCCGTTACCACCCGGGAGCGGCACATCAACCATGCCCGGCACAACCGCCGCGGGTTCCTCCGCAGCGAGCACCTCAGCCGAGGCCACCGCGACGCTGACGCGGAAGGTGCGGAAGGTGTTGCAACTGCGGCCAGATTTGCTTCGGGACGAGCTGAAATGTCTGTCCAAATTTGTCTCAGACAACAACGCGCACACACGCCGGAATCTGCGCTCGCACGTGGAACAGCAAAGTTTGAAGGTGCCTAGAGATTACTCATGGTGGAATTATGTCGTGTTTGTCTATTTTTTTTTCCTCATGAAGATCGGATCTGCATCGTGCTGGTACTACTTGCACAAAAAAATTGTTGCGCAAAAAAAAAAGTTTAAGCGTAAATAGTGCTGGTTTCTTCATTCTGCATCAGGTCCACGAGCAGTTTATCCAGCACTTCACCCCGATCGAGTCGATGCTGACCGACCTGGACCAACAAATTACCGAGTTGGGCGACTTGGCCGACCGCGTCCACTTTGATCTGAAGGACAGCCGGAAGAAGACGAAACTGATTCACGAGGAAGCCCTCCGTCTGCGGGAAAAGCAGCAGATATCGAACGAAAAACTGAAAATCTGCAACTCCTTTTTGAAAAAGTTCCAGCTCCCCGAGGAGGACCTGGAGCGGATCCGCAACAGCGATTTATCGAATGTAAAAATGTCTGGGTCTGGAAAACTGTGATGCTGGGTGGCGTCTCATGATGAGGCCACAAGTGCTGGCTCAGCATGACAAGTTTCTGAGCTTCTAGGTGTTGCCTATTGTGCATGACACACGGCGTTTCTGCATCACAGAAAAATGGAGGTCTTGGGTAGCGTGCATGACAGATTTAAGAGTCATGCCAGACAAGCTTGACAAACATGAATTCTTCCAGACCCAGACATTTTTACATTTGATACGATTACCCGATCGACAACCGGTTTTTCCAAATTCTGGAAAAAATCGAGGAAATTCGGCGGAACTGCACCTTTTCATCCTCGGGCGGCGGGGCGGGTGGGGGCGGAGGAGCTGGGGACGGAAGTAGCATTGTCGGCGGTGGACCCGCCGCGGGAAGTACTATTGCATCCATTCATCCCGGCACAACAAGCTCCGGCGTTGGGACGAGCAGGCTAAACAAAAACTACAGCTTATGGAAGTGGCAGAATCGAAATTGACAAAAAATTGACAAAATCGAAAAATTTGTGATGCACACAATCGATGTCAGTTGGAGCCTCACTTTCCAAGTGGCGCATGACAAATTTCGGGGGAGACCAAATCCAGTCTGTCATGCTGTTTGGGCAAAGAAGACTGCTCCTGTCATGCTACTCTGGCAGCACATTGTATACCCCTAAACAGGCTGCCAATCGGTCTCATTTGCCTGCTCCCCAATACAGGCCTGCAGTGCCCTACATTTTACGCATCACAAATTTTTCGATTTTGTCGATTTCGATCCTGGCACACCCATACAGCTCGAACATGTCCGACGCAAGTTCGGTGACGAATTTCACGACAGTGATATCAAAAGCAAAAATCCCCCCTCCCCATATCGAAAAGGTATGTTTTCGAAAATTTGTGTTGCTGATTTGAGGTCGCAAATCACATTTGTATTGCAAGAAGACACCGGCAGAAGCTTCCGCCACACTATGGAAGCGATTTGTCATGCTATTGGGCCTAAAGGGGAGCCGCTTGCCATGCTGAACAACTAGACGCATACGCCCCTGCCTAGCCTGGGGATCTGACTGCAATGCTTTCCTGCAATACAAACCTGATTTGTGCACTCAAATCCAGCATCAGAAATCTCGTTTTGATGTGGGGAGGGGGGATTTTTCCTTTTGATAAGTGACGAACAAAAACGGTTTCTCGGCGTTGCTGAACCAGACCAGCGCGTTTGACGTGATCCAGGAGACCACGGAGATCCTCGACATTGCGTTTGAGCGCTTGTTTGTGTCCGTGCAGCAGCAGTGCCGCCGGCTCGCGTCCAGCAGCGGCACTACTTCCTCGTCCTCAGGAACAAACAGCACGAGTGCGACGTTTCAGTCCTCGGACTTCCTGAAGCTCCCCTCCGCGAACCTGAAAAAGTTATGACAGTGCACAACTTCCTCTCCCCCTCATTTGTATAGCATGAACGGCAATACAAGCATCAGCAAGAATACCGGTTTGGCATGACAAATTTGCACTGCAGTGTAGTGCTATTTGGTCGACGACCAGAACTTGTCATGCAAACAGTGCCAAGAGGCAAAGGGTGGATTGGGTATTTTGCATGACAACTGAGGGGGAGGGGGAGTTGTGCACTGTCATAGAAGTCGCTGCAGTACCTGAAGGACCGCCCGGTCTACTTCAACCACTGTCTGCGCGACATCGCCAAAATGCGCAAGCAGCTGCTCAATGCCCGGTTCCACGAGGCACTTTCCCGCGGGGACGGGCACAGTCGCCCGATCGAGATGTGCAAAACGTACGATCCCGTGCGGTATGTCGGGGACATCCTAGCCTGGATCCACGAAAATGTTGCCACCGAAAAGGAGGCACTGACCACGTTTTTAGGTAAAATCTATTTCTGGTGTCATCTCGTCGTGTGATGAAAGTGAATGTAAACTAAAAGTAGAAAAAACTGAAAGCAAAGTATACTATACAAGCAGTGCAAGAGAGGTCAAAAATGCCGGCATTAAAACTGACTGTATCACAGGTATGTCCATCAAGCCGCGACAGAAGATCACGCAGTTGCACCAGAATTTTTTAAAGGACAACAACTCCGCAACGGATGTGGCCTCGACTGCCAACAACCCAGATTTCGACCTGCACAGCCGCGCGGAGGTGCTTTCTAGCATCGTCAACTACAACGAAGCGGTTCAGAACGACGACGGGCTACTGGCGGACTTGAACAGCATCCTCGACTTATCCTGTGTAAAAACGTCCCCAGCAAGTCAAGTTGGTAAATCTGCAACACAAATCTCCAAGTTTTGGGAGCTTCGCATGACAAGCTTCCATCTGCAGTGTAGTGCTGGTTAGCAAGGGAAGCCGGATGAGAAACCCAGCTTCCCATCCAGCCTACAGCACGACAAAGCACAAAACACGATTGGAAATGCCTCTCCTGGAGACGCGCATTACAAATGTTCCTCTCAGTGCGCATTTGCATGACAACTCTGGTGTGGGGACATTTTTACTCAGGATACGACTTCGTGCTCGAGGGGCTCCTGGACAGCTTCAAGCAGCGGATAGAGTCCCTGCTCTCCAACGAATACGAACTTCCGCTGCTGAACTACTACAAGATTTCCCGCCTCATGAGCTACTTCAAGTCCCAACTGTGCGAGCCGCAACAGAAAAAGGATAGAACTTATCATGCAACATCAAATGCATCTTCGTCGAGAAAGGAACAATTCCACCTCCTGCATAAGGACAACCGGCTCGTCAAGCTCTTGTCGATGTTCCAGCAGCGCATGATGGGGAAGTTTCTCGAAGTCTGCGATCGCAATTCCCAGCTGATGTATCAAACAAAAAAAGTTCGTCGCGATCACTCATGCGCATTTTTGCAATACAAAACTGTCTGTCATGCGTAAAAATGCATCACAGCCAAACTTCATAAGTGATTTCCCTAGTGTTTCTGCAATACAAGAAAAACCTGTGATGCTGGAAAAATTTCTCATGCAAAACCTGCACGTTAGTGACTGTGACAAACTTTTTTCTTTCCATATGATGCGCGAGGAATTCACGACTACTTCCTCTTCTGGGAACGCTTCAGCCCTCCTCCCCCCGTCGAACCCCATGATCGGGGGCGGGTCTAGTAGCGGCCTCGGTGGAACAACGGGCACGACTGGGGTAGCGGGCAACAACATCCAGGGAACTTCTTCTACCGGCCCCTCGACCATGCCGGGAGGAGGATCGTCTTCTTCTTCTAGCTCTTCGCGGAGTCGGTACGCGATCCTCGACGATTTGTCAGCACCATTGTTTGTGCTGGACACGGTGCGGCTAATGGAGGAAATTGTCGCCGACGTGGAGAGCGAGGAGGATTTTCAGCCCGTGGTCTGCGCCGCCTACGACCCGTTGCTCAATTATTGCCGGTGCTGTTATTTACAATTTGTTTCTGCCAAAAATGTTGTTGATGTTGCAATGTTGAGCTTGAGTGTGCAGTACCTCGTCCAGTGGAGTCACTTAAAGTTCAGCTGGTTTAGACGACCTATCAAGAAGCATTTCTTGTGGCCCCTTTGAAAGAGCCCCCTCTTCACGATATTTCCAGCACTGCTCTAATTTCCCCCCCTTGTCAACACATACAAAACAGGCAAATGTTTTCCAACGATGCGTGTGACCGCGCGGTTTTCCTGATCAACTGCCTGTCGTTGATGACCGAGCCGTTGAAACGGACCAGATTCGTATCGTGAGGAAAAATCCCCCCTCGCCATATCGTGCAGGAAATTTGTGATGCTGGATTTGCTTACACAAATCGCGTTGTATTGCTAGAAGGCCAAGGGACGCACTTGCGGCCTTAATTGCAGGCAATTTGTCATGCTGTTTCCCACTTCCAGTTGCCTCCTGTCATGCTGAAGATGCAGGGCCTTCTTACGCCAGCCAGCCCTACAGTCTGCATCTTTTCCCTTCTAGCATGACAACATGATTTGTGGTCACAAATCAGCATCGCAAATTTCCAATTTGAATATGGCGTGGGGGGATTTTTCATTTTGATAATTCGCCACCGAACGCGTAGAAATGTACAACCACCTGCTCCTCGAGCAAATCGAGTACCTGGACAATTTCCAGGCCGAAGAGGTCCTGCAGAAGCTGAATTTGCTGGAAAAAGTGGAAGCGCTGCGAAAGGTGTGGGGGGCCAGCACTTCCACAGGACCAGGTACTGCTGCTGCTACCACGACATCGTCGTCGAAAGACAGCTCGCAGACTACTGGTGGTTCGACACCGGCATCTTCGTTGACTACCCCGCCCCCAACGTTGCAGCAACTCCAAGCCATCCCAGAGCTACACCCCGTGGGACTGTCCTCGGTGCTCCGGACGTTCTACACGTCTTTGTTCACGCTGAAGACCCTGTCCCTCCAGCACGTGGAAAAGATCAGCAACCGGCAAATTCGCGAGCAGTCGCGACGTAACGTGTGCGGGAAAATCTCGGACGCGTACGCATTCTTGTACGACGGAATCCAGGCGCTGAACATCACCACGCACACCAAGGAGCAGGTGGCAATGCTTTTGGATCCCGGAATAAATCACGCAACCAGCACGGCAGTGACGGCGGGAGCTGTAGTGGGGGGGAATATCTAAAAAAACTGCTTAACTAAGTACCCGCGATCATGATGAAGATGAACGGCTTTGGATTTTGATGTTGAAGGCAAAAAAGAGCGTCAATATTTATGAGAGCGACTGCGTAAATTAGTCTGACAAATTTTACCAAAATCATTGAAAGAGGCACTTTTTTGATTATTGTCACAAATAACCCGGATTGATTTTTATGTCAATCAAACACATGATCGATTTTTTACAGCGACCAGGAACGTGTCCGCATTTTTGCTGTGTGCATTGGCATTTTGCTGCTGGGCATCTTATGCGGCCCCGTCGCAGCTGGTACGCGCGGGCGCGTCAAAATTGTCGCAATGATGAACAGGAAGAGACGACTGATGAAACCCAAAAAATGTCGTCCCACAAACAGGAACCAGTTGTGATAAAGATCCCAAGCGAATACTAAACCAGGGGGTCGTGCCTCTTGTTCTTCTACCCAATGTCTTGGGTAGGAGTTGGTCATCTTCTAGACGTCGCGCTACCTCGCAGCGAAACAGTGTTTTGACCTTGATGTCGATAAAACGACGCATCGGGTGGACAAAAGAAAGACTCGGTCGCATCGATTGAGAGAAGTCCAACTCGACGGCCTCGCTAAAAAACCTACTACTTCAAGAGTTCGCATCTCTAGGACTAGCTCTAGTATGAGAAAATTCGTCAATGATCGAAAAACAGAAGCGGAGGAATCTGGGCCACAAGTCGCTCAGACGAAAATGTTTCTGAGGGTGGAGTCGTACCTGAAGCGGGACAGTGAGCGACATTTGTAAACTACTTTTCTCGTCGACGGCAACTACTTTCTATGTTTGTATAAGAAAGTGTGGGAAACTCTCTTGAGTATGAAGATTCTGAACCGCTCGCTTCCATCTTCTCCACGCATATACATTTCACGGATTAGCGAAAAAATGAGAAAGAAGAAGAACAGCTGAGAAAAAACGATAAATTGAAAACGAAACCTAAAAACTAACTGTAAAATCATGGGTGCCGGTGGGGTTGGTAAGATTCTGGCCCGCACCGATCCACTTTCGGAAGCCTGGGAGCACTTTCACCAGGCCAATGTGCACCTGGCAAACGCGCACCACACCAGTCGCAACGTCCCCCAGACCGGAGACCTGGCGCAGGCGATAAAGCACGCCGCCGAGGCCGAGAGGTTGGTGGTCCGACGGGCGGTGCTCACGCCGGAGCAACGGTTGATGATTTACGGGCCTGCCCAGGAGGTCAACGACGAGACCGTGCAGAGCAAAGCGGTGTACCCCCAAGGAAGCACTCTTTAGAGATTCTTCGTTTTGTTGTTTCGGTACAGGAATCCAGATTGATTGTCCACGTGCACCGCCCGAGTAAAAATGTATGCGCTTCCTGCTGCGTACTTCAAACTCCAAGGTTTCTAGATTGAATTGTGAATATGTGTTGCGAAACTATTTGAAGGAGAACAGGTACAGGACAAGTTAAGTTTTGCTTTCGATGGTTTCCTCCTTAGGGATAAGGAGCTCAGAATCAGATTGCCGAAGAGAGGACATCGGTTCTTGTCTCCCTTCCGACCGCTGGGCAGCTTGTGCGTAGGTAAAAAGTACTAGATCAAAATTTTGGTTTTGCTTTGCAAGACACCAACGACGCCGCTAAGGGCAGAACGATTAAACCCTTCTCTGCAAGTAGCGAAAAACTGTACTGGGTGGTGAAGGTCAACTGAAACTTATACTAATCTCCAGAGCGTTACGAGCTGCTAGTGCTACTCATGATGACTCATGGAATGTGTTGCATCCGTCATGTGCTCTTGTGTCAGTAGTTTTTGTTCGTGCCAATGCCGTACCGCAGCATGACCATGAGTGGAAGAATAAGTACGACAATTACTTATGATTATCAGGAGTATGCTAGAAGAGAGTGAGAGTAGTCGTAAGTTTTTGGACGACGAGAACACGTGATCGAAGCTACAAGTAAAGATCATGTGGATCATGAATCAGTATCCATGAAGCAACATCGCCGCTCTTGTTTGACAGAGGCTTCCTTTCTGTTTCGACGCTGCCAGTAGAAGCGCAAGAGAAGGAGAGTCAATTATATGTCGTGCCGCTCGTGGTCTTTTCTCGAATACATGCTGTGAAGGAGATCGCCATGGCGATGACCGATCTCCAAACTGCGTCCGACCTGAGATCTCAACTTCCCCCCGCGAACCACATTCTCGACGAGATCGAGGAGATCCTCCTCGCCACCGCTTTGCAGCACCACGCGCAGTCCGTGCTGACCAGCAAAAAACAAACGACCGACCGAAAAATCGCGACGCAGCTGCGACGGAACCAAGGTTATGACTTGGAAAGTAAGAAGTAGTACAGCTACAGTAATATCGCATGCATAACTGGCACGGGCTGGAAATCATTCTTCATGATGTGTTCCTTCATGTAGTCTGGATGTGGCATTATCAGATCATTTGTTTCGCTTTCGAAGCCCTAGTACGGTCCAAATGCAAATGCATTGAATGAAGATACCATAGTACTACTACTTTCCGCTCTCCATTGCACCGTTTGGCGGCAAGTGCAACAAGAGTTGCGTTTGAAAAGTTGGCTGTACACCCAATTCTATGAAATGCAAATATGTCTGGGTCTGGAAACTTGTGATGCTGGTTGGCGAATCAAGAGAACGCCAGAAATGACGGCTCAGCATGACAGGTTTTTGAGTCGCTAGGTGTTGCCTATTCTGCATGAGAAACTGGGTTTTTGCATGACACAAAAGTGGCGCTTTTGGGTACCTTGCATGACAGACTTGACAGTCATGCTAGCAGAGCATGACAAACCTGGCATTTTTCCAGACCCAGACATATTTGCAATGCATAAATTCGTCGAGCACGCACTTTACGGAAACGGTACCTCCAGCGTCAGTGAAGCGAAAAATCTTTACTTGCCGAGCAGGGAAAAAGAGGCGTTTTACGAAGAGGCAGAAGACCGACTGTGGGATGGTATAATTCTTTTTGCAGCAAGTGATGTATGACATTAACATCACATGTCGATTATGGGAAGAATTTTGACTAACTTAAGAAGACCTGGAATCACAGCACTGTGTGCAAGAACGTAAAGATCTTGCTAAACCACCTTTCAATTTTAACTACAGTCGTCCTCCGCAGTCAGCAGTGGCGGCACCACGCGGCCAATCCGAAAAATTTTTCGACGGGAACAAACCGCGACCAGAACAATAAAGCCCTCGCGACAAGCAAAAATACCTCCTTGGGACAAACATCGTCCTCCTCCAGAATGCGTGGCGGTGCCGTCCCGTTCTCGCACGGAGGCACAGGACGAGACACCAGTGCAGCCAGCTTCTTGGATAAGCAAGGCGGTAATACCATCAATGGTGGCACCGCTTCATCATCTTCATCCGAGCGGTATAGCAACGTAAAAGGAGGAGCTGCAGCTGGGATGAATCCGCGATCGGCACATAAAAATACTGCGAGAGCGTATGGATCTTCAGGATCGCAATATCCACTTCTCTCAGGACAACATCAATCCAGCTCCTCCTCCTCTTCGAGCCGACCCACTTCGCCGATGAGAGCGAAAGGATATTACTACAACTCGGCTACTACTTCAGACAGGAATATTAAGACCTCGAGTACCACGACCAGATTGAATCTGGTGCAGCAACAGCAGCAACAGAATAAATTTGCGCCAAATAGTAGACGACCTTTATTTTCGTCCTCGTCTAGGTCATCTTCTACTACTTCGAACTACAATTTGAAAAGTGGAGCCTTTTCAACATCATTCGGCGGTTCCGGACCAGGGCCGCCGATGAATTTTACCAGTCGCGGGGGGAAAAATGAAATTACAAGTGGAGCTTTGGCTACAGCAACTCCTGGTGTAGCTTCGGCGAGTAGTGGTAAAAAAATGACAACATCAGCAGGAGGAACTGCCTCTAGTACAACCGTCGAAACAAGCAACAACATTAAAGGCAGACCCCTTTTGCATGTGGACGCCAGTTTGGAAGACCCGGTGGCGGTTTCGGCAATACACAAAATTCGCAAAGCCACGTCGGAAGTCCACCAATTCATCGAAGAACGGTTCCACAACGTCAGTAGTGGTGGAGGCGGTGGTGCTGTGAATTGAATTGTGCAGGCACTGCTGCAATGATGAAACAAATAAGCGGAATCATAAGAATTTTTTCTACACGTACTAAAGAGAACGCCCGCGACCATATGGTTGCTCTATAATATTCAGCTCAAAGTGATGAAAAGCGCGAGGAGAAGATGACACTCAGCTGAAACTGTAGCCGCGTAAATAATTACGACACGCAGTGGTGCCACTTGCTGTACCTGCAAGCTTCCTGTTCCTCTAGCAGCCCCTGCACCTCCGCGAGTGGGGAGAATTATTGTGCTGTTGCAAACACAAGCTCCTTGTCCTTCAGCTGAAACCAGTAGGGCCATGCCCATGCGATCCTGAACATTTGCAAGGATGGTAGTTTCCAACATGATTCCCACGACGACTTGAGGTGGAAGTAATTTTCGCAAGGAGCATATAACGATAACGTCCTTGCAGCTGCTGCTGCAGCGCAAAGTGGTGCAGTAGTACTTATGTATCGAGCACCACAGGAGCCACACGATCAAGATCCATGATCAGCTTTTCCTGATACAAGCAGAGATCCTACAACCTTGTTTCGTTTCCATCATCTTTGCTCCTGCAAGACGTGTTTTACTCTATGAAATCCGACTACTCCTTATTTCAGCGGTCCAACGAAAATGAATGAAAATGAATAAAGACTATACGCGTTTTTTTTTTATTCGTAGCGCGAGCGGCAAGAACTCATTTTCCTGAGAACAAGCTCGATAAACTTTTTTTCAAAATCTTACAAAATTCCTTGGCCTTCGCTGCTTAGAAGACTGAGAAATAGTGGTTGTTTATTTCATCTGTAGTTGTCTCCGCACCTGACCTCATCGGATCGATAAGATAAAAGTACGTACTGAGTAAAGCGCTTTCAATTTCATCATCCCTTCTTGCGCTTTTTTACCGATGAAGCAAGATGACGAATCTTCATCGGATAGTTACATGTTTACGCCCGAGGAGGAGAAGAAAAAACCTCCACCAATTGCAGCCAAAAATCAACACAACGCAAACAGTGGCACGATCAAGAACCGGCCCGACGAGCAGGGTCCTCGTCGCGCCGGAGCTGCACCTCTCGATGCGCCGGGGAGCACAACGACGGGCAGGAAAAATGCAGCGAGACCGCCGGTCGTGGGTGAAGATCAAGATGTCATTGGCCGGCGACACGGGACAAGGAAGAGATCCCGATCTCTCTCCTCCCAGGACAGTTCCTCTTCTCGACGTCTCAAGCAGGCTGCGACAAATTTTGGCACGACCGACAGAAGCAAGCCCTCGAAGAAGGAGCGCAATATTGAAGCGGGGGCATCATCAAGAAGGTCAAGATCACGACAGGAAGGTCAAGACGGCAAGCTTGCAAGAATCCGCGGAGACAAAACCGCCGCAAGCAGCAGCAGCGGTCCCGAGCTGGAGTTCGTAGACGATCTTCCCCCGACGACCTCGACATCCGGCGGAGATCTATCAAATGTAAAAATGTCTGGGTCTGGAAGAATGCAAGATTTGTGATGCAGGTTTTCCATGACCCATGAGGCCTGGCATGCAGCACCTAGCATGAGAGATGCTGTGAGATGTCTATCATGCCTATCCTGCATGAGAAACTACCTGTCAACCTGGTCAAAAGCTGACATCTTTTGGTAATCATGCAACACAAATTTTTGCATCATCCAGACTCAGCATGACATTCCAGACCCAGACACTTTTGCAATTCATAAGATCATACCAATGTCGATTTGAACCTCCAGCACGAAAAATGGCTCGACAAGCACCGGTATTACCTGTACCGGCGCCCAACCGATGTGACTCTGCGTAGATTGAAGGAGGTAGAACAGAGAACTTCTGGCACTTCAATTATTGCTCAAGGTAGGTGCGATGCGGGTGCCGGACCACCAGTATCCAAAATAAATGCCGCCTCCTCTTCTTCGTCAGCCGCGTCTAGTACTTCTAGACAACGCGGAACAATAAATTTGAACAATCTGAGCGGGGGCAACAAGAACGCAGGCAATAATCGAGCAGGGCTTCTGCACACCTCCCGGCTCACGGTTCATCTCAGCGACCCCAAATACCAGTTTTCGCGGAAACTCCCCCACTGGGACCACAAATACGAGAAACTGCCCCGCAAAAGCGACGAGAAAACCATCCAGCCCATCGGGCAGGGGGCCTACGGCAAGGTGTATAAGGCGAAAAACATACTCACATGAAAACACCCATCCCTAGCCAATTTGTCATGCAAAACATGCATAAAGTCCACTGTTTGTCATGCAAAAAATGGATGGGAGTGGATGTTTTTTCCTGGATAAAACAAGCAGACGGGGCAGATTGTCGCCGCTAAGGTAACCACAAAAATGTCCGACGAGGAGGGGGGCGTGCACCTGGCGTTCCTGCGCGAGGTGCACACGTTGCGGCTGCTGGAAAAGTGCGATTCCATCGTGAAACTGATCGAATTGGCCGTTACCAGCAAAGGCGACCCCGTGATCGTGCTGGAATATTGTCACGCGTCCTTGACGCAGTTGCTACAGTCCGAGAAATATCAAATGCAAATATGTATATGTCTGGGTCTGGAAGGATGCAACTTGTGATGCTACCTTTGGACTCTACATAGGATCTGTATTGCATGAACAGCAAAAGAGGCGCAATTTGTGCCACGCGGAGAGGGCATTTCTCATGCGGTATGAGCATCAGAAATCCCTCGCAACATCTCTGGTGCTAGGGCATGCATCACAGACCTCCTGGGCCATGCAAAATCTGAATGACAAACTCCTGCATTCTTCCAGACCCAGACATTTTTGCAATCCATAAGAAGCACCCGCTGACCATGGCAAACATCAAATACTTGATGCAACAGGTACTGCAGGGAGTGGACTACATGCACCAAATCGGGATGCTGCACCGGGATTTGGCCACGAAAAATATTCTGTTCAACATCAGCGGGGAGATTAAGGTACTGATTTGTAGCTCTACGTAATATCGAAATAGATTCCAAAATTTTTTCTCGATCATTACAACTACGAACTAGTACAGGTCCACGACTTTATTTCATTGATGTGATCATCCGTAAAACAAGTCGTGATCGATGGCAGCAAGCCCGCTCTTTGAGCATTTTTACCTTTTTCATCATTTTCAGGTGTGTGATTTCGGTCTTTCCCGCGTCGCTTTTGGGGAAGAAGAAGATCAAAACGGCACGAAAAAACTGGTTCTCGCCAGCAACCTGGAGCCGCCGCAGTTTATCGTGACCATTCTGTACCGGAGCATTGAGCTGTTACTCGGGGAGCAGAAATACGGCCCCGCGCTGGACATCTGGGGCGTGGGGTGCATCCTGGCGGAGATTTTAATTTTCAAGGGGGGCGTTTCCAAGAAGCCGTTCTTCTACGACCAAACGTTGGGCAACAACGTCACCGAGCAAACCGTGTCGGCGTACATTTTAACCTTACTCGGGAAACCGACCAGAACCTCATGGCCGGACTACGAGAAGTTGTTGCGCCAGATCAACTTCGAGAATTTCGAGGCGCAAGTGCGGAAAGCCCGGCCGCACCAGGATCGATTCGTGCTGAACGAACGGACGAAGTATGCATTGCAAATATGTCTGGGTCTGGAAGATTGCAACTTGTCATGCTAAATCCGAATCGTGCAAAAACTTGTGCTGCATGGGTGCCAAAAGCTGCCCACTTTCGACCAACTTGGAAGAGAATTTCTCATGCAGGAGAGGCATGACAGAGACCTCACAGAGTCTGTCATGCTAGGTCCCGCATTCCCGACCGCATGGGTCAAGGAAAATCTGCATGACAAGTCTCGGAATCTTCCAGCAGACCCAGACATATTTGCACTTGATAAGATGATGTTGATGCAGCAGAGAAGTGGGCAGCAGGAGAATAATAAATCCGCCAACAGAAATTCTGCCTTTGACCGGAATAGCAGAACTACACAAGGTACTAGTTCCTCGGTAGTTGCTGGCGTAGCATCAAATCCAAACTCTTTTTTCAATAACGAAGCCTTGGAGTTGAAGGCTTTGTTTACCACAGGCAGTTATGAATTGCAAATGTGTCTCTGTCTGGAAGAATCCAAACTTGTCATGCAAACTCTGGATTACGCAAGAACTTGTGTTGCATGAAAGCCAAAAGCCGTCCACTTTTTGCTATGCCAATAGCAAGTTTCTCTCATGCAGAATAGGCATTTTCAGTAGACCTGAACCAAACTTGTAATGGTCTTGCGCGCATTCCAGAGCATATGTGTGATGCAAAAGATGCATGACCACTTCCAGACCCAGACATATTTGCATTTGATAGCAGTTGCAAGCAGGTCCGGAACCAGCTGTACATCAAAGATTCCCTGTTCCAGTTTCTGGGCGGCTTGCTCTATCCTGTGCAAAAGTGTCGTACTCGTACAAATGCAAGTCTTGCATTACAAGTCTTGTTTCCAAGGCAAATCAGCATTACAATTTTTTTTTCTCATGCTGAGGAAATTTGTATTGCATTTAGTATACGAGTACGATATTTTTCCAGTTCATATGCTCAACCTGGACCCGAAATTCCGGCTGACCTCTCAGGAGGCGCTCCAGCACTTTTACTTCACCGAAACGCCGGTGCCACAGTGGGACGCCGGGTATCAAATGTAAAAATGTCTGGGTCTGGAAGATTCTGAGATTTGTCATGCAGTTTTTCCAAGCTCCGCCAAGTCTCGAATGCAGGGCCTAGCATCACAGGTTCTGCAGCCCCTTGGTGATGCCTATTCTGCATGACAAATGCCCCCTCGGCATGGCTAGAAATGGGGACCTTTTGCAAGTCATGCAACACAGATTTTTGTATGATCCGCAACACGCATCACAAGTTCGCATCCTTCCAGACCCAGACATTTTTACATTTGATACCGGGCGGTTCGCGACGACCGTGGACGTGGTGACGGGTGCGTTGGAGACTTCGAAGGAAGAGAAAGAGCGACGGCTGTTGGTCAAAATGCTGGAGGAAAGCGAAAAGAAGAACATTGCGGCAGGAGGAAGTGGTAGAGCGCCAACAACGAGCAGCAGGGGTGGAAGTGGTGCCACAGGAGCAGGGAACATCAACAGTAACGCGAAAATTATGTCAAGAAGTGGCGCACCAGCTGGCGGTTCCGCGGCTGTTAATACTACCGCAGGTACGAGTAGTTCCGGCCGGTCCGGAGCTCTTGCGGCTGCTTCGTCTTCTGCTGCGCACCCACATCCGGCAGCACCCGGGACGACTACTTTAAGCGCCGGAGTAGATCAGGACCAATGGCTCTCTCGCGCAGGGAAGAGACTGCCGCCGAACTGGCAGAAGCGAGTGTCTAAAACGAACCAGAAAATCTACTATGCAAATCTGAAAACTTTGGCGACACAGTGGCACACGCCCACGACCGGGTAGGAAAAAAATACACTTTTTTTATTTCGCGGATCAACGCCGACGGACTCTTTGATAGATATCACTGATTCATGGCTATTGGTCACTCGAAGAACTCTGGGAATTGTTGAAATGTAAGCACAGCGACACGCGAATTTCTTTTAACTTGCAAGAGTCACAACTACTCACCAGGAGCAATTATCAATACACGAAGTATTAGATCATGCTGCAAGTCAACTACACTTGCGTACACGCATGGCATACCATGCTTGGCAGCATCTTTTCTTTCGGGCCGCGGCTTGGCTTTCTCTGGCTCAGTGCGAAGACGAGAAAAAAGCTTGTGTACGTTTGTTCTTGATGGTCGGTCGTCATAGAAAGCGACAGCAGTTGTGTTCGATCCTTATCAAAGATCTCTCGTTCTTCATCTTGTGCGATCCTTTCCGAAGATCTCTACTTGTTTGGATCATCTTCGTCGGTCCACCTCTTTTATTTGTAAGGAGGTCGTTGCGAGTTTGTTTACACATAGCTGGTGGAAAAGGATCTCACAGTAGGAAAAACGGCGGACAAGCACAAGGGTGCTTCTGCCTTGCTTGGTGGATCATAGACGACAGCAAGTAGTCTTTCTATATATCATCTCTAGTTCGACGCTATGATCTGCTATAGCAACACTTCGTGAGAACATACTCAACAAGCTCAGACCGGTTCGTGAGAACATACTAGTTTAGTTATTCTTGATCTCGTTTCATCAGACGCCTGCAGCTCAAAAGATCGACTTGCTTCTCATGACTTGAGTACAGATCAGGGTGGTGCAAGGATCTAGTTAGTAAGCACAAAAGATTGGGAGCGCAAACCACGACCTGAAAGACCTTTTTGTATTTGTATGCTGTTGATCATCGTGGTTTAAGCTGGTCTACTACTGACTTAAGTATTTCGAGCGTGAGCAAATGCTAATGCAAAGTGGCCTGTAGTAGCTAGAGGAAGACAAAAAGAAACAGAACGGCTAGTGCTAGTGAATAAGCAGCGCCTGCTTGTTGTAAGAAAAATCGTGAGAAAAAAAAACTGAACCAATACCAAATGCAAATTGTCAAAAGCAAACGCAAACCAGCAGCCGATGTAAAGTACTAGTTTACTCGTCTGCGAGTATTCTGCTACGGTACTTATTCATTTGACACGACATACTTGTGTGTAAACTTAACCTAAAAGCGATTTGTCTTGCGTGTGTATGATTCATTGAACAAGCGATAAAAACTCTAATTCTACCGATACTAGCGAATCTCATTTCTTAAGAAAAGCAAATAGGCTTTGACTTTAACTATCCTTGTATAAATACAACGAACCGCCCTGGTAGCAGGTAGCTCCTGTGCACAAAGTGGCACGGCGTCCTGTCAGGTTGGAAAACGAAAAAGATTGGTAACAACACAAGTATCAACATTTTTTAGAAAATTTTCAACACTCTCACGGCATCAAGTGTGATTGTCTTCGCGCGACGTGTCGCTGTCCGGGACCGAAAAATTCGTGGATCCTTGGCGATAAACGATTTTTTTACCCATAAATTCTTGTTGAGTGCTTCTGTTTGACAAGGGTTTGCTTTTCATGAATTTATTCTGTCGATACAATTATACTGACATTTTAGCTTTCCGATACCTCATTCTGCCGACCCGTTTTTTGTGTTAGTTTGGGTCGGCGAACAAAATAAAGGTTTATACTAGAATCGAGTCTACTACTCAGGTTCTTTGCGAAGATCGTGCTCCCATTAAGTTGTATGAACGACTCATGTTGGTCCTCGCGTAATATACACGACCAGTGATAATCATAATTATCATGGAGCGACCTCCTTGTTCATCAACTTACGCTGCCGAAGATACTACAGCTGCCTTTGGTGCGATGGACGGTCCTCAACATCGGATGTTGTACGCCGACGAGGCGCACCAGCAGAATCAACCTCCAAACGGCGCCCGTGTAGTCGACCCCCGTGATCCGTCCCGCCTACTGTTCCAAGAAGGACAGCAGCACAGTCGTGTAGGAGCTGTTGAGGCGAGCACAATGTATGCATCAAACAACGGGAGTTGTTCTTACGACTACTACGAGAAGATGAACCTGAACACGAACAGGGCAGTGGTTGAGCGAGATGAACCCCTGCTGCACCATGCTAGCCTGCCCCTGGCGGAGCACCACGACCAGGAACATGATATTAAATATCATCATGATCATCCTGCCCCAGCACTACGCTCCTCGTCCCACCATGACGCGCACGACAAGAACCTTCAGCAGGAAAGGATCCGCACGTTGCGGGTGACCCTGACTGACGCGTCGGGGTTTTCGCACTGCAGCTCCGGGAATATTGTGTTGATCGAGAACGAGTACCCGCTGGAGGCCTTCCGAAAGATCCACAAGCACGCGTTGATGATGCTGGTACAGATCAGCATCAACTATCAAGTGCAAAAATCCCTGGATGTCCTGAAGCTTGTAAACTTGTCATGCAGGTTTTTCATGACCCATGAGGTCTAGAGTCAGGACTTAGCATGTTGACAGACTCGGTGAGGAGGTCTCTGCCATGTCAATCCTGCATGGTAACCTTGGTCGAAAGTGGACAGCTTTTTGCACTCATGCAACACAAATTTTTGCATGTTTCGGATTTAGCATGACAAGTTGCAATCTTTCAGACATCCAGGGATAGTTGCAATGCATATCAACAGCGATCATACGATGGGCTGTTCAACATCGGCTTCTGGCGGTACTACTGCGCTCATGATGAACAACATGATGATGCCCAACAGCGGAGGTGGAGTAGTTCCCGGTAGCTCTTACAACAACCCGCAGTATGGAATGAACTCCGGGACATACAACAACCCGATCGCGAACTCGATGCAGTACCAGCTGTGGATTTTCAACGAGGCTTTTGGGGTGCGACACCTGCTGAACCCGCAACATCTGCTGGAGTCCAGTCTGTGGCACGGGAAAATCGAGTATCAAATGTAAAAATGTCTGGGTCTGGAAGAATGCAAGTTTGTCATGCTTGTCTGGCATGACTCTTAAATCTGTCATGCACATTAACAAAGAGCCCCACTTTTCTGTCATGCAGAAACGTAGTTTGTCATGCAGAATAGGCAACACCTAGAAGCTCAGAAACTTGTCATGCTGAGCCAGCAATTGTGGCCTCCTCATGATATGCCACACAGCATCATAAGTTTCCAGACCCAGACATTTTTACATTTGATATCGAGATCCAGTTGTACGTGAACGGGCAGAAGCCGCCACAGCTGCTGGTTTCCTCCTCTATGCTGAGTAAAAACGTACCCACACCAGAGTTGTAATGCAGATTTGCAAAGACAGGAAGACTTGTAATGCGCATCCCCATGAGAGCCAATTCCAATCGTGTTTTGAAATTTGTGATGCTGTGAACAGGATGAGCAGATGAATCTGTGACGCGGCTGCACTTGCTAACCTGCACTACACTACGAACTGCAACTTGTCATGCGTGATTCACAAAACTCCTAGGTTTGTGTTGCAAAATCCCCATCCTGACTCTGGTGTGGGTACGTTTTTCCTCAGGATATCCTCCTGCTCAACTTCATCGTCGTCGTGGTCCAGTGGTAATAGTATCATGCTTAAAAACACCACGGCGAGGACAACGACGGCAGCTGCACACAATGGTCATCTTCAGGGCTACAATCATCTTCACGACACGTCAACATCATCAACCCTTGAACTTGATCAACAGGACTGTCTCTCTATGAATTGCAAAAGTATTGTACTCGTATAAATGCATTACAAATTTCCTCAGCATGAGAAATAAAAACTTGTAATGCAGATGCACCTTAAAAAGGAGATTTGTAATGCATGATCGCAATACGAGTGCAGTGCATACTCTCCGCAACGACCAGCCATCCGGGGAGATCGACGGTGCTGGGAGGCGGAGATTATCAAATGTAAAAATGTCTGGGTCTGGAAGATTTGAACTTGTGATGCGCATTTTCGAACACAGAAAAATCTCTCATGCATCGGTAGCAAAAGCTGCTCAATTCTGTTGCCAAAATGGGGGATTTCTGATGCGGGTTCGGCATTGCGGAAGCTTCTCGAAACCTGTGATGCTAGAGCTTCCATGCCAGACCTTCTGTGTCATGCAAAAACAGCATGAATCTTCCAGACCCAGACATTTTTACATTTCATAGAGATGATCATCGTCTAACAAACGACTGCGAGGTGGAACAAGAACACAGCAGCTCGACGTCCACGGAACAAGTAGTAGAGAAAATTCCAAGGCGCGGAAAGAACAGCAGTGGTAGTGGATCATCCTCTTTTTCCAGTGCCTCTGGTTGTACAACTTCCTCGTTCGTGGGTCCTCGTCGTGAAGAGGATCAAGATGAAGATGAAAAAAGCAGTGCGATCAGCTCAATTGGTGTAGTGGGCGCAGCTCCTGATCCACCTCGAGAAGGAGGAGGCACTTCATCTGCAGACGGAGGCGAGCAGGGTGAAGAACATTGTGGTCAAGTACTGCTGCAGAGTGAAACAAATCCAGCCGGCACGTCAGGAACTACGAGCGCAATCGGCAATAAAACGAGCCCTCGGTTTTCCTTCTCCCGGCAGCCGACCTTCTCTAGTACTACCTCGGACGAGGAGGAGGAAAACGAACACGAGAACGAGGAGGGGATGAATGCTCACAGTTCATCTTCTGCAAACAACAGCAGCAGCGAGGAAACGACCGCGAGCGGCGAAATAATCCCACGACGAGGCCGCCAGCACGGGCGTAATTCTAATTTGACCGAGCAGGACATTCCCTGCAGCTCCGCGACGAGCTCCTTCTACACCAAAACTATGGAGAAGGACCACTTCTACACAGGCGAAGACAACCACTCCGCCACGGCGGACAGTAATTTCGCCACGCTCGCACCCTCCAGCGACTTTTACCTGCACTCCCGCGCGGACCCGATGAGTCACGTGGGTGAAAACGCAAGCAGTTCCTGTGGGCAGAGTGAACAAGTAGGTCTTGTTCACAACGCGGGCGACACGACGAGGACCATGTCGATGGCTTTGTCGTATCAGCAGCAGCACAATCCAAGGCTGAACTTGATGCACAAGCAACATAATGTTCATCTTGACCTCCAGTATGATACTTCTACGCACACGCAGCAAGGGCCGCAAGGGGCATGTAGTTCTCAACTTCAACAACATCAGTTGCAGCAACATGATGCGGGTTTACTAAATAATCCCGCTTGCGCAACATCTGTCGTGACATCTACTTCCAGGTCAGGCGCACCAACAACTACGTGCTCGTGTAGCCACTCGCAGCAGGAGCTTGTTGTTTCGAAACAAAACAAGAAGTCTTCACTGAAACATGATCCGAATACATTACGGAATAAAAGACCCCTGCCCGCCTCCGCCTCCGACCCGAACGAGCTGCACGCGCAGTGCGAGCCGTTTTTCATCAAGAAGTCGATTCTGAAGCTGCAACGATGGTTGAAAAAACTGTACCAAAATCCGCGGAACGAGTACCAATTGATGGAATCCATGGAGAAGCTGTTCCACAGCCACTGCGACCGCTGCAACACCTTTGGGTTGAACTGGGATCTGATCCTGCTGCACCCGGATCCGGACATGCTGCTGCAAGAAATTTTGCAGAAAACCCAGCTCTATGAAGTGCAAAAGCATCGTACTAGTATAAATTGCATTACAAATTTCCTTAGAGTGACAGATGAAATTGGGAATGCTGGCTTAGCTATAGAAAGGCGATTTGTCATGCATGTCTGCAATTAGTACGAGGGAGTGCGATACTTTGTTTTGCACAGCATAGGCTCCTACCGCCGCTGAGTAACACCAACCAGCACAACAACTCGTCCTCGAACGCGACCTCCAGGTCGAGTGGGGGCACCAACGCGCGGATACAACAGGTTGCACATATTAACAATAACGCAGGTGGAGGTGGCAGGCGGACGACCTCGAGAACTGCGGGGAGCGGGATGAAAAAAACCTCCGGAGGCCGGCGCGCAATAAGTAGGACTGCTGAGGGTCACCAGGATACTACAACAACGGGGGGAAAGAACAACAATATCATGAAACACAACATCAAAAGCGGAAAAAATCGGCGCGGGCATCAACTACAGGGGACGAACGACAGGAGGGACGAGAGCGTCGGTGAGGTAGTAGTTGCAACATCCAAAAAGAAGCAGAAGAGAAGCTCCTCGGCGTCAAAAGAGCTTCTGCACCAAGATCGTCCACAAGAAACGGAGGAAGCGAGAATGTTGAATCTTCGTCGGAAAGCTAGCAAAGACAGCAACATGGCTTCACATCTCCTTCCCGGAGCAGCCTTTTGTGGCCACAAAGATTCCTCTCCGCCTGCAGTGAATGCTGACGAGCAAGGCGAGAATTATAAGGAGGGAGAAATAATCATCAATCACCGGGACAGCAGCTGCCACAAGCACTCTCGCAGCGACTCGAAAAATTCCAGGAGCAGCGGTAAAGAACAACATGCGAACAATAACAGTAAACGCAACAGCAAAAACAGAAGCGGCAACTTGAAGATTGATTTGAAGACAAAGATCATTCGTACGGATTCGAACAGCACCACTCACAACAATGCCACCGCCACACTGGCCGAGATGACTTCTTCTTGTTTGCAAAATTCCATTTCCCGCACAATTTCCGCGACCAAAGCAGCCACGGCGTTTCAAGCCATAGAGGACACGACGTACACAGGTGGAGCGAGCAACATTGGTCGTGCAGCAGCTCCTTTTTCATCTACTCAGGAACAACGCGATGAAGCAGGTCTAGAAGTTGTACAGCGCGACAGAACTACTGAACTGATCGTCCAGCCGTTGACGGAGGAAAAGATCGAAAATTTGATGAAATCCGGACCCAGCACGGTAGCCGTACTGTCGCAAATGAACCACCTGAACATCAATCCGAATACCGACCACGTCCACACGGCTGGTGGTTGCGGCAATAAATTATCGTCGCTGAATGCGATCGCTATAGGAACAACAAATAACCTGAATCAGAACCTCCAGGAGGCCACGACGCCGATGATGGTGGGCCACGGGTCGATCTTGGATGAGGAAGAACAGCGGGAGGACGAGGAATACCTGCGGACCCGACGGAGCAAAAAGAACGAAGAATTGCTGCTCAAATCCCGGAAAAATATCGACGAGTGCACGGAGATCTCTTCGCCGCGGGAAATTCTGGACGAGGAAGATGCCGACGAGGAAGACGAGGACCACGGGGGCCTGCAGCAGCTTCACGGGGACGACTGCGATTTTGAGAATGAGAATTCGTTGTACCGAGGCGGTGAGCACGTCGGAGGACGAGGAGCACCAGCTCCAGGTGGTGGTCACCAGATCCACCTTGGGACGACAGACGACGAGGACGACGACCTCATTGTCGACGCTGGGGACATATCCTGTGCAAAAGTATCGTACTCGTATAAATGCATTACAAATTTCCTCAGCATGACAAATAAAATTTGTGATGCGGATTTACCTTAAGAAAAAGATTTGTAATGCATGACTGCAATACGAGTACGATATTTTTGCAATGCATAGGACACGTTTGGCTGCGTCACGGAGATCGACCTGGGCACCATGAATTATGGCAATCTCAACTGTTACATTCTCAACTGTTACATGAATTTGCCATGCAAGAATGGCAAAAATGAAAGGAGGGAGCTTGCGCGTCTTGCATGACAGATTTGGTAGAGATTTAGACGCTGTTTAGCCATGCGAGAACTTGTCATGCGAAGCAGCTTGATCGTCTGGTGGCTCATGGTCATTTTGCATGACAAATCATGTAACAGTTGAGAATGTAACATTTGAGAACGCCATATGAATCACTCCTTGAACAACCACTCTGACAGTAATTCCAGCACCCAGGAGGACGACTTCACGCCGACCACAAACCAAAGCAGCCGGGGCCGCGCGAACAAGAATTCGTTCGGCTGTTTGACCCTCCGGGAGCACCACGGGCGACGGATTAAGTGTGAGCAGGGCCGACAGCACAACCTGCTCAGCCGCTCCACCTCGGAAAACAACCAGAGCAAGGGGACCACGAACATGAGCTCCTCCTTCGGAATGTCCACGACTATGACTGCGCAACAGCGCAGGAGCGGCAGCAAGAGAAGCAGCGGAATGAGGATGGGCGGTGGAACTACGTTCAACAATAATGGTAGTTCGAGCAGGGGGCACCAGATGAGAGAAAATGGTCAGGCAAGAACAAACCATCACAATGATCCCAAGTTCAAGGCAGGCAGGTCGAATTCGAAGCACAGGTCCTCGGGAGCAGCTCCGCGCGGAGGTCACAGCAGTGGTGAACAACTAAATCGCGCGTACCAACATCCGACCGGTGCTCGTACTTCCGCTACGTCGAATAGTAGAAACCACCACCACAACACAGCGGCGCAGCGCCAGCACAATCAGTCCACGTTATTTCAGAACGAGTTGAATCACAAAATCAACGAAATGGAGGAGGTATCCTGGGCAAAAGTATCGTACTCGTACTAATTGCAGATAATATGCATGACAAATCAAACTATTCATCTGAAATAGCATGACAACTTGCATTTTTGTTCTTGGGAAAATTTGTAATGCAATTTCTACTAGTGCGATACTTTTGCAGTGCATAGGAGGAGCTCTACGTGTTGAAGAAGTGCAACCTCATCTACATTCTCGCCACCCCCCTGGATAAGAACAAGTTTGGGCAAAACAACGCAAATTCGAATAATTCGACATCCAACGGAGGACGTTACAATGCACACAACCAGCACGGTGTTGTTGAAAATAATTACAACGCCGCGGCTGGAGGTAGTAACGCAACTAGTGGCTCGACGGTGAAAATCGAAACGGTGAACAACGCGTTTCAGCTGTTGCGCAAGCGGATTCGAAACATCGTGCTGACCATCGGCGATGCGTTCAAGAAGCGATTGGAGCAGGCTTTGTACATTAACGAGCGGACCGGACAGCTGACCTGCTTTGGCTCGAGCAGCAACACCAACTGTGGTAATGGGACTCAAGGCAGCGGGTTGGTGCACCAGCACAATTCGTCCTCCGCCGCGGCAGCCCACAGCTCGCTGCACAGCAGCAATTCCAACCACAACGCCGTGAACTCCACCATTTACGGGTTTTCTAATGCGCGCAACAGCTCGTCGACGCAACACCTGCTTGCGGGCGGGGGCGGGGGTGGAGTCATGGGTGGAACAAATGGTAATAATGGTGCGCACACCTCCCTACTGAACAATAACGGGATGTTGGACAGAAATGCACAGCAAAATCAAAATGCAAATCATAACAACCAGCAGAATAGCCAGCAGCTGTCCTTCCAGACCCTGGTGCAGATTTACCTGCTCATTTCCCAGGTGGTCGAAGCGTACACGAACCTCTTCTCGGGGATCGGCGGATCGGGGTCCGCGGTGGAGCTGCGGGCGCTGTCGCACGCGGAGGATATCACAATGAAAAATGCCCCCTGACCGGAATTTGCAAAAGTCTCTCATGCAAAGTTTCCAAATGCAAGCGTTTTGTGTTGCATGAAAGGACTGCGAGGTGGGAGCCTTTCTGACGCAGAATCTAGCTGCGCGGCAAGGTATCCCTTGCATAACAGATCCGCCTGCTGTTGGGCTCCTTTGCAACACAGATTTGAGCGTCTCAGCAACTAAAACTTGCGATGCTCATATAAATATGCAAGACGGGAAATGTTTGTATTGGAAAGATTTGCAATGCAAATGCGGCTAAATTCATCTGGGGTGGGGGCATTTCTCACTGTGATAGAGGAAAATTTAGGTTCTTGGAACATGGTGGAGCGCATCTATTCCGGGATTTTGTCCGACGTCTTGGAGTACGTGGAGGGGTGTCTGAACCGCTTCGAGTACCTTTTCAAGTCGTCCGTTTTGTGCAAGAAGGTCACGGAGCTGTTCCCCTACACGAAGTTCCCGCTGGACGTGGCCATATGGATTGCAAAAATAAATGTGTCTGGAAGATTCCAGGAGTTTGTCATGCAGGTTTTCCATAACCCATGACATGAGGTCTGGTATGCAGGACATAGCATGACAGATTCTGCGAAACCTTTCCAATGCCTATCCTGCATGGGAAACTGCCTCTCGATTTTTAGGTCAAAAGTGCACAACTTTTGGCAATCAAGCAACACAGTTTTTTGCCTGATTCAGATTTAGCATGACAAGTTGCCATCTTCCAGACCCAGACATTTTTACATTTGATAGACCATGACCGACTACCATTTTTACCAGAAGGGCTGGAAATCCACCGGGTTTCTGGCACGGTGCAATCTCAAGGCGGACCTGCGGCTCAGGATGAATTATGTTGGGCCGCATCAACTCTCCGCTACATCGTCCGCGTTTGGGCTCGCGGGGGGGAGTAGATTATCACTGCGGGATGTTAAAGATAAGGATAACCTTCGAAGTTGTGCAACAACTACTGCTTGCCGCGGCGCGCCGCAGCATTCAGGATCTGCAATTGTCTCCTCCTCGCATCATGATATCAATTCCTCGTCCTCGTCCATGGCCTACCACCGCCAGAAAAAGCTCCTGCTGCACAGCAAGGCGCTGCTGTACTTGAAAAATAACCGGAATCACGTCAAGGAGCCCCCGGTCACGGCGAGCAATGCTGGTGGAGCCAACTGCAATTTGACACACAACTTCTACAACCATAATTTCTCTCGAAATAATTACGGCAAGAGAAATTATAACTGTAGTTCTGGAGCAGGTGGAATGTTAGCTCTGCCAGATTACGGCCAGAATAATCAGCAGCTCCACTACAACGGCACGCACCACGACAACTACTACAATAAACACTACCAAATCGATGTTGAAACCGGACAAAACAACTCGAATCTGGTGGACCACGAGGTATTTCGCATGAACAAGTCCTTTTCCAAGTACTACAGCGTGCGGGCGGGATTTACGGGCAGTCTGATATCGCAAGAAAAAACTGCTTCACTGTGAACTTGTGATGCAGGAAATGGAACACAGAACTACTTGTCTTGCTACACCTGCAAGACATTGGATTTTCAAGCGTGTTTTCCCTTGGGAAGCGCGCATGACAGATTTTCAGCGTCATGTGTAACAAACTTGTGATGCAGATCTTGCAAAATCATCAAAGTGAAACAGTTTTCCCTGCGATATCTGATCAAGCAAGACTACAGCATGCACCTGGTGCAGCAGCACGACGACCCTCAAATGAGCAAGCTTAGCTTCGTATCAAATGTAAAAATGTCTGGGTCTGGAAGATTGCCAGGTTTGTCGTGCGCATTTTGCATGACTTCTGATGTCTGTGATGCATGCGCTAGCATCACAAATTTTGTGAGGGCTTCCTGATGCCTATACCGCATGACAAATGCTCTTTTCGTGTAGCAAAACTTGGACTCTCTTTGCTCCTCATGCAATGCATATTTTTTTAGAATCCAAAATCAGCATGACAAGTTGGATTCTTCCAGACCCAGACATTTTTACAGTTGATACTTCGAAGACGTTGGGTCGTTGCAGCCACTACACAGCAATTACAACTATCGTGAAGATCCTGACCGAGCGGGCTCCGCGGAGCATAGCGTGGGTGGTGTTGTTGAAAACAACTATCGTGGTCCTCTTCATCATGGATCGAGTACTAGTAACACTTTCAACATTGACGAGATGCAGCAGCAGAAGCATTACCCGGGCACCACCGCGACGAGAGGCGGTACTAATAATTTTTCCGGGCGATACAACCACCACCAGCGCCAGTCTGGCGGCAACATCAATAGCAGCTCCTGCAACAACTCGGCTCATATGAACGAGAACAACCTGGTGATTCTCCGGCTGTGCCCCTCCCGGAATTTTCACTACAGCTTGATCCTAGCGGAAAAGCCTACCACACTGTGGCGCAACGTGTACCGGAAGGCCATGCGGTACTTATCAAATGCAAATATGTCTAGGTCTGGAAATGTTGAATCTGTGTTGCATTTTTCACATTCCTAAGAAATCTGTATTGCATAAGCAGCAAATAAACCGCCACACTCTCGCTTTGCAAAAGCGCATTTTGTAATGCGTTCTGCGCATGAGAAAGCGTTTGAAACATTTGTCATGCTGCACTGCACTTACCGGCGCCGTCAATCATGACCATTCAGCATTACAACTTTCCAGACCCAGACATATTTGCAATCCATAGTGCTACGGGCTCGACTACATGGAGCTGTCCGCCTTCCGGTCCGCGACGCACTTGCTGCCGGAGGAACCGTATCAACTGTAAAAATGTCTGGGTCTGGAAGCGTCATGCTGTTTTTGCATGACACAGAAGGTCTGGCATGGAAGCTCTAGCATCACAGGTTTCGAGAAGCTTCCGCAATGCCGAATCCGCATGACAAATCCCCCATTTACATTTTGGTGACAGAAAGTGGGCAGCTTTTGCCACCTATGCGTGAGAGATTTTTCTGTGTTCTGAAATGCGCATCACAAGTTGCATTCTTCCAGACCCAGACACTTTTGCATTTGATAAACCGATTGGCAACCTGTTGTCTTCCAAGTTGTTCCACTCCATCATCGTCACCCGCCCCACCGAAATGTCGACGGCGGACCGGATTTCGCTGGACCTGATCCGCATTTTGGAAGAGGACTATTCCTTGGACCGGGCGACGATGCAGCTGACATTGGACATCCCCCAGGAGTACCTGTTATGCACTGCAAAAGTCTCGTACTCGTACTAATTGCAGCTATGCATTACAAATCTAGGCTGTTGAGGTAAATCCGCATTACTTGTAATGCTGAGCGAATTTGTATTGCAATTTGAATTTATACTAGTACGATACTTTTGCAGTTCATACCTGTGCCTGCCGCACATTGAAGCCAGCCGCTTCATTGCGGACCTCTTGGTTTTGCCGTACGAAATCACGACGAGCTCCTCCTCCTCGAGTTCCACTTCTTCCCCAAACGCAGCTATGGGAGTGTCAGGATTGAAATCGACAAAGTTGAAATAACTTGTATATGCATATTAAAATCGATACCAGTTGGAAGCCCAATTGCCAAGGGGCGCATGACAAATTTCGGCACCGTCTAAATCCAGTTTGTCATGCTGTTTAGGGATAGAAGGCGTCCTTTGTCATGCTACTTCAGCAGCTGCATCGCAGACCCCAAACAGGCTGACAGTCGGCCTCACTTGCCATCCCTGCAAGAGAGGCGCTTCATGCCTTCCAATTTATGCATGAGAAATAATTATTTCAACTTTGACGATTTCAATCCAGACGCTTTCATAGCAGCATCAGGATCATCCTCTAGCAACCTCGCGTCCTCGTCGGTGGACAATCCGAAGCACAGCACGACCTATCAAATGTAAAAATGTCTGGGTCTGGAAACTTGTGATGCTGGGTGGCGTATCATGAGGAGGCCACAAGTGCTGGCTCAGCATGGCAAGTTTCTGAGCTTCTAGGTGTTGCTTATTCTGCATTACAGCCTGCGTTTCTGCATGACAGAAAACTGGCGCTATTCGGTAACGTGCATGACAGATTTGAGAATCATACCAGACAAGCATGACAAACATGCACTCTTCCAGACCCAGACATTTTTACATTTGACACGACCTCCTCCTGCTCCATTTCCTCCTCGAAAAATGTGAATAAAACCAGTAATTCTACGTCTGGAGCAGTAGAAGTAGACCAACAGAATCAGCACCTGGAAACAAGTGGAGGTCCGCGCCACAGCCACAGCTCGTCTGCGGGTCGTGCCGCGCAAAATCAAAATGCTGGGACGACCATAACCACAAACAACACAACCTCGCTGACGAAAACCACGAACAGCTGCAACACAGATGAACCCGGCGACACGGTGAACACTGGCAATGGTGCGACAATCATCGAACAGCAAATGCACAGTCAGCAGATGGCTAGTACGCAGAATCATGGATACTACGGGTCCTCTTCAGCGAGTTCGGTGAACCGATTGTCCACCTCCGATAACAACCTGGACATGCTTATTCTGAGCAGAAACGTCCCCACCCCAGAGTTGTCATGCAAATCTGCATGCGAAAAAAGTTTATCATGCGGAGCCCCATGCGAAGCCATTTCTAGTCGTGTTGTGGCATTTGTGATGCTAGAATCCGCGTGATAGGCTAGATCTGTGGTGCTGCTAAACTACCTAAACAGGATTACACTACAAGGACAAACTTGTCATGCGAAGCAACCAAAGCTGCTTGATTTTGTCTAGCAGATTTCCCATCTTGGCTCTGGTATGGGGACGATTTTACATATGATAATGCTTCACGTCTCGGACTCCGCCGCAGCCGCCCAACAGCAGGCGCAGCATCGAGCCCAGCAGCAGGCCGAGCGCGAGCGACAGGGTGAACATTTGCAGGGTCGTAATATGGAGCAGATGAAGACCGCGACGAGTTCGATTGGGAGCAACGTGGCCATTATCAACGGGGCGCACTCGATGTTCAGTAAGGAAGAAGTCGAAACTACCGGTTGTACAGGACCACCCCCAGCACCTTCAGGGGCAGGAGGCCATAATTCCTCTTCAGGGGTGGAGCACCAGCAGCAAAACAACAGCACTTCTCGGATGAAAGACGGAACCACTACAACCGGCGGCGCGGGTGTTCTTGCTAGTGGGTCGAGTTCTATCTTTGGCCGGTGGAGCGCCACTTCTACCGCAGTCGCGGACCAGCACAATGTCGCCGATCAGGCCGCTGCGACTTCTTCTACTGCCGCAGCGCATCAACATGCTGGAAGTAGTGATTTAGCACCTGCTAATAACGGCGTGAGTACAACGTCGATAACTGGCATGCAACACAATAGCACGCCAGGACCTCTTTGTGGTGCTCCAGGAGGCGCTGGCACCCCTCCACGGTCCGGCACCTCTAGTAGTTCCACTTCGCACAACAGCAGTTCCGCCTCTCTGAACCCGATCAAGACCATATCCGGGACGTCCACAAAAAAGCACCAGTACCGGTTCTACTTCCGCAACAGCCACTTTCGCCGGTGCGTCTCCGTTATGCATTGCAAATATGTCTGGGTCTGGAAGATTAAAACTTGTCATGCTAAATCCGAATAATGCAAAAATTTGTGTTGCATGAGTGCCAAGACAGCACAGGAAGCGGGTTATTCGGAGATCGCTGCGGATTATTCGGAGATCGCTGCAAGACAGCACAGGAAGGGGAGCGGGGGGACGACTTCAGGCGACGCAGGATCCCTATGATTGAAGTGACATAGTGACGGACCGAAAATCGGACACCAGGCCGAGCGACTGAAAAGTCTGAGAAATGCACTCCGGAGATTTTTGAAAAACGCACAGCATCGAAATCATAGAAAAAAACGAAAACACTATTTCCCGTTTGAATAAAAAAAGAAAAGGCCCGGCAGGCTCGAGGACTGCCGGAAAATATGACCCGGCGCGTTCGCCTTAAGATCCTGCCCTCATACTTCTCAGATTGTTTCAGCGCAGTCAGATTAAGGATCTCCAGGGGATCCCTTAAGTTGCCAACGAACGCGACAGGGCCAAGATCACCCCGATAAGCTTCAGGCGAATCGCGGGGCGCGTTTCAAAATGTCCAAACTTTCAAACAGGCGGCGACGATAGGCCAAGAAGATCGACCGCACTCAGAGAAACAAGCGCGGCGCGGATCCAAAAAAAAAAAAAACGAAGGTAACAGAGCAAAACGCTGCGCAGAGGTCGAGGAGCTGAGAAGAGAAGCCGCGAAGATTTCACACCATGCGCCGAAGTAAAGCCGTTGGCGTCGCGGGTTAAATTGGCAGGAGAGTGAAACTGCGGACGGAGTTTTCAGAGAGATAAACGGGGAGGCGAGTTAAATTAGCAGGGGGATGCAGGCGAGTTAAATTGAGAAAGGGGAAAGGAGGAGAAAAGGGAGACCATTACTATACAGGAGGCTCAGCCGGCCGATGGCTCGCAAATTTGCCGCCTAAAAGGCTGCCGATTTTTTTCTAATATTGTGGGGCCCACATTGTTCCGGCTTGTGGCCCTCCTTTTTTCTTTTCGTCGTGGCCCCACGAGTCTGGGGCCCCAAGGGTTCTAGAGGTAGCCCGGGCAAGGGTTTTTTCGTCGGTAGTTTTTGCAGGTTTTGGAAATTGGGGCGCTGGGGATTTTTTTTAATTTTTTTGGCGAAGATTGCCCGCCCCAGTGTCTGCAGGGCCCGTGGCGCATCGGGGCCCGGGGTTTCCAAGGTTTGCGCCCCTGCGATTTTAGTTTTTGCCCCAGAGGGAAACGGCGCGACTGTTTTCCATTTGTCTCGGGCCGCATATCAATGGCCCCGGCCCGCCCGGCCGAGGTTTATGAGGGGCGCAGAGGTGGGGTTGGGGGGGGCTAATTTGGGGTCTAATTTCGCGTCTAATTTGTTTCTAATTCAAGCATAGGGAATGCGAAAGGGTTTGCAATGAAAAAAATTAGCCGTGATTTAGCCAGGAATTTAGGCGCGAAGTTAGTCGCCTGCCTTAGCATCGATTTAGGCAAGGAATTAGTCGGGGCAAGAGGTGCCCCGCCCGGTCTGTTTCCGGCTAGGTGGTTGCTGTTGATCATTTCGCCGGGCGGTTTCCCGGTTTTTTGTGTGGGCGAATTGCCGCCCCCCCTAATCTTGCACACCGCGCCTGGCCTCCCCTCGGGGTCGCCTCCCTTCTGGGCCATTTTCTCTCTGGATGGGAGGAGCCCCAGGGCGCTAGGTATTTGGCCGCGAAGTTCTTGGCCCCGTTCGTTTTTGGTGTCCCACCCCCCATGATTTTTGCCCGGTGGTCTTCGGGTTGGGTGTTGTCTTTGGCGGCATTGCCGCCACTTTCTTTCTTTGTTTTCCTTCGCGACATTAGAAAAAATATAGCAAGTTTTAAGCCTCGGAGAATGCCCGGGGCCGGCTGCCTGAGGAGGCCATCAGCTAGCGAGTAGTTAAACAGCCTCGCCGAAATTATAGGGCTTTTTCTTTTATAGTAGATCAAGGACGGCGAGAGCTCTTTTTAAAACCCCCCCGCCGTCCCATATTTGCATGTGCGGGGAGTCTAAGTAACATGGCTTGCCAGAGTCATTGACGAACCGGGAAGATGGGTGGTGGGGATTACCGTTTTCAGACAGGCCAGCCGCCGTGAGTGACCTGACTACCGCCTCTATTATTGAGGGAGCGTGTGTCCTCCTCGACTGAGTTGCGTGCGCGGCCCATCCGTGTTCCGCGTAAAACTCTACAGGAGAGTGTGCGCCGCGTCGAAAGGCTCCCTTCCGTACGGAGCGCCCCGAACCCGTTTTAGCGCACCTTTATGATGGCCTCACTGTTATGAGATGTTAGATCAGTTACAGTTTGTAAAACCCAGTCTGTTTATGCTAGCAGATGGCTAGTGCGCTGTGAACCCCCAGGACCAGGCTGACTTAGTCCCGACCGAAGTGGTAGGCGCTAGGATGAACTATGTATGTAGCGCCTAGGGCCCTTCCGTGCGGCCAATATGTATGTCCCGTAACGGGGATCGCCTATGTCGGTCATTTATATGCAAGGCGATGGGTCACCCGGTCGGCAGAGCCGATCCATACGAACGAACGAATGAGTGCCAAAAGCTGTCCACTTTCGACCAAGTTGGGAGGTAGTTTCTCATGCGGGATAGGCATGGCAGAGACCTCACAGACTCTGTCATGCTAGGCCCTGCATTCCAGACTTCATGGGTCATGGAAAATCTGCATGACAAAGCTCGCAATCTTCCAGACCCGGACATTTTTACAGTTGATATCCGTGGAGTGTGACTACAGCGAGTTCACCGCGTGGCTGCAGTTTTTGCAGCACCTGCGCCGGGGGAACCGGGTGCGCCAAGTGGACCTGATGGCTCTGAACGCGCGAATTTCGTTTCTGGACGTCACGTATGAACTGCAAAAATGTCTGGGTCTGGAAAGTTGGAACTTGTGATGCTACCTTTGGACTCTACATAAAATCTGTATTGCATGAACAGCATAAGAGGCGCAATCTGCGCTAATCGGACAGGGCGTTTCTGATGCGGTATGAGCATCAGAGAGCCCTCACAGAATCTCTGATGCTAGGGCATGCATTACAGACCTCATGGGTCATGGAAAATCTGCATGACAGACTTCTGCATTCTTCCAGACCCAGACATTTTTACATTTGATATCACGGCGCTGTGCTCGCACATCCGCCACCTGTCGACCAAGGTGGAGCTCTTTCGTTCCTTGACGTTCGGCAACTACGTGCCGCCCGGGCTGGCCATATGCAACATTGCAAATATTGCGTCTGGGTCTAGAAGTGAAAGGTGGAGATGTCGATTGTGTCGTCGTCGTGCAGCTTTTGCATCCTTCACACAAGTGACGCGGATGTTGACTTCCCCCGAAAGCCTATCCAGGCTTGTTTGCAGAGGTGGTGAGATGCCTGTTTTGTACGGAGAAACTCAAAATTGTTCTTTGCGTTCTAGTGAAGCAATGTTGGGACGAACAAGCGCGCTCGTGCAGCACAAATTTTTGCGTGATTCGAACTTGTTCGCATCACAGGTGTAAGTGTAATTGAATCCTTCCAGAACAGCACCAGACGTATACTTGCAATGCATAGGCCAACTACGCGTACCACTCTGAGTACTTTTTCGGCAAGTCGGTGGTGGAAATTTCGTCGGCCGGTACCTGTAGTTCATCTTCCGGCAGCAGTATTTTCCCCGGGCAGGAAGACGGAAACAGTATTTTCTTGACGGGGAATCAAATCAACATTCCCACGACAGGAAGTACTGGCACAATCGGTCTGCTGGTTGGAGGTGGATCTGCAGGGGGGGCCGCACCTCTAGCGCTTACCTGGGACGACGACTACTACAAAACCACGGGCCCGGGAAGGTGCGGCACAACCACAACGACCACGACAGCCACAACCTCCGTGAGGACGGACATGGACATGGTAAATGAGTCCGCAAAAAATTTTGCCGGATCATCTACTCGTTCGGAAACGGCTTCCGGTGGTCCTAGTCGTGGAGAAGCTGCTGGGAGCGGAGCTCCGGTTGGTGGACCTGAAAATGAGGTGACAAATTCTACTTGCGGTCGTGCTGGAACATCTTCTAACCTTGCCATGGTTCTTTCCCAGCTACAACCGCAAGCCGAGGGCATTGTGGAGAAAAACCTCCGGCGATTGGAAGATTACTGGCTCGGCATCCGGCCCGGCAAATCCTTCCAGTTTTATCCAAAAGAAAAACTGTGGAAGTGTAACTTTGGAGCAGGATGCTGAGTCGCATCACAAATTTGTTTGACACATTAATCTGTCATGCGCAGCGGCACCTAGTACGTCAGTAAAGTACGTGAAACTGAAAACACTTATGAAGCGAACCCATGATGAAGACGCACAACCAGCATGACAACTGTGACTGGATTGAACATGATCTGCAACACAAACTTACCTAGACTTGCGCAGTTTTTTTCTTGCATGAGTTTTTCGGCAAAAGTACAGCTCCTACCGCCGGTAGTTCGGGTAGAAGCGCTTCATCTACTATCGTCCCTGCAGATGCACAAGGCGGCAGGGAGCAAAGAGCAGCTGCCCGTGGTAGTAGCAGATCGGCGTCTTGCGGTACTTCCACTGTTGGTGCCAGGTCGACGTCGAGCAGACGAGACCACGAGGATAAGAAAACCTCGCGGGCGAGTGATGAAGAAGAACATGAGGCACTAGAACTGCAGCAAGGCACTGCAACGAATAGTAGTAAAAATGTCCACAATTTGATGATGAAAAACGGGAGGACGAGTTGTAGAACTACTAGCGGTGCAGCTGTTGGACCAGCAGGAGCAGAAGGACAAGGAGTAGTTGTTGCGGCTTCCTCCAGTAGTCCAGCAGGAGTTCTTTACAACAGCAAACTCCCCTCCTCGTCGGCGCATGTCGTTGGCACAACAACTTGTACAAGGCAACAAGCTGGAAATAATAACAATCCCTCACAGTGGTCACAGCCTCACACGAAGATCAACCCAAAGGCCGGCCGGATACACCACTCGTTGAAGCATGCTAATAATCATCTGTCGTCCGGCTCCGGCTCCTCTCATCAACATCATCTGATGCGAATGCACAAGGCAAAATTGATGCAGCTGCCGGTGGTAGAGGAGGGAGTAGAGCTGCAAGACGAGGACGAGGAAGACGACGTCGAGGATGATCCACCGCACAGCAAAAGAACGAGCCCGGTTGATGTGCTATCACCTCCCTGCTCGTCGGCAGAAGATGAAGGTGACGAGATATTGTTGAAAGCTACCCTTGGAACCACCACGACCACTGCAACGCGGCCCGACGACCACCTCGAAGAAGCAGAAGGCGAGGAGAGCACGAGGAAAGCCGACACTGATATCGTTGAATCTACAACTACGAATCGTGATGTGCGACCGCTTCCGCGACAAGAAAAAGAAGCCCCGCCGGGTTTGCAAATAGCACAACTGCGAGATGAAGAGGATGCGGCCTTCGAAACGCCGCGAAAGGTTAGGGCAGTAGCTAAGATCGAAGCGAATCTCCTCGTCGAGCGACAAGCATCCACGACCGCGCCTTCTGTAGAACAAGTTCTTGATGGGGATGCAGATGCTACAACTGGTTGTACTGACGCCTCTACTCTTTACTCGCCGCCAGATCATCTTCCTGAAGACAACTGGTGTGTAGTTGACGACGAGAACCACCTCCAGGAGCACGAAGACAAGCAAGGCGGCGCGCCTTCTGGTGCAAGAACTGCAGCATCACAATATTTGAATGTTTCCGTTGGAAGTTGCTCGACGCGTGTTGGTGAGGTGTCGCAAGACCTTTCCACCTCAAGCATCCAGGACGAGGACCACAGCCTCCTGATGTTGACAGGAGATGTTGAACAAGAACCGCAGCAAACACTAACGCCGGACTTGTTGATCTCTAGTAGGTGCGTCAGCGAAGAACAAGCATCCACCGGCTCTTCGTTGCTCGTCGGGTCTACGTTTTTGCTCGAATCCCCACCTGTCAGTGAGGAGACCAATGTGGACGTCGAACATCAAGGGCGGGCTCCTTCTGCAAGAGGACCTCCACGGGATGCTCAGCACAATTTCTGTGCAACTTCCAACTCGGACGGCGCAAAGACGTTGTCCCTCTCACCCACACGTGGTTGCACGCAAGATGACCGGAGGAACAACGATTCCACACGACCGTCTGACGTCACGCCACTGTTGCTGCACTCCCCCGACTTTCTCGCTACGGAGAGACCTCCACGAAGGAGCGATACGAAGTTGAAGCCCCCCGGTGGGGCGGCCCCGGCCGCCGCGCAAAAGTCGATGGATTATGTCGGGACAAAAATTGTAGTATCCGACGAGGAGGATCACCAACTCGAAGTGCACGGACGGGACGAGACATCATCAAAAGCAGGCGGGGGTTCTTTTTTCTTCACGGACGAGAATTCTTGCGCCACCGGGGTGGATGTGGACCAGAACTCTACCACCGACGTGAACAGCGAAGTAGAGGACTTTTCAACGTCGGAGCAGGATAATTGCTATCACAAGAAAAAGTGTTAACGTTTACGAAATTTGTTATGCAGTAATGCATCAGGAAATGTCAGGTGCCTAAATTTGTATTGCGCAGCATGCATGGAAGGCAAAATTTGTAAATGCATAACTGCCATCTGCGAAAACCGTTAACGTTAGCACTTTTTTGTTTGATAATTGCACTCCGCGCTCGTGTGTTTCAAACACCACTTCTAATGCCGATGAGCAGGATGATGATTTCTACGGTCGTGGTCCAGGTGTTTCCTGCGCTGAGGAAGATGAAAATTACTACAACGCCAAGCCTTCTTTGCTTGACACGTTTTGGCACAGCGTGTCAGCTTTCATGACGTCTAGCACTACAACTACTTCCAGTGGAGAGAATATTAACACGACCAGCGAACATGGTGCCGACAAGAAGCTTTTTGGCACTAAAAATGGGAGAAGACCGAACGACATTCTTTCGTCGGAGGCGCGTCGTGAAGTAGACCACCAGCAGGATGGAAGTGCTATTAGGCACGCTTTCACATCAACATCTTCGTCCGCTGGTGGTGAGTATCAGCATCATGATCACCATTCCGACCAGTCCACGCGGTCCCCCTCGTCAGCCGCTTCGGGAGGTTCCGAGTCCGATTTCCAGTCGCTGACCTTTGGCGCCTTCCTATCCTGAGTAAAGATGTCCCCACCCCAGAGTCAAGATGGGGATTTTGCAACACAAACCTAGAGGCTTTGGAACTCACGCATCACAAGTTTCAGTCCGTAGTGTAGTGCAGCTTAGCAAGGGCAAACGCATCACAAATCCATCTGCTTATCCTGGTTACAGCATTGCAAATGCCAAAACACGACTGGAAATGCCTCTCATGGAGATGCGCATTACAAATGTTCCTGCCATTGCCAATCTGCATGACAACTCTGGGATGGGGACGTTTTTGCAAGTGATACTTTCACGACAAACCCATCACGGTGAAGGTTCCAAAACTCCATGGTCGGCGCGCCGGGAAACAGAGTTTTACTGGACCGACGAAGATATCAAACAAAAAAAGTTCGTCACGATCACTCATGCGCATTTTTGCAATACAAAACTTCCTGTCATGCGTAAAAATGCATCACAGCCAAACTTCCTTAGGGATTTCCCTAGTGTTTCTGCAATACAAAGAAAAGCTGTGATGCTGAAAAAATTTGTAATGCAAAACCTGCAAGGTAGTGACTGTGACAAACTTTTTTCTCTCCATAGAAGAAAAAAACAAACCAGTATCCCATCTGCAAAAGTACCATCCTCGCATGATCACGGGTTATAATTCTAATCATACGATGAAATTCCAATTTTTGCAGTACCAGTAGTACCGCGGAAATTTGCAGCAGTACTATACTTGCAATACGAGTCTTGATCGGTATGATCGCAGAGGTTTTAAAACCTCTTTCTCTCCATCTTTCAGATGTTGGTATTTGCTTGTTGTACTGCATAAACAATTTTTTGTGATGCAATAATTTCTACTACTACTTATGGTTATGAATGAAGAGGAAAATCCTCATGCGGTCGTGTACTTTTCCTACTGCATAAGCACCAGCACGGGCCCTCGTCCCAGTCCGATGTTGAGTCCACGGCTTGCACGGAATCAGACCATGAACTTTGTCATGCAGAAGCTGGAACGGCAGCTACACTCTCGGTCTCGCCCGACGAAGCAGGCGGTGTTGGAACGGCACAGGAGACCCCGGCGATCAGGTTGAGCGACAAGCTGAAGACTACGTCCGAAGTAGAGACGACGACCTGTGCACGAGCGAAGAAACTCTCTTGCACCACCACCGCGCGAACACGGATCAACCGGGCCGCCCTGTCGCACCACCCCAACCTGGAGCAGAACAACCTGTCGAACCGTTGGGAGGCCGAGATGAAGCAGCCCATAGAACAGGAGACGCGGATCACGCATATGGCTTGCTCAGATGTTGCAATCTTCAATGTGGCAATAGAGTCTGGATTTTGTGTTGCATGATGAGCATGACAGACACAGACTTGGTCCACTTTCTGCAATACAAATCTCGCCAGATGATGATTCTAGTGCGGTTTGGGACTCCGGAACTTGTCATGCGCAGACCTGTGGGAGATGAAGGCTAGGTCATGCACTTTTTGGATCACAGATTTCCAAACTCTATTGTAACGTTTGAGATTGTAACACCTGAGCGCGTTATAACGCACTACCGGGCCACGCCCAACGTGATCACGCCCGCCTACGTTCTCGGCGCGACCGGCTCCAGTACCACCAACGCCATCAAAAACGTCGCGGACACCTGGCTCATCCAGCGCGTCATCTTATTCTATGTAAAAACGTCGTTCACCCCTTTCCGGAGGCGAGATCAGAAATCTGGTTAGACAGATCTTCTTGTTCGAGAAGCACATTGTCGACTCCGCATGCTTTTGATGACATGCAGTGTGTATGTGTCTGTCTCTGTGGTCGTGCTTGGCTATAAATAGCCGCATCACGACGAATTGAAATTGTAATTGGCCATGTTGTGGTCCTGCTAGCAAGAGCATGATTTTTTCGGAAGGCTGGTCCAACACGTCATATGGAAAGTGCTGCTCATTGGGAATCATGATGAGAGACTTCTGGGGCAGCTGCATGCAGATTTGCATGACCTCCAATTAACATGCGGTTTGGGGCCCCCGACGTTTTTGCACAGGATACGTCTCCACTGCCTCCACCGCCGGGGGCAATTTGTTCATTGCAAACAACGCCGGGCAAGTCAACGCTGCGTTGGTGGCCGCGGGGAGTGGAGGTGTCACTGGAGGAGCGGGCGCAGCTTCATCCCAGGCCGTTGCCCACGCGGTTGCGGCCTCAAGCACTGGTGCAACTTCTGTGGGCGCGACCAGCGCGGCGTCCGCAGGAGGGGCCTCCTCGTCCCTGGCAGGTGGTATCAACGCGATCGGAGAGAATTTCTTGCCGCTAAAACACTACACCTTCAAAGTGGACCCGGTACTACTCCTACGCTTCTATTCGTTCATTTAATAGAGCAGGGCCCGTTGGATGTTGTAGTTGTTGTGATCCATCTGCGTGACAGACCACCATGGAAAATTTTTTCTAAAGCTGATTAATAGTAGGCATACGCAGTTCCAAGTAACTATACCGAACAACTAGCAAAAATAAACTCAGATGCGTGGCGGCCTGCACGTGATTCGGCAGCACCCTGCGGCGGGCCCCAGCTTCGCGAATGCTTCCTCTGCGGTGGCCGGAAAGGATTACATGCTCGCGCCCACGAGTCTGGCCATGTCGATGTCTGTGTCCATAGGGGTGCAGTCCGTGCTGGGTTTGGTCCGGTCCCTGTGGCTGGCCAAGGAAGACACCAAAATGTCCGACATCGGCAAGGAGCTGGCTGTCGACGCGGGGTATGGATTGTAAAAATGTCTGGGTCTGGAAGATTGTCAGATTTGTCATGCAGCTTTTCCATGACACACGAGGTCTGGAATGCAGGACCTAGCATGACAGATTCTGCGCGATCTCTCTCATGCCTACCCTGCATGAGAAACTCCCTCCCGACTTGGTCAAAACTGGACCACTTTTGGTAATCATGCAACACAGATTTTTCAATGCTTCAGATTTAGCATGACAAGTTGCATTCTTCCAGACCCAGACACTTTTACATTTGATACGGGGAAGGGAGCCTGTGTTGGCGCTAGCTACTGGAGTGTCCTACAGTTGATTAATGCCGCGCAAGGATGTGCCTCGATGGTAAGAAAAAGAACTAAATAATCTCTGTCTCTATACATTCATAAGTACAAGAAAAACGGGGTGTGTTTCTTTGATTCAGAAGAGTGAGATAGTACTCCTCGTAGTTGAAAATCCATTTCCGACTTGCGGTCGTTGTTAATACTTGTAAAAATCTTCCTCATACTTTTCCTGCGGCTCGCCAAGTAGTTGAAATCTGAATCGCCTTCTGCATCTTGACCCAACAACATCTGAAGGACCACGCTAGAAGTACTACGCCTACCACTTTCATCTACATGCGAAATGAATTTTATATCAGCCCACCATGCAGTTTGCTGCTAACTACCTTGCCCTGAACCCGACGCCGGCGCTGCTGGGCATTCTGGGCTCCGGGTGGATTTATCAACTGCAAAAGTATCGTACTCGTATGAATGCATTAGAAATCTCCTCAGCATGAGAAATAAAATTTGTAAATGCTGGTACTGATTTACCTTTAAGAAGAAACTGCATGATTGCAATACAAGTGCGATACTTCTGCACAGGATAGGATTGCGCTTCGGTATTTGATGTACACCCAGAAGCACCTTACGCAGGAGCAGTTTCTCGCGGACGCAGTGTTCAGCGGGTACAGCAATGGCATGGGCGCGGCCGCGTGTATTCTCGGGGCCAGTCTGGGGTGGAGCCCGGCGCTGTGCGCGATCCTGGGCTGTTTCGTCGGCTCGGGGGTGGCGGCCTACACCTACGAATGTTGGCGCGAGGAATCCACCCTGATTTTGTGCAAGAAACTACGGAAGCTAGCCATCGTGACGCTGGGTCTGCCCCAGCAATTTGACGAGCAGCTGCTGAACACGCGTTACCGCACCCTGGCACGGTACACCCACCCGGACCGAAACAAATCCGCCGACGCCAAACAGATGTTTGAGTTGATTCAGCTGGCACGGGAAATCTGCAGAAACGAGCTGACGGACTACGAGGAAGCAAAACAGAGGCTGAACCAATTGTGGGGCTATTTACAAGAAATCAAATAATTATGAGGCATCCTAGGTACTAGATTTTGATTTCATGTGTATCTGGTGTATGACTTTTGATAATGGAACTTTTTTTTTGTTGTTCGGCTTTTCTGCTCTTGTGCTGTTATAATTTCATTCAGAAACAACTACAAAAAATAGGCTTCTAGGACGAGCACCACTTGACGTGGCAGCCACAAGAAGTATCGGGTCTTCTCAATAATAATAGACGAACGAGGATGATGTTTTAATTTTAAAATGCAAACGCAACAGGCTGCTATTGCTATTTTTTCGAGCAAGGCGGTATTCTTGCTCTTCAGATTTAGAGGAACTTGAGTTTATAGGTGTAGGAACAGTAGGTCATGATGTTAAGAAACAGAAGGATGTCTATGCAAATAGAAGAGAATGCCAGAATTGTATATGATTATGATATAAATGAAAATGTATTAAAAGGGAGATGTCAATCGCCCGTCACTAGAAGTGGCACAAATCGATTGAACTCGTGATCTTTCCAGACAACTACAGGAGGTCCAAGATACTTTTTCGGATCAGGTGCTATGCGGTGTTGGCGTGGGACCCCACTATGCTGCGTCGCGGGCTGCAGATGGTACTGAGACCCAATACGACCAGCACTGGCATTTATTTTTATTTCCAAGAAACAAGATGCAAGCAATAACAATAACATTAACAAACAACGATCTGCGCACGGGCTCCAGTGCCGTTGGTGCCGTCAGTCTTGATTTCATGTACTTTTGAAGTAGAAGGCAAATGGAAGTTGCTTTGCTACTTCGATTCTGTAGCGCTGGACAAGATAGGTACTACGTTTTCATCATCGGGGGGACTATGTCATTCCCCCTCTCCCCGCACGGAAGATGAATTATGGCCCACGATTACTAGAGCACGTGCTTTATTTAGCTTTTGTAGCTGCGTTGTTTTTGTTGTGCTGGTTTGTACTCGGATGAAGTTGTCAAAAAAGCTATGACGAGTTGAAAAGAACCAAGTACCGGCAAAAATTTTGCAGCTGCGATTGTGTAACTCAGCAAGGTGGCACAGGCAAACGGTCATCGCATGATATATAACAGTCTCATCTGCGAGCGGTAATATGCTACCTATGGACCCATTAGGAAAAATGTTAAGTTCTTGATGTGGATGGTTGTGGCGTTTCTAAAAAGAATGCGCCCAGCGAAAGACGATAGCAAGTGCATGGTCTTCAGGATCGTGCATCGATTTATCGATCACTCAAAGCTTCAGCAACACCAGTGCAGGTGGAGCAGTCTATACTTCTAAAGAATGTTCTTAAATATTGACCGCAAGAGGGTCGCAACTAAGAAAGTTGCTCCACAATTTCAATATAGGTTTTTCTTTTTATCTTCTTTCCTTTCCTTGAGGAGAAATTTTTTTCAACATTTTTCTCTCGTGACCTGTACAAAGCAGTGCATTTGGAAATACTATTTAGATACGAAAATATACACATTGGAGAACTTTTTTTGCTGTCCATTTGTAGTTTGTTCTTGTTGTTGTCTCTACAGTCTCTTTCTGCACTACTAACTTCAGAATCGTCTTCTATCATCGAAATAAAAAGGTAGCTCCTAACAAAGCAACTTTACAGGTCGTGAAGAACAGACCTGAATCACAGAAAAACTACTGTGCACGGTGCTGGTCTCACAACCGTTTTTACCCTACTTGTGTATGCGCGTTTGATAGGGCGCATTGAGCTATCAAGTACAGGGCACAAAGATAACGGATTCAACAGTTCCGTCGGACGGCAGAGGTTGATTGTACTAGGGACTGGCTTGAAGAAGTCGTCCAGGCGTTGTAGAAAGGAGGAAATACAACTGTACTGAAAATGACTATAGACTTCTTGAACGACGATGGTGTAAGAATAACCTCCAAAGGACTTGGAGCTCATCTTCTATCTGGAAGAACCGAAAAGAGCACAAAACGAGGGAAGTCGAGCGCTTGATCTCTTTTGAAGATGTCTATAACGAGGAGCGGAGCGGAAGGAGGCGAGCAAGCAACGGCGAAGTAGCAACACAGTTGTGGGTCCTTGTTTGTTGATCCATCTCCACCCCCCTCGCACTCTACTCAACTCGTTTGGTTGTGATGTCAGTTCAAGACTTCTCCTTCCTTTCCTGGGGCGTCGTGTTCGCGCCAAGAAGGACACTCCGAACGTTCCGTGAACAGAACCGCACCAAAAACACAAAAAATGAGTCAGAAGATGAAGCTTGGTGACATGCGACAACTTGTTCGCGACAACCTGCGCCCCGCGGACAGCGACGTCGCTCCATAGTTTTATTTGTCCCTCCAAGGGTGGTCACCTTCTCCTAGTCCTACTCCTAGCTGAGCAAAATGGAGGCTTCGACGTCCAAACGACAGACAAACTGCTCGAGAAGTAGCTTTGCCTCATCTTCTTGCCGCAGCTTTGCTTTCGTTTGTCTCATTTCCCGACAGGCACTACTACGCGGCGGTCTAATATCACTTCCACTGCTCCTCCTCCTGCTGGAGAGGTTGAAATGCTTCGCGGCCGGAGAAGTAGCCGCAGCATCAACTTCAACTTCTGTGGGACTTCTGGATAAGGGTAAACAAGAAGAAGAACAACCACAGGAAGTCGACGGGCCCGGAGGTGGTCGTGGCGGACGAGCAAAAAGCACGACTACTCGCTTTTCCGCGGCGCCATCTCGCCCCTCTTCGAGGAAAAATGACCGACAGGGAGACGATGATGTTGACGGCGAAATGATAAATACAAATTCACGAGGACGAGACAGCGACGAGAACGGTTCTGCCCTTCAAGAAGAATCAGCAGTGGAATTCTTGCATACCAGCGATACTCCTCGTTCATCCGTTGGCCCTCCACCTTTCGCTGGGTTCAGTTCTACTCCACAAAGCTTCGCGCGTGTGGTTACCGTTGACCACAAAGGGGCCAGCAGTAGTACCGAACAACGCCAACAACAAAAAGGAGCTTCTTGGGTGGAGATAGAAAATGAAGACGAACATCACATCAAGCAAATTATAACGAAGGGAGGATATCAGGAGCCCGATGCTTTTCTTCAAACACCCAACAAGCGGATCAAAGCTCCATCGACGTGCAGCGACGAGATCTGCGATGCTGTGATTCGTGCGAATCCACTGGCGGAGCGGCTGCGGCGCGCCAACGCACAGCTTCTTGCTCGGCCGCATACATACGCAAATGGTGCAAATGGCCCGTCGGCATCGTCGAAAAAGATCAGTCTGCAGCTGCTAAATTGGCGCCTCGATTGCCCCTGCGAGCTCGAAAGGCGGGACGAGGAAAATCAAAATGACGCGACAGCCTATGCCTGGCCGTCCTCGCAGGTGTCGGGCGACGCAGCGGACGTCGTTGCCGCTACAGACGGAACAATGTCGAGTGGGAGTACTACTAATGGACGCAGTGCGATGAATGGTCAAAATTTGACCCGCGAAGCGGACCGCCATGATGAGCAGGGAACTTCCTCCCGATCGGACGCGTTTTGCCGGCCTGAATTCCTCGAGACGTTCAAGATTGCCAGCGTCTTCTCCACGAACCGAGTGGGTGGCTCTCGACAGGATGACGATGGCGATGACGGAGGTCTTCGCGCCAGCTATGAGAGTGCACAAGAACGACAGCTTCCCTGCTTCCGCAGCATGTGTAAAAATTATAAATTCCAAATCCATTGATTGTTTATTGTTAGGTGGAAGAGGAATTGTCTGCCTCTGCGTGAAGTGAGTGTGAGTCTTAAATTGTACAGAACAATTTCAGAGGACTCACACTCACTTCACGCGGAGTGCCGCGCTCTTCAGCGATTGCAGTACTACTGCAATTGGTGATGTGCAGACGATTTTTTACACGGAGCCCAAATTTCATCTGCCGTTGCTTGTGTTGCTCCTGATCATGGCCTTCAAAAGAGGGGAAGGGTTGGTTATGCACTCTCATAACGGCGCAGGCTCTGCCTCACTCGCAGTTCTTCGCGGCGACCAGCCTGACCTGCGACCGAGGTGCCTCTCCGCGGGCCTCTACGATCGGGATCGGGATGCTCTGATTAACAGAATCGGAAAGGGTATGGCAGTGTCGGGTTCGAAATCGACAAGGTTGAAAGAGTTTGCAGCGTATAGTATTTGATATTGTAGCGACACGACCAGTAGTCGAAGAACCCGCAAGCTCTAGCTGATGGCGCATGATGACAAATGAAGATTTATTTGCCAGTAGCGAAGTGCAAAAAAAGGAAAAGGAGTGTTGCTGTTTGATGCTTGCTGTTTGGGCAAAAAATGCTTTTTTTGTCGTACTCTTGTAGCAGCTCTATCTGCAACATCATCACACAACCTCAAACAGGCTTATCGCAGAATCTTCCTGATTTGCCTGCTCGTGCTCTTCAAGAAAGGCACCCTTTCTACTGTGTGCCCGTGCCCCGCATAATTTTGTGCATTGCAAATTGTTTACTGTGTCGCCCATTTCAAACCAGACACTTCCATACAGGGAGAGCAGTTTTTTGTCGCCGTGGACGAGCAGGAGGCGCAGATAGTGGCAAGAAAGTACTTGCGAGCGATCAAGCGCACGCCATTCGCCAAAGATGTGCTCGCAAAGGCTCCCGCTTCGTGGTCTTCCTTCAATGGCCTGATCTGGGAACGTCCACGACATGAATACAAGTACGATCCGCCGTATGAGAAGGAGAGGTATTACGCGATGGAGAACTCCTCGCTGCAGTCTTGGCTATGCTCGGTAAAAGTATCGCGACACTTACACTTTTAGAAGTAAAGCTAAAATTTACACTGCAGTAGAGTTGTAGTTCTTTATGTATGTTGGGCTTGGGCTCCTTAGATGCATCTGGAGGTTTAGAGGTGGCGTTTGCAGCAAGTGCTGACGAGTTACCTAATATGAAATAATCAGACTTATCACGCCAGACTGACTGCACAAAATTGCACGAGTGCGATACTTTTGCGCGGCATATTGGTTCCACCACGACAACTCCACAGCTTCGCCCGACCAAATAAAAACGCGGCATTGCGGAAGATCGTGGTCGGACGATAGCCATATCTTTGAGCAATGGCTTGGCCCTTTCGTGCGTAGAGCCACTGTCTTATTGAACGCGTACATCGGTCAGCTCTTCCTCTGCCATTCGCCCTCAGTTTCCCAACGCGCACTGGAGCTGGCGAGACCTCCAAGCGATGACCTGGGTTTTCCAACACCCTGGTCGCTCACCGGTGTGGCGATTTACCATGTGGTCTCGGCGATTCTCTTCACGAACGCGCAGCTGGCTGGCGTGAATTTCCTGACCCGGAAGGGGATCGAGTTAACCGGAGGGGAGCGGGCACAGATGGCGAATGAAACGGTGGGGACCGACATCCAGTCGACCACGACGTCCCTCCGCAATGATGAAAAAACGAATTACGCTGAGCTCCAGCGGAAGTTCGTTGCAGTGTCTGCCCCCGTGTCCTTTCGGATGCATGAATGCAGCGGAGACGAAAGCGTGCGTCTGTGGGATATGGCGAAAGAGTACGCAAACAAGAACGCTATCCGAGTGCACAACAAGGACAAGAACTCGAGCGCGTTGCTGCCTCCACTAGAAGCATCGTCGGGGGTTTCGAAACTTATCATGCTGTAAAATTAAAGATGCAGAGCGCCAAGAAATAAAGGGATGACTTTATGTACTCAAATAACATAAGTGGCGCAGAGAATGTCTTCCGTTTCTTCTATTCGACTTCGGTATTTGCGTCCAACGTGACCACATATGAGGTAGAAGGGTGTCGGGGGGTCGGGTTGTGCACTCTCAGACACGCGGGTCTCAAGCCCCATGCCTACGCTGGTCGATTCTGGTGGTTGACCAGGGAGGAAAGCGCCGATATCATGAGGAAAAACGTCTTTCACAGCCCATACCCAGCATGAAAATAAATATAAATATCTGCGGCTGGAAGATCAAGACCTAGCCTCCCACTTCCCTCTGCACGTTCGCCACGATCGCAGATCCATGCTGAAAAGAGCCGCGCGGGAGATGCATTCCGCGGTAGATTTTTTTCTGGGTATTATGCAAATTCGCATGACAAATCGAATTCGACACTGGGGGTGGAGAGTCATACCTACGTTTTTACACAGCATAGCGGACGCCACCGAGAAGCTGCGGACCTACATGGGGCCGGGCACCCTACCAGTGTTGGTCTTGGGGGATGTGGTGGACGTAACGGGACAGGCACACTGGCAGCAAAAACAATTCCGAAAACGGTTTGCCCTCGACTCCTGGAGGGGCTGGTGGCGCCGCTTTTCGCGCCCGGAGATGCACCTGATGATGCGATGCGAAAAGTGGGCTGACCGGGTGAACATTCGCGCCATCTTGGCAGTCGAGGAAAAAGACGTGGACCAGATTCGAAACGCCGTCCGGGCTGCGATTCGCTTGGTGGCGAACAGTAAGAAAGCACCGATGTCCAGCAGTGGCGGAACCAGCACCAGCAGCGCCGCAGGTTGCCCATTTTCCGGTTTGGGCGAGGAGTCATCGTTTTCGGCGCATCAAGAAAAAACCGCAAGGGAAGCTGTAGCAGGAAGCCAGCAGCTTTTCGACTCATCAGAGGAACGGAAACAGTCGGCGTGGTCTCAATCTTTTGTACAAGAGGACTCTGTCTCTGACCCGTTGAAGCTGGTCGTAATGACGCTCGCGGAGGCCGACAAAGATCTCAAACTATTTGAGAACCGTGACAAGACGAAGGAGTGGATTCCGGCTGATCTGCTCGCAGAGTGGTACAATCGAAACGCCATTGATTTTGTCGCCGAAGTGTAAGTAGTGCGCAGAACAACAAACCGCATTAGCACAAGACAGAGCAACAAGCAGAAGCACGAAGATAGCTGCATCCGCCTGGGGGGTTAATGCTTCAACCCAAGGACGGACCATGTCGATCACGATCGACGTTCTAAGTCTGTTATCTGTGGTAGCACAGAAGTGCGAAGAAACGCACCATGTCGATCACGATCGACGTTCTAAGTCTGTTATCTATATCTTCCTTTTGGCAGGGAAGTTATGTTGTTTTGACGTTCAGGAAAAATAATTGGTGTCCTGTTGGTGTGATTGCCTATTTTGATATAGTGGAAGCTGTTTCGTCCGTTCTTCGTTTTTTCCTGCACGACGTGCTGCAGTTGGTCTGAGTTGTGAACGAGGACGAGGGAACACAACAATTCAAAGTTGTAAACTTCTACGAGTTGTACCATAATGAGCTGCGTCCATGATGTGTGAGGAGCCTGTGGTAAGTACTACGATAGATCTTTTGTGGCAGGAGCAATATACATAGAAGTGATGTCAAATGGAATCGTTCTTCTCCCAGAAGTTATTTGTGGGTCTTATGTTACTGTGTTGGGCGACTCTGTCTCTGGTTTTTTAGACGAGACAAGACGACAAACGCAGACCTTGTCTCGGTCGTGTAGCTATAGCTACAATGGGTGTCCCGGTGAACAAGAACAATACTGGCAGCAGTCCCGAGTCTGGTGCCGCGGGAGCAACTCCAACGTCTCGCGATGTAATTGGTACGCAAGGCCAGGAAACGACGACCTCGGTGAATAAACTACCTGCTTCCACGCCCATTGGTTCGCAGCACCAGAAGACGAAAAACTACAAGCCACCAGGTGGAGTTGTACAATTACCCGCTTCAAAATCGCCCGGAACCGTCGGCCCCCTCGCGGCGCGGCGAAGCAAAACTCCGGAAAAACTCGTCAGAGAATCCGTGCTGGCAAACAAACAGACGAACCGTGGTGCACAACGTAGTACCAGTACCTGCCGGAGCCGAGGTGAGAATAAGTTTAATCCGTCGGCGAGAACTGGCGTAGAAGTATCTTCAAGAGCCGCGGTTGAGGGTCGACGTGTAGCCGGGGGAGCTGCTGTTGTTCCAACTGGAAACAAGCAAAGTAATGTAGTCGATCTTCTCCAACGTGGTGGTGAACAAGGTTCGACTTCAAAAGCAGGCACTTCTGCAGTTGTTTCTATAACTAGCAAGTCCCTCGGCCCCATTTCTTCTACCGCGTCCGGGAGTAGTACCAGCAGTCCGCGACGCCAGGCCGCGCGGCAGAGATGGTGCTATGAGCGCGTCAATGCGCTGCACAAAAAACGCGATCAAATCAACTTGTTTATTGCGGAAAGGAAGAAGGATATCCAAGAAAAAAACATTGTAGGTGTAACTTTTTTGGTGGAACAGCATTACAGCAAATTTGTCTGGCATGACAGCAAAAACCTGTCATGCGCAGATAGTAAGTACGTGAAAAGACCTTTAATGGACCCTGCGACGCATGCCAAGCATGACAGGCGGAATCATCTTGCATGTTGCGCATCACAGATTTACATTAGCAGCGTTTTCTTCTTGGATAAAGGAACTGGAGGCGATTGCGGCGAAAATGCGAACGGTCGGACCACACATGGGCACTCCTTATGCATTGCAAAGGTAATATCGTACTCGTATAAATGCATTACAAATTTCCCCAGCATGAGAGAGAAAATTTGTAATGCTGATCTACCTCAAGAAAAAGATTTGTAATGCTAATGCATGACCGCAATACGAGTACGATACTTTTGCACAGCATACTCTTCATCCTGGAGCAGGCACATCATCGTCCGACGGAGCAGGAGCGGCTGGCGTGATCGTAGGAAGTGGAAATATAAAAATCCAAGAACCTCCAGCGGACCGCGATGGAAAAGCAGGAGCCGGAGCTGGTTCTACTGCTGCGCAACACCTCCAAGGTGGAACCTCCAACAAGCAAGAACTAGAACCCGCTCCAACGACGACGAATCTGAATAAGAAAAAAGAGCTGAGTATCAAATGTAAAAATGTCTGGGTCTGGAAGAATGCAACTTGTCATGCTAAATCTGAATCAGGCAAAAAGCTGTGTTGCATGATTGCCAAAGGTTGTGCACTTTTGACCTAATCGAGAGGCAGTTTCTCACGCAGGATAGGCATTGGAAAGGCTTCGCAGAATCTGTCATGCTATGTCCTACATACCAGACCTCATGAGTTATGGAAAACCTGCATGACAAACCTGACAATCTTCCAGACCCAGACATTTTTGCAATCCATACTGAGCGACGTGACTCGGGAGCGGGCGATCAAGCGCGCGGAGTACGATCGAAATCTATCCTGTTGGACGAAAAGTACCGTAGAGCACGTGGAGCAGCAGATACATTCTTAAATCAGTCGTAGTTTAGTAAATTCAAAATGCTCGGTCGTATCCACAGATCACGGTGACGATCGCGACCGCGATTTGCAGATCAACTACAGGCTACACCTAGGGCCGCGCTCCTGAAGCGATGGCACCGCTTGTAGTAGTTTCGGCTAGGAGGTGTAACTGCAGCGGAGCCATATACCTCTATTCTTTTCCGCTTCGCTCTTGCTCGACGTGGTCTGGTGCTGTCACGACTCTACGGTATTTTTGTTTTTGCAAGCCATACACTGCGATGGAGATCGAAAAAGTCCAGGCGGAGTGTCGCAATTTGGAAAGGGATATCAACCGCAAGCATGTGTGGGTCAGGAAAGTTGTAGCTGGTAGTCTGGTGTGATTGTGAACAACGAGAACATGAAGAAAATTGGGATCTTCCGGAGCATGGCAGACTGCGATTTATTTGCATGACATGCATGAGCATCTCTGCGTAAGTACTCAGTGGCTCAGAGTCGTATCAGACAAGCATGACAAGCCTTGCAACCTTTCAGACCCAGACCACACGTTTGCAGTTGATAGCGGACTGCTTGAATTTGCAGCGGAGCTCGGAGAAGTATAGAAATGATTGCGAATTAATATTGTGTTGGCAGTACCAGTACCACGTAAGTACTACGTTTACGGAACAAGCATTATGTTCGTAGTAGCACCATCGAAGCTGTTCAAACTCAGAAACAAAGAAAAAGACGTACCAGAACTAGTCAGGTGTTAATAAAAGACATAAGAAAAAAATCAATAAAGAACAAGACGTACTGGAAGTAGTCCCTCGACATCAAAAACTACGCGTGTAACAGAACGTTGTATAACAATTTCGAGGATCAACTACAGGTGGAAGCAGAAGACCGAGCCTGACGCGGAGATCTCCGAAACCAAGCAGACGGAAGAGTTTCTCTACAAGAAGCAGAGTCTCGAATCAGAAAAGGACTTGGATGAACGGCGCAAAATCTCCCTGGAGTCCGGCCTGTATCCTGTGCAAAAAACGACGTCAGCGTCAGCACCCCAAAGTCAAGATGGGAACAAATGTCGTGCTGCGCAAATGCACTACAAATTTCGGCTGCTGCGCATGACAGCTTCGGGCTCGAAGTGTAAAAATCCGGTTTAGAAGCTGCTAACACAGCAGCATCTTCGCACTTCTATGGTTAAGTTGCGGGTACCTCATCCAGGTTCCAGCATGACAAGTTCCCAGATAGCGTGAAGAGAGAATACTCCTCATCGGGCCGCGCATCATAATTTTTTCGGCTCTCTTCTAGCTTAGCAAGACAGGTATGGGGCCGCGCCGTAGACGTTTTTGCACGGGATAGCCTGTGCGACGGTATTATGGTGCGGGAAAAGTTGCAACAGGACATCACGAAGGAGCGGGAAAATATGGAAGTAGCGTCAGGTTGGAAATCGACAACATGGGGACGATTTAAGTATTTTCACGGTGTGATAGATTGGATTCCATTTGGATTCGCCAAGGAACTAAAAGAAGTAGCGCATCATGACGACACTTCTTTTTTTCCCTGATCCAGTGGACGCATCTACTATTTTCGATTGCCCCTGAGCGCGATATATCTGTGAGTATAATAGTGCGCCCTGTCATGCCGATCGAGAACTTTTTTTGTTGAGCCACAGCCACAAGATGCTTGAGTAAGATTTGTAAGCTCGTGCTTATTTGCATGGTATCTAACTACACAGTTATGTTTTTTGTGATATGGGTGAACTTACCACATATAAGCATGACAAGTTTTGAGGAAATTCTCAACCTGGCGCGGCCATAGAAAAACTGAAGTTGCTCGAAGCGGCGTGGGCAGACAAGCAGAAGACGATGACGCTGGAGAGGCTGAAGTTCGGCAAGAAAATGGAGCTTGTGATGCAGGAATATGCATTGCAAAAGTATCGTACTAGTATGAATTGCATCACAGATTTTGGCAAGAAGGAGAGGGGAATTTGTAATGCTGTTTTGCCCTAGGGAAAACATTTGTCATGCATATTTGCAATTAGTACGAGTGCGATACTTTTGCACAGGATAAGGAAGAGAGGGCGTTGATGTGCCAGCGCGAAGTGATCCTCCGCCAAATCGAAGAGTTCACGACGAACACGAGTTCTAATGCGCATGATATGCATCACAGATACTATTATGTCGGGGTCTGGAAAATTTTCAATTGCATGCCGAGTTGCAGCCCCCATGCATTTCTTCGCCAGCACGCATGACAAGTGTCTTTTTTTCTGCGACTACGTCAAGCACTAACCGCCTGCAGCGTCGCATTTCTGTAGGAAGCGAAACAAACGGCGGTCTAGAGAAACAAACACGCGTGACAGTTTCTTTTGTCTTTTGAGAACCATGCATGACGAGGACATTTTCTTCCAGAGGACTCTGACATACTTGTTTGCATTATTTGATACTGCTCGGCGACCACGGGATGAAGACGAGCACTGCACCAAAGGGGGGCGTTGGTAATGGGACATCGAACCACCAACCGCAAAACTGGAAGCAGACGGAGATGAAATTTGTGCAGTTGCAGGACCTCGCGAGCAGCAGGACCGACGCGAAGCAACAGATGTTCGAACAGTTGCGCAACTTGCAGGAGGTGCACCAGAAGAAAAACGCGGAGTTTTTGCAGTACGAGAAAAAAGTGGAAGAGCTGCAGCAGACGCTGTTTGCCAAACAGAGCCAATGGCGGTTGAACCACATCAGAAACATTGACGACCGCGTCGCCTTCAAACGGAATCGGAGTTTCGTGCAGCTGCAAACCGGCGTTGGGGAGACCCTATTCGCCTCGGGAAACGCGTTTGGAGACGGGTGGGAGGCGACCAAGGGAAACGCGTGGGAGGCGACCAAGGTAACCGCAGCGGTTGGTGGCGTGAATTTGTGAACAAATAGTCTTACGTATTAGTTGGTATTCATCTGGAATGTTATGGAGGAACGAAAGAGTCAAGAGTGTAGTTTCATGGGACGTTTTTGTCTAAAGCGTGTAGAATCCACATCTGAAGTTGTGGATTTCTGAGCAGGTGGTAAAGTATGGCAGCACACGATACGGAGCCGAAAGTGTGTATCACGACAATCCCGAGGACTACCGAAAGAACAAAGACCACGAGTACTTTATGAGAAAATCGCTTGGTTTCCTCAAAAATGTGTGCTGTACTTCAGTCCGAGGGGAAGATACACTTCCAAAGACTGCTTGGGTGCGACGATTGTTTTTTGTCGCATGAGTGAACTCCTCGTATTTTTTTCAAAGATGTTGTTTAACGTTAATCTCATCAACAAGATGTTAAATGTTTTCATTGCAGTGTGGATTAGCAGTATGGTGCAGTCACCATAACTTCCGTGGTGGTCGTCTCAACCCGCCGTGTTCATCTTCACAACACAACCCCGGATCATCTACATCTCTCTTATACACTTTCTTTCGAGTCGGATGGTCATTTCAAGTTTCCCGAGTTGTCTTATGTTCTCTCTTCCTTCTTTTCTCTCGGCACTCACGAGACGGATCAACCGGATTGATCACGATTGCGCACCCGCGAAATAAAGGAAGATCCATGATGGTTGTGTCATCTTTGTGTTCGTTGTTGCTCGACCTGCGACATCGGAGCATTAAGTATAGTAAGGACTTTCTTTCCTTGTTCGTCCGCAAGGCACAGTGTCAATTTTTGAGCCAAAACGTTGTCCAAAGGCGGGAGAAGCGCGTACTTAATAGTTCCACGATTGAGCCGTCATTTGGCGCAATCGCAACAAAGCTACATGGAGAAACCAGAAAGACGAGTTCGTCTGCTTTGCTAAAGAAAGCTCTTCTCACTTCCGCCCTATTTCCATGGGGGGGCGGTGCGCCAGGCGCATCGGCTTTGACGAACGGTGAGAAGGCGTTCGAGACCAAAGTCGATGGTGAAAACACCGCGATTTCGGAAGATACTGCGAGGGCTGCGGTACTTGATGATGCTCAGCTGTTAGACATGTTTTTCGTTTTTTTTCTCTTTTATCTGTATCAATGGCTTGATAGTCCTGATGTTCTTTACTTGGCAGGCTTCCTGTCTTCTGAGGTGCAATATAATTTATTACGTCCCGTAATTGAGTAAACCTGGCATACACATAAGAAAGGATCGCCTGAATTTCTCACAGAAATACGAGCTGCGCGGCGCGGCGAACAAGCAGTTGTACCCCCGGAAGGAGGAGGACAACGAGGGAGACGCGAATGCCGTGCCGGACACCTCGTTTGTCCAGGTAGGATGGGGACATGATACGTTTAAAAAGGAAATGCACAAACTGCAGCGCGAATTCTTCACGGAAATCGAAAATCTAAAGGAGAAGATAAAGACCAAGATCACACACATCATACACGAACATCAAAAACACGGGAACACTAGGAACACGAAGGACGCGGACTCGCAGGTGGTTCACGAAGAGGAAGAACACACGGAATGCGAATGGCAGGATGGCGTGCAGCCTACGGTCGAGAGCGGTATCCAAAGCCCCGCGAGCGCTAATACAGCACCGAGAGCACCGGACGGGGATTATGAGCCGGACTTCTACGGCAGAAGCAGAACTACGTACGGTGGTTCTACGCTCGTCGCGGGTAATACCCACAACGCCCACGCAAATCGACCCCGCCAAAGGGGCCACAAAATCGACCCTGAGAGAAAAGCGATCGCGGACATGCTGAAAAGCAAAAGTCTCGGCACAATAAAGGAGGCGGTGGGGTTGGCAAGGCAGAAGGGCTTTATTTTCATCACAGACGACTTGTTTAAATTGGCCCATCGGGTTGGGCATCGCAATAAGCAAGAAGAAGCGAGATTCCATACGTTGTTGCAAAAATTTGAACATGGCAAATTGTAACAAGAAGAGTGATATTTTGCTGGTGGAGGACGACTTGTGGTGGCAACTGAGTTTGTTTTTCATGTTGCTCTACTCATCCCAAAGCCAAAAGAGTAATTACAGTATTACCCTGTATAATGTCGTCGCAGTCAGCATCAGCGATATGGTGCTCGCACCTGCCCGCCGTGTTCTTAAACCCGCGCCGATCCGGATTATCCTATGCACTTTTTTTCGAGTCATCTTTGGTGCCCGAGTTGTCTCGTGTTCTTTCTTCCTTCGTTTCTTTCGGCACTCACGACAGGGATCATCCGGATCATGATAGCGCACCCGCTAAAGGGAAGATCCATGACGGTTGTCGTGTCATCATTTTGTTCTGTGTTGCTCGACCTGCGACATATGCGCAGTTACAAGTTTCTTTCCTCGCGAATCCACTCATTACATTTATCAATTACTGAAATTGAATCACCACGTGGTCCTCCAAAGGCGGGAGAAGTACGTACTAGGCCTACCGTATTATATAACTGACAAAAGATGCGTGGCAGACGGGGGGCTGTCGCCCTCACTTCGGCGACCTTGCTCGTCACCGTCCCTTCCTCGTCTGCAACCGCTTCCTCGCTCACCCCGATCCAAAAAGTGGTCGGCCTGCTCCAACAGATGGCAACGAATTTGGAGGAAGAAAAGTCGAAGGACAAGGAGCTGTACTCCAACCTGCAGTGCTGGTGCAAGACCAACACCAAGGACTTCACGAAAAAGATTGCGGACGGGAAAGCCGCGGCAAAATCGCTCGAGGCGGAGATCTTCGAGCACGCGGGCAAGCTGGGTGAGTACAAAACCAACGCCAAGAACGCGGAGAAAAAGGTCGCCAAGCTGGAGGGGGCTATGAGAGTGCACAAGAAGAACCCCTTTTCTCACTTCTGTGATCGGAACAGCACCACAAGAAGCGGAAGAATTGCAAGCTTCCTTGCGCGGCACGTTCAGGTATTCATCTGATGAAAATTGTCATCCAAACAATCAAAGTTGGTGCTGTTCATGACATCAACCAAAAGTTGGCGCTGTTAATTACAAATGAGGGAGATGGGGAGTTTTTCTCTGTCATAGGGGCGCTGCAGGACGCGGAAGAGCAATACGAAGCCGCGATGAAGGACATGCGGGACGTATCCACAGTAAATTTCCCGTACATGTACAAACTGCATCACAAATGTCCCCACTTTGGAGTGTGAGACTTGTCAGGCTAAACTAGGATCGAAGCCAAGTTTTGTCATGCAGAGACCGCATTTGCACGTGTGCAGGAAATTTACTGTGGATAGGACGAGGAAGCAGAAACCGTCAGCACCATATCCGCCTTGGAAAACGCGCTCCAGATTCTCGGAAAGCACCAAGGACTCCTGGAGACTCGGCCAGAGGTGGTAAACGCACTGCAGACAGTCATGTACATGAGCAGAGAAGTATCCTAGAGGAATATATAAATCTCGAGCGGCACGACCTGTTGTCATGGTTCTTCCGAACATGTTTTTTCGGCATTTGTCATGATGTGTGAAAACGAGTAGTATAGATCGTTTTGATTTTTTTGCAGATGAAACAAAAACTGCGAACGCATAACTTTATCAAGAAGCCGTATTGGTATTCAGAATGACAAAAAGAGTGGTCCGATAGCCCACAACGACAAAAAGACCACACGAGCAGCTTCAGTCGGCGCTCAGGATTTTGTGCGTCGATAGGACAAAGGAAAGATATACTCGCATGCGGATAAGACGATGAAGAAACTGAAATTTTAGAATCACAATAACGGCTAGCGCTTTGCATACTACCAAACCAATTGAGAGACCCCAAGTATTGGGCAGGAAGTAAAGTTGAATAGAGCTGCCAACACTGGTCGCGGGACAATCTAAGACTTTTGGAGCCGAGCAGATTGTGTTTGGCAAGCGGAAGGTAGATTTTAAAATGGAAATCCCTGACATTTCGACGAATTCGAAAATTTCAGTGTTTCGCTTTCAATAACCAGAAGCCCCTTCAGAAGTCCTTTTTGCAGGCCAACACCGGCACGGGCGCCAGCATGAAGCTCGCTAGAGCATTGGAAGGTATTACTTAGTTAATCGGAAGCTTGCACAGTCTTGGAAACAGGTTGATGTCGTGCAACAGAATGTCTTTGAAATGTACTTATTTTCTCGCTCCGTCTAAAGAATGTGAATGTCGGTAGTAGGCAGATAATTGAGATGGAGAATCGAATATTTTTGCTTGATTTTGAACGAAGGGTCTGTAGTTTATGTCTTCTCAGCTGCAATTAAACTTTTAAATAAACAGCCGACTTTCGTCCTTCCCTTGACGAGCAGTCTGCCGCGCAAATTCTGCAGACGGTGTTGCTGCAGACGAAAAGCTATGAAGTGCAAACGTAATATCGGGTCAGTATTGCAGGTTGATGAAGGGAAAATTTTGATTTACCGAAAAAAAAGTGGAACTTGGGTCAATATTTATGCAGCAAAAAAAGAATTTTAGTACGAATTTCTGTAGATACGGCTGCGTTAGTACATTTGCACAGCATAGGCACGCGAAAGCCGAACACCTCGGGAAGTATCAGTCTGGGTCCGGGCAAATTTTTGGCATCCTGAACAGCATGAAGGACGAGTTTTCCGCCGATTTGAAGGAACTGGAAGAAAAGTATGATAGGGAACAACTCATTAAATCTCTCGCAGGCTCTCCACCTTCTCCGGTTGAAGAAGATGACCAACCGGTACAGCGCCATAGTTTGTTTTTAGAAGATGCAGGTCTTGTCGTCTCTCGGGTATGACAGAACAAGTAGTAGAATTTTATTTGCGCACGTCCCCCTCAAGTGCAGGATAAATGCTGATGATGAGCACCCTGCATCAGATTCAAGTGTTGCAACAGCAGGCGTTCAAGTTCATCGAATAGAATGAGTTGCTCACCTTCATACCAAAATTGCCACGGAGGAAAAAGCGTACAAGGAGCTCAAGAAGTCGACTACGGAGCAGTTGGAAGCCGCACGAAAGTCGTTCGAGGAAAACACGTATCACATGCAAATGTGTAGTAGTACTAAACTCGGTTTGGAAAATTGCAAGACTTGTCATGCCTGAGCCTGCCTGACATGACTTTGAGCTCTGTGGAGATGCTTGTGCGGCAAAAGATCCTCTACGCTCGAATTCGAAGACGCATCTTGCCGTGCGGAATACTCAACACGCAACAACTCAGGAACGTGTCCTGTTCGACCACGACGTATCGCAGTGAGCATGTATTAAAAGTCACAGATTTGCAAAACAGCTTTCCACATGATCTAAGACACACTCGCCTTTCATAACGCGGCACTGGCAGGGAAGGCGAAATTCCTGGGGACCGAGGGCAAGGAAGAGCTGAAGAAGATTCGCGCGCATATCCTGTGTAAAAACACATTCCCCACGAGAAGGACCCCATAGCCACGACGGGACTCATTTTTTCATGCACGCATGTCATAGGTGTGTCTCGACATTGCAGATTCGGCGTGAATCAAGTCTCACGAAAATAAACCATGCTTCTGAATGTTTCTTGTCGGGAACATACAGGTCGCGTAATAGTACTACGAGAAGGACACTTGCTGCACATGCTGACTATATAAGTCAGCGCGATAGTATTAAGGAGCTCTGTGGCGTGGGTTTGTCTTTACACAGGATAACGCAGGTGGACGCCGACACAACGGTGCTGCTCGAAGTCAAAGACTATGTATTGCAAAAGTTATAGTGCACTCCTACTAATGCTAATCGCAATCGCGCATGTTGGCAGATCCATCTCCTTTCTAGCCGAACTCTACTACTACATAGCATTTCTCCAAAAGTCTGTCATGTGCTTTGCACTGATATGTCACCATCAGCTACTTTTGCCATGCATAAAGACCAGTGCACCAACATTGACATTGACTGGAAGCTCCGCACCGAGGCGCGTGACGCCGAAATCGCCGCTGTCGCCAAGGCCATCGAAATCATGACCTCGGACGAGACGCGCGGCGCGCTGCAGCCCAGCGAGTTCGGCCTCTTTGTGCAAACGCAGGCGCAGTCAAGCCTGAGCAGGAGCAAAAAGTTGGCGCAAAAGGTACTTAAATGAAAATTCAGTGCGCTATTCTTTATCCAGCCGATTTTTGTTGAGCTCCGTTTTGTCAAATCTATTTTCCGTTCAGTTGAAGCTTTTCTGTTTGTCGATCGCATTTCTATTGTCACTTCCCCTGTTGTCTTAAAAAAACCGAAGGTGCTCCAACACACGCTGGACTCTCTGCCGTCATGGAATGAAGTGAACCTGGACTTGCAAAACGCGAAGCTTCAGAACCAGATGCAGACGCAAAAGCAGAAACTGGCTTTGATTGCCGAGAGTGTCAGACTATGCATTTTTGCAAAAGCATCGCACGTAGTTTGCATTATCGCATCACGAACTTTATTTTCAACTTGTTCATCGAAGCACGCAGCTTGCAGCGCTGATGAATGTACATGTAGAAAGGGAGTGAGATATAATCTGATGCAGGAAGATGAGTGCAACTCATACAAGTGCGGTTTTTTTGCACAGGATGCACACTAGACGCGTTCGAGAAAGTAAAGAAAATGATCGACGAACTCGTGGCGGACATCAAGGAGCTATCAGAGCGCATACATCTCCCCCTCGTCCCCCTTTGATCATGGCATGGTCCACAGCAACACAAGCAGAGTTGAAGTCGCAGCTTTTGCATGACAAATTATTGAAGACCGTCTCTAGTGCAGTTTCGGTGTTCATCCGGATGTTGAATCTGTCATGCATAGGGCTGGCAAAGGAAAAACCAAAAGCGTGGAGTTGGTGTTTTGCATGACAAAAAAAGAAGAACTGCAAGAGAAAGGACGAGTCGGTTGTGCTGTCTCATAGGAGCAGATGGCCCTGGATGTGAAGACGAAGGACGAGTGCGGGGCCAACATATCAAATGCAAAAGTTGTGTCTGGGTCTGGAAGGAAGGATGCGAACTTGTGATGCATACTTGGATCACGCAAAAATCTGTCATGCTTAGACAGCAAAGGTGCCTCCTTTCCCTGTCGCCGAAGGAAGGCGTTCTTTGTCATGCGGATTAAGCATTAGGAAACCGCCTCAAAACCTGTGATGCTAGGCCTTGCATGGCACACCTTCTGCGTCAAGAAGCAGACACAGCATCACAAACGTCAGCAATCTTCCAGACGACCCAGACACTTTTGCAATGTATACAACATCAAGAAAAACGAGAAGGAGAGCACGGAAGCGAAGCGTGCGCTGCAGCTGGCGGAAGAGAAGATTGCCGCGCTGGTGGAGGACATCGCGAAGATCGACGCCGTATCAAGTGCAAATATGTCTAGGCCTGGAAGAATGCAACTTGTGATGCTGCGTTTGGATTCCAAAAATCTGCATTGCATGAACAGCAAAAGAGATGGTCCAGCTTTTGCCATCGCGAGAGGGCATTTCTCATGCGGTAAAGGCATCAGATATCCCTCACAAGATCTGTGATGCTGGGGCATGCGTCACAGACATCAGGACTCATGCAAAATGTGCATAGCAAACCTTGCGTCCTTCCATGATACGCTGACACATTTGCAATGTATACACCGACGTGGTTGCCGAAAAAGAGTCGATCGCAGAAACCAAGAAAGACATGACCAAGGCAGAGCAGGACCGGGAGGCGGAAAACGCGGAATTCCAAAAGACCGTCACCGAGCGTATGGGATTCGCAAACGTTACATTGTTCTCAACTACTACTATGATTTGCCATGCAGGATCACAATCACTATCAATACCGCCACGATCAAGCTACTTCGCATGACAAATTTTCGACGCGAGCGTAAATAGAACTAGAATCCGCACCAAATCGGTAATGCAAGACGCGCAAGGAAGTTCTCCCTCTCGCCTGTGCTATTCTTGCACTGATTATACAAATCCGTGTAACAGTTGAGAGTGTAGCGTTTGCGAATGTCATAGAGCAGCGGGAGATGCAGAAGGTGCTGTCGAAAGCGCTGAAGGTTTTGAAAGACCACTACGAAAAGGCCTCTTTGTTGCAGTTGAAAGCGAGTGCAAAGTCCCTGTCTCACCACAAGCAAACGCCGATGCCGGGGTCACTGTCCGGCTACAAGAAGCAGGACGCTTCCACGGGCGTGTTGGCCATGATGGACAAAATCATGACGGACTCGAAGGACCTAGAAAAGGAAGCGCTCGTGACGGTATGACAGTGGACAATTGTAGTAGTACTTACTGTGCCTGCCTTCATAATTTGTGTGATGCAGGATCATGCGCGATCATGCCTAGAAGGTATTTAGACGGACCGGGCTCCACCTGCTACGGGGGGAGTAGGTAATTGTATTTTAGGCTGTTTCTGTTGCGACGCCACCTGCTCTTCAAATGAGAGAAGCAAGGGGAAGAATGGTAGTTGTCCACTGGCATAACCGGAGTCTTCCGCCCAAAAGGACTACGAGAAGTACATCGCTGATTCCGTGGCCGCGTTAGAAGCTAGCTATGGAACGGTCGCCAGTCTGGAAGAAGAGCGGGCTGACAAGGTACAACTTCAACTTGGATTTCCAACGTTTTGACTCTTTTCGTACATTTTTGAATCCTTGTGCGCGGCACTGACAACTTCTATATGATGTTATTTTGGTCGCTCGCTCGTCCCGAGCATCTCTGTTATGGCTGCTTCTTGTATGGCCATGATATCAAGAGCATAAAATGAAAACAGGTGCAGGAGAAAGCGGACACTGAGAAAGCCGTGGAGAACACCAAGGCAGAGATCGAGGGATTGAGCAAGGTCAACATATGCCTTGCAAAAGTATCGTATTCGTATAAATGCATTACAAATTCCCCCAGCATGAGAAATAAAACTTGCAATGCGGATTTACCTTAAGAACAAGATTTGTAATGCAAGTCTTGCATTTATACGAATACGATACTTTTGCACAGGATACAACACCGCTTTGCACAATGACTGCGACTTCCTGCTCAAGTTTTTCACCGCACGACTACTACAGCGAAAAATGCCCCCACCCCCAAAGTTACAAAAATTTGTGATGCGAGGTTCCCAAATGAAAACTTTTTGTCATGCATGAAAGGACTATGAATCTTTCTGATGCAGGGTCTAGTCGTATAGAGCATCGCTTGCATGACAGGCGCCGCTCTTGCTGGGGTCTTTTGCAATACAAATTACTGCTTTTCACGATTGAACACCTGTGATGCTGATAGATGCAAGAGGGCGAGTGTTTCATTTGGGAAGGCTTGCAATACAATTGCTCCCAAGTTCGGGGGTGGGGGCATTTTTCATTATAATAACGACAGGAAGCCATGGCCTCCGAGGTCGAGGCCGCGCAGAAGGCCAAGGCGATCTTAAGCGGGGCCAAGTAGTTTGTTTGTAATGTACAATAGTAAGGCTCGAACACAAAATTAAGATGGAAAAAAATTGAGAGCGACTGTAGCAGTTGTAGCAGCAGCGTTCACCTTTCGGACAATTACAGCAGTTATCTAAATACCAGAAATCGTTAGGTTATGTCACCAATGTACCTCTTCCACACTGCGTCTGAGTTTTCACAGCTGCGTCCTTTTCTCGTCTTGGTTTCTCGTGTAGCACACTTTAGTAAATTCGTATTTCAAGCAAAACGTTTTTAGATCGATTTATCAAGCAAAGACAGTTCTATATGGTAATTACTTTTCAAGCAACTCTTTAGTAAATTCGTATTTCAAGCACAGATCCCTTTTAGTAAATTCGTATTTCAAGCACATCATGCACGCTAAGGAACCAAGAATGGTGCTGGTGTGAAGGGCTTGTTGTCTGAACGAAGAGCATGAGCTGCGCGCTACGCAAAGATCGCCCCGTTTTGTTTCATTTCCGAATTTATTTTGCACCATCAAGAGTTCGAAATTGGATTTACGAGCGTATACCGCCCGACTGAAGGTTGGTACCAGACAGACTCAGGATCTGATCGTAGTGGTCGTTTGTACGATCGCAAAATTGTTGGCTAGCCCATTAAACGTCGGACAGTGAAATATTGCATGGCTTACTGTCGCACGACGCGATCACATGGATCTTCTGGTGGCTTTTTGTTTTTTAAGCATCTTCGTGAACGACATAGAATTTTCATGAAGAGTAGTGGATCTTCAGAACAAGCATTTCCATGTACCTAGAAGATAGAACATCATGAGTGAGATCGTCCTGTCGTCACGGTATTGTTGGGCGACCAGGAGATAGGCATACACCGATTGAAAAGATCAAGATAGTATTGTCCTGAATAACCTTTCTGATGGACAAGTGCTGTCGTATGTGCGGGTCACAGCTATGTCTGCCATTCCTAGGCTTAACAAAAATAGAAAAGCTATTCTCGTACTCGTTGTTGTCCCTATGCGAGCAATGAGGTTCATCCAGTTCCACCGATAGCCCAATCTCTAGGTTGTACCGCCTCACTGCAAACTGACACTCGGATGGTCTTTACAAAAGTGAGCCAAAAGATCATCGGTTCTTCCACTGTCAGCAAGAGTAAACTACGCTCGGCAGCATTTACTTATTTGTTTCAGCGCACAAACTGAAGGAGAGATCGGACCAGATGAAGATGTGGCTGTCTAGCTGTACTCGGGACACCAGTTCTTGGGCTACTTGGCGAGAACAGATCCATCGATCTTAGTGCAACACAAGCGCAAAAAAGCTAGTAGAGACGGCGGGCTCCTTAGAAGCAAGTAGAAGTTGAAGATGGATAACAAAAGCAGCCAAGACCAAGCACAGATCAGGATGTCGCGGTGAGTCATTCACTATCCCTTTTCAGGACCACCCTCCAATGCTTTTGTCATATGTGTCTCATTAGCATTATTCGCATCAGTCAAAACTCCCACGTTGTGCCATTCTGTCACAAGTAGTGTCGCTGGAGTGAGCTATGATTTTCATCAGCAAATCGGATTTTTATCAGCAAATCGCGTATTTTCTCCCCGAACTTGCTCCTAAACATAGATTTCCCAGCACCCCCACATGTATGTGTATCTTTAGATAGAATTCATCATATCGATAGTACCCACTAACCGCTCGTGTGATTGTTATGTCTGTTTTTCCAGTTTGTAGCTGCAACCAACAAAGCAATATTTAAACATCTACTTAAGGGATCACCCCTTTCCGTGGTAGGCTCCTTATTTCAAGAGGACTCGGTCAGTTTTGTGTTTTTCATTTTCTTGTAGGACAAAGATGCGCTGTCCGCTGCCGAGCGACGAGAAATGACGCGATAGCATAGCGGGTGGGTTGCTTGTTTCGGGTCTACGTAGCAGTGGCAACAAGATAGAAGGTCAAGCCCGCTCACATGCCGGTAGTTGATCGCTGATCGGCGAGCACTATGCCGCGAGGACGACCAAAACCAAAAGCAAAATCGTCACCTTGATAGAGGTGGGACGAGGTAGCGTGCATGACGCGAAGGCGGCACCACTCGAGCTGCGAAGCTGGGCAGTGCAACTAGTTTCTTCGTCACATACAGTATCAGAGACGAGCCACGACACGACACCCCGAGCACGACTCACGACTTCGATTTGTGTGCCTCAAGCTAGTGCCGCGTGTTCCTGCTCCTGTTGTAAGTTGCACATAATTTTTAAACAAAGAAACGCCTTGGTTTCCGTCGCCGTCGATGAGTGTAGGCCCAGTGCCCATTCAAACACTTGGCCGGGAGCACCAGGCTATTCTACTTGGGGCGGAGCAGCAGTCGGCTGGAATGTCGATCAGCGGAATAGTAGAGGACAAGAAAGTTCCCAAATCAGCAGGGGCTAACGCGCCGTCGGCCGCGGCAAATCTGGCGTCGCACTTCGGGAGCCGTATGAATAACGGCAATGCTGCGATGTTGACCCACGTTGCGGACCAAAGACTCGCCTCGCACATGAACAACAGTATCAGTATGGGTGCTCCTGTAGCTGTAGGCCGGAGCAGTGATCAAGTTGTGCATGATCAAGCCTCCGTTTTACCTGCTGGGCACGAACAAGAGACCAGACCACGACAGATGAACACCAGTACCGTCGTTGAAGACCACACCTCCCGGGGCGACCTGGGCCGCGCGATCGACGGGGTGATCAGTATTCACTGGGGGGAGCACCTCCCGGCGCCGCACCCAGGCATTTTTGGCGGTGGAGGGGGTGCGCTTTTTGCAGCTTCAGGGACGAGTTACAATGTTGCTGGAGGAGGCGGACTCCCGACGCAGCAGCAGCAAGGACAACAGACCGGAACCACGAGTGGAGCAGGAAGAATGAGCGACGGAAATGAAGATGGAGCCAGCATTTGTACTGCGCTCAGCCAAGCTAGCAATAGCAAGACTAATGTAGTCCACCAGATGAATTCTGGCAGCTTCGGAGGACCACCTGGGCCTGTTGGGAATATAGAAGTACCCGCTGCACAGAGAGTAGCCGTCGTGACTACCGCGGGAGGCAATACAGCTGCAGTATCTCCGGGAGACGATATGAGCGTGGAAATCGAAATAACTGACACAGCCGCAGACCACGCTGCGGGCCGGAATCCTCAAATACCAACCTCCGCGTCTAGTACTTCGTCTGCTATGGTCGTGCCAAAAATCACAACAAACGAATTAGGACAGCAGCTGCCGCTGTTTAGCCAAGAAGTGAGCCCGGTGTTGCATCACAATGCGAACTTTACAACATCAACCAATGCAACAAGCCCGGCGATGTTGCAGCACACAGCTTCCTTGCAAATCCACTCCAGTGGCTCCACTCCGCGGCTGCATACCGACCACATCATGATGACCCCTATCCAAGAGGAGAACGCGGACGCGCACCAGGAGAATATGATGCTGCTCGATATGCTGCGCAATGGTTGTATTGTATCGCAGTGGTAAGTATGAAAATTGAAAAATTGCAAAAATCTTGGTTACAACCTGAATGTTGTACTCACAGAAAAATTCAGATCGCGTGTTACTTTTTCATTTTCTGCATCACGGCGCTTGGAGGATCTCGTATACCTGCAGTGCCCTTGGGTACAGCGGCCAGGCTTAGGCCGGTTATTAGGTAGTCCTGTTCGACACCTGGCGACCACCGGAGGAGAAGGGGTGGCCAGGTGGTTGGTCGGAGGTTAGGACATGAGCCACGGATGAGGAGGTAGTGGCACTAGTCCTTGAATGCTTGCGGCAAGAGGAGGCGCCAAAGGCAAACTCCCACTAGGTGGCCGGTCACTGCTAAAACGGGCGGTGAAACGTCACCCGGTGTGCAGATGAGATTCATCTTGTTTGCAGATATTCTTACCTTCAGGATTGCTCAATAGTATGCGAGAGGATTTTTCCCGCTCACCTTAAGAAGCGCACACGTCATTCATTTTCTGCATCACCAATGCGATATAATCGCTCTTGTCCTGCATACTGGAGCAACAGTACCAACAACAGGGTCGCTCTTATCAAAAGTAAAAATGTCTGGGTTTGGAAACTTGTGATGCTGGGTGGCGTCTCATGATGACGCTACAAATGCTGGCTCAGCATGACAAGTTTCTGAGCTCCTAGGTGTTCTTGCCTATTCTGCATGACAAAGTGCGTTTCTGCATCACAGAAAAGCGGAGCTTTTGGGTAACGTGCATGACAGATTTAAGAGTCATGCCAGACAAGCATGACAAACATGAACTCTTCCAGACCCAGACATTTTTACAGTTGATAGCTCTCACCTTCAGTTGAATTTAGGCACCGACCTTTCCCCCTTTCCAGACGCGCCCGACCGGTTTACGCCCCGCACGGCGAGTCGGTTTGGCAACATACAGGATGAAGAGACAGACGCGAGAAATCAACAGCATGTTGTCCTCGATCATCGAGAAGAAGGATTTTTACCAATACCACAGAACAACAGCAGCGCACTCTTTTCGTCGAATGTCAACATGTCCTCGGGCAATAATACTAGTAACTGTGCCCCCGCGACCAGCAACGCATCCTCCTTATTTTCGCCGCCGGCCAGGCCAAGTAGGAGTAACGTGCAGAAGGAGATGGGCCAGGGCGTGCAAGTAGAACTACATGCTGGCGAAGATGAAAGTAGTAAACGGAGGGAAGTACTACTAGATTATCATAGCCAACAAGGTCGTGATATAATAACAAGCCCCCTACATGAGCATCAACAACTTGATCGGGAGATGTTGATAACCTCCTTCGATGGTGACAGGACGATGTCGATCGATTCCATGAACTCTTCAGACGCCAGGCTTTCGCTCGGGAGTCTTGTGAGCAACCAGTCCACCTCCGGTCAGGCACAGCACCCCAACCGACTCCCCATGCCGGAGAGGATGCAGCTGATGAGCGACGACGAGATACAGCCCCGACGGTCCCGGTCCCACCGCCGCGCGTTTTTATCCACGGCAAAAGCATGACGATCCTACTGGTACTAGCGATTGATGTTCTTGCAGCTGTGCTGGAGCATGTTGACAAAAATTCTCGCTTCTTCAGGAGAAAAGGAAAGCGTTATAAGTACAGAGATCAGTGATGTGATGTGATTACATTTGCAATTTCCGCATGAGGCGCCAGTACTAGTACCATGATTTTTTTGCTATGCATAGCTTTCGGTGGACGGCAACCCGTGGGCGGATGAAGCGATGAACGACGCAAACTACGTATCCTGAGCAAAAATGTACCCACCCCAGAGTTGTCATGCAGATTTGCAGCTACAGGAAGATTTGTAATGCGCATACACATGAGAGGCATTTCCAATCTCACGTTTTGCGCTTTGCAATGCTGTCGACAGGATGAGCAGATGGATTTGTGTTGCGGCTGTGCTTGCTAAACTGCACTACAATACCTAGACGAACTTGTCATGCTGGACCCCCAAAACTTCTCGATTTGTGTTGCGAGATCCTCATCTTGACTCTGGTGTGGGGACGTTTTTACACAGGATATTACGACAAACAGCGGTTCAAGGAAAAGGTCGAAATCCAAATGGTGCTCGAAACCACCATATCCTGTGCAAAAGCATCGTACTCGTATTGCAATCATGCATTACAAATCTTTTTCTTAAGGTAAATTCGCATTACAAATTTTATTTCTCATGCTGAGGAAATTTGTAATGCATTTATACGAATACGATACTTTAACTTTTGCAGTTCATACACCACCTCTATGGGCGACGGCGCTGGGCATAAGGATATGAGCATCAACTACACGTCCGACGTCCAAAACTTTCGAGCTCCTGGTGGTGGTGGCACTGCCCCACCGGTCGTGCAGCACTCCTACAGCCACACCATGCACACGACCGTTGACGTTGGCGCGACGGCCGCCGGCGCGACAAGTAGTACGACCGGTGGTCCTGGTGGTCCCTCTTCACCTTACAGCGCCAATATGTTCGGCCTGAACCAGCTTCAGCAAGACGGGGCGCCACGTAGCGATGATAATTTTCTACTAGTTCTGCTTCTGCATCATCTGATAGCTGCACACGTATATAAGAAACAAGCTTTTGAGTCTATTTTTTTGCGTTTTTGAGGTACTATTCCTATGGTTCGAACTAAGGGAAAGACAGCCATCACCGGTCATTTTGCAAAACAGGTTTTCTGAGCGTGACGACCGAGGGACTGCGGGTCACGACGCAATCAATCGCGTCATCCCAGGAGCTTCCGCAGCAGGCTGGGAACACTGCAATGAATACCGGCGCCTTGCCCGAGAATAGACACGACGGAGCAGATGCAACCAAAACGTCCGGTGGAGCACCAACATCTCCACCAACAGCTTTCTCTCCGTATCAAGTGAAGCCGTATCGTGACAGTCGAACTTCAACGCAGCTGCAACAGAGAAAGTTTGCATGGGACGCCACACGGTACTTGTCATGGTGCGCTGAATAGGAAATGGAAAACCAATGCATAATTTTACTGCCGACCTCGTTCTCCACATACAGAGCATGATGGCAGTAGAAAAAGAAAGTTTACGTATGAAGAAACTGCAGTACTTGTTTCGGAATTGTAAGTGCTTAATGTTAATACAAGATGGCGTTGCCGTTGAAGTAAAGACTGTTGCAGTTTTTTGCTGCGATACCGGTACAACAAAATCCCTCGTCCAGCTACCCCCGGCCGACATAGATTCCATGCTCGACGGTGCGCTGGCTGAAAATTTCGAGTACCCATTGCATACCTCTGTTCCAGTACCCCCTATCAACTGGATGAGCAGCATACGCAATGCAAAAGTTTATCGCAGTAGTATAGTTTTTGTGATACGAACGCGAATCGCCATGGAGTTGCAAAGAAATAGACCAGGATGTTCTTCTTCTTCGGTCATGCGAAATTGCAATTTATTTCGATACGGCTACGATAGTACTTTTGCAGGGGATATCACAGCAACAGCAGCGGAGTGGGAGGGGCGCCATCACCACCTTCCGGGGCCGCGCACCATCAGCACGGTGGTGAACAACCGCAAAGGCAAATAAATGGCTCGACGAACAATACCGCAATAAGCAACAATCAGGCAGGAGGTGTTGCGCAGCAGCAACAGCCAATGAGCGCGGCAGCAGGAGGCCGCAATGACTTTCAGAAGCACGACGACCCGGGGGCGACACCTACAGCAGAAATAATCAAGGGCAATATCAATAATGTTCTTGGCCAACACCATGCTGGCACAAATAACTGTAACATCAACACCGCAGCTGCAATGATGGCAGAGGAACTTTCTGCTGACAGTAGCTACACCGGACAGCTGGTAGAAGGAGTTCCTGGAGCTGGTACGGTCCCGACTTCGAACGGGACGACAACAGCGAACAAGCCGGGAAATGAAAATCTTAGTAATCAGCAGCAGGAACAACTGCAGTCGCAGTTTCACAATTACCCGATGAATGCCAACCTGCCGCTCTCGTCCCGCGACCGCACGCTCTCGCAGAGCAGCGCGCTTTCGTCGAACTCGGGCGGCCATTTGGGGCCGGCGCATAGTATCTCCTACCCGAACAGCTCGCACAGTGCTGGTGGAGCAGGTGGCGCGTCCTCGTTCTTGAACATGGGAAGTGCAACCAGCAGCAACTTCTACCCTGGAGGTGGGGGAACAACAACCGCTTCCATTTCGCAGAACATGTTCTCGCAGACCATCCACTCCGCGAACCAGCGAACCACCCGCACGTTCTCGGAGGTGACCGTGGGCTCCCACGCGACCACGAGGAATACGCGGACCTACTCCGAGATGACCACCGGGTCGCAGGCGGAGTACAGCAATCCCGACCAGACGATTATCATCTTTGACTGGGACGATACCCTGTGTCCCAGCTACTATGTTAAGTCATGCGGCCTGCTGGTGAACGACCCCAACGCGGACTTCGACAAGCTCGCGGCCCGGTTCCCCCACCGGGAGATCGACCCGAAAACGGGGCACGTGAAGGAGAAGTCGGTTGGGGAGGAGATGCAGGAAAACCTGTATGAACTGCAAAAGTATCGTACTAGTATAAGTTGCATTACAAATTGACTTGGCATTACAAATTGAATCTGTAATGCCGATTTGCCTTAGCAAAAATATTTGTAATGCATAAACGCAATCAGTACGAGTACGATACTTTTGCACAGGATAACCTGTACGAGCTGGCCAAGATCGGCGAGAACTGCATCCGCACCGCGCTGCGGTTCGGCCGCGTGGTCATCATCACCAACGCGGAAACCGGGTGGACCCAGGTGTCCTGCCGAAAGTGGCTCCCCACGTTGCTGCCGCTGCTGTCTTCGATGACCGTGATATCGGCAAGGAGCACTTTTGAGCCGAAAGGTGTGGAAAGCCCCGCGGGGTGGAAAACCCACGCGTTTAAGGAGGTATAGTACTTTCACTTTTGAGATTTCAGGGTTAGTTTAGGGCGCCGACATTCTGCTGTTGATTTATACAAGAACTCCTGTGGTTCTAATTCGCTTCGCGGCGATAAAAAGACCTCGATGCAACTGGAACTGCGCAGCTGTCGGTTGTTCTTTATTTTCTTCTTGAGAAATATTGTTGTTCAACAATTTTTCAATAAAAGGTAATCGAGGCGTTCTACTCCCGGTATCCGAATCAGCGGTGGAAAAATGTGCTTGCGCTGGGGGACGGCCGCGCGGATCGCGAGGCGCTGCACCGGGTCACGGAGGAACGGTTGTCAGAAGGGTGCCGATATGCAATTGTACAAAAGTTGTATCGTACACTGGGAGTATATGTTCAGCATGAGAAAATCTATGTGTCATCCTGGATTTAGCTAGAGAAAATAGATTTCTCTATTAATTCGCAACTAGTAGGTACGACTATGGGTACGGTACTACTTTTTGCAGTGCATAGTCGACAGAAAAACGTGAAGTTTATCGTGAAGCCGAGTCTTGACACGTTGAAGAAGCAGTTAGTTCTGTTCACGGACGTGTTGGAGCACTTTATCCTATGTAAAAACGTCCCCACGCCATAGTTGTAATGCAACTCTGCATGCTGAGAAAAATCATGTTTCTCATGCGGAGTCCCATGAGAAGTATTTTCTAGTCGTTCTTTGGGATTTGTGATGCTCCAATCAGCATAATAGGCTAGATCTGTGATGCCGCTGAACAAGCTAAACAGGATTGCACTACGAGGCCAAACCTGTCATGCACAACAACCAAAGCTGGCTGATTTCTCTAGCAGGTTTCCCATCTTGACTATGGGGTGGGGACGTTTTTGCTCAGGATGCACTTGGTCTTTGTCGACGATCACGTGGATATCAGAATCGAGGAGAAACACCTGCAATCCTTTTCGCCATCTTCCTCCGGAGCGGCTGCACCAGGCGGGCAGCAGCACCAAGATGTAGACCAACACATGCACCACGACGGTGGCGGCGGTGGAGCACATCAGCAGCAGCAACACGACCAGCAGCCTAATATGCCTAGTACAACCTGCAATTATGCTGGCCACCAAGAAGTTCTTCACGACCAGCATATGATGGATCAAGAGGAGAAGGGCCCGGATGGCGTGTTACCCGATGAGATGAAGGGGCCGGACGGCGTGTTACCGGATGACATGAAGGATATTTTACTTTTGTAAAATATTATAAACAGCGATCGAGGAAGATGCCGATGCGAACGGTAAAGTTCGAATATGCAAGATCGATGACTAGAATCCTGAAGTTCATCGAAGCTGTTGTTCGTGCAGCTCTGTGCAACACCAGCAGGCCAGCGGACCAACATCATTCAAGCCGCTTCCTTGACCTTCTGGTAGTGCCGATTTCAGATGCATGGAACTACGGTCGTCGTCGCAGTGGTCGCTTCTACTGCAAGTAGTTATATTTCCTAGCATGATGAAAAAACAAAAAGAAAAAAAAAAACTGGCGGTGCTCAAAGTTTTTGGGTAACATCATGGAGGACGTACTTCGTAAGACTCTGGCTTCGTATCTATTTGTTGAAAGAAAGGATATCTGGAAACTGAAGCGGCGCCGTTCATCTCGGCGTAAAAGAATGAAAAGGAAGTAGCTCCTTCTTGCTACGACTGCTCCCAGAACTTATTGAAAATAAGTGGGATAAGCAAAAGCATAAAAGTAAAAAACGAATAGTAAGGTCGTGAACAAAAGTAAAAGAACAACGAATTATAGCATTAGCGCCTCTCGTCGATGATACATCTGAGTACTTAGCCGGTCTTAAAAAAAGCCGCCCACACCTAGCGACAATCCGCGTCCACAGCATTCCGCTTCGGACGATACGTACGATAAGATACAAGACCAAAGATTAGTTATCGGCGCCTCTGTTGTGTTGGTATTGCAGTGGCAGTGCCCCCCGCCCGGCAGCTCGCAGCTGCAACAAGGCCACCCCAGAACGCCTTGTCCCTTGGACACAGAGACGAGCTAGAAGGTGCTCTTGCACTTCGTGCGAAGATTATTTGGTTTTTCCCAGAATACACAAAACCCCAACAATGGCAAAGCCAAAGTCTAATTTGCATTTCCCAATCAGATTGTGTCGTGAAGATCATCTGCGCGTCATCAATTTCTATTTGCTTCTCGCGTTGAGCAGCGTTTAGAAGAACTGATTGGCATATATTTCAGTAAAACTAAAACTAACGAAATAAACGATAAGTAAGCGAAGTGAAAAGATAATGAAAGATGTGCGAACAAGATGAAGATAACAAGCAATCTTGGAGTAGATGATCCTGCAGTTCTGGTTCTAATAAAAATAGTGCGCTGACCCGCCCAGTTGGCAAGCCTCTTCTCGTCTGTAATTATTTGGCGTGATTTAATATCAGACCACATCGACAGGCGATGGCGCTGCAAAATATGGTATGCCGCCTCCTAACCGCTGAACTTGTTCGAGCGTAGTTGTTGAAACATGCTTGTACATGTCAAAAAAAAGCACTTTTACGAATGCTAGGACTCTTTTATATTCGTGAGACAGAGATTTCCACTTTATTCTCGTCGGTGTTGCGTACCGTGGCGTTGGTCGTGTGGCCTCTTCTTCGCTTTCTACTCGGCTTGAAAAAGAAAACCGACCTAGAAATGCTTATGCTATGCAGCAGCAGATTTGCGTGAAGGTGCTTACTCAAGTACGTGCATGTCACTCGTGCAGCTCCTGTCTTCGGTTATTTGTCATGGTCGTCCGATTCATTTTGAGAACTAATATTATAAGTGTCACTGATGTACCAAATTTTCATTTTGCGTTCTTTCCGGCGTCGGCCGCTCAGATTCTGTTTATTCGTCCTTCTCGTTCTCTTAAGTGGTCTCGGAACAGCCAGTATGGCACGTCGTACGTTCCTAAACTACTGCGTCGTTCAAATAGAAGTTGTCATGAGCATGAAGTTTTTCGGTTTTGCAGGCCGCGTCACTGAACAAAGAACTCACGTTGATTGTTTCGTCGTCGTCCTTTCGTCGGAGGAAATCAATAGAAATCACTTTTCTATCGTACGCCTCCGTCCAACAACAAAAACCCCCAGCGCCATCTTGTTCCCGAAAGGTTAAGGTTGTTCTTTTTACCACGACCCCTCGAAAAATTAGAAATTGATGTTTATCCACAAGAAATTCTTCTTTTCTCGTTTCCCGCCGGAGTTGGTGGTCATGAACCAAGCCGCGCGGCGGGGAGCGAGTAAGTTCAATTTGTTGGAAAACAAGATGTTGACCTTCTTGGTATTGTCTTTTTCAGCCTGCTGTTCTTCCTACTGTCGCTTTCTATTTCTAGGAAGTAGTTGTATTAATATCAACGGCCAAGACCTTGACAACAGCACAATTTTCGCGAACGCCCTGTCTTTCACGGCACAGAAAACCCGCAACAAGGAGAAGCGCGAAGGAAAAAGTGCGACCAAGAGGCGGAAGATTGCCATCACCAGCATGACAACTACGGGTGGAGGCGGTGCCGGGGGTCAGCATGCTGCTCTTCACAGTAAAAGAAGGACAGTTGCAGCCCAGAAGTTCCTGCAAGAAGAAGTTGTTGTTCCTGTAAATAAGATCATGGAAGAAGATTTCGAGAATCATGTTGCCTCTCCTGGAGACGCAGCATCAGCATTTCAAGAAGACGTAGTTGTGGACCAGCACGTAGAAGCGGGCGCACCAGCTGCAACGTCGACCCTTCAAGTTGCAGCTGCTGCTTCATCGGCCGCTGCGCGGCAGCAGGTGGAGCAGAAACAAAAACAGCAAATCGTCCAGGACATCGTCCAGGATGACAGAGCGCATATCCTAAGCAAAAACGTCCCCACCCCATAGTCAAGTTGGGTGGAATCTAGCAACACAAATCTCCAAGTTTTGGAAGCTGTGCATGACAAGCTTTCCTCTGCAGTGTAGTAGTGCTAATTGGCAAGAGAAGCCGCATGAGAAAGCCATTTTCACATTCTGCTTACTACAGCATTACAAATTTTTCCAAAACACCACGAGAAATTCCTCCCATGGAGCTGTGCATTACAAATGTTCCTGTCATTGCACATTTGCATGACAACTCTGGAGTGGGGACGTTTTTACTCAGGATAGCGCAGGCCGTTTCCTTCAAGCACGGGCCAGGAGTTGTATTTTTTTCAGAAAAACTTGCTAGTTCTGTGTTTGATAATATGAATGCTACTTTTATAAAATAGAGATTCAAAGTTTCTTCTGAGGTAATCATCTATTATTATGTATGAATCTGCTCCCCACCGTCGGAGATAACGAACATGATCGCCCAAAAAATACTAGCTCGACGACGACACTGTTCGGCGAAGATACCACGGACTAGTAGCAAAAGTGGCAAAATTGCAACAAAATTTATAACGAGCCCAAAAAAACCGTGTACATCGCATCCAGACCGCGCGGTATGGTTGATGTACACGGTTCAGAATGCTTGTCCCCGGGCCTGACCACTTTGCGGACCGTGTACATCCATCATACCATGCAGGCTAGATGCGATGCACACGGTTTTTTGGTGTTGCGCGATTTTCGCACTCAAAATTCAGAAAAATTTGCCTCTTTTCCTGGGGATTTTCTTGCCCTCAAGAAAAACCGTGTACATCATCTCCAGACTGCATGGTATGGACGATTTACCTCTCCAAAAGGAGGCCCCGGTCTGGTTTTGATGGTTGCGGCGCGTTGCTGGGCGCCTTTCGTCGCCGGTGCCAGGAGAACCTGGCCCGTTGGGTGTAGGAGCCGCCGCCGGCCCGCCTCTAGATACCAGAGCGAGAGCTGGTGGCCATCTCGACCCTGTTGTCGCAGTTATGAGATGAGGCCAAGAACGGCGGCAAGCTAAGTGAGTCTATCTTTCCCGGCTATCCTGGGCCTTGCTTGCGGCCCTTTGGGCGTGTGATCTAGATGCTCGAGCTCTGGCAGATTCCCAGCCTCGCTAGCTTCGTAGCGAGTGCTTTCAATGATACAAGCGATCTTCTTGTGGGAGGCAACAAAAAATTTTTTTCGGAAAAACGCGAAACCGTGTACGTGTACACTTTTTCTTGTGATAAATAGCTCGACGACGACACTGTTCGGCGAAGATACCACGGACTAAAGATAAATCGGACCCTGCTCGACGGCGAAGACACTACCGTGGATTCATACCAGTGCGGGTGCAGCAACGGCACGGCGGCAACGGGCACGGCCTGCACGGCCCCGGGCGCGCACATTTGCGCTTCCTGCAACGACGGTTTCGTGATCACCCCGGAAAACTACTGCTACAAGGGGTGCGCGCCCGGGTATCACATGAAATGCGACCGCCCCTGTGACACGACCCCGGAGCTCGAGGACCCTTGCGACGAGGTCCCCGCCTGCTACGAGGATCAGTGCGTGGCAAACGAGTGCAGTTGCGAAAATGGGCAGCAAGCCACCGGCCCCGCTTGCACAGAGCACGGAGCGAACATCTGCGTTTCTTGTCAGAACGCCACGGAGTTTTTTCTCGAACACAACGCCTGCTACCCGATCAACACCCACCCGCACAGAAAGCCGCGCAGCGACTGGATCGACGCAATTGCCACCGCGGGCGCGTTCGGGAATCCGAAGGAGGTGGTTCCTCTCCCAGAAACCGAGCCGGATCCGTGCCGGTACGGCTGGGACGAATACGGGAAGTGGGGCACCGTGGATATCTCCGACGTGACGCAGCACGTCGAAGTGGCGGTGATCTTACCCGGCTACACGGAGGTGCTCAATGGTACCGTAGAAAACCCCGACGACTTTACCAGCAGACTCATCGACCGCGAGTGGTGGGAACTCGAAAATTTTCCCAGCCGGACCAACCCGGGCCCAAGGTCCGAGGACCCGGAGAACCCGGCGAACCAAATCTGTTTCGGGGGCTTCGGGATGCCGAACGAGGACCTGGTCGGGCATTTCCGAATCCCGGCGTCAGTGGGCGAGGTGTCGCAGATAACGGCCAAGTACGAAGTGGGGCGAATTGGCTGCTGCTCGCAGTGCGAATACGAGCGAACTGCTGTCAGTGAGGACGGTTCATTCGAGGTCAAAGAAGGGGGCTGCGGCTGTCGCGTAGACCAGTGGGCCACCTCGTCCGACAGACGCATCGGCACTTTTTATCAGAATGAAAAATCCCCCCTCCCCATATTGAAACGTAAATTTCTGTTGCTGGATTTGTGTACACAAATCAGCTCTGTCTTGCAAGAACGAGGCACTGCAGGCAAAACCTCAGGCTGCGTAGGGCTGTTTTTGTATAGGTGCGTAGCATAGCAGAGGCCTTCGATGTAGGCGTAACAGCATTACAAATCGCCGGAACAATAAAGCGGCGGACTCTTTGCTTTTGCCCCCCTGCAAGAGAGACAGGATTTGTGGTCACAAATCAGCATCACAAATTTTTAGCAGCATGCCTTCTCAGTATGGGGAGGGGAGATTTTTCCCTACGATACTTTTCTGCTCAACACCAACGAGACGGAGAAGTCGAAGCAGTTCTGGTACAGCTGGAACGGTTATCAAATGTAAAAATGTCTGGGTCTGGAAGATTGCCAGACTTGTCATGCATATTTTGCATGGCCCCTGATGGCTGTAATGCATGGCTTAGCATCACGTATTTCTAGAGGGCGTCCTGATGCCTATTCTGCATGAGAACAGCCTTTTCCGTGTAGACCAAACTGGACTTCTCTTGCTGGTCATGCAATACAGATTTTTTTTGAATCCGAAGACAGCATGACAAGTTACAACCTTCCAGACCCAGACATTTTTGCAGTTGATGACGGTGAATCCTATTACCGCCCCTTGTCGAGCTTTCGCGACCTCCCGTCTCCCGAGGACGCCGGGAACCGGAACTACGCGGTGCTAGCGCGCAACAGCAGTGGGATGTGGGGCACGCACCTGCATTGGCGTGCGGAGAGCGGGGCCGGGGAGCCTGCGGAGGCCGCGGACGGGACTCCGTTCACGTTTAAGCCCGATACAAATTACGAACTGCAGCAAGGGGAGAATTGGAACAAGGTAGAGGGCCAGGTGGGCGACAACGTGGGCATTGTTTGCGTCACGGTGATGGCCTGCATGAAAATTCCGCTGCACCTATCCCGAGTAAAAATAAACGTCCCCACACCAGAGTCAAGATGGGAAATCTGCTAGACAAGTCAACCAGCTTTGCTTGTTTCGCATCACAAGTCTTTCCGCGTAGTGTAGTTCTGTTTAGCTAGTGCACCAGCATCACAGACCTAGCGCATCATGCTGATTGGAGCATGACAAATTCCAAAACACGACTAGAAAATGCTTGCCATGGAGCTCCACATTAGAAACATCTTGTAGCATGACAACTCTGCGGTGGGGACGTTTTTACTCAGAATAACACCAGGCGTTTCAGTTCACCTGTCGCTGCGACAACGGAATTCCTTCGACGGGCACGAAGTGTCAGGAAGTGGGCCACAGCAGTGTTGCTTGCGAAGGCTGTAACGAGGGCTTTTACCTCGGGAACGGATCGTGTAATCCGAATCAGTGCCGGTGCGAGAACGGGAGCGCCGTGACGGGACCTGGCTGCCCGGCGCACCACGAAGTATGGATTGCAAAAATGTCTGGGTCTGGAAGATTGCAACTTGTCATGCTGTCTTTGGATTCCAAAAAAATCTGTATTGCGTGACCAACAACAGGAGTCCAGTTTGTGTTACGCGGAGAGGGCATTTCTCATGCGAAATAGGCATCAGGAAGCCCTCTAAAATTCTGTGGTGCTAGATCATGCATTACATGCGTCATGGATAATGCAAACTATGCATCACAAGTCCCGGAATCTTCCAGACCCAGACATTTTTGCATTTGATACGAAGCGACCTATTGTGATTCCTGCGATGCCGGCTTTCACCCAGCAACATCCTCTTCTGGTGCCCAAAGCGGAGCCACAGCTTCTAATGAACGCTTATGCGTTCCCAACAATTGCGGTTGCCTGAACGGAACCGCAGCGACTGGAGCCGATTGCACTGCGCACAATGCCAACATTTGCAAAAGCTGCGACTTTGGGTTTGACGAGCAGGTGGATGGGAGCGGAAACCGTTCGTGTGTCGCCCCCACGACTTCCACCACCACCACGACAACCACCACAACGACAACCACCACGACTACGGCCTCTTCAACCACGACCACAACCACGGTCGTAGTTGCCACGACGACGACCTCGACCACCACTGTACCAACGAACGGGACGGGGCATGAGATCGTGACAGAAGCTCCAACGACCGGGGCGGAACCGACCACGGTGCTGCCGCCCGACACGTCCTCTCCTCCCGGGGGAACTGACGAGGAACCAGCCGGAGATGAGAACAACTGCTGCCTCATCCTGGTGGTCGTGCTCGCGGTGGCCCTGCTCGCGCTGATCGTGTTCGTCCTTTTCTGCTGTCGGAAGAAAGCCAAAGAAGATCAGGATCTTCCGAAGAGCAGCGCGCCAACGAGCGCCGGTGCGTACGACCCAGTTTTGGAAGCCTTGCAGCGGAAAACGCTGGACTTTGGGGTGGTGGAGCAAGCTATGCAATGCAAAAGCATCGTACTAGTAGTCTAAATTACATTACAGATTCGCCCAGCATTGCAAATCAAATTTGTAATGCGGATTTACCTTTAAGACAAAAATTTGTAATGCAGCATGATTGCAATTACTACGAGTGCGATACTTTTGCACAGGATACAAGCCCTGAAGGACGCGGGGTTGACGGAAGCGTACGCGAAGAAACTGGCGCGACAGGTGTGCGACGTCGAGGTGGTGAAGAACAATGATGCTTTGGTGCATATGGCATTCTCAAACGCTACATTCTCAACTGTTACATGAATTTGTAATGCAGACTTGCCATAGTTATCTACATAGTCAAGCTGCTTCGTATGACAAGTTCTCGACGCGCTAGATAGCTGCACTTTAATCTGCGCCAAACTTGTATCATGAAAGAGGCGCAATCTGCCTCCTTTAACTTTTGCCATTCTTGCATTAACAGTTGAGAATGTAACGTTTGAGAACGCCATAGTGGAACCGGAAAACGACACCGATCTGCAGATTCTCGGCCGGCTCGGGTTGTCTTTCGTGGACTCCGGTGATCCCGAACGGGTCGGGCGGTTCCGCGGATTTTTGAAAGCAGTGGCGTTGAACCAAAGGTCCGTGCTATCGTATTGAAAAACGCCCCCACGCCATAGTTGTAATGCAAATCTGCATGCTGAAAATGTTTCTCATGCGGAACCCCATAAGAAGCATTTTCTAGTGGTGTTTTGGAATTTGTCATGCTCCAATCAGCATGATATACTAGAACTGTGATGCTTTTGAGGTAGCTCAAACAGCACAACACTACGAGTCCAAATTTGTCATGCAAAACAGCCAAAACTTGTAGACTTGTCTAGCAGATTTCCCATCTTGACTCTGCTGTGGGGACGTTTTTACTCAGGATACGTGCAGAAAGCCGCGGCCTACTACGCGGAGAAGAACAAAGACAAACCGGGGTGGACGACGGAGGAGGCGACGAAGAAGCTTATTACAATGAAAAATACCCCCACGACCTCCCAGCTTGGCAGCATTTGTATTGCAAACCTTTTTAACAGAAACATTCCCCGTCTCGCATATCTCAGCATCGCACATTGTCCATGCTGAATAGGTCAAATTTGTGTTGCGAAGTACTAGCCCAACAGCAGCTGGATCTGTTATGCACAAGGCGCCTTGCGCTTGCGCACCTAGAGCCAGACTCTGCAGCAGAAACGCTCGTAATCCTTTTATGCAAGAAGACAAAAAGCTTTCATTTGGAAACTTTGCATGACAAACTTCTGCAAATTCCGGGGTCGGGGCATTTTTCACTGTAATAAAGCTTTTGAAGGTCGGGTACTCGGAGAAGTTCGCAAACTACCTAGCCCCCAAACTGGTCCGGAAGGCGGAAGAAACGGCGATGAACCAGATTGCGCAGCTGGTCACCGTCGACGAGTGGCAAGCCATGGCGGGGGACTTGGCGGAGCACATGGACGGGGAGACCGACGAGCTCAAGCTCCGGGCGTTTGGAAATTCCATTGCGGAAATGGAAAAGATGAAAACCGCGAAATTCTTTGACCAGAAGGTATGACCGTGCGCATCTCGACGTCCCCCTCACGACCCTCATTTGTCATGCAAAATACCTAATCCAGCCTTTCTTGCCTCTTGGCACTGTTTGCGTCACAAGTTCTGGCACTAGTCCAAATAGCACTACACTCCAGTGCAAATCTGTCATGCAAAATCGGCATTCTTGCTGATGCTTGTGTTGCCGTTCATGCTAAAAATAAATATACAAATGAGGGTCCTCCCAGGGAGTTCGTTGTGCGCTGTCATAGAGGGGCAAGACGAAGCACAAGAAGCCCGTGCCGGAAGTCAACTTCGATTTGGCCAACTTCACCCTGGACGAGGCAATGATGCGGCTACAAACGGCCGGGTTTTCGGAGAAGATGGCCGGTTTCGTGGCGGCGAAGTTGGTGAAAAAAGCCGAGAACTTGGTGGACACGGGAGAGTACACCGTTGCGGTCAACGAGTACGTCGCGGGGCAGAACGTGAAACCTACTGGCGCCGGCGCCTCGGACACGTCTTCGGCGGGCCCCCCGAAGTCGATCAACCGGTCCCACCCGTATTTTGTGCAGCTGGGGCTGAACGATCTGCAGGAGTGGCAGGACTTTGAGCAGTACTGCGAGGAGTCGGACCGGCAGAAAATCATGCTGCAGGCCGAGCAGACCAGCACCCGGGCGCGGTCGTCGCAGCTGCGGACAACCGGAACGAACAAGTCGGGCGGGGAAGACAGCAACGTGGAGAAGGTGTTTCTCCTCAACGCGTTGTTCGAGCGTGTCCTGCCTTCCGTCAACAAATCGATTCCTCCGGGAGGTGGAGCAGCAGGCGGTGCGCCGCTGGGGCAAATCACCCGGACGCTCGATTTGACCGCCCTCGCAGTGAACGATGATGTCAGGTTCGTATGCAAGAAAAAAAACTTTGCAAGTGTAAATCTGTGATGCAGAAAATGCAAAACAGTTACGCTTCCTGTCATGCTGGAAGTGCGTCAAACTCAAAGCCGTGTCTCATACGTGTTTTCACGTACTAGCTGCACATGACAGGTTTTTTCTGTATATTTACGCAAAACGAATTCGTTATGCTGCTCCTCCTACAAACTTACACTTCCACAGTTTTTTTCCTGGATAGTTCGGGGAGACGGAAACCGCGACGCAGCTGCAAGCCTTCCAGCAAATGATGCCGCCGAAAAAGACATTCGAGGAAAAACCGGCCGCCGGCGCTACGGCGGGGGAGGACACTAGTGAGAGTGAGATTTCTTTTGCTATGAATCCGCCGACGAAAGCAACTCTTTCTTCCGCTTCCAAAAAATCGGCAGGCAGGTCAGCGAAAACCAAGATGAAAGCCGCGGTCGGCGCGATCTCCGCTACTGCTTCCGAGAAAAGCAGCAAGAGCAGCAAAGGGACAGAGACCAGCACGAGCGGGGGAAGTGAGAAAGGTGCGCAACATTCATCCGCGGGGAAGAAAAAACTGACGAAAAAGTCCTCGACGCGCGGCGTTGGCGGGACGAAGAAAAAGAGCAAGAAAAGTCCGGTTGCGACCACGGACGACGAGAACACAGCAGGACCGACGGAGGAGCAGAGACTCGTATCAAATGTAAAAATGTCTGGGTCTGGAAGAGTGCATGTTTGTCATGCTTGTCTGGCATGACTCTGAAATCTGTCATGCACGTTACCCAAGAGCGCCATTTTTCTGTCATGCAGAAACGCAGTCTGTCATGCAGAATAGGCAACACCTAGAAGCTCAGAATCTTGTCATGCTGCGCCAGCACTTGTGGCCTCCTCACGATACGCCACCCAGCATCACAAGTTTCCAGACCCAGACACTTTTGCATTTGATAACTCGATCTGATGCACGACGCGGAGCTCGCCCTACTCGACGTGGGCTTCGGCAAAACCAAAGCCAGGGACCTTGCGCGGAAAATCGCGGGCGTGCACGCGGACGACCACGTGGCGCACGACATGGATATGACCCCCGAGGACCGGCAGATCGCGAGCAAAGGGCTGAACAATGTATGTCCTGTGCAAAAGTATGTTCTATCGTGGTGTAAGTACTCGTACTAGGACTTCTTGTGGAAAAAAATAAACACTTGATGTTGATAACAGAGGTCGTGCGTGCTTCTACTTCGCTGTGCGAAAAAATAATATACATGACAAGAGAACAAGTCTCAAATTATTTTGTAATGCTACAGTATTCAAAAAGAAAAATGTGAGTGTATAAATATTTTATTTGCAGTTTCTAGTACCAGCAGCAGCACATCGATCAGCACGATAGTACTTTTGCAAGGCATATCCTGCAACCGTGAACGACCTGAGCGATTTGACGGAGGAGCTGGTCGCGCAAAAAGCAGCTTTTTTCGAGCGGCAGCTGTCCCCGGAATCCCAGACCGTTTTGCAGAAGAAAGCCGCAAACGACAAACAGCCAATGTCGCTGCTTGAATCCTTTTGCGCCTCCCCGGGAGACAGGCAAAAAGCGAAGAAGAGAATCTTGCACAAGGCGAAGAGCCAAAAATCTGGATTGAAAACGACCAACAAGCTGGAAAAGAAGAAATAAAGCAAGAAGCCCGACAAAGAGGCGTCAGTGCATGAGGAAGGCGGGAACTTCTTACTTTATGATTTGATGATGAAGCAAATTCGATTGTTTGAAACGCTTTTTGGAGTTTGTTCTAACACAAGCTCCGATCGACACCTTGTTCCATTTCCATATCAATATTTTGTCATGAGATTGTTTTTCATAATCATAAATAACGTACGGTACGACTACAAGAACATGAAAGTGAATGAGTCAGTATCTATAGCAATACGCATCACATGTTACACTTATCTCTAACAAGTCCGATGCATGTGCTCCCATTTTGACCCAGTATCCATGAGGGTCACTTTTCAGACCACTAAACCCCCCACCAGTTTCACTCATTCTCAGAGCACTAAAGTACTTTTTGTAAGTAAGCATAGCCAGAGACAGATTTCTGCAGTCTGTCTCTCTAGAAATCAATTTTTGTTTCAGAAACATCATGTTCATGCAGTTATTAAATCCCTATAGTACAACAACGCTGTGACGATTAAGCATTTGTAGTAAGAACAAAAAGTGCAGCGAACGAAAAAAGAATAAGTACTTACATTGTTTTGGAGGCTGAGTATTTTTGGTGCTTCTCATATTCAAAACTAAGGCGCTTTACTTCGCTTTAGTTTACTGTGACGACTTTTCCACTTTTTTTCTCGCCCCCTCCGTATCATTCAGCTTCACCGACCCCCAAAGCTCAGAAATTATGAAGCCCCAATATCATTTCTCGTCCACAAGGTATTAACCCCTCTAGACCACAACTCGGCAAAACTAGAATTGTTCACCGTAAGTCCCGAACAAGCAAACTGCCCAAAATACAATACAATTTGCGGTGCACTTTGAACATGCATCGTTTGGTCGTGCCGTTGCCGCCCTGCTCCTGTCGTGTTCCGCCATTACTAGCACAACTAAAGAGTCCTGTCGCGATTATAGCAGCAGGAGCTACTGCTTCTCATGCTAAAAATCAGCTGCACGCTGGTACAGAATTGGTACTACTAGGCATTGTTGATTCCTGTCCGTCCCCACATGAAGATTTTTTATTGTACCTACTAGTACTAGGAGACGGCCGCGACGAAGGAAGAACACGTCATGCTCCCTTTTCTATTTGAATTTGTTCCCGCTCTGTGTGCCGTTCGTTCTGGTCGTCCTGTTAAGGCAAAAGAAGGAGAAATACTACTTGATCATCAACATTTGAATCCGCAATTATATATTCTGATTTCTTGCCTGGAGATAGCGGTAGGTACTTCCAACTAGAGGTCTCTGGTGCTTTTACTTAGAAGTGTAAGTCCTCGTGCAACAAGTAGAGCCGGTTCGTCGTGCCAGCAGTTGTACAACTACAAGTGTCGTACTACAAGTCAGTGCTCTCTCCACCAGATCCAGGTGCTTCTAGTAGATCTGTATCACCAACGAGAAACCTCTTTTGACCAAGATGTCCTCTTTCGTTTTCGCCCGTCGCTCGTCTGTCGCTAGTACTTTGCTCGCCTGCGTGACCACCAGCCTCGCGCTGGGCGTCGATGCGGTAAAGACGCAGAACAAGAAGGGGGCTCTTGTGGAGCTGCAGGAAACGAAAAAACTGAAAAATGCGGCAAATAATAAATCGGCGGCCTCCGCATCCTCGGAAATAAATTTCCAGAAGTCCTTGCACAAACTCGGGGAATTTCTGGAGTCCAAGGCGGATTCGACGAACACTTTGGCCAACCTCCTCGTGGTGAAAAAGACCAAGCAGGATCCGGCGGCGCCGCCGAAAGCGGTACTAGAATGAAAATAGCCTTTGGCTTTAGTATTAGCTATGTACGCAGAAGCTGTTGCAGCAGATACGGCAGTGAAAAGAATCACGTGGCTAACATGATGAAGGGAACACTAAATGAAAAGTGCTGCCTGTATTAGTTGTTATCATCATGTGAAATAGCAGCTCTTCATGTTGCACTGTACCTATTCATAACTGAAACTGTAACTGTATCAAAAACATAAACAAACGCAATAAACCAGGCTACGGAAGTCGACAAGGCGGGGTACGAGGCGGACTGGGGTACAGAGCACAAGGAGGGACCTATGCCAGAAAAAAACAATGTGAGTGTAACAAGTCTGTGATGGAGAAAATGCAAAACTGCTACACTTGTCATGCTGGATCTGCGTCATAGGCTACTTTCGTAATATGTGTTTCCACGTACTAGCTGCGCATGACAAGTTTTCCCTGTAATGCAAAGCGACTTTGCGATGCTGTTCTTCCTACAAAGTTACACTTACACACTTTTTTTCCTGGATAGGACCCTACCCCGACGAAGCCAAGGGTAAGGAGCACCACGAGGACTACGGCACCCATGTGAAGCCGGCGGTGGAGCGGGCCCTGTTCTTTAACAGCTGGTTCTGGTGGTATGACGTACAGCTGTTTTTTCTTTTTTGTCATGATGTGTTTCTGTTTCGGGGTAATATCAGGTTCTTCAGGTGTCGACTTGTTACGATGCGTGGTGGATCATCACATTTTGATAAGATTTTATACGCTATAAGATTCGAACAAACATTTTCGCTTAATAGGATCTCCTGCGGCGTGTTCATCGTGCTGGCTGTGGCGGGAATCGTCAAGTTCGTGGCCAGCCGGCGCGCGGCGTAAACGAATTCAAAACGACTATACGTACGATCGGGATCATTCTTCGAGGCGGTACAGGTTGACATACAAGGTGTAGTAGTGGGCAAGGAGCCGGTGCTGCACGATACAAGATACAGCCACGAGGACTTCCATGTAGGATTTATTCGAACATTCACTGCTCAGTTGTACGAGAACAGAATCAGAAGCTACGTCCACGACGATCATATCGACCGAACATTTTTAGGTTTCGCCGGAACAAGTTTCTATCTCCCCACTGGAAGACAGTTGCGGTTCCACGAACAACTTCTTTTTTTCCGCAAGAACGAGAATCTTTTTTTTCCCGCGAAGGTGGAGCAAACGTAAAGCTAAAGTGAAAGTAAAGTTTGCTTACTTCATCTGCGAAGTGTTGCTTTGCCACTACGAGTTTCGATCGGCACAGATGTCCGGATATGTATTGAGTCTATGAGAAGGACCTCGCTGCTCTACGTGGGCGGCCTCAGCAGGGAGAGTGATCCTGTTGAGTTGTGTCTGTATGCTGGCGCCAGACTGTCTGTTCAATGTGGATGGAACAAGCGCGAAGCCAAAACAAGCTGTGGGTGCAAACATTATGTTGAGGAGGTGGCAAGCGCACTCGTATCTATCTCTATGAAGATGTTGTTTTTGGAACGACATTTTGATCGCAGCGTTTTTCTTTTTCGTAAAGTCGTATGCGTAGTGCTTGTCCTAGTCGTGATGTGAGAAGTTGCTTGGACGAGGTCGCTGCATGATCGGACGAGAGGGCAAAGACGCATGATGAAGAACTACTTACATGTGCGAACAGAGAAACGCAAATGTGGGCCTAGTTTTATCAAGTCGCCGAGCGACTCTTCTTCGTTTGACTTTCACCAAATTATCTTAGTTGTGCGTACAGTCAAAAATCTCAATAGATACAAATACGCTTTTTTGCGCCCTTCGTTGTGAAGAAGATATAATGTCGGGGGCGTCTCGCTCATCTGGGACAGATCAAAGCGCCGACGTGCTGGTCATAAAGTCGTCGAAATCACGAACATCATAAGTCATAAGCTCCTGCCGCCCGAGGAAAGAAAACAGAAGTATGTCGGCGAATGCGACAGCTACGACTGCAGCGGGCGAGACTGGTGATGCGACAGCGGCTGAAGCAGAGCCAGGCGGTGTTGCTGAAGACGGTGAAGATGAATTCCTTGCGGTTGATGAAGGTTTTGCAGTTGCTGACGTGATTCAGCCAGCGGACCCAGAGGAGGAGGATGCTGAGGACCAAGCGCAAGACAACGATGTGGAGGACAACCCTGGTGAGGAAGGAGAACTTCAAGCTGAGACCGCTCTAGAAGAAGTTCAAGTATTTCATCATCAAGAAGACGAGGAGGAACAGGGCGACCAACTACAGGAGCCCTTGCTTCTGCAGGATGATTTTGACGAAGACGGAGAGGAGGCACCGGAAGACCATGACATGGACGACGAGGCCGTGGAAAAAGAACAAGCGGAGATCGACCAGGAAAACGAAAACGTTGAAGATCGTGAAGGCGATGAAATCCACGACAACGCTGACGCCGAGGCCGACCCGAACCTCGACGGAAATAAAAACCAAGAAGATCTTCAAGACGAAGATTCGTCATCCGTCGGCGACTACGAACACGTGGAGCCCTTTCACCACCATTCTGTCAAACACGTAGACCACGACCACTTTTCGTCGGGGGCTGAAGATGAAGCTGTAGAGCAAAATGCAATGCGGCACGAAAGGGAAAATAACACAGCAGGTGGGACCACGAGTAGGAACCGCGACGACAACGACGACAGAAGTGCGAAAAAGATCAGAACGAATGGCGTTGAAGAAACAGGAAAAAAAGCTGCTCCTGCTGGTATCCCTCGCGCACGGGTTTCTTCAGGAGCTGCAGCAACATCGAGTGAAAATAGGGATCGACGTACGGAACAACGCAAATTATCCGCACTGAGGATTCTACAGGAACACGCCGAGATGGAACAGCAGCGAATTATGGACACGGAGAGAGAACATCAAGACGAGGATGGAATAAAGGTAGTTCGAGGTACTGAAAACAAACAACCACGGGGTCAAGAAACCGAAGCCGCCAAGAAGAGCAGAAGAAGCTCCTATAATCAATTGCAGTACCGTGGTCAAGAAACCGAAGCAGCAGTCCCCGACGATCACGCGACAACCCTGGTTGACTTCCAGGTGCACGATGTGGTCGAGTTGAAAGACGGTTCGGGGACTCCCATCGACTTGGAGAAACAGCCCGTTTCCGTGCAGGTTTTTTTCGGGCAGGCGAAGCCCATTCGCGCGGTCGCGATTAACAAGCTGCAGCTGAAAGGCAAAAAGAACAACCGCGTCGACCCGCTTCGGTGCACCATCCACGAGCCTCTTCCCGCGGTAGTGACGGTGCAAGTCTCCTGCGCCGAGTACCTTTTAGTGGTCGAAGACACGGAGGTAAAGGAAGTCGGCAGCTGCATCGTCCCGCTTTTCGGCGGGAGCCGCGGGAGGAACACGTTCTTCGGCGGGATGAACAGGGTAGAAGATCAAGAGGAAAGAACTACGAGAACGTCGTTGAACAATTTCTACGGCACGTTGCCCATCATTGACCCGGTCGAAGGGTTGGAGGTAGGGAAACTGTTGCTGTCCTGGGAGTTCTTCAGCAGCACAGATGAAAGAACAAGTGCTTTTTCTGAAGTACGCCGCACGAGCACAAGTAGAACTTCGACTTCCAGCCGGGAAATGACAAAAAGAACTGTGCGAATCAAAGCGTTGAAGCGTCTGGTTGGCAGGAGGATACGCCAGTTGCTAGACGTGAGGCAGTTGCGCGTGGAGCTGAAGGAAGTCCGCCACCGGCGGGCGGAGGCGAGCTGGCAGGAGGAAGCGGATGAAAAGGAACACAGGAGAAGAAGTAGGAGCGCAAGAAATTATAGCGGTAAAAAGAAGAAACAACAAGGCGGAACGAACACGGCAAATGTTGACGTGAATGGCGAAGAGGGAAGCGACTTCTACGAGGGCGACGAATCTACCTCAAATACTCAGCGTATTTCCGAAATTCCGATCCAAGAGGACGATGAAGAAAACGAACAACAGGATGGCCGCGGTTTTGGGAATTTGGTTTTCCCCCCCACAAATGCGAGCTCAGCTTCATCTGCTGCCGGAGGTTCCTCTCGTAGAAATACACCTGCTGCGCCTTCTCTTCTCCAAAGACTTTTCCCTGCGGTCTTCATTGCAGAGCAGCCATACGCAAATTGCAATCTTTGATGAATTTGGTGCCCCGCCTCTGCACAGAGATCGAAGTTTGAGTTTGTCATGATACAGGAGCAGCACCATGACCATCGCACAAATAAGGCAAAGCCTTCTCGAGAAGTGGAAGTGCCAACTTCCTCTTGTCATCCTTGTCGAAGCTGCAAGCAGTGCGGCTCATCTTGCCCAGCTGGCGCTTGTTTTGCCAGCAGTGCAGCAGTGGTTGATATGATTCTCTCTATGTAAGTAGTTCCTTTTAGTTTTGTGCAATACAACTTTGGAATTCCTGAACGACCGAGGTGGGGACCACTGATATCATGATTGTATTCCATAAACTCCATGCGGTTTACACGGCCGAGAAGCAGTTTGAACGGATGTACACCACGGAGATGCAGCTGAAAAACACACTGCGCCCGTTCTGCTTCGTGTCTCTAGTGAGTTATGCATATGCAAAAGTATCGTATTAGTATGAATTGCAATACAAATTGGCTTAGCATGACAAATGCAATTTGTCATGCTGTTCTACCTTGGGATGCGGATGGAGATTTGTAATGCATGACTGCGATTACTACGAGTGCGATGCTTTTGCACAGGATATGAGTTCCGGAGCAGCAACTACAGGAGCTCCTCCCGCTGGAGGCACCACCAGCGCAAGGACGGTAACTGGTGGCGTAGTAGTTGGAGCTGCAAGCAACCAGCACCTGCCCACCTCGAGTCTGCAGTCCTTCACCACGCCACTGTGTACACACCGGGCCTCCACCGAATTGCTGCGGCTCGACCAGTATGCACTGCAAAATTATCGTACTAGTATAAATTGCATTACAAATTTTCTCAAGAACAAAAATGCAATTTGTCATGCTATTTCAGGTAGAAAGTTGGATTTGTCATGCATATCTTCGATTAGTACGAGAACGATACTTTTGCACAGGATAGCCAGTTTCTCTCCGCGAACCAGTCGTACGGCACGGATAGTTTGCTGAACCGCGCGACCGTGATATGCATTGCAAATATGTCTGGGTCTGGAAGAGTACAACTTGTCATGCTAAATCTGAATCATACGAAAATCTGCGTTGCATGATTAGCAATACAGCTGTTCACTTTTGAGAAGGCCGAGAGGCAGTTTCTCATGCGGGGGCGGCATGGTAAAGATCTCACAGAATCTGGGATGCTAGGACATGCATCACAGACCTCACGCGTCATGCAAAACGTGCATGACAAACGTTGCACTTTTTCAGATCCAGACATATTTGCATTTGATACGTGAACGCGTACGACATTTTTACCGAGCTCTCCACTGCCTTCGAAGTCAAGCAGGTTTTCGCTACGGGGCTCGGGTTCGGGAAGGACAAAAAAAAAGCGATCACCGAGCTGAACGAGGGCCAAAAAGAGTCTACACTACATATCAAATGCAAAAATATCTGGGTCTGGAATGTTGCCAGGTTTGTCATGCATATGTTGCATGACGATGACTCCTGACGTCTGTGATGGATGCCCTAGCATCACAGAGACAGATTTTGTGAGGGCTTTCTGATGCCTATGCCGCATGAGAAATGCCCTCTCGCCGGGGCAAAAACTGGACCGCTTTTGCTGTTCATGCAATACAGATTTTTATAGCATCCAAATCCAGCATCACAAGTTCGCATCCTTCCAGACCCAGACATTTTTGCATTTGATACTACAGGTCACGCGCAGCTCGCACGAGGGGTTTTTCGCGAAATTGCTGTACCGCAAGTGGTTCACGCAGGAGAGCGACCTGGTGTTGCAATTTAAGCACTGCCGCTCCACGTTTTTTCTCCGAGGACAAGCAGGAGGCGGTTCTTTCGGCGATGGTCACGACCACCTGCTGAGTCCTCTTCGTGGAACGAGGAGTAGCGACTCTTCCTGTTACAAGGTGAGGGTGTCCGTTTACCACGACAAAATGATTATCGGAGAGCCCGCGGAGATCGCTTTCGGCTTTTTGGACGTCGATGAGTTCTTGGCAGACTGTGTTTTGACGTTGCACTTGCAGCAACTGCCAACACGAAAGCTGCAGAACACGACCCTTCCGACGCGACAACGAGGAGAACGTGAACGAAGAGCGCCAGTAGAGCAAAGTCAAACACGACAGGACAAGGCAGGGGCTATGATCACTACCGGGCACCGGGACGAACAAGAACGCCAGCTGGAAGAGTTGGAGAGTCTCTGGTCGCAACTTCTGTATTGCGGAGATGAAATCCAAATTATGGAGACTGCTGCTGCGGCAGCAACAGCATCCTCATCGTCGGCGGCCGCAGACGAGATCATAAAAACTGCAGCTGCTGAACACGACGAGCACCACCAGGCCCGAAGACATCAAGTAGAAGACAAAATATCGAAGCTGCTCAGCCGAGCTTTCGACCTTCCCAATGTGGAGATTCCCCTGTATTCCGCGTTCAACGTGCAAAAGAAAGTCGGGAAAGCAGTGCTGCACGTGACGCACGTACGGCCGGAGACCTTTGTGCCCCCGGAGAAGTTTTCCTACCATCGGGAATTGAAGGCGCGGGAGAAAGAGGGCGACGGGCGGAAAAGGCTGCGGGCGGGAGGCGGCTTGATTTCTAGTTCCAGTAGTGCAGCAGGAGGAGCTCCCGTGAAGATGGACTTCTACAGGGCGTCTGCAGAAGAACGCGCGTGGTCGCGGGATGATGTAGTTATGGGAAATGAAGTAAACGCAGTCTTCTATAAGGAGCATCAGAGGACCTCCGCGCTAGAAGAAGCGACCGCGCTAGCACACTCGGTTGTAACACCTATACCCCAAGACCTTCTCACAGCGTGGCAGGACTGGGACCGGTTGAATGTGGAGAGTTTAACGATGCACGCGTGTTGCGATGAACACAGGCAGGAACTCGCACGAAGGTATTTTTATCGTGCAACATCCACAGCTTCCTCGTCGAGAGGCCGCAGCGGTAGCAGAAACAAAGCACCTTTTCGCTGTGCGAATTGCGAAGGAGAAATATTTCATCCTGGCGTGGTGGCTGCGTGTGCTGGTCGTGCTGGTAAGGAAAAGGACGCGCAAGGCAGCAGCTTCTCCCCCTCTCTTCTGTGTCTCTCCTGCATCGAAGATTTTCAGGCGTGTCTGGTCTGCGGCGAGGAATTTGTCCTCGGCTCCGGCACGGGCGGGGAGGGGGATAACACGGTGACCGGCGGGCCAGAAGCCGTCAAGGTGATTCGGAAAAAGCGGGACGCGCTTGTGGAAAAATCGCTTGGAGGTTCTTTGTTCTACAAGAACGGTAGAAAAAATAGTACCTTTCCGCCCCTGCAAGCCCAAGGTCGCACCATTTCTTCCCCGCTCCTGTCCTACCACCTTCGCGTCGTTTTTGCGAAGTTCGTTTTTGCGAGTGCGGTCGAAAAATTTTTGCGGAACGTGGCGCACGAGTCCGATCTGCCAGTGGAAAGTAGGAAGAGTTTGGGTTTGCTGTGCAGAAGTCTGTTCCTGGGTTTGGAATTGGACGAGCCGGAGCAAGTGGGACAGGAACTACTTCTATCCGAGCAAGGGCAGGACCATGTTCATAGTGAACGGCGAGCAGGGCAAGAACTTCACTTACGAACGGACAATACAGATGCGAACAAAGCGTCCTCGTCTACTAGGAAGATGGCCCTGGAGCTGCTCCCAAGAAGCACAGCTCCCGGTCGGGGATTGTTCCAAGATGTTGATCACGTCCTCGCCGACGATGATCCTGGCCTGGCAGTGCTCCGGAAGATCGCCAATACCCCGGCCGCATTGCAGGCAAATCCCGGGCTGCTCCTGTTGCCTTTTACGTCGGCGAGTTGTGCGCAGAGGTTGGTAAGTCTCATGGAGGCGTATTCGGATACTTTGACGACAGTGTTCTTGTACAAGAACGTGGCTGATAAAGGAGGCCGCGGTGATGTTGAAAAAGCGAGTGCGACATCGTCCGGTGAGCTGCAGGAGCAGCCTAATGCTGGTCAAGGTCATCCTCGTCCCACAGTTGGTGTTGAAGAAAAGGACAGCGACGTGTCTTCGAATTCAAGAAACTTAGTGGTCGAGGACCAGCACAGAGAAGCTGCTTTTCAAGCAACAACCCCCGCCGCCCTCGTGCTCCTCTCTCTCGCCGCGATTTTGCAGCTCGCTCTCGCTGGCGGAACCCGAAGAAGCCGGAGCAATTCCCGACGTAGTGGACCCAAGAAATTGATCAAAGTGTCGTCGAGTCCCACCATCTCTACTTCTGTCGCCGGAACAAAACTTGTCGACTTCGAGGGGATGGCGGGGACGTTGAGTTTGCTCTTTAGTTTATTATCGCAGCTGCGAGGAGATGCTAACGCTGCCGCTGAAAATCGAAATCCGCCCACGAGTTTTTCCGACTTTCATTCTATCACCGGAGACGATTTGAGGGACCTGGTGGCGACAATCGGTGATGTTGTGGAGGAGCGCCATAGGGAAGATGTTTCTGACAGGACAGTTTTCGAGAATTATTTCCCCTCCGCTTCCCTGTCCACGCTGTTCAAGACGAAGTCGGTTCGGTTGGGCTCGAAACCACCACCAGCAGCACTGCGAAATAAGGATGACGAGGCTGGCAGTACTGCTAGGTTCTTCGGAGGCGCTTCTTCTCCTGGTTCCTCTGCCGGTGACGAGGAGGAGGATCATCACATCAACACGGCCGCCGCGGAACACGAAGGAACGCCAGGTCCTCCCGAAGTTGTAGATGCCGCCCAGGACAACTTGCACTACCTTACTCTCCGCGACCAGGTGAAGTTGTATTTCGACCCGACCTCGTTGATTCAGCTCCCGGAATCTTCAAGCGCATTCTCTGTGTTGAAGCCCGAGCGGCTCGCGACGCTGGACACGATATGACGAGAAAAAAGTGTATACAGTTACACATTTGTTTGAGTTTCTGCATCACAAATTTTCTCTGTGTGGCAGAGAAAACTTGTAATGCGAAGATCATACGGGAAAACAGGAAGGAAACGAGGCTCCCAAGCATTTCCTGCATGAGAAAGGTTGTCTGCGTTGCCGGTCTTGCAACACAATGTGTAACTGTAACACTTTTTTCCTGTCATACACGAAGCCGTGGAAGTACTACGCAATCACCGTGGGCATCGGTCTCTTCGCCGGGTTATGAACTGCAAATATGTCTGGGTCTTGAAGAGTCGGGGCTTGTCATGCACATTTTGCATGACCCATCAGGTCTGTGATGCTGGTGCTAGCATCACAGATTTTTTGAGAGCTTCTTGATGCTAATTACGCACGACAAATGCCCTCTCCGCGTGCCAAGAACTGACTCCTCTTACTGCTCACGCAACACAGATACTTTTAGAATCCGCAGACAGCATTACAAGTCCCACTCTTCCAGACCCAGACATTTTTACATTTGATACGGGTTCGCCCTGGCGACGTCCGTGGCCGGGACGGCACAGATGCTGCATTTGGTGTTGGAAAACGTGATTTGCAAAGACCATGCCTGGTACGAACTCGCATCTACCTCTGCGACTGATCTTGGGGGGGCCGCTGCAAGTACCACTACCAACAAGATTGCAAGCACGGTTTCCGATGTTGCGCAGGCCTTACCCCCCGGGACTAACCTGATGCTGCAAACGACGAATAAATTGCAGAGCTACCTGTTTCATTACCTCTTCGCGGTCCCCGTGCGGTTTCTGTTCAAAACAGTTTTGTGCAACACGGCCAGAGCGCTGCGCGTTGAGAAGTTGCTGGACTTTGTCGGCAGTGGCGAGCTGTATGTGGTGCTGTTTGTGCTGTATGGGCTCATGAATTACAACCAGGCGAGCCAGTCTCTGACCATCCGCTGGGGCGAGGTGCGGGAAATCGCCTTGGATATTGTGCAGATGATGCGCAGCTCTTGTCCGAAGGGCAGCAGTTTTGGGGGCGATTATGTCGTAGGTGGAGGTGGTCTCATCGGTGGGGGTCTTGATGAGGATGATGAAAGATACGGTGTCACTATCGGCACTAGTGGGGACGACAAGACCGTTGTAGTTCATGAGCACGAGGACACCAACCCAGCACAAGAACATAGTCATCTTCAAGAGCGGAAGAGCGCATCAAAAGATGAACATGCCTTGCGATCATCTTCACAGCGACAGCAGGAGCAGCGCGGCAGTTATATCTCGACGAGAAAGATGAACACGATCGTGCAGCCGTGGTCATCTAGTATGTCCTCTAATATGAGCGGCAAACGACCGCAGCGCCACTTCTTCGTTTGCGTACCGGGCGGCCTGATCCAAACGAGACACGAACACTACGACACCTTTACGAAGGGGTTGGCATTTGTAAAAAGTGGAAGACGAGATCGAGAACACACAGTCCGGAATTCATCTGCCACTACAGTTCAACAGTATCATAACGGAGATAATTCTTGTCCAGACAGCATTTTGCTTCTCCGGTACGAAACGCAACAGATGTACCGCATGCACCAGGAGCTCGAGTATCGGTCCGAAGACTTCTACGCGATTAGCAATCGGTTTTTCTACCTGCAGGTGCTCACTTCCTTGCTGAATCCGCCAAATTTGGCGTACCTGGGGGTGCAGCGGGTGCAGGAGATGCTGAACGACGTCTATGTACTGCAAAAGCATCGCACTAGTATAACTCGCAATGCAAATTGGCTCAGCATTACAAATTGAATTTGTAATGCGGATTTACCTAACCAACTAGATTTGTAATGCATAGCTGCGATTTTTACTACGAGTGCGATACTTTTGCACTGGATAACGTCGAACAGATCTCGATTCACCGGTTCAAACAGGTCGGGGTCGAGTATGGCGTTCTCAAATGTTACATTCTCAACTGTTACATGATTTGTAATGCAAAATCATAATCAGAATCGACACGATCAAGCTGCTTCGCATGACAAATTCGCGAAGAGCCAAACAGGCCGAAGATCTTTGCTAGATCTGTCATGCAAGACGCGCAAGCTGACCCCTTTCACTTTTGCCATTCTTGCATCACAAACCCATGTAACAGTTGAGAATGTAACAGTTGAGAACGCCATATCGAGCTCGGGAGGTTTCTCTTCCAGATGACCGTCGCACAAGCCCAAGCAGATCACGAAATGGAGGATCATCTTCTTGCGGGAGGATCGGCGTCGACGAGGCAGACGGAAAGACAACGTCAAACGGATCGGACGAAAATAAATCTGGAAGGTGCACCAGCCGACGAAGATGAGTTTGACCACACTGACTCACATTCATCTCCTTCTCCTGGTGGGCACCGTGGTGGTCTACTTGAAGCGGGAGAGGAAATAAATGGTGGACGTAGTGCCAACAACAACGGTAGAAGTACTAAGAACGCAGCGCTCGCTCTCGTTACAACATCATCCCGGAGCAAGAAGTTCTCCCTGATCTCCTACTCTTTCGGTTGCAAGGTCGTGCTGACGGCGCTGCTGGAACTCCATATGCTGATGAAGCAGCACAACGACCGCATAGAACAAGAAGGCGAGGTAGAAGATGAGAACTTGTTCGGACGAGATCTTCCAGATTGTGCCCGTAGTTCGTCCTCTGCTCGTGGTGCTGCGCAACAAGGTCGTCGTCCTCGTCCCCCTCCCAAGTTGACGAGTGTGATCGAGAACGTGGTTTTCATGGGGGCCCACGTGCGCCTGCTGGACGTGTTTTTCCTGCATTTGGACAGCGCAAAGAAAACCTCAAGTACTTCTGCTGGTGCAGCTGGGTCGTCCGCGGCGGGAGGTCGACGTGGCGGCGGGAGTACCACGAGTAGGAGTTCTACTGTTGCAAGTAGAAAGACGACCGCCCCCACTTCTGGATCATCGTCCTCCGCTTCTGCGCCGCCGGCTGTATCCTCACTGGGTAGAAGTACTGGTGCGCGACAAGTTCTTGTAGACGAGCATGATGCAGCATCTCTACAAGAGGGCGCACCAGTGAAGACGAGGACAACTACTTCTGGGTTGCAGGATGAAAATCAGGAGCAGAAGCCCAACCGCGGACGATTGGGAGCAAGCGCCCCTCGACACGCGGCTGCGCGGGCGATCGAACTGGGAGCCGACATTGAGGAGGAAGTGATCCAAGATCTGCAGCACGAAAGTCAGTATGCACGAAAAAATGCAAAAGTAGCATATCGAATGAATTTGCAATTGAAACGCGTTCACTCCGCAAGATGCATACAACGGAAATGCATAAAAGACAAATGAAAGAAATACAAAATTTCTATATGGAGCCACGAAAGACCTCAGGCTCACGCGGAGCCCGAGGTTGAGAAAGGACAGCGTTCCAGTTCGTTGTCAATATGTTTTTCGTTTTAGAATTTCAATGAAGGTCTTGTCTTCAAGTACAAGTTCTCCCTCTACGGTCCTGCTGTGCCATTCGCTTTCGGTTATTGTACCTACTTTTGCACCACTCCATAGTTCGAATTTTCAGAAAAAGGCCGCGCTGCAGAAATGGTACGAAGTCAAGAGGCATCTGATCACCGGGCGGTTTCTGAATTTCTACAGTCTCCGGGACCAGCTGCTGTACGACTCCGAGGCCGTGTATGCACTTACAAATTTGATTGTTGCCCATAGTACACGTACGAATTATGCTGAGCCCGTCCTTGCATGACAAAGACGATCACCAGTACTTCTGCATTTTTGTGTTTTGTAAGTGCTTTTTCAAGAAGATGAAGAAGATCATAAGAACAGCAACGGTTCTTGTCAAGAAAGTGAGGCCGCACAAGCAGAATTCTGTACATGTTCGGGTAGAATATAAGTCGATTTGTATTTTTGCATACCTTGGCGGGGAACTTTTTTATCGGTAGGGAGGGTCTTTACAAGGTTCCGGGCGTGGAAAATTTTGACATCACCAGCCGGCTGCCACGGCACAGTTGCTACCACACCTTTTTGTGCCGGGAACTACTTGAGGAAATGGACCTTTGAAGTAGGTAAGAGTGCCTGCAGGTTGTACGACGAAAAAAAGTTGTTCTACATACGTTATGCTCGAACATAAGTTTTGATTATACCGCTGGCCTCATCGTCTAAGATGAACTCCGTCGAACTCGAAGGAGCAAGATGGTGATCATGATTTTACAACTACAGATAATTCCAAGAACTCTGCCAAAAATGGATGCTCCTTCTGCCTTTTCTGATGGAGGGAAGAGCATCGGAATACAGGACCTTCACCAAGATGGTCAAGATCAAAAATATTTTGCAGAGCTTTATTTGTTTTGCTGTAAATCTTTTAAAAAATTAAAGACGTTTGCTCACGATTAATGTTTCTGTTTCTAATAATTTTGGATATCGTGGTGCGCCGTAGTAGGATTCTGAATTTTCGCACCACTAATATCATCTGATACTACGGGCAGGAGGAGGAGGATGACCTAGTATCTCCGTTTCGCACTTCTCCAACACTTCTTTTTCTGACGTAAGTGGATATAATTGGCTCCCCTTACCTTTCTTCTGAGGTTTGGCTACAAAGAAACACGAATCCTTTGAAAGAAATCAAACTCGGGAGAAGTAGAACCCCGAAAAGGAAAATGCTACGTGAAGATTTATTTTCCTCGTGGGGAAAGAGTATGACTAGTGGAGCTGCCTTTTGTTCTGAGCTTTTGACGGCGGACGAATTGCCGACGTTTCATGAATGTTTGTTCCTGTGGAAGATGATACGCGTTTTCTTGAAGATGTAGTAGAGGATCAAGAACAGGATCTGGTGGGGCCGCTAGTACTAGTTGTACCTCCGGCCTGGCTCCCGCTCACTTTCTCAGACCAGGAAGAATAACAAGAAACTACTTACTTACACCGTCTCCCACATTTCTTGTTTATCTTTTTCTTTGCTGTCAACTCCACGTCCACCTGAGCCTGTTGGGCTTGTTGTTTCTGCTGTGGTATCAGTACATGGATGTTGAAGGGAGGACGGAAGAAAAGATGCTGTTGAAGATGTGATGGCGATGTGCTGTGATGACGATGTCCACGACCTGTGAGATTGTAAATAAGTACAAATAAATCTACATCATATGAGACCAGCAAGAGAAAATGAAGATCAAGAACGAACCACCTTTGCGCGATGTATTTGTCGCCCGCACCTGTCTGTGCTGCTACGTAGATTTTTTCTTGAAGTCAACCCGCGTCTCTTGGTTCATGATCGTCAATATCAATTGGTGGAGAATACAAGATGAAGTAATGCGCTCCTGCTACGTCTTTGTCTTAGTGTTAGTCCCCTGGAGGGGTAATATTTTGTGATCCCTGGTGGCCTGGGAGTAGTTATTTGGATCTACAAACACAGGCAAGCGAAAGTTTATTTGGTTTATGTGCTTGTTGGCGGTACACACCACTCAATGAGAAGGAAGCCAAGAACTCCAGTATACCTCATGAGTGTTGACATAGCACGCAGAGGACGCAGCAGGAGCAGTTGCAGTTCGTCCTCCTTGTCATCTAACAACTACACGAGAAGATGATTTGAATTTATTCCAGGAAAAATTAAAATCATGTTGTCGGCCCGCAACAACTCCTCCTACCAGCGGGAACTCCCCACGGGGAGGGTGTGCATTCGATGCAAGACGGAATCGATCGTGATCGAGGCCTGCCTCGTGCAGAAAATGCGCGAGCTCCTTCTCCGGCTGCCGGGCGACAAGAGCAGGGGCTATGTGAAAGTGTTTCTGAATCCCCGCGCGTCGGTGCATCATGTCGTCGATCAGGGCAAGCACCAAGCAACAGGGGCGGAGTCGCACGCACAACCTCCAGTGACTACAAAACGTTCCTTCGCCGCGAGCCTAGGTAGCAGGAGGACATCAGCAACTTCAATGCGTGCGATAGCGATGAAAAGGCTGTGTTTTGAAAAATGAAGGGCATCATGTCCATGTGCATGAAACCTGCCCTACGATCAACATTGAATTCATCTTTAATGATGTATCGTGCCTTGTTCATCATCTTATGCATGTACCTCTAATATCGTACTGATAGATAATTTGTTTTCGACGGGGTTGGTCTTGGTTGAGCTAGTACCTGTCGTGCGCTTTTTTGTCTTTGCTGTTGCTGTAGTTTTTGCGCAGCTTTTTTGAAGTTTTTGCACGGCTAGCGCAAATCAAATCTATCGATGTACTTCTATCAACTGCCAGGTCGAAGCGGTAGCAGTGCGGGCTCCACGCAAAACCACCCACGTTTTGTTCCCTGTATCGGCATATCCACTGCATCAAATATGTCTGGGTCAGGTCTGGAAGACTGCTGATGGTTGTCATGTCATGCTGCTCCTGCAGTATGACCCAGAAGGTCTGGCTTCTTGCAAGGCCCCCTAGCGTCACGGTTTGGAAGAAGGTTTGGCATTTTTGCCTGAGCTGCATGACGAAACAACTTTTTGTGTCCGCCGTGCATAAAGTTGAATTCAATTACTGCGCATCACACCCAGACAAATTTGCATTGGATACGGCATTAGGCTCTTCCAGCGGGTCGAAGTGACACCGCTCACGGACGCAGCGCTGCCCTTGCAGGTCTTGCACCAACCGGTTGGCTATGCATTGCAAATAAAGCAGTGATCGTATCTAGAATAGTGGTAGAAAATCTCAAATCGCGTATACAACAGGTTTGAGCATGACAAGGAAGGGAATTTGTTTATGCTGTTGCTGTCGAATAGTTGCCTGATTAAAACCAAACACACCTGATTTGCCAACATTCCTAAGAATACGAGACTTTTGCACAGTACTAGCCTAGTGGTGCTACCGGCTCGTCATCGTCCCGTGGCGGCGGGCGTGGTGGCTCTGGCGGGGCGACTGCCGCTTCGGGCGGCCATAATTCCCGCGGCCGACACTACCCTTTTGAGGTTCAGACGAGCAACTGGCTGGCGTTCGAGCACTTGAAGAAGCTGATCAGTTCTTGGAAATCCCAGTTGGAGGGGTTTTATCCTGTGCAAAAGTATCGTACTCGTACGAATCGGAATCGCAAATAAGCATGACAAATATTTTTCCTACGGCAAAACAGCATTACAAATGTGACTTTCCTTCTTGCCAAAATTTGTCATGCAATTTATACTAAGTCCGATACTTTTGCAATGCATAGGTTTCTCCGCGACTTGGTCCGCTGCAGTGCATACGTGGACCGGCCCATGCAGGCCATTGACACCCTTTTCGAGATCCAGACCAGTGGGTTTCTGATTTGTGTGAACGGTTGGAAAGAGCACGAGTGCAGCACCAGCACGATCGGCGACTCTGCTGCTGCTGTTGGTGGAGCTCCTCCTGGTGGTGCAACAACTACAGGTGGAGGTACTAGTGCCGCGTCGACGCCCGGGCGAGGTGGGCAAACCATCACGACGCCAGGTCGCAGTGGAGGTGGAACAGCATCTGCCCGCGGGTCGTGTGGGGGCCCCAGTACGCCGTCCTCGTCGGGACGGGTTGGAGCCAATACAACGACTGGAGGAACATCGTCTTCGTCCATCAGGAAGACCACGCAGAGCCTGCAAATCCTCTTTATGCGGTCCACGAATCCGCAGTGGCGAAAGCGCACGTTTGCCAGCGCCAGGTCGGAAGCCAGCTCGGAGAGCAACGCAGCGTTGGTCAGCAGCAGGACGCTGACACCAGGAGGAGGCGAAAGTATATAACAAGAGTGAAATGCTTCTGTATACAGTCAAGCAACACGAATACTATGCATGTGATTGTGGTAGAAAGAACGAGTAAAACAAAAGAAAAACTTTAGCGACTGAACGTACTACACGCAAAAAACCTGTACCAGTATCACTCTGTGTAGATTGCACGCATAATTATTTTTTCGCTTGCAGCTGGTGATCTCGTTACGCTTACGCATGCAAAGTGTATCACGGACATGTCGTGAAAGAGCATGCAAATAATTGTTACAACTTCTTCCGGCTACGAACGCGAAGCATCAAATTGTGGTGATGAAAGGTACCCGCGGCACGCTGAACTCGAGTCGGCAGATGCAAACTCCGGGCCGTGGCTCCACGAATCTTGAGTACGAGCAACACTTTGTGAACGTCTGCTTTTCTATGGACATGCTTGGTTTGTACAGTGCCCCCACGGAAGACTCGCTGGGAGCGCGGCACAGTGAGCAGAAGTGGACGTTTGAATCGGTGCAAAATGCGTTTTTCGACAACCATTACTTGGCGCTGCAATCCGCACGAGGAGGGGGAGGTAATAATATCATGACGTCGACGTCGGCGCGTGGACTAGCACATCACTTGTCCTCTGCAGCTGCTTCATCATTCCCCGCGGGCGGCGGGACCACCTCGTCCAATAGGGCCGCGACGGCGCAGCTAGAGATGAATCTTCAGGCCGGAAGTAGTACAACAACCTCCACAAGACCCAGCAGGTTGATGACGAGCCTGGCAACTGCTGATGGCGCCGCGCCAACTTCTGGTATAATAATGCCCGGGGGAGGTGGCGGTGGGCAGCATGCAAAGTACGAGCAAGGCAAGATGAACCAGAACCTCGAGGAGGAACACAAATTGGAGCTGGACCCGGGCGAAATGATCGAGCTGCAGGCGCTGTTGCGACCGCCAAATAGGCCAAACAAGAAGAACTTGGAGAAAATCAAAATATTCCTGCAGCTATGCATTGCAAGACCACCTCCTATCGTAAATATGAATTGCATTTGCAGAGCAATTTTTTGCAAGTTGAATAAAAGTGGTTTTCGTTTTTGTAAATGCTGATTTACCTCCTACTTAGGCGAGAGACTTCGATTTGTAACTTGTGACCACGACTGCAGTTGTTTGAATTGATACGATTGCGAGACTTTTGCAGTGAATAGCAGCAGCACGGCGTGTCTGCCATTGCCAACAGCCCACTGTTTCGCGTGGCAACCGCAATGCGCACCCTGTTCGACGTTTTGGTCGAGAAGTGCGTCGAGTTAAAAAAGTTGGATAGTACAACCGGCGACCTCAAAAACGGCGCGACTCCCTCTAGTCGCGCAAGACGAGACGAAAGACCCTCATCGCCTTTGGAGATGCAGCCGTCTTCAAGACCCAACTCCGCAGCGGCACACGATATTGGTTTCATCAACAATGTGGGAGCACCAGGTGGTACTACAGTTGGTTCCCAAAATATCAGTTCACCTTCTATCACGCCAGCAGCTGCCCTGACTAAACAGGACACGAAGACCAGTCTAGGAACTACCTCCACTTCGCCGATAGACCACGACTTTGGTGCCGCTGAAAATACTAGTTTCCTGCTGAACAGCAACGCGGATGCGACGTTTCTTTTGGACGAAACCCAGTTACACCTGAACAGCACCGTCATGCTGGCAGACACGACGTTGATCCTCGAACCAGGAGAAGGCGGGAGCAACGGTAGATCGGAACGAGCTGGAGGACCACCGGGCACGACAGCGGACGACGGTGCGCTTGGTCGTGTGGCGCCTCCCAAAAATGATGTTCACGCTGGCGGCAATTCATCGTCCTACATAGCACAAAATGAAAATTATGATTCAAATGCGCTGCTGCAGACGGTGTTTGGCCCGGACGCGGACTTTTCGTTGCCTACCGAGACGCTGCTAGCGCGCAAGTTGTTGCGCGGGAAGCGGCAGGCCTTGTGGGACCGTTATGAAGCAGCTTGTAGTAGGAGTGTTCTTCTAGTTGAAAGGGGCCATGATTTTTGTGAAGATTCCGTGGTTGAGCCACGAGAAAGGAAAACCGAGGAAGCCGCTAAGGCACTGCAAAAGAATTATGCTGGGGTAGCAGGACGAAAAGCACAAGATCAAGATCAGCCTCCGACTGGTACGCAGAAAGAGAAAAAGGGTAAAAATAAAGAAGAAGCGCCCAATGAAGCTTTACCGCCTTGGGAGCGAAAAAAGCGTCTACGCGAAGAAATCCGGTTGTTGCTGGACATGTTTCGACTTTTTCTCGAAGATGAAGACTACCAGTACGCAGCGGCCGAGCAGATTTGGTCGCATTTCTGCCGAAATCTGCTGCAGTCCATGTCTATAACCGGAATCAGTGCCGGAGCTGGGTCTTCTTCTTTTGCACCGTCCTCCGCTGCTGCAGGTCTTGTATCAACGACCAGGACAGCTACAGCAAGTGGCGGGCTGCTGCTAGGAGGGAGTTCCCCGCCCGCCGCGTCCTTGGGACCACCTGCTGGCACCGCTGGAGGAGCAAGGGGACGAGCAGGAGTACTATCGTCATCCACTTTGCTAATAACCTCCAGCACAGCCTCGAACATCGGCAGTAACCGGGAAAGGCTGACTTCCGGCGCAACCTCGTGGCTCCAGCAATACGAGGCATTTCTGTTGGTGTGTGACTGCTGCTACAACGTAGATCGATCGAGAGGTTGTCCTGCAAGAAGCAAAAGTACGAGTAAGCGCTTTCACCTCGTGCGTCTTTTGCTTGCGAAACGCTTGGAGTTCGATTTGATCGCAAAGGACGAGGAGGAGGACCAAGAAAAACTTGGAAGGAACGACGGCGAGCAGGATGATTCTTCTGCAACAGGGCCAAGGAAAAATCTACAACAAGGTGCAGCCACTTTCGTTACATCACGGCCCCCGCAGGAGCGCGACCGCGAGGCTAGACAGACCATCATCGACGACTCGCAGACGCCGAAGGTGTTTGAAACCTTGCTGTTGCATTTTTCGAAAGTTTTGGCCGAGATGCAGCAAAAGGACCGGTTGGTGAAGAACCAAATTAGCTTCCGCTTGAAGCAGATCTTGTCTGCGCCGACACAAACTATCGCTCGACGTCCTTTTACCAGTGGGAGTAGGAGTAGGACCACAATAAACACAGCTCTTGCAAGTCGTGGTGCTGCTGGTGGCCACCCTGGTGGTGTTGGCTCGTCTGCGTCCTCCGGACAGCACGACACGGAAACGCCTGGGACCACGATTTCCAATTACGACAACCTGGAGCGGACGAATAAGAGCAACCGGAGCAAAGACAAGGATGAAGGGACCACGAGGAAGAAAGGTGCCACAGGACCTACAAACTCCTTTTCGCGGCGCACAGCAAGCGAGAGCAAGTACTACGTTGCGTCAGCATCTGGTAATCAAAATGTCGACACTGCCGAACCGGGCGACGATTCTCCTATTGATGGTCAGCAACAGGAAATAAGGCAATCTAATTCATCCAAGAAAGGCTCTTCCAAGCCAAACATCGTTCCAGGATTGCAGCTCTCCGCGACCTCCTCCTCCCAGCATCCGCACCCGGCACGCTCCTCGAGTCTGCAGGCTTCGGGCGGGCACTCTCGTCCTCGTCCTGGGGTCGTTGATCTCGATGTCGACCTAAATGCACCTGCTGCGCCGCTCTCGGCCGCGCCATCCCACAGAACAACATCAAACAACTCAAAAGAACCGCACAGCGAGGTGGACATCATGAGCGGTGGCGCGAGTGACCGACCCCAGAGCACCACCAGCACGCTACAGTCCAACAAAATTGCGTTGAAGCCACTGGATCTGGCGAGTTTGAAGCAGCAGTCCTCGAAACGGAGCCGGTCCTCGCGGCAAAGGACCCCGCATGGCAAGCACGGGAGTCGGTTGTCCAGCCGGTCACCCATGCCCTATTCGAGCACAAGGACGTCGTCGACTGTTGGTCTGGTCGGCAGCCGGGTGCACAGTTTACCGAGGATGGCAACAACTACAAGTGCTGGCTTATTGTCTGGTCGAGAAGTAGAACATCATTCTGCCGGTTCTAGGGCGGTGGTGAACAACAACTTTCATTCCTCAACCGCCAGCGCTCGGACGCCACCCATGACGCCGCAGAGTTGGGCCAGCATGAGTAAGTACCACAGCGCAAGGGGAGGCTCACTTAATAGCAGTAGGGAAGTACTAGTAGATCCTCACGCTCAACAACATCTTGGGCCACCACTGTCCGGGAGTACGAACCACGATACCGGTAGACGAGGGGTCGCTGCCGAGAGCAGCTGCACCATGGACCACTACAACAATCTTCACCAAATAGAATCTGACACCTTTTTCGCTTCCATTCCGGCTTCTTCGAGAGATCTACTGTCCAGTCTCGCGCAGGCCGGCGCGTCGGAATTCTTTGCGCGCAACATGGACTTGGTGTCCAAAGTGACGACGGACGTCAAGGCTATCCTGAGTGTAAAAAACGCCCCCAAAAAATAAAGCACAGTGACTCGGCGGGGAAGAACTCTGCAACGCATAAGTATCCAGAAATTTTGGAAGTCACGCGTGTTGACAAGTTTCTCCTTTCTCTGTATTGTAGTCTTAGGCATTAGCAAGGCTAGGGCTAGCCGCATCTTCGCAGAGCCGGTGGCTTATCCTGTTTGCAGCATTTATTTACAGATGCCAAAACATCATCACCACGACAGAAAGTGGTTCTCATGCAACTGCCAACAGGGGTTGTCGTTGTGCATTACAAGTGATGTTTCTCCCTGTAACTACAAAGCTGCATGACGGGGGGGACCACGTTTTTGGTCAGGATAAGGTTGGACGAGAAGCGAAAGAAAATTGCCATGAGAAAGAAGGTAATCGCGCACCAGGAGCTGTTGCGAACCTCGCTGTCCAACCCGAAACGGGTGAAAGACAAAGAATTCATGCTAGAGTTGTTGCAGAACAAGGTGAACCGCGCCGCGAAGGAGGAGTCCTTGTTTGCCTCGGCGCGGAGCGCGGCCTCGGAGGGGAGCGCGGGCAGCGGCGGCGGCGGCGTTGCGAACGCTACGCTCATGATGATGTCTGCGCGGAATCATCTCGCGAAAATTGGGGCTGCTTTGGAACAGAAATTGGTGCAGGGGGTTCTGCTGTCTTCATCGGGGCGGGGAGCGGATGCGTATGCTGGTGGGCTGGATAATGATTTTGGAGGACGCAACTTCTATGAGTTGTATGATCGGGAAGAATTTTTACCAAGTTGTGCAACGAGGAACGGGCCGCACAACCACCCAAAAAATGACTTCGGTGAAGAAATCGAGCCAGCTCACACAGGACGAGAAAACACAGAAGTACAGCCCGAAACACCGCTGGCGCTCGAAAGTCTCTCCGATATCCTCTTCGCCGACATTCCGCTGCCAATTACCGGGCTCATTCCGGGGGAAGTGGTCGCAGCTTCGAGGCAGATTCCTGACACAACAAGTGCTGGGCAGCTTCGAGGTGGTGGATCTACTACTTCGAGTCGAAAGGCTATAACCACAGCCGGCTCGTCCCCGTTCTCGCCGAGGAATCATCAAAAGCCCGATAGAAATAAAACACGTGAAGACTTCGTCGGCAATCATCAAGATAGTCTGTCCCAGCTTTCCTCCACGAACCACCTGCACAACGAGCAGACTGCAGCCGCGTTGCCGGTTTTGCTGGCACAGATCTCGCAGTTGTTGCTTTTCGTCTGCGAGGAGATGTCAGGTTTGGACGACCACGACGAGTCATCTTCATCTGGGGTTCTTTTGTGCAATACAAACAAAATTCCGGCACAGCTGATTGCGTGGTATCTACTTAACGTGCAGATCACTGGAAGCGGCTGCAGAGTGTCCTCCGACGCGGCAGGGACGTGTAGTGCGAACAGCGCGACAAGTTGTTCCACTATTGCAGCAGGAGACTTCGGCTTTTCGAAGCTCTACGCACTTCTGGACGGCGCGAGTCCGGGGCTGAAGACCGATCACGTCTTGATATCGAAAAAATCGAAGGCGCAACAGGAACTGGGGAATTGTCAGTCGGCGGGAATAGCGTCTATATCCAGCTGCACAGAACAAGTGGATGATTTTTTTGTTGCAGCGCATGCTGCGGAATTAGCGAAGAGTTGTTGCTGGAAACTGTTGCAGATCGGAGCTGCACGAACATCGAAAGACGTAGCCGCAGCCACAGTCATTTCGTCTCCCCACCTGCCGACGTCCTCTTCAACGACGAGTTCTGGGATAAAAATTGGACTGCAAATGGGGCCGCGCGCTTTATTCGCTTTTGGCCCTGAAGCCCGGTTTCTGCAAATCCTTTGTGAGAACATCACAACGGTACTAAATCTGTTGCGCGAACTAGACGAAGTTGAAGTTTTTCCAGATGTTGACCACGACAATCCTTCTGCAAGAAGTACGAGAAGTCGCGAAGACGACAATCTACCAGAGCGCGGCCGGAGCCGAGGCACAAGAACGACGTCTTCGAAAGGTTTTACGACGACAAGCAAGATGTTGAACAGCCACTTTTACAAAAAACGGCTGACTTTCGGACGAGTTGCCGCGCCGAAGAAAGCCTTACTCTACCGTCTGGGCTATCTACTCGAGGTTTTGACGCATTATTATGCGTCCTGTGGTGGCTATAATAGCTCTTCTGGTCAGAATTGTGCCGGTGGTAGTTCCACTGCAAATTCATCTAAAATGCAGCTTTTACCGCTGTTCACGAGCATTCGCGAATTTCTGCTGGATAAGTGCGATGCACCGTCCAGAAAGGATTGGAACGCGTTCGAATTCTTGGTAATCAGCTACAGCGTCGCAGCGAGTGAGGTATTTCTCACGACAAAAACCACGTCCACAACTTCTGGTGACCACCGCCGTACTAGATCGACGGCAAAAATGGCGCTCGACCTGGTTGCCCTTCTTTTCCCGACTCCGATGCTGCATTTGGTTCATGACGTTTTGGAGTGCGCCGTGCAGGAAATTGGTGGCGGCTTGCACGGTATGGAAAACCTGGCCCGAGAGATTTTTGAGGCGGGCCAGGAAGCGGTGGAGCATGTGAGGAAAGTCGAGGCCGCTTCTGAGGATCTAAAACGTGGCAAATCTGGCGTGCGGACGATGGAAGCAGATACTATGAAGATTGACCAGCATGATCACCAAGACCATGTTACCCGCCCCGGGACCGCTGCTAGCATGGGGAGCATCGGTTCCTCCTCGGGCTGCGCTTCTACTCGGGGATCGCTCTCTGGCGTGAAACTTAACCTGGAGGAAGATCTTTACTTTCCATCCACGATGAAAAATAGCTCCGGGGGAGGTACCGTGGCGGAGCAAGGAAGCGGCAACGAGGGCAGCAGGAGTTCGTCCACTGGTGGCGGGCTTGGAGGTAGTACAAGCGCAGACGAGTGCAGAGAAGAAAAAGGCCAGAAGGACATCGGTGCTTCTACGAACTACAAAGCGAGTTGTAGAGACGGCACTTCCACTGCTCAACGCTCGTCTCGTCCGTACGGCCCGGCCTATGAAGAGTCGTGGGACGTTCCGATCGATGTCGTGGGTAAGTTTTTTACCTTCTTACGCAGCGTGACGGAGTTTCTGGTGGAGTGCGCGAGTTCTGGGGCCTTATCATCTGCGGCTGGACGATCATCTGCAGGTGGAAAATCGCCAAGTGAGAACACGGATGATTTTCGCCTTTCACAAATTACCGAGCTCTGGAACTGGTGCTTCCTCTTTTCGGACGAGGATTACATGCGGTTTTTCCTGCAACCCGGACTATTTCTCACAACAACGCTAGCAGATGAATCGGGTTACTTCTATTCGGGACCTGTGTCATCTGGAACCATGAAAACTAGTGGACAGCAGGAACTGCTGCAAAGCGGCCAACATTTTGTAGAAGGTCCTGGAGGCGGTGGTCAACAGCAGATGAAGGGTGATCATTCTGCACCAGGCGGGCTGACAGCTGCTAGTGCCCGCAGTGGCGGCGGTGTTGATGAAGATCCTGCCGCAGCATTTCATCCCACGACGACCGGGGGTGTTTTTAGTACGGAAACAAGAAGAGCAACGCAGCTTTTCCACCCTGCGTCTTTTACGAACAGGTTGCTACAAACCGCGCCAGGATTTTCTGCCGCGACGGCCTTGAAAAAAGCGGCGAACTTGTTCGGCGGACCACAGTACGGGAGTTTTTCTGCTGATGTTCCTTTGGGAGAAAAGATAAACAAGAAGACCGACAACTGGAATAGAAGAAATGCCGACCAAAGTGAAAGCCGTAAAAACAATGTCGATGAAGATCATATCAAACCTCCTATCCTCGGCTCCATCCTCGACACTTACGTGTGTCAGGTTATCGTGCGAAAAAGACAAATGACGGCGTTCGCCTTGGAGTATCTGGACCTCCAGCGCTGCTTGTTTGCGGCGCTTGGCTGTCATAAAAACATTTCGGAGGGGGACTTCGTTCTGCTCTCAAAGAACAACAACTACGGGACACCTTTATACAACCGGGGCAGCCAAACATCTAGTACAGCACCTGCGGGGAAAAAAATACCACCCCCGACTAACAGCCCACCAGGAGCTGGGCAACAAGCCTCACGGAGGAGTCGGAGTGGACGTGCAGACGTCGATGAAAGCGAGATGAATTACGGAGGTGCCTCAAGAACATTTTCCCTAGGACATCAAAAGGACAACCAAAGTTCATCTAACGAAGAGAACGACACCTACACCAGCGAGCCGCTCCTGCAGTCCACCTCTGCTGCAAATATCAAATCTCCCATGACCCCCCGTTCCATCGAGGAGTGTGATATTCCTGAAGTCCTCCAATTCGCCGTCTGTGGTCACGACAGCAGCTCTGCTGGCATTGCAGGTGGAGTACACAACACCAAGACGGGAGCTCCTGCTGCAGGAGGAGACCTACAAGAAAGAACTTCTACGCAAGAACATCTTCTTTACCAAACGGTGCACACGACAAATGCCGAGGGCGAAGAGGTCGATGAGTGGGACTTTTTGCTGCGAAATGTCGTCAAGTTTGCATACCTGACTTTTCAAACCGCGTATTTACGACTGGCGGAGGCAGGGACGCCGTCGAGAGGAGGATTTCCAACAGAAGACGGATTGCTGAAAGCAGCTGGTGGAGCAACGGATAGTAGTGCTGCGGCCGCAGGCCTAGGAGAACGACCAGACGAGCTGATGCAACGTGGTGCCAGTCGTGGTGGGCTGGGCGATCATGGAGACACCGCGACGGCGGCCCTAAGAACAGGGCAGGAGGACAACTCGACAACAGATGCAGGCACTGCAAGGATGATCTGCTGTTTAGAAGACAGTGTCCTCTACAGATCTTCCGGCGGAATAGTTTTCCCGGTGACCACCACGTCGGCCGCCAGTGACCGTATCATTGACTTTCAAGTCGCGACACTCCGCCTGCTCTCCACACTGCTAGTCATGAATGGAAAATCTAGCAACCGCGTGCGGGCGATCTTTCAGGACTTTCGCATTATGTCCTTTCTAATCACGGAAATCGAGCTCGAATACGAGTTATGCATTGCAAAAGTATCGTACTACTGTAAATTGCATTACAAATTTTGCCAAGAGCAAAAATGCAATTTGTCATGCTATTTCAGGTAGAAAGTTGGATTTGTCATGCCTATCTGCAATTAGTACGAGTGCGATACTTTTCCACAGGAGACGAGTTCGAAAGGACCCGCGACCACTCCCGGAAGTGCGGGAAATTGACCGTTTTGGAGCACTTTCAGCACCGACTGGAGCGCGTGTTCGAGCCGATACCGCTCGACAGCAGCTCCACTGCGGGCGCGGTGCGAGGAGGAGGACCTGGGGCTCCTGCAACATCCACTCAAGTTGGTTTTCAGACTGGAGCTTGGGCCGCGGGCGGGTCGCAGTCACAGCAAGTAGATGGGGATGATCTTGCGTTCAAGATGTCTCTCTTGATGAACAACGGTGCTGTTCCACCGCTGGAGAGAAATCGCAGCGCCACGAGCACTGAGGACGAGGACCAGATCATGCAGAGGCACACGTCGAGCAACAGCCGCATCGGCCCGCTGGGCATTGAATCGCCGCGCCCGCGCAGCAGCCGGGGGCCGGCAGGCATGCTGCCGCAATTTGCGTCGATTAACGAGCTCGACGCGCTGGGCGGCACGTATCCATTGCAAAACTGCATCGATAGAATCATAGTTTCGCAGTCAACACATGCATGACAGCAATATGGTAAACGGTCTAAAGGAAAGCAGCATATGCAAATCGCCTTTTTTCTGTATGAAAAAATTGTCTTCTGCAATTTCTACAAGTAGGTACGAGGATTCTTGATTATACTTTTGCAATGCATAGCACGGAAGTGACGTCAAACTCGACCACGTCGAAGGGTAGCGAAAAATCTTCCTCGAAGAAGAAGATTTCGTCGAGGGGCGCTGCCCGACAAGTGGAACGGGTAATGCGCGACCATCTTGTCAGTGTTCCCTCTGGAGGTGCCGCAAGATCTGGAGGTCGTGATCCCGTCGATGGACAACAAGGTGGTGTTCTTGTTGACACGCAGGAGGACCTCCAAATGGAGGCTCATCTCAACCTCCGGTCGGCCTCCGCTGGCAGCTCCTCTTCTTCGGGAGCAGTCCCTTGGTCGGGCATGAAAGACGAAGATGAAGGAGATGACGCGACCCCGGCAGGAGGAGCAGCACCAGCAGGCCCGACAATTGATGGTGGAGTTGTATTAACTGGATCTTCGTCTTCGTCAGCCGTCGTTCCGAAGCGGATCAGCCGCTTGCCGCCCGTATTCCGTGAAAATTGACGATTCCCATCCAATGTTTGCATGACAAAAGTCGACTTTAATCCATGTTTTGCATGAGAAGTTGGTTGCTGAAGGCGGTTGATTTTCACGGAATAGCCCGCGGCCGCCGCTCGAAGGGCGAGTTTGCTGCAGAAAGAGGAGCCAGAGACCATATGGAGTTCTCTTCAAACGGTACTACTCACACTGATATTACCTGCATGCATGAATTTACAATGCAAGAATAGCAAAAGCGAAGGCGGGGAGTTCGCGCCTCTCGCATATATAAACCTGGCGCGGATTGCCATGCTAGTATGATCGAGCGCCTCGTCAGGAAGAGCTTTTTGCCATGCGAGGTAAGTAGGTTGAAGTTGATCGCGTGGGGGGTTTGATAGTGGTTCTGCGTGGCAAAAAATCATGTATAAATAAGCGGGCAATGTTGAACATCAATGAATGTTGCAACGTTTGAGAATCTTCCCTCCATAGAGCAAGTACAATGAATGGGGCGAAGAGGTGGACGGCGATGGAAACGTAATCGAGCACAAGAAGTATGATCATGTAGTCGAGGCATCTTCTTTTGGAGGTACCTCTGATCTGTCATCTGGCATAGGAAACAATCGATTCGGTGCGGGGAGTACCTTCGGGAGTAGCTTGAAGATCGGTGGCATAACATCTCCGAAGACCAAGAAAGACGGATCACAGGAGCGTGGTGGTCAAACCAGCCCGCCGGTTTCCGCGCTGCAGAACCGGGCGTCGCGCCTGGGAATCACGAAGTTCAAGGTGCAACTGCCCGCCGGGGGAGCGCAAGGCCTAAATGCTCGCCAGTTCGACCACGAGACGGGGCCAGAAGTATCAACTGTAAAAATGTCTGGGTCTGGAAGAATCCAACTTGTCATGCTGGTTTTGGATTCTAAAAAAATCTGTATTGCATGAGCAGCAAAGAGAGTCCAAGTTTTGCTACACGGAGTGAGCATTTGTCATGCAGTATAGGCATCAGGAAGCCCTCACAAAATCTGTGACGCTAGGGCATGCATCACAGACATCAGGAGTCATAAAAAATGTGCATGACAAACCTGGCAATCTTCCAGACCCAGACATTTTTACATTTGATAAGAAGAAGTCAACTACCACATCAGCAGCGAGGAGGACAGCGCAGACGAGGAGGACAATATCGTGCGAAAAAACTGTTTCACTGTGAACTTGTGATGCAGAAAACGCATCATCGAAGTGATGTTTGTCTTTTGTTAGTAATTTTTATAAGAAAAAAATCATTGAAGTGTTTGTCTTGCTACACATGCAAGACAAGTCATTTTTAGGGATGTTTTCCCTTAGGATCCTTGCATGGCAAGTTTTCTTTGTAATGTGTAATGCAAAACTTCTTGCAAAATCCTTACAGTGAAACAGTTTTTTCTTACGATAGACAAGAGCGTCGGGCCGCAGCGGGTGGCGGGCCAGCTCCGGGGCGGGCTCCTTGTCCCCGGTGCCGGTGGAGGAAACACGTTCCACCACGGCACGCCGACTGACAATCTAAGCCCGCCGCTCAGCCCCGCCGCGCATGGGGATGAGGACACCGGTGGTGAGACGCCGACCAGCAGCGGGCTCTTGTCTCGCGGTACGCACGTAATATGCAAGGGAGGTGAGAACAAAAAAGTCCGCCTGAAACGAGTTTCTTGCGTTTTTGATGACGTGCGCGAAGTTCGTTCTTCTCTTTCAATTCTGTACAAGGCGCTTGGAAGAAGAACTTCAAACCACACTCGTTGCATTTCTTTGCGAGGCCGCCTCAAAAACCACTTTTGCCTTGAACAAATTTGTCTTTATCCGCTAATCGAAACTAGTACACCAGCAGCAGTGGACTGCATCCATGATTGCGCCCTTGTAGCACCGCGATGTTCTTTATCTCTCCCTCCTGCAATAGAAACTCCCTTGCGAGCAGGCGGGCTGCAGTGTTGCAACATTCCATAGCGTCAGCCAGGGGGGTCGACTTCACTGCAGGCACAGCAGCAGCAGCAGCATGGTGTAACGTCAAGTCTCGTTGCTGGGCGCGGAGCAGCTCCTCGTGGGCCCGCCACGGGTGGTCGTTCGTCCAACGCCAGAAAGTGGAGCGGCAGTGCGGGCGGCGGCGCGGACGCCACGCCGCCGGAGTCTCCGGGACGGCGGGTATCAAATGCAAAGATGTCTGGGTCTGGAGCAAAGCAACTTGTCATGCTAAATCTGAGTCATGTATTAAAATCTGTGTTGCATGATTACCAAAAGCTGTCCACTTTTGACCTAATCGAGAGGCAGTTTCTCATGCAGGATAGGCATGATAGAACTCTCACAGAATCTGTCATGCTATGTCCTACATACCAGACCTCATGGGTCATGGAAAACCTGCATATACAAGTCTGGCACTCTTTGAGACCCAGACACTTTTGCAGTTGATAGCGGGAGGAAGACGACAAGAGCCACAGTGGTGGACGTGTTGGTCGCGAGGACGAAGAATTTTCAAATTCGTTATCCACAGGAAATTTCCCGTACACGTACAAATGCAGTCTCTGCATGACAAAACTTGCCTTCAATCCTAGTCTAGCATGACAAGTTGGACACTGCAAGTTAGCGGAATTCGTCATGCATTTTGTACATGTAAGTACGGGAAATGTACATTACATATTCGTCCCCAGAAGACCACCACGCGCAGGAGGTATTGAGCAACAACCTGGGTCGCGGCGGGTGCCAGCACACGCAGTTTTCCAACAATATGTTCGAAGGCAGCCACCAAATGTGGCCGTCAGCGAAAAAGAGTCTGCCGAGTGAGCCGGGGTCTTCCGCGGAAAAACGGTATCGCGTCGCCAATCGCAGCACGCCCGGAGACGAGGACCTTTCGGAGGCAGAGGACGAAAATTCCAGCTCCGTTTCTCCGGATCACTTTAAAAATATGTCGCTCCAGCAGGACATGCGCAAGATGAACATGAGAAACTACTCGGAGGGGGCTGCTGGGATCGACGGTCGTGAAGATCATGGAGCTGCTGCGACAGCTGATTACTCGTCGAAAGCGAGGACGAACTCTCGTGGTGTTGAACAAGATGAATTACCCGGTGGAGCGGCAAAATCTTTATCCTCAATAAATAAAAATCCGAGTTTGGTGCAAAAGGCAAATCGTCCGCAGTTCAGCCTGCCCTTCCAGAAGGTGCAGAACATGCCCCCACAGGAACCCGACGTGATCACGCCTATACCCATGTCGGGCGTGCACAGTCGGCGGGCCGCCGCCGCCGCGCAACTACAACAAGCCGGAGCAGGAGGTCTGAAGCAGCAGGTCGGCGTCGTCGGTACGCCGACGGGAGGGGAGCCGCGGGGGAGCGCCGGGGGAGTCCTCAGAAGTGCGGGTGGCGCCGGACCGGAGGGCTCTTTTGGCGCGTCTAGTTCAGCTAATTCTATGCAAGTAGACGAGAACCAGAGCCAGTTTGTGCCCGGTGCAGGCTCATCTACGTCGGGCCTTGGTCCCGCACCAGGTACGCCGGGGCGAATTTTTCACCCGACGACGAGCGCAATCAGTCGGAGGCAGGAGCAGCAGCAGCAGGAGCAGCAGTTACACCGTAGTTCCACTGCTGAATTGCTCCTCGCGACGAGTAACAGCTCCATGACGCCGCGTTCAATGTCGAACAGCTTGAGCCTGACGGCGTCTTCTGCTCTTCCCAAGATGTTGCCTGGTTTGATGATGTCTTCATCTGGAATAACCCCGCCGGGCAAGCCCCACGCGCTACCGCCCTTGAGCAGAAAAATGGGTGACGGAGATCGACATGGAACTGGAGACATTTTTTCATCTGGAGAAGACATGTCAACACATCAAGATAACATCGGCCGTGGTGGTCACCAGGACCTGCAGCTAGCGCAGAGTAAAAAATCAACAGCACAGTATAAGAACGACGTGCAGGACGACGCTGACCACCTTGCTGGTGCTGCCCCATCATCAGCGGGATCAGTAGCAGGGACGATGTCGGTGAAGAACGTCGCACATCAGAAGAAGGACAAGATGCCAGCAGGAGGTCTTCCCTCGTCAGCCGGCACTTCTCGCACTGGTCCAGCACCCGGTGGAGGTGAATTTCTCCTCCCCGCCAGCTCTTCGTCTTCCAAAGAGAGTGTGAAGAGCAACGTGAGCAGTTCGGGTGGGAATGTGGAACAAGAAAAGGACTACATGCGACGTGGCGGTGGTGGAGCTCCTCCTGGTCTTGCAGGAGCAGCTCCCGTTCACCTGACAACATCAACGGCGAAAAAAGTGCCCAAGTTGCAGCTCAGTCTCGGCAGCGCCACGGGAACGGGTGTGGCGGGGGCCACTGGTGGTGGGAGCAGTGGGGTCGTGGGGGCCGTGCAGCAGGCAGGAATGGGTCCCGGAAATTTAGGCGGCCACAGCAACATCTCGTCAACCACCTCTGTGATGCCGATGTCTGCGCGGGGGGGCGGTATCGGTATGCCCGGGGGCGGTGCGGGAGGTGCCGCCGCGGGCCCGATGTCCGCTCGAAACCAGATCGCGAGCTCGATGAACGATCGCACTTTTGACAACCTGAACAAGGTGCGTAGCAAGGAGAAAACGGGGGCGATTCGAGCCCAGCCGCTGGCGCTGGGAGTGACGCCGCGGACCCGAGCGGGTGGCGCTGCTGCACCGCTGAGCCAAAGCAGCTCCTTCACGAACTCGCAATCTTCGAATTTGTTGATGTATCCATCGCGATTTTGGACAAATATGTCTGGGTTCGAAAGGATGCAAGCCTGTCAGTCGTGCTTACTCGTCTCTGAATCACGCAAAAATCTGTGCTGGTGCACGTTGCTGAGCATCAAAAGCTTGGATTTGGATTTGGATTTGGAAAAGTGAGATGCAGTTTGTCAAGATTTTCACGCAGCAACAGTTTTTCTCGAGGCGGACTAATGTGTAAACGAGTCCTTTTGTAAATGTGGTTTCTACTGATCTAGTAAATTTGAGTCTGTTTCTCGATTGCTGATGTTGAACCAGCTTCCTCAGTTTCGATCCTCATTGGCGAGGACAAACTGCCACGCGTGCACATCTGTGCACAGTCACCAGTATCCGTTCCAGGAATTATCATCCCAGTTGCTCCAGTTGTTTTTGTTGTTGTTCCACTGGTTATTTTTCGGCTTGTTGTTCTTCCAGGGTTTGCCACCACCTTTCTTGGCTCCCTTGCCTTTGCCCTTCTTGCCTTTCTTGCCCTTGCCCACCCTTCGCATCAGCCGCAGCAGCAGCTCCTTCGTTCGGGTTAGCGCCACCGGCCCCGTCGTCGATGCGGTGCAAGCCCTTGGCCTTGATCTTCAGGGAAGAGCCGAACTTCTTGAAGACATTGCGATCGTTGTCCCGGATGAAGTCAAGCATCTTCATCGCCAGTTCGCCCAGATGCATGACAAATTCGATCCGTCCGCCCTGCCGCTTGTTGATGAATTCTTTCAACATGTTCCGGCTTCAGGTGTTTCCACATGTCGCCGACGAACTTGGTGCGCGCGAAGGTGAAGGCATTCCGCTCGTCCAGGGTCCACTGCTCATCGGCTTTCTCCTTCATCGCAAATTTGCCAGTGTCATCCTGCTCCCAGACCACCTTGACATCACTGACACGGGCAGCAGCGAGGAGGTCCTTGATGTCACTCAGGATCTTCTTCTTGTCCTCCGAGGTGAGGCCCTTGTACTCGTCGTGGCCGCCGGCAGCCGCAGCCGGCCAGCGGATACTTGCAGCACCATCCTCGGGAACCTGCACCATGATGCAGCGCTCCTTGGCTTCGCGGGCCAGTTTCCGGCTCATTTTGCTGCACGCGGGGGGGTGTGTGTGCAGTGCGACAAAGTGAAGGCTCTTGTCTTCTTAGACAGAAATTTTGCAGCGCGTTCTAATTTTCACAGAGAGTTAGCAGTGCAGCAACAATATGAACCAGAGGCAGAGGGCACAACAGAAATTAGCTTAGCATCAGAAAAACAGCAGCAAGGTCGAGAAAGAGAGCCGGCGCACGCAGTGCAAAGCATGCATAAAGCAGATCATTGCGGATTTCGCCGCGCAGGCTCTGCGCCCGCGCCGGGTCTCGTCTCTGCGACCGCGGTATTGCTGGGTCTCTGCGACCGCAGCTACACATCTAAACACGTTGCTGAGCCACCAGTGAAAACCAAACGCAAAAAACAAGAGAACAACAGAGCACACTGATGGAAATTGAATGCAGTGAACTTTCCAGAACTCTAGACCCGGCAAGACTACGAAAAAAGTCGTTTGTTTTGATGACCGCAGACCTCTGAAAGTGAGCACTTTTTGGGTTTTAGGTCGGGTCGCCAGTTCTGAAAAGCTATTGCTGAAGCTGAACCGCGCACGAAACGAACTAAAACTGCGCCGCTGCAGCAGGCAGGTGCGCATTGGGATTCGCATCAAAATTTGCAAGGCGAGTGATGTAGGCTTGAATTTCTGTACGCTGCATACCTTTAGCCTGATCCGTAACAGGGTCACAGGTCAGCGCATGCTCAGACACGACCCGCGCGGTCTTGATGCCTAAGCCGCTGCCTGTACCACGCCAGCCGCACTCCCTACAGTGCCACATATTTTGCCAGGGAATCTGAGTGCGCCCCTCGACCTTAGTGCGGACGCAGATAACACGAGCCAGGTCAACACTAGAAAAGTCCAGCTTTGCACAGGCCGTCTTATGGTGTTTGAGTGCTCTACTATCAGCCTCATAACGAATGCCACACGTGGGGCATCGGTGTTCAGAAACAACGCTGCCACTGACTAAAGAAGCACCAAAATCCTGATTGCGCGCTGTACGCAGGGCGCCACAAAAAGTCCGCCTGTTGCTATGTTGCCCCAGGCACTTGCCTCCTTCATGCGAAGCATAGAACTCAAGCTCAGCCTCACGGCGCAAGTGCTGCGCTGTGGCCTGCTGCCACTGCCTCCTCGACATGTTTGCCGAGACCCCCGCGCGCGTCATAATCTCCTGCCACTGCTTCACGAGCGGCTTGTGCTGTCGCCGCCGGTTTGCGCGGGCGTCCTGGGACGGCAATACGAGGCGCGATTTCCACAGGTCCTGCTCTAGCCGCCCCGATGGAAACCGCATGTCGAACCACTCGCGCTTCGAAGGTAGACCGGGCGCAGAGATGTCCTCCGGGTCGTCTACTCCCTGCCGGAATTTGTGACCCAGGTAGCGCAAAGCCAGGTCCTCGACGATGGTCCGGCTGGATGGTATGCCATAGGCCCGCCGCAAGTCGAAGCTGTTCTTCACGCCTGCCATCTGGCTGATCTTCGTGCAGGAGATGCCCCGTAGCATCCTGCTTACGAACCTGTCGCACTCCGCGTCGATCTCGCTGGTCCAATACCGTCCGGCGGTGCAATAGTAGAGGAAACTCAAGACGTTGGACTTGAGCAGGGCTCCACGCGCCTTGAGGGGTATGCCTCTGCTCTTCCGCATCCTCTGGAAAATCGGTCTCCAAATCCCCCAGGCCTTTTGCGCTTTCGTCATGTGTCGCCGGAACTGCTTCTCCGCTGAGTGCTTGCTGGTGATATCGCATCCGACGATCTTCGCGGTATCTTGGAACCCCAGTGGCTCGACCTGCTCCTGACCCGGTGCCATTGGTCCTTCGAAGAGATCGGCCCGAGTGTGCTGGCTGCGTATCAGCAGGCGTTCGGTTTTCGCCGGATGTACTTCCTGTCCGCAAGTTGCTGCAACGTCGCTCGCAATTTGCCCCGTGGCTTCTGCGTTCTTCAGCTGTGTCGGAAGTGTCGCGTCGTCTGCAAACAGCAGCGCGATCAGTTTCTTCACTGTCTCGGCCGCGTCATGCGAGTCCTCCGGCACAGAAACTAAGTGCTTCAGAAGCTCGGCGGTTTTTACGTACTTGACCCCCGTCATCTTGCTCGCCATCTCCTTGTACATTGGCGCGGAAAGTACGTTGTAGAGCGAGGGGCTGGAGCATCCCCCTTCTGTGAAGCCTCTCGTCGAACTCCACTGGTCGCTCTTCTCGTCTCCTAACTGCATGTAGAATTTCGGATGCTCGTGAATTGCTTCCAAAGCTGCAATGTCATCCATTGGCATGCCTGTTCGCTCCAAAATCATGAATGTAAACACATTTTCGCACTACTGAGGGAAAGGCCTTCTTGAAGTCAATCAGGATGTAGACCAACTCGTCTGCCAAGTCCCCCCGCTGCTCCGTCCTGGCCATGTCCGCCAGAACGTTCAACGCTACTACCAGGTCGCACGTGCTGCAATCTTCACGAAAACCCCGCTGCGCTGCCTCTTCGTCCCAGAATCCTCGCGACTCCAGGTGCCAGGCAGTGCGCTTCTGCAAAATAGACTCTACGATCTTGCTCAGCAGGCAGATGAGGGCTATCGCGCGGTAGTTCGTCAACAACTTCGGGTCGAGTCCTTTGCCTTTGAACAGCGCCACCATCTTCACAAGCTGCGTCTTTGCTGGCAGTTTTTTCTGCTTGGAGATTTGCTGGACCAATGACACAAACTCCCCCCAGGCAATCTCGCCAAGGTTCGTGATGTGCAACCTGTGCGCGGTGTCATGTCCGGTCGCGCAGTCCCGCATGTTGCGAACGATCTCCCAGATTTCGGTCGGTTGCGGTACTCCCCACCAGTCTTCTCCCGAGGGCGGCTGCTGCGGAACTTGCCGGGCTAGTAACTCCACAAAACCTTCCGGCACTTCGCCCGTGCGCCGCATCAACGCCGAAGAGTGAGCCTCGGCCTGCGCTGCGGAGAAGGGAAAACCCGGATCGCCTTTTGCTGTCGTCTCGTGAGAATAGATCGCGCCGCTCTCCTTCAGTCGCTGGAAGTCCGTTCTTGGGCACCTCTTGTATTCATCTGCGCACTGATCCGTAAGACTGGTGATGTACATCTGGAACCTCTCCTCGTCGCGTTGTTTGTACTCCTTCGCCATCTGCCGCGCCTGTCTGTTGCACTCCCGTCGAAATTCGGCGTCCGCCGAGTTGTTGCGCTCCCACAGGGTCCGCGCCCGGTTCTCCTTCAAGAGTTCCAAGTCCTTCAAATCCACCCAGGGCGGATACCTGCGCGCGGCCTGTTCCGTGTTCGCCGGGATCGCTTTCGTCGCCGCACTGTTGATCGCGTTCTCAAGTCGCTCCCAACACTGGTCGATGTCTTCCTCGTCAAACTCTTTCACATTGGCTACAAGAGCTGCATCAGTTTCGTGCCCAAACGCGTCCCGCACCTCCTGGTCACGCCGCAATGCGTGAAACGGCAGGCGCGCCTGCCTGTTCTGTGCCCGTAGGAGAGCCGCCCGGCGCTGCTCAGCCTTTGATCTGCCTACCACGATACAGATTTTCTTCATGCGGTGATCGGTGCGGAGGTTCGGGGTGTGGGTTGTGACACGCCCGAAGCGTATGCGTTTCGTCAGGAAGAAGTAGTCCAGCTCATGCCATCGGTTGTTCGCCATCCTCCACCAAGTGCCCCGCGAGTGCACTGCCTTGAACGTGTCCGGAATGGTGAGGTTGTTAACCAGTGCGAACTCCATGGACTCTTTTCCCGTTCCCGACTGTGCTCCGCTGAGTAGGGTGGCGGACCCGATTGCGCCCTGCGAGGTCATCTCGAACGTGCGGTCTTCATATCCCAGCGCGGCATTCCAATCGCCGCCCAGAACCAAGTTGCCCCGGCCAACCGCGCAGAGGAGTTTTTCGCGCGCCGTCGTGAACTTCTCCAACTCCTCCAAGCGCCCCGCAGTGGCGTTCCGGGGTGGTTGGTAAGCTGCTGCCCACCAGTGGCCTTGTGCATAAACAGCATGAAGCCGCGGCCCGAAGTGCTTGCGTGGTGGTTCTACTATCGTATTGCCGTCCGGACTGATCAGCAGCGACTTGTGGATTACTACTGCAACCTTGGCCGCCCCAAAGACTCGGAACGGCCCCCACTTGCAGCTCCAGCTGCTTGGCGTCGGAATGCCCTTGCTGGAGACGTCGGACAGTAGTACCACTTTCCCCCCGTGCTTGCTGATGTAGCGCATCAAGTCGTCGATCTTCTCGCAGGAGTTGCGCTCCTGCTGGTTGAGCTGTTTCTCCCGTGCGCCTGGTAGCAGCCAGCGAAAGGCTGCCATTTGCGTGTTTAGTGTGGAAGTGGTGATCCACGCGCCCTCGGCATGCGGTTGGTTGCATTGCCGCTGCTTGTGTCGTACTCGATCCGGATTGCGTCCCATCACTGCGCTGAGAATCGCAAAAAGGATCAGAAAAGTGCCCGCAACGTGGCGGGAGGTAGCCATTGTTGTTGGTGACTGTGCTCGTCCCTTCGTCAACAGCGTAGCGCCAAGGCCTGACAATCCTGAACAGAGGCGCGGGACCCGACAACCGCGCCTACTGCTTCTCCGATTTACACTCTTACGACGTTATTGTGGTGCGCGCCACGCTTGGTCGCGTTACCAAAGAGAGGAAAGGGAAAAGAAGACCAAAGAAGCTAGCGCTTCCCGCTCACCTTGCGCGGGTGGTGGCGGTGCGCCAATGCAACGAGACGACCATCATGATGCCATTATTGATTGATTGATTTTGGCTCAGTACTTACTTGATTCTTCGTGGGTCGACACTCCTAATCTCGAGTTTTCCACCCTTATGTGTCTATCTTCACTCTCCTTGAGCCAAACGCATGCTGCTGAAAGAAGAAATCTTTCCTGCCCCGCTTTCTGTCTCTCCTGCTGAGCATCAAAAGCTTCCCACTATATCTTGGCACACAGAGCAGTGCGAGTTCGTCATGCGGGGTAGACATCAAGAAACCAGCGGCGCATAGCCAAAACCCTCACACATTATGAGTTATGCTGTTGGATGCTGATGCATGAACGTGACCATTTGTCGCGTGATGCACTCGATTGTGCACGACTACAAGCACGCCGACTTTAATATTTCCAGCACCAGACAAATTTGCACGTGATATGATGCACAGTTTGAATCTGACGCAGCAGTTGCAGCAGTTACAGAATCAGCAGATGATGGTCGGGCCCAACGAAGTAAGTCGAGCCGGCTCAGTGTCGCAGTCCCGTTCGCCGGGTCGGCAAACGCCGTCGTGGACGGCGCCCAGTTCGGAGAGCCCGGCCGCCCGCTTCAAGCAGGACTGCGGTCCTCACCAACACCTAAACCATCTGCTGGAGCAACAGCAGAACATGACCCCGCGACACTTCAGTACGCGCGGCGGGGGTGGAGGGGGTTCTGGCGGCCTCTCCTCGGCCTCGAAGGGCCGGGCCGGAGGACTGATTATGCCTGGTGCAGGTGGTACGGGTAGTCGCACCTCCAAGTTGAATCCACAAGTGCACCAATCCCAGGCCTTAATGGGTAACCAAAGCTTTTTTGACAAGCGACACGCCTCCCGGTTGTACAGTGTTGGCGGCGCGAAGAATTCGTGGGCAAAAATTATATCATCTTCGATGAAAGACGCATCATTCGCGGATCATTCAAAGCCAGGGGTGAAAATGCCTTTGGGCGCTATAATCTATGGTTCATCTTCAGTCGCTCCTGGAGGAAAAATACCGCATGAGCATGATTTTGGTGCGTTCCTTACCGGTCCGTCGAAGGAGGAAGTCGCAAGGGACGAAAAAACGAGCCAGGAGCTCGTGCACCTGATGCTGCTGCAGCTGGTTCTGAAGCTTCTCTTTACCCAGGACCAGGGCTTTTTTGACCCGGCGTATTTTCACGAGACGAGCCACGTATCAACCGCAAAAACGTCTGGGTCTGGAAGGATCCGAACTTGTGATGCGTACTGCGGATCATACAGAAATCTGTGTTGCATGACTTGCAAAAGGTCCCCATTTCTGGCCATTCTGAGAGGGCATGTCTCATGCAGAATAGGCATCACCAAGGGGCTGCAGAACCTGTGATGCCAGGCCCGCCATTCCAGACTTGGCGGAGCTTGGAAAAACTGCATCACAAGTCTCGGAATCTTCCAGGAGACCCAGACACATTTGCATTTGATACCACGAGGACGAGAACATTTGTAACATTCTAAAGTCGCATTTGATGTACGAATCCAACCAGCACAAGGTCGCGGAACTGGTCGTTGCTGAGAGCCTGCCCTTGGGGTTGGCTGCTCCTCATCCAACTACAGTAAGTAGGACGGCGAGTGGACGAGGCCTCCGTATGATTGTTGGTAGCACTGGCGCGAGAGCTACGGCCACGCAACATCCAAGTTGTTGTGCAAGAACTTCTTGCTCGACCACCGGTGCTCTGCGGTTGCTGAAATTGCTGTGTTACTCTGCGTCCGAGTACGATGCCAGCTTCGATGCTGTGGTTGCTCCTGAGCAGCGTCATCTGGCCGACTTTGCGGAGAACGCCGTGCAGATTCCCAGTACCGGACAGTTTTCGGAAATCTACAGCTTCAAAAACACACTGATGGGCACCGGGAGGAACAGCTCGCAAGAGCAAAATGGTGCTTTTTTTTCGTCGAAAAAATCGCGGACAGGAGCTATGACGAGAGCAGTCCGCAACGCCCCCTCGCCACCCTCATTCGAATGGCATGAGCAGCAAGACAAGCAACAGCGGAAATGGGACGTCCCCATGACAAATGATCTGCAGATGGATTGTAGTATCGATTCAGGTTCTTCCGAAATTTGTCATGCAGACAGTGCTTGCAGGCCAGTGCCGGGCGTGGATTTCTTTGGTCGTCCTTTGCATGACAAATAAGGGGGAGGGGGAGTACCTGCTTGTGCATTTTTATATAAGCAGGACGTGACGCGGAAGAGCACGTCTTATTTTCGTCCGGAACCGCGGCGGCAAACTCGACGGGTCGGGGTCTTCAGCTCCTTCCGTCGGAGGAAACAAGTGCGAAAAATGATATGATTCTGAAAACGGTAACTGCGAAATCGCAGTCGCAGGACCGGGTCACGACCGCCTCCAAGCGCAACAAATTGCACGACTTTCTGCTCGAGGTCTATTGTCTGGACGAAGCGCGGTTGCAGGGCCGGCACGTGTGCCAGTTGCTGAACTTCGGGTTTATGGGACCCGACAACTGTCTCCACCTGGGTCAAGAGCGATTTTGGCTGTCGATGGAAAGTTATCCGGTGAATTGCCAGAAGTACCGCGAGAAGTTTTTGGCCAACCTGGTGCAGGACGAGTTCAAGTTGCAGAACCGCTTTGCGTATGCATTTCAAATATGTCTGGGTGTGGAAGGATGGAGCTTGTGATGCGTCCTGCTTGGATCACACAAAAATCTGTCTTGCGTGATCACCAAAAGTTGCCCTTTTCTGACCACCATGAGAGGGGGTTTCTCATGCAGGACGGGCATGACAGAGACCTCGCTGAATCTGCCATGTTAGGTCCTGCATTCCAGCCCTCATGGGGCATGGAAATTCTGCATGACAAGTTTGTACTCTTCCAGATGCAGACATATTTGCACTTGACATTGCGTGGGAGATCGTCCCCCACTGCCTGGCCATGTACGCCCAAATGCTGGAAGCCGTGCGGTTTCTGCAGTCCTTGCACATTGTGCACCACGACCTGAAGCCGGACAACTTTTTCGTCGACTGCAGCCGTAGGTGGCAGCCCGACACCAGCACGTCGTGGTCGAGTGCTGCTGCAAGACCGGCGCTGGAGGATTTTGGTATCCACCACCACCGCGGAGAAGATCTCTTGAATGTGGTCAACATGCCGGCGAGGAAGTATGAACAGCAGGAGCCTGCTACAGCTGGTGAGACTTCTTCTACACGTAGTACATTGGAAGGACGACCACAACATCAATATTCACATGGTCAACAGCAGGACCACCATCCGTATTTTTCCCGGGTCGGCACTCACTTTCCACACGTCGTCGTGTCGGATTTCGGCGAGGCAACGCTTTTACCCGCGCCGACGTCTACTTCACGGGGGATAAATTATTTTCCCTCTACTTCAGGAGATCATGATGATGTTGACATCGTGGCGACGGCCGCGCCTGCTAGTACAGCCGACGTGATTTTCCCAAGCAGCAACCGGGCCGCCGCCGCGGTGCAGAACGACGAAACGAGTGGTCAACGTGGCCAAACAAGAAGTCAGACGAGAAAGACCGAAGTAGTAGCAGCCAACACATCAACGGGATCAACAAACTACAAGGGCTCGTCCTCAACCTCCTCGTCGGCCAGGGCGGCGGCGAAAAGTTTTGACTTCGAAATTGGGTGGGCCCAGTCGGGCACGGGGTCGGAGAAGGCCCGGGGGGCGATCGAGCTGCAACCACCGGAGATGGCGCTGCAAACGAAGCTGCAGGATAAGCAGCACGAAAACTATGATCGACGAAAGAAACACTTGACGCAAGACTTGATCTCGCTGGCCTCCGACATCTGGAGCTGCGGGATCCTGTTCTACCAGGTGCTGCTCGGGACCGCGCCCTTCAGCGAGTACGAAGTCATCGGCATGAGCGGCGCCATGATGAACAGCAGTGCGGGGGGAGGTGTGGTCGCGCAACAGAGGACAGGGGAGCACCACTTGGTCCAGCCCCGACACCAAGCGAAGCTCGGGAACTCCAGCGCAATGACACGGTACATGCGCTTCGTGTTGCAAAAGGATCCCAATCGGAGGCCGAAAATTGCCGAGCTCATCCGCATATCAACTGCGGAGAAGGACTATCGCACTGGCTGGTCGTACCGAGTTAGCACTTGATTGCAATCATCATGCAACACAGACAAGTGGCCAATCTGCAGAAGACTCTGTCAGCATTACGAATTCGAATTCCACCTTTGCTCCAGTTGGAAACAAGAATGAAACTTGTTGTGTTGCAATTTGGTACTACCAGATAGAACGATAGTTTTCATTGTTGCAAGGCATATCGCAACTTCCACTACGAGTTCCTCCCGACGCTGCTTGAAGAGGAGGCGGGAAACGACAAACTTCCGAAATGTGCACCCAGTTTGAAGTATGCTCTGCAAAAGTATCGTACTCGTATAAGTGGCAACACTGTCACTGCATGACAGGTTTGCTTCCTTAGCTGTTGAATCTGCACGACAGCATTGCAATTTGAATTTTGTTCTTGTGAAAATTTGTAATTGTATTTGCTATTCATACAAATAGTGCCATACTTTTGCAATGCATATGAAGTTTCCCACCCCGGTGCTGGAAGAGCAGGCGGAAGAGGACCGGAGGAAGGAAATATGCAAAGAGAAAATTGTCACAATTGCAGTTAGAGATTGCGTTGCAGCCAGACCAAACAACACAGACAAGCTCTGTCATGCCAGATATGCAAAGGAGCATTGTTGTTTCAACATACGTGTTCTCCCTTTTGATCTCTGCATTCCAAGGCTCTTTCATCTCTGATGGAGAGAAAATTTGTGTTGCTAAATTGACATCAACCATCATCAACGTGTAAACTGTATACACTTTTGCCGTGGGATAGGAGAGGCTGGCAGCACACTGGTGGACGAGCTTGCAGAGGAACGAAGAACAGAGGAAGGACGAGGATTCATCGGGCGGGGACCTACATCCATCGCAACACGAAGTAGATCATGTTGACCAACAAGATCAAGAAGACCAGCAGTTTGTCTCCTGTGTCACTTTAGGCTGCTATCAGGAAGAGCGAGTGACCCTGTCGGTACCACGACCAGCCCACCAGCAGCTGGGTGGTGGTTCAGCCACGACGTCGTCTTTCGTCACACTGCACATTGTTGATCGGGAAGATGAAGGTGACTTTTCCTCCTCGAAGATGCGGACGATACAGGCTGCGGGCACGACTATAGTACCTTCTGCATCGGACCGACAACACCTCGCAGCTTCAGTGTGCCAGCTCCTCCGTGGGTGTTTTTTCGCGACCTTTTCTTCGTGCGAAAAACTGCTCCAGGATCATGTTGGCCAAGATGAGACTGGAAGAACACATGAAGCAGGTGAAGATCATCATGACAGGGTCAGAAATACGTACGCCAGCGGGACTACGGGAGGGGGATCATCCTCGGGGCCGGAAGAACGGCACACCACGCAAGAGGTCGTTGCGGAAGAAGACCTGGCTCGTGGTGATGACAACGGAGACCCTCATCCCCCAGACGGGGTGGCATGGCAAGGGGCGAAGAACCACGGCGCCGAGGACGATAGATACAACCAGACGGGGTCGACGATTTTTATCCTGAGAAAACGTCAACGTCCCCACGCGGTCACGCCCACCAGAGATACTCATAGAAATTATTCGCACGCTAAATCAAAATCTCCTGAGCAGGGTATGTGTATTCTCAAATACTGATCATGCGCTGATACAACATGAGGGGCATTTTCTCAACATCATGCTGCCTAGGAGTTTGTCATGCTCGTGCTAGCATCAGACTCTCAGGATAAGGAAGGCGATTTGCAGCGATGTCTTCCCTTGCGCTGGCTACACAGGGTCAGACTGCGAGCCTACTAAAACTACCGTCATGCGCAGCAGCAGCTACACCCAAAATCCGTTCGTTGGTTTGTGTATCAAAGGCCGCATCGTGCTTCCGGGGCTGGAACGTTTTTACACATGATATCGATAAAGCCACCAGGGGGAGATGCGCCGCATGCACAAGGTGGACTCGTCGCCGGAGTAAATAAAGACGACGCGCTGAAGCTGCTTCTATCGACGCCACCGCAGCAGGACTCGTTATGCCACGTTACGTACATCCCTTCTTGCGCAGAGGTGGTCCGCCTTAATAGTGGTGGTTCACAGGTGGACCAGGGAATGAGTACCGTGACGACGAGCGATGGGCCTTTTGGCTCTCGTCCTGCTGCCGGGGCTTCCTCCGTACAATCATCTTCGTCGAGGAGGAGCACGGGAACTGCTGGCGGTCCTGCTCAAGGAGTAGAACAACTCTCGAGGAGGTCCTCGTGGAGAAAAAAAACCAAGATAGTACCGGCGACGAAGAAGCAAAAGGTGGTACTGTTTTGCTTTTATCCAAAGTTGCGGCCGATCTGTGTACAGAATCGGGGAAGCTCGCTACTGCTCATCGACACTTCCCGCCGCGTATTCTACCACAATCCGGAGTTTTTTACGAAAGTAGTGGATTATAACTCAATTTTATGCAGCTCCCCCGACGTATTTGTAATTGTATTTCAATTTCTCGGGAAATCGAAAAACCAACTTCAGCTCTGTGGTCTTTCTTTCGTATAAAATACTATTTGCTGCAGTTACAGCATAGTAAGTTGGTATGAGTTGTTTTCAAAGTTTTCGAGCGAGCAGGCGACCCGAACAGAAACAGTATTACAGACCAAGCGTGAAGAAGCTGTCATCATGCAGAGGCTAGCTACATGACTGTGAAGACGTGCATATAGTTTTTTTTGATGCAGCTTGAGCTTGATATAATTAGTACGAAGCCCGAGCCCCTGCTGTGAGGGTGGGAGGAGTTTGTCCATTCTCATATTCGTGGATGTGCTCGTGGTGGGCATCGGGTCCGCAGATCATCCGGGCGGAAAAATGACGGGCGAGGAAGAGGACGCAGACCACCCGAAAAATGCAGCGACCGAAGACGCGCGCCCGCAGCCGGCCGCAGGGCCACGAAAGAAAACAGCAGCCGAGCGGCTCATATTCGATCCCGATTCGTTTGTCGAGAAAAATCTGCGGAATCCGGAATTTTGGAAATTTTTTCAAGAGGATGTGGCCTCTGCGTACTATCGCAAGAATGCAAAAAGCTCCACAAAAGAGTCGAAGTCCGCCATGTCGACGTCATCTTCCACCAGGCAAGAGACAATGCGGGTGGAAGAACAAGTTTTACAACTAGGTTTATTCGGAACGAATCAAAATATTCTGTTCCTGGAAGAAAGTTTCCCCACGCTTACCTGTGGAGGACGTCCACCACATGATCACGCGAGCAGTTTTTTCGATGAAATGAGCTCCATGCAACATCATGCTCTTGCGGGGCGGGGCGGGAGTGACGGCAGGGCCGCGGGGGTCTTCGGAGGGGGGCCACTGGAACTACACGCACTGGATTCCCAGCGGTCCTTGAATACGCTCACCGTGACCTCTAACTACAGTACGGCGCACGGTGCCGGATTCGCAGAGCAGGGTACTGCGAAAAACAGAACCGGCGCTGGCCTACAAGACGGCGGTTTTTTTGGCACTGCCATTAGCCACGACGACGGGGCGGTGGGCGCTGCCGAAGACGCGGCCGTGGATCCAAACATGTTTAACACCACACAGAAGCTTCCGTTGCCGCAGGACGCCGATGAGTTCTTACCCGCCTTGGGCCCCCGCTCGCTCGACGAGGAAGATCTCGATGAGAACCTGAATGATGCGATTGATCTGGGGGGCAGATCCAAGAAGCTCTTGTCGTCTTCTGGTACCACTGGCGGCGGTCCTGTTGCAAAGCTGAATTTGTCGCAGTTAGACCAGCGGGGGGACAACTCGAGAGGGGGGGCGATGAAATCCCGTACAGCCGGCGGCTCGTTTCACAAACTTGCGGGCGATGTCGAAGGACCTTTTTACGATGATGAGGATGGCGATGACGATAATCGAAATCGTGCCAACTACAAGGAGCTGCATCAAGACAACGATGCGCAGGAAGGTGTTGGCGCAGCTGCAGGCGCAGCCCCTCCGGACGGACATCTTACGGTTGGAATCGACGCAGAAAGGCCGCATCACAGACCACGCGAGGGAAATATGGAGTTCTCAAATGTTACATTCTCAGCTGTTACATGAATTTGTAATGCAAGACTGGCAAAATTGGAAGGAGGAAGATTGCGCCTTTTGCATTACAAGTTTGGCGCAGATTTAGATGCTGTCTAGCCCTCCCGAAATTTGTCATGCGAAGCAGCTCGATCATCTGCCGGCTTAGGGTGCTTTTGCATGGAAAATTCATGCAACAGTTGAGAATGTAACGTTTGAGAGCGCCATAGGAAAAATCGGTGGAGGTGAGGAAGACGACGCACGAGGAACACGGTCCGACGACGCGGGAGGACGGAGTGCGAACGCAGGAGCTGCGAGGCCAGCATTTTTACCCAGTGCCCCGCCGAGACGAGCGGGTCTAAACGACGAGGCCAGCTCCGGTGACCCACCGGCTATGTCAACGCGGCTGCTGCAAGAAGCAGGAGGCATGTGGACGACAACATCCCGACCAGCAGGCGGCGGCGGAGCAACACTTCTCTCATCGAGCTTGTTGGACTATGCAAAGAAGAAATTATTAGCGTTACAGTCACGACCTTACACGAGAACACTGTGTTCTTGCAGCTATAGCAAGACGGACAACTTCTAATATCATGCCCGAGACCACGCGGCTTGCAGGCTAGTTCCCTTTCTGGTCTTGCTCTCAGCAGCGCCTCTGCTGCAAGTATTCTTTGTCATCCGCAGCGAACACTTACGTATGTATTTGACGTGCTGATGCTGTTGCTACAGAAGGGCTAGATACAAAAAGTGCGCACCAGCATCGCCACAACGTCATGTAGTAATGCTTTTTTTCTTGGATACGAGTCGGGCCGGCTCAAGTACTATGAACTGCAAAAGTGTCGTACTCGTATAAATGCATTACAAATTTCCCCAGCATGAGAAATAAAATTTGTCATGCGGATTTACCTTAAGAAAAAAAATTGCGACGCAAGACTTGCATTTATACGAGTGCGATACTTTTGCACAGGATAAGTACTTCCCTCCCGGAACTGGTGTCGAGAATGGCAAGGTACTCGGAATTTTTAAAGATGCATATCGAAAGGAAAAATCACCCCTCCGCATATCAAAAGGAAATTTCTGATGCTGGATTTGTGTACACAAATCCGAGCTGTCTTGCCGGAGAGCACTGCAGGCCAATACCAAGGGCGAGGAGTTAGACGGGTTAGCACGAAAAACGTCCGCGCTGTAGGCCCAACAGCATGACAAATCGTCTGCACAATGTGGCGGTTGTCTGTGGAGTTGCCTTCTTGCAAGACAGACACGATTTGTGGCCACAAATCAGCGTCACAAATTTCCAAAAGTGTACCTTTTCGGTATGGTGAGGGGGGATTTTTCCTTTCAATAATGCACCGCCACATCAACTACCAGACTGCAGTAGATGACCACAGCACGGGCGGCAGGAACAAGAACTACGGAGAAGAAAATTCGTCGCAAGACAACGTTAATTCGTATCAACCTAGTTGTTCTCGCTACAACCTTTCCGAGGAGCTACAGTTGTGGAGCCAGTTTCGGGTGACGCCCTATGTTGTGCTGGTCCTGCTTAGCCTCAGTCTCGACGTGCAGTTGCAGCAGGGCATTGCGCTCACACACAGCAGCTTGGGCTGGCACCCCCACATCCTGGCCAACCCCGGGCTGCGGAAGAAATTTCTCCCGGATCTCTTTCAGAAGTTGGGCAACTTCGTCGAAGGCTACCGGACCGTCAGGACGTCGGCGCGGCTGGCTGTCGTGCCTGACAAATTACCCTCTCCTCTCCGCTCGCAGAACCGCGCAAGCAAGCATGAGCATCGTCCTGGGACCACGAGCGCCACTACCAGCACAGAAAAGGCCGCGGATGGCGGACCTGCGGGCAGCGGTGGAGGGGCGGCGCACCTTGGGCCCGCGGAAATCACGTCGCGCAGACGTCAATCTCGTCGTCAGCAGCTCACGTCGAATACGCTTGGTGATCTCTCCTGGCAGGACCTGCTCTCCCAAATTGACTTCGAGCTATTTGCTTGTCCTCCTGCGTAAGCTATCCAGTGCAAAAGTATCGTACTCGTATAAATGCAGGTCTCGCATTACAAATATTTTTAAGGTAAATCAGCATGACAAATTTTATTTCTTTTTATGCTGAGAAAATTTTGTCATGCATTTATACGAGTACGATACTTTTGCAGTGCATATAAAAAGCTCCTGCTCCAGTTCGAGTTCGAATTCGATATCAAATGACTATGATTTTTTTATGGCTGTTTTTATCCTAAGCAAAGTCAGATCTCATCTACGCATGGGCGTAAAAACAATAAGAAGGCTACATCACAACTTTGAAAAGCTTCAGGCCATTTTTTGCATATCACAGACTGAGTGCGGAAACTAGTTGAGTTTCATCTTCTACAGGTATTTTGCAATCGAGCAGAACAAGTTTATGAACTCCGTTTGTCTACTTGTTTTAGTTATAGTTTATGCCCGTTAGAGAACATCTCGACTGTGCGAAATGAAATTATGAATCATGGTAATGTTTTGACAACACGAAGAACACTCACACTGTGTGGAAGAGATTCTTTTTAGTGCCCTTGACATTGTTACGATCAAGCGGGCCCCTTCGAAACGAGGAATTTTCATTTTTTTCTATTGCAAAGAGAAAGAACCGTGACTGAGCGTTGCAATGGAGCCGTCGCAGTTCTTCCTGCGTGATAATAGAGATCGAAGTAAGTTTTTGCAATATATATAAGAGTTTCAATCAAACGTATTACATTGATGCGGGATGGACGTGTAAGATCTCGCATATTATCATCGGTGAAAGCAGTTCTGCACGGGGTCTGCATCTGTTGTACCAGCGGAGAAGAATCCTGTTCAAAAAACGGCGTGCCACCTTTTTTAGACACGTGGTCGCGGCTTGTGTTTTTTTTTGATCTCCTGCTGCTTTGCACTTACCATGGTATACGTGATGCGATCATCTTGTACTTCTCACGGTTACGATAAGCTAAAAAATCTCCCAAAAAAAAACTGAACGTGATCTAGCGCTATAATTAATCTCGATAAAAGTCAAACTAACGCTGGGCTTGGCTTTGTTTTTTTTTCTTTTAAACAATCAAACTTCTTTATTACCTTGACATCGGGGGAGGGCCGAGGAGTGAGTTATGATTTATCTTGGTCCTCGTACTGAAAACGTCGTTTGACGCGAGAGCAAACAGATGTCATGTACATACTTCTTTTTCTTAGTGCAGTGAATCCATCAAGCTCGCCTTGTTCCGATGCTATGGTGGTAAATGTGACCTTGTAACGCTAGCAAAAGCCCACAAATGTTAAGCCGTTCAAGGATCTCATACGTATCGCCTTGTCCCCGCCTAAAACTGCACTCGAGTTCGAAAAAGTTGTTGCTTTGCCTTTCTGTGAAAAATTTAAACAAGAAGTTATCAAAAGCCAGAGTCCAAGTGTTTAGTTTTGTTTTAGCTCCCCCAGGTCCGCTCTTCGGAGCATAGTTTTTCCAAACCTCTCCGGCGTAGCTCTTCGGAGCATAGTCTTCTAGTCCATTCCAGCCCAGCTCCTCGGAGCTTTGTTTTTAGCTTCTCTAGTCTGCAAAAGGTTTTCTTCATCTCTATCCTACCTGCAAACTTCTGACAAACGCAAATCTGTTTTACGGCCGACGTGGTGGTTAGGTCTGCCTGACTGCTGCGTTGAGCCCGGCCTACGTGACTGCGTCAATCCGGCCGAGGTGAAATGCATGAAAAAAATAATAAGTTTGTATGGTTAGACGAAAAAACTAGTTGTAAGAGAATGATAACTTAGACAGGGTTTAGGGTTTGACGTGTGCTCCCGTCTGGCGCGTGAAGTTACTACATTGGCCGGCTTAAGACTTTCGGTGGGCCTGCCTGGGTAGCGCTGATTTTCCCCGTCCCCCCTATATGCATGTGTATGTACCCTGGGGTTTGCATGATACGTGGGAGGGGTGCAGGTTCATCGTTAGCCGCCTCTACTATAGTAGTAAGTTCTAGCTCCAGCATCTGTTGTACCAGCGGAGAAGAATCCTGTTCAAAAAACGTCATGCCAGGGTCTGTACGTATCCTGAGGAAAAACGTTCCCACGCGTCCATAATGTTCTAGTAAAAAATGGAAGATGATTTTTTGCTACACAAGCCAGGTAGAGATTTTGGCTGCCGTGCATGACAACTTTGGGTCTGTAGGGCAGTAATGGTATGTCCCTGTGGCAACCGCATAAGTAGAAACCGACTGCCTAAATCTGATTCGAGCATGACGAATTTCCAGATAGCATTTTCACAAAATGCTCCAGCACATGGAGCTGCTGTGAATGAGACAGACACGACAATGCGGGCATATTGTAGATTTGCATCACAAGACTGGCGCGGTGCGGTTTTATTCAGGATAGATGATACATCGACGATCATCCTCGTTAAGACTACGCCGAGTTTGGGCTCCTGCAAGCTTATGCAGGCTGCAACTAAATCATGTCTGGGTCGTCAAGACGAAAACAATATCAGGTGGACGTTGTGGCGCTCTCTGTCAGGCACAACGACGCACAAAGCTGTCATGCAGGGCGGGTGACATCAAGATGAAATTTCAAGAAAAGGAAAAGGCTTCTGTCCACTTGATCTTCATCAGGCTACCGGTTGATGCTAGGACTTCAACAAGATCTTCAGCAAGAGGTTCGTCCCTCCTGCAGTAGAGTAAGCATAGATAATTGCGCCGCCCTCGCAAAGGGATGAAAACCTGTGGTCATGCTGGGAAAAAATCGTGAACCCTAGACTACATGATCACGTGCATGGGCCATGCAAGAACAAGATCGAAATTCGCATACTTAACAAGCATCTGCTTTTTTGCTATTCCGGACCAGGACCCAGATATTAACGTATTTGCAGTTGATAATGTTGCTGTTGCGACAACCACAACCAGCAGAGACGCAGGCGGAGCATCTCCTCCAGAGAACGAAACGCAGCCGTAGCGAGGGCGGATCCGCAAAATTTTCCGAAATAATTTCTGCAAGAAAAGAGAAAGCCTGCATCACACCGAATTTTACTAGCGTACGTAAGTAAAATGAAAGTCATACTAGTATAGCATGTGCATGACGAGTTTCGATCTCGATATCGGTGTGCCTTATTTCAATTCTCAAAGTTGTTGCGCGATCTCGATCAGGTCAAAAAGCATTCAATGTCAAATTTGCTTTTGCATCAACAAAGTGAAAGTTTAAACTTCAACATACATGCAAAATTCCAACACTAACATATGCTAAAAACGCTTATTCGCACTATGGTCCAAAACTAATACCAGCAGAAGCATCTATACCTTCTATTTCTAGAGGACCAGCCTCACAAGCAAGGTAATTACTCAGTCATAATGTAGTTATAGTTTCATAGATATACAGGGTTATTTGCGCTGTAGCTGTAAACTATCTCCTTGCTTACATACTTCAAAGCTGTCAACCACCCAACCCCAAACCCTAAACCCCGCCAAACAAGTCCTTACAGAGAAGTAGTTCCACCAGTTGCCTATGCCTTTAGGTAGACGAAGCTCCTTTTTGCACTACGAATAGAAGTAGTAGACAAGGCCCTCGCCGATGAGTAAAGAAGTCACATAGATAAGTTGCAAGAGGAGCTACTCGAGATCGATTCCCAAATAAACAAAAAAAGGCAAGAACTCCTTGCAGCAGAATGCTCCTGGGTTGCGAGCCCAACAGGAGGCCTGGTAGAAGATGTTAGCCAGCGTCTGTTGGGTCTTGTGCAAATAACTATCAGCGTAATGCCCCATGTCGGTCTGTTGCCTCCAGTTACTTTCGTGATTTCACTTTGATGATGTAACAAACTGAGCAACATACGATGAGCACAAAGTAGAAAAAGCTCCTCGCGAAGCGGCTCTCGGTTCGTTCACCTCGACGTGCAAAAAAAACCTAAACCTTTGTAAAGCACCCTGGAGAAGCGCTCGGTTCGTCCAAAATCATTGACGTCCTCGTGTTGATGCAAAAATTCGTTGTCGTCGTCGTTTCTAGCTTCTTTTTTAGCTGGTTTATCCCCATGAGGAGGGTGACGATGAACAAAAACAAAATTTTGAAACGCGCCACACTTCTTACAGGTGTAGGGTTGCTACTCGGAGCATCTCGTGCGTCTTACTCACCCCTCCCTTACTTGAGTAGACGCAATCGCATTGAGCTTTTCTCTTTCAAACCACTTTCATTTTTGCGACTACAAACGGTCACTCTTCCTCAAATTTTTATCAACTAACACCTTCATTCCATCGAACCACTTTCTACATCTTGTTTCCAAGAACTACATTAATTTCCGCAATTCCTTTTTGTGGATACTAGATAGAAGTTCCCTCTTCTGTCAACATTCGCGAAGGAGTAAAAGTTTTGAACCAAGGCGCATAACCTGCGCGCGTCATTCAGCGAACCGTCCCAGACGACACGACGGACAAAACTTAAACTTCCGCTATCCTGGGTAAAAACGTTCCTCCCACCTGCTCCTGATGAAGACGTCAAGATTGGAATTATTTTCGTGCATGCCAAGAAGAGTGGCTTTTGGCATGCAGTGTATTCGTGTAGTCTAGCTAGTCCAGATGCTGCATCACAACCACAAGCCCTGGTATGATCTTGATTTTGATTCAAAACTACGTCTTCCATGCGAAGCCAGCACGTGATGTTGAGAGCCACTGACTATGCGTGATGTAAATTCTGATGTTTTAGTGGGGAAGTTTCTACTCAGGATAACCTCAACACAACAACGAACTCGGGAAGCCGAGACACAACAACACGTTTCATTTCACATGAACAACGACCTCGGGTGGAGCAATATGCTTGGAAAGTCTGACTATCTGGGTCTGGAAAAGTTGAGCTTCCGTTGCTCGTCTTGCATACAAGTTCCTTTATAGAATCTATCTGTGTAGTTGCACGAGATGAAGCAGAACAAAAACAACACACGAAAACGTAAACGGCCTGCTGGCCTCGTTTGTGGTGATGCCAAAACACAGTCTGTAAAAACAAAAAGAATGGTGCGGCGCTACCCAACGTGTGAGACGAATAAAAGGTAGAAAACATCAAAACTTGTCATGCTTCGTGAAGCGCAGTTCTTTGCGAGGTGTCCCATGACCACGCGTTTTCAGTGACGACTCAGCGTCAGAATCGCAAATTTCCAGACCTGGACGTTTTTTCAGGGAACAATACGGAAGTAGAGAACTCGACTTGACGCAACCGTTGCTCATCCCCATGAGTGGTTTTTTATCTTCGACAGAAAAGGCTATCTCAGTCTCAGCTTCTTGTAATGCGGAAGCTTGTTCGTGATGCAGCGGCTTTGTTTTTTTTTTTTATTTCTCATGCTTTTTGTCATTTTTCTCAATCTCATTGATTCTCGACAGGCAGGAAGGGCACGGCGCCCTTTACACTCCTTTACACCGCCCTCAGCAAAACCCCAGAAACTGTGCAAATATTCATATTCTGGTCCGCGAATCATTTGCGACGCTGTGTCTGCAAATAAAAGATTTAAAAAAATAGAGTTTGAGGCTGAGACAGTTTTTTTCTTGGATATTTCTGAAGAGTCGGCTCTCTCTTGTTCCCCTAGCGAGTTACCTTTTTACACTTCGTTTACGGTTTCTTTCTCAAGTCAGGACGGAGTATCCCTCTTATGCAACAAAGCAAAAGTAGTATTGTACTAGTAGGAATTGCATATTAGACACGACGCATTGGCATTGAATTTGGGCCCGGGTCATTTTGTCATGCTGCATAAAAATCAAGTTAAATTATATTAACAATGATCATCATTTGCGACGTCGTCGTGAGATTACAATTCAAAGTAAATACGATGCTTTGACTTTTGCAGTGCATACCTTTTCTCTTAGGCTTGTGAACGATTAAGCTTTGAACGGAGGCGCATAACCTGCGCACGTCAAACTCAAAAATCTGGAACTGGAGCGTACGAAGGGAGGACTCGCGCTTTCACGTCAGTGATTTCGCAAGTTTTCTCTTGGGTAAATATGAAAGCCTCAGAATGGAAATCCTCAAAGTGGAAATAATTTGTGATGCATGAAATGCAAGGCAAAAGCGACTATATTGCGGAGGACACAATGGAGATCGACTATTGTCCTGCTAGGGGTGAAGAATTGGAGTGCTGCTTAGCACGAGAGAAGGGCACCCCTTTTCCTTAACCTGCATGACAGACATGCTTTAAGGGCCCAGGAAATTTGTGATGCGCCGACTACAAATGGCGCTTCAGCTGGAGTCGTTTTTTTGCGTCACAAATTATTTCCACTTTGAGGATTTCCAACCTGAGGCTGTCATAGTAAATCGCTTGCACATACACTCTTGATTGGCTGACAAAAGTACTACGCACAACGAGAACGGAGCCAATTCGATCTGAGCATTTGAATTTACTTTACAATTACAACTGCATTTTTATAAATTTACAATTACGAAAACAAAAGGCGACAGATTTTTTTTGATTTAAGCGGCACTACGGTAGCGGTACACGTATATTATATAACTTCGCTTTTCAACAAAAAATAAATTGCACTTCCACCGAAAAAAAAGAAAAAAACAAAAAAAGACACTCAACCGGAAGAAAAAGAAAAAACCAAAAAAAAAATAATCTACATCATACTGCACTTCCACCGAAAAAAAGAAAAAACCAAAAAAAAGCACTCAACCGAAAAAAAAAGAAAAAACCAAAAAAAAATATATCTACATTGCTCGACAACGACAACTGGTTCGGAGCCTAGCACTCGAACTGAAGAACAGTGGCACGGTTCGCGAGCAGACGCATCTTCAGTGCATACGGACAGTTCGCGCAGAATCCACCCGCGGCCGGCTGCAGAATTAACTACAACGAGCAGGCGCGCCAGTGGCTGTGTAGGGAGCATCAAAGTTACGGGAGCTGGGGGTGCGCGTGTTGTAGGTGCTGCTAGTTGTACTGGCGCGAAGATGTTGCTGCTCAACGTCAACACGAAGATGCCCCCACGGCCCTGTGGTCGTAACGTGGTTGATGGGCGCAGAAGCACCAGGCCGAGCAGGCATCTGCTGCTGCTTCTGTCGTCTTCCTCGACGATCGGCTGGCATTCACTCTCTACTTCATCAACTTCTTCCTGGCTCCCTAGTATCGTGGGCGTTGCCGGCGCCAAGAAAAAGAAGAAGCAGAACATGGCAACGGCGTCGGCCACCTCCTCGACGAGGACTGGCACCACGCCTCCGCGCATCGAGGTGCCCGGCGCCGCCCTGTATCAAATGTGAAAATGTCTGGGTCTGGAAGATTTCTAGATTTGTCATGCATATTTTCCATGACCCACGATGTCTGTCATGCATGCCTTAGCATCACAGATTTTTAGAGCGCTTTGTGATGCCTCTACAGCATGAGAAATGACCTCTCGTCCGCGTCGCACAAACTGGAGTCCTCTTGCTGGTCATGCAATACAAATCTGGTTAGAGCTTGACCCAATCCCCCCGAGGTCCTGCCCAAAGGCAGTGGTCGTCAAGGGGGTGACTGTGGTTGAGGGGTATGTAAGGTCATGCAATACAAATTTTTTCAGTATCCAGAGACAGCATCACAAGTTTAGACCCAGACATTTTTACATTTGATACCCTGCAGCAGTCTCTGATCGAGCTGGACCACTACATTTTCAACAGCACTGTGAGCCTGCTGCAGACGGTGTATCGCTCGGCCAAGAGCCTTGTGGTCGGCGGCACGACCACGACGACCACGAGGACGGCGTCCGCGGATCAGGGTGCTGCAGTTCCGACAATCATGCTGGAGCAGCAAGCGTACGAACGCGACCCTTCGTCCCGGGGCGGGGGACACGGAGGACGGGAAGCAATTCCTTCAGACAATTCGGAACGAACCGCCGAAAGCGCGTCGTCGACCACGGCCGTCCTCGAGAGCAGCGACAACAACGGAAGGGGCGCGGAGGAGGAGACTACTGGTGACGGCAGAGCCATTTCCTCAGCGGTAGAACAAGTCGCAGAAAATCATGACGCGGAGCCCTCGACGCTTCTACAGCAGGAACAAGAGCAACATCAGAAGCGGACGAAAGTAGACGAGGCGCAGGCGGCAGGCACAACACAGGGTGGAGGAGCTTGCGGCGGCGCGTGCGAGGAGAGTACTAGAGCACCCCAAGTACATCAAGATTTGCAAGAATCACTGCAGCCTGCTACAGGACCTGGACCTCCCCAATCTCTCGTCGCTTTCCACCCAGTTGGCGCTTCTACTCCTTATCAGCAACTTGGGCCGAATCATAGTACTTCGTCATTGCGACTAGGCTCGGCCTCGGATGCTGGTGCTGGTGGAGGGGAAGGCGCAGGCCCGCTGTCCCGTTGCAGTGCGTTGGTGTCGACGTGGATTAAGACCAGCAGTGTTGAGGTACTTCCAAACGTATCGGTATTCCTTCGAGTGCAGGGCATCCTGCAGGAGATGGAGCAGAAATTTCCAAAATCCGCGCAAACCTTTGCCGAAACATACTGTCCAGCAGCTCCATCAGGATCAGCTACTATCCAATGCAAATACCCGCCCTGGATGTTGTCCGGAGAACAATTTGCCATGCACGTTGGTCTTGCATGACCCATGACGTCTCCGATGTACTATGCCGCAGGCCCAGCATCACAGATTTTCTATAGCGTTTATTCTTGTTGATACCTGTCCCGCACGCGGAAAATCCCTTTCCGCGTATCAAAAATGAGTCTGCAGCTTCTGCTGGTGCTCAGGCAATACAGATTTAGATAAAAACAAAAATGAAAAGCAAAAACAAATAGAGATGAACACTTCCCGACCCAGACGTATTTGCGAGGCATATCAACATCAGCAGAGAGTACTGCATTTTCGTGGGAGGACGCACCAGACAGCAATCTCGGCAAATTTTCCGTTCTCGTGGCAAAGTTCTGGTGCGAGCGTAATGGCGAAGAAGAAACGAACGCTGCAAGTTGCCGGACGACAAATCCCTTTTCTAAAACTGCAGCTGGGTGTATCATTTGGAAAAACTACCTCTCCACCGTTCACCCGCAGTCAAGGTGCGTCCTAAAAAGATAATGCAAATGCAGAGTTTTTGCTTTTGTTTTGCGAATCCGATTCCGATTGCGAACCCCGCATGACACGAGCATACTACAGCAATGTATGGAATAGAAGTCGCGAAGATTACAGCTATTGCGTCCGCGTCGCAAAATCCACTTTATTGCAGCCCCCCGAGTATACTAAAGTAGAGATGCTCGTCGTGATTATCATGTTTTTCGCACTTCAGACCCTGTGCCGTTCCAGTGCCCACGGAGGCTTCGGCTGGCTTCAGCAGAAGTAATGCACAAAGGTGGAGCTACAGTGTTACTGTTAGGGGCTGCGGAAGGGGAAGTACTTGTCGATGTTTTGCCATCACAAATTAGCTCTCTTATCCTGCTGATTGCATTTCGACATGACAATAAAAATAAATGTCCTTCAACACGAGACTAAAAATAAAATGGCTTCTATGTGGAGCTGCCGTGGAGTGAGGCATTTCCCTTGGTTCTGCTGGACCTGGGGACTATGCCCCTACAAAGACTGGGTGGCCGTGGTGGGGTACGCTTTTACTCATGATAAAATTGGATGGCTCCTCTTTTTTGTCTGACTTGTCCGCATGGCTTATGGAGCTGGCGTTTGGGAAATGGACAAAAGAGACATAATTCCTCATGGCATGCTTCAGAGATATGATGTCGTACTCATGGAAGATTCACAGTTTCATCTAAGTCGGCGTCTGCTGTGTGTGGAACAAGACTCTGCGAGCCTTGAGATTGATTTTGTCATGCTCGTCTTCAGTCAGAGCTGAGCATTTTATGCTCCTCAGCTACTTCTTCCACAAGGAGCTCTGACCAGGCTCAGTTGCCGCGGCCTCCGACGCAAAATCAAGACTTTGCGCATAGCACTAGCATTATAGCGCCATGCAATACATATTAGCATGTGGCGTAAGGCATTTATTCTAGGTTGTCGATTTCCCCCCCTGACGAAACTATATGCTTCCACAAAAACTCTCTCGCTAATGTAGACGCGAATGCGGCATTGCGCCAGAAAAACTATCAAGTCGCGCAAATAACTTCGGGTCTGGATGGATGCAGAAGTTTGTCATGTAGGTTTTGGTGGTCGAGGACCTGGCTCCATGACGTCTGGGGTAATGCGCGACGCAGCAATGCCTCTCCTGGCTTCATGAGCAACGTGGTCTTGGCTTGGCTGAGACGCGTGGTCTGGCTCTTGGCTTTGCCAAAGAGAAGGAGGCAGCTCTAGGTAGTCGCACAGAATCCATGACAAGTCTGTCTCCTTTCAGACCTGGATGACATTTTTGCAATGCATAACAGCCTCCTGGAGCTGATTTTGCGGGATCCTAATATTACGCTACAAAGTATCAACCAGAAAAGTGTTGGTGTTAGCGGTTTTCACAGATTGAGGTCATGCACGACGAACCGAGACCGTACCGAGGCCTAGCACGTATGTTTATGCAAGTAAGATGGCAAATGATTTCAGTCAGTTTTTTCTTGCATGCAACATTACTGCAAGCCAAAATGAAAGTCCGCTAACGTTAATTCTTTTTCTTGTGATACAAACAAGCAGGCACACCCATACTGAAGATACCACCGCTATATCTTTTTTGTGCTGCGCAGCAGGAAAAAAAACAAAGCTCATGAAACAACATACCACGGCGTGAGGTGGTAGTATGCTTCTCCTTTATCGATGATTGAAGTTATTCGTTCTTTGCTTAATAAATAGTTCGTCTTTATTGATGAAGCTCTGCTGTGCTTGGGTCAGGTCCTGGTGCCTCACGAGAGGCAATGTAACTAGCAGGTGCTATGACTTCTATTCCTTCCTGCAACACGGGGGCCATGAGAAGATGTTTAAGATTATCAGTGATACCAGCACTGGTGTAGTGCAACCATCCTACTTAGCTGCCGGCTGCCTGCTGCTTATCGCTTTTGCCGCAAGCGCAGCGGCGCAGCATAGTCTAGGCAACCCGCGGGCAGAAGTCTCAGGCCCTCACTTTTCTTGTTGCGCGCTTGCGTCGTCCTCCGCCACCGGTGCTAGAGAAGCATACATGGTCGGTAGGAAGTAGTTGGGACCACGCTGCTTCGACTTCACCTGAAGCTTCTGCATAGAGAAGTTCTCGCGCCAGCAATTCCAAGGGTTTCTCATACTCTTAATCTTCTTGTATCAGTGGCAATGCTGGAGAACAAGAACAATATTATAGATATACAGCCAGCAGAAGCATTCAATCTGTACGTGGTACTTGTCTTGCATTTCTTGCTGCTAGCATCGGACTGCAACGTAGCACATCTCGGCGCTGCCCTCTTCTTGATCCTGACGCGTAACTAGAATTATTTGATGCGGCACAAAAACAGTGTGGGTGCGCTGCATGTTACACCAAGAAATTTTTCGGCTACACATAATTGCCCACCTCGGAAAACTCCTGTTTTTGTCTACTGAATACCAGTTGTAGAAGGAGTTGTGAGAACAGAAAACTAGTTGGGCGACTGCATGGTTCCTTTTGCTCCTAGCTCAGTGGATTGAGTTGTTTTCGTCTGGTACTACGGTACGAGTGTGCTTGTTTTCCACTCGATAGACAATATCGGCCTGCACAGTGTCCGCGTCGACCAGCAAGAGCAGCAAGCTGCCACACGATCACGAATCCATCATCCGGCTCAGCGAGAGGCTGCTATGCATCGGAAATATCGATCTCGGTCTGCAAGAGTGTACTAATTTGTGGTGTTGCAGCTTTTCTTGCATTCGAAAAAATTCTGTATTCCTTGAGCGGCCAGAGAAGTCCAGTTTTTGTTGGGCGGAGACGGCATTTGTCATGCGTGGTAGGCATCGAGGATATCGAGACGAGACACTAGGAAAATCTATGGTGCCTGGGCAGACAAAAACATATCACAAGCATCACGCTCGTCATGTGAAATATGCATGACAAAAAACAAAAACTGTTTCACTTTTCCAGACATCGAGGTACAATCGTCAATGTATAGTGCGAGTTCATCGTCCGGTCACCGTCAGTCCGTCTGGCGTCCAAGATTGTCGAAACTTGGTAGATATCCTGTGCAAAAGCATCGTAGTCGTACTAATCGACGCAGTCCCGGAAGAAAGGTGTCTTTTTCAATTTCAAGGACGCTAAATCAACATACTAAATGCCATTTGTTTATTATCGAAGGAAAAAACTGTTTCACTGTGGTCATCTCGAAAAATCACTGATTTTTTTTTGGGTTAAAGTTGAATATTTTTCGACTTGCCCGGAGCCGCTGCATCTGGTGGACCTTTTTATTTGCATTGCAAATTGTTAGATATGAAACTAGCTATCGGTTGCTTCAGTTACATTAACTAGTTAGGAAGGCAGAGCGTAAAGCTAAAGTGGCGGCAGCAGCGTTCCACGTGTTGCATCTTCGCTTACCGCGCTTCTGGCCCCACCTGGGGCCAGAATGCGGCCTAGCGCCCTTACCTCAGCCGACGCTCCGGATAGCACTTAATTAGCTTACGTTCTGCCTTCCTAACTAGATTAACTAACCTATAGCTGAAGCAGCCGATAGCTAGAGTCGTCATATGTAGTTTCTACATAGACACTTCACGAGCAACATGCAAACTAACTTTAAAAAAATTCTGCAAGTTCACACCAAAAAAAAATCAGTGATTTTTTAGTATCGCCACAGTGAAACAGTTTTTTCCTTCGATATTTATTTGCTGATCTGAAGATAGATTTGGATTTCAATTTAGAAATACAAGTTGTACTCGTAATTAATTGTATTGTAATGCTACGTGTGCGAAGATACAGACGCTTTTGCAATGCATAGGGGAGGGGTGGATTGCAAACAGCTGGAACATGCCGCTGGACGAAAGCGAGCTTCGGAACATGGTCGGAATTATGACGTATGCATTGCAAATATCAGGACGAGTCTGGACTAAAAAAACGTCAAATTGTGTTCCTGCTGAGTCTGTGTCTGTGGTGGACGACGCATGACACACTCTGTGCGACACGTGCGCACGCCCGTGCGGATCATGTGTGAAAATTTCAATAGATGCGCTTTTTGGTTTTGCGTGTTATTCTCGAAATCCTCTTTATTCGTGCTGCGCTTCAACAATAAAGCTGCATCCTGCTGCAGATGACAACCGTCGAGGTGGTGCTTTTGTAGCTCATGCAGGACTTCTGCCAGATCATTCAGAAACACACGAAAATACAACAACGGCCACTGCTCATCTGATTATTTCTCCAGGCCCAGACTTCTACATGATTGCAATGCATATTTCGCGGATCGACGCTCTCGGGGAGGCAAAACAAAAAGAATTCGTGAAAGAGCTAGAATGTCGCACGAACACTCCGCAATCGCAAACTGCCGCTCCACCACGCTGGTCCAAGAATACTCCTGACGATAATCTCTGGGAGTTTGCCGAGGGGGTTTTGCAATTTTGGTGCTCTTCAACCTCTACGCGCGGACAGGCCGACCACGACCACAGCTGCGCAGCAAGTACGCCGTCTGGGAGATTCGACAGCGTTTGGCTCAACAAGCACGGACTAGGGGACCTAGCGTTGGATATCCTGAGCAAAAACGTCCCCGCCCCATAGTCGAGATGGGAAATCTGCTAGACAACTCGGCCGGCTTTGGTTGTTGCGCGTGACAGGTCTAGCCCCGTAGTGTACTTGTCCAGAAGCATCGCAAATCTATCCTATGACGGTCATAATTGGAGGAGCGTCGCAAATAATTCCAAAACGCCAGGACTGCAAAACGCTTGCCATGGGCGGGCTCCGTATGAGAAAGATTTATTTGAGCATGCAGAATTTGAATTGCATGACAGCCATGGGGTGGTGACGTTTTCGCCTAGGATATTGGAGAGTCGCCTCCTCGAAAAGTTTCAGCAAAGGAAAGCAACGCAGGACTGGGGTTACGACAACCAGCTGAGCGCCATAACTACAGAGCAGCCTCACATTGCATCCAGCTTCCCGATATCAAATGCAACTATGCCTGGGCGGTCTGGACGAAACCTGTCATGTTGCTGGTTGGCGAATCATGACATGAGGCCGCCGCAATTAACAGTCCAGCATTGCAACCTTCAAAGTTCTTTCTGAGTTGCTACCTATAGCAAGATTTTCGTTGTCCATTCTGAACGACAAACTGCCGCGTTTCCGCATGACAGAAACACTGGGTCTTTCTTGGATGCCGTGCATGCTAGCCGAGCATGAGAATAATATATAGAGGTTTATCTTTCCGTCTTCCAGACCGAGACATATTTGCAATGCATATCCGAACTTGCTTGGCTTTTTCGGCGCGGGCGATACGAAGTTGCTCTTCAAGTGTGCGGGCATGTTGCAGGCTGACCCGAATGAGGATTGGTCGGAGTTTATTCGATAGAATAGCAGCACACCCATGTGAGAGAAGAGAAGAGCGAATTTGTAATGCTAATGCTGTACTACCTATGGTATGCGTATGGCTACGGTAATGGTATGAAATCAAAATGAATTTATATTTATGGAATATTACAAGTTCTAATGTGGAGACCACAAGAGAGGCTTTCTTTTATGCAAAATTCAGCTTGTAGTGCTACTAGGGATGGTGCACCAAAAATAAAATTTTAATTTTCCACACCGAACAACCCAAATGAAGATCCAAAAGGTTTTTATGCCAAGAACATGAGTAAGTACCGTGACGCAAATTCATTTTTTGTCTATGAATGTGTGTGCTTTTCTGTACGATAGAACTTTCCTTCGCTTCGACGTTCGTCGCTCAGCAATTACGTGCGCAAAAAAAAGCGCTACTCGACAAAGTCGTGGGGCTTATCGCTGAAGAAGTCAATTCGAACCCCCCGGCTTCGAAATCGAACCCCACCACTATTGTCTTCAAACATGCGCCTAGCGGACAAACATTCCGTGGCATCGTCGAGGAACTAGGCCAAACAGTATGGATTGCACAAAATGAAATATGTCTGGGTTTGGAAACAAGAGTCGTGGCGGTATCGGGTGCTGTCTTGCATTTTTTCTCTTTCGCACAGAATTTTTTATGTTGCATGTTCATGTAAGTAGTTGATGCAGGCCAACGGATAACCATAGGGTGGCACTTCGTTCATAATGCAGCAAGAAGAGCGCAGTTTTTCTTTTTGTAATGCGCGCTACGCATACGAATTCATGGGAATGCCAAAGCTATCAAATTTAAGTAGAAGTCTTTAAGTTACTAGTCGTGCTTCAGGTGCTTAAAGCTTGCCACCCCCTTAAGACACTCGCCGTGTAAGTGCAAAATAGCACGGGCGTGAGTACTAGCACGAACGTGGAAAAAATTGACGGCGACACGCTCGGAGAAAAACGAGCGTCGCGCCGCGTGTTCTGCGGCAGCGTTTTCGGCTACGACTTCACTCGGAGTGCGAATGCACGCAGCTGACAGGTGCGTGCATTCGGGCATGTCATCGCAGTTTGTCCGCAACTCAGAATGGCAATGGCAAGTCACCAAACCCAGACAACATTTGCAACCCATAAACAGTGCCGGAGGCTATCAAAAAGAACCCTGAGCAGGCTCAGCAATGGAAGATGGCGATGGAGGAACGACAACGGCTGCGGCGCGGGCGCGGCTCTACGGGGTTGCATGACGAAGCCCAGAAGGGTCGGGGCGAGACCTATTCTCTGACTTCGCCGTATCCGGAAGTCGCAGGACTGATGACATTGCTGAAAGCCGTAGCAAAGAAAGTGTTCGATGACGAAATCAAAAATAAAGAAAGCCGAAAGAGCTACGATGAACATTCCGGCGAGGTACATACTCCTGCGGGGGTTGTAGATTTCGAGAAGGACTTGTGGAAGCCGCTGATGAAAGGAGCGATCCGAGATTCCCACAATCCGCGGGAAGCGCAGCAGGAGCAGTGGGAAAGAATGAGGGAACTGAAGGCAGAATGTGAAAGAGAGGTGGAGCAGTGGGTTCGCAGTACTGAAGCACCTCCAGGCGATATTCCAAGAAAAAAATGTTATACTTACACATCATTTGTTGGAATTTCGGCAACACAATGACGGAAATAACTTGCAAATGCAATGCAGAGCTGTTCAGGTTATTGAATAGAAAACATTGATAGCATGGATTTGTATGAACATAGTACGCCCCTGATGTGCACTTCCACTTCCGGAATTACAGAGAATCTCTGGCGTCTTGCTACTTTGTCTGCAGCACACTGATGTGTAATAGCTGCAGCACTTTTTTCTCCCCATAGCCGAGCACTTGAATGCGGCGTCGAACTTCCTATTGACGCCGACGCCCGTATGGCTGTTTCCGGTTTGAAGTCGACAAAGGTGAAATAATTTGGGTGGCATGAAATCGGTACCAGGTGCGTGCCCATGGAAACAAAACGGCTGCTTTTGTTATGCCCTATCTCTGTCTAACCGTAAAAAGCAGTGCCAGCCTTACAATCTGCCTACCTCACCTGGAATCCAGGCAAGACAGGCATTCTGTGCCTAGCATTTCATGTAACATTGCAGACGATTATTTCAACTTCGTCAATTTCGAGCATGTTGACGCTTCTACAGCCCAACGAATTGAAAGTGCTAGGGTCGACGGATCCATACGTAGCCCATATGCGTGCGGACGCCGGGAGGCTAAGATGCCTGGCAAGCGATTCGATGGACATTACTGCGATGAAGATCCAGCAACTGTACTTTACTATCGTTTACCAAAGCGAATGTGCAAACACGAGCCCGTAGCACTCCCCGAGCAAAGATGAAACTCAAATCCACACCCAGGCTGTGCGAACTCGCATAAAAATGGATATACTAGATGGAGTTTCTAACCGTAAGCACATTTTGTGTAGACGTGAGCCGCTACCTGCTTTGATAAGTGTCCGGCAATGATGGGGGAGAAGGACCTCCACCAGACTGACGTAATCGTATATGCATAAGCACATACGCGTGATTTTTGATTAGTTTTTTACTTTTTGCCGATGTCCGCATAGGCGTTGCGCTTGTACTTGTAAAAAGCGAGGGGAAGGAAACACAGGACTTGGCAAAGTCACTGTGGTGGTGCTCATGTAGATCCCTAGTTTTCATTCTTGAAACAACTCTGGTATTGCAGCGACTCGCAAAAAAATTTGAATTTGTAAAAATGAAACAAGTTTCATGTGCATCTTCAAAGTGTTCGAAAGAAACCCTTCATGTGCATCTGCTTGTAGGAAACCCTTCGACCTTGCACAATGCCAACTTTGCAACTTTCGGGGGCGGGGCTGCCTTTTTCACTGTGATTGCGTTTGGGAGGGTTTTAGTGCAGAAGGCAACGAGGGATTATGGACTGACGGAATGACGCACCCAGACGTTTTCAACTTCATGGACTTTCGCATGGAGTTTCCGCGGATGCTTACAGTGTGCATGGAAGTAGTGCAGAAGCGCCAGTGGTTTTCGCAAACCACAGAACCGCGGGCATCGCATGTTGCTCTCCAAAAAGACATCGGAGTGGAGGCAGCAAAGAAGAGTTCCGTCGAGAGCCCAAATCAATTGTCCGCGAACTCCTTACTGGAGTCGAGGTCGACGTCGGCAGGGGGCACCACCGGAAAAAACGACAATAACGATGCAGATGGCACACTGCTCGACCTCGGTAAGTTTAGGAGGCTCGCTGATTGTCATACGGTACAAATGGAATGGCAGAGGGTGAAGCTGTTTACCCACACGAAGCAACGAGACGACAGGCTGGCGAATAATGACGCGCAAAGAATGGGATACCTGAAGCAGGAACAGCAACGTCGGCAGGGGCCGGAGTCGCAGTCGACGGCGGCCGCGGCGACTCTTTCACTTTTGCAGAGCGGCGAGGAGGGGCGTCGCCCGACTGGTCGCACGGACGGAGAGGAGTCGTCCGCGGCTATGAGCGACAGTGAGGACGATGCGGCCGGCGACGAAGATCGAGAAGCTTTAATGAAAAGGAAGAGGACAGACGCGGAGCACCATGAAGCGGCCAAGATCCACCTGCGCGAGACTGAGGAACGGTCGAACAGACTTGGCTGTGCAGTTGTGGGTCACTGGTTTGGCGGCAGCTACCCGAACCTGTACGATCCTCTCATTTCTTTTTTTGAGAGGGTCGTCAGCCAAACCATGCCGGCTGCAGATAGCAGGTTTGCCGGGTTCCGCGATTTGCTGTGGTTGCACTTGAAGCAGATGATCATGCGCGAGCGTCTCCTTCGCGCGCCACACTATGCGCAGGAAACAATGCGTGTGGTAACCGAAATGCCAGAGGTATTCGCAGTCCAGCAGTATCTGCTGTGGACTGCCGTCCAAATAAAACGCGCAGAGTTTGACAAGGCTCGCGTCGCTGCGCAGCTTGCTTTTAAGGACACAGACGCGGACCTTACACGAGCATTGAAAGCAAGCACAGAAGCGTACGGCTGCAGCGAGTTTCAGGTCGTCTCGCAGTGCTTCAAGGCCTGGTCACTTTTTCCAGACATCGCTGTGACGCATCAGGCCAAATTCGCTCCAAAAGTCATTGCTATGTTTCGTCGCAAGGAGTCCGAGTACGCTATCATCCAGAGCAAGTTGCGTCTTCCTGAGAAGTTCGCGGAGTTGAAAATTGCCCTTGCGCGGTTTATATGTAAAGCAGATATGTCCAGGTCTCGAAACTTGATGTATGCATGATAATAAGCAGAAGCAGCTTCCCTCTTGAAGCCACGCATGATCATAACATAAAACCCTTATTTTGAGCTGCTATGTCTTTCCTAAAAACTTAAACTGCATCTACGACAAATTTCATTTTTGCATGACAAAAAAAGGAACTGTATCGCCATAGGCGTGAGAGGTCTTTCTTTCGTGTTGTCTTTGTCATCCAGGAAGCATGACAGACCCTGCACTCTTCCCGGCGGCGGCGACCCAGACATATTTGCGACGCATACTTGATGAGTTTCCAGATTGTAGTTTATTTCGACGCCCTGCGAGTACACCTCGACCTACCGAGCAATGAGTTCCCGGACCTGCTTGAGCCCGTGCTGCCGGCTCCGGAGATGCAGCTCCAAGGGGCCAGCACAGCAGGAGCTGCGAGCACCGGGCACGACGTTTCTGGGCGCTCCTCTGGCGCAAGCAGCAGCGTAGGTGGAGGGTTGCGAATCAGGCAAGAGCCGCAACAAGTGCTGAAGTGGGCGTTGGGAAATGCTCTTTCAACGGGGAAGCTTGAGGGAGACAGCACCGAGGAGTATAAACTTTGGCAACGGGCCCCGCACACAGACGAGCACGTGTTGAAATTCCACGGCCGCGAATGCAGGAGTGACTGGTGCCTTGAGGTTGTGAGCGCACCGCATCAATACACATCTACAGTAAGACTCCCCTATCCACTGCAAAAGTGACGCACTCGTCGTAGAAGCAGTTGCACTTCGCTTCGTAGATTTTGCGTGACAACTCTGATTTCCTACGTAGATCAGAATTAGAGACCCCATTTTTTATACGCCGGTACGAAAGGTCCGACCCAATTATTTATATGAGGTGCGTTGCTTTTGCAATTGCAGTGCATATACCTTACACAGGCACGGTGATTTGGTCGGACGATGGCCTCACTTTGGAGAGCATGCATTGGGTGCTTGGCATCAAAGCAGCCGCGTGCCGTATGCCCGGGTTATCGAAGGACCGCCTTGTGCTCTCGGTCGAAGATCAGAAGTTTCATTCGGACAGCTCGTTGCCAAAGTTTGCTTCTAAATTTGATCTTCCATTCAAAAATGCTAAATTCATTGCGCCACGAACCATGGGAGGCTTGGTCGATGAAGGACTCAACGACTATTTCGCAAAGGGGCTTTTGGCAAACGTAGTGCAGCACGCAGCATTCCCAGGCCGCCTAGAGTCCGATGATGTGCCGGGCTGGAGGCAGTCACAGTCTGTCAATGAGCAACTCTTCATGTACGCCGACTCCTGGTGGCAAAATTTCTTGGTGAAACACGAATTCCAGCCAGGTGCGGCGCTGCACTGGAGCGCCTCCCAGGCGGTGCCTTTGCGGCCTGGCGACGATGTGTTCATCCGAAATAACAATCCGGCAACCACGCCTGTGACTGAAGACCCAAACGAGATGTGCAAGGCGAGGGTTGTCAAGATTAAAGAACCCGCTGCGGACGGCGCAACCGCGGTTGTATTTGAGTTGTACGAATCTTACCTCCGGACTGATCTCGGCCGGGTGTACGAAATGGTGAAAGATCAGGAAAAGGGCCTGCGCGTCGGCTTTGGTGCCGCAATCGATCCATCGCAGGCATCCTACGTGCAAGTAGAAGCGATACAGGAGGTTGAGAACAAATCTGCGCACCCGAATTACGACGCGGCAGAGGAGACTATGTTTCATCGTTTGGAATTGCAATTGCCAAAGTCAAAGAAGCCGTCGTCCACAAGTAATCCAAGCGAAGGAGAAGAAACAAGAAGTCGCGTCGTGTTGACGCCTTGGCAAAGAGAGAATGTGGATCAGGAAACGCGCCTGCGCAGTCCCTCCTGCCTGGTCCTGGTTTTCGGACACCGTGATGAGATCGCGGTCGGTCGTTGTGTTGACAGCGAAACGCAGGCGGTGTTTTATGAAAAACCTACCAAAAGCAGTGAGTTTTCAAAACTCACTGGTCGCTTTTGGTTTTGCGCGCGTCGGACGCGGACCTCCGAGGGCGGATACTCTTTTCCAGAAGAGCGCTGCGTTTATTTTCGGAAAGGCACAGACCCGCCGTGTGCGGAGCTATTCCTGTCCTCGAAGACCACTGAGCATGTGGACTGGCTGAATATTTATGGCCAGAAGAGTTATCCTACATTCCAGGTGGATCTCGAGATTTTTCAAACAAACGACAGAACCGTTGGAGCCAGGTATCCGTATCACGGACGAGTGGGAATGCAGGTGAACTGGCCCGAGAAGGAGAAGCCCAACGAGATCGAGAAGGCGAAGGGCTTGCAAGACATAAACAGAGCAGTCGAAGAAGCAAGCCAACAGTCGGGGCCGTTAAGCCTAGAGCTTCGCCGTGCACAGCTTCGCATCGGTACCGGTGGCTCTCTGACAACATCCTATAAGATGCATCGATGGCTCTGGGAGAAATTTCTCAGTTGGGAAAAATTTGGCGGCGGACGGCATCAAAAAAAAGCGTGCCGAACCGGGCTAGAGGAAAAAGATAAAAGATATGATCCGAACGCAAATGGTCCGGACCCCGAAGCGCATGGGAGTCCTGCCTCCGACACCACGGTAAGCAAGAAAAAAACTGTGTTACAACTGTAGGGTCTTGGAGTGACAGCATGACAAATCACAGAGAAAGGGAAAGCCTGTCATGCGCAGCTAGTACGACGTGACAACACGAATGAGATAGAACTTACTTCGTGGCTGGCTAACATGACAAGTGGATGCGTGTTGCGTGCTTTACAGTACAGACTTACAACTACGCAGTTTCTTTCTTGCATACACGGTTAAGTGGAAACACTGGCGCAAGATGCTAACCGTACTGCGGAAGGCGGACCATGAGATCATAACAGATTTCGCTCAAGGCGCGGCTGACTTTTCTCACGCAATGGCCACTTACGAGCAGATGTTTGGGCTGAGTGGCTCGGCGGCGGAGAGTTTTGGGTTTGGCTTGCAGCTGCGAGTAATCTCCCACAAGAAGACTGAGGCGATGCGCCGAATCACCGAAGCGCTCGAGAAAGCCCGTAAAGAAAAGAGGCACCATGCCGCAGGGAAAGAGGTGCTTTCTGGTGAAAGGGTGGCGCCAGTGTCGTCTCGTGTTGCAGAAGCGGAAGCGCGGGGAAAGGGCCTCGGGACGCAACTTGTGACGGGGGGTGTGAGAGGCACTGTGCTTCCAGATGCTTGGGACGCGGAGGGCATCGAGCGGTATTTCATGATGCACGAATATTTCCAGAAGTCTGTCGACTTCATCATCATGGGTCTTCAGCATGAAGAGATGTTCTTTGATCTTGTTCACCACAAGGGCTTTCACTTTACGAAAGAGCATGACATGAGCGGACTTCTCGAAGATCTCGGTGAAGGGCACGAACACTTGAGTCCTCATGCGACACACCTGAAACACATGTTGGCTCCAGAAAACGGCTGGCTGGATCGGCTACCGGATTTGCCGGTCGACATCTTCGGGATTTTCGCCGCGCACTACGTGTAACAAAGGATCTTCACGTGGCCGGGGCGACCGCGTCCGCCCGGCCGAGCGAACGGACCGTATATATGTGACGGCAAACGGAGGGGGCCGACCACGTTGTGCTGGGGCGCCCCGGGGGCATCGTCTGGCCGGTCCCCTCAAGCAACTGGGCCCACGGGCGTACTTGGTTCTGGGCTCCCTGGTGTCGCTTTCTTATCCTTTTGTGACCGAGGGATCTGCGATCTAGCAGCGGAGAAGCGACTGCGACTTAGGCTTTCGGTCCTCGGACAAGCTCGCCTGTTTCGGTCCTTTCTTCTGCCTGATTTGCATGCCCGACCCCGAGTAGTGCCTCGTCTCGCTGATTTATCTTCTCGCTTTTCTCGCTTTCTTGATCCACATCGGATTGCAGGCTTCGAATGAGAGAAGCTGTGGCGCATACGTACCTACGCAGGTCTGTTGTACTACTTACAGGCTTAAAGCCAGCGCAGCTGAAGCCCTACTGTGTTGGACTTCCGGCTGGCCACTGTTATCAATGTCCTTCATAGGCCGCCGAGAGATTTCGTTCGCCTCGCTTGATTTTTTTCTTCATCCTCGTCTTTTTTTCCTTTCTTTCCCAAAAAACGTATGCATGTAGGGATCACAAAAAACAAGATGGGCGTCCGTCGCGGCCGGGTCTTTCAGGGTTTATGGGTAATTATAGGACTGTTTGGGGTTCCTATTCTGATCTTATTCTTTTTCAAGGCCCTGGCCCCGGGGTTCGCCGGCGATATTCGCTTCCGGGTTGGGCTGGTAATAGCGCTAGCAGCTGCTCGCTTTCGGTACTGCCCAAAGTGATAAATAGAAGCCCTTCATTGCAACGTCGTACCATCAGGCTAAGTGCGCTCGTTTTCACAGAGTTCGTCCTGCAAGTATTCAGGGGGCAAGCGACGCGGCAGCTGCGTCTCATGGAAAGCGCCCGCCGTCATGCCACGGGCGGCGAAGCGCAACGAGCGCGGCTTTTAAGCGCGCAGGCATGGTTCTAAATTTTACAAATTTATTTTGCACCCATCAAAAATCGTCCGCCTTTCAGGCCGCGAGTTAAGTTTCCGGCCAGCCGGCCCTATGCGTAACTCGCGGGCGCGACTTAACGGGTCATTTGTTACCCCGGTCTACAGGAAGTAGTACATTTTAGAGTGTAGTTTTAAATATGCAGCACTTTCAAATAATCCTCTGAAATATGTCATATTCGACAGGACTAACAAAAACAATTTGAAAGTACTGCTTTGCTAGGCAGGGTAAAGACTGACTTTGTTAGGCAGGGTAATAAAGAAAGTGGCCATGGCTCATTTTGGGCTTTATATATCAGTAGCTAGCTCAGGAGGCAGTCTGGTGGATATGGATTGCTCTGGCTTCCTGTGCAGCCCGGTCAAAAGCGATTGCGGTGCACCTTCGTTGGGCCTCTCCGTCCTCTGGCTATGTAGTTGCTGAACCACAATCCTTTGTGTTTAGGGCCTCCCACGACCCGATCCGAGCGGGTCATTGGCTTCCGCTTGATTGGTCGCCCGTGGATGGGGCAGCCAGGGCACATGGCTCGTCCAGGTGCAGTGCGGACGCGGCAGGTCACGGCCATGTTAGGATCCCTTGTTACGCCTGCCCCGAAGAGCTCCTCTTCGGTTTTCTCGCAACCGTTGCGAATTTTCATCATTTTTACGCCGGTATGCCGAGTATTTTCGTCAACGCTGCGATTGTGGGAATTGGTTCGATGGTCTACCATGGCCTGGACTACACGCAGTTCTGGACGGCGGGTTGGACATTTATGACCGAGTCAGTCGGAAACAAGCTGATGGGCGGGGTTGCCGCGCGATCAATCAACCGTGGCGGTGCCGGCGCAGTGGCGTTCGTTGCATTGACGTATTTCTTCAAATTTACTCTGGGCTTCGGTTCCATTATTGGCGCCGCGACGACTGCCGTCATTGGCGCGGTGGTTCTCGCCGAGCTTCTGTGGGTTTTTGTGTCCGTGCCGCCCCCGTCGCATTTCCTGGCCGCGCGACGCATGGAAAGGCAAAAAATGCGCGACCGTGCTTATGTATTTGCGGCGTTGCCGGTTGTTCGCCCAAGGGAGAGGTTGGGCCTCGCACTGACGTCCGCCGTAGAAAACTTGCACAGCCTGCCTCTTCGGCAGATTAGCCGTCTTCAAGGTCATGCATCTGGAGATACTCCCGACAACGAGTTACTAGCCAACGAACGCTGGACAAACGCTCCGTGGCTACGTGGGCCGATAGGAACGTTTGCTGCGACGGAATCCTACGGCGGCTGGAAGCACCACGCCGGCAATCCACTTACTTGGACTTCTAATCCCGCCACAAACGCCGGAGAATTCCGAGGTAGCGAAAGCAGCAGGGGGGCCAGTAGTTTGGTGGTGTCTCGTTGTGTAGGGACTGGCTTCGGAAACATAAACCCTATCGAAGGAGCTATCAAAACCTGTCGTAGCTTCGCAAGTTTTGTACCTGACCCGCCCAAGGGGACGAGGGGGGAGGCGACGCAGATGGGAGAGGGGTTGACCTTGCCGGAAGAAGAAGAGGAGAGGAAACGCAAAGAACTGTCATGCCCTTTGCCGGACTATGATCTGGCTCACAGCGAAAACAATAAGTGGCAACGGCGGCTCGTCGAACGCTCGCCCAGCCACTCGAGCGCGTGGCCTGATTTTTCGTACTTTCCGTTCTATCAGGAACTCCCTGATGCAGATGGGCAATATGACCCCTCGAAGTACCAGTACAACGTTTCTCCAGAAACCTGGCAAGCGCGCTTCGAAGAGAGCCTGGCTTCCGGCTTGAATCGTTTTGGGCGTGTCACGTATTCGATTGAAAAGGAGCTCAATACGTTGCTTTACTCAGCGGTGGCGGATTTTCCGAACGAGATCCGCACTACAGAGGTCAGTAGCCGTGCGTGGGGGAGCAACGTAAAACCGCATGCTAGCCGCGCCAGTGATTTGGGAACGCCGCCGGGCGAATGTAGCGAAAGCGGGGTGCAGCGAAAAACCGGATTTGTTTGCGAAGTAGGGGTGCAGACGTCGGGCTTCTGGCAGCGCGGATATTGCAGTGAACAGGTGCCAGCAGACACGCCCGGCGCAAAGGTATACGTCCCGGTGGACCTCAAGCACAGCGAGATGGGCAAATTTGCGCAAAGTCTAGTGCGCTTGTATACGTGGAGCGGCTCTTCATGGGAAGAAGCGAAGGCGGGGCGTTGTGTTCCTGCGGAATTTCACCAAGCAGAGGTGACAGGCTCGATGACGCTTGCCAGCGTTTTTTTTCGGGGTCCGTGGCGATCCCATGTAGTCTCAGGGGTGAATCCCATTGTCGCAGGGGATGGAGACCGTGCCAACGCCTTCGAGGTCAAAGGTTCTGCAGCCGTTGCGCCACTACCACCCGAGGGGTCCACTCGCCCTGTGCCTTTATCTGATGCCCGCCCTGAGCGGCATCGGACGATAGATGTGACGATTACTTGTGAGCAGCTGCTGGTCTTTCAGAACTGGTATGTCAACACCCACCTGGCTGAGAGATATGCCGCAAAATCCTGGGACCCCGTTATCGTTAAGCAATTTCTGGCCCGGGGAACATCTGCATCCAGTGGGTGGATGGAGCATATTTATTTCTACAAGCCTCCACAGTTATGCGCGTGTCAGCACATCTGGGAGCCAGAACTTGAAGCCGTAGCTGCTCTGGTCGAGGAAAAAGACCCACGCCGGTCGTCCGCCGCGGAAAACGGTGTGGGAGCGCCGGCACAATCACGCGACGTCGTGGCGGTACCTAGTGCTAATCCGGTGTCATTCTTTCAGACTCGCGTGGCAAAAAAGAAAAAGGAGAAAAGAATTTTCGAGTGGCTGCTTTTTGGACTTGGGGTTGCGTATGCGAAGATAAACTACCCGGAACAAGGGGCGTCGGCGTCAGAAACCCAACAGCACAGGACAGAAACCGAAAAGCGACACGGACCAGGCGTTGTACGTCGGCCGACCCTGCTGGCGTAGCAGGTTGAATGGAGGGCTGAGTGGGCGCGCCGCACAGGCGTTGACCCGTCGGCCCGCGGCAGCGCCCCGTTGGCTACACCTCTTCGGAGCTTAATAAATAAAGAAAGCTTGCGCAAAGGTGGGCCTGCAGAGGGCGAGGGGTATCGTGCTGCCGCCGCGTTGTGTGTCTGGCTGCGCGCACGAAAAGCGCGCGCTCCTTCTGATTCCCGCCAAGTCGGGCGCGGGGCCCCAGCCCCGGGCCTGTTCCCCCCCCTTTTCATTTTGCTGAATCAGCGAAAAAGGAAGTTCTAATTCACAAACTAGGCCGCACGGGCCCGCGTTCTGGTTTTTGGGCTTCTAGCGTTCCTGCGATCTCTTTTTCAGGCAAATTATTGCCCCCCGGATGGTTGGTTTCGGCCGGCTGCCCGCCGGCCTAGCCTACCTTGCTATTGCCCTCCCACCGCCTGCCGGGCCCGAGGAGACTGCCCTGCCCGCTCATTCACAACCGAGGAGGCCTCTTCCGCCTTTCCCCAGCCACCCTTCCCTACTTTTCATGTGGCGCTGGCTTTGTTTGTGCCTGCGCGGCATGGTGTGTATCTATATACCCTCACCTTCTGCGGCATTAGCATTATTTTCTGGCAGCCCGAGGATTTCGAGGAATATCCCCCGTTCGGGAACGAGGCGCGCAGACCTCGAAAACCGGACGAAGGAACCGCCACCACGCCGCAGGCCATCCCGGGCCATCAATTCAGTGCGTTGGCATTTGTCACACTTCCGCCGGCCGACGAGGCCTCGTTAGTGATCACGATTCAGTGAGTCTTCACCACACAATAAATCTCACTTCGAAGTCAATGACTCCGGAGGAAAATCCTAGAAAGGAGTGGAATTTTTCAAAAAGCGAGAACTCAGTTAATTCCCACTTGACTTGTCGTTCCGGAACGCGAAGCCAATTGAGAGCTCACTGCGTTCTCAGTCGAGGAAAAATTCAAAATTGAAAACTCGTTGAGGTTGTTCTCACTCCAGGAAAAATCTAAAGGTGAGAACTCAGCGACAGCGAATTCGCGCTCCAGGAAAAATTTCAGCTCCAGAATTGAGATTTTTCAAAAAGTGCGATGAAATTAGCGAATTCCCAATCGATTTCTCGTTCCGGAACGAGAAAGAGAATGAGAATGCATTGAATTCCCACTCCAGGAAAAATCTCACTCCGGAAGTGTAAGTGAGATTTAGATTTTTCAAAAAGTGAGACACCCTATTTCTCGTTCGGGAACGAGGCCGCGTTCGCAACGAGGCCTTGGTCCCGAACGAGAGGTCGCCCGATAATTCACTGAATTATCACTCGAACCAGAGAAGAATAAAAATCTGACTCCTGAATCACTCCGCAAGCGGGTTTTTTTCTGGAATGATAATTCAGTGAGTTAGGGTTTTATATTTATTAGTATATCATTACGTGCAAAAGTAAAAGAAAGATCGCAAGCCCTGGCCTTTTCTAGCACACGTGGTAGATGAACTATCGCATCCGGTGGAGTAGAAAGGGATGGACTATAAATATCCGAGAGCGCTAGCGCGCAAATTTTTTCTATAGTCTCTTTATTGCAGCGCACTATTGCCCGCGCCACGGCCACACCGCCGAGAGCAACGCTCACTCTACCACCCTGCCTGCAAGGTGCCTGCAGTGTTGTTCTTAGCCCGCGCCCAATTTTTTCGGGTCGCAGAACCGCCTGACTTTTTCTCTTCAAAATGTTTTTACGAAAATGCTTGAAGTTCTAGCATTTTTTTGGGTGCTCATTTCCCAAGGAGGTGCGTTTCCGACGCGAAGAGAGGGTCTTTGGTCTTTCCAAGTCATGATAAAAAGAGAAAAAGAGCCTCCACTCCGCGCCCGCTGGGCCGTTGCCACCACAGGGGGAGCTGTTTATCCGTCTTTTGGGGGTTGCTTCCGATAGAGTGGCTGCGGTCTGAAGGCGGGCGTGCTTGCGCCTTCGCCTTGCAGTATTTGCCCAACCAGCCCGGGGCAAAAAGTGATGATGCCCTCGAGCTGAAGGGGGGAGCACACACAGCAGCTTGCCAACGGGGGACACTCCAAGAGCATCACATGAGGGGAACAAGAGACGGCTGCCTTCTTGTGGTGGTTGATTGTGCGAGCTGCGTGCGCCTCCGCGTTTTTTTTTCCGACCCTCCCCGAAAAATCCGCGCCCCGCGGCAGTTCGGTCGACTCACGGCGGCCGGTGTGTTGCCGGCGGGCGGGCGCACGCGCCGAACGATTGGTGGCACGGCAGCCGCCCGCCAAGCAACGTCGCTCACCGTATTTATATGATGAAGTGGGCGGGAAAAACCAGAGGGAACGGCCACAGTCCGGAGTTCGGAGGGACGGGGGCGCGCGCGAAATCGCCCTCCGCCTGGGGCCGGTGCCCTTGCTCCGGTAGTTTTTTTGGTTGTCTTGCATATGACTGGCGGACTTGTATTGAAGGGTGCAGGCGCAGGCGCGGCGGTGGCAGCGGCTTCAGTGGCTGCAGTGGGGCTCCCTGGGTTTGTGGCTTTTGTAGCGGGCGCCGGAGCAGCTGGAACCGTTTCCGCTGGCGCTGGCGCGATTGGTTTCGTCGTTGGCGCGTTACTGGCTGGCGGAGTAATTGTTTTAACGCTGTCGACACTCCTTGCCGTGTCCAGTATTCTGTTGAGAACTTTCACCGATGTGGCCCGGGATGAGTGTGTCGCCAGCAGAACAGCGCGGCGCGTGGCACCTCAGGCGGCAAAATCAAAAAAAGATGGGGAGGTGGCGTCAGCCGCGGCGACAATGTTTGACCTGAAACCCGAACAGCGACGACAGGAATTGTCACAACTCCTGGACAGTGTTCCTGAGATTGGGAAGGATCTTAGCAGGGCTGTACGCGGAACAAGGGCGAAGGATCCGGACGAAGCGAAGAGAGAACACGCGCAGCACGATGCTGTATTGGTCTACTCCTATCTGGAGGAGGTTTTAACCTTGTTGGGCCCCGTGCCCCTCCTTCCGTTCGGGATGCGGGCGGCCGTTGAGGCCCTTTTTACGCGCGGAACGGATGGGAAAAGTGAGTTCGTCGCTAGCTTCGACACAAGCGAAAACAAAGAAAGCGCAGTGCTCAAGTACGTAGAGATCGGCGGCGACGTCGAGTGCATTTACATCGGGGCGGGCGCGCTCGAAGGGCCTCCAAAATACATGTTTACCAGAGGCGGAGCTGCAGAGCGCCGCACTGATGTTGGAGTTACAATGAGTTACGACGAGCTGGACTGTGTGTATGCCAAGATTGCCGTGGAGTTGAAAGAGAGCAAATACTTGGCGAACGCTTTCAACATTGCCAAGGGCGCCCCCATTCATCTCCATGACACGACTTTCCGCCTTCCCGGGTTCCCACAGTCCATCGTGCAAACCACTGGCAAAACGCGCTGGCCCACGTGTGCGGAGGCAACCGGCCTCCGCGCGTTCAACCTTTTCCAGAACATAGGAAACTCCCTGCATGTCGTCACCGGGATGGGTGTATGGGCCTCAAGGGTCGCGCTTCTCTGGGAAAAGCCGGAAAAGTTTTTAGATTATCTGCGTGCGGAACAAAAATTGCCACCCCAGGTGCGGCAGGATGAGTGCACAGCCAACCGGCTCGCGAATGCGTTCCCGTATGGCGACCCCGACGGGACAATGTGTGAAGAACTAGACCAGGCGCAGTGCAGTTCTCCGGCAGATGGTAAAAGTCAGGTCCAGCCGGCGGCGCCAAATGGTAGCGCCAACCAAGAAAACGGCGATGCCCCCCCTGGCGGCGAAAGCCAAAACGCAGACCCTCAGTAGCAAGGGCAGCCACTGACGCTGGTGCGGTGGTCGGACATTGCGATGAGATTGGGGCTCACAGATGAAGCAGTCGCAAGACTTTTACACCTGTGTGCGCCGGTGCAGCTGCTTCGTTTTTTCGAACACTCAACAAACAGCCCCGCAGGGGGCTCATAGCTGCATCAGAGACGAAGATCTTGACAGGCGTAGCCCCTTCTTTTTCGTCTCCTATAAAAAGCACTCGATCATGGAGAGTGCGCATAAATACGTATATTATATTTACTCGATATCGATTTAAAAATCCATCCAGATCCATTTCAGCTGATATGCCCATGTCGCCAGCCGCACCTGTAGCTCTACCCCATCCAGAGCGCAGTCGGCTTTGCATTCTATTAACCTACCGCGCCACTACTTCTATACAGCCTCACAGCGCGTTTTTTTTTTCGTTTTTGTCCTGCATAGGCCGCCGCGAGATTCGCTCGCCATGCTCGATTTTTTTCTTCATCTTTTTGCTTTTCTTTTCCAAAAAACTATGCATGTAGGGATCGCATGTGACAAGATGGGCGCCTGTCGCGGCCGGGTCTCCCAGGGTTTCAGGGTTTAGCTTCGTCTAGGCGGGTTCCTATTAATTCTGATTTTATTTTTGTCCTGCTTTCTTCATTTTTATTTTTTTCACATTTTTTTTTTATTTTTTCACATTTTTTTTTAGCCTTTTTTTTTCTGGAGCCATGGATGAGGAGGTAATGGCACTGGTTCTTGAATGCCAGCGGCAAGAGGAGACGCCAGCGGCAAGCTCCCCCCTGGTGGCCGGGCACTGCTAAAACGGGCGGTGAAACGTCACTGGGGGTGCAGAAGTGGTCTAACCACTACTGCAGAAGCATTCACTTACCTTCTGAGACTTGCACTACAGTATGAGGGAGGCTTTTACCGCTCACCTTGAGAAGCGCGCACGTCATTCTTTTTCTGATCTTATTGTGAACGCTACAAAAAGATACAAGGGGCGGCCTTGCAATTTTCGGGCCGGCGCGAGGGTTGTCACGTATGAAGATTGCATCTGCCTGCAGGGGGCTTTTTTTTTTCATTTTCCCCCCACTGGCAAAGAAGCGCGCTGGCCTCGCGTTTGTTTTTAATTTTATTTTGGTGCATCAGAGTCAGGCGCAGACGCATCGGCCGTGGCTGTGGTACGTATTTATTGCGCAGAAGTAGTGTCAAAATTTAAAGAACAAGAGCGAGGTAACAAAATAAAACAAGAGGGCCTCGGGGGACCTCTTGTCCGCCCGGCCGGGTGGACAAGAGGTCCCCCCCTTTCGCTGCCGGAGCGGCTGGCTCGCAGAAGTCCCCCCCCGCGTCGCCGCGTCGGCTCCCACCGCCGCCGTCGTCGT